TACGATTGATAGGAGAAATTGAACCAGAAGCTATGTCCAGTGGTGCGCGAAAATACCTGGAAAGACGTCAACTGCTTACAGGAGAATTAGATTCGGACGGGAGGTAATTTCAATTGCATTGAAAAATTCACCTGAACCTATCTGGTCATCTCCTTAATACGCCGCCAATAGGTTGTGCCGGCAATGACCTCTGCGCTGGCAACCACGAAACACCAATCTTTGGTGCGGCTGAGTGCGGCGTTCACGCGTCGCGGGTCGTCGATAAACGATGATTGTCCGTCCGATCGTGTGAGCAGGACGAACACGGTGTCGAATTCTCTGCCCTGGCTGCAGTCGACCGTGCCAATGAAGAGCTCGCTCCGTTCCTCATGATGGGACAGCGCCTTCACGATCGCCGGCTTCTGGGCTCCGTAGAAGGAGAGGACGGCGACTGTTCCGGTGTAGTTCGAGGCGAACAGTGCGTCGATGTGCTTCGTCACGATCTCGGCCTCTTTCGTGTTGACCAGGCTGCTACCTGCCTGACGGTGTGACCTGGCAGGAATCTCGATCCATTGCACTGACGAGCGTGACGTGTGATTGCTGAGCTCTCGTGGCAGATGTTGGCCGTGGTCGTTGGCGGATCGCATAGCCTGCAGTTCTCCCGAGTAGAAGTTCTTCGAGAGTACGTTGGTGATGTCTCTCGGGCAGCGGAAACTTTCACGGAAGGCGATCGTGGGGAATCGGTCTCCGTCCGATGCGTGGCTGAGGGCTGAGTCCGTGCCGAGGCGTGAGATCACTCCGAGTCCGTTTCGCTTCTTGTTGGTTTCGGGCGTCAGTGGTGGTAGTAGCCGGCGATCTCCAACCATTGTGACGACCGCGTTGGGGAACACCAGTGTTATCGCCTGGTAGGTCGCGACGGGGATTTGTGAGGCCTCGTCGCATTGCACGAGCTTGACGAGCTTTGCCAGGTCCGGTGCGTGCTCGTGGAAGAACGTGAGGGCCGATGTGATCGTGGCGGCCATGATTCTCTTGTTCAGCTGGCGCAGGTAGGCGACGGCGACGGTCTTGAATGACGGCCGCTTTGGTGTGTGCTGCTTCAACGAGTGAACCCATTTGTCCGTGCGCGGAAGTTTCTTCAGCAGGCCGCGGTGGAACCCGTGGATGAGCAGGGTCTTCTCGTTCTCAGTCCACTCGGATCCGGGGGGCGCGTCGTCCAGGTTTTTGACTGCCTCGACAATACGCACTGGGAGATCGGCTTTGGTGATGAGGTTGAAGTCGAGCTCGTCTCTGTGGCGCTCCGTTATGATTCGCACCAGACCGACGATTCCGTGCTTGTCGGCGACCTGGCAGAGGTTGACGATTGCTGCGTTTGACGTGGCGAGGAGTAGCTGGCAAGCGTCGCCGGGGAGTGTCCGTGCCGTGATGACCATTGTGGTACTCTTGCCGCCTCCGAAGCCGCACTCGGCGATGAGCCCTCTGGTCTTTGAGAAGCAGATGGTATTCACGTACCTCGCCTGGCTCTCCGTCAGGTTGTCGGGTTTGGAGAGGGATCCCGGCGTGAGCAGCTCGAGTGGCTCCGAACCGAAGAGCGCTTTGTTAACGGCGAAGTTGTTGTCCTTGTGGTTCATTGGTTCCTGGGCCAATAGGACCGTGACGACCGGGTTGTGGCTCGGCTCCTCCGCTTGTTGCTGCATGATGATTACGTTGTCCGCGCTCCGGAGTAGGATCGTTCCGAATCGGTCGCTGTTGAATCGATTGACTACCGCCTTCAGCTCCATTGACTCCGAGTGATTGAAAATCGGGATGCCGGATGTTGCGGGGATGACGAGCTTGTCCGACATCGTGAGCTCTACCTCTTTCGCTTGTCCCCAAGCGACCTTGTTGGGAGCGGTACCGAAGAATCTGGCGACCAATGTGAGCTGGATTGTGCCTCGGCCGGTCTGTCTGGAGTCGATGATCCGAGTTGTGTACGGGCGCAGGTCCGCAGGGCCGTTGACGAGAATCTGGACGGCGTGGGTTGCCAGGGCTCCCATCTGGCGGAGGACGACCTCGTTTTTGGGAGCGGGATCGTTGAGCGCCGAGAGGATGGTTCGGGTGACCTTCTGTGATTCAGCCGGGAGGTCGCGGATGTTTCGTAGGGTCCCGCGAGCGAGTCCGTGTACTGGGATCTTCGATACGCTTTTCTTCGCGCGGAGCTTCATGGTGAGTGATCCGAGGAAGCTGTTTGTCTTCACTGGCGAGATGACGTCGGCGATCATGGGTCGCATGGACACTGGCTTCGGGAACTCAGCCGCGGGTACTTTTATCTCCGAGAAGATTCCTTGAGCGATGCAATGCAGCGTCGTAGTGGTCTTTGCCGTCGGGTGGCACAACACGTCGCGAACTCTGAGTCTTGGTAGCAGAATGAAGGACTTAACCGTGTAAGGCGTTGTTGCGTTCGCGTCAGCCGTGTTGGACCACTGGACCGTTTGCGGCTCCTCCTCGAAGCGGGTGTTCCGGTAGAGGGCCGTGATCCAGACGATGTCTCCTTCGAGTAGCAGTTTGGGTGAGCCGATGTCTCCGTTTGGCTGGAGTGGGCATCCGGAGCGGGCCGTGATCTTGACGTTGCGGACGTCCGGGCGGTCGGTGAACGTCTCGTAGAAGATCGCGGCTGCCGTGTGCGAGGTCCCGACGGCGTGAATGATACGGTAGGGCGCACCGGGGCCTGAAGGAAGAGTTCCGATCTCCATGGGCTCGCCTTTCATCAACGCTGCGACGCCGTCGTCCCGTTCCAGCTCTCCGTTGTCGACCACCTCACCAATAAATCGGGCGGCGTCCTCTGTCGAGAAATTGGCTTCGACGTCGCTCATCAGCTTCTGCGGGTTGTCGGTGTAGTCGTCTTTGAGGGCCGCGACTGATGTCCCGTGCGAATAGTACTCGTACCACGGATGAGGTGGAATGAATTTCACCGTCGGCTCCGCTGCCATCGGGTCGTTGTCCGCTGCTTGCACGACGAGTGGGGCGGCCGGTGTCTGTGTGGTGGAGGCGTCCGCCGGCTCGGCGTCCGGGCGAAGGAGTTCTTCTTCCGGGATCAGCTCCTCTGTGGTCGGGGTTTGTTCGTCGACGTTGACGACCAGGTCCTCTACGATGTCCTCGGTGTAGTCGAGTTCTTCGGGCATCGGGTCGTGTGTTGCTAATGGAGCGAAGATGATTTCCTCCGGGGCAGGTCCAGTGTCTGCTCCTGGATTGTCCTGGGCAATGGGGTTGTCTTGCGACTGCATGGTGGTTAGGTAACAGAGTTCGGAACCGAAGACGCGGGCCTGTGTGAGCAAGGGTGCTGCACTGGGACACCGCCGGGAGAATTGAGTTGCAGAAATCGGTTTCTCGATTGGAAAGTGGCCTAAGTCGTAGCAGAACTTCGAAAGTTTTGGGGGAAAAGCGGCGTCTGATTAGAATTTTTTTTTTTTGAGAGAAAACTCAAGGACGTGCGCTTTTGTCTGGTAAACAGAATGGAATGACGAGGTTGGGTCACCGCGAGAGGGCGGGACGGGGGCGTGGGCTGGATCGTCCGGCGTGCGCTGTTACAACGCGCGTGCTTTGTCGTTCGATGACGTTGTGGTCGAGCCCTGAGATCGCTCCGCGGGGGACGGTATGATTGTAATGGGGCAATTATCTAATGGTGGCGCGGCCGCAGATTGTAACGTGCGTGCGGTCTCTCTCTCTCTCAGACCGGACAAATAAAACAACGGGACCGGGCTTTTGATCTCTCGTGCGCCCTCGCCTACGTCACCTCGGACCTTACTAAACGCTGCTTATCCGAATAGGGGCCGCTTGGGTGGTGGGGCTTGTGCCAGGCTAACATCATGCGACAACTCAAAGTGTCTTTCCATCTGGCTATGCACGGTACAACTCACTACGAGGCCAGGGACTAAACTAACGCAGCGGGGTTTCACATCTGCGGGCGGGGGAAAAGAAACTAAACTAAGGAAAGAGCAGGAAAAACGGTGAGCCGCTTACGAACACTTCTCGACGCCTGCAGGGCTTCTCGGGACTCGGTAGACGGAAGAGATAGGACAGAAAAAGGAAAGAAGACCTGATTGTCTCCATAAACCGTCCGGAACTGTGCAGCCAAGGTAGAGGGCTGAATAATAGGTCGATGGACGGGTGACCCCGGAGGTCACCAAGCTCGCTGCTACCAGTAGGAAGTGCCGGGCGCAGGCTGGCCTAACCAGCCCCGGCCTCCTGTCCGAAGGTCAATGGACTTTAGCCAAGAAGACACGGATCGAGTGGAACAGGTTTATTCAGGATCGGACAACCAGGGAACCGCCTAGTCGGCGGGGCATGGGGGATTATATAGTGGCGGCTGGAATGTGGAGCTGGCCGGATCGTGGGCGAGCCGGATGTCGGAGGTGCTCTGGAATGTGGTCGGCTTGCAGTGAATGAGACCAGTGGATGGTGTGAGCTTCCGGGGAAGGATCGGTGGGTTGGGGAGGGCGAGGGACGAGCCCTCACGTTTGAAAAGTGGGCCCTGGCGTATGGTCCGGTTGCCTGTGGTTACGGGACACCTTGGTCCCTTACACTATTAAACCTCCCGTAATCATGATTATCATTTCAGAACCATCTCATTACGCCACTCATCCTGCAGAACGAATGCGAATGAGCAACGTAATCTAACAAGGTAATGCAATGTAAATGGCGACGCTAATCTGGATCGGGCTTCTGGTACAATTTCTCCTATCAATCGTAGAAAAGGCGCCGCCGCGACTGTAGTGGACACAAATTGAAGAAGATGAAGTCGTCGTGGCGGAAAAATAGAGCGAGTGCGCGAACGGACGCCTTGACGTCATTCTTGGCGAAACCGTGCCGACAAGCCTGCCCGCCCCTGCCCGGATCGACCCATTGCAACTATGCTTGACGTGATTAACTGGACGGAACGTTTCGAATTGAGCCATTTGATGCGCTGGATCGGAGCTCTTCGCGCTCTTCGCGGAACAATGCTTGTTCGATGCTTTATTCATTTATTTTTGAACATAAAAATATCATTAATTCTCCCACCCTTCTGAATCCTGTACCGAACTGAAGTGTCTGCTGTTGGCCTTCTCTTCGTATAGCTGGAGGATCCACTTAGTGGGGCTGTTTTCCGATGGCTGTAAAAAAAGTTGTTTCAATGGCGACAGCCAATACTCACGTATATCTTATAGGTCTCTTGGTTCTCGGTGAGCGGAGACGGGAGGTACATGTGTGCTTCGATGCCGTACGACGTGTACGTGGCACTCTTTATCTCGTAGGCCATGTTGATGAACATGGGCACCCATGTTCCCCATCCTGAAATTAAATGTCATTTTACATGTCACAGAGTTATTATTTACCGATTTTTCTGGGATCCCTCACGAGAGCACTGAACGTGCGCAGGTCCAACTTCTTTGCAGCGGCAACGATCCGAGCCATCTGAGTCTCTGCCACTTCCTTGGCTGATTTGGTGCTGTTTGTGCAGAGCACGGTCCCGAGGACGAAAACGAGGAAGATCAGAAGTGGTCGCATTGTGAAGCGAATGAGGAAAAGCTTCCGAATCACTGTATTTATGCGATTTCTTCATAATAAAGTGTAGGATTTTAATCGAGTTAGATGGTTTCCCCGCCCACAAATGGGAACGGAATTAGGAAAAGTTATCTGTATTCACATAAAATGCTCTATTTCCAAATTTTTCACAGCGGGTTTCCATGATTCCGTTCCCATTTTTGGGCGGGGAAACCATATAACTCAATTAAAATCCTCCACTTTATTATGAAGAAATCGCATAAATACAGTGATTCGGATGCTTTTCCTCATTCGCTTCACAATGCGACCACTTCTGATCTTCCTCGTTTTCGTCCTCGGGACCGTGCTCTGCACAAACAGCACCAAATCAGCCAAGGAAGTGGCTGAGACTCAGATGGCACGGATCGTTGCCGCTGCAAAGAAGTTGGACCTGCGCACGTTCAGTGCTCTCGTGAGGGATCCCAGAAAAATCGGTAAATAATAACTCTGTGACATGTAAAATGACATTTAATTTCAGGATGGGGAACATGGGTGCCCATGTTCATCAACATGGCCTACGAGATAAAGAGTGCCACGTACACGTCGTACGGCATCGAAGCACACATGTACCTCCCGTCTCCGCTCACCGAGAACCAAGAGACCTATAAGATATACGTGAGTATTGGCTGTCGCCATTGAAACAACTTTTTTTACAGCCATCGGAAAACAGCCCCACTAAGTGGATCCTGCAGTTATACGAAGAGAAGGCCAACAACAGACGTTTCGGAATTCGTGGATAATGAAACAGATAATGTTTTGTTGAAGAATAAATAAAGAAAGAATCAGGACAATTTCGTTGAAATGAGTTATATTTTCTGTGTGACAACACAATCGAATCGGTTGTCCCTTTTCATCGTGCAACCATTCGTTTTTCCTCCTCCCTCCGACTCGGTCTCTTTCGCCGTATTTTTCTAAATTCTGACGAGCTGGTACGCAATGTCTGGACGATATTGTTTTCCCAGACAGTCTTCTTAGAATCTTAGAATCTAATCGAATTATTGTGTTTTTCCTTGTCTCCGCCAGACACGGTTGTTTTGATGGAGCATGCGACTGTACGATTTCTCTAATTTTGAATTAGCGCGTAGGCTACTGAACACCACTCTTTCATTTTCCATTCATTCCTCCATCCCCATTCGACAGTCTCTGCTAGAAGTGAGTTGGTTGGGAATAACCCTAAAGTACCCATTTGTCTTCAGTGAAACTTCTTCTCGTCACTCTCCTCGTCCTCTGGTCCCTGAATGGAGTCGAATCGATATCGAAGAAAGACGTAAACACTGAAACATACTAAAAACTAGGGAATCGTTTCGATTTCAGTTGATACTGCATAGCAACAACATGGCGAGCCTGGAAATCTCGAAGAGCTCGCATCAAAAGTTCAAGGAGTACTTGTCGGGCCTCTGCGTGAACGGCTTCTCCTCCGAAGAAGAGTATTACGAACACTACCTCGACTGGGAAGAGTCCAATTTCCTGGATGCCGTCAAAGAATTGTGAGTCTGAATGTCTAAAGTTGCATCTCATTTACTACTTGTGAACTGAATGATAACTCGAGAATTATAGCTTTCGGTGTAAAATTATCATAAACAAAGTTGTTTCGGTCGATAACTCCTTCAAATCATTTTTTATTTTCGAGATATTCAAATTTTGACGCTCAATCCAATTTCAGCCTTTCCGAAGAGGAAGCCGTAGAGCCAGACTTTTTCCAACACTTCGGACCGCGACTCGCGAGCCGCTGCAACGTGAAAAAAAATCATGAGGTCCGCGACCGGAAGATCATCGACAGGGGACTCTCGGAGAACGACTTCTACAATCAGATGACCAGGGGACAATGGACAGGTATCAATTTGTGATTACCAGTCTGTTGTTCCCCTCGCTTCCCCATCATTTGGTTACTTCCCTTCCTTCCTCTTCACTGCGCTGATGTTTTATTCGCGCCTGTAGATCAAACCTCATTGAATTCTCGATCCCAATCCCGATTTATTTATACTTTCCCCCAAAATTGGTTTATTTAATCCCGAATGTCTTTTTTCAGTTTGTCATTCTTGTTTTCCATCTGTCGACCGACTTTTTCACCATTAAATGTCCTCTATATCTTTTCCATGCAAATAAAGTTAACTAGATGCCAATATATTTTTAAAACAAAACAGCGGATAGCAGACGGTTGGAGGGATGTAAATCAAAGGGAAAATGAGTGGAATGGCACATCCAAAGTTAAATGAAGAAAAGGGATAAATAATACATATACTACACTTGAATACGATAGTTCACAATTAAAAAAACAGTTTTCAAAAAAATGACAACAAACGACGGATAGCTAGGAAGGAGTGAAGTGGCAAAAACTGAGGAAAATCATCCATTCACTGTTTGCTTTGATCTAAGATTGTGGCCAACTCTTCGATAGCCCGGTACCGTTCGTAGTGGCTCTCTTTGTAACCGTTTTTAAATTCATTCAGTTTAGGAAAGTTTTCATACATAATGATACATAATGACTTCAGTGGGCAAACGGAGCAGAGTCGACAATGCGCGCAATGACGAAGGTCTCTCGCTGACAACTGTAGCAGCGAGGCACTTCTTCTCTGGGACTCGCAAGAACACCCTTTATGCCCTTTAATTTCAGCTTGTCAATGTACATTTTGATAAAGCCAAACGATCTGAAAAATAGTGTTTTAATGATCTGATGCACTCGTGATACCTGATAAGCAAGCAGCGGATCAAATTGTACGTATTTTCGTCGTTGCTCAACATTGGCATTTGGAATCACGTTGACGAGTGGAACGACGTGGCCAGCTTTCTTCTTAATCGAATGTGAATACGACACGAAAGAAGCTGCTACTGGTATTCCATGCCACACGAGTAGTCCGGAAAAGTGGAGGGTACTGAACACGGGTATATTTTCAAGAACAGTACTCTGGTAGCTAGAGATTTCGACCAATTGACACATGGGATCGGTTGGCGTCTCAAAATCTCATCCGCAATCACGTCGGTACACGGACGCTCCGATCTGTGGTAGCAGGCTTTGACATTCCGCGGCAACTGTTCGGCGGTCGACAATAGCAGCCGCTATAGTTTGTCAGAAAGAGTTAGATCAAGAACATTATATATTTCGATACACAAGGTTCTGTAAAACCTAGAAAACTTAATTCCGGATCAAAGTATGGTTATGCTCACATAGGTCGCAGAATGGAAGTTGGATTACTGTAACTGACGAAATTGAGACGCGAAAAAGTGATATTTCAGCTATGAATCTTCAATATAAATGTTCTGTAACTGGTAGAGTACAAGTTATTGTATCATTTAATCTTCTCTGAAAAATTGACCCGAGATGCTTGTGCCTGATTGCATATTGCAAGGAAAGTGTTGGATGTACCTCTTTCTAATGTTTGAGCTCAACGTTGGTGCTCCGATGAAGCTCCGAGGTGGTAACGTCTAACCACCAGCTTTCTCTTCTGTCATCTTTATCTTTCTCTCTCTTTCTGAATATCTAAAAATATATCACAAGCCAACCAAGCCAAGCCGACGCAGGCCGAGGCGACCTAGAGTCATTTGTCATTAAACTATCAGAAAAAAAAATGAAATGATAGGCGGAACCAACTCCGACCGGGAGAGCACCAGCACAATCATTCGCAATCATGAGGGTCTGGCCGTTGGTGCTCGCCTCATTCTCCCTTCTTGGTCTGTCAACTCCGCTGACAAACTTCCGTTTCCACGGCAACGTCACTTGCTACCACTTTACGGAATTCGAGTACTATCTTGAAGCCTACGAGTTCGATGGTCCCGATCTTACCTACGAAGGTCGCACCGTCTTCCAAGTGAACGACTTCATCGGAGCCTCTCAACATTATTCCCACATGCAGTCCCCTTCAGAATATGAATTCTTTGGGGAGCAGAACGGAGACGGCTGGTTCAATGTGAGTGAAATTTTGAGTCTTGAAAGCGTTGAGTGCTCTTGTTTCAGCGTGAATACGAAATTGTGCTGACCATCCGCCATACGTGCCACAACCTGTACTACAAGAGAGTCCTTTGGCAGACGGACTACTTTTATTTTGACGAGATCCCCATCATCCACCACGACAGCGAGTAAGCTACTTCCACTTCATTCGGCAAAATAGAACGATTTTATTTTCAGCGGAACCGGAATTCCTTTCAACATCTATCTGAATGGAAGTGTTCCGTCGAGCATGACCAAGTATGAATACTTTTAATAAGTAACTCCCTAGCAATTTAGAGTTTTAGAATTTGACTTTTCAAATTTTGTTTGTTTTTCTTCTATTGTCAAGAATATTTCACGAGTATTTCAATAAAGAAATGACCTAATATCAGAAATAGTCAGTCCAGTGAAGTACCGTACACCAGTCTCGGGTTGGGAATGAAATGATGGAGTTTGGCATTCTTTCTATTTGTTAAAGGAACCGCACAATTTCAGCTTGCTCACCATAGCACGAAGTTGTTTCGAAAGTGCTTCTAATTTTTCACAGATATCCTGTAAAACTGACACCCGGTCTGGGAAATGTCAGCCCTGTTTCTCAATTTGCAAGGAAAGTGTGAGATATGAATTTCTCTCAATGAGGTTTTGAAAAGGGATGTCTCAGCAACTGATATCCTTAATCTTCCTATAACTGGCGGAGCACAAAGCCGAGATCAGATGCTTGTGCCTGACGGCATATTGCAAGGAAAACGTAATCTATAGCTCTTTCCGAATTTCGAGCTAGGGGTTGAAGTCCAAGGCTCCAAGGATCAGATTATTCGCAGAATATCCAGGAAATGTAACACATGCCAACTCGACTAAAGCTCTCCTACGCAGGCTGAAGCAACTTGAAGTCAACTGTTCATTAAACTACAAGAAAAAAAAACGATTGGATGTGGGACAAAGGCAAGAGCGAGAGAACAACTGATCACAGTGATGAAGGGTTTGACTCGGGTTCTTGACAAATCGTGAGCAATCCCAACAATCAAATTCTATGGAAATCATGAACTACATCGCCTCCATTTGACTCCATGACGTCACGCAAGCAACCATTTGTCTGCTAGTAACCAGTTTCGAAAGGTCGCAGTTTCAGACGTCCCGGGGAACTCCTTTTCTTTGAGACTCTGGACGCAGAGGGCGAATTGGTTGGCGCTATTCATCGAAGAATTCACCTTCATCGTTGTACAGTTACTTTTCTAATTTATCGTCACTTAAAATTGATTCTGATGGTGACTCCCACTCGTAAATTTTCGTTATCATTTTCTGAAATTTCTCGGCACTGCTGAAAGCATTGAAACAACAACACTTATGAGCCGAAAGCGTGCGACTATTTGTTACTCATTGCCTTTTTTCAAGCATAAAAAGGCGCAACTCCCATCGAATCACACCAAATTCTGATACCCTTGTGGGAATTTTTCATCTTTTCCATGTTTCATCATAAAAAATCGGTCCAGCACAAAGCCGAACAAACTTCACAAAACCGACTCCCCGGGCGATTAACTATGTTTTTTCAATGGGTTTTTGGAGACGGAGTTTTACACAGCGGCCGAGGCCAAAGCCGAGCCAGATCGACATCTTTCCACGGAGCTTATACATATCTGAACATAGGATGCGCAGGAAGTGTCCGTCCTCCTTCTCATCCCTCTCTCCCCTCACTTCCAGCAAAGTTCTCGGCGCGTCCTCCGCTGCTCATCACGTGCTCGCCAATGCACATATTTCGCAATCTGCGCTGTCGTCTCGTGTTTTCTCAACCGTCACAAGGTTTGCCAATCCTTTTTTCTTCGCTCTCCAAGCTAATGTCAATCGATGTTCAGCTCTATCCAATCGTCCGATGAGTCCGATGCATCCCATTCCAACGGTTCATCATTCAATCTTCCAGTTTTCCGGTGAGCAATTTATTCAAAAAAAGAAACCTATATAAAAAGTTGATTAGCGGAGATCATGATGCAAAAGCATAGCAATTGGTAGGGTTTAAAATTAGAATGGAAATAGGAAACAATAAAGGAATAGAGCGAAAGGCGGGGGGAAGAGGAAAGTGCGGTGGTCATCTGAGAAAGCATCGGGGGCTGAGACTTTATGAAGAAAGGCGTTTTTTATGACATGAAAGTGTTTTGGGACGGAAAAAATTTGTAAATTTACAATAAGATAGCCTAAAAATTTCCATTTAAATTATGAATTAAAACATTTCGCATGATAACACTCCTTGCGGTTACTTTAATTACCTAGTAAAACCCGTTAGAAAAAGAAGTAATTATTGAATTGTGCATTACACCGTTACTCCCGGCAAACGATATTCGTCAAACGTTTTCAACAGCTCGTCCCAGTTGTAGAAGAACGTGTGGAAATCGCTGAAACCTTGGCGGCGTTCTTTCGGGCTGAAAATTGATTGACAGTTATTACACCCAAACTATTTTGAGATAACTTACGCTGGATTGCAATATGGGCAGTAGGGTGTGACCGTTTTCTCTTCTTCCTCCATAATTGCGCACCATCGTGTGATGTTATAGCACTCTATTCCGCATTTTTTGCACCGCGGAACACTTTCGGTCGCGTCCCATTTGGCAAACGTCTCTTTGTCCTCTTCCCGCAACGCATCGTAGTACCATTTGGTGTAAGCGAGACTTCTGAAAAATATTTGATGAGTGTGCTAGATGAAACTTTATGAGTTTACCGTATCATTATGGTTCGCACAAGTTTGTACATGCGCTCGTCATCGAGGTACTTCTTCTTGCGGGCCATGTCCCAGGCAAGAGTGCAGAGTGGCACGTGGGCAAAGTACTGGGCCTCGATGTTGTGAGAGAAGGCGATCATGGCGGTGGCGAGCTGCGTGGGTGTTGGCTGTCCGACGTTCCACGAGACGTTGACGCAGAAACCGACGCTTTGGACCCAGTGGAAAGTTCCAGTATTCACGTACACCATTTCGTCCTGTTTTTGCTCGAACTTGGTGACCGGGATTCCAGCTTTCAGCAGTTCCTTCTCATCCGGCCAATAATCCTGTCCATGATAGGAGCATCGTTTTTGGGTTATCAAATCTCTGAGTTTGCCCCAGTACTCGTACGGTACCGAGTACCATATACAAGTCCCTGGGCCAACGTTGATATTGATTGACGACATGAGCGAGTTCTCCATGTGAGCAGGAGTTCGAGATCCAGGCGGCTTCGAATACACCTGTACGGTGTTTACACCGAGAACAGGCTCGCTGATCATGTTGAGCAGATTTCCTTCGTGCATCGGGCGAAGGAACGGAGGAAGCTTGTTGATCTCCTTGAACTGCTCGGCAAAAACTTTTGTGTCCTGCATGTCGATGTTGGTCCCGAACACATTCCAGTACATGCGAGGATCATAATCCGGCGAGTCTGGAAGCACTTGCTCGGCGAGCAGCCTCTGGCGAATCTCCACTTGCTTCGTTTCCATGTCATCCGACTCGAGCATCTCCTTGACGACTGAAAAAAAAAACTTATTAAAACTCTGGTTTCTACTTAATCAAACTTACAGTCAAGTGACTCCTGTTTCACTCTCGTCGCGTACTTCATGTACTCTTCAATCGGCATCTTGTCAATGAATCCGGTCGTTCTCCACCCTTGCTCGCCTTCCATGTTCTTGTTTGTGTCAGCGGTCTGAGGACATTGGTACAACACGTCCATTTTCATATCGGGCAGCTTGTCGTAGATGGCCTGGAGCGAGAATTTCTGGTAGTCCATGCCCAGCGCCTTTCCGATCCCACTGACGTTGGTGATTGTGGCTGAATTGAGAATCCGCTCGAATCGTTCGTCGTACACCTCCTCTTTGGTTTTGACTGGAAGCCTCGAGACAGGAATGCGAAGAGCATTTTTGTTCTTGAATCGCATAACGTGGTTATTTCCAAGCTTCTTATGCAATTCTCTTTCCAAATTCACGAGCGAGGTGTCCGGAGTCGGCGGTGTCAACGGATCGATCTTGTAAACCGCGTTGATGTGGTGCATCTTCCACTGCTCGGCGGCTTGCACCACGTCTTTGGACATGCAGTCCAACGGGAGATGAAGCTTTCCCAACGTTGAAAATCTCGGTGGAACCTTCGGAATGCCTGGAACTCGTCCTCCTTTCCGCTTCGGTTGACGCGGAACATATCCGAGCACCTGATCCATCAGGTATTTGTCGCAATGACGGTAATTCCCCTGATCCGGGTAGATCGTGTCCAGGTTAATGTCGGTTGTCAGGTAGATCGCTTTGGACGGCTGTAAATTGAAACCAATTAGATTTACGCCTTGAAAAACGGTAAAACTCACGTCATGCTTCTCCAAATAATCCTCAAGTTTCTTGATCTCTTCGGGTGTGAGCGTGTCCTTGAGCTGTTCCAATCCATACCGAAGCCGTTTGTGAAAGCTCCAATGGGATGACTCCTCACGGAATTGTTCAGCCCTCTTCTCTGCTTGCTTTATTTTGAGCAGCTCACGCTTAGTAATCGATTTGTGCGGTTTCTGTCGGTAGATGTGTTGGGCTCTGTCCTGAAATAGCCAACATTGAAATAATACCAAGTTTTGAAGTGTTCAAGTTCTTACCCAGACCCCCATTCGTTTCTTCGTCCGATTGGACACTGGCAGACTAATGACCCGCTTCATTTCATTCGGATCCACTGGCTTTCGGTTCTCCGGTTGTTTATCCACTTCCATCGGTTCGCTCTCGGTACCATCGATTGACGCATTTTCATTGACATCATCGACCGGAGACTGATTGCGAGAGCTGTTGAAAGAGGCCGATTCGGATTTCTGACTATCATCAACCACTGAAGACTGCTTTGGCGGGAGAGGAGAAGGAGAATCCAATCGTTCGTCTTCAAATCCAAATTCATTCAGTACCAAGTCATTGATGCTACGTCTTGACGGGACCGTGCTCTCCTCCTCCTTCTTTTCGATGATTGGTGGTTCTCCCAGCTTCTCACTGTGGATCGTAGCAGCTTGAGGCTCCAATGGAATTGGAAGAGCAGTTGGCAAGATTTGCTCAGTCTTCATCTTCTCCGATTGCTGAACCAGCAAGTTTTCAACAGGTGACGTTCCCACTCGAATCTTCTTTCTTGGAACTTCCGATTCGCCATCGCTGACATCTTTGTCTTGAAGAGCTGTTGCGGATGGAGAGACCGAGCTACGGGAATTGGAAGAACGAGCAGACACTGATGATCCCGACGAGGGCGAATTATTTGCGGAGTGGCTGACCTCCGACGTTCCACGTGACTTTTTCATTCTATCCTCTTTCCGGTTCTTCCAGCACTCAATCATTCGTTTCTGCTTCTCGTCGTCGGAAATCTGTTGAGCACTCTTCGGATGTGGTGATGGAGTCTCATTTTGCTCTTCCGACAAGCTTCTGGAACTCGATCCGGACGTTGTCGAGGTAGCAGGTAGAGAGGAGTCAGTCGAGCCAGATAATTCCTTGTTAATGAAGATTCCAGGAAGTGTACCTATGCGAACCGGGCCATTTACAGGAATAACTTCTTCGGAGAAGTAGTTTGCAGTTGGACCTCGAACAAAGCTGAGATCATTGATTCTTGACTCGTTGCTCTCTGCCATTATTTCGCTCGCAATCGTCTGGCAGCATCGGTCCGCCAGGTCCACCTGAATCGTTTGTATGCCCCGACTTCCATGGTCGACCACGGTTGTCTGGCTGGAACTGTTCTTCTGCACCGCTTGAACAATCGGGACGGCTTGAACATTCAGGATTGGCTGATTTCCCTGGTCGATTTGAACTTTTTGGCCTGACTGATTTGACTGGTCGGCCAGTACCGGTTGGACAGCCTGATGCGGCTGGTCGGCTTGAACTTTCTGGACAGGGCGATCCGTCTGAGTGCCTTGAACGGCCTTAATATCCGAGACTTCTTCGACTGGCAGTGCGTCCTTCACTTCCTGGACTTGTTGAACTGCCGCCACAACAACAGGTGCTGCTGGCGGGGCAGAGACCTCGACAAGTTTGTCCAACGTCTTTGGAGCAGCGGAATTCTCGGATTTTGGATGCTCCATCGGGACCGGCAACAATCGTTGTGACTCTGAAAAAACATACCGAACTTTCATTTATACTTTGGGTGTGTACTCACCTCGGCTGGGTTCAAATTCGTCCACTGGTTTTGTTTGAACCGGTTTCGATGGCACTGCCGGTTCTTGAACAACCTTCTCGAGCTCAACTTCAGCAGTCTTGTCAGTTGTTGGAGCACCTGAAAGAACGATAATGATCATTCAGAATAGTTTGTATTCATAATATGCTCTTATTTTCTTTCTTTACAACCATTTGTGAAAAAGTCATCTTAACTTCCATGCTTAAACCAATTATTGATCTATTACATTGCAGAGCTAAAACTTAAACTTCCGACAATTCTAATGAACGGAACAACGCGCAGACAGTTATAGCTGTGGCCTAGGCAATTCGGTAAAGATTACATGTGCGAGGATTCTTCTAGACCACGGCCACAACTTTAACTGTCCGCTGTTTCATTTATCGACCTCATGTAGCTGTTTAAAAAACTAAATGTTCCACTCACCACTAGCTTCTTGGGTCAACTCCTGTTGAACGACAGCTGGCTCCTGCAGCGTTGGTCCCGATGCTACCGGCGCCGCTGGTGCTTTTGCTACCTGTGGCGCTGGTCCTTGCTCTGCCGATGGTGCTGATCCCTGTACTGCCGCTGGTGCCGATGGCGCTGGTCCCTGTGTTGCCGGTGGTTGTGCTGGCAGCGGGAATGCCGCAAAGTTGTTGTTTGGCGGCAAAAATGACTGGTTGTACGTGTGATGGAGGGGCTGGTTCCAGTGCATTACATCTCCAGGATACTGCGTGGGATTCGGATTCATTCCCATGTATGGCGGCACAGCGTACGGCGCATAGTACCCAGGATGTTGAGTTCCGTGGACTGGCGGCGGTGGTAGATGTTGCGTTCCATTCGAAAGTTGTGGTGGCGGTGGTGGTGGTGGTGGTGGTCCTACATCAGCCATCGGTGACCGTAGGAAGTCATCAAATCCTGAAAATAAAGTTTTTTAGGGACATTCGGACTCTTGTGCTATAGCAAATCTTCCTTTACACAGTACGGGTCGCCCACAAGCCGCAAGAACAACTGTTCGAAAGTATTATTGGCCGTTTCTTCTTCCTCTTTTTCTCCCAACCACCACCCTTTCTTACAGCTCCGATTAGTTCAGTGTAACGCGGCGTGTGTCCAGACTTTGTGCCACCTGGCCGCCTGCATCAACCACCCCACTGGCGTATATATGAATTCAATTATAAAACTCCGCGCTCCGTAAGTCAAAAGCTGACTCAGAAAAATCACACACACAACTTTTGTCAAAAGCTTTGTAGTAAATCAAGAGACGTACCGTAGAAATGATGTCCATCCATGCTGAAGTTTCAGAGAACACGCCGAGGCATCAGATGACTTGCCTTCGCTGTTCTGAAATCGGAGAGTTAGGATCGAATAGCAAGTGATATAAGAGCGAAAGAAAACGGAGCAATAATGAGAATAAGCAAGTGGAATTAGACGTCCTACAAGTCCTTGCGCACTTTTTCCGAACTATGATGATGTTTTCCGCTCGCGAGCCCCCATTTCTGACCGAAAAGTGTAAAAACTCTAGAATAAGGTCCCCTTGGCAGCTGAAAAAGCTACAATGAGAGCTAAGAATCTTGTTTACCGCGCCATCGTTTGTACACGTAGCTTCACGAAATAGGAACGGGGGAGCGGAAAGATGAAAGAGAGAGAAAGAGAGAGAGAGAGAGAGAGAGAGAGAGAAAGAGAGAAAGAGAGATGCTATGTTGTTGTTGTTGGCATAACGTGTTGTGTGTGCGCAAGAGTGATCGAATGGAAATAAATATCAGAGAAGAGAAGCTATGTTGTGTACGGTATAATCCTAACTAGCGAGCACAATCTCAACTGTATTCTTTCAACACCTAAAGTAACGTGAACCCGTCCATTAGCCCTAATGACACAGACCAAAGACGAAGGATAGAAAACAAAAGGAGAAAATGTGGTCAACGGAGGAGAATGCGACCCCGAATGGGCATTGTGTGCTCTCGACTGGCCGGCGGAATCGGAATCGGTCTCGCTATCGTAATCGCATATCAAGGTTACATTAGGTGGTCCTAGATGATTATCGTCCATCAGAAACGTCAATTATGCGACAGGACGCGCTGTGTTGAAGCAGGATCGGAGCAGTGGAAGATCGAAACAGAATTGAAGGCAATGTGTATATATGTATAATGTACGCGAGAGGACAAACAATGAAAGTGGCTGCGATCGGAAAAAATTTATGCAGAAGCATGTAGTTTCTACAGTTACCCTTTTGTTGTGTGTCATGGCTCGCGAAAAACTGCAAAAGACGACTGAACCGAGCAAATTCTGCACCGAATGCAATGAAAACAAACGCCAATAAAACGGAGAAGACCCGCGGAGAGCGCTGCGGAGAGGTTGACTCGCCCTTCGCTGACCCCTACTGAGAGAGACGAGGGGGGAGAGAAAGAAGCGGGGGATTGAGGGCCGCCCGGGGTGGGGGTAGGCCCGCACAAGAAGGATCAGTACGAAGAGACTCAGATGTGGAACCTCTTAGACGAGTTTAAGGGGAGAGAGTGGCGAGCCAGAGGAGAGGCAGACAGAAGAGAGGAAAAGCTTGAAAAGCGGCCGGCTCCTTACTCTCGCCTTGCACTGACCGGCACTCTTTTCCCATTCCTCATGGGCTTTTGCCACATCCATCTTCTCTTCTTTTTTTGCTGTGACGGCGGCGGAACCCCGTCATGTTAGATGCGTGTGGTGGGGGCGGCGCCTATACACACGCCTAGTACGATTTTGTGATATTAAAAAAAAAAACTTGACTGTCTCGATCGAAAAAAAGAATAGCTGATACACGGCGTATCGTATTGTTCATCACAACAATAGGTGTTGCTCCGCAGCGCAATGTAACCAGCGATAAGGTCAGGCAAACAGAATACGTACTCCGAGACGTGCTTCGCTTCGGAACGGGCTACACAAACTGACGTGTCTATACTAGGTATACACTATACTACGTATACTGTAGACGTGTGAAACTGATTTGTGAGTCAAATCATGAGAATAGGAATTCAGAATAAACCACGACAGGAACACGGAAACGAGTTGGAGTGCAAACAGAGGGGGATTGGGGGTTGTGGTCGTTGTCGCCCTGACAAATAAGACAGATGCCACGCAGATGGTGGTGGTTCGTTCCGAATGGGGGTCTCAGGATCTTCGTCAAGTGTCCAGCAGACTCGAAAATCAGCAACGCACCAGCCGAAATGGCGTCGGTCGCAAATAGTGTAGTGATAAGCAGGAAGCACGGCCACTATCAGTGGTTTTATATATAATCCTTGTGGAAGGAGAGGAAGAATGTTGAGGTGAAGGGCAGGATTAGGAGCATGTAGAGAGGGTGGTCGAAACATTTGCAAGTTCATCCATTATTCGATGACATCACAACTGACTGAATTTTGCCGAAAAAATGTGGTCGTGAGATGAAAATTTTGATGTGGCGAACGGAAGCGCCAAGCTCAAAAGTGCAATCGTGTGAAACGCAATGTACAATATTTTTCAATAAAAAAACGTTTATACAGACTTCTGTCTGTCTAAGGTAATAGAAAAATAAAACTTTCCTCCACCAGGTATCTAAAACTAAGCAAATGAAAACTTTCAGCCAGTCGCATCACTTTATTAGCTAATCTGATAAGGGAAAGAGACCGATCGAGTGATCTCACTTCTCCTCTTTCTCCCCCCTCGCACTATTCTTCTCCTCTACCTGCCACGGCCGCCGTAAACGTACTAATAACCGGAAAGTGACACTTATCATCAACCCATCGCTACATTCGGTGCGTTGTGCGACCAAATCGAAAGTTGTGAAGGGGAGGTGGAGAACCTGATAAGCGCTTCCAGTTGCGTAGGCCGACAACACAGTATTTCGATTAATTAGGCCAGATCACAGGTAGAAGAAATGTGATGCGAACGGAAAAAAGGAGAGAGAGAGATAGAGATGAAGGTGAACGGGTGAGCGGTCAGTAGACAGGGAAGTTGGAAAGAGTGTGGAAGAAAAGATTAGACTACTCTAGAATAGAGCTTCTCTTTCTCTTACTTTTGCTCATTGCATTTCCGATTGGCCTAATTCCGAAGACGTTGCACAATCCTCTTAAGCACTGCCTAAGGTTTTATTAGACGATTCCCCTGGTTTGGGTCTTTATTACGTATCCCTCATTTCTAACGCCGCCAATCGTATCTCAAGCATCTGACAGAATTAATAGCTCTAAGAGTAACGTGCGATCAGATTACGAACGACAACCCCGGCCCGTGTTCCTGCAATTATGTCTCGGGTTCTCGACTTTCCTCTTCTCATTTCCGAATCTAGACCACCCGGTTATCCAATACGCCTGGTGGGACCCCTCTCTGTGCAACCTGATTTCTCTACTACCCTCTTGCCCACTTCGTTTATCTCCCAATCTGGTATACCTCATTACATAAAGCTCCTCACCTAGTGGTCCGAGAATTGTAGGAGGTGTGAGAGAAAAAGAGCGGGCTATAGACTAACGAGCTCGGTCGGGGACGTGCGGGGTTTGATCATTAAAAGTGCAGTGCAGTGTAGTACATCTCATCTCCTCTCATCTTCATCTCATATGTATTCCAGGAATCATCGGAGCGGAAGGTGGGAGTGCAGATGAACTAAGAAGATGATGTTGGAGTACAAAAAACACAGGTACGTCATAAAAGTATAGTTTATACACAATCTCACAGAGAATTATTCAGAAAGCAATTGAAGGAAGAGGAAAAGTGACCAACTGCTGCGTCTCCCAGCCATTCACAGCCGGTCTTGGAGAAGAGTGTTGGTGCAGCTCTTAGAGACGCAGAGAAGGGAAACGCTTGGGTGGTCAGCTGGACTGACCGCCGCCGCCGATCCACAAAGAGAAGCAGGAGAAGGGCGCGGTCGGGCGCGGAGACGCAGAAGAGTTTGCCTCCTCTGGGGGCACGGACCAACACGACGCGGCCGCCATTAACCATTCTTTTCATTCCGCGCCAGGAGAGAGGGGAGGAAAAGATGAGAGAGAACGAGGACGAAGAAAAAGAAGAAGAAGACAGGGATGAGACGAAACGCACGCGTTCACACTGACACTGACCGGCACCTTCCGTTTCTCTCTCCGCTCTCTTCTGGGACTGGCGCCGCCTGGCGCTGGGAATTGGAGCTGGAGCTGAAGCCGGAGGCCGAGCAAAAAGAGCGATAGCGTGTTTGCACTTTTATTCATGCTCCCTCCGCTCACAGCTCGCCAACGGCGCAGAGGAAAGTGAAGAGGAGAATGAGAAGGAAATGACGGAGGGGTGTAAAAAGAAGAGCAATAGCTCATTTTCTCGTATTCCAAGAGTTGAAAGTATACATAGTCTACATGCGTCTGCTATCTCATAAAGGTTGCATGTACTTGATTCAAAGGAGCGGAACCGAATGCCGAAATAGCTCATCCGGAAAGCACCAATGACATGTCGGTTAGACGGCTCAAACATCTGGCGACACAGAACACAGTCCGACCGGAAACGTCCAGATGCATACAAATTGGATGGAAATGCGCGAAAAAGTGATTTGCAGCTGCTAGCCGGGCGACGAGCCACGGTCCCCCATTTGTCTTGCTCCTCAGACGCTTCCCTACGCTCAGCGTCAGATGGCTGTACACTTCATTAGGGGGTACGGAGCCCAGACAATGGGGACCGAGAAACCGGAGAGCCAAATGGGTGACGTTTAAATTTGGGGCCTGGTGAATTATTGATGCAGTGGCCGTCTTCCAGGGGTTTACTATCAATTGAACTACCTTGAACAAAATTTTGAAGAAAAGGTTCAAGGCTACCCCACCTGTGGCGTAAAAAATGAAAAATTTCCTTTGTTTACGGCAAAGAAATGAGAGAGCAGAATTCTCAAGGCAAAAATTGGAAAAATTGTATTGTTTTGATCAACAAAAGCTTCTCATTTCGTCTACTATATGAATTCTAAAGAAAAAGCGTGGACAGGTGAAAAATGGAAAAATTACCGCCCGCAAAAGGGTGGTTAATGATGAGTCAGACTATTTTTTATAAGAAATGGCAAGCAGAAAACCACCAAAAAAGCGGAAGAAGCGGCAGGAAATGACGGGGGAAACTATGTATACCTTTAATAGTTATCTCTTCCTCGTCACCTCATCAACCCCCACTACTAAAAATGTGAAGAGGGAAACGTGAAAAGTGAAAAGCAATCAAAATTCTGTACGTAGTAACTGTGTAATACTCTCCCTCCCCTTCTTTTGTGAGGCAAAGTAGGACTGTACGGAGGGCTGGGAGGAGGAGGAGATAGAGTGTGTTGAAAATAAATAGAGAAGAAAGAGAAGCAGGCAGTGAGACATGGACGAAAGTTTGGTTTGGGCGGCGAATAATACGGAGGGGATCAAAAAGGAAGAGAGAGGAAGAGAGAGAGAAGAAATGAATTGAAATAGTGGAATAGAATGCAGAGAGCTTGGCAAATAATACTACAAACACAGGCCTCAGATGCTTTTTCACACAATCCATAGTACGTTTCATATCAACGTGGGTGGTCTGAAAATGTCTTTCTGAATAAATAACATCCATGAGATATGCTAGGAATCATCTTGAAAAGACTGAACATCCGGTCCCACTCGAAATTCCAACGGATTCGTCCAATTTCAGGCCCATATTTGCCGAACCAACGACGAACGAAAAGATCGAAAACTTTGGGTGTCCACCGATGTAAACATAGCGACCTCGAGACGGAGAAATAGAGAGGGAAGGAGAACGGATACAACGGGGTGAAGGCCACGTTCGAGTGGACGGAAGCCAGACACGCGTGCCCTAGATTTTCGCTGTGTTCAATCAAAAGATGGATATCTTCTTGGCGGCGGTCGCTCGTCACATTCTGCTAATCTCATCCGGCTTCTGCACGTCATCGGGATACATGTTCATGTTTGGATACCTGCAATCTGAAATATTTTGAAAAGTTTTAGTTACCGTAACTGTCCTTTATTATATGTATGTGTTATGTAAAGATTTCCCATATCAATAATATAAATGAAATCCAAGAATAAATAAGAGAAAGGAGGGAGGGGGGGAAGGAAGAATCGAAAAAAACAAAAATGTCCTTGATGAAGCGATATCCGATGACCGGTATGGATAAAGTTGTTTTTGAGCACGGGAGGTAGCAAATACTGACGTCAAAACAGGGATAAAAAAGCATAGTGATGTGTCGGAAAAGATGAAATGGCAGGTAAAGGGAGAGGGATGGTTATGCTAACAAGTTGAAAGTAGATACATATAGTAGCGAGAAGTGGTGAGGGGTTCGATATTTTGTGAACAATTTTAACGTTTGGAGCTCAAAATCTTTGTACAGACTTGAAAATGTTTTTGGTTTTTGGTTGGAAAAAAGGTTCACAATATCATGAATTCAAATCAAAAGTTTTTCAATAACTATCGATGAGATTCATAAGTTCTTGCTGGTCAATTGGCGACTGAAAATAAACTTGATTGTACTCCAATTGTTCGAAGTTCAGAGAATCTTGCGGATCGTCCTCCTCTGCTTGCTCCTTCTCTGATTGCTCGAGAAAATCTTCCAAATCCGCAATATCCAGAAATTCGTAAGGCTTGACCTCGTACAAGTTGCAAGTCTTACTGTCTATTTCATCTTTTGCCGCTTTTCTTCTCGCCATCTCTTCCTCCACAAATCTTCTCTGCAAATCACTTTGTCCTTGAATTTTCAGATAAATTCACTATGTAACTCACCGTCTCCAAGATGTCAGCCAATCTTTCGGGTTCTATCGGCTTCCACTCTTTCATGTGCTCAAGTTGTTCTTTAGGAATTGGCCCCTTCTCTCCGTACTGTAAAAAGAAAAAACATGACACGGTACACGGTACGCAGCGCTTCTGATTCACCTCCTCATCAAATCTTTTCGCTGGTCCCGGCTTGCGTCTCGTGCTTCTGCGGAGCGTGTTTGGGCCCTCGGGCGATGTGTTCTCTTGCGAAGTCTCTGTAACAAAATTAATTTTTGTTTTTCAAATGTGCTCACAATATTTGACTTTGAAATTGTCAGAGGAACTCAAGGTATCTTCAGGTTTCCAAGTTGAAGTTGTTGTAAACTAAATGCTGTTTTTCCGCCCAAAATGTTTCTAAAAATGGGGGAAAAACGTGAATTTTTTGGCTTGCTACCCCTTTCAAATAAAAAGGTAAGTGACTTTAGTAATTATCTATATATTTTATGATCCATATTCTGATTACAAGGGAAAATTTTGAAAATTTGAAGTTTTTCAGGTTCAAATACTATTTGCACTGACCTCTGTCCGGTTCCTTTCCAGACTTTCCGAGTTGCTCCTCGTCTCCTTTGACCTGTGCTCCATCTCCAAGTTTCTCAGCCGGAGTGCCGCCGTCTTCTGTGCTCTTGACGTCATCTGGTCCTGAAATTCAGTTTCTAAATTCGGAAAACGTGGAATTTAAGTTTCTCTCTTACCCGCATTGGTCGAGAGATCGAGTCTTGGAAACTGAACGACAAATGACATGACTGCAATTTGAAAAAGTCAGTGATTGATCCGAAAAGTTTTTTATTTTACGTACAGTTCTCCGGGAAGATCGATCGATCAGCAACGACGAGCATTGAAGAAGATGGTGGGTTGTCGGATGTCGACTGTTCGGCCATGACTGAAACAAACATGGAATTAAAGTGGAAATAAAGTGAGAACAGGCTGAAGAGGCACAACAAAAAAGCGACAAGTGAGGCACAGAGCGAAAGGAGAAAGCTGTGTAAAAAGACGGTCGAGCTGGATGAAAGGAGGCCGTGGAATGTGAAGAAACTATCGAAAAAACGATTATCGGGGCTGGCTGGTGGTTCAGTCAACACGCAAATGGATGTGATTAGAATGTACATAACATTGAGCACACTGCGTGTCACTTCGTACTTTCCCCCACGCCCTCTTTCTCTCTCTCTCTCTCTGTCTTCCTTTGCCTCATTGATAATAGTTATTTGAATTGCTAATTGCCGGAAAAGTAAATGAACTGAACTGAACTGCAGCTGGTCTCCTCGGTCGTTTCGGTTGCAACGAGCAAATCAAACACCAAAAAGTTACAGTATCCATTCAAGTTTTGAATGAAGGAAGGGGAGGGGGGAGCAGAGAAGATGATTCATTGTGTGCGCGCTACAAAAACAATCCACCGGCTGCGTTTGAGCACATCTGTGTGTGCGTGTCGAAAGTTCTATACAATAGGCACGGCACAGAAGGCGTGAACCACAATATTCGACACGTTTAGGACATATGAGCAAAAAACCGTGGATTCTGAACAGTCTTGCAACGAAAAACTGATTTTAGTTACGCCACTCGGCGGAAAGTTAGGCCACGCTGAAGAAATTCAGACTACTCTCTCGAAAATTGGGCCACTCTGGAGGAAATTGAGTCACTCAGCGGCCAGTTAGTCACTAGGGCAAAAGTAGGCCACACGCTAAAAACATAGGCCACACGGACTTTCAGAAAACTCAACCCCCCTTGTTTCGCCGATCGCACCCCGTTCCCCCCTCATAACCTTCAACAAAGCAGAGGAATGATTCAGACGTGGCCTCCTTCGTCTCTCTCTCTCTCTCTCTCTCTCTCTCCCTCACCCCCATATTTTGTTGGCGGCTGCGTCACACACACACACACACACACACTGTGACGTGGCAACGGGCAATCAAACGGAAAGAGCAGAATTCGAAAGCAAATGCTTCTGATCTAGCAGGCGGGCACATAACACTTTCTGAGACCGAAAACATGGAAAGACTGAAGTTGACAGGGCTGGGTTTTGGCCTTTTTTGAATGCATTTCTATTTCTATAGACATCCCAACCACATTGAAAGCGAGGACCAAAAATCGAGGAAAAGTTTCAAGATTAGACGAATATTACCATAACACTGGAGAACACGTCTCAAAACTTCCTTGACAATAAACCTGTATGGTTAGCGGACGGGACGGGGGGAGCCGAAAAAAACGTTCGAAAGCAGGAAAGGAAAAGAGAGAGGGAGAGAGAGAGAGAGAGAGAGAGAGAGAGAGAGAGAGAGAGAGAGAGAGAGAGAGAGAGAGAGAGAGAGAGAGAGAATGGTAGCTGGCCACCTCACCGCAGCCGAGAAAACTGAAAAGTGAAGGAAAGAATATTCGAGTCCGCGGTAGGTAGGCGGGAACAAAAACAAAACAGACACGGCGGACAGTTTCGTCACGAGTCTAGTGGATGAATCACTTTACAATTCAATTATTTTTGGAAAGGTTGAGAAAAAAAACATTTCGATAAGCAGAAAAGTGGAGAGAGGAAGGGTGAGGAGGAAGTGAGAAATCTGAAAAGTAAGGATGAGGGGGGGGGGATCAGAACGGTTGTTGCTTGGAATGTGATCCATTGAAGTGCGAGGATAATATTTGTAGGGAGTGTGATGAACACATCAGAGAAACACGTGTCGCGTGTTAAATTGATGAAAAACGAATGAAATTAATTGTTGATTAGGAAAATTGAGAAAGGTCATTCACACGAGACTCCTCTCTCTCTCTCTATCTTTCTTTCTTCTCTTGGGCACATGTTCTCCATGGGGATTTGGAGAATTATTCTGTGCCTCGTAAGAATTTGCAGAAGAGGTATGAACAAGTGTATTGTGCACAGCGTTAGACTATAAATACGTTTTTAGGTAGAAAATATGATAAATCACGTCCCTTGGTTAGTGAAAAAATCTCTCTCTCTTTCTCTCTCTCTACAAGTGATATTTATGAATTGGAAAAATGAGGGGTTAGGACGTTCGCCGCTCACACAATTTGCGGAAGTGGACAGCGGGCTTTCATATTCTCACCGACGGGCGCTCCCGTCCTTTGAACGAGTCTCCGGGGCGCCCCTTTCCGCTCCATTGTTATCAAAAGTACACTGTTTGAACGAGCAACAGTCGTTCCACTTTCGATTCATGCAAAAGAAATACTCTCAAGTTGTGTGATTCGTTGTACTTTTGGTGAAGTCGAATGATCTCATCATCGAAGAACCTTCAAAGTCAAATAAGATTAACTAGGGAGTGGTCTGGGAGTGATGGATGTGGAAATAGAATTTCAGATTAGTTTTTCGAGTTTTAGAGGTCGACAGCAAAATTAAAGAGTACGTTTCGAACCTTCTTGTTAAGATCTTTCGATCCATGTAGGTCTTCTTCAGACGAGCTAACTTTTCTATGGATCACTCTCTAGTCAGAATTTCGTAGAGTGCCCGGGCAGACATTAAGAGTGCACGTCGCCTGGTGAGCAACACGGACATCATAAAAGTCACATAAACATTCAAAAAAGGTCATTCGGGTGTCAATACATGTGAAATTGAGCAGTCTGTAACTAATCGGCCTTTATTATACGGAAAGTTTTGAAAGATGAAAGGTCGCACTCGTTTAGATTGTTCTTTTTCAGAAAAAATCATGTTTTTGTTGATTAATTCCGACCCAGAAATGACACCAGAAGACTTGGTTGACTTGCTGACAGCGGACCTTCTCACGAACGGTTCACCTTATGCCTTGCCAAGTGAACCTTTCTTTCCAGACAATCGACTGTACATTTACGTTAAACAGTGCGCGCAAAGCGTCATTCCGGAGCGTCGCTGTACAGAACTTTCAAACGCGTCCTTTTTCAAGTTTTGACCCTTTTTTGGCTGATTTTCAAAGGGAATCGGGTGTAAAACGCTAAAAAATTAGCCTCCCGGGAACTCGTATTGGAATGCTGTTCGGATGAACAGAAAAACGGTTAAATGAAACTTGGGCGCAGTGCTCCTTTATTCGGCCGCCAAACAATCCAAACCAGACAATCGCTTCAGATGCCCAGAAGGGAATTCCTTTTTTTTCAGCCCAGCAAATTATCCGTAAAAAACTCGCAGACAATCGGAAGCCCGGAAAAGGTGCTGTCAATTATAGGCTTTCCTTCGAGGACGACAAGTAGTTTGTGTAAAATTGTGCAAAAAAGGCGCTTGAACATCTTAACAATCGTGGGACCGGATCATTTGACGCGTTTTTAGGCAGATTTCGTCGCAGAAAATTTGCGATCAAAACAAGGAAAATGCAATGAGAATTAATGAATTAATTTTATATAATTTTTCGATAAAAACGCTCACAAGGTGAAAGTCTTTCCTCGTTTCATCTGAATGGCCAGCGTCGTCACCGGATTTGAACTATTCTGTATGGGGAGTTGTTCAGTCAAAGGTACAAGCACATCCACATTCCACTTTGGAGTCATTGAAAAAAGTTTGGAGGCAGAATAGACCAAGTATAGGCATTCCCAAAGAGACTCAAGGATATTGTGAAGAACAAAGGCAACCGCATCGAACGACTTTAATATTTTCTCGTTTATAGTGGTATCAATAAATTACAGTTAAATTTTCATGTTGGTTCGAGTACTTTCGCAAAGATTACATCGCTTTGAATGTGTTACCATACTTTTGGCGCACCCTGTATATTGGGTCCAGGTTACAGACATATCGGACAACTTTAATCCTTCAATTCCTTATCACTTTTTTTCCGAATCTTCTTGGCACGGTGCCATGACGTTTCGAAATCCCAATCGTTTTTTCCCATCGGAGTCCTTTGTCGACGTCCTTATCACTAATCTCCGTCTGTAATTAAGTTGGCTTCTTTGAAACTTGCCGCAAATCCGCTTCAAGCTCACATTCTCACACCTGCGATCTTAATTAAAGACAAAGATTAGTGATAAGAATGCCGACAAAGGAGTCTGATGGCCAAGTACGAAACGTCATGGCACCGTGGGAAGAAGGAAAAGCCAAGTGCAGTGTCCACGCCCACTAATTACACCTAGTAGCCACGCCCACTGATTAGAATGGCCACGCCCAAGGGGGTATATAAAGGCAGAAATAGTCATTTTAATTATTGCCGTCCCGTTTTTTTTCATTTCTACCCATGGGGAGCCCCCCATCTCTCTCTTCCTCTGATTCGACGTTATTGCTATGCAAGAAGTCAGCTCTCTCTCTTCCTTCCTCTGACGTTATTGCTATGCAAGAAGTCAGCTCTCTCTCTTCCTTCCTCTGACGCTATTGCTATGCAAGAAGTCAGCTCTCTCTCTCTTCCTTCTTCTGACGTTACTTCTATGCAAGAAGTCAACCCATTTTTGTTCTTCATGACTAAGCCTCCTCGCCGCGAAGAACGGAAACCGGTGTAAGCATTTACCTTTTCTAAATTACTTTCGGAAGTAATCCTGAAATTCTAGTAACTTTAATCGGATTATCTGACTCTCACCACACAATTCCACTTCAGACCGAAAAAGAATCAGACGACGCCCAGTGAGTTGAAAAGAACACTTACCGTAAATACTGTAATCGAAGGGCACGTCCTCGGTAAAAGTCCGCAACTTTTACCTAATCCGAAGGAAGAAAGAACTGCTTGGACCCGCGACGAGTGCTGCCAATCCTGGGAGGAATACGAGTTTGTCGGCAGACGCTATTGGAATGGTTTCGGATTCCTTAAGTTCCTTAAGTCATACTAGAGGCGACAAAAAGAGTTCTTGAAGAAGCAAAAGTGTAGGATATCGAAGAACTGCAGGATCTTGTGGAGGAATACCGTACTCAAAATCAGTTCGTAAGTTCTGAAATTTTAGAGTTCCACGTCATTTATCATTCATCTGTCAATCATTTGTTATTCATCACGTCAATTCCTCATTCAATTCCTCGAAGATTGCGAAAAGCTGATCCCTATGAATTTTGACCTGGAATCCTGTTACTGTTCAGTTTAAAAGTCGTTATCCGATGGTTCTGAATCTCTAACAAAACCTGGAATGATAAACCTTCCGGTTATTTTTCCGCTCATTCATATCCCTTCTTTTCCAGAAATGGTGACGGATAATCTAATGGAGCTACCGGAAGAGTCGACCCGAGCGCCGCGAGAATCACATCAGAATCTATCCGATCAGCTTGGAAATCGAGAAATGGAATATTCTCGCTTACTCAAAAAGAGGCTCTCTTGAAGCAACGGGAAGTGGTCAGACGACAGCAGAGCCGGTTGATCGCAGCCTTTTTTTTGACACTGGATCACGTTTTCAATGTTGGAATAGTACCCGAATTGATTGCGGTTAATGACCCTGACTTATTTTACTCCGCCGGTAAATCTTTTCAGGTAGTTTGATAGATTTGAAACTGAGAGTTGGCAACAGATATGCTGGCCGCACTGCCGAACAGGATGGAGACCAGTGTTGAGCGGAATTCCGCCTGCCGTCTTCTGTCTTCCGTCTTCCGTGATTTTTTTTATTCCGTCTCCCGTGGGAAAAATTTTTTTCCGTCTTCCGTTTTCCGTGTTCCGTAAAAAAATGTTCTTCCGTCTACCGTCTGCCGTCTTCCTTATTTCAAAATTCCATTTCCGATCAACTCTGATGGAGACACGCCGAAGACCCCTGTGCTTGAGCGGAAAGCAGATTTCTTCGTTTCTTCGCAAAGGATTTGCGGAAATAAACAGGATTAGCCGAAAGGGCACGCAGAGACGTGACGTCTTACTCCATCACGAATCATCAAGAGCTTTGCCTCTTTGTCTTCAAGCTCGAGTGCAATGAACATTTTTCTCAGCACGCCTTTAAATGCGATTAGTTTAACGAACTCACACTATTTTGCAGCCAAAATATTTGCAGGTAATGTCACGGAAGTATGTAGTAAATGTTGGAGAATGGATAACCCTGAAGACTGACAAAATCAACGCGTCTCAAAAAATTCCCTGGTGGATCGTCGAAAATAAGCATGCCTCTCGAGCGGATGAGAGATTATCTGGTTGTAACTGACGAAGTGTAATCGGATGATTATACGCTTCAGCATAAGACTGACTCGCTTGCTCACTGAATCAAAAAAAAACGTTCATCCAAGTGCATTATCCTTTGGCTCCTGCTCTGCGGCTCCAAATGGCGTTCTTGGCAATTCAAAACTTTCTTAGATCTACAGAAGTTCAATAAAGGAGGTTAGTTGTAATAATGTTGCTTGAAAATTGCAGATGAATGAGCAGTTCTACTTTGCCGAAGATGTGCGTGATCCACTGATCCACTGGACTGGAAAACATTGGCAACGCTCTTTGATTCAAAAACGACATTGAGTACTCGATTATCATTAACATCGTGATGAAAATAAAGTCGTTTTTTCTTTATTTTCAGGGTAAGTGCCAGCGTTCCAAACATCATGAATCGAGTCGAAATGAAGAAGCGCACATCTGATGTGTCATGTGAAACAAAAGAAGACCTGGGAGATCATGAGCATCTCCATCTCCACTTGAAAAGGATTGTTGACTTGGATCGGTTTGATGAACGTTGAAAAGAGCGGTTGGTGTGACCGACTTCATTCTACTTCGCCGCCAAATATTTTCAGATTATTTCATGGGAATGGACGCTGTAAAGAGCAAGGTCTTGGATTCATAAAGCAGATGGGATCACACAAGATGGTTGCCGAAACGAAAAAACGTCTGTATTGAGCATTGAGCATGTTGAGCGCTCACTCCCCTGAAACCCTTGTTTATGTCTTGAAGAAGAAGAATGAATACTTACAAATCATTAACATCTTTGTTTTTCTAACGCATGAGTTAACTTTTTTCTAATCACTGGTTCAGTTTTCGCGCAGTTTTCACGTTCAGTTCACACCTTAACTTGGTATCAAAAAAGTTCGCAAATTCGTAGTTTTTGAGAGGAAACGAGAAACAGCACGTAGCACGGAACCCCAGTCTTCCAATCAGAAACGCCCCTTTGCGCATTTAGCGTACACTAAACAAAGAGCCATCGCGGCATTTCGGAGTGTCGTTGCAGAAATGTTTCTCTTCTTTTTTCGACTTTTCAGCATATTTTCCACATTTCCTGGGCAAACTCAAAAGTCAAGAAAACAGATATAGACTGTGCTGAACTTGTTTTTTCCAACCGCCTATCTCGTTGAAACGGAAAATTCTTGTTTTTTCGTATTTCGTAAAAACCTCCTAAAAGACAGGCAATTTTTTTAACGAATACTGGCAAATCCATTCTGTCAGCCCTGAATTTTGTTCATTTCCATATTTTCACCTCATTATCTCATTCTATCCGTAACCGTTCGTTGGTTTGTCGTTTGAACGTATTTTGAATTGATCGATATCTCAGACAGTGCATAATCGCGTGTAGTCACGTGGATTTTCGATAAACACCGCGCTCACCGCGTAAAAGCGGAGTTTCGTTGGTCTCTATAATTCTCGAATGTGTGTTTTTGTTTTCTCAATTTGTCATCATTCCAGCACCGAAAGCGCGCACACCCTGGGCCAGTGAAAAAATCAGCGACAAAATAGGTAAGTAATCATTGCTCCAAAAAACATTTAAAGTGATTTCTTATGAAAATTACAGGAACAACGGCTTGTGACGACAAAAATGCCGGAGACTGCTGAGGAAAAGGTTCTGAAGTACACAAAGTGCTTGATGGACGGGAATGATGTGAGTTTAGGGAAAGTGTGGGGAGAACCGGCTGATGGAATGGGAAATGTGACAAAGAAGAAGAAACATGACATTTTTAGTTTTTAAGTGAATTTATCTGGTCAGACATTAGCTTTACAAGATTATCAGTCTTAGTATTTGGAGCCGAGCGGATAGAGGTAGACAAAATAAATTAAAATTGGTGGACAGCAGAAAACGGAACTAAAATATTTGACACCTCTTCGTATTGCAAGCAGTTCGTTTCGCAACTAGTGCATCTCGCAACTGTTTTTTGTAACCAACACGGTCCGCAGTTTTTGCATTTCACAGCTTCTATGTTTTGCAACTAGCCTGGTTCGCAACTAATACGTTTCGCAACCAGTGGAACTAACATCATGTTGCGAAACGAAGAGGTCCCAAAAATTCAGAGGAAAAACATTCAGTGTCTTTCTTCAAATTTAAAGCGAAATCAGAGTTTTCTGAACCTGAAAATGTCTTTCATATGTATGAGAATGAATACTGCTCTTCAATCGCTCTATTTGCAGGTGAAGCACGCATTGAGACGACTTACCAATACACAAGCACCGTCGGATGCCTATCGGGTTGCAGACACGTACCGATTCATCCGAAGATACGAATCTGTTCCCGATTTCTCAAAGTACGCGAGCAGATTGCGTAAGAAACTGGACGACATGGGCTTTCCGGATCCGAAGAAACAAAAGCTGCATTTGGACGGCGACGTGAACACGAACAATCTGTTCGCACAGGCGATGAGAAGCTCATCTTCTTCTCCTTCCCGCACTCCAAGAGCCGCAGTCGATTACAGCAAGTTCAAGATGACGAAAGTGAGCGCTCAGGAGGAAATGATGGGACAGGACGAGATTCAGAAATCGCCCAGCTCGCCGCGATGCTCATTATCGCCGGAACAGCCGAAACGGAGGGATCCAAGTCAGTGCGCGCCGCGGCTTCCATCGTCATTTCTCAAACCGCCGATCTTCCGCGACATTCCGATGAGTGCCAGTTTGCTAGCGGATGAGAGTCAGTTCAAACCGCGCAAAGATCGACAGAAAGTGTTCGCCGGCAAAAAGAAAACTGACGGAAAGGAGATGCAGGTTCCGACTTTGCTCTCCATGTGTCAGAAGGTGCTCGCTGCCAATGTTCACTGTTAGTTTCGAAATAATCAGTTAGGAACAAAAGTAGATAAGTAAAGTTAATTTTAAGCAATCAATCACGTCGGAATCGTCCCTTACGAGCTGCTAAAGCCTGCAATAGAGGTTGCCTCCGTCAGTGATCTCCTTCGCATCGGCAATGCGAATCCGAAACTAGCCAATGACATGGACGAGCTGTTCCACGATATGGTTCGCCGCGAATTCCCAATCCTCGCGAATCGCCAGCAGGACGGGCGGTCGTGGCTAGCAATCTATGAAGAATCTCTTAAAAAAAAGAAGCAGAGAGAAGACTCGAAGTTAGAGATGCTCACAAATCGCATCGGAAAATCGCAAACTTCTGGCCATCAAGGGCGGCAGACGGTAAGAGTTGGTGGGTCAGAACAAATTAATTGCCGGATGTTTCAGAAGATGATCGACTTGCAAACGGCAGTTCGCAACAATCCGGTCATCAGAAGCGCGAGTAACTCACAGATCCAGATTCAAAGTACTCAGTCGGCGCAAAGGTTCTTGACGGAACGCAGAAATGACAGACTGAGTAAGAAATCTTATGTGAAATAGGATAGTCCAATAATTTTCATAATTTTTCAGAAGGAAGCACTCGCCCGAACTCTATCACTCCGCGTGCCGGATCGGGGCCGATTCGCAGTTCCAGAAAGGCGGTGAAGAAGGAGGCACCGCTGATGGCGAAATGCAGAAGGATGATGAAACAATGATTCTCATTCCCCTCCCTTTATCATTTTCCATAATATCCTCCCGTTTTTTGTAAATTTTCATTCTTTTTCCTATCGGTGATTCCGACATTTTTTGACAGCTAAAAAATTAGTTTTGAAGCGTCGGGGTCCCTTTTATTTGGGTGCAATCAACCCCCCCCCCCCACTCAAATTCCTCTCATTATTTGGTCAAATGACATTCCTTCTCTCAAACTTTGTGATATTTTCTAATTCCCACATTCCTCTTCAACTTCTGCTGTGATCCTTATACTATGTGTTGCCATTTATTTATATTATGCCCATTTCATTCCCTTCCTAATATGTTGTGATCCGTTAATGCATTGTCATTCCCTTGTCCTTCACTCTTCCCCATAATTTGGCCACTTTCCTTCTTTTTTCTTCGCTGGGCTGTCATCAGCATTACTCAATTTTAATCAGTTTATTATGGAATGCAGAGGGATTTATTGTTAAGTAAATGAAATTGAGAAAAATCCGAAGAATCATTCAAGCCAAATTCCTTAGGTCAAATTGAATCTCCGTGTTCTTCTGAATCGTTTGATACAGCTATTCAGGCTATTTAGTGGCATTCTGTCGACAAGGGAAGGGGAGAAAGGGGTGAACGGATCTTGGGTGCGATCGTCACCTTCAAAAATCGCACATAGATTCACAGCTAGCATCGGGACCAAGAATGTTGAAGTCGTAAAACCTTGCAAAAGTGTCGGTCTCTTTGGATGCGATCGAAAAAACGCACGCGGTTGAATGAAGGAAGTAGTAGATCCTAAGACAATTCTTCTCATTTTACAGATCCTCTACAGACGCTCGTTTAACCGCCGTTCTTCGTAACTGTGTTAGTATTGTTGGCTACGCGCTCAGTCACTATTGCTCTGTACTCTGAAGTCTACTGCTTTGCTACTCGTAAAGTTTACTGCTGATTGTCAAAAGTATTCCAAGTTTACTGGAAAAAGGTATATCACTGGTAAGTTAACAACCCGATTATGCTGTAAAATGTAAAAGTTTGACAGGGGAATGTCAAAAATTGTTTGCAATAACATCTCTTTTAAAGGACCAGGGAACCCTCAAATTTTTTTTTTTTTTGCAAAAATGTTTTGTGTCTGTTTGAATTGTCTCTTATTGCCTCATACACTGGTGAAATGCTGACTCTCAGAAATGCCAATGAACGAAACAGCATGCAGTTGAAGTTGTGGCCGTGGCCTAGGAAACTCCGGTGTGAAAACTCTTCCCTGTTAGCAGTTTGATGCTCTTGCACTATGTATGAATGCTGATTTGTGTGAATGTTTGGCAACGTATGAAGATTGTGCCGAACGCAAAAAAAAAATCCGGAAAAGATCACAAGGCCTATAATTTTTCTGGGCCACGGCCACAACTTTGACTAAGCGCTGTTCCATTCACAGGTATTTCTGAACGTTGGGGCTCGGACAATGAATGTGGCAATAAGAAGCAATTCAGTCAGACACATAAACTTGGAGGGTTCCCTGGTCCTTTAAATTATACGCGGCTGGAATTCTAGGGTAAAACTTAAGACGATCCTGCTAGTCAAGTCTTCTAGAACGTTCCTTATTCAAAATCAGCATCTTCTGAAGTTTTTGTTCAAATTTTAGCTCAACAAAACCACATTAGGGGATTATTAGATATCGCTGTTTCCTGCAATACCAATTTCAGAGTGAATGATGAACCAAAACGACTACAATGGCGTTCCTGAGCACATAAACGATTTTCCATGGAATTTTATCACTGGGGAAGATTTGAAATCTGTCAAATTGACGGCGGAAAAGAGGGAAGAAAGGAAATCACGCAATGGGAACACACTGGCAACCGGAGAAGAGACTCTCACAAACACGGCCGTTTTTTCGTTGAGTTACGAAAAGGTGAGACAGAATATCAACAATTATTTTTTATCTAGTCGGTTCATTCAAAAATTTTCCAAGCTTATGTTTTTCAGGTGCGGCAACATAATGCGAACAAAGGATTTCATGAGGTTGCTCTAGTGCACCCTGAATTCGCGGCTCGTGTCTTAAAAAAAGACATCAAAGATTTCACCAAAGAGGAGAAGGGAATGTTTTTCGAGAACAAAGACAACAAGAGCGTCATTGTCCTTCTTAACGTCCGCAGTCACTTCTCGGTGCTCATCGTCAGAATAAATGGGCGTGCAACACTCTTGGATTCCCTTTACGTGAAAAGAGAAAGACTGCAGTTGAAAGCCAAAACATACCGCAGTTTAGCGATTTTGTTCGGTGGAAACGGGGAGGTTGCAGTTAGAAATCAAGTACAGCGGCAAAACGGTGGAACAAACTGTGGCATTTACGCCATTAACTTTTGCTTCTCTTTTTGCGATGGAAAGAAGTACGAGTACAATCCATGGAACATTTGTGAGCAAAGGAAAACGTTACGGAAACAGTTGCACAATCTGAAGATGGAATTCTGTGGTTTGGATGATGGAGACGAGGAAGAGGTTGAAAAACGAATTCATGTTTCACCTTGCTCAAGTTGAATTTCAGATGAACAAAATTATTATGGAAAACGATCAATATAAGGATGTGGATGATGAATATCCGGAGGAAGACGCTAGCAGCGGAATTGTCGGAGAGCAGTCGGAATTGGGAAAAGTCGCAGAATGTGAGAAGAGAGAAGTGAGTTACCAAAGGAAATGACTGGTTTTGTTTTAAAAAATCATTCAAAAACTGATAACGCAATTAAATAGGATCTCATCAAGTTATACACTGAATTTCAGATCACGTGGAGGAAGAGAAAGATCGATGAGACGGATGAGAAGGAGAACGACAATTCGGCCGAGAAGAACACTCGGACAAGTTATCAGAGAGATATTTGACATTGCGTTGAGTAACTCGAGGTATCAAACTTCCACTCCAACCTGCAAATTTTCCGTCTGTTATCTGACGTCACACCCTCATTTCTTATTGTATTCTTATTTTTTCTAGTAATTATCTATTTGTTTCCGTAATCTTCCGTTTCAAAATGAATAAAATTCTTGTTTTTACTTTGTTCAATGATTTGCTGACCGCTCACAGTGTGTAGATTCGAGTGTGGATTTACGGTAAACACTGCGCGCACCGCGTCAAAACGGAGCATCGTTGGGACATTTTAAACTGTACATCGCACATATTACAACTATTTTCCTTCTTTCCAGAGCAAAAAGATCACATAACTGTCATTAAAGAACATGATATCATCGAAAAAGGTTTGTTATCATTGCTGCGTGCATATTAAAAATGATTTCTAGTGAGGATTGCAGAGGACCGCCCCTTCACAAACTATTTGATGACTAGACGACAAGCTGAGTGTATTGTTTTTTATCATTTCAGGTGAGTATCGTGTAGATCCGAGCAGTTCATCACGGAGGAGATGAACAACACGCAGGCAAACGATAGTGATAGAGGAAAAAATGCCGGAGAGATTATGAACGACTGAATTGAAACTATAATTTGCTTCTGTTCTGTTGGCTGCAAAAGGTGTTGTTGCTGCGGTCGGCGGTGCCCAAATCGGGTAGTTCCTGCCAAGAATCGATGAGTTTTGCCGCAGGCTTGTCGAATTTACCGTAGACCACGCTGGCAAGAAAACATAGATTCATAATAGCTCCGGTCTCAATCGAAAACGAAACTGCAAAAGTGTGTGGATAAAACTAGTTGTCGACGTGGAAAGCGGTTAGTGCAGCTGACTTTTTCTACTTCGCCGCCAGAATTTTCAGCTAACTGTGTGAATGAAAGGAAAGCGCAAAGAGGCAGTCTGTTGCTGTACTTGAGCGAGGTCATGAGAGGAATATCGGAAAAAGTGTAAAAAATACCTCTCCCCTTTCACTGACAAACATCTTCAGACGTCTTCAACATCAATGAACTTCGATACACAAGAGTTCACTAGTGCATTGGCCCGGACGCAAATGATTGGAGCCAATCTGCTCGTCATCCATCACCTCAGCAACAGCTCTCACTTTGTCATTGACTCGAGGAAATGATACGAGTTCGAGTGCAAGCGAGAGTACCGCAATCAGAAGGAGGAAAAAATAGGAACTCATTGCAAATTCGGTATGTTCTTCAGTATCTTCAACTTTTCCAACCTCTTCTACTTACAGTCTTCAATGAATGTCCTGCTGACAAACTAAACGATTGCCATTTCCAAACTGAATTCGTGCAGAAAAGAAGACGAAAAGAAGAAAATCCAGTGTGCAACGCCTTCTGCTTTATCGAACTAGGAAGGTGTCGCCGGAAAAATCTGCAAATGTCGGAAAGAACACAAGAGAAAGGACGCGTGCAGTTCGTGCAGAGCCGTCTGATCCTGGAACCTTCCATTGTGCTTGGTGAAGGATACGGGAAGATCACTTACGCCACTGAAGAGCACGTTCATCACAGCCAATGTGAACAAAGTCGAAAATCTGGAGAGCAGAAAAAAGGAGCAGGACACTGGAATTCTCTACTATTCCAAGTCACACTTTGCGGAAAAAAGTATCGCCGAACCGGCCAGCGTCTTTACCGATCTGACCAATTATATTCAGAAGAGGGACAACTTTGAGGTTTTGTTTTTTGTCTTTGAATGCCTATTTCCTTAATATAACTGTTTGCAGGTCGGAAAGTCGAAGCTGTTCATCTTGCCGGGGCTATTAAAGCCGCACCATCTATCAAAATAACATAGATGAGTATACTCTGGGACAACTGCTCGGCAGCCGCTGTGTGTATCGACCAATCGACCACAAGATTGGAAATGAAGGCAATTGCCAGGAACGATCAGTGGAGAATTTTCTCAGTCGTTGTTCAGATTGGAAGATGGAAACCGTACGGAATTCGGACGAATCTGGGCTGCCTCCTTGAACGGGCAGTGCAACTGCCACGGACACTGAATCCACAACCCGCTCTCCCCTAACATCACCTATCGCTGCCCAGACGGATGCACCGGACAGTTCTGCAGGACGGCACTGTCAAACAGAGCACGGTCCCGAGGACGAAGACGAGGAAGATCAGAAGTGGTCGCATTGTTAAGCGAATGCGGAAAAACCACGGATTTTAATAGAGTTATATGGTTGCCCCGCCCAAAAATGGGGACGGAATTATGAAAAATTTGCTGTATTCACGTAAAACGCTCTATTTCCAAATTTTTCACAGCGGGTTTCCATGATTCCGTCCCCATTTGTGGGCGGGGAAACCATCTAACTCGATTAAAATCCTCCACTTTATTACGAAGAATTCGCATAAATACAGTGGTTCGGATGCTTTTCCTCATTCGCTTCACAATGCGACCACTTTTGATCTTCCTGGTCTTCGTCCTCGGGACCGTGCTCTGCACAAACAGCACCAAATCAGCCAAGGAAGTGGCAGAGACTCAGATGGCTCGGATCGTTGCCGCTGCGAAGAAGTTAGACCTGCGCACCTTCAGTGCTCTCGTGAGGGATCCCAGGAAACTCGGTTTATAATAACTCTGTGACATATGAAATGACATTTAATTTCAGGATGGGGAACATGGGTGGCCATGTTCATCAACATGGCCTACGAGATAAAGAGTGCCACGTACACGTCGTACGGCATCGAAGCACACATGTACCTCCCGTCTCCGCTCACCGAGAACCAAGAGACCTATAAGCTATACGTGAGTATTGGCTGTCGCCATTGAAACAACTTTTTTTACAGCCGTCGGAAAACAGCCCCACTGAGTGGATCCTCCAGCTATACGAAGAGAAGGCCAACAACAAACGTTTCGTGATTCGTGGAAAAAGAAGCTGGTAATGTTTTGTTGAAAAATAAATAAAGAAAGAATCAGGAAAATTCGTCGTTGAAATTGAGTCATATTTTCTGTGTGAAAGCACAATCTAATCGGTTCTCCAGTTCATCGCGCCAAGAAGCTTTGTCATCGTGCAACCATTCGTTTTTCGTCGTGCATCGTGCAACCTCCTTCCGACTCGGTTTCCCTCGTTGTGTTTTATAGTTTCTGACGAGGTGGTCCGCAATGTCAGGATGATATTGTTTTCCCAGACAGTCTTCTTACATTAAGAATCGCGAGACTCTAATCGAAGACAGAAGGCCCAGCAATGGCATCGCTCGAATCCTCCGTCTATTCCGAAACGAGTGTTATTCATCTTGTTTCATTGTAATAACCCAAGAATTTCCAAATTTCCTAAAAAATGTCTTTCAAAAATGCGGGTGAGTCAACCACCACGGAACGCGTCAGTTATATGCTTCTTGCGCACGTTATTTAGATATTTTGAATCTGGAGCGAGTCATACAATATGACTCATATTCTCTCTTAAATTTCCTAACTTTTACTATTCATTCTCTACGCGCGTCGGTAAAGTGTGCTTGATCGAGTTGATTAAATCCGCCACAATGTCATTTCTTCCTCTCCCAGAACTCCGTTCTACTGCATGAATTTCAGCATTTATCGTTGTGTCGAATTCGAGCAAACTGATGACGGAGAAGGAAGGTTTCAAATATGGCAGGATGATTCATCCCTGGCTCTTCAAAAAGACAGATGTAAGTGGAATTTTTATGCAGGAATGGATGAAGAGAAGATGTGGAGAAAGGGGGACGGAGTCAGGGAAAATCTTTCTTTAAAAGCGAACGTGTGTTTCCCTTAAAAACTTATAGAGTTTTCTTTAGCTCATTAACGACACACCGAGTCGACGAGACGGTCTGAGTTATGAAATGGAGCTTGACATTCGACAGAGAGGAGGAATGATCATCCACGAAATCGTCATGCACCTCACATATGGAAAGGGAGAACTGTAAGTGGAACAGGAGGCCAAACCGGAAACGGCAAATGGTGGGCTAAAAAACAAAAGAACTTTCATCCGTTTTTAACCGTTTCCCAGAGCCGAAACGCCATCACGTATGGTTCCACTCTCATCGAGCAATGCAATAATATTCCAGCGGAGTGAGTGGTGTGGCGGCAACACTCTTCAATCGATTCTTCAAGCTCCACTCGTTCGAACGATGCGATTATCGAGACGTGGCGGCAACGTGCGTCTTCCTGGCCGGCAAGAACGAGGATTCGCCAAAGAAATTGAAGTACATTGTGAATCAATTGTGGCAAGTGAAGTTCCCTCACCACACGCATTTTCCATCGGAACAACACTTCAATGATCTGTGTGAAGTCGTCACTTTTCTTGAAGAGATCGTTCTCAAAACAATATGTAAGTTCAGGTTTTCCAATCTGCTAACAGCTGTGTATAGTGTTTACATTTTCAGCGTTCGATATCAACATTGATCTCCCGAATGAGTGTGTTCTCAAAGTGATGTCACTAATCGACAAAGACTCCAAAACGTATACGCCTGTATTGAATACCGCCTACTACATGGTCACGGACTTGCTGAACGTCACGGACTGGAGCATCCGATACTCGTGTGCTTCTATCGCAACGGCATGCGTCAACATTGCCGCGTTCTTCCACAACGTGAACATTGATTCGATCTGCCCGCCAGAATACAAAAACACGTGGTACCGATTCCAGGACGACCGGCTTACTAGAAGTGAGCTGGAATCAATGACTCGTGAATTCATCGATCTTTACTCGCGTAACCCCCACCTACATATTGGAACTTTGAAGAATATCGACCCGAACGGAAAGGTGAAAATCGTCACTCAACAGCAGAACCACGTCTCGTCCTTTTCGTCGTCGACAAACACGAAGAAGCTTGACATGGAGACGTATAAGGAACGTCAAAAACGAGCCACCGTCACTTCAACGGAGTCGCCGCGACAGAGCTTCCTGGCGGCCATTAAGAATCAGAGACTTCAGATACAGAAGACGATGGAAACTACTCATGATGCAGATGGCAAAAAACTGAATTCTCAGAGACGACATCGATCAAGTCCGTCGCCCAGCCACTCTCGCCGGAATTACCGCCACCATCACAACCATCACTCGCATCATCAGCAGCATCAGAAGAAGGAGGCTTCGCGCAAAGCTGTTAAGCCGCGAAAGGAAAGAAACACAGTTCGTAACGAGTAAGTTGTCCTTTTACGACTTCACAGTTTGACGCAATCCTTTGTTACCTGCAGAGCGAAAAAGCCCCGGTTGGACTACCAGGTAAGGTTCGCTACCGTCGAATCATTCATGACCACCGAGAGAAAAAAAGGTCGTTACCATGATCACAGGCAGCAGCAACTGGATGTCTACCAACAGAGGGGAATGGATCTTGAGGAAAAGAAGTAAGTCTTTGATCCCCTTATCAGTCTGTTGTGAAGTAGCTTTTGTCAAGTTAGATTCTCATCCAATCTCTATTAGTTTCAGACATCCTTCACATTCTCGTCTGTAGCCTCAGCACATCTCGCCACCATTTTTCTATCGCTGCTCTTAACGTCACCGCCGTCTGTGCTTCGCCATCATGCTGACGAAATGGAGGAGAAAGAGAAATATCAATTATCAGCTTCTACTGTTCTCTTCTTTTCTTCATTACTTCTCTTTTCTACGCCATTTCTTCGCAATGTTTCGTTCTTTTGTCTTTTCCACACCTCATAAAACTTTCGGTTTTTTACCGGTATCGCCTTCCCTCCTTTTCTCTCCTTTCCCATTTTCACTTTTTGTTTAAATGATCTGATGTGAGTTATTTTCGTCATTTTGTCTATCTCATACTTTTTGCAAGTGTTATTTTATATTCTCCATCCTAGGCTGGTCGAACAGGCGTCTGAAAAAAACAGGCACAGGCGCCTAAAATCGCCTGTTCGACCAGCCTACTCCATCCCTATCACCTGTATTTTTTAATCAGTATCGCATTTTTTATTCCTCTCTCTCTTTCTCTCTCTCTCTTTCTTCTTCCCTTATTTATTTCTTGTTAAATTACGCTTCTCTTTCAAATAATCTCAATTATGTTCCCCATGTGTGTATCCAGATGAATGAAATAAAAAAATTTTCTGTGCCGATTGCGGTTAGTTTCACAGACTAATTCAACTTCATCGCCCAAAACGTTCAGAAGATATTCTGTCGGGATTTTTATAATCATTTACCAAAAGGAGTCCAGGAAATGTCTGCATGTGCAATTTTTCAGTTTTATTGTACAGGTCTTTGTGACCCGTACAGAGAAAATTAATTGTAGGGCGCACCATTTCAGCGATCCGGAACCAATTGCGGCTTCGGCTTGAAGAGGTGGTCCCACCACAAAGCACCAGACTTTCTTCAAATCATTTTCACATTCATCAGTCACTATTGATTTATTAAAAGACGCATTTTTAAGTGAGCTGTAGCAGGATGTGGAAAAAGGCCAAGGAGATAAATATGTATGCAGAGATGCGTTAGAGTATCACCGTGAAGGATGAATGAAGGTAACAAGGGAATAAAGTGTGAATATTGAAAAAAAACGTTGTCAATGTGCTTGACTGCCTTTTCACGACCAATCGATGTTCTCCGAATTTTCTTCGGCGAAGTTCTCGTACGTCGAGCTATCCCCCGGATAGCAGTAAAAAATTCCCCGTGGCAGCACTCCGAGTGTCTCCACGAAACTTGGCGGGAGGTTCGCTATCTCCACGTCCAAATCGAAGTCTTCTTCATCGAATTCTCCTTCCTCTCCCTGAAGCCACAGAAGATTTTCAAGAAAACACTCTGAAAACTTACTTGGCCGATAATTTGATTTGGGACATCTCCGGCATGTGTCTCTTCCGGCTGTGAGCTTCCTCTGTTCTTCTCTGAAATGATTTTGCCTGTAGAACTGGCACACTGTAGTTTCTAACCTGGTGCCTGGTTCGGACGGCATTCCTCGTTGTTGTCGACATCGACTTTCGGCTCTTCGTTCTCTGAAATCTGAGCCGAATCGCCATGCTCTCTTTTCTCTTCATTTGGCAGCTGTCCCTTGCGTTCTTCTAAAATGCAATGTATTGATTGAAATCCGGCATACTACAGTATCTTACCTTCATTCTGCTGCACCGGGGCGGTCTCGTTGTCACGTTCTTCCTCCTCATTGCGGATCTCTAGCGATCTTCCGGATCCTGCTGAAATGAAGACAATAACTGCTAAAAATGAAATCAGTATGAGTATCTCACTTCTTTGCTGAGACGGATCTACATTATGACCGTCCTCTGTCTCTACGCGGACCTTCCGTGGTCTTCCTCTTTCTGAAATTGAAAAACAGTGAACGTTGAGGAAATAATTCAGTATCTTACTCGGTTTGGCGATCGAAGAAACGGTGGCCTGGTTCGTCTGTTCGCGGACTTTCCGTGGCCTTCCTCTTTCTGAAATTGGAAAACAGTAAGCGTTAAAGAAATCATTCAGTATCTTACTCGGTTTGGCGATCGAAGAGACAGCGGTCTGGTTCTCCTTCTTCTTCTTCTTCAGAGCCGAGCTCTTCTTCTTTTTGTACGATCGCTTTTCTTTCATCAGCCAAATCTTTTCGGGTCCTTCGACCTTCAAGAGCTCAGCCAGATCTGGAAAAAAAACAGAAAGCATGTAGGATGCTATCAACCGGTTTCATCGCATACTTTTAGTCCTGTTCAGCTTTAGAAGCATGGATTCCGACAGCCGGGAACTGAGCCGGCGGTTTCGCGTCTCTCGATCAAGCATTGAGATACCTTCAAAATAATGGAGGAAATAAAGGAGAAAGAGAGAGAGAGAGAGAGAGAGAGAGAGAGAGAAGTGAACGACAAGAAGGATAACAGATGATAAAGAACTCTCAAATGTACGGCTGTACGGATTTTAACAGTTTGTATGGCACGGCCCAATCGGCGACCGAAACTTCGCGTGTGGGTTTCACAAGAAGCTAATGGGAAATCAGCATGTGACTCGGAGCGCAAAAACGAAAGAAAACATATTTCTTATATATAAAACACAAGAGGCGCCTGTCTGTCTGTGTCCGCTGAGGGCAGCAAAAAGAAAGACGGACCGGACCAAACCGAACCCACACCGCGTGCGCCGCAGACGCGCCTTTCAGAACTCGGCCACCTGCGTGCGAGGCCGGAGGCCGAGCGGGTTGACATGCGAGGCCGAGGGCCGAGATATATATGCGAGTGGGGAGAGCAAGACTGAAAACCGGCGTTGAGCAGGCTTGTTCGAGAATATTTCGAGTTTTTAACAGTAAAGACCGGCAACAGACTTCTAGAGGGGGTCGAGAAAAAGGTGGTAACAACAGCCTAGCGTGTGTGTCTCTCTACAGTACCCGACACGCACCATGAAAACCTTTTTGTGCGTCTTACTAGAGGAGGGTGAGCGGCAAGCGTGTCTTGAATAACTAAAGCGTGGAACTGGGCAGTCCCGTGTGTTGGTTCTCCGGCAGAGATAACTTTTTTCGAGACTTCTTTGCGACGCCGGCTACTGCCGGCAAGTAGGCATATGTTCCCATTTTGGGGCGCGGGCATGAATGTACTAGCGCCCACGAAGTCGATGAAAAAAAAGGCGGTTTCTTACAAACACAGGAAGACGGCAGAGGGAGGGCGGACACAGGGGCTAAGCGAAAAGGGGTAAGGAAAAGTTGGCAGCCATCCAACAGTTTGAATATTGTAGTGCATGCGCATATCTGTTCACGCCAGAGATAAGCTGCTTTTGACGAGGGAGAGTTCAGGATCATTCCAAAATAATTACAATTGGGCCAAGTATAACCCTTTTGGAGTTCTGTTTCTCGCAAATTCTAGAAAACAAGTATACGACAACATCTGCGTGAACCGACACTGCCGCATCTGAGTTTCCAGCAGTGCTACTGTCTTCCGCGCAGAGAGGCAGTGTTTCTCTGAAATTCCAGCCAAAAAAGTCGATAACAGAAATTAGTGAACATCGCGCCGAGAAATGGGAAGGGGAGCGACAAGCAACTTGGGAGAAATGACAGCAGATGGGCGGACCCGTGTTTCAATTCGCGCGCGATTGGCGGAAGAGAGAGAGAAAGAGAGACAGACAGAGAAAGAAAAAAGGGACTACCGGCAGAAGTTCCTTGTCTTTGGGACGCTGCTGACACGCAGAGACAGAATACAGTGTACGTCGTTATTCTCGTGGCCGTTTGTTGAACGTTCTTGAAAAAACCAGTAAGAATGGTTACGTTCCCACGAACACGGAAAAAGAAGAGTAGGAGAGAGAGAGGGACACTACAAGAGAAAAATGGAGGAAGAAGTGGACAATCGTCCAACAACTTGAATAGTGCGTGAACCGATCGTTTCGCGTGGGAATCATCCAAAAAGTGCTATGCACAACTCTCCTCACAGGTGGGCGCTCCTGGGCTTTCCTCCGCGGGCGTGTGGCGGCAAGAAGAGAGACCGTCTACCCGCATAGATTCCTTTCTTCGGGACTCTGTTGCCGCGCCCATAGTACTTGGCATGTTGCCAACTAGCTAATGTTTTTCTTCATGGGCGGAACATCAAAAAGATGATGGAGAGAAAAGTGGATGTTTTGACAAAGACTGCCAGAAAAAGAGAGAGCAGAGGTGCAACAAGAAAAAGAGAGAAGAATTTAGTAACTGTCCAAAAGTTTGAATAGCGCAAGGGCCCATCTGTTTGCGCGAGAAACATGATGTCTTTAACGTGGGAGAGTAGAAGAGGGCTAACATTTGAAAAAGATCAGACTGATACGATATTAGTTTCAAATGATCTTTGGATATTACGTGATGTGACGTGAAAGACAGAAAAAAGTGAGCGATAGAGATGATAGAGCCAATGGGATCGGTTCCCGCGGTTGACAGCGCTAACTGCTGTGAAGAGCGAGTCACTATCAATATTCAAAACAGATGTGTTCTGCATACGTTTTGGGTGGCCTTATTGACACAATGTCGGTACCGTATACCAAAAAAATTGATTCAATGAAAAGTATCGGGTGCCATTCAAAGGCTTTCAAGTTGTAAATTCATACGCATTCAGTAAAATTCATTTAGGTGAAAAATAACAGTTCTAGAGATTTTCAAAGACTGGTGAGTGAGGTCCGTACGCGCCGTCGGACATCTGGTCTTCGCAGAGCTCTTGCTGAAATGCCTCCGAAAGGTAGAAGCTGCTGGGATCCGGGCTCGGCGGTCTGAAGTCGTCTTCGTCGCACGCGTTGCGATTGCTCAATTTGCGAGAACATGCCTTTTTGTCTGCAAAACATTTTCTACCAAATAGTTTGTGCGTTTTCAGACTTACACGGAGCGAACAGTGCCCTGGCGGTTTTCTTCTTCTCTGTCGACACTTTTCCGATGCTCGAAGACGTCCCATCGATTTCCTTTTTCGGTGTAACCTCTGAGCAGAATATGGATTATTGGAAACGGACATTTTGGCCGACAAACCTTTGATGTACGCGGCAACGTTGCGACTTCCGAATGGTCCGAACATTTGTCCTTTCGTGGGAGTGCTGAGACCTAAATAAAACGTTTTATGATTCATGATTATCCACTGATCACTCACTCAGTGTAGACAAGCTCAAAGTTTGCGGCAGAGCCGTCGACGCCACTTTTTTCTTCGAAGTTTCGGCTGAAAATGCGTCGATTTTTACACTTTTCCCTCACGTTTTACTCACCAATCGGTTTTTTATCCAAAAGTCGGCTCGGAGACGGCTCGCGCGAGGAGCTGGAGGAGAGAGTCAACGACGGGCTGCTGGACGGCGAAGAAACCGTTGAGGCGGGACCAGAGGGCGACGAGTCATCCTTGGAAGACATTTCCGGCTGCAAAACGACTGGAATTATTGAGAAAAAGAAAGAGAAGGGAGAATAACGGAGGGAGGGGGGGATTGACAAAAAGAACAACAAGAACAACGCGCGAAGACCCCCCGCTCCGCGTCGTGCACAGCAGAGATGCGGCATTGATGCAACTGCGCTCCATTGCTAATGAAACAACGCACTCCAAGATTAGTGTACTCTCTCGCGGTTTGCAGTTCGATACAACCAAAGAGAGCGTAGACAAATGAGCCTCGGCGAGGAATGGCTTGATATTCGAAGATTTTTCATGACAACTCGCGTTTCATCGACAGCGTCAACACATTGCACTGGGTGTCTCCTTTTAACGAGCGATCATTCGGGGGCGCCTCCGTCATTTCGAGCGAACACTGTCCTTTTTACAGGTTGTGTGCATTACAAAACAGACAGATAGATAGAGTAAACTGCTATTAGAAGGGGAAATGGGAGAAGTATACAGAAATTTGCTAAAACAACTTATTCCGATCTCTTAAAGGACCAGGGAACCCAAAAATTTTTTGATTTTTTTGTGAAATTTCTTTGTGACTGTTTGAATTGTATCTTATTGCCTCATACACTGGTGAAATGCTGCCTCTCAAAAATGCCAATGAACGAAACGGCATGCAGTTGAAGTTGTGGCCGTGGCCTAGCGCCAATGGCCTAGAAATATGCGCTTCTCGGCCATTTTATTTGTTCCGCTTTTTTATCGGTTTTTTTTTCCAAAAATTCACGGTTTCTCCCATTTTTCAGTTGATTGACATTTGTTCGGCACTTACTTATTTTTTCACTGCTAAAAAATTGTTTTCATTCAGTCGATACGAAGTGCCAGATGAGTGGTTTCCGTGGAACAAGGGCAATTTTATCGCGAAAAAACAGGTAAAAAAGCGGAAAAAATAAAATGGCCGAGAAGCGCATATTCTAGGCCATTGGCGCTAGGCCACGGCCACAACTTCAACTGCACGCCGTTTCGTTCATTGACATTTTTGAGAGGCAGCATTTCACCAGTGTATGAGGCAATAAGAGACAATTCAAACAGTCACAAAAAAATCAAAAAATTTTTGGGTTCCCTGGTCCTTTAAATACTCGCTGCTTGGTGATTTGCAGCTAGTTATTCTTTCCTAGGACACAAAATGCCTCGCCAAACCATCTCCGAACATGTGCAACGTCGGAAAATTATCCGGAATGCGTCGTGTCCCATCCTTTCCGAGGTTACTTTTCGACAGTGACACGATGGTCCCAGAGTTCCGTGTGACGTCAGAGATTGGATGGTTGAGAGGTGTCTGTGCGGGTCTGATTTTGTCGGACACTCTCTCGCTATTTCCCCGTCTCTAGCTGCTCGCTACTTGCGTTTCTCGATGTGGCGGGTATCCGAACACCGGGAGCGTTCTGAAAACTAAGAACCTCAAAAATGGCTAATTTCAAGTCCATTATTTAGAAAAATCCGTCTGAAAGTTGGGATGAGGCACATTATGACTTGTTGTCGTTTATTCCACAGCATAAGTCACAAGATACCTCAGCTCAACCACAAAGGGCATTGAATACAAGTGGAGATCAATTCAGAGCCATGGCCCTCAGCGAGGGAATACACAAATAGAATAAATGGTTCTATAGAGTGATAAAGGAGCGGGAATGCCGCGTCAGTGGAAGAGACGCAGATCTGTGGCGCCACGACTGAGGGGAGGAGCTCGCTTGTTGACACTGTTGTTCAGAAAATCGATTTTCAATGAACTTTGATCACAAAAGTGCGAAGGACAACGTAAATTAGGATTTAAAGGGACTACAACTTTTCAGTCAGATCCGTGACGTGAGCAGGCAAACTTTTAAGAAGATGATAGCTCACGTGACAGAATTCTCTAGGTCCCTTATCCTTTTCTACCATTGCTTCAGCCCAATGATCAACTTATATCACTCTTCTCCGCAACCTGGAGCGCTGATTTGCTTTTCTTTCCTCTGTACTCTCTTTCTTTCTTTCTCTTTTACCCCCTTCTTTAACAGCTTTTCCGTTTGCCACGCCTCCCCTCGTTTCGCCTTGGAAGAACAAACAGATCGAAGAACCCAGTCCCCAATCACTCGCTACAACTATTCCCTCTCGCTCGCTTTTCATGTAGATCCGCGCTTCTGGTTACCCGACATTAAGTACGAGGTAACTAAATCGCTGATCTGCCTGAATTTGTTGGCCTCTATCCATACTCAAGCACTTTTTCAAATATTCCAGGTGTCAATACGTTTCACCTTGAGCGTACGTACATCGAAAAGACAAAACATTTTTTGGAAGAAATTTGAATTTTCAATTCAAATAATCTAATTATAAAGTGCAAAATGACCTCGAGAAATTCTGTTTACTCCTTTGTTTAAAGCATCTCCCTGTCTCAAGGACATTACTCGATTACTGGCACGCTCAATTTGAAAATTTTTTTAGCAGACAGTTTTTTTTTGGAGGAAGGGACGGAAAGGGAACCGATCACTATTTTATCGAAGAGTCGCACCTCCGACAAGCAGTGATATTGTTGGGGCGCCAATGAAGTGTGGGATTCGGACTCTTTGACATGCCGGTTGATAAAAGGACTGGTCGAATGTTTGCTCATTTGAATAGAGAGCGGTACTCCTTTGAGTGTTTTTGGTTTGTGGGAACCTTGATGTGCCGACATCGAATCAAATCTGAAGCAGTGCTAATGAAAACGGGAAAACTGTTGGCCACCAAAAAGAGCCGTTTTGGTTGACAAGAGGCAGCGAATTTCACGTTTCGGTCTGTCCCGGCCGTGACAAGTCTGGGTCCTTCCAGTTTCCTCAGAGTGGATCGTTTTTCAACTTCAACTCCCAAACTGTTCTCTTCTAGTTTATCTGCTTTCAATTGGGAGTAACGCAGATAGCAGGACTCAATAATTTTCACGGCTATTTCCCAGCCATATCACCAACATAATTCAAATGGCAATGGGGTTCAATTTGAATAGCCTTTTCAACAAATCATCTCGTTTGGGCCGAATGAGTGTTTGTGTAGGTAAATGGATTGGTGGGAATGCTAACAGAATCATAGTTTTCAAATTTGAATGTAATCAGACAAACAAGTAGTAGACCAGTTTCCAAAAAAGGTTTCAATTTCCGATCTCTACTCATTCTCATGACAGATCGCTTTTTTAATGTCTGACATGTACAATGAATAGGAATCGTGGTTGAAACACGAAATAATAGGTAGAGTTCAGCCGCTCAGCACAAGGACGCAGGGAATGTGAAGAGAGCAGTGTGAACAGACGGCACCTTTTATGTATACCCAGGTGAGAGTAGGCGGACCTTGAGACGGAACGAAAGGTCAACAATCAGTGATAGTTCAGCCTATTAAGATAGGGAAAAAAGAAAAGATTATCGTGGTCTCCATGGGTTCCGACATTTCGCAACGGGTTTCTGACTATACCTGAAAATCTAAAAAGGATTTCAGAAACAGAGTCGTCTTCACTTGTACCCCATACAATTTCCTGCCTAGCCGTTCTTGCAGCTTCCCGGTTTCATAAAGATTTACATATTGAGCGGTGATCGCACCGGCAGCGACACCGGATGACACTCTTCTCTGTCTGATCTCTCCGCTCCGGCTTCGGTCTTCCTGTTTTTTATGGTCTCTCTCTTTGTCTGCGTCACCATTTCAAGTACAGTATTTCCCGAAGCGAACGACCAGCGGCCGACGCGCTAACACGCCGCTGGGCGCAGAGCGGCAACATACAAAAATGAATCGATAAACATGTGGAGAACAAACAGGGACTGACTTTTTTAGATAGCTTCTGACCCGCCCCTTTTCAAGAGTATGTAAGGCGCCATCGATATTCGTATTTCCCATTTTTCTCGTTCCTGAGCGCCCACTTCCGAGCAGAGCATCATCCTGTTGTCATCTGTCACGTAGAGCATGATGACAAAGGATACTGCTCCGCTTGTTGCGGCACTATATGTATTGCTATGTAGTACACAAAGAAAGATAGTGTGAACCGACGAGGGTATTATCAACAAATAGCCGGCTGTCACCAGTACCCCTCCCTAATGCACCGCCCCCAGATTCCCTTTAAAAAGGCTGTTACTCGGCTGCCACACCACATCGTATGGATTGGGAAGTCTCTGAAATTAAGCTGAAAGTGATCCAGAAGTGTGTAGCACTGGAGATGACAGCGTATTGTTAATGACTTTCAGCTCGTTTACAGATAATTTTATTCGCTAAAACGACTCTATTCTTCCATTTATCCGCATAGAAAAATTAGGTATTCAGGCAGCATACAGGTTACATTCAATCGGCACCTTCGGCCGCCTTCTCCAAAAACCCGACAGTATGCACAAAAACGTGGTAGTCTGTCAGGCTTTTGGAATTTCCTTTTTTTTACATCTTCCAAATGGTGCTGATGGTACTGCCATGTTCTACGGACTATGTTTCATTAGTTTGTAACCATTGGGGCCTTGCTGAATACCTCCGTCGGCCGCCCGACTCAAGAAACTGACAGTTTCAGAAATGTTACGAACAAATAATTTGGAACTTGGTTTGTCTGCACAACATCTTCATTTTCTTCCCCTCCTCCTACGCTTTCTGCAAACTGTTCAAACCGTGTCCACTCGACAACCAATCTACTATCTTCTTTCCTGTTCCATACGTGATTTTCACAACTATTTATATAATTTCTCTCGAAATTGAATCAAACAATAAAACACGTTTCACAGCTACAACCAGTATTTGGGATAATTAACAAGTTAATGAAAGAGATTAAGAGATGTGATTGATAATAGCAACGTTTGAACGAAAACACGGTATCAAATCCAAGAGGCACCAGTATTTGAGTGATATCGATGAAAAATGGAAAACTGGGGTATAAATTAACATGAAAGTGTATAAGGACATGATGATGCTTCGTGCTAGAGTGTTTGATAGAACTCCAGGAAGGGATAATTTGCCGAGTCGTGTTGTCTAAAAATTATAATTACGCTCAATCGCCAATCTTCAAGTAAGACTCACTTAATCCAGAAAAACAAGTCCCTCATCTCTTTGCCATGCAGAGTCAAGGCATTGAGTGCCCAGCAGCTTCATATTTCCACCTTCGGGTTTCAGACAGTAGATGAATAGCGACGTAATTGTTGCGGACAGGACATAATGGTGGCCTCCGAATCTGAAAAGTAACTGATTATGAGGAGAACATAAACAAAAAACTAACTCCACGATAGCAATCTTGCTGGGTCCAGCTATAGGAAGTTTAGCGGTTGCAAAACTCCGTTCATTCATCGCCAATCCATTGTCATTTGTCACGAGACGGCCGATACTGCTGAGCCAGCCTGATGACAGTTGAGTACTTTCATCCAGCTTGAAAACGTGAATAGTTTCAGTGTTGGTCGAAAGACACAAAAACTTGGAATCCATTGAAAAGGCCAAGGATGAGGTTATCGCATATCTGTAGAATCCACGCCGGAATTTGAAAACACAAGTAAAGTCCGAAACGAGAAAGACGCGAATGACGGTTCCACTGACGCTGCTCGTAGCAATCATTGTGCCTTCCGGGTTGAACTTCGTGCACGCGAGAGCGTGATTGTGTGCGAGGAACTGTCGAACTGTCGATGTTGTCGCATTGTTCAGTGTGAGCTGGAAAACAAACAGTTGATAAAAACAACAGTCGGTGATGCTCACCAGGCCAGAATCGTTCGTTGTAGGATACGACAGAATAGAATCGGTTTCTCTCACTGTCAGATCCACCACTTCAAACGCATTGTTTAAAACATTCTGTATGTGTTGCAAACTTTTCATTGTTGGCAGTTCGTATATCGAAATGGAATTTTGGAAACACACCGCCAAAGCTTTCGCGCTGCTTCGAACGGCTTGCACGGGCTCTGTGAATCGGTGGGAAATCATGACCTTCTGTGTTGAGCGCTGAACAATTAACATCTTATTGCGGTCAGCACTCGAAATCACAAGATCCATTTGCATGGCGAGAAGTTGTTCAACGATCACGCAGTCTATGATGTCCGATTCTGAAACAGAATTTAGAAGTGAATAAGAACGGATGGGTTAGAATCACCTCCATTTTCTGTCTCTTCGATTGCATCATTGTGCAATAGGGACTCGGTTTTGTAGAATTTGAACCCATTTTTCGCTCCGACACACATATGTCTGGAAGTAGTCCAATGCTACCACCTAATCTGACGCAAAAGCAGCTTACTTGAAATCATCAGTAAAATTTACGAAATTGATCGACATGATGATTCACGCGAAGCACAGATCTGAAAGAATACGGCCTTGTGAGTAACGAGAGAGCAAAATGAAAGTTTAATAAGAGGCGCAGGACAAGAACAAGAATGAAGACGTGTGTGAGCACTGGAATAACAAGACGAACGGTTTCCCGCGCAGTAACAGTGAATGTTCAGTGGGGCACATTTGCAACCGCCTCCATGCACTATCCAACGCTGACATTGAGGACTCGCGATTTTTCGGAATAAGTGAAATTCTTGAAAACTCGAGTGGTTTGGAATATAACTTCAAAATAGTTGTGATTTTTGATGGTATAATTTTATTGAAACTGAGCGCATATGTGACATAGCTTGAAAGTTGTTTTCAGATTCCAGCATAACAAACTCTCAACATTGACGGTATACGGAACTGACGTTTCTTTGAAGAATTGAAAAATGGTGTGGCATTTAACTTAAAAAACTGCAGTAAATATGTATGTTTTTCGTCTTGGTGCGAGCGGAGTATGCGCTAGTCACATGGTTTTCTCATGCCCAGGACCTTTGTCCTATAGTTATTTAAATCTTTAGTCCAGACCTGAATGATTATCACTGAATTGGACAGAGCATTTGACCAATCTACAGTATCACTCGTTTTCTGATCGCCTGCGATGCAAACGTGAATTTATGTCCATTCTCCAGAAAATACATAAAAATACGAGAGGGGTGTTCCGTTCTTCTTCCATTTTTTATCGCTGATCGGAATAATAAAAAGATCAGCACCAAAAATTCGGATATAAAAGCGCCAGGAAACTCACTCACATCCATTCAGTCTTCCTGATTCGACTCTCTTCTCTCCAGCACAAAACTATCCGAAACCACAAGATGTAAGTTATTTCCCAGCGTTCAGCATTAGAAAAATGCAAAGAGTTCCATCACGAGAAAACCATTTATCCCTAATATTCAAATTCTGAAATGTTGCTCTTGCAGGTTCGCGTCTCTCGTCGTTTCTTCTGCCGGGACTTCTTCTCCGATGCCCACCTCAGCTCAATCCGAGCCAAAACAGCCAGACACACCCAGACCAAAGTAAGGTTGGGTGTGTCTGGGGAGCTCAATTATTTTCCCGACAATAAATCATTTAAAAATCAAACCTGTTTTAGTGTTTATTTGAAGAAAAACATTTAAAAGGCAATGTCTGAGAACCTCGAAATTCGCTAATTACACCAGGTCACTAAAAATTCAGAGTGCTTCAATTTGTCCCATATTATACCCAATGAGTACTTACATAACAGTGGTACATCAGACAAGTTTTAGTCCGGCTCCTCAGACTTAACGCCATTCGACTTCTCGCATCTTTTAAAGCATTTTTCATGTTGGCACCAAAAATTTAGCACCTCTCCTTCATGAAGAAAAATATTGTTTTATGACATTTTGCAGAAAATTTTTCAGTATTCTGCTCGTCCTGAAAAATTTTAACACTACATAGCCATGATTTTATTGCTGATTCTGAATCTAGACAGTATTGTGCTTCTGCAAAAAAAAGTTCACCCCGATCCCGATTGACATCAAGGGGTTTTTAGGCCGAAGTTCACAAAATTCGGAGTTCTTTTGCTTGGAAAAATGTTTGCGAACTTGAGAAAAGTGCGTTTTCTCAATTTTCTAAGGGGTCTGATTGCGATTTTTGTTGTTTTCGTATACTTTTAGGAATTCTCGATTTTTTGGAAGCATTTCGAGAATTGAAAAAAATTAGACCAGGTCGTCAGCCCATGACAAAATTTTCGAGATAAAACTAATTCTCGAAATGCTTCCAAAAATCGAGAAAGCCTAAAAGTAATGATGTTGACACACACACAAGGAACCTCGTAATTGACAGCCTTGTTGTTATAACATAGGATATCAATGTCTTCTGTCATCAATGCGATTTCAGTGCCAATCCATACTAATCTAAATGCACAAACAGGTTTCTTCTACACCTCGGGGGCTCGTACGGTTGCTTTCAACAAATAAATCGAGTTCAGAATAGATAGATTAGAAAAGAATCAATGCTGCATGGCTTAGCCACTCGTAGTTCCCGATATTTGAAAGAAATCCGGCTCGTTTGGCTATAACTTTTCCGGATCTTCCTGTGAAATGAAAAAAAAACATTTTTCCCAGTTTACTTTCGAAAAATCGGAAAGATTCCGTCAATTTTAAACAATTTCTACGTTTCCATTTGCTGTAAATATGCAAGCGCGCTCCATTGAGAATTGTTTTCGCGCCGCGAGGTGAGGACGCGTTCCCTTTCACACGCTTTTTATTCCTCCATTGATTGAAGCAGCTTGGCATCATCCGGCCTGTTCATTCACTTTCTCTCTTTCTTTTCCCTTTCCGAGCTTTTGGCACAGTTTTTGATAGGAACTCACTCTGTTGCATCATACCATTTTTCCTCATTATTTTCCGTTGCTCCCTCCCTCTCTCTCACTTCTTTTTTTCTTGGACGCGGATCGATTTTCATGCAGTGCACATCATTAGTTGGCCGCCCGCACCCGCTTTTGCATTTCACATCTAATTCGGAAAGGCATGAACCTTATACAAAACCGTATCATCTGTTCATTCTCGTGATTTTTCCTTTTTTTCAAATTAATTTTCGTTTCAGATGGAAGAAGAGACAACCTTGTCAAATTGGTTGGAGCTGAACCAGTGCAACAAGACGATTCCGTCCGGGAATTCTACAAGATTTGCGATGCCTTCGAACTCTCTCGAAGAACTACTGAGAGACTGACGACGAGAGGAATCGTCGTGAATCGCATCCGAAACGTTCGATGAGAGAGGAGCGACATGATCCGCTTCGTTATCAGGAACGTCAGGAGAATCGGATCATCGTTCGACCGGAGAAGCAATACAAACTCGGAACGGCTCTGCATCACGAGGCAGATTGTCAACGCAGAGAAAGAACTCCAAGACGTGTAAGTTGCGCAGATGAAAATGACAGTAATCTTCAAAAGACGTTCTTTTCAGCGTCGCCGCCATTTATCGTCCAGATCCCGTTCTCACCAGCAAATCCGCTCCGGACGCCAGTCTTCATTGAGAATGGAAATCAGCCGATCATCTTCAAGATTCTGTTAGTTTCCAGTTAAGCCTATTCAGAACTGTAAACATCTCCTTTTTCAGGCAGATAAGCAAGAGTACCGACTCAGTAATTCGACCAGCACAACAACAATAATACTTTATAAATACTCTATACTTCATTTCTTTAATTTTTTGTTTCTGGTTTCTCGGCACATCAAATTTTATGGAACTTTTGCGGTTTGTCTTAATGGTAAATTGATTTGGCTTGCAACGCCGTCTGATATATCTTTTTCTCTATTTTCAGTGATGGTTGAGCGCAGGAAATCGGCGGAACAACACTGAGTAATTGTTATTTAATCTGGTCACCTAAAAATATAAAATTTATTCCGTGTTCTTCGGCTGATTTCTTCTACTCATTTCTGATGGAGACGTAAACATTCACTTTTGTCGATTGCGTGCCACTTGGCAGCGGATTAGCAGCGGATACGCGTGCTCATCGGTTACCCGATACGTAACTGTTGCGCAACCAAACGTGTTCTCGCTGTCCGCGCGAGAAGAGTACTCTCCGCTTTCCTCAGTTGGTCGTTGTTGCTCTTGACACTACAAATGACTAGATTGGATATTCTACCAAGAGTAACCAAGCGTAACGGAGGGTTTGGGCAAATCGCAACCTTCATTGTGAATTTCTAATTATAATTAGCAACGCAGTCGCAAGATAATCCTCTCTTTCTCTCTTGCCACCTATCGTTTCACCTTCTATTTCATTTCTCTCGTTTGTTAACCCTTATTATGGAATCTTGAAAAGCGGAGAGAGTCTTTGTTACTCTTTCAACCTATGTGACAGCGAGACCAAGGGACTCTCTTTCTCGCCCCTTCTTGTCGAGGAAACGTTCTCGAAATGTGATTGTGACATAATTCATTGATTGACTGCTTTCTAGCTCATTTTCCGTCCGCTCATTTTCCTTTTAACGCGTAAAAATGTTTGAAAGAAGCCCCAAAATCCTTTTTTATGCAGTCATTTTGCAGAAAATGTCTGAAAACATTGATACAATTCCGCCGACTGCTGACCTCGCCAACACGTCCAACAACTCCACTGCGAGAGGATTAAAGGCAAGCTATAGTTGGCAGTAGGAATGATCAAAAACGTGTGTTTCAGAGAGCTCTCACCGGAGACGTGGATCCGAGTCTCAGTACTGTGCCGAAACAGATAAAGACTGCCCGCACACCGACAGAGAACGAAGGGAATGAGCCGGTGGCGGACACTTCTGAGGTGATGGAAGTGAACGTTGATTCGAAGGACCCGGCCGGCGATCAGAATAAGGCGTTGGTACTGTTTTGTGGAGGTCGAATGGAAATTGTAAGTGATTTTTTCTAGTTATTTTCTCAATATCCGGTTTCCAGGAAATATATAATCCTATCAAAAAGGCTCTACTCGGGATAGGATATCTTCCGTTCATTAGAGACGACGTCAAGATCGACTTGGCAGAGCTTCTGGAGCTGGCGGATCGCGATATGATAGAGTTCCTGAAGCCGCGAGAGTACGCGAACTTCTACCGGCAGGAGGTACATAGGGAAACTTATAATTTTATTAGGAAACATACAATAATTGAGCGGATAGTTTGAAAACAGTTGTACATATCGGACCTCAGCATTTCAGATTCTGCCGGCTTTCGCAAACTGGCAGGCCCTCGAGGATAAGCTATTGGAAAAAAGTGGAGAGGAGTTTGAAGAGCAATTTCTCCCCGAACTAGAAATATTTCCTCATCAGCAATTGAAATACATGTTAAAGTGAGCTCAAAAATAAAATATAGTAAAATCTGAACGAACAATGATTTCAGACTAGAAAAAAAACTCGCCCGGTCCCAAAACGAGACGTACAAAACAATCGCGAAGTATGAGGCCCTGAAAGACCATGCACAGACGATGGAAACATCGTGTTTCGATCTCATAGATTCTCAGAAAAAAATGATTAAAGTGCTGGAGGAGAGATTATCGCTAGAGAAAACTATTCAAGAGGTGCAGAACAAATTTATAAAGACTCACGAAACTGAGAGCACCTTGAATGAGGAAATTATCAAGCTTCGGAAGCGGGAGGTCGAAAATCTGACTAATACTGTAGGTCGTCTGCAACAGCAGAATCGTGAGCACGTCGAGACAATCGGTGCTCTCCGTATCACGAATATTGAACTGCAGACAAGTCTTCGTGCGGAGAGAAGAATCAGTGAAAGAAATGCGCGCCGTTTTGGGGTAATTTTTAATTATTGAGAACATTGCCTGAATACATAACTTTCAGAGAAGACGACACATTGGGAGTGACGACGACACGGATAGGGAGGAGTTGTACGACCTCTTCGGACCTCCCGGACGCCGTTATCTGTGAATTTTGCCGCTTGTCTCTTGTTCTTTTATATTTTCTTGTGATTTTTGCATCTTCCCCATTTTTCAGATCGTCCCCTTAATAATACAGAACATCTCACACACATTTCCCTTTTTTTTCGAGTTTTTTGTGAAAGATAAGTCCTCATTCCTTTTATTTTCTCTCTTCCCTTTTTCCAGGTTTTGAACAGCATATCACATACTTGTCTCGTTTTCCTTCAAATTGTTGAGCCACGTTATTTTATGCATCCAATTCTTGTAAAACATTTCGATCCGAATACACATCTGTGACACCAATAATGTCCTCTCTCCCTCCCCCTCTCTTCTTATCCTGTTTTTTCTTCAAAAAAATACGTCCAACACACACAACCTCTTCTATCATAGCTTCATTTTAACAATTTTCATTTTGTATTCGTTATCCAAATACATTTTCTGCGGAAATTTCGTTGTTTGCCGTGACAGTTCATCGATTTGGTTTTTTACGCCATCTAATATCAGTTGTGTTTACTTTTATTGAGGTTCTACGAGAATATGGAAGCATAAACACTCGCTTTTGTTTATTGCACCTCATTGAGGCAACGGATTAGCATCGGATACACGTGTTCATCGGTTACCCGTTCCGTAACTGACCACTGTTGCGCAACCAAAAGTGTACTCGCTCTCCGCGCGAGAAGAGCTCATCACCCCCGCTTTCTTCAGTGGGGCTGTTGTTACTCACGACACGAAGAGTCTATCACGGGGACTCAAACTTGTATACGCTCCAAGTGTCACCGCAGAAATAATTAATGTGTTATGTTGATATTGGGGACAAACTCATCCGGTCAGGTTTGAAACAATACAATATCAAGCTTTTCTTGAGCAGCCTTCATTATTCGTGTCCGTTGCTCTTTCCTCTCTGGCTACTACGGTTTCCAAGTTCTCTATGGAATGAAGTGGATCTCATTGTGAAATAAGGAAAGAAAACCTACAGGTCTTGCAGAGCATGATCTCATCAAATAAATGGTATTTAGAACGGAAAGGTTGAGAAAGAATCAATGCTGCATCACTGCAGGATCCGCTACTCGTTATTTCTGTGGTTTTAAAGGAATCTGGCTCGTGTTGGCTTCTACTTTTCCGATTTTACATGAAAACGAAAAAAAACTCGTTTTTTAGTTTTCTATTGAAAAAAAACGCAAAGACTGTCAATTTCAATTGATTTTACTCCTTTCTGCGCGGATTTTCCACGTTTCGACTTGCCATAAACTTGCAAGCGCGCTCCATTGAGAATTTCGTTTTGCGTTGGAAAGTGAGAACGTGATCCCTTTCACACGTTTGGTACATTTCTTCTCTCCGCTCTCTACTCCATTGACTTGATTAGCATGGGCTCACGGATCGCTCAGTTTATTAACTTTCTTTTTATTTCCTTTTTCAAACGCACTTTTGGCACAGAGTATCGCTAGAAATCGATAAACTAACATGAGGTACAAAAACGTGAGCTCTATTCGACTTTGGCGGAAATTTTAGCTGAATTACTTGCATAACTTTTTCAGACGAGAAGTTGCACTTTTTTGTATATTTTGTTAGTTGATCACATCACCTAAAAAACCACCTAAAATATGAAATTTATTCCGTGTTCTTCGGCTGATTTCTTCTACTCATTTCTGATGGAGACGTAAACATTTACTTTTGTCGACTGCGTGCCACTTGGCAGCGGATTAGCGGGGGATACGCGTGCTCATCGGTTACTCGATACGTAACTGTTGCGCAACCAAACGTGTTCTCGCGGTCCGCGCGAGAAGAGTACATCACTCTCCGCTTTCCTCAGTTGGTCCGATGTTGCTCTTGACATTACAAGTGACTAGATTACCGGTTTTTGCTAGCTTGGAAAGAGATTTCTCTCAACTCGCAACCTTTATTTTGCATTTCTAACCCTAATCAGTAACGTCTTTGTTTCTCGTGCTGTTCTTGTCCTATGCTGCTTCGTCTTCTCTGCTCCTCTATTCTTTCCCACACTGTTCACAACAATTTATCACCATTTTTCTTGCACTCGTCGTTGAAGACATTGCTCCCTCTCTCTTTTTGTTTGTCTCTTTTCTCCCGAAGTTCCTGCCGTGTTTCCGAATTGTGATTGCGCTGATAAGTTTTGGAAAGGAGCAGCGAAACCTCTTTTTCATGTATCCATTTTGCAGAATATGTCTGCGAACTTTGCTGCAATTCAGCCAACTTCTGAGCTCGCCGAGGCGGATGGAGCTCAAAGTCAGAACAAGACGGCTCATGACTTGATGCACACAGTAGAGTTTATATCCATTCATTTTTGACGTTGACGTTTTTCAGAAAGAGCCTATTCTTCCATCCAACAACATCACTGCGAGAGGATTGAAGGTAAGCTAGTTGGCAGTAGGAATAATCAAAAACGTGTGTTTCAGAGAGCTCTCACCGGAGATGTGGATCCGACTCTTGGTACTGTGCCGAAACAGATGAAGACTGCCCGCACACCGACAGAGAGCGAAGGGAATGAACCGGTGGCGGACACTTCTGAGGTGATGGAAGTGGACGTTGATTCGAAGGACCCGGCCGCCGATCAGAATAAGGCGTTGGTACTGTTTTGTGGAGGTAGAATGGAAATTGTAAGCGATTTGTTCTAGCTATTTTCTCAATTTCCGGTTTCCAGGAGATATATAATCCTATCAAAAAGGCTCTGCTCGGGATAGGGTATCTTCCGTTCATTAGAGACGACGTCAAGATCGACTTGGCAGAGCTTCTGGAGCTGGCGGATCGCGATATGATAGAGTTCCTGAAGCCACGAGAGTACGCGAACTTCTACCGTCAGGAGGTAAACTTATAGTTTGGTTGAGAAATCAGAGATACGCGATAGTTTGAAAAAAAAAAGTTATAACCGAGCATAAAATTTTAGATCTTGCCGGCGTTCGCAAACTGGCAGGTCTTCAAAGAACAACCAGGCTTCTTCTTGGACAGAAACGCAGACTCATTCGAAGTGCCGTGGTGGACAAGACATGGAGGAATGGTTGAAGAACCAGTGTCCCCCAGACCGGATATATTTCCCCATCAGCATTTGAGATGCATATTCAGGTGGGCTCTGAAAAGATGTATTAAAATATCAACGAGTAACGTTTTAAGACTATTGGACGATATCAATCTTCACGAGAAGTTGAGTGCTCCCATGCAGAACCTTAACAAACTGCTTGAGGAAAAATTATCGAAAATGGAGGATATGGCGAAGATTTACGAGACAATGATGGAGGAGCGCGACAATACGATCACCTTGTACAAAAATGCGCATGAAACGCAGGTTCGGGATGCCGAAGCTCTCACAAATGCTTTCGATGCACTGCAACAACGGAATCAGCAGCTCACTGAGACAATCGGCGCTCTTCGCGTCGTAAACATCCAACTGCAAACGAATCTTCGCGCGGAAACGAGAAGAAGAGAACAATATGAGCGTCGACGCCGTTTCAGGGTAATTGTCAATCTTTGAGAACATTTGCTGAATACGCAACTTTCAGAGAAGAGGATTCATTGAGGAAAGTGACGACGACACGGAGAGGGAGGAGTTGGACGACCTCTTCGGACCTCCCGGACGCCGTTATCTGTGAATTTCGCTGCTTGTCTTGCATCGTCCCCTTTTTTCAGACTGACCCCTTAATAATACCTCTTTTTCTCCGATCCTCCCTCCTCTTTCAGATTGTGAACAGTGTATCACAAAATGTACACATTTTCCATTGGATCAAATTGTTCAGACACATGTTTTCTCCAAATATATCCAATTTTCAAGAAACTTATCTGATACTGATGAAGAATTATATTCTGTCTGGGGGGCAGCGTTCCTTAAATGTTGCCACATTACTCAGAACTGCTCTTTCCGTCGCTTTTTCTAGAAACAAACACTGTTTTGTTTCAACGTTGTGATTTTTCGACAGGGCTAGGCAAATGGCCGGCCTAGGCTTGGTCTTCAGGACTGTTTGCAATAATCCGGTGGGATCCAAAGTTTGCAGGCTTCCCTTCACTTTTAATTTAATTACACTCACTAGAATTACTGTACCCAGGGAATGTTCAGATTGCCTGGATTGTTATTAAGGCGCAGCAATCTGGAGATAACGGAAAAGAACTAGACTGTTGAATGTCTTCGGCAGTCATTTCTGCGATTCCTCGCCTCAAGATACTTTTTCCGTGCAACGCAGTGTGGTTTGCAGTGTGGTCTCCTCGTCTACCCCCCTTTCCTCGTGACCTTGGCCTAGTTGTTTCCTCGGCCACCAACGTTTTTCTGCTATTTATTATTGTTTTTCATCGGGTTTTTATTAATTTCTTGTCTAAAATAGAACGTAAAAAATTCCAGAGATGTCGTCAACAGTTCTAGCGCAGATTATCGACGAATTGGGTACGAACTTGGCCTCAGACCGGGAGTTACACCTTTTAAAGTCTGCGCATCGAATAATAGAGAAAAATCTATCGATCAATACGCTCACGGACCGGAATGACGTCGTATGTGTTTAGATTTTGGCGTGCAACGTCGAGAAATGGATGGATTTTTTGCAGTACCATCGACATGTGCATCGATTAATGAGTATCACGTTCGTGAGCCTGGAGAAGTCAAACGCGGACGTTCGGTTAGCCGCAGAATCCTACTACGAGCACATTCTGAAGGTTTTCCATCTCTTCCACTCGGAAAGTCGCGTATTTTCTTCATTTCAGACATACGAGTGCCTTGGATTCCCCGAGACATCTCTGAAACTCGTGGCGATGAGTATAGAGCGGATGAATGGTGCACGGCAAAGTACGAAAATGATGAAGTATCTGGTGTACTATCTGGATGTTTTGCCCAAGCAAAGGTTCAAAAAAACTGGCTCTGGTCACGTTTTCATCTAATTTTTTCAGAACTCTTGAGAAAAGTGGACGAACATTCCATCAAGAAGTGATCAGAACGCTCATTCTTCGAAGTTTGGAAATCAATCAGACTATTTGCCACCAATCGCTTGAGAAATCGTGCGATCGACTTGTGTCCGGAGTTGTGTGGCATGGATCTGACCTGAGGGTGAGAAAAAAAGAAGAAGCAACGAGTTTTACACAAAATTGGCTGCAGGAAATCGCGGACAAAACATATCACAAACTGTGGGTGACAAAAGGGCACGCGTCGAGGACGATGGCGGCTCTCTTAGGAGCTGTGATGCTGGAGAGCAAAGACATTTTCCAGACTGTGAGGTTTCCTTCCTTTTTGTGGTTTTAGCAGAGCTGAGCAAAAGGCCCGCCCAAGGGCATTGCCGAGGCCTGGACACACAAACCTATTTGAAATAATCCGTTCGTACGCAAATTGGATTGAAGTATACTGGATCCAAGTTTCAGATCGTTCGGGTTATCTGGTCCCAAGATCTGTGAAGCAGCGGCCGGAAAGGCCGCATTTTTCCCAAGAATCCGACCCTTTTCAACCTTTAACATATCTTTGGACCAGAAAATTCGATCGTTGTAAAAAAGTGTTTCAGATGTTCAACAATCATCTCGACAAAGTCATCGACTCCTTCGTCAACAATCAAACCATCCCAGTCGGTTCAATCAGTCTCATCAGAAAGTGCCTGGCGGAGTACGTGAATGACATCCCGATCGACAGTTTGAAAGCGGTCAGTGCAAGTCATACCCCAAATATCGGCTTAATTAATTCACATTGTTGCAGTTAGTGGAAATGCTGCTTCTCATGATCAGAGACTCATCCAATGAAATCGCCTACGACGCATTTGCCGCATTGGAAGAGTTGATGCGAGTTGGACCGGCAAAACTAGACGGGTTCACACCTGAAAACTACTTGAAGTCAACCTATGGCGATAATACGCCGGAACCTGAAGAAGTAAGAGCAAAATCGATGTTCACACGATAGAAATGGAATGTTTTTGCAGAAAAACGAGACCGCCGAGTTTGTGGACCCACTTGTCAACGCCGACTTGTACGAACAAATGCAAGAAACAAAACCTCCTCAGAAAGTTGATTTGACTCTGGAGCATTTTGATCGAATCGCTGTTGGCTCGACACGATCGGTTGAAAACTACGTCGCCGCATTCCTTGGAAAAACGTTTTTGCTGACTGGAATCGGAACACTGCTGAAGACAGACCGGCAATCGAAAGATTCAATGAAGATTCTTGCAATACGAGTGCTCAATGTGCTGTGCTTGAGACTTCATCTTGAAAAGTTCGTTGTTCGCATCGGTGAGAGATAAAAGTTGAGAAATACACGTAATGAGAGTTCCAGGCGACAAAACTCAATGTCTCGTCGATATTGTCGAGTTCTCAATCTCGTCCGACGATCAACTCGCTCAGCAAGCTATCAAGTTTGCGTTCATCGTGTTGGAGACAGGATTTATTATTGAAAGTAAGGCGTTGAAAGATTTCAGATGGCATTAGAGCAACAGAACATTTCAATTTAAATCTATTCCAGACTGTCTATTCATATTCAAATCCGTCAAGAAGTATCGTTACCTGCTGGACGCATACACATCGAACCACATAAAGCACCTGCACAACACTGACATCCATGAATTTCTCGAGATCATGGCTTTTCGATCACTTTTGACCACTCATTACGACCTGAGCCTTCCCGAAGTGATCAGTGCAAGTCGATTCATGAATGTGGTCAGAGAATGGGTCGAGACGAACCAAGAACGGGATGGGAAACGGTGGAAAGCAGTGGAGCGCTTCCAAGATTGCTTGAAAAGATGTAAGTATCTTAAAAGTGGTCTTCTGCTAATACATGAATTTTTCAGGCATCATTGACTACTGGGACACTCCGAGGTTCATCAGCACCGTCCCATCTCTGGTCGGCACGTCGTCGGAACCGTCGGAAGATGCCTACCCTCCCTCTATCCCTCTCCAAATCAATAATCTTACTAGAAAACGAGTAGAAAACAAGAAGAAGGCGAACAATCTTGGGTCGGCAATATATGACGACTGGAGGACGCTACTTCTTTCGGAAGCTCTCATGGTACACTCAAGTCATTAATTCACTCCACACAATAGATCATTTCAGCCGACATTCGTGAAGATATCATCAATCCTGGAAAATAACAACAACAACACCGTCTTTTGCCACGAGAAACTGCCGATGCTGAGCAAAATGCACTGGAACTCGGACACTGTGCCGGCTCTGCTTCAAGTCATGACCACGGCGCTGACAGATTCGCCATCCAAAGACGACTGCTATCACGGATTCCACGTCGGCATGTCAGTTCTCAACTGGATCTATCGGAATGTATTCATTGTGAGAGGTGCCGCCGAAACGAAGGAGTTTTCGTTTCTGCAGCACTCGAGAGTCGAGATGGATGACGCATTGGGCAATCGGACCGAGTTCCGGGCAACACTCGACGCATTTTACGTCAGTTTTTTCTTCCGAAACTGAAAATATGCATATGTCTTTTAACGTTTCAGAGAACAATCCAAAGCTCGGCCGATGAAAAGTTGGAGCAACTTCTAACCCCCACTGTTGATTTGGTCATGTCGGTATTGGAAAACAACTTCCGGCTCACCACGGAAAACGTATTGGAGATTATTGTCTACATCAGAGTGAGTGCACAACTTGTTTGAGACTCCGTATCATTTCATTTGCAGGTTCTCTTTACTTTATCCCCGGTGAATGCTCTCAAACTCCTACATATCCTTCTCCGATCACTTCTCGACCCGAAACTTGTAGAAGCTTTGACGAAAGGACGTGTCTTCTATTTTGAATCGCAAAAAAGTGGGAAAAACCTCAATTCGAACGACGATGTCTTGATTTCTGCTCTCAAGTGCACTGGCGATCGATACTTCAATCGATGGGGCGATGACGTTGACATTGAGAAAGTGAAATCAGGAGCAATGACGTTCGAGATATTGACGCAGTTGGAACCGCTCATCACGCAGAGTCTAAAGACGTTCCGATATCGAGGAAAGAGGGAGAAGGAGCAAGTACTGCAGATAATGATCTGTCTGATGAACCACAAGCTCAAGTTGTCGGACGCGGACCCCACACAGTGTCTGATGAAGTTTGCAGTTCAAACGTTCGGGAAGCCGGAGGAATGTGCTCATCCGGAACTTTTCGATACGGTGAGCATCATTTTTGAAACAGTTACTCAATTTTCGTTTTCCTCCAGTTGATGCACTTCCTCGCCACTGCCACACGATTCCAAATTGACGAGGAGTATGAGACACCGATCCATGCAGCAACATCGATGATGAAGTCTGTGAAGAAACTTCCAAAGGAACATGTTCGCTTTGGTATGCGGTGTCCATGGAAAGTTTACAATAACTCACACGTTTTCAGTCATGAAAGCTGTAAGTTTTGCGGTGATGAACGGAAGATTCGAGATTTCCGAGACGGAAGAGCTGCTGGAGACAGATCATGCCACGTGGATGATATGTATGGAACATGCACCGACTGAGACTCTCTACACACTGTCTCTGCTTCTTGAGAAGACTAAGTGAATCAGCAAGAAACGGAAAACTGTAAAAACTTGCCCACTTCCAGGGAAACTGTCAACAATCAGCAGCTTTTCTGGTCGATCTATTCAGCATGGATATCTACCGATCATCCAAATGCGGCACAAGTTCCGTTCTCCGCAATGGCTTTGCCTTTGTCCTTGATAACCGAATACCTCACTAGTGATGCCGTTCAAGTGATCAAAATCATCGACGGCTGGGTGAAAGAGCCCACGGCAGGCAACATTCATGCGAAATGTGCTCTCATTGCTGTTCTCAACTTCAGAAATACCGGAGAAACTGATCAGGAACAGTGGAAACGGTACGAACGATTTTTCAAACTTCTCAATACCGATTACTGCAATTTTCAGATACTTTGAGTACATCAAAACGCATGGAATGCACACAAAGACCGCTGAAATAATTTGGAAACACGTTAACCAGTCACTGCTGCCAATTGGGGAAGAAGAAGACGCTTTCGACGAGGAACTCGCCGATTCCGATGGCTCTGATGCTCTAGCAGGCTTGCTGTCGAAGCATTATTGCGGATCGTATCAGGATTTGTGCCACATCATCGTATGTCTTGGAGATGAGGCCGTGTTTGAGTTCATCGACATTTGTGAGGCAGAACAGCCGAACGATGACACGCTATGGGCGTTGTTAGTTGCGGAGTTCAGACGATTGGATGGTAAGTGATAGATAGAAAGAAACCATTAAGAGATAAAAGAAATTTGCAAATTCCAGATGACTTGGAACACCGACTCGACATCTCGTTCCGCCTACAAGAGTTGGCGGAAACACTTGCAGACAGGTTCAATGCCAATGTGTATCTCAAGTTGCTGGCTCACATTGAAGTGAGTCCGAAAAAGCGATGACCAAATAAATATATGTTTAAGAATTCAAACATCAACCTGGCCTGCCTCGACATTACCCAAGTTCAGCTCCTACTCGATCAAGTCACCCCGGAATGCTCAGAGGTCGGGCGGCAGGTCCACAACTTATCATGACTCTTAATTTTTGCAGAATGGTTACGTGCTACGCGGAGTGCGTACTCTTCTCGGCCACCCACGAATGCTTCAGCTCATTTCCGATGATGAGCTCGAAACAGCAAAGCTTTTTGTGAAACTCGCTGAAAAAGTGACGGGCATCGAAGTGACCGACGCATTGCTCGCCACCTACCATCAGTACCGAGTGGACTTTCATGTCAAGGGAGAGATGAACGAGAAACGGGTCAAGGAGATCAAGAAGTTCACGTTTGCCATGTTTGTGCTCTGTCAAGAAGCCAATCTGAGAAGTCGAAAAGGATTAACTAAAACTCAGTCAGGTACGGAGCACGAGACACCAATCATGTACAAAATTTCGCAAATTTTCAGCATGCTTCCGTCATCCGATTCTCAACTCGCTCTTCAACATTCCACTTGTCGCTATGAAATGTTTCAACTGGATACCAGTTGTGGAGATTCTGAGAAAACCCACAATAACCTGTCTCCCGCCCACCGGACACATTTGCGAGGGCATAGTCCTGGATGACTTGAGATCCCGCTTGGCGAAAGTGGGATTAGTGACCAATGCGCAGTTCGAAGTTCTCTTCACAACGATGCAAGCAGTGATCGCTCACACCGTGATCGGACCGGAGAAGTTGGACCACGATTCGAAGGACGTGTTGGAGAGGGAATCGAAAAGCTGCAAAGCTCTTCAGCTGTACATTGCCACGATTCTCACGTCGATGAAGTACCCGAATGGCGGCGATCCGTCGTCGGGATTCGTGCTCAAGTCGCCGTACATTTCGGAGCTCTTCCTTCAAAGCTCCGAGTTTGCTCATTTGTGCAATCTGAAAAGTGTTTGGAAGTGCGAGCCAAGGACCGCGTTCACCACACCTCTCGAGAGACATAACCCAAAGACGTGGACGAAAGTGGGTGTTTGCAGAATGAGCAGACAAATTCATTTCACTCAATTCTTTTTTACAGTTTGACGGACAGACAACACTGTATGGAATCTGTCAGACTCCGCTGTTCTCGTTGTGGCAACTGTGCGGCATGATGCCAATCGAATTCAAGCAACATGCCAATTATCATGTTAGTTGTTCAAAACAGCACAATAAAATGAAACTTTTAAAGAGAATCGACCACAGCGCAAGCAACTACTTCCTGACATCGGCCACCAACATCGATACTATCTCAAATGTGAAACAGCTGATGAACATCTTCGAGTATTGGTACAGCCAAGGAATCGGAGAGCTCAGCGAGTCGTTGCTCCACGCCATTCTTCACACAATTCTTCATCTTTCCGACTTTTTCGATGATCCGGATCTACATAGAGCAGTTCTCCGGACCACTTGCATCATCTACCGGCATGGTGAGCGGATTTACAGCAACTGACGCTCAGAAAATCGTTTCATTTTGCAGAATACGACCAGAATCCGTTCCTCTCCTCGTTCGTCTTAGTGATGTTCCTCAAATCGATATCGGTACTGGGAGCAGACGCGCACGGTCCAGAGTTCAAACAAGGAGAGCCAGAGCACATCTCCTTAAAACTAGTTTCCACTGGTTTAGCGAGTTCCACAAAGATCATGAGACTTCACACCCTCGCCGGACTCCTTTACCTGGTGCAATCCGATTCGTACGAATCCTTCGCCCCCGCAATTGATGTACTATCCAGGTTTCTTGAAAAGTATCTGAGGAGACTGGCAAACGGATCTGTGTGAGTGTTTTGTGTGAGTTACATAATTAATATTGATGTTTTACAGACGGATCCAGTCGGACGAGTCACAGTTCGTCATTGCTCTGCTCATCAAACTACTCGAAGTGCCGATCCGACTGAAACAAGACAAAAAGACGCTGCTCAAATTGCTGTTGGCGTCGATGAGAGTGAGAAGAGAACGATTCATTGTGGAACTGATCGCCGAAGGAATCGAGCAACTCTTGTGCAGATCCAATGAGTTCAATGGCGATGTGACCAACTTTATGCTAGGTCAGTCATTTTAAAGCTGTAATCGAAACACCTAAGCCTTCTTCCAGCTGGAATCGAATCTGGAGACCCATCCCCGTTCCCAACGGACAATGAATACTATTGTCGTGCTGCGTACCGTATTCTGATGGTGGCGGCCACAAGAGCCAAGGTCGCAAACGACGTCAGCTCCATGACACGGATCTACAAGGCTCTTCAAAAGCTGTAAGCACGGATCACTGATGTGATTAATTCGAAATTTTCAGTGGATTCGACATGCTCAGTCGGGGCGAGACAGCACCTGCCATCACAAGGACCTTGCCGTTCTTTTCAATTTGCGTCAATGGAGTGGACCAAACGATTGTGCGATACGTCGAGACCTTCATGCTTAATGGAAACGACAAGGACACCAGATTCATTGTGACTTTGATTAACCAGGTGAGCGATCCCATGAAATTTGCACATTTCTAGTTTATTTTAGGTGGTCGAAACTGCGACAACATCAAAGAAGTGGTCAATCGAGTTGAAGACGTTCCGTGAGAGACTGGAGGCGAAGAAAGAGCTGTTGGATGAGCATGAAAAGTGGTTGCTCGAAATATTCAACAAAAAAATGACTGATTAGTTAGGAAATCCATCTACATACTTGATAATTTATTGAATGATTGTGATATGTGTTCATCGATCTCATAGAATACTTTTGTGATAATTATAAGACTACATATTCCGAGCTTGAAACATATGGCAGTTTTCTCAAGAAAAATACGTCATAAGAGGAGAAAGCGCAAAAGAGGGAAAGGGAAAGAGAAAGGGTAAGATTCAAAAGAAATGAGAACCGAATTAGAGTTGGAAATGACGGGACAAATGAGTGATACAATCGAAATCAACAATTATACTTCTTGTTCTGAGTACAACGACGCTTGGCACCAGTAACATTCAGACGATCCGTTGTCAGTGTCGAAATCAGTCGACGCTCTTCAGCACTCATCAACCTTCCGTCGTCGGTTTTGATGTCTTCGTAACTAGCCGGCGCGCTGAAATTCATACGTTCTCATTAAGATTTTCATTGAGACTTGAAATACCTCTCAAGAATTAGAGGACCAGAGGCAGTGGCCTTCTTGATCGCTTCCTCCAACTGTTCCTTTGTGTAATCGGAAGACAGATTGAGTGCGCTGGCCAAGCAGTCACTTTCCTCCGTGTTACGCTTCTTGAAGAAAATGTCTTCATTGGTGATGGAGGCACGCCAGCACAGCTTCTCCAGTTCTTGCATCTCCCTGAATACGAATCAATTGGATCTGGTGTAGTTTATGGAGGACTTACGCAGCTTCCTCCTTCTTCTTTCGCTCTTCTCTGATTTTTATTAGCGCCCTCTCCTGGTAGGTGAACACGAAGAAGATCTTGTAGTTCTCAGCGTCTTTCTGAAATAAAAGGTGATAAACTTGGAAACAAGTGTAAGGAACCAGTCTAACTCTTGCCCTCTACTCACATGAAGCTCACCGAACCTTCACGGGGCTCAGACTTTGCTCTTATGCCCTCTTCCTGACTTTATTCGTCCACGATAAAAAACGTGATTTCGAACCCCTACATATTCGCTCATGCCCCACTTTAGAGGCGGCGCCCCAATCTTCAAAACTCAATTCCCCGAAAATTGTGTTATTAATCCCGAGGCCTTGGTCTAAATCTCAGCTATACTACGCGCAATTTACTAAAGAAACATTGAACTGACCTTCATGATCCACTGAATGATTTTTTCTGGCAGATTGGCTTTGTTTGATGGCGGGGTGTGCAGGAAGATCTTCATGTGGTACAGTGCGAGGAAGGAGAACAACGGGGATGATGTTCTCACTATCAATCCTTTTCCTGCGTTCGCAAACTTTCTAGAAACAGAAAATTACATTCACATTGCAAACTCTAAAAAAAGACGTACCTCCTGGCGAAACTGTTCTCGCCCTGAATTCTCATTGCCTCTTGTAAGATTCTGTTAATTTCCGGCGAGACCAAGTTAGTCTCATGGTAAACGCTTCTCTCCGACGTTGTCATGTGGTTTTCTGCTAGGTGTTCAATGAGTGCTCGTGTGTGTGCTGCTTCCTTGTCGCACTGTGGACATTTGAGTCGGCAGAACTGAAAAATCTATCAATGACTTGTGATTTATCGAGCCTACAATGTAACCAAGGCTGAGCAAAAGGCCCGGACTTTGCAAAATCCTTGGACTTGTATTAAATCATTTTGGGAGCAATTTTCGGTTCTAAATCATTAAATATCAACATGATCCAGTTGAACTGATACTTAGACCCAAAATACTTAAATCCAAGTACAAGAAGCCTGCAAAGTTTGGGTCCACAGGGATTATTGCAAGTGACCCAAAAGTCTAGGCCTCCAAACCTTTTGCGCAGTGTGCTCTCTGCACGTACCTCTATTGCCAATCCTCTCGTCAGACCCTCATTGGTCATGTCGTCAATCACAAAGTCCTCGATGTTTTCTGCAAGCGTCATGGCGAACGCTGACATCGAATGATCCTTCACTTCTGCCATAACGGCATTGTGACGCCGGAGATTGGAAGCAAATCCAAACTGCTTCTCCATTCTTCTTGTTGCAATTGGTTGATCCATTCGCTGCAAAGCAATAAAAATTAATTTTCTGCCAATGACAATGAATGAGAAGTGATAAATATATATTGAAACCGTGAAGGGACATCGGGGGGCAGCAGCGAGGAAGAGAAGGAAAGTGGGCAGAGGAGAGCGCGTTGTAATATTTGCGCGCTGGCAAAAAGGGGCAGAGAATGACGGTGGTGTTCATGAAGAGGAAGGAGAGGTGGAGATGTGAGAAAGACCTATGAGAAATAGATACAACTCCATGGAGGTACCCCCGAATGAGTCAGCATACTTCTATAGGTATGAATTGAGAGTCAGTGTGAAGTAATTCAGACCCACCGCAAATTTCGCCACGGAGAGCAGAAAAGCCGGCTGACTAAGGAGATTGACCGACACACTCGTCCCTCTCAGCAACGCGTGTTGGCAATGGGGCGCATTTGCTAACCTCCCAGTTTTGAGTATAAGAAGGGAGGAAATTATTTCAATATTTGATGGAAATATGGAATGTGGTGTGGAGTATAAGGATGTTGTGACAAGTTACATTGAGGCCCACGATTAATCATTTCTCAGCGTTGACCCATGTTTAAATATGAATACAGAGCTAAAAAAGAACATTTGAAAATTAAGAGCAAGTTCTCACTGAAAATGCATTATTAGTGAACTTGCATCGTATCGTACGCAAAAACACAGATTCGTGGTACTCTTGGGCAAGAGCTACGGTGGGCAGCAGGCAGGTTCCCCCTTTCTTTCACCCTCTTTCGGGTCTCTCTCCCTCTCTTCCTCCCTCTCTCGGTCTAGAACAACAAGAGAGTTAAGGAAGGGAAAGGAGTCCTTGTCCTCCTAATTCTTGATGAACAGAACGCATCAGACAGTCAATGAATATCTGTCACACGGAAAAATGGTGCTAAGAAGGGTCTCGAGAGACAAACTGATTTGGGAGGAGACCAAAAACAACTATTTACAGAAGAGCTTCAGAAGTCGATGCAAAACACATAGACATTGAAAAACGTGGAGTTGACCCTACTGGAAAGACAAGATTCTTCACTTTTTGCCACTTTATTTTAAATGCAGCTCGGCTAATTTTGTTCTTTGAAGGAATGAGCACTTGTCAATCGCATATTAACTTCAGTATACGCATTTCTCGAATGACTCTTCCGATTCCCCAAACAATCCAATTAACGTGTCTGCTACATAGCGGAGCTGGTGTCAGTTATTCAGCACGCAACCTTTGTCTTGTTTCTCTTCATATTTTCAATGTTTCCAGTCGTCCTGAGCCAAAAAATATTTTACTTCAATATTGCCAATTCCGTTGCGTGACCACGAGTCCAATTAAAAACAAATATGCATTACTTCTGTTTCTGACCTTTGAACGGGAGTATCACTTTTATTTGTAACTTTTTCATAAACATTTTTTTAGACCTTCATAACCAATGCAATTAGAATTCTCGTCTAATTCCAGCTGCTCCGAAGATAAACGACCAATCGACAAAAGTCGGATTTCCGTTCAAGTGGGATATTTTTTTAAAAATTGAGTTCATTTTGACTGATTCAGAGGATAAAAAGATCGAGATCCCTGAGAAGAGGACCGTACGAAAGTTACGCGTTTCCACACATTCCTCCACACACACTTTCAAATTCACCCTCGTCGAGCACGGTGCTCATTTTTTCGCCTCTCGTCCCGAGTATGGTAGAAGAATACCTTGGAACTTGCACCCTCCATCAAATTGCTTAACTCAATCTATGATCGCACCAGTTCCTCGAGATTTTAGACCCCCTTGGGTTCTTGATCAGCCAGAAGATCCAGAAATATTGTAAAGCCTTATCAATCGATATCTTTCTGATTTTAATTTGCGGAATATCAATATCTGAATATATGTATTCAATTTTGAATACCAGAATCAGAAATGCGACCGTGACGTCTACATATAATCCCAGTCTAATCTTGAATCTTTGCTTCATTTACATAATACATTCTTGAGCATCATGTGATGTTTTTGGTGGTGTCATTTTCTAGTCCTCTCGTCGGCTAAGGCCAATTGGAAAAATCAATTCCTTTTTTATTTCAAAATTTTCTGACGAGCATTCAGCCACTTGTCATGTACCCTTCAGCGCTCCTCCATTTCATCTCAATTGATCGATTCCCCGTCTAAGTGTGCGCAAAAAATTTGAATTTCGCGCCAAAATTGCTCCTCTGAATTGGCTGCGTAGCGACTCAACTGGTATTGGTTGGCACTGTGCCAGAGTCCACGCTCACCAACACTCACAACACTCACCACGTTGTGAGTGTTCCCCTTCAATACGAAGTGTCTGGTGTCTCGCCTCGGCCAGAAAAGTCCCGACACGCGGTCTCCGCTCTTCCCCATGCTATTTCGCTTCTCCAGTGTGGTCTCCGTCTCGTCACTCTCAACCGTGAATGTACATTTGCATGGGGCCTAAAACTTACATCACTTGAAATCGCCTTTTCGTCATTTCAAAAACCATAACTTTTCTACTTTTTTTTACTTTTTAAATGTGTGAATTACAGGTAAAATGAACTCGGACGATGATGGTCCCCACCTTTTGAAGTCTTCGGATCTTTTCGGAGACGACGACGGCCCGACAAGCGTTTTCGAACAGGTTCGGTAACTTTTACAGGCTTCAAACAAATGCTTCTACTTCAGGCGCTCGAGGATATGAAGTTGTACCCGGACAACCAGAACTTTGTGCACGTGCGACTGTTCGGCGAGCCGGCAAGCGAAAGCAACCCGTGCCGCACCTGCCACAAAGTCCAATTCTTCCTGAACTCGAAGCCAGGAGACAAGAACAGCGAGTACTTTGGACTTAAGAAGGCGCAGTTCGAGGCTCTCCACGACACTTGCCCGACTCACTACAGGAGCGGACTGCTGGAAACGAAAGCCAAACGAGAGGCGGCTAATGCCGAGGCGGAGCGCAAGAGAAACATGCGCAAGAAGAAGAAGAGGGCCAAGAATGACGCTCCTAGGGCCAGTTTCACCACCGAACCAGTACGTTTTGAACGTTTTTGTGCAGTTTCGAGTGTAGTCTGCCGATCTACTGAAAAAAAATCAGTGTTTAATTGCAGATCATCAACTTCGGGCAGAACTCGATGTTCTCCGACGACACGGATCCGGTGCCGGCGAAGAAGAAGAAGGGATGGCCGTGCCCGAAGTGCAACAAGTCGGCTCGCTACGGAAGCGTCGGCTGCCACTGGTGCGGAGAGTGGTTCCATACTCATTGCGCCGGCTACCGCAGCCAGAAGATGGTCCCGAAACAGTGGCTCTGCGACACGTGCTCTTAGCTGCCCCAAGACTTCAATGTTGACCCCCCTCCCCTCGTATTTATCTGTTCGTCATTGTCAGCACAATATTTTTTCTGTAAATTTCGGTTTTGGTAGCATTCCATGACTTCTTTCCTTTCATTTCCTTTTCTCTTCTCTTCTTTCGAATCTGCAATGTTGTGATGTATACTCTAACAAATATCATGTGCTCGATAAATAAACGGACTTTTTGTGAGCACAAGAAAACTGGAAATAATTTATCATATCAGTTCAGACGTGTAATCATTAACCCAAATCGACGTCATTGGAGAATAACCGCTCCAGATATCGACGTGCACACTCCATCGACGAAGTGTTGACCCAGAATAGTCGCAAGTTACCCATGTTTGTAGCGCTCAGGAGAGCATATTTTCGGTCTCTGAAATTGGTAAGATTTTCAATAACTTTCTTTCAGCAAAATGTACCTTATAAACTGGTACACGTGCTGTCGGAAGATTTCCTTCCTCGGATCAACCATATCTTTAGGAAAATGATACTGAAAGCAGAATGTTTATATCAGACATGCAACACGCCGGACCGGGCTCTTGCAAGTCCGGTTTTAATTAATATTGTCGAGGTCAAAAATGTTTACCTCAATGTTGATCTGACAGACTGTAATTCCAGCCAGCTCAAGTGATCCATCCTTGGCCAAATGCGACATCACATCGTATTCGCCGCCGTCGCCCTCGAACACCAAAAAGTCGACGACATCTTTTCTGATGAGGTTCTTGAAGAATGTTTCAATGCCGATGTAATTCACAACCTTCGAAGAAATACGATCTGGAGAACGTTTTTGATGTTAAAACCCTCGCGCAGTGTATGAACAGACCTGTGGAATATTTGAGTGTCGCCTGCTTGAGTCCTGTTTCGTTGCCGACGGCGAACGGGAAGAATGTGCCGATTGGTTCGTAAATTTGAGAATTGTCCAAAAAAACAGGATCGGCGCCGAAGAATTCAGAGTCCTAAATGTTGAGAAGACTGTATTTTCGAGATTTTCAGCAAAACAACTCACCGGCGACAAATGTTTTTTGAAGTATCGCTCGATCGATACATTCGCCCCGATGCCTACACGCACAAACGTGGCGGGGATGTCCTGAAATCAGATTTTTTGCCGGTTTCAACGCAAAGAAAAGCTGAAACAGACTAAAACTCACCACTGGAGACGGGGCAAAAAATTTGAGTGCCGTTCCAGGAACAGTTTCAGGTTCCATGTGCCACATGTCGGTCTTTGAGCGACATTTTTCGGCATAACTGCCCAATTCGTGCCAGAGCTGAAAAATAGAGTTCGATAACTTGAAGAACTGAATGTGGGTGACTGGTTTTCAGTAAAACTCATTAGATTTGTCGAGTTTGTTCTGGAAAATGAGGGAAACTTACACTTTGAAACTTTTCTTCCTTATCTTTGTCGGTCTCTGTCATTTTTTTCTCAGCTTGACTGACCATCCACTGTAGGTACCTGAACTGTGGATCCTGTGGATCCATATCGTCCAACGACAACTGCTGGTCATCCAACTCTTCCGTCATACACGTCCGCCACTTCAGAAATGCCAACCTCAACATCCTCAGCTCCTTTGTCATCAGCAGCTCGGATCCGACTGTTCCGTACTGAAAAAGTCCCTATTTTTCACGCAGCCTTGCGTTATCCGTGACGCGCTTCGCGCGCGCCAGCGTTCCAAATCTTATGAGATTCGCGTGGCGATACGCCCGAATGTTTCATTTTGCAAAAAAAGTAGCCAAAAGCTAGATCGCAACCTTCTTTCTCTGATGACGTATTCAAAGATCGGCTGGTGGCGGTAAACACAAAGTTGTCGGCAACTGATGTTTGAGAAATTGAAAAAAAGCTTACTCACCTCTGCAACGTCGCCGGACTCAAAATAAGAAGCATTTGTGGATAAACTGAGAAGGAATAGGAATATCACAAGTATCCCGAGAAATATTGATGCTTGATACCGACGCCGGAAAAACCTTCGGATTATCGTAGAACATGTTCCTTCGAATGCTCCGGAAACGTTCATCGGTAACGAAGTTTAGGTGTGGAATGGTGGAAGGCGTTGAAAACAGACTGTCCAAAAAGCAGTGGCAACGCACGTCCACCTAGCCGCTCGTCTTCTTCAGGTGAAACGAGGTTCGTGGCGCACTCCAGCAACCGATATACATCTCCGCCGCTACATCCGAAACGCAAGCCGCTCCTCTCCGAATCCATCACTTTTTCATGCGAACTTCCTCGGAAGAAAAAAGATCAAAAGAAGAAGATCGACAAAAAGAAAGGGGGAAAAAGCGGCTCCGCATCTGGAAACAGGAAGTATTCAAACTCTGTTTGACCGGGCAGTACACTATAAGATAGGAACGGCTTTGCTATACATGAAAAACACAAATCTTCTCTCTTTCTCTCTCTGAGTGCAGATTGGACTTCCGAATAACACCGAAATTTGAGATTCGAGACCACAGAACAAGTCAGAAAGAGAGATCTTTGGAAGTGGAGAGAATAGTAATGTATTACTTCAAGGACGCTTCGTGTCTATGTCTATGTCTCCGAGAACTGTTTGAATATCGGTCTCTCACCATTATGGTGTTTATGTCCGTCCGTGGCCTCCGCCAATACCATTACGAAATTTTGCATCGCATCGGGCCTTGCCTTGACTGTCCTCGAGTTATGCAGTTCAACTTTCAACTTTGAGACTTTCGTCTCAACAACTTTGAGACTTTCGTCTCAACACTAAGCAAAAAAGAACAAAACGAGCACATAACTGTGCACCACAAAACATTGACCGTTATCAATATCAAACTAACTGTGCCTTCTCCTCTTTTTCGAGCAAACACATGCTCCATTCTCGATGCATTCAGTTCAACTTTCACCCCTCTACGTAGATAGCAAAACAAGAAGCGTGGTAGGTAAACAGTAAAGCGTATGGCATCGCCAGCACCCTGTTTACCCTCGCTCTCCCCTTTATGCCTCACTCCTCTCTCACCTTGTCCGGCGGTCTGTGTCAAACAGCCCTTCCCTGATGACTCATTTCGTTTTTTCCCCTTTTTCAATCATCCCACTCTCTTATCAAGCACACACATTCACGCTCGTGTGCATTTCAACATTCGCACATTCTCTTTTTTTAGCTTTTGCTCATTGTCACGTGATTTCAGGTGAAAATGCAAGAAATGGTACCTCTGCCCGGAAAAAAGTACAAATTTTCCATCAATCACTTTGTACTCCTCATGATTTTGGTAATAGCCGTGCAAGGAACGTATCTGGGATATGTCGTCGGCATGCTGACCACATTGGAGAAGCGCTTCGGATTTTCTTCCGAAAAATCTGGATGGCTTCTCTCTCTGTACGACATCGGACACACCGCCGCCATTCTGCTTATCGGCTATATCGGATCGCATTACCATCTGCCCAGAATAACTGGCATCGGTAAGCTGTGAAGGGATGGGAGGAAGAATCGGAAGATTAATTAAACCGGCCGAGCGTTCTCTGTTTCAGGTGTGATTCTGAGTTCCTTGTCGATGTTCATGCTGGCGCTTCCGGTGGTGTTTTTTGGGACCGCGGACTACACAGAAGAGGAGCTGCTCTTGAAAAAAGAAGCCTACTCGATCGAAATGAGCTGTGATATCAATGAGAGACGTGAGATATCTGCACAGGGAGAGGATTGTTGGAGAGAGCACAAAGAGCATACGGTGAGAGCCGGACCGCCGGTCTTTTAAACAAAAATTTCAAATTTTCCACAATTTTGTTTGCCCATCTCATCTCACTTGGAAACATTTCAGAATGCATTCATCATCTTGGCATTTGGACAATTGTTTGCCGGAATCTTCGCCGCTCCATTCAACACAATCGCCTATGTCTACATTGACTGCAATGTGAAGCAGAAAAGAGAATCACCATTTCTCCTAGGTAACTTTTTTCGAAAAAAATGTGACTCCCTTCGGTATTCAGGCCTTCTTACTTCTATGTACGCTTTTGGACCAGCACTCGGTTTCCTACTCTCATCGATACTAAATGGAGTCTATACAACACTTGGAGACGGTAAGATTTAAAGAAAGTTATGGAAACTGTTTTTGAAAGTTGAGTTTTTTAGCCCCTGACCACATTGGAACCCATGACGAGCACTGGATCGGAGCCTGGTGGCTTGGTTTTCTGTTTTGCGGAGGAGCGTATATTCTTCTCGCACTTCCTTTCTTCTTCTTCCCAAAAACGTACAAGTGAGTCACTATTTCTTGCTCATTTGCTCACTAGTCAACTTCAGACATCCCGACTCATTCCACCTGATGCTGGAGAACTCCCGACCGCAAACCAATCCGGAAGATCAGCTCACTTTGAAAGAAAAACTCGAAGATTTCCTCCTCGAATTCCCGATTATTCTCAAAAAACTTATCACCAACAAGGTTTACATCACGATGGTCATTGCCTGGATGTTCGGATCCTACCTGATTGGCGGCTACCAAACCTACCTCCCAAAGTTTATCGAAACCCAATATGGTCGATCGGCGAGCATGGCGGACATCTATTCCGGCATCATTTCTGTCGGAGCCATTGCTGTATCTACTGCCCTTGGCGGATATATTCTATCTCGATACAATATTGCCCCACGGTCCTCAATCATCTGCCTGATAGGGTCTTGGGTAATCATTCTCATCAGCTACATTGTTGGAATGAATCTCGGGTGTGAACAGCCGAGAGTTGAGGGTCTTTCCTACGTGGATTATGCCGACAGGTAGGGGTTTTTTGTTAGAAATTCCAAAAAAACGGATCGATGATTACAGATGGCACTTCTACCACAACCGAGAACGTGAGCAATCCTGCTTAGAGTACTGCAACTGTGAAACTATCCTCAAGTTCGATGGAGTCAGTTACAATGGCCAGAACTTTTACTCGCCATGTCACGCCGGTTGCACTTCATACGATCCGTTCTCTAATACAGTGAGTTTTTGAAGGTCTTGAACGTACTAAGCCATGCATTTTCAGTGGTCAAACTGCCAGTGCGCTTACGGAAACACCGTCGACAAGGGTCTCATTCACAATAATTGTGACATTTTCTTCGGATATTTGGGCGTTATGCTGGTCGGATTGTTCCTGGGAAATCTCTTTTTCATGGTGACAATGATGATTGTTCTCCGGTGAGTTCGGATCATAATCAGTATAGATGTCATGAAAAACTATTGCAGAAGTGTGTACGACGAGGAGAAAGTGATCGCGTTGAGTTTGGCATCGTTTATCACTAATCTTTTCGGTAGGATTCTTCTTTCTCGCTGCTTTTTCAACGATCCAATTTCAGGTTTCATTCCGGCACCAGTTATATACGGATACTTTATCGATTTGTGCTGCATCTTGTGGAATCGACAGTGTCCGAACGGTAAAATCTGTCGGAAAATGATCGGATCTCTGAATCGGGTTGATTACAGAGCAAGGAAACTGTGTCCTCTACGACAACAACAAGTTCACCAAGGTGTTTCACGGCGTCAACGGTTTCTTCCAAATCTTTGCCATCATTTTCGCCGCAATTTGCTACTGGCTCTCTAAATCCGTGAAACTTCCTGAAGAAATGCCCCTGGCCGAGTTCCCCGAAAGTCGAGCACGAGAATACCGAGACGAGGATGAGGAGTAGAAGCATTTTCAGTGATTTTCCAACAAAACCGATTATTCGTTCGATTACGTGTACTTTTTTGTAAATGCGTTTGTCTGAAACGTTGGAGCAGTAATAATATATTAATTTTTCCACTTTTCTATAGTATTCTCAGTAAATATTATGGCAGATGAACAATTTTAGAGAGAATAGTCGAGAGCAAACAAAGCTCATCTGGTTTGATAGCATTGTTTAATCACGGAAGAGGAGTGTGGCCTCTTCTCGTACAGACTATAACTCATTTCGAAACACATTTCAGTTCTAGTGCGTTTCATAAGTATAGGGCCACCCCTAAAATTGAATATATCTTCTTTCCCAAACAAAATACCACTCCAAGACCTTCAAAATCGAAATCAGCATCACAAATAACCCCCGGAAAACAATTTTGAGAGCAGTGTATAGGATAGGTGGGGAATGGTGCTGAAATATCTGAAAATGTTGCAGCTGCAAGCGCCAAACTCCAGGCTGGCATTGCCCACTTTTGGGACTTCATAAAGAAGGTTTGAAACATTGCATGTTTGAGTTTGGGGCAATCGATTCAGTTTCACCTATTCTTATGAAACGCTTGCAATTGCATCATTTTCAGATATTTCGGCACCATTCCCCACCTATCCTATACACTGCTTTCAAAATTGTTTCCCGGGGGTTATTTGTGATGCTGATTTCGATTTTTAAGGTCCTGTCTTTGTATTTTGTTCCGGAATGACAATATATTCAATTTTAGGGATGGCCCTATACTTATGAAACGCTTGCAGTTGCATCATTTTCAGATATTTCGGCACCATTCCCCACCTATCCTATACACTGCTTTCAAAATTGTTTCCCGGGGGTTATTTGTGATGCTGATTTCGATTTTTAAGGTCCTGTCTTTGTATTTTGTTCGGGAATGACAATATATTCAATTTTAGGGGTGACCCTATACTTATGAAACGCTTGCAGTTGCATCATTTTCAGATATTTCGGCACCATTCCCCACCTATCCTATACACTGCTTTCAAAATTGTTTCCCGGGGGTTATTTGTGATGCTGATTTCGATTTTTAAGGTCCTGTCTTTGTATTTTGTTCCGGAATGACAATATATTCAATTTTAGGGATGGCCCTATATTTATGAAACGCACTGTATACGGACTGTTGTGTCTGACATTTTTGCTCATTCATTCTTTTATCGATTACTATGATTTCACAAGTTCTGTATTTAATTCTGACTCAAATTATTACCTTTTTGAGCCACTAATTTTGGTGTTTCAGATGTGCTCAAACGAAAATCGTTCGGGTTCACGTACAACCCGGTCTCATGTGTTTCTCTTTGTAGTCTTGATGCTTATTGTGCTAGCTGTTCACGGCTTATGCCGTGGAAATCTCCTCACCATGAAACCCATGTTGGACAAAAAGTTCGGGATTCCGTTGGCACTGCTTCTGAACATTCAGAACGTCGCTCAAATGATTGGGATTGTGCTCATCGCAGTCGTCAGAGTAAAACTACGTTTTCCTCCGTTGAAAGTAATTTCTATCGGTGAGTCAAGCTCAAAATGAGTTTTCCAATGAAATCTTTGTTTCAGCGTTGATTTTGAGTAGCATTGCAATGCTTTTCTTGGCGGCTCCAGAATGGGTCAATTTCGAGACACCGCAATGTGAGTCTTTGCAAGGCCGAAATGCGTCTTCTGCTAACTCTACTTTGTCTCAGTGGGCTGAAAAAAGTTGTGTACTTGAAAAGAAGGTGAGAAATTTTAGGATACGTTCATTTTTTAACTTTCTCTTCTTAAGAGAGCTTTCCACGATCAATTGATCTGCAATATTCACGACAGACGCAACAGCTCGTCGCCAAAACTTTCTTCCTGGGAAGAAAGGCAGACAAATATAGTATGTTTTTATTTACAGCGATTTCCCTCATGATAACAAATGATTCAGTATGCGCTGGTTCTCTTTGGCATTGGACAGTGTCTGGCCGGATTCTCTTCTGCTCCTTTTATTACTATCGCCTTCTACCACGTCTATGAAGAGTGCAGCAAACGAAAGGAGGAAGAAAATCAACCTTCTCTTCTTCTGGGTAATACTTTACGCTTAATTCAACTTCACAAGATTTTTTAGGGATTTTGACAGCGATTTATCTGACAGGACCGTACATTTCTCAACCTTTTATTGAAAGTAAGTTGATACTTTAGAATCGTTCAAACTCGTTAATCTTTGGCAGGTATCCCATGGCTTCAAAAGTCTTGGATTGGTTTCTGTGTGTGCGGGGGCGTATACGCCTTGACGGCCATCTTCATGTTCTTTCTATCGACGAAAAAGTAAGTTGCATCGTCTGAATACTGCACAAACTGAATTTTTGAACATTTTAGTGAGTCATTGACGGAAAAAACTGCTCAAACGGAAACCTTGATGTTATCGTCACAATCAGAACATTTGGAGAATACGCCTGTAACTGAAAAAGGACTTCTGAGTTGCTGTCTACGGGAACTGTGGACGAACTTAGAACTCTGCTCCAAAAGAAAGTTTTTGACCATGTCATCTGCTTGGACGCTGAACACCTATATCTTCACGGAATATCAACAGCATCTATCGGAATTCATCAGGATTGAATACGGAACACCTCACGAAATGGCTGTCATCTACACCGGCGTCCATTCCTTTTTCTCAATTGCGTTACCACTGGTTATTGGTGGTTGCGCTATGTCTAGGCTTGGCTCCTTTTCAACCGGTAAACTCAAATCGACCGTCAAATGGATGGGCATTTTCTGGTTTATCATCTGTCTCGCTTTCACCGCTGTCATCTTCTGCGGATGTCCAGAACCAACCATCGAGGACACCAACACAGAAGGAAACGCAAGTTCATGCTTGGCTTCCTGCGATTGTGATAGCGTGACACAAATCTACCCAGTCAATTTCAACGGAAAGAACTTCCGTACGCCCTGCCACGCTGGTTGCATCGACTTTGATCCATTTTCAAACATTGTAAGTAACAATATTGCCTAAATGTTCAGAATTTGTAGCGTCTTTTCAGTGGAGCAACTGCAAATGCGTGGGCTACAGCAGCATCTCGACGGGTCTCGCGTACAGTAACTGCAAAAATTTGGTGCTGTATTTAGTCATTACGGGAGTCGGTTTGTTCGTCGGAAACCTTGTTTTCATAACACCTATGATGACTATCCTTAAGTGAGAATCAAAACTTATGAATGAGTATTTAATGTATATTTGTTTCAGAGATGCTCCCGTCAAAAAAGGCTTATTTGCACTATGTCTCGCTACTTCCCTTGGTCAGTTGTTGCACATACTTGGTCAGTTTTTCCACATTTTCAATTCCAAACAAACGTTTTGTTAAGGATTCATCACTAGTCTGATTTTCCCCGCACCGATCAAGTTGACTTGTATTCTGATGAGCAATGGGCACTCAGAAGGTTCGTAGTCTCAAAAACTTTTTTAAAAACTTGCAAAAATGAACAAAAACTGATTACAGATGATGAAAACTGTGTACTGCAAGACAACCTGTGGTTTACCAGTCTTTTCCACGGAGTTCCTGTCGGTTTCCAAGTTCTCGCTCTGTATCTGGTCTATCTCTACTATATCTCTCCGTCTGAGCAAGAAGATATTCCCATGACTGAAAGAAACCGTGAACTTTCTGACTAACTGATACATTTTTTGTGCGTTCAACTAATCTATTTAATTTATTCATCTGAGCAGACCGGTTTAAGAAAGTTGTAAAAAAGAAAGAATGAAAGGTTAAGTGAGGAATTGAAAGACTACGAAACGGCTGGGGGATACATGAAAGAAAGAGAAGAGAGAATGAATGTTGTTATTTGACAATGTAGATATCCATAATTGGTTCAAAGAGAGAGGGAGATGAAAGAGAACTGCAATTTGTGTAGCATTCAGCTAGATTCCAGAGTTTCCGATGCCTTCGCAGCTTCCGAAGTTTCCGAGGGAGCGTTGATGAATGAGATTTCAATTGGATAAGAAAGAATCGGATTAGAAAATCCTCTTCTAACCACGTCGAAGGCGGACTGAATAGAACCTGTCTGAAAAGATGAGGTTTTCATGAAGATTCACTGAAATCCTGTTACTCACTTCAACGTGCACCGCTTTTTTCCAATCACGCATTTTTTCAGATCTCACATAGCCGACGGCCATGAAAGTGGCGAACATAAGTATATATTCATAGCGTTCCTTTTTGTCGTGGCTTTCAATGATCACAAATGGGATGTATTTGTGGCATGTCCACAGAGGAAACTGTAATAAAAATTGAATAGATGGGTCGAAAATTCTTAAAAATTACAAGTAGACTTGTTTTGTCGAACTCTGGCTTCTCATCGAAAGAATTTCTTGATGTGATTCGGACAAATGAGAATGGAATACTGCTCGCGCGGTTCCACTGTTCACCGGTCATAAGTCCAGCTGGATGCACAACGACTCCCTCTGCTTCCATTGGAGCCGCGGCAGTTCTCGACGTGATTTCCCAATTGCCCAAGTTGAACCACCACCTGAAAATCAAGCAAAATCTCAGTTTCTTTTTTTTTCACTTTTCACTTACCTGTGGGTATCCCATCTTCTGAAGCCCATTGCAACAGTGTATTGCACATCGGGCGTCAGTCCCTCAACTGTGAATGACAGGCTAGGTTTCAGAAATCTTCCGAACTGCCCCACTACCATTTCCAAATTGGGAATCAAATTGTCCCAATGTTTTTGAGGATCGCTCATTTTGAGGATTGGATGGGGAGCAGTCATATTGCTGGAAGAATGGAAAAAGATTGTTTGATTATGTGTAGAACTTTTGCATAAGAAGTGTGAGGTATACAAATGCTCAAACATAAGGACAGTATCAAACAGAAAAAAAGGTTCAGAAATTGCAAACTTTGTTTATGAACACATCATCTTCAAATTATTCTGTTTCGGGTAAATGTTACGTACATAGGGAGTAGAGTGAAGTAAAATTGGGGATAACAAAGAAAATCAACAAGAAATCGCCGAGTCTGTCCGAGAAACAATCGAAAAATTTGGAATAACATTCAGTACTCCCAGGTGTACAGCAATCTGCTGGACACGATCGGATTCTCAAAAACTGTTGAAGTCAGAGTCCATCTCCAAAAGTTCGATGTGTAGATTGGCTCTCCGCACTGCATCACCTCGCCAGATTTTGTCGGGACCACAACCGCTGGCAAATCAGCGGAGATGTCTGAACAAGTGAGAGGAGTTGTATCAGAAGAATAAATAGTCAAAACTTACATTCTGGCACACGGTTTCCAACGTCAACTTCTTTCGGTTTCTCTCCGACGTCGGTGATCTTCTCCTCTTGTTGTTGGAGGCGATACATGTTATCTGAAAAAGTGAGCGCTGCCGTCTCAAAAGCATGGAAACTTCAAATTAAATTGGTCCTCCTTAGTCTTGAAAAGGCTATGGAGTTACAAGTCCCCTCGTTTCAATGGCCGAGGACGCTCTGAAGGCACACTAGGACGAGTTGGCAGAAGCCGGAAACATCCCAGGAAGGAAAAGAGAGGGAAATCTGGTTCCGAAAATCACGTGGTCCTCCTACGCCTGCGACTGTCCAAAATGGACGGACTTTGTCCGCAGTGTGTGAAACAATCACATCGCTTGATCAAACGAACTCCAAATACCAAGTAAGTAAGCTGTATCAGAAGCATGAAAAGTCCAAACTTACAGTCTGCGTCAACTTCCATCGGTTGCTCTTTGACGTCGTTGATCTTCTCCTGTTGTTGTTCGAGGCGATACATGTTATCTGAAAATGTGAGGTATGCCGTGTCAGAAACCCGAAAACTTCAACTTACATTCTGGGAGTGGTTTGCCATACACATCAACAATGTTTTGCATTCCTTGTGGCAAAACGACAAGTTTGTCTGAAATGTGAAAGAAGTCGTGCCAAAGGTATGAAAATTCAAGCTCACACTGCGGCAGCAAGATGGCATCCCTATTCATCTGCTCCGGCTCTCCGAGTCCGTCTTTTTTCTGACCAACCATCTCATCTGGAAAAGTGTGAGAGATTGTACGAGAAGCATTGAACGCCCAACTAACATTGTGGGAGCGGGTTTCCCTCCGCGTCCATCTGCGCCAGTTGTCCAACATACACGATTTTTCCCTGCTCTTTGTAGAGGCGCGCGATTATGACTGAAAAAGCTGGAGAAATAGTGTAAGAAACACATCGAATGTAACTGACGCTGTGGGTACTGCTCCATATCGACATTACTGACTCTCTCCTCTCGCACAGCAATACTCTCATCTGAAAAAAGAGAACAATTGTATTAGAAACGTGAAAGGTCAAACTAACACTCTGACATGGGCATGGTACTGCCATACTCCAGCGCCGACTCTCCCACATAAACAATGTCGCTTTCATCTTGTGGAAGAAGTGCGATAACGTCTGAAGAAGTTAAGTAAATAGTCAGAAGCATGGAAAGTCAAACTTACTTTGAGGCGATTGACCGTTTTTCGGTTGCTGTCCGGAGTCCGCAGTATTTTTCTGCATCTGAAAACTGTATTCTTTGAAACGTTATTTATTAAGGAGCAACTTGAGCAAGGTCTTCGGCCTCCGAGCCGTTTGAGATGAACAGTGCTGTCCCGGCCTTTTTCAGACAGCTTTAGGAGCTGGAATAAGAAAGAATTCTCGCCGATAAACTATCTGACCGGCCGCGCTCTACGCCTCCGAAACTTCGAACGCAGCAGAAGAGAAAAATGAGAAGGCGGCCACTAAGTTCCACTGTTGGGTTTGTCAAGCTTGATACGAGAAACCCTAACGTGGAATCTCAACTTGCGAGACAGTAGCGGAGTTGGGTCGGCCAACTGGCGGGACCATCATAAAACATATGGTTGAAAGTCTGTACAGTGCGGCAGCCGAGGAACGGAAAGAGAAACCGAGGAGAGCCGAAAAGAAGATTGACAGATTCCGCGCAAAGTAGTCGCTGATCGTAAAAGAGTCGGGAGGCTTTTCGCAAAAACAACGAAATTATCGATTCGAATGGCTTTAATTCGTCCGTAGCGTTCAATTCGAAGCTACATCTTTAAACCCATAAAAACTAAGTCTCCAAGTACAGTGAAACGAGAGCCGAGAAATGAGAAATTCTCGACCGTGCGGTCTCGTCCCGGTCTTGAGACTCTTGAAGACTGGGGTTCGACACGCTCAAAATTGCCCAAGAACGAAAATCCTCCAAAAATTGAGTATTCCGGTTTCTGTATGTACGCATGTATTTCTTAAAAAAAATTCAGTATGGTACCCCCATATTGCAAAGAGAAAAGACGGACACCGACAGAAGAAACGAAAAGGTTACGTGGTAGGCCCTAATGTAATAGTTGAAAACAGTTGAGAAGAGGGAGCTAAACAAGGGAAAAAGCAATGGCGGGTAGTTTAGAGAGAAGCGGTGATCGGCATTGGAGGAGAGATGGGAAAAGTATGCGGATGTGAGCGGGGAGGAGCTGCATCGTAAAAGAACGTGTGCGCACGCACCAATAGGACAGTTTGACTCGCAGCGAAAACAGTTTGGCAAAGTCAGAATGGGCTGGGAAAACAGCGTGACGGACATCGGAAAAACAACGGAGGGCGCATGAGTGACTGGTAAAAAAACGAGGAGAAAAGTAAATGTCAGGAAAAGGTGAATAAAGGGAAAGGTGAGGTGGCTGCTTGTTTGGTACAACTTTTCCTCTCAGAGATTTACTTTAACAAATACAATAAGGCACTAACTTGGAATCGTCAACTGCTGGCCCGCAAGAACTCGAGAACGGCGGTATACTGGGAGTTCACCTCAAAACCTTCGATCCGACAGTTACGGTCACCATGGGCGTCGACCACCAAATCTGAAATTGAAAAACACGATTTGACGGAAGAAAAACTAGAGATTGCCCGGAAGCCAGGAAATGTGTGCGATATTGATCGGACTTCTTGAAATGATTCATTCGTATCTCTTTGTCTCTTTGACCATTTCATCAGACTCTCCTTCAAAACGACTCGCTTTTTATCTTTTTCTGTGTTAGTTTTTCCTTCTCTCTCTTGGAACGGAAAGGTCAATGGGACGGAGAGGTACGGCACCGTTAGCAGAGAAGCGAGGAGAGGAGTTGACGTGAAGTTATTGCTATGTTTTTTTTAACAATATCTCTCGAATGATACTTTGAGTGAATGTCGGAGATGAGCGTGGTCTAAAAATAATCATTACGGTCCAGCTCCGAATGAGAGTTGAACCGATTTATTTTTCTTTTTGTGATTCCCCTGCAGCCACTATATCCCAAAGATGTTACTCATTCCGAATTCAGTAAAATTTATTGCAAAACCAGAAATAGTAATTATGAATAGTGGAATTAAATGAAACCGCGACGACGCTTCAGCTCGTTTTCGATTTCCTCGGCACGGTCCTTGACGTCCTCGTACGTAAGCCCCAGAAAGCTCAGCATATCCTTCACTGCGGCATCAACCCAGCTCTTATCACCGCCTTCGAAGAGAGTGGCATGATCATACTCCAGGAGAGAGAATCGATCGGTTGCTTCGTCAATTGGAAGGTCCTGACGAGTCAGAATTTGGGCAATGTCTCGAGCGTAACGTGTGCGTCCTTTTGTCGGCGGTATCTCGAAAGCACGCACGGTCCCTGTTTGGCCAGCCTCGGCGAACACTTTTTCGATAATTTCTGCAGGATGTCCCTCTTTTGTTAAGATGGTCCTCACTCCCTTCAAATCAATCACATATCCGTGGTCGACGTAATCATAGCGGCGATTCGTCATCAAATGGCACTGGTTTTTCTGAAAACTGCAATTAATGAAATTTTATTTTTTGGACGAACTAACCTCACTTATATGTAAATGAAATTTAAACTGTCCAATCTGCGCATTGTTATAGTTCGAGACCGGAAAAAACGATGCGTTAAGGAAGCACATGTTTCGAACGTCTCTTCCTGATTCCACATCGACGATGGTGAGCATAGGAGCGTAACGGTGATTTCCACGAAGTGGCGCCTTGAAGGAAAAACGTTAATCATCACTTTAAGCTAAAGAGCGTACCAGAGTAGAAGTGGGAATAGAACGACTTGTTCCCAGACAAACATCCCAGAATGAGATCGGCTCATCCATCCACTCTTTCCCACTTCGGACACCACCATTCGGACGGATCTGCTTAGGGGTTTCTGCCGGAGCAGCTGGACCGTTTTGCTGCCATTTTCCATTGATGTGCAGCCACCTGAGACAATTTGATTTGTCTGGAATTAGAAATTTGCAAAAGCAACTTGCCGATGTCCATCCACTCTCCAAAACTCCAGGTAAACATCGTATTGGCGGTCAGGATCGAGCCCTTGAGCTTGGAAGGATAACCGTGGGAGCATGTGCTTGCCTGCAGGAGAGGTTCTCATCTCCATCATTGGGTACCACTGCGTCCACAAGTGGCTGTCCACAAGCCGGACGGTGACTGCGCTGGCAGTCATCGCCAGTCGATAAAGTCTGGACAAATCGAAACGGATTATTGGACCCCAGTGATGTTGCATAGAGAAAAGACGGACACCGACAGAAGAAGAAAAACGGTCTCGTGGTAGGCCCTAATGTGATAGTGCGAAACAGTTTAGAAGAGGGAGCAAAACATGGGGAAAAAATGACGGGTAGTTGGGAGAGAATCGGTAATCGGTATTGGAGGAGAGATGTATGTAGATGTGAACAGGGAGAAGGATGGGAGGGAGGAGCTGCATCGTAGAAAAAAGTGTGCGCGCGCAACAACATAGGACTCGCAGCGAAAACAGTTTGGCAAAGTCAGAATGGGCTGGGAAAGCAACGTGACGGACAATGGAAAAACAACGGAGGGCGCACGAGTGATTGGTAGAGAAGCGAGGAGGCATGTAGATGTGAGGGGGAGGGGCTCCGGACGCTTGTTTGCCGATGATACATATGTTCCTAATGCACAGATTTTTGGGAGAATATCGGAGACAAGCGTGGTGATTCACGCAATATCAGCAGCCACTCTCTTCGAATGATGTAATTCGAAAAAGGGCGGGAAAAGAGCGGGGATAAGTAAAAAGTCAAGGATCAAAGGTTTTTAAATTGAAAAATTGAAATCAAGTGAAGCTACAACGACGGTTCAACTCGTTTTCGATGTTTCAGAGCTCACTGCTTCTGTGCGATTGTTGCCTCCAAAGAAAATCTAAAAAGCTTTGAACCACTGTCATCTAGCACCGAAATTATGCGAAGTTCGAACAATTGTTTGCATGTGCGCGTTATTTCGAATATCCATTACCTCACACTTTCTCTTTTTTTAAACGACCAGGCGGCTTTTTGTGAGCCGCTCTCTTGTGTACTGACCTTTTCCTTTTTTCAAATCACATAACGGAATGGCTAGGACCATTTCGGAAGAAATTAACTAAAGAGGGGGAGGGGAACTAATTCTACAGGAAAAGAGACAAATGAAGGATGGGTTATGCTCGTTTGAAGTAGACAGAGAAACTTACTAGTAATACGGAGGAGGAGACTGCTCGGGGGTCCATTCGAGGATAGCCGCGACTCCAGTCATAGTTGAATTGATTCCGGGTCGATTGGAATAATGTCCTCCACAGGAGCTTCGTTCAACGAAGTGGAAATCATAGATTCCTTGAGACCAATCGGAATCTCCGGATCCCTAAATACAACGGCAAGCCGCGTAGTCAGATTGTCGATTTGAATCTGGTGAACTGTTGAATGTAAAAAAAGAAGCACCTTTATTCTCACTGAGAAATTATACAATACAGATAGTTTGGAAAATCTAGAATAAATACGTGTTTTAACACTGAAAGTCAAATGCATTCATGACGTCATACATATCGACCTGAGGCACCGGATTGACAACGACGGGATTTCGCGGTAGCTGTGCATTACGTCTCTCGGCAACGCCTCTCTGTTCACCATTAGCATCGTTCACAAACACCAACTGGGATGCCTTAACTTGTAAGCCCTGTAAAACATTTGTTTTTTTCTCAACTAGCTATCAATTGTATAAACGGTACATTAATGGTCATGATATCCTTTTTCCACTTGCGCATACCGTCACTGATTGTGCTCGACGCGAAAAATTTTGCAATTTCGAGTGTGCACGAACGGGTGGTCTCGGATTTGGTCAAGTTGCGAAACTTGACAGCCGGGACGTAACGACATCCGCCAATAAGAACGACCTTCAAGCTCACGTTGAATCCCTAATAGTCTTCAAGTTATTATTGGTTACTCACCGACACATCTGACACAGAAGAATTTTTGTTTCCTAGCTTGATGGCCTCCCATCTAATCAGCTGACTCATCCATTCGGCTCCGGACTTCACGCCGTCCGGGTGTTGCAGCAATTGAGGTTGTTGATCGATTGGTTCGAGTCTTCTGTTATTCTTCCATGCTCCTTTATAATATAGATATCTGAAAGAGCGACTTGAATTAGATGCAGACAAAACACAAAAGCACAAACTTGAACTCGTCGGCACGTTGGAACTCGAGAATAGCGGCATACTGGGAGTCGACCTCAAGACCTTCGACACTCACGGTCACCACGGGCTTCATCAGAACTCCTATTTTTGTGTTTCTCATCACCATGTTCGGGTAGTGATCCTCCCAAACTGGAGCATCCGCGATATTCACTCGGATAACCATATTCGAAGTTTCACAACACGGATTGACGGCAGAAAAACTTGAGATCCGCGGTGAGGTAGCCGAAAGCTGTCCGTCTTCTTGAAATGACTCATATGTTTTTCTTTTCCTCTATAGCCATTTCATCAGGCTCTCTTTCAAAACGACTCACTTTCTATCTCTTCTGTGTTTTTGCTTTTCTTACCTTCTCGCGGAGAGGTGAACGGAACGGATGACACGGTATCGTCTGTGGTCGAAGGGTACACGAGTGATTGGTAGAAAAGAGAGGAGGCAAGTAGATGTGAGGGGTTCGGCTCCGTTCGCCTCGCAACGCTATGCAATGTTTGTTTTTAGATGATAAGTCCCTGACGGTCTGTGTTTTGGATGAATATCGGAGACCAGAGTGATGATTCACGCACTAAGTGCAATGAGTATCTACATCCACTCTCTTCGAAGGATGTCATTCGAAAGAAACCGGAAAACAGACAGGGACTACGCACACAGTTGCTGTCGGAATTTATTGAATTAAGCAAACCAATTATCAAAACTTCGATTTAAATGAAACCGCGACGACGGTTCAGCTCGTTTTCGATTTCCTCGGCACGGTCCTTGACGTCTTCGTACGAAAGCCCCAGAAAGCTCAGCATATCCTTCACTGCGGCATCAACCCAGCTCTTATCACCGCCCTCAAAGAGATAGCCATGATCATACTCCAGGAGAGAGAATCGATCGGTTGCTTCGTCAATTGGAAGGTCCTGACGAGTCAGAATTTGGGCAACGTCTCGAGCGTAACGTGTGCGTCCGCTTGTCGGCGGTATTTTGAAAGCACGCATAGTCCCTTCTTGGCCAGGCTCGGTGAGCACTTTTTCGATCATTTCTGCTGGATGTTCCTCTTCTGTTACGATGGTCCTCACTCCCTTCAAATCAATCACATATCCTTGGTTGACGTAATCATAGGCCGGTTTCATCATCAATTGGCACTGATTTTTCGCTCCTTTGAGAGGGAATCGAGTCTGGAAACTCCGAATATGTAGTAAAGTTTTTCGGTGTACAAACTAACCTCAGCCGCGTATAAATTGGCCTTATATTGGCCTATCTGCATGTTATAATAGTTAGAGACCGCCAAAAACGCTGCGTTCAGGAAGCACATGTTTCGAACATCTCTTCTTGATTCTACATCGACGATGGTGAGAATGGGAGCGTAGTGATGATTTCCGATAAGAGGCACCTTAAAGTTATATTGTCAATCATTGCTTTCAACTGAAGGGCGTACCAGAACAGAAGTTTGAATCGAAGTTCTTGTGCCCAGAAGAATTTTCCAGAAAGATATGGGCTCAGCCATCCACTCTTTCCCACTTCGGACACCACCATTCGGACGGACGTGCTGAGGGAGATCTGGCGGAGCTGCTGGACCGTTTTGCTGCCATTTTCGATTAAAGTACTGCCATCTGAAACGCTTTGGTAGTCTGGAATTTTTTAAAAACTTGCCTGTACGCATCCACTCTGCAGAACTCCAAGTAAACATCGTATTGGCGGTCAGGGTCGAGCCCTTGAACTTGGAAAGACATTCGTGGCTTCATGTTTGTGCCTTCACGGGTGATTTTCATCTCCATGAACGGGTACCACTGCGTCCACAAGTGGCTGTCCACAAGCCGGACGGTGACTGAGCTGGCAGCCATCGCCAATCGATAGAAAAGGTATGGACGAATCGAAGAGGAAAAGTGTGGGAATGATTGAGTGAGGGGGCGCGAGGGGACGCGTACGATATGCAAATTCGTTTTATAGCGTCCCCTCGCGGCCGTTTTTTATTACATCAATGCGTTGATTACGGAGCAAACGTTGGGCACCCCAACTTAATAGCCCTGGAAAGTTTGGATGTGTTTTCATTTTATTTTCAATTAATTTATTCTACGATTTAAAAGTCTTAATCGTAACTGCATATACAAAACAACTTCATCATTTGTTTGGGGAGAGTTAATAACAAAGTTATCCAAGAGATAACAGAGGGGGGGGGGATGCAATAAATTAGAAAAAAAATCGAATGATGATTAATAATTATCATGGCACTACACAAATTTGAACAAATTATCAAAAACTTAATAGAAAATTAGGTTTTGTGTATAGGGATGAATAAAAAAGCATGAGAGTTGGGGGGAGACTGAACCGTGGTTATAGAAATGGGTCATGAGATAATGGTGGATGAATCGGATGATCAGACGAGTCCTGCGCGCTTGGCCATCGAGTAGAACTCAGAGTTGCGGTTCTCGAGCAAGTTCTTCGGGCTGTCGAACTCTCCAACCTTTCCGTCGTTGAGCACGATGATTCTGCAAGGAAGGTGTCGAGATTTTAAACACATTTGCGTGATTGGCTATCTTACCGATCATAGTCCATGATGGTATTCAGCCGGTGAGCGATGGTGAGAACTGTCGAGTTGGCAAACTCCTCGCGGATCGTCTTCTGGATCAATGCATCCGTAGAGACATCGACGGCGGCCGTCGCTTCATCAAGGATTAGCACACGAGTCTTGCGGAGAAGGGCACGGGCCAGACACACCAGTTGACGTTGCCCGACACTGCAAAAATAAAGATGAGAAGTTTCGAAGCACTGTTAGTTCTTGTACCTGATGTTGTCACCTCCTTCGGTGATCGTGTAGTCCAGTTTCTCATGGTGGCCAACCGCAAACTCTCTCAAGTTGGCCATCTCCAGAGCTTTCCAGATGTCATCGTCCGAGTAGTGATGGAAAGGATCGAGGTTGAAGCGCAAGGTTCCAGAGAAGAGCACAGGGTCCTGTGGGATGATGGTGAGGTTCGAGCGCAGGTCGTGGAGGCCAATCTCCGCTAGATTGATGCCGTCGACAACGATCAGTCCCTCGGCGGCTTCAATGATGCGGAAGAGCGACAGAGTGACCGACGATTTTCCGGCTCCGGTGCGTCCGACGATTCCGACCTTCTCGTGTGGCCTGATCTCTACGTTGAGCTGCTTGACGACCAGGTTGAGGCCCGGGCGGTAGCGGGCAGAGTAGTTATTCATCACGATCCGTCCCTCCGACGGCCAGTTCTGTGGTGGTTCCTTTCCGGGCTCCGACTTCCACTCGGCCTCCGTCTCAGTCTCCGCGTACTCCTTCACCCGCTCCACAGACACAATATTCGTCTCCAGCTTCGTGATCTGACGGACGGCGAAGTTGAGCACGGTGGTGATGTTGAGGGCGTACGAAACGGACAATCCAATGACTCCAGAAGTGGTCGTGGATCTGGTAAGGGCGGCGAACAGGGCGGAAAATAACACAATGCAATTTCCGATGAACTCCAGTCGGACCGACAACCAGCGATTGGCCACGTAGTTGAGGTAACGGCACTGGACGTGCGTGTCCACTTTGGTCTCCGACAGCTTGCAGAACCGATCGACAAGGTGGTAGGCGCGGATGGTCGATGATCCTTGAATGGATTCAGAGAGGTGACTGTAGATCGGCGAGCGAGTTATCGACTCTAATCGTTTCAGCTGACGGGAGGTGGCAATGTAGTATCTCATGACCATGAGGTACATCACAGACAACGGGATGATCACAACTCCGAACACCGGGGTAGAAATCATGATGATGATGAGCGTGGAGATCACTTGAAGAAGGCACTGGGCGAAGAACTGGACATTGAACGGCAGAAGCACGTCGACCGTCTCGATATCCTTTCCGATGCGGTTCAAAATTCGTCCGAATGGTGTCGTGTCGAAGAAAGCCATTGGAACGCGGAACAGATTGCGCATCAGCGGGGCGTGCAGGTTTCTCGAAGCCGACACTCCTCCGTAGAGCAAGGACAGCATTCCGATGAAGAGAAGGATAACTGAAAAGAAATAATGACGTTCTGAGAGCGCACGTTACGGGAAAACTCACTTTCCGAGAATCCGAGGCCAGCGTACACTCCTAGACGGACTCCAATACTGTTTCCAGTGGTGTTGGTTCCAGCGCGGGCAGCATTGTCGTTTGACCAATCCGTCAGCCACAAGTTCCTTCCCATCGACACAACCGTACTCGTGGTCATTCCAAACACAAAAATGACAGCGATAGACATTCCCATGGCTCCAAAGTACTTCTGATAGGTATCCATCTTGACGCGTCCAGTCTCGACACGCTCGGTCCCTGTGAGTTGGCGGGACGTCGTGGAAACCGACACAATCGATGGGGCGGTGGATTTGGTGGTGGAGAGACGGCGGCGCTGCTTCTGGGTGGACGTGCTGATGCGGCGGCGGTTGATGATTCCCGAGACGGTGGACATGTGACTGGTTCCGAGCACGTGGTCAATGATCGGCGACGCCATCACATCATCATCGTACTCAAAGTCCGAATCTCCTTCAATCATAATGCCTCCTGGCTCCGAGGTTTCATCGTCGTCATCAGCTGAAAGGGCGGCTTCACGTCGCTTCTGATCCTCTTGCTCGCACTCGATCAGCAATTGCTCGAAAGCACCTTGCTGCATTAGCTGTTCGTACTTTCCCTCAAACTCAATCCGTCCATCCCTCATCACCATGATCAGATCCGCTTTTTCCAAAAACGAGAGCTCATTCGTCACCAGGATACGGGTCTTGTTGCGGAGCATTCCTTCGGGTCCAATCACAGAGTTGAACAGCTGGCTTCCGACGTGAGCATCCACGGCACTCATAGGATCGTCGAGCAGGTAGATGTCATGGTTCTGGTAGACGGCACGCGCGAGTGATATGCGGGCCTTCTGACCACCGGACATGTTGATTCCCTTCTCTCCAATCTCCGTACTATCTCCGAGTGGAAGAATTTGGAGGTCGCGGTAGAGAGCACAGGCGTCGAGGACACGAGAGTAGAAGTACTCATCGAACTGCTTTCCGAATGTGATGTTCTGGCGAAGCGTGTTGTTTTGCATCCACGGTTGTTGAGGCACATAGCAGAGACGTCCGTGCATAGAGATACTTCCAGAAATCTTCTCCATTTCGCCCATCAACGCTTGGAGCATCGACGTCTTTCCGGCTCCGACGCGTCCGACAATCGTGACGAGTTGTCCGCGGTTGACTGAGAAGGAGATGTTGTGGAGGCATGCCACTGGCTTGCTCTCGCCAGACTCCCAGGACAGCGTGGCGTCGTTAACGGCAATGATGTCGTTATCTGCAAAAAACAATATTCAGTTTGTCGTCAGCCGTCATTAAACTCACTATCACGACCTTTACGATCGATGGCGTCCTCGTTGAGCTCTTCAGACATAAGGAACTCCTTCAGACGTTTGTTGGAAACCACCACTTGCACTGTTTGAGTGATCAACTCCGCTACTTGAGACATTGGCGAACGCAACTGATTGAAGAGCGTCAAAGATACGAACGCAATCTCTGGTGTCAGCACATTCTTCGGATCGATGCAGATGAAGGTCGTGAAGGTCGAAAGGGCGACGAGGAAAGGCGAGGCGGTGTTGAGCATGTCCGAGAAAGTGCGAAGGAATGCGGCCTTCTTGATCAGCCCCAGTTCCTTCTCTCTTAAATCCTCAATGACCTTCTCCATAGGTGGCTCCCACGCGTACAGTTTGATGACCTTGATTCCATTGAGCACCTCGTTCACCATCTTTGTCCTTTCATCCTTGTAGTACATCTGCGAGATCTGCCACTTGCGAATGATCATCGTGATCACAAAGTTGATCGGAAACAAAAGCACCATCACGGCAACTCCACTGAAGACGGAGACTCCCAGTTGCTGGAAGAGCAGGAACAAAGCAAATCCGATTTGGAATGGGTTTGACCAGTATTGCATCGTTTGAGGGGTGATCTGTTGGAAGCGGTCAATGTCTATGGCCATGAGGTTGACAATCTCGCCGACAGTCTTCTCGCGACGAGCGGCGTTCGACAAACGGAGCGTCTGGAAAATAGAGATAACATTTTGATTAGCCGAGTGGAAGAGAGGGTACCTTGCGATAAACAGCGGCTGTGAGACACGTCTGCACACGAGTTCCGACTCGATACATCAGGTAGAAGTAGTGGGAGAGCAGGATGGACGAGAGCTCAGCCGATCCGAACATGGTGAACGCGAGCACGACTCCTTGCCACATCGGTCTTTCCAATTGTTCCGTGAACTGAATGAGCGATTTCAGCAGCATCGGGTTGCAGAAGAGAAGGATATCCGAGAGCAGCTTGACAAACATCGCCGTGATAACGTCCCACTTGAACATGAGGAAGAGGGTCCAGATGATGGAAGGCATCTGTTGGCTGGGCTGGCTGGTAGGCACCGATCCGTAGTCGTCCGTGTTCTGGTCGTGGAGCAACGGAGTACTGTCGTTTGACGAGGTGCGGCGGCGGGACGCGTTTGAGACATTGGAATTGGCGCGACGACGGTTGCGGTTCTCCTCGAACTCTGAAACAATCGATGTGTGCTTGAAAATTGCAGAATTTTAGTCTAAAAATCGAAAAATGAGTAAAATCAATGTGGCCCGTTTGAAAGTGGGGGGAGGAGGGGGGAGCCACGGTTACTGACGCACTTGTTGTTCGGCTGACACTTTCTGCGCACAGCTGTTTGAACCACAAAATTACGACGGGAACTCACTTTTGCTTTGCTTTTCCCATAGATTGAACCACTTGGGCACCAACAAAGTCGACGTGTCGGCTTCATTCAACGAGTACAAATCCGAAACCTCCAATGGCTTGCGAACGCCGAGACTGCACAGCGAATTGAACCACCACATCGTGATGCGGTTGAGGAACGACGATGTGGTCTCGGGGCTGGGATTCTTGGCCGTGCTGAGGTACTTGTATCCTTCGGGAGAAATGTCGGCGAAGCAGTGGAGGTACGTCTCGAGGGCGCAGCCAAGGAACCAAATTAAGAAGGCGATGCATCTTGGGTAATCGAGCCAGTTCCATGGATACGCCGAGAACATCTGTTGAACCCAGTACATCAACTCGGGAACTGCGCAAATGGTGAAGACGAGCCAACTGAGGAACATGCCTCCAGAGGTCACAATGCCGTAGTTTCTACACGAAACAATGAGGGCAGTGAGCACAACCTGAAAAGGAAAGGATGTACAAAGTCTGTAAAGAGAGGATTGCATGAGTTACCATTGCAAGACAGAGCGTCAGCGGATAGACAAAGTCAACAGCATACGGGAATCCTTGGAAAATTGTCTCATAGATGGCGACAGTGAAAAGCGACAGCGAATCAGCAATGAGCACACAGGCGACGGCGATTTTGAGTTGAATCCGTTTGGTCCAGGGGATGGGGTTTGGGCGGCGGTAGAAGATCTGAGCAGTGAGAATCGGTGCGAGCAGGAAGACGATGGCGGTGGGGAACCAGACGAGAGTCGTGTGCTGGTAGCACTGACTCAGAATCGGAACCGCCGACGCGTTCCAGATGGCTGGATCCTGAAATTATACCGTTTCGATGAGACCATTTAAGGAAACCTTGTTACCCAGTATCGCTCTCCGCAGAACGCGTCTATCCCTTTCAATTTCGCTTGTAAATTTGACTCCATTTTTGTTGCTATACGTGTATAACAACAATTACCTGAAATTAAAGCAAATTTCAAAAGGAATGGGGTTAATCGAAAAGAAAGAGATGTATCGATTGGTAATGAGTTGAGTTTTGCCGATGACAAGGGGATGGGAAGGAGATTGACTCCTGAGGGGGAACAGCGGAAAAAAGCAAAGGTTGTGCCAAATCAGCTGACCAGGAATCTTTCTAACACCCAGATGGTCCCCAGTTGCTCTCGGACAAAGGATCGTTCAACATTGGTCGCCAAGCCGCCGTGAACTCTGAGCTCGGCATTCAGCCGAAACAAAATGTGGCGAGCGGACGAATACTGAACATAGATAAGAAGAGACTCTTAGCGGGACCATCATTGAAAGTGACACCAAGACCCAATCGTTGAAAGGAAAGCGCGTGTCTCAGCCAGATACTCGTGGCACAATCGGACAGTGTGCAAAATCAGGAGGAGTGGCTGAGGATATTGAGATACAACGACGACTTGGGGCCGATCAACCGTCCGCACATGCCGCGTTTTCAGAAAACCCGATGGGGGTACCGATGGCAGGAGTTACCAGCGGCCGATGGAAAAAGCATGCAGATGAATACAGTTCCGATGCATCAGAACGATGTATTCAAGGCAAGAAACTCGAAAATGATGCGCGAAAAGTGAAATCGATAGGGAAGCGGACGGACATTCGGACAAGGAAAACTCTGCGAGAGAGAGAAAAAACATAATGAACAACGTGTCCCTCTGCGAAGGAGTGCGTGCGAAGTGTGCTGTCTTCCCGCGTCCGGCCGAGCGCACTTGCAACACGCGCGAGAGAGTGAGAGACTGCAGACGGCGAGAGTGGGGAAAAAACCGATCAATGCGAACGAAAATTGAGGAGAAGCGACCGATTTCGCTGGTTTTTGCGGAGAAATGAAGAGATTTCAGTGCTTTGTCGAAGTGGAAAATAGAATTGAGGGTTTTTGACGGGTTTGCTGATGAAATGGGTTTTTTTGAGGCGGGACAATTCAAATGGAGAATAAAAATGCTTAGAAAAAGGATTTTCTGGATTTCTATAAGTGATTCGGTTTCCGCGCAAGTTTCCACCAAAATCCGGGTCGATCACACCGAAAATGGTCACTTGCGAGATGTTCAACGCACATAACGCACTCACAGTGAAAATTTTCGGTTCTGCAAAGTTCCTGAACTGAAAAACTGAGCCAACCGGGTCAAATTCACAGATAACAGCATGCTGACTATGTTTTTTGTCGAAGACGATCCGAAATTCGGGAAAATGCGTGACAAACAAATAATCAAATGCAGTTTTGGAAAATTTCTCTACAAAAAATATTGTTTCGCCGACAAACGAATAATATCGGGAAATCATTCGATATTTGAGTGAAAATAACCAGAAAACTCATAATTTTCGAGGATGTTATCGAGAAAAAGTGATGACCCACAAAATATCATGTAAAACATCAAGAACGGCAACTTTAGACATGAAAAAATCAAATAAAAAGACGAAGTGAACCGGCGCCGTGTTATCGCCGTTTCGTCTTAACTGATACACCCACAATCAGTTCAAAATTTCTTGATTTTCCCGCTTTTTGTCCGCGATAGAGGGAGGTGAGTCCTGAGGTGCACGCGGATTTGTCGGAGCCGGCGGAGCAACTCTTTTCCAGATAAAAAGTGCAATTATTTTACGATTTGTACGGGCGTGAGTGAGTTGCGTCCGAATCGGCCTGCTTTCGGTAGTAAGTTCCCCGGCTAGAACGATAGTAGATTGTGTGCTATCAATCGATACGGATGGTGGTGGTGGTGGCCATGCTAGACAACAAATAAGGACAAATTGGTATCAATGTACACGCACAATGTACGTCTTGTATGTCGATAAGATAGATGGACTTAAACCAATAGCATGACCAGTCTCCCGTCATTCGCATTGTCCTCTTTGTTTCGTTTCCCAAAAAAATCCACGTTTTCCGCTTTACTTTGTCATGAACTTTCTGATTTTTCGTCATTTTCTTCTCCCACACACTTTAACTCCACGCAATCTCCAGAAAAATGGCTGCTCTCACCAACAATGACAAAATTTCGTACAAAGTGCTAGTGATCGGCGACCCGGGCGTCGGAAAAACCTCTATAATCCGGCGTTTTGTGCACAACGTGTTCACGACCAACTACAAAGTTACGGTACGTGAAGCTCACGCTTATTTACTACAACTTTTTGTCTTTTGCTCCCAGATCGGTGTTGACTTTGCACTCAAAATCCTGCCTGTCGATGAGAACACAGTAGTTCATCTTCAAATCTGGGATATTTCAGGTTAGAGAAATTGCTTTATTTTAACATTACTTTTGGGAAAAAAAAAGAAAGAGAAAAGGCGGGTTCAAATATGTACACACAAAAGTTTTGTTGTTTTAGTTTTTAATTGATTGAATGAGAAAAACATTTTGGGGGAAGAACATATTCAAAATTAATTTTTGAAATAGTCGGTGCTTGGATTAGGCATACAAGTCATGTTACGGGGGATGGGGGGAGTAACTGGGATTGAAGAGTTTTTGACGCAGTTTCAGAAATTGAGCTGATAAGTGTTCACCATTCTCCTATTATTCTTACTTTTCTAGAACAAAGAAAATGGGTCAAACTTGAGGGGGATAACAAGAAGTGAGCATTGGGCTGGGTCCGGGAGGTGTGGGGGGATTGGGGAGAACGGGATTGAAGCGGGTGTGGACGGGCAATTTTGAGGCGACTAACAGGAGGTTCTAGTGAAAATTTAAGAACAAATAATTCGATTAGTTGTTGAAGACGTGTCCGATTTGGGTTTGTGACGCGGAGGATTGTACTCTTCTGTTGGGATCGCCGCCTGGACTTTGAGCCGCCTGACCACTTCCAGCGAGGGCATAGCCATAGAAGCTGAAATTCGTTTTAGGTGAAAACTTAGAGAAGCTTGTGCAAATTTTTGTGTGTGCGCCCGTGACGTTCTTTGCTCACCCCGACTCGATTTGATAAGGTTTTCCGTAAAACCGTTTTGAGGTGTGGTAGTAGAATGGGTTCTCATCGGCGCTCCAGTACACGGACTGCTCTTCCATAGGCTGAACGCCTCCCTAAAACCGGTTTTAGTGCTACCACGTACTCATTTGTGTGTTGTCAAACCGGGCTTTGTTGCGGGTGGAACGGTCGTGAAGGTGTCCGCATGTGAGTGCCAACCCGCAAAGTTCCACTTCCAAACTGCTCTTCTCCAAGTGGCGCCACTACCGTGCTATCCGGTGAGGTAGACCGATGATGGAGGATGTAGGAGGATCTGAACGTCACTTTTCTTATCTTTGCTTTTTCATCCTATCCGGTCTTTTGTTTCATTCTCCATACGGAGGTGACGCGTTCGCGCGCATTTCTCCTTCTTCTCCCTATTATAAATCATATATTCAAACCTTAGTGAGCAAATAATTGCGCAAACAGTGCATATGACACAGGCAAGAGCTGCTCCGGCGGCGAGAATGATAGCAACCTGATAGATTGTTTGCTGAGTTTCAGTGGTTGGCAGAAGGTCAGCCGCTTGCAAGTAACGTTGCTGGAACATTCGTTTTTGTCCTGTTTTTCGGATTTCTGTGGGGCTTACCAGATAATACACGTTGGTAATCGCCGATGAAACTGTGAAAAGTGAAATCGAGGCGATAATGATATTGAGAATCGATGCAGACGCCAAAAAACTTGGGAATGGAATGCACAGGAACTGCAAATACGTTTTTGGTATTTTCATTCATTTTCTGGTTACCTGAACCACAAACACGGCTCCAGCAAGTGGACCATTTCCAAGTCTGAAGAATGGCACCTCGATTGGGACCTCATTATATCTCCATTTTCCGAGCTCAAACACAATGTACGTTCCAGTGATGACCACCGCGTAAAACAATGTTCCTAACGAGAAGAGGGTGTGAACTCCGTTCGAATGGCGATAAGTTAAGTTTGGCTGCTTTCTGAGCTCAGTTCCGTAGATGTAGGCTCCAGCGAGGGAGGTCAAGGCTTCCAGTAGATAGATCTGAAATCAAGTTCGTGTTAACTCTGTACGAGTCACCAGGAAACGTACTCCAGCTTGGATAGAGTACAAAATGATCTGCGCGACGAAAGTCCGTTCATTTCCGTTTCTGTATGCGGGATAGGCGGCCATTTGGTAGATGAGATTAGCGGAGGCACACATTTTCTCGATGGAAATGCCAAGGCAGACGATAGAGAGAATGAACTTGGTTGTAATGGTCACACTGGAAAAAAAATATAGAATTTTACTTTCTGACCCTCATATTCTGTACCTATAGTTGTTAGAAGTAATAAGTCCAGTGGTCATGAAAAGTATGGAGACCCATAGGAGATCAGCCCCAAGGAACTCTCCTCTCCACCATGTATCCAGTAGTCCCAGAATGCATAGGGCAAGCATACATGCTCCCCAGAAGATGTGGAGCACATTGAGCACTCTGCAATTTACCAATGAGTTCATTGATCCATACAATGTCAATCTAACCCTGTTTGAATCTTGATGCTCTTGTTCACTTCAGTGTGCATTGAGTGGAAGTCAAGGTGTAAGTATGTCCCGACAATGACCGCCGACAGAGTGCAAAGGAAGAATGCGATTCCGAAGCATCCGAGCAAAACTCCGTGAGCCACCACCAAAATGTATCGTGGAGCATCGGTTGACGTGATCGAGGGGTCTGGAAAAAACAAGAGATCGGGCGGTTCATTTCGACTATAGTTGTACACATATCGGTGTTGACTTGAAACGTATCAAATTTCGATATCGTTTCGTGTGTACGTATATAATGAAAATTGCTGTTGCTTACCTCCGACCTCACGACCCTGGTAGTAGAACTTGAGGTCATTTTTGTAGAAGGGCATCGCGTTGTTGTCAACTGTTTTGAGGCACCACGTGGCGGCGACGACGGCGACCGCGAGCGCAACCTGTGTAAATAAATGAGGGTTCAAGATATATTCACATTTCACTTCATGTTTGAGCACACATACCTTAAGGTTCAAATTTTGCTGGTTCTTCCCACGAGTTGCCCAAATGTCCATGGCACCGCTGACAATGGCAAGCATTGCCGAGATGTGATCCAATCCGATTTTGATGTACCTATCCTGTCCGGCAACCTAAAAAAAAAAGAAAGAAATTGGTTGGCTGATTCCAGTTTTAAAATGCTCACATTCTCATGTTCATATTCGATGAAAACACAAAGTCCCAGAATACCGAAACAGAGGATGAACTTGATGAGTCCGATGGATGCCAACGTTTTCTTTGCACTGCTCATCGCCAGTTCTTGCTCTCTCTGAATCATCGAGATCTAGTTGGAAAAAGAGAAAGTTAGGTGGTTGAAGCGGTTAGTGGGGCGACTTACTGATTGCATTGGATACACTGGAATAGTGACCACAATGATTTTGCTGAGCAGGAAGATGGCGAACAGGGAGAACAGAGAGGCAACTGCTCCGGAGGCTGAAAATTATAATTGGATGAAACATTTTTGAGTGAAACCAACCAATCATAAGGGCTGAGATGACAATTCTGCCCGCATAGTTGCTATGCTCTGATTGGAATTCTTCATTGAACCCATCAGCGGACTGAAGAGAGTTCAAATTATCGCCGGCTTTTACAACCTGAAGATTATTATTTATCATTTTATGTTTTCCTTCTAAGACTTACCCGATAAGTGGTAAAACCGTAGAAAACCGCAGTGGCGAAGCCGATAACGAAAGAGACCATGTAAAGTGACTTTGTGACGATGCTTCCATGATTTTTCCAGAGTGAGTAGAACCCAATACACCCGGTGACAATGTGAATGAAATTGAGTAACCGGAAATCAATGTCCCGGTAGTTATCCAGACCGACTTTTGAGAACTGACTACCCGCCAGACCGACGGCTAGCAAACCAGCTGCTATTAAGAACCCATTGCAAATCTGAAGAAGAATAGAATAGTAGGTAAAGTAGGAGGCTAACTGGAGAATTACCTGTATCTGACACAAATATGCCGAGCGGGCGCTCATGTTACAGGATCTTATTGATGGCGGCTATGGATGGCAGAACTGGATGTTGTGTCGGGTACTAAAATGTTCAAAATGTCAAAGGAAATGAATAATTAGCAAAGGGGAGAGTCGATTTCTCAAGGTGAAATAATAGTGAGAAAAGAGGGCGAGCCGCGTAGCCGCCAAGGGCGAGCTCGTCGTGCAAACACAGTAGGCGATAGATCAACACAAATATGCAACACAACACAACACCATTGCCTTCTTCTTCTTCTTCTTCTTCTTCTTCTTCTTGCACTTCCATATTCGGAAACAAGAATTAAAACGAAAAAGGTGGCTGCTTTGCTGAGGAGCGTCGCGGAAAAATGAAAAGGTTTCGAAGAGAAGTGGGTGGGAACCAGCAAGCGTTTGCATTTGTGTTAACGTTAATGTTAACGTTATCGATGTCAATGAGAGTTGAAAATGCTCTCAAGGGTGGGGAGGGGTGTAAAAGAAAAGAACACGGCGACATGATGAAAAACTAGTCGCAGTGCTTAGGTTGGGGCGGTAACGTAACCACTTGAAACTTGGAAATGAGAAAAGCATGGAGCAGGCAGCACAGACAAAAAACTCTCGCGGCTGTCTTTTAACCCAAGTGCAAATAATCAAGGAAAAAGAGATTTTGATAAGCGTACGCGACCTCTCCGCGCATCGGTCGTTCCGCGGCGCCTGTTTGTATGTCAGGAGGCGGTCTGATGATGCGCATACACTGTTTACCAGTGGCGGCTGTGTAAGTTGCCGTCTGTGAGCACCGCGTGGGGGGAGCGGAGGAGGGATTTAGCGAGTTGCGTTTTCTTTTCGGAGCGGCATGCCTTTATCACAAAATGAAAAAGCGTTTCTGGTTTTCTGTGCCGGTGGTCTGAGCTTCGGGAAGCTCTAATGCTATTGTCAAGCAGGAAAAGAGAAAAAAGAAACAGTGAACGAACGGTGGGGATTGTTCAGCTGATGTCGAAATAGAGGGAAAAAATTGATGGAAACTCATAGAGCCGAATATATTGCGGAAAGCGAATGAATCGCGGCAACGGTCACCCATTGTCACCGACCCGACACCTTTTGTGTTCGTTCGGCTCTCAGTTTGTTTTTGACCTCGCCAATTTTGAAGTCGGGAAGCGTTGCACTGGATTTTTCAAGCAAAACCGGACGGGATTGAGTGAGAATGATGTCATAGGAACTGAATTCATCCATTTTTATCAGAAGGTTACCATTAAAAATCTTCAAATCTTTCACTGGTTCAGTGAAAGTTCAATAGTTGATTCATTCTAAGGAACAGTTCACCTTTTTTCACAAAGTTGCGAATAAATACAAACAAAACCCTTCTTCTTTCAAAGAAGAGAAGAATTCCTATGCACTACATTTTCAAAACAAAATGGCCTTAGAAATATGTAGGTAAATTGCTGTAAATAGCTGTTTACCGTAAATTCTGTATGAGAAGAGCACCCAGCGAAGTGAGTCGATTTTCGGATGTTTCAAATTTCAGAATAACTATTATTGATACCGTGATAAATAGAATAATTGTAATTCAGCATTGGGGGTAGTCAAAGTGCAAAGACAAAGTTACACTACGAAAAAAAGTGTGTGAGACCTAATTCCGTGCGAAAAGCTAGCATGCCAACGTGAGGTTAAACTGGGTCGTACGCGTTCCGGTACTTGCAAGAAAGAGCGAGAGAGATCTTGCCGCACTGTTTGTACATTTTGCTCCCCGACTCTCCCTCTCCAATTTTTTTCACGTACTTTTTTCTTCCGCTGCTCATGTATTCTATCGAAAGTAAGTACGTGTCTGCGTCGGCGCGCAAGGATGAGAGGCGACTGCCGACATTGCGGAATCCGGTCCGCGACGGCGGCATGCGCACGCACGATGAATACTTGTGTCGATGTGTTTGTGTGTGCCAAAGTTTGTATACCAGAGGGGCGGAAAAATGTGCTGTGCGCACGCTTCTTTTTTCGCTAGTGTGTTGTGTGTTTCTCACCTCTGTCGTTCAAAAGTTTTACCTGCCTGCTCGGCGGCGAGCATCGACAGTTTAGGGGAAAAAGTGAAGTTGATGTTTCACGAGAAAATGAAAACGGGGGGAACGGTGTGGGAAAAGAAAAGTCAAACAAATTTTGCCTAGCTTTTGACTTGATTGACACGTCTGATTCTATTTTCAGGACAAGATCGGTATGGCGTCATGACGAGGGTGTACTACAAGGATGCGCATGCAGCGATCATTGTCCTAGACTCGACAAGAGAGAGAACCATCGAGGGGGCTCTCCGCTGGAAGTCCGATTTGGATCAGAAAGTTACTCTCGCTGATGGATCTCCAGTTCCAGCAATTCTCCTGGCTAACAAGGTCGGCAAATTACCAAATATTCATTCATTTTCCGTGCTCTTTTTCAGTGTGACATTGATAATCAGCTAGGAGATGACAAGTTGTACGATCTGGAGACCAGCAATGGGTTCGTCGGCTCGTTCAGAACTTCAGCCAAGGAAAGTGTGAGAATCGAGGAGGCGTTCAAGTTCTTAGCCACTACGGTACGTTTCATTAAGCTAGGATTAATAATGATTCCCTTTTCCAGGTCATTTCCACCGAACAAGGCGGCCAGTACGATGTGCCGTTCATGAACCGCGAGGGCAACGTCAACCTCGACGACAACAACTCTTCTCACTTCAAAACCGATCCTAAGTGCTGTTAGATGTGCAACCCTGAACATTGAACTTCAGTCCTTCTTATTGTTCTTTCCTTCCCTTTTCCTTAAAAAAGTTACAAGTAAATGATGAATCACATTTCGAATTTCTATTTATTGTTTATACAATACGACCTCAAAAGTGCACTTCTAGAAAACAGGATTTGAAGAGGGGTGTGGTGGTAAGAAAAAGGGAAGAGAAGACGACGAATTACTTCTGTATACACAGCGTGACTATTCAAATATCCAAATTGAACCGAACTGCAGTCTGTCTTCCCATTCGATGAGGCTTCTTCTGTTTTGTCTGGCGGCCCTTAGCCTGAAGGTTAGTTTCATCCATTTATTCCAGATTTTTTTGTGTTTTTTTTTAGGTAACCGGTCAGTTTTACTGTGCAGACTTGTTGCAACAGTGTGCAAAGTCAGCTGCCGAGTATACCGAACAAATCCTTCAATTCAAGGAAAGCGCCTTTAAAACATGTGTTCGCCGACCGGCATGTCATACCGAGAGGAAGATTTTCGATGAATGTTTTGATGCGTCCGTGTCTGCAACTCATGTCTCGACTACTTCGGAGGTCACGGCTAATAATGATGGGGAGACGCGAAAAGTGACACCTCCACCGATGACCAAGTACAATTCTCTGCTGAAATTCTTCACAGAGAAGTCTTTAAAGTATCGAAGCGCATTGGATCAGTGTTTCGTGAGATCACCTTTTGTTCCTAAGCGTAACTTTTTTGGACCAAGTCTTTTGGACGGTAAGTGGACAACGACTACATGCTTTGAAAATCTTTTTTTTTAGAAGACGCCGCCTACGCGCGCGCAATTTATCAGTTTGACTTGGCTGATCGTCTTTGGGGTCTTCCCGAGCTTTCGATCACTCGACCCAGTCTAGACACTCTTGGTGTTTGCGGAACTCGGGTGAGTACGGATCAGATTTCCTACGGAATCTGAATTAATTTAGAACACTGCTCTTCGAGTTTTCGGCAGTGGAATCAGTAGAACGTCTCGAGCATCTGATCCAACCAAGAACAATATCACGTCTGCGTGCATGTTAGATGAAGACGAGATCAGTTGCTATCGAGAAGCGCTGGATTTGAATTCGGAATACGTTCAGCTCATTTACAATCGAGATTACGCACTTCGAGCATGCGTTCAAAAGTCTGTGAGTCGCCTAGCACCCCAGTAACAGTCAGATTACAGTATCCGCCAACAAAGTGTGTGCCGAATGAATGATAGATCCCGACTGCGTGCGTGTTTGTGCGGTGTGCGAGAGCAGTATGATAATGAAATCCAATCTGGCCTTCTACAATGCGTTAAATCAAAAAGTCCACAAGTTCCGGCGATGGTCATTGAAATGAGCAGTAGTTTGGATTCGGAGCCAGATTCTTCTTCCTCTTCCTCTTCCGACTCATCGACCGTTCAGGAACAAGTTACACCTGCGCAACTGACATTCGATACCCCTGGTATGTAAATAAACACGCACAAAAGATCGCTTAATTGAACTACATTTCAGGCGCGGTGGTTAATGGGCAATGTATGTGTGCGTGTGAAGCTGCAAAAAACGGAGCGAGCCGTTCATTCCTTCAGAAAACGCAAGAAGTTGAGGTGGAAAAAGTGCCAGTATCCGAGGAGTTGGAAAGTGTCACGAAAAAAGACGAAGCAGCACCTAAGACCAATGCAGTGAGGTTTAAAGAGGTGAATGACGGTCATCACATGCGGACAAGTTTCATTCCAAGTTCTAGATGCTTTTCAGAATTCTCCGCGTCTAATGCAACCCAGTGAAGCAGCTGGAAGAGTGTTTTGGATGAATAATATCACTATCATTTGATTTTGATCTTGAAACGTTTTGAATCAGGAATTTTCATTTTTTGTAAACATTCAATAAACCTTGAATTAAGAATGGAGAAGCAGACATGTTCAAAACAGAATCGCACCGAATTATTACAAAAAAATTATTACAAGGATTTGTCGGAGGTTTATGTAGACTGGCATTCAATTTCAGTGATAACCACTCCATCCTTGGTCCATTGTCCCGCAGAATTACAGATCAGAACAGAAGTAACCGTGCCAGTGCCAGTGTCCACACCGTCCGCATCTTCATTGTACTGAAACACAAAAACTTTCGAAAAAAAACAGAAAATGAAAGAGGTCTCACCGAAATCATGACTCCCGAATCAGCACTGTTACCGTCACAAACGGAAGTTCTGATCGCACACGTTTCGCTGGTGTCAATTGTGTCACTGGTGAACGCTTTCGTGCCCGCACTGATGCTGATGATGGTCGTCGCAGAGAGCAGGCATGATTGACAATCTGAATCTCTGAAATTTCAACAAAAAACATTGAAAAAGTTACCTGCGGCGGTAGTAGTGGTAGTAGTAGTAGTAGTAGTAGTGGTTACTGTAGTCGTTGATCCTCCGGTCGTCGCCACACATGTTTCTGCGGTTTTTACGGCTATGCAGAAAGCTAAAAAGTGAGCGAGCAGGGAGTTCATTTCTGAAAACAAGAGTGAGAAGAACTTAAAACATAGCAGAACAAATTGAAAGACAAGAAAGGTATGTACAGATGTTTTGCTACATCTTGACATGAAAATATCGAGTATGAACACTTATCACACGCTTTATTGGAAGTTATGTTACTTTCTGCAACCGTATTATGTTATTACATTTATTAAACTTAAAATTATTATTGATCATACCGATACCTATACCAATCACCAAAACAAACCGAGTTTTAAGTAATAATTTGACACTCAATATCGTTAATTTCAATTCCGGCATTTTCCCAGTGGCCGTCGACACAAGTCAACGAGGCGGTCGTTGAACCCGTTCCAGATTCAGTACCCACGTCATTCGGCGTCTCACTGTCACTGTAGTACTGAAAAATAACAAAAGTTGATGAAAAGTGAAAGAATAGAGTTTTTGAGTCCTACCGTAATCAAAACGACGTCAGTGGAGACGACAGGCGTTCTCGCACACGTGTAAGTTAAGACCAGACATCCGCTAGTGTCAGTGGTCAGCGCAGAAATAGGTGTCTGTGAAATGAAATGATTACCGGTTACCATATTTTGATCTCTCACCTCATCGCCATCATTGCCAGTTACAATGGTAATCAACGAAGTGGTGCACGTTGTGCAGGCTGCAATGGAAAGCTCACCCTGGACAGTACAAAGACCGAAAAACGGAATACTCGTGCGTCATTTCGTTCTCGGGGCGGTATTCTCGTCTTCACACATCTCTTCCGAACATAAGAGGTCATTCATGATAATTGGATTCTTTTCGGTTTTTCCCGTTTCGAGGAAATGCCGGCGAAAGTATGACCACTTCAGATGGATTTTCACACGAATTTCGAGAAATAAAGTTATTCACGAGTGAAATGTTGTTAAGTTTTAAGTTAAATTTAAAAAATATTTTCAAAACGTTACCTGACGCGACAGTGGTCGTTGTGGTTACAGTTGTTGTCGTCGTAACTGAAGCGTCGGTAGTGGTGGTAGTGGTGGTAGTGGTTGTAGCTGCAAATCAGTAAATTTTCAGATGAATCAAATGTTTGAAACTTTACTTGGAGATGTACTACTGCTGGTGGCTGCACATGGGTTTGATGGGACGAAAAAGTAAATGGGAAGCACGAAAAGGGAAGCCCAAAGGTTCATTTTTATCTAATCTGGAAATGATTACGAGTGGTTAGTGAGTTATTTCAACCGGACGAAAACAGAACAGTTGGTTACAAACAAATTACAGGAAAAGCATCTCAAAAATGAGGTGATATTCAGAAAAATGACAAAAAGCGGATTTGTCGGAAATCGGCGCTTTTCTATACTAAAAATGGCTATTACAAGCCGGAGTCGGGTCGGAACGGTGGTCAGAAAGAACATCAGTGGGAAGCAATGAAAATTTTCGTTCTAAAATCTCAGACTAATATCCCGGAAGGGTTTGCGAATTCCTGAAGACTGAAGATCATAACGGAAACATTCTCTCCATTCATCGAAAGTTCTCAAAAGTGTCCTGAGAAGGTGGAACAGAAAAACGACGATCAACGAAACTGAGAAAAAGTTAGACGCTCGGCAGAAATGAGACAAAATGTGAGATGAAGAACGAAAAAACGAAACGCAACAGTGAAAAGGAGTGAACACCTGGTTAGAATGGGAAACAAATTGAAGCCAATTGATCTCGACTCGCGCCAGGATTGTCCTTTTGATCTTTCTGCCTTTCTCTTCAAAATACAAAAGCGACAAGGATTCGGGAGAAGCGTCGTCTTTGAAAAGTGATGATGAAGAAGAGGTGAGAAAGGAAGGAAGGATTCCCGAGAGATGCTGCTTTTCTTTTATGGGTTAGCGGACTAGCTAAAGGACAAGAATAAGGAGAGGAGGGGCACACATAATTACCCGAGAATAATGACCGATGACCATCATGACGGACGACGAACGGGGAAGGAACGGGAGTAGGGGTTGCCTTCTTCTTCTTCTTCCCGAAAATGACGATGCTTTTGAGTCTTTTCTGATGGAATGTGATGGGTTTTGATGATGATTCTTATGGGTGGAGTCTGTTTGATAGACTTTATACGGTTTGTTCGGACAGTTCAGTCCGGTCCTTGTCACTTTGGTGCCAAGATCATTCGAACCAGGATCCATTGTGTTCCATTCCCATTCTCATTAAGCACGTTCATGTTCATGTTCGCGACACAAAAACGTTCATGATGTTGCTTAACATGTTTCTGGGTCCCCCCGATCACCCACAATTCACTGTAGTCGCTTCGATTCATCACACGTCTTTCAGATTTCAAGTACTCGCTCGTCACCTCTTGACATATCTCCATTGAAAGAGAAGAGGAGAGATGGGAAGAGGGAGAGGGCGCAGAGAAATCGACGGTAATGTTTTGTTTCTCGCTCCACACGGGGGGCCGAAACAAAACTGAAGAACAATAAACAGTTTCTGGTTTTTCATCCCAATCACAACTGCCGCAATCTGTGGCACGCAACTTTTTCATGAATATGTATTTGTTCTCGGCGCGCAAAACTTGCTTGTTTTCCCGTCATTTGGTCGTTGATTTCAGCTAGCCAGTAGGTGCTCTATTTTTAGTCGTATAAAACTTGCGCACGTGCTTTTCTCACATGTCTCGCTCATTTCGTTGAGAAAAAGTTTTGTCAGCGTTTTGGCACGTTTGTCTGCGAGCGTGTTGGCATTTCGTCTCTTATCACTTCCATTTGGAGTTGGTCATCTTGCCGCGACTATAAGTTTTTGCTGACATTGCGTACAAAGTTGTAAAACTTTTGATTCTTTAATTTCAGTTACCATGACCCACTTCAAACTCTACTATTTCGACGTGCGCTCACGCGGTGAAGTCATCCGCCTTCTCTTCCATCTCGCCGACGAAAAGTTCGACGATGAGCGCATTAGTTTTGAGACCTGGGGAGCCTTGAAATCCCGTAAGTTTCCAATGGGTTGTGACGTTTCATTGTGACGTTTCAGAAATGCCGCTCGGCCAGCTTCCGGTCCTTGAAGTTGACGGTGTCAAGATTGCCCAAACGACCGCAATCGCTCGCTATCTCGGACATCAGTTTCGTGAGTGACTGAAATTAATCAAACAAAAAGTGACATTTGAAATCTCCTTCAAAATTCAGACCGCGCCGGAACCAATGCGGTCGACTGTGCTCGTCTTGACATGATCGCCGAGGTCATCCAGGAGTTCATGAGCACTCAGGGAATGGGGAGATTCGCTCGAGTGCTCGCCGGGATGATTCCAGAGATTCAAGACAAGAACCAGTTCTACAAGGAGCAAGTGGTCCCGGATATCGAGAAGTATGCCCCGCTTATCGAGAAATTCCTTGTCGAGAATGGAAACAACGGACTTTTCCTGGGGGACCGTGAAACCTGGGTCGACGTGTTTGCCGCTGAAACCTTCTCGAAAGTGATCGACTACGGAAGCCCGGATGCTTTGGATGCTTATCCGCACATTCTGGTGAGAAAATCATAGAAAAATCTTGAAATGCTTTCAATTTCAGTCTTTGATCAACCGTGTCTTCAACCACCCGAACATCAAGAAGTACGTCTCCGAGAGAAAGCATACCGTCTGCTAAATATTGCCCGCTTATTTTGTTTTATTGCAATGCAATAGAGGTCACACAATCTATCGAACACTTTTTATATACATCTTCTTCTTGTTCGTACTCTTCAATAAATGCTTCACACAACCGATACAGTACCTTTAACTCTGACCCGAAGAACAATCAAAACTGTCAATATACAGATTCCAATGAAGATCAGTACAAACTTCAAGTATTCAATGACTCTTGGGACGACAATGATGCCCAACCAGACGGTGTTCATGATGAAATCGGCAACCACTGCATGTGAATCTTCGTAGAACAACGGAACAATAACATTTGGTAATTGTGATGTCATACTGCAAAACCAAAACTGGAAATGATGAAGGGTCAGGTGACTATAGTCTTACAATGATCCCTTGTTGTTGGTAACCGGTAGATTTATTTGAAATCTCACGTCCACTTGCAGTGCAGTCCCCGAAATCTGAAATAGTTCAGTTCCTCTCTCACTTCTTTCCCACTAGATTCAACTTTTTCTTGATAGAACACCATCGGTTTATGCTTTTCCGGGTCCGGTCGCATCCCAGAGAGATGGTGTTGAACTTCTGGCGGCGAGTATAGAAAGTGAGGGGCAGACACGAGAACCGTGAACGGCGGCTGCGCATTATGGCCTGTAAAACAAGAAAAATGGATGCTTAGTCGAATCATAAACTATCGAACGTCGGGCGGGGGGGGCAATTTGATAGATCACTATCAAAAGGATGAAAAGTGAGAAAATGGTCACCAACCCGGATAGCAAACGAGTGGGAACAAGCCGGGCGGCAGGAGATGAGTGCCATTTACAGTTTTTTGACGACATGATGAATCGGATTGGCTACAAGATCAAAAGATGAAACTGGGAAAGGAGGGTTTGGTCTTCTGTTCAAGTGATTTAGAACAAGAAATGTGTTCTCTTTTCTTTGATCTCTTCGAATTAGCTATAACCGTTAAGATTAGCCGAATTGGGCTGAGAAAGTTTCACACATTATGTGAAAGCGACCAACTCACTTGTCACACGCATTCCATTCAGGGTAATAGTCCACATTTTCCGGATTCGGGTACCGGAAACCAGCGTTTTTCTCCAAAGTAGTGTCGAAATTGTCATAAGGGACTGCGAATGCCATTGTTTTGATGCCATCCACCATTCCTTCTTTCCAGTAAGTTTTGCGGAATGAACGACACATGAATGACAGGAAAAACGGTAATTCGTCGGATTTTGTGAGATGAAGTTTCGATAGACTTCCAGAATCTGAACAGAATTTCTTAAGAGGCAATGTCTGAGAACCTCGAAATTCGCTAATTACACCAGGTCACTAAAAATTCAGAATGCTTCAATTTGTCTCATATTATACCCAATGGGTACTTACATAACAGTGATACATCAGACAAGTTTTGGTCCGGCTCCTTGGTCCCTAGTCCGATCACGGTCACAAAAATAGGTCAAACCTGTAACTAATTTCAAAAAAATGCTCGCGTCTCAGACTCAACGCCATTCGATTTCTCGCATCTTTTTTTAAGCATTTTTTTCATGTCGGCACCAAAAAAATTTATCACCTTTCCTTCATGGAGAAATTTCGGATTTTTTTCGTGAAAAAAAGTTGAGTTGTTGTGCAGTTTTCCTCCGTGGTGAAAAATTTTTTTTGCACTTCATAGCCACGATTTTTATTTCAAAATCCTAATCTACGGACAATTTTACGTCGATATACCATACTGTCGCACATTTGCCGATTGACATCAAAGGAGTTTTTCAAAAGTTTGATCCGGTCTCAAAAAAAGTTTCTGTTCTGCTTTTGGAAAACTTACAGAAACAAGGGAATTCCTGTTTATAGACGTTTTTCATGCTAAAAACTGTAATTCTGTTATGTATTCGTCAGGTACAGCTTTGTAAACGTAGCGTTTAAAACATGTTGAAATTTTTTGTCAGCCGGATAGATTTTTCGAGATGTGTTCGCTTTTACCCAATATTTTATGCTTTCTCTCGTTTTTATTTTTCAATGTTCATCTTACTTTTTGTGAAGCATTTATTTGGTCGTTCTCCGATTGATTCAAGAACGGTAAACAAGAAGTACATATTATAGGGGCACCGCACAGAAATGGCGCTCTGTTGAGAAACTCTTTTTGCAGTTCAAATTGAGCGACCTCGGGACCGAGTTTGAAAAGTTAGGCCATATTTTCAGTAGAAAATTACTTCGCGGCCTAGAAATTCGACCAGATTGCGAACAGCGCGCCTTTTCCGTCCGGTGCCCCTATAATACACATGGGGCAACACTCAACAACAAAAGTACATCAAATAGGTATAAAAGCACAAAGCAAATTTTGTGTAGCTATTCTTCTTACTATTTTCAAACTACTGATATTATTAGATGGTCAATATTACAGATTATAATGAAACTCATTGTATTCCTGATTGTACAGTTGCTCTTGCAGTGGTCAATTTGTTCCGTAAAGTAATTTGAAGTCATTGACTGGAACATACGAGTTCCAACATGCCGGATACACTTCAACTGTGATTGGGTCTATTGATGAAGAACGAAATGCTGTACTGTCGCAGAAGCAGACCAAGTTTTGGTACTTTCCGGAATGTACTAAGTCAACTGATTCTCAAAACACTGCTTGCATTGAAGAAGAAGATGAAAATGAAGTGGAAAGCGATGAAGTGAGACCGCGGTACGAAGACGCTTTGGAAAAGATATTTACATGCCCAGAGGAAGGATGCTCAGCTACATTTTTGAGATATTCAAGCGTGGTCAAGCATGTTGAACGTGGACAACATATAATTCGACCTGAACGGCAGACACTTCGTGATTTTTCATTGAAATAATTTATTCGTGGTTTGGAAGAAGTGGTCAAAAAGTTGCCCAATAATTTCGAATGCTGTGAAAAAACTGAAGGAGACGAACGAGAAGACGGAATTGGAGGACGGATGGGTACTTCAAGTAAGAAATTTCAACATGCGGATCCGAGAATTGTTGAAAAGAGAATGGCAGAAGCTAGAAATCCGGACGGTTCTAAGCGGTTTTCAGTGGATCAAAGGAAAGACTTCCGTCAGATTGCCGGGTTCTTCTCCCGTGAAGCAGCGAAAAGGCAATCAAAAGCAGCATGATCGCGACGCGCTCAAGAAATGAAGGATGACTCGTGGAAGGATGTAGTTTTTCACTGAAAATGTGGCCTAACTTTCAAACTCGGTCCCGAGGTCGCTCAATTTGAACTGCAAAAAGAGTTTCTCAACAGAGCGCCATTTCTGTGCGGTGCTCCTATAATATGTACTTCTTGTTTACCGTTCTTGAATCAATCGGAGAACGACCAAATAAATGCTTCACAAAAAGTAAGATGAACATTGAAAAATAAAAACGAGAGAAAGCATAAAATATTGGGTAAAAGCGAACACATCTCGAAAAATCTATCCGGCTGACAAAAAATTTCAACATGTTTTAAACGCTACGTTTACAAAGCTGTACCTGACGAATACATAACAGAATTACAGTTTTTAGCATGAAAAACGTCTATAAACAGGAATTCCCTTGTTTCTGTAAGTTTTCCAAAAGCAGAACAGAAACTTTTTTTTGAGACCGGATCAAACTTTTGAAAAAAACTCCTTTGATGTCAATCGGCAAATGTGCGACAGTATGGTATATCGACGTAAAATTGTCCGTAGATTATGAATTTGAAATAAAAATCGTGGCTATGAAGTGCAAAAAAATTTTTTTCACCACGGAGGAAAAACTGCACAACAACTCAACTTTTTTTCACGAAAAAAATCCGAAATTTCTCCATGAAGGAAAGGTGATAAATTTTTGGTGCCAACATGAAAAATGCATAAAAAGATGCGAGAAATCGAATGGCGTTGAGTCTGAGACGCTAGCATTTTTTTGAAATTAGTTACAGGTTTGACCTATTTTGTGACCGTGATCGGACTAGGGACCAAGGAGCCGGACCAAAACTTGTCTGATGTATCACTGTTATGTAAGTACCCATTGGGTATAATATGAGACAAATTGAAGCATTCTGAATTTTTAGTGACCTGCAGTTTTTGAACTTCTCAGACATTGCCTCTTAAATTGTAAGCTAAGGTAGAGCTAACCAGGTCCTTTGATTTGTCTCGCATCCGCCGTAGGCCAAAAACTGCTCGGGAGCTCTTTCAAACCCGCCCAGCTCTCCACAAATCCTAACTTGTTAAAATCTTTGTAACCCGTATTTATCAAATAGTTCTCGTCGTAAGAGTTGTTGTACTGAAAAGAAGAACGGAACTGAAATGCTGCACAAAAACTACTTACCCCGTACAAGTAAGCGAATTTCGTCATGGCTGGAATGTAGTGTAGTGAGTCTCCGTAGCCCATCATATTTGCGACGACGTTGAAAATCTGAACACGGGTAGGTGTTGAACAACGTTTCATTGGAAATGCGAAACTTACAGGTGAATGAGCGACATTAAGAAGTGGATCTTCAAATCCTTCAAATAAAGTTTCCTTGACCGATTTTGAACTAAAAAAATTCCTTAAGTGATAAACTCAAGTTAGAACCTACATAAATGGATATTCTCCCAATGCAACCAACCCGATTGAGACAATCATCTGAGCAGTTTTACTGAACTGTGAATTAGGACCGAAGATCACTGCCACTGCTCCCTAAACCATTCAGATTTCAAAGGAAAAGCCGCAACCAGGGCTGGGCAATTGGCCGGCACGGGCTTTTCGTTGGCCGGCCCTTGACCTGGACTTTTGAACCACTTGCAATATTCCGATCGGACCCAAACTTTGCAGGATTGTTGGACTTGGATTGAGGGCCATAGGGTCCAAGTTTCAGCCCGATCGGATCGTCGAATCCCGAGATATGTGGATCATTGGCCGATTTTTTCCAAAAAGCCCGGGCCAATTTCGGCCAATGATCCACATTTCTCAGGACCAAATAATCCGATCGGGCTGAAACTTGGTCCCAATATGCTTCAACCCATGTCCAAGAAGCCTGCAAAGTTTGGGTCCGATCGGAATATTGCATGTGGTTCAAAAGTCCAGGTCGAGGGCCGGCCAACGAAAAGCCCGTGCCGGCCAATTGCCCAGCCCTGGCCGCAACCAACTTACTGTCGCGATAGAGTTTGGAAACATGACATGATCATCGTAACTTAATCCCTCGTCCAAGTTTTCCGGGCTGTACAGATACCGCTTATAGTTCTGGTAGAACATTTGCGTCTTATCAGTACTGAAGTCGTAATACTTCTTCTGCTCGGACTCCCTGAATTAATCCTATTACATTCAAACTTCAGTACTTCCGTGTAAACTGACAAAAATCCATATCCGCCGACTTCAATCAGTTCCGGTTTCGCACCCAAATACTTCACCTCATCGGGATTGGTGATATTGAAAAAATTGAACTTCATCACGTTCTTCATTGGCGGATTTGCGTATAGAAATGCGGAGTATTTGAGAGACCCGTCATAATTGGCTTCTAGCTTGTAATTCTGAAGGAAACACGATTCATAGGATTACGGAAGCACTTACAGATCTCAGTTCCGAGTTGAATATAGGCCAAAACGCGATCCACATCGAAATACCGGAGAGAAAGAAGAAACCGGACACAAGAAAGGCGTAGATTTCATACCTTTCGATGCGCCACATCATTTCTGGAGAGTGTCAATACGGAAAATGCTAACTATATGTTCTTCTTATCAGTGAAATTATATGTGCAAAGCTGGCATAATTATATGTAATAACCTTCTCTAACACAGAGGTAGCTTATCAGTGAATCGAACCACTTTTGACACCTATCGGTAATTGCATTTGTGTTGGCCGGAGCACAAATGGGATGATTCGAAAAAAGTCAGGAAAGGGTACAGCAGAAAAAAGTAAAAGAAAGGGTACAGCATAACTCGTTAACAAGTAATTGCCGGTAAAGATCGAAGTACGCCGACAAGTCTGCAAAGAGCCAACACAGGACGTGAGACCAAAGAGGGACGCGACGACACATTAGTGCCTTTTTACTATGACAATCCATCTTTGTGGTGAGAGAACGCCGCGGTGATTTAACATTTGGTTTGCCCGGTTCATCCCCATTGTATCAACACTCCCCGGGTAGTGTGAGTTTGAATTTATTTCCGATCTAGTTCCCTTTTTCTTCAACAGTCTCTCACTTCTTTTTCCGCGAGCATCCGTCGGAGAGAGTCTGACCACTTGTCTAGTGACCTTGTCACTTTTTTCGCGCAAAACAGAACCATGATCATAAATTACCGAGCTCCAAAGTTATAAACCAGTCGGGTGCCACTGTTTTGGCGGATGCCGCCACCATCTGTTCGCGCGCGGGTGCCTCATTCTGGAAACCTGATACTTTCTGCGACTCCTCACTCTTCTTTTTTTCCGGATGAGCGTCTGCGGAGTACTGTATCTTCTTCTCCACGCCATACTTAATTCTCCAAGAGTTTGGAACGGGGTTTGGAGAAAGTGAGAACATCCATCTAAGCTACTCGTCGCGGAGCTCCAATTCCAATTCGCTTCGCGCGTTCACTCTTCAATTGTGATGATGAGCGCCTTCTCCGAAAGGTTGAAAACGCTGTGGTGCATTTATAAAAGCATTCTGAACGGTTATGTGATCAGATTCCACTGCAGAGAGTCGTATTACGGCACTCTGATTATAAACAAAAATCATTCCTGTGAAGACCGTATTTCTTCAATGTTTGTGTTGGAAGTGATAAAACACGTAAATTCGAGAATTTTGAGCGCTTGAACAGAAAAAATTATTGCATTTTCAGCGCAAAACCCAAAACCGATTCAATTTTTTATATTTCTAAATGAACTCTGCTAGTTTCCATTCCACATTGTGCGCAATGATTAATTTCACAGAATTATCCACGTTTGTCGTCGAAATCGTCCACAATTTGGGTAATTTTTTAATTAATACATGAAAAATGGGATTAACATTTGAATTTCGCGCCAAAATGATGATAAACCGCGCACGCTAGGCCACGCCCGCTTCCACACTATTGGTTGCCGTAAATTCGAAGACTGAGGAGTGACGGCCGCGGCGGCCAACAGGTTGGCCGCGGCCTCGCCGGCCCCCTAGTTTCACAGCCTCGCTCCCGACTCGACACTGTTGAAGACCTTCAAGTAATCAATAAAACAACAGTCACGACTTATTTCGCTGATCTCCTGCTCTATCTGTTGTTTTTTGCCTGTTGTTGAAAGTTTCGGGGAGATTGTGAAGGAGTTGTGCTTTCGCACGTCATTTGCCACCCTTTAATGCTTTCCTCTTGTTTTACTACTGCCGTATTCGTAGTTTTTCGTCTCTGAAACCACGCTCTGCTCTTTATCTGGCCCAGTTTTTCGCAGCATAATGATTCGCTGAAAAGTGGCCGAACTTTTTCATTTTTCTTCAGGCTCGGCCTCAAGATCATTGCAGTTTGCACTGCAAAAATAGTTTCTCAACAGGGCGGAATACCCCCATAATATAATTTTTTTTTCAGAAACGTTGTTTGTCTTAAATGTTGACGGGTCGCACCCGAGAAATGATGACGCAAAACCATGCTAGTGGACTTGGACAGTAAAATCGATTTTTTTATGGGGGAGATCGGTGTTCTTTGTATGCTTGCTGAATTTCTAAATTATTTGCCTTTTTCCGATTTCACTGCTGCTAGTTAGTTTTTCTCGAACATTACGGCCCCTCCGGTCACCGGTCGCTTGTTGCTCGCACTTCTCCAACGCGCGCGTCCGTCGGAAACTGTCCGGCCACTTGTCCAGTCATCTCGCCGCTTCTTTTCGCGCAAAACACCGCCATGATTATAAATTATCGAGCTCCGAAGTAATAAACAGTTCGGCTTCCCGCTTTGGCCCGTGCCGCCACCGTCTGGTCCCGTACGGGTGCGTGATTCCGGTAACTTGATACTTTTTGAGCCTTCTCACTCTCTCGCTCGTTTTTTATAGTGTCTCTGCCGGTTTTCTGCTTTTCTGACATACTGTACCTTTTCTTTTTTTCAGTCAAACAACCCACGTGATGTCGAAACCAGCCAAGATTCCGGAGTTTTGCGTCGACAAGAATCTGACAAGCTTCACGGAAGCGGAACTCGAAGAATTCGCGAAATACGCGGGGAATGTTCAGTCGACAAATCCTCAGCCAGTGAAGTCTTCCGAAGTTTCGGATGTTCTCGGTGCGTTCACTAGCAGGAAGAGTGTGTTGTATTCAGAATTTACGTTTCAGAAGTCATCACCGCCTACCGCGACGTCTACGAGCACCTCGAGGATAACACCCAGACAACTGACGAACTGCCAGAGGTAGCAATCATTTTACCGACAATTTGCAAAAATTTTGTTGCAACTATGACTGTACTGACATAGAAATACGTTTAATCCCGTATTTTCAGAGTACGTCAGAATACGCGAAACAGATGCAGCTTGTGGAACTCCTCACGAAGGCGCACATGCACATCGGCTCGCCGGTTTCAGAGGTGGGCTATCGATTGATTCGAAAAAAAGACACTAGCGGTAAAATCTTCAAAAAGAGAAAGGCAATGTTCCAAACGTACTTGTAAAATAAGGACTCGGCCGGGTCCCGTCGGCCTCGGTTGCGATTTAATGACGAAATTTTCACCCGTTCATTTAGTGTGTTTTTAAAGATTTATATCACGAAATAGGCCTTCTCCTTCTTTTTTCCCTCAAATCGGACCGAATTAGTAGCGATATAAAAAGCTGGTCCGCAACAGTTATGATTCAGGTGGACGAGCCGACCGGGCCCGTGCTATGACTAATTATAGGATTGTAATTCAAAAAAAAAATCCCAGATTAGTCAAATTTCCCGTAAAATTCTAAGATTTTCAAGCGGAATATGGAACACTTATAATTTTTTTTGCCGAATATAGAAATAGGACGCACTGGGCCGAGAGGTGTTCGACAAATAGTTTCGAAAGAGAAATGCATTAAAAAACAGTTTTTTCAGGCTCCGTTTTTCGAGAATGAAGACGAAGAAGTGTATTTGATTATCTCAATCAAGCTGATGAAGGAAATGGGTTCCATCTGCACGCTGTCGGTTTATTTGCTTGATACCTATGATCATTCGAAGGTAAGATATGAAACCACGCTTCAAAATCACTTTCAAATGTTCAGGGAACAGAACAAAGGGAGAGTTTCAGCACGGATATATCTGAGGCATACCTCTCGGTTCCGCTGAAATCCCTGGAAGTGTGGGCCCGGTATAAACAGCGACCATGCATCCAATTGCTCGTGGAACTCAAGTATGAAGGGACGGACGGTAAGAACATGAAAAATGCGGGATTCTCTGAAATGTGTACTTATTTGCAGCGGGCCCAAGCCCTTCATTTTTGAAAAGAATTGAGGTGTGGACAAAGGAGAACGGCTTCTTCTTCTCGAAAAAGTCGTCGGCATGGGCATGGCCGATCGCAATGGATTCGATCTCAGTGGACAGAGTCCAGAGGAGACACACGCTGAACAATTTCCTCCACAAACCACCTTCCCACAACAGCACGCAGAAGTTTGAATTCGAAATATTCAAACAATCTGAAGACCCCACAGTCTGCCAAGACTGGGATAGTCAGCTAGATGCCACCTGTACGTTTCATTTTTTTGTAATGTCTTGAAGAATCCTTCTTTTTTTTTCAGTTCTTGGTGGCACCGGTCTTGCGGTGGAACACAATTGGCCTGTCGCAACCACCATGGCCGCCACTTTTGGCAAGAGGCTCCTCGACATAGAGAACATCTTCGCGTGCACCCGGATTATTTATAGGTTCTCGTTCGACACCGCGTTCGGCAATATCATCTGCATCGTCTGCGGCAAGACGTTTGACAAGCTACCGAGCCTCGTCTATCACATCAACAGACTTTACGAAAAGTTGCACATCAAGTTGCAGCTCCAGGTGAGTCAAAGAGGTTTCACTGAATTTCAACATGTTTTCCTTTTCCTATTCCAGGACAAAAAGACGTGTATCATTCACCTGGAGGTCTCTGATATGGAAAGCGAGACGCACGTGGGCCGCTGCAACAAACTGATGCCGAAGAATCAGCAAGTCGATCGGAAGAATGAGTTCGCTGTGGCGATGTTCTCAGCTCTCAGCGCTTCGAATTTCCAACTTCCTGCTGCCGAGTTCCGCAAGAGGATTAAAGACACCTACCCGACACTTCAGGGAAAGTGGTTCATGTGCCATGAATGCTGCATCACACCATACGACTACAAGAAGTACGCAGAGGAGGTGTTCGAAGTCCACAAGGTAGGCATTTCCAGTAACTGAAAGAAACTCGAGTTATATATTCACCGTTTTCAGATCGCAACGATGTGGGAGGCTGACTTTGACAAGAAGTTCTTCTGGATAACGTTCAAGTCATTTCTGGCGAAATCCTACGTGAGCGGCATCCGCTCCCATGGCCTTTACCAGCTCTTGGATATATTCATCCTGTGCCACATACCGCTGTTCGCGTTGAACCGCTTCAACTTTGTTGGCAATTTCAATCAACTGATTGTTTCCGACATTCAGCAGGTCTTCCCTGCAGAAGAGAAACTTCCCCCGATAGTGGCGTTGATCCTCAGAAATAAGTGAGCATTTTTTTTGTTCAAAATTTCTGAATTTGCTTGTTTTTTCAGGGCGAAAAAAACATTCTTCAAGTTGGATCAGGAAGACGGGGATATCATTCTCAGAACGTTGTGGAACAAAAAAGAGTACATGAACAGGACGGAGAAGGAATTCGACGTCATCAAGAAGTTCATTGGCAGCCCGTTCCCCACCACCAGAGAGCAGATATGCGCCACGTGGCAGATGTTTGCAAGCGAACCTGATGCGTGCAAGTTGCCGGAAGTCGGAATTTTCCTCACCACATGGAGAGTATGTACTTGAAAATTGTAACTATAATATTGTATCGTTTGTAGGACAAAGACAATCATCCGGTGCGTGTCCCCAAATGCCTGTACTTCGGATCCGTCGCTGATGAGACGATTCAGAAGGTTTTCGACGACTTCTACAAAATTTAAAGATTTATGCTTTTCGAACATCCTAATTCATTTTCTTCTTCTCCCTCTGACTTTTTTCTTTCCAAAACTGCTTTCCCTTTGAATTTATTCGAGTTCCCTTTCAATAATTCTTCTGATGATTTCATTTTATCTTGCACATTTTCATTTATTCACCAATTCCCTAAATATGTACTTCTCTCCTTTGAAATCTCGTTGCTAAAAGTATCGTTTCCTCTCTCTCTCACCAATTGTTCTGTTTCGCAAGCTTTCGAAGACAAAACACCAATGTTTTTGTAGAAATGACACATCTCCTTCTCGGTGGTAACTGCTACCAACTCATTACTTCGCCTTTCCCTTTTTCTCCCTCCTCCACACGTCAAATGTTTTGTTGACATAGGCACAGAGTCACCTACCACGACTCATTCGTCGATTTTGCAATAGCTACAGTAACCGTACGCTCAGCGTCGAAAGCCAGGGCGGCGCGGGACGCTTCAAACGGTGAAAATTAGGTTGCACAACTTGTGACTGCACCTGGCACTAACTTTTTTTTCGAAATGGCGGTTTGGTGAAAAGATTCACCCCCCTCTCCCTCTTTTTCGAATTGAATTGCGCAACTTTTTGCTGACGCCGACCTGGGAACGTGAGCCTTTGAGTACGGTACTTGAGAGGGAGAAACTGATGAAAGCTTCGAATTGTTCGAAATGACTCATCGATCAATCTTTTAGAAAAAAGTAGGCAGTGCTTTTATCAACTCTTGGCGTTATTTGTTATGTGCCACAAACCGGTGTTCTAGTTGAATATCTTCAATCTTCTGAATCTCATTAGCAACTAATCCAAAGTACAGACACGCTTTTTGCCCCTGAGAATTTTAAGGATGATATCCGTTTACCCTTCCTGGACGTACTGCCCTCTGATCCTCTAAAATTATTTAGCCTTCTCGCAGTAAACAAGACAATTATTCGAAAGGTACTGTATCGCCTTGCGTGCACAAATTCCCATGATGTTTACGCATTTGGTCGAATTCAAAGTATTGTCTGTCGTTTGTTCTTCTCCCATTTCCTCCAATCAATTTTGCTCAGTTTTTGGCAGACTTTTCGCGGGCGCGGCAGCGTCGATAGAATCCGAACCAGCATCCGGCACGGCCCCTGCCGATTTATACCAAACTTTCCGGAAATTCTGAAAAAAACTGATGAAATTGCCCTTTTTGATTCAAATTCAAGAAAAAAGTTGAATTTTCCTGATTCTGCACTTTCTTCCGGGTAATTGTGAGCTCGAGGTACTGTATTCCGACCAGCCGCCGACCAATCACGCAAGTGGGCGGCAGGCAGCACACTCGTTCCGCCCAACACCCCCTCCCTCCCGCACTTCCGACACCATTCTCCCTCCCTCCTCTCATTCTCTTCCGCTTTCTACTGAAACGCACCGCCAACTCAGATGTCTGGATGTAAAGAACACCTCCCGTTCTGCGTCTACAAGAAAAGGATCGCCTTCACGGATCAACAGCTCAAGGACGCCATTCAGCACAGCGAGAACAAGCCAGACTGCGAGCTCAGAAGCTCCACTGATGACCCGATCCAAATACTGGGTAAGTTGTATTCATTACCATTCAATACAAAACTCTTTATCATCTTCCAGGGACGGTCGTCTACTACAGGAAATTGTATGCGACTGGCCGTTGTCAAAAACCGCTGCCTGACTGTGAAGTGAGAATTTCCATTTATTGTCTACTTCAAAAACTTGTCTTTAATTCAGGTCATCGGCGACCAAATCCTTGAGATGACGGTAATTCGGTCCCTCCACAAGTACGCACACCATCTCGGAAATCCAGTCGGACCGGTAAGCGGTTTTTGACTTTTATAGCATAGGTGCGGGATGTTTGAGAAACGCCAAAACATTTTTCGACGTTCCGGTCGGTTTGAAATTTCCGAACCAGCATAAAATTTATAGACTCTGTTACGTTTTTTAGTTTTCCCTTTATTTCGGCTGGAAGAGCTAGATTGACACTTTTCATCACATGCTTAAGTCACTGTCCACGTAATTTGTGAAAATCTTGTACAGTAGGCGCGGCGGAAAGTGTTTTCGATCGGGCTGAAAACCCCACAGACCCCTAATCTTTGGCTCCGGGCTACGGGTATTCACACAAAAAAGCTCAGCTTGATCGGAAACGAAACACTCTGGGCAGGTTGACCAACGGTTGTTAACGATATATAAAAACCTTATCTAATGTTGAATAGAGGCTCTGATTCTGTTTTCAGTGGAAAAAAGCACATTTCCTAGTGTAAAACATGCTAAATAATGTATTTTCCAGTCCCCATTCAGCTCTGAGAGAAAAGTCACTCTCAACGTGAACTACGACCTGCAGGAGACGAACGGCAAGGAGTTCAAGCTCAATCTCTTGAAAGTGGATCCGCGCACCAAAAACTTGGTATGGTTTCATCAAACTATTTACAGAAAAACTCTTTTTTGCAGCAAGACTTGAAACACGTTGTGTTCACAAACGCTTCTGCGAAAGCTGCTATCAGTTTCGAGCTGAACTCGCTCGTCAACGAGGCGCGAATCAACGGCGACGAAAGTCTGCAAATTCTCATTGAAGGATGTTACGATGATAATCCTGGTAAGTGGAGATATCCTGATTTTCAATCAGAGTTTGCGTAATTCGTAATTCAGAAACCTCAATCCTCAAACGAGTGGAAGTTTGGAGCCGCTCGGAGGGCTACCGCTTCTCGAAAGAGACGAGCGTGCAGGCGCACAAGAAGAGTCGCCAATACTTCAACCCGAGAACTATCGGCGCAGAGATAGACCATCTCCTGGACAAGCCGGCCATCGGACCATCGGATTCGACTTCAAGGTTCCGACTCTCCGTTGATGGTCACTGTTTTTCGAATGCGGACATAAACACCACTCATGATTTCGATTCGAACCGAAACGCTTACCGTACGTAAATTTTGTCATGAATTGAAAAAAATAATAGTGAAATGCTATTTCAGGTTACGAAGGAATCGATTACGGATGGGACAGAAACCGGAAGCGTCAACAGGACGTGAACAACGAGTTCCGCGTGCAGTTAGCACAGATGCGCGGGATTATGGGTGTGAAGCTGATCACTTACCCAAATGTGTGCTCGGTGAAGAAGCCGATCTACTGTGTCGTCTGCAAGACGGAGTTCCCGACGCTGCCGCTACTGATTCATCACATCATCACAACGTACCCGAAACTGGCAATTGTGGTCGGAAAGAAAATTGAGCCGGATGTAAGCGTAAACTGAAAAAATTTTATTGCAATTGGTTCATGTTTTCAGGGAAATGAGCATGTAGAAATACAGTTGTTTGTCAATGCATTCAAGCGCGGCGGCCTGGGACGTCCCGACGTCGTCAGCTACATGGTGTACCTAGAGGAGGTCAAGCAGGAGCTCTTTTTCTCCAGTTCCTTGTTTTCATCCATGTCATACGCGCTCAGCTCGGAGGAATTTATTGAGGAATTGAACTTTTCTTACAGTCAATTGCACGGAAAGACAGTTGTTTGTAATGACTGTCGATTAATTCCTCACAACATGGGCAAAAGCATGTCTGACTTGGAGGAAGTCTACTTAGTGAGTCACTTTTTTGCGTTCTGATTGAATTTGAAGTTTACAGCACATGAACGCTCGAGAAGTAGAGTTCACTGAGAACTTTTTCTGGGTTCTCTGGAAGAACTTCTTGGCGAAGAGCCACGTTTGCGGTATTCAAGACCGCGGCATATTCCAAATTCTCCGCATTTTTGTGCTCTGCCACCAGGTCCCGATCGCCGTCCGGCTTTACAGGTTCCGAAAGAACTTCGACAGGATGATTGGGGAATACTTCTCGATAATCTTTCCGGACGAGAAGGAACTAACGCAAATTGAGAAAATGGACCTGCACAAGAGGTGAGAGTTCATTTCACAGATTGACCTAACCTTACTCAATTTGATTTCAGAATGGAGATCGGAGAGTACGATCCGCTCGGAGACGACGGCCATTTCATCTTCAAATCCGTCTGGAATAACAAGAAGGACATTCTGAAGCAACAAGTGCCGGATAGGGTGAAGAAGGTGCTCAGCAAGCCGTGTCCGCAAACGTATCAGGAGAGAAAAGAAGTCTGGGACGAGATTCGCTGGGATGAGGCTTCCTTGGCCGTGATCCGCGTCGGCAACGTCTTAACTCCAAACTGGGTAAGAGGCGATAAACATAACATGTTGTTCAACAAAAGTTCGTTTCAGACCAAGAACGGCAACATCATCCACGTGCCGAAGTGCCTCTTCTTTGGAATCGCCGACAAAGACGATTTGATCCAGCTAGAGCACGACGAATTCTTCCGGCAGTAAGCGGTTCGGCTTCATATCAGAGTGGCGGCGACATTTTTCTGTAAATTTACCGGTAATTCAGCCATCAATGGTTAGAAATTCAATCGATAAACCACATTGTCATCCTCCCGCACCCCCCAACTTTCTGCACAGTTTTCTCCAAGAACTTCGTCGTCATTTTCAATATTTCCGTCCAAATTGTGTTTATCTATTCCACAAGTGTTAAGATTTGATGTAAAAGTTGTCAATTAGTTATTATCGTCTGCTTTCTCACACTTTATCTGTTCCCTCACCGTTTTCCCGCACGTTTGCATGCAACGTTTACGTATTATAAATCCAATCTCATATCCAATTAGTCTGCTTTCTTTTTTGTGCTTTGTCTTTAAATGCTTAATGAACCGACTGTGTTTTCGACAGAAATAATTCAAAATACTTTCGTCTTTCTGGTACATTCCGTATTTTACCTCGTTCGTCAATTAACAATCTACAATTGTCTTGTTTCGTTCAGAGAATCCACAATGACGTCTACCGATGAACTTGCCAAGCTTTGCTCCTTCTCAATGCCCGATTGTAAGGATGCCGACGATGTTAGTGCTGAGTTGGAAGTGATCGAAATGGAGCCGGAAGAATTGACGGGAGAAGATCAGACGATTGGTGCGTTTTCATTCCTTTTGCGTCATAGGCTCGATTCTCAAGCTTTTGTTCTCGAGGACTCACTCTGCTCTGCATTTCAGACGTCATCGAGCAGTATAGAAAACTGTCAGTGCTTGAGAAACCGAACAAACAGGACGACTTCACATTTGACAGCTTGGATTTCAAAAAGATGTTGGAGACGTGTTGGGTCATGGAGCATCTCTCCAGAAACCACGAGCATCTGGGATTTCCCGTCAAAAAGGTTTTTCCGATCTCAGTAATCGGAAAACTGTTCAAAATATTTCAGATAGAGAATGAGTTTCCTTTCGTGACCGTGTTCAAAGTGGGTCATTTGCGCAACCTGCAAAAAGGCGACTGGTTCACTCTCCAAGTCTACAGAACCGATACAAAAGTACGTTGCAAACTTTAAAGTAACTCTCATTCATCTGATTTCAGATCTTAGTCGGATTTGGCAAATGGGAAACGCCGGAAATGGGAGACACGGAGATTTCTGCGCAGGAGAGAAGTGTGGATGTGAACGTCGTACTCGACACTATGATTGCCGAGTGCAAAGTGAACCAGGCGAAGTCGTTCGATTTGTTGATCGAGGGATTCTACTCCAGTTTTGTGACAGAAGGTAGGGCAAAAACAGTATATTTGCATGGATTTTGGGCTGAAGATTTTGCTGGCGCGGATGCTTCATTTTGAGAAAACTATAGAGAAATCTGAAAAAAGCAGGGCCAGCACTTGCAATATTCCGATCGGACCCAAACTTTGCAGAATTGTTAGACTTGGATTGAGGGCCATTGGGACCTAGTTTTAGACCGATCGGATCGTCGAGTCCCGAGATATATGGATCATTGGCCGATTTTTTCCAAAAAGCCCGGGCTTCCGGCCAATTTCGGTCAATGATCCACATATCTCGAGACCAGATGATTCGATCGGTCTGAAACTTGGTCCCAGTATGCTTCAACCCATGTCCAACAATCCTGCAAAGTTTGGGTCCGATCGGAATATTGCATGTAGTTCAAAAGTCGAGGTCAATGGTCGGCCAACGAAAAGCCCGGGCCGGCCAATTGCCCAGCCCTGGAAAAAAGTACAGATCTTATATATGAGCGTTTCTATTTATTACAGATGGCACAAGTTTGGAAGTCAAGAACTCATCGTATCTGAAACGAGTTGTTGTGTGGACACGCGAACAGGGCTACATCTTATCTTCTGACATGAGCATCCTCATGTGGCCGGTCGATTTCGAAGAAGCTGTCGCGTCGGCCAGCATTTTCGAAACGCTCCTCGACACTCCCGAGTCTGCGAAAACCGAATCTTCCGCAAACTACGAGACGTTTGTCATGAGATTGTGGCCAGATGGGATGAAGGAGGAGGAGACGAGAAACAACTGGGAGAACTGCTCTTCGATTGCCTGTGAGTTTTCTTTTCATCAAAATTCTGCTCAACTTCTGGTATTTTTGCAGGTCCCGCCGATAGCTTTAAATTGTTCAATAACAAAGTGAGCTCGGAAGTTGTGAGAGGATTTAGCGAGACAATGGAACACTACGTGAAAATTTTCTCGACAGGCTCGGTCACGTACACTCCGAAGTGCGCAACGAGCGGAAATTCGATTGAGTGCATCGTCTGCAGCAAAGTGTTCAAAACGGTGCCGGCTCTCGTCTGCCACCTCTTCTACAGATATCCGGAGCTGCTAGTGCGGATTTGCAAAGAGACCTCGCCGAATGTAAATGATTTCTTTAAAATGTATCAATCGAAAACAGTTTACAGAGTATGGGCACTTGTCATTTGCTGATATCAGCCAGGAAGCCGACTGTGCACCATTTATACAATCCGCAGGTGCAGGAAGAATTTTATAAACTACAGAATGAAAAGGAGAAATTCGGATTCCTCTCCTTACGCGCGTTCAGCACATCGCGCCTGTTCCTCCCACTCTCGGAGTTCGAGAAGGATATCCAAAATATCAAACGCAACTTTAATACGGAAGAGCACATGCTTGCCTGCCACGACTGCCAGATGGAACCACTCAACTGGAGCAGATTCCGAAAGGATTTGCTAGATCTTCATAAGGTCTTCAATGTTTTTCTTGTACAGTTCATATTCTCATTTTTTAGATCGCCAACATGCCCGGAGCCAAGTTCGATGAGCAGATCGTCTACTTGGCCCTCAAGGGATTTTTCGCCAAGGTCCGCGCAGTTAACTTCTTTGACATCACCGGCTACCAGCTCTTGAAGCTGTTTTTGTATACAAACAAAAACTTTCTTGCGCTCGTCTGTGACAATTTTAATGCGATTTTTAACGAGTTAATCGTTAATCATTCCGAAAACATTTTTCCGGACGAGATCCAGATGGCCAGAATTCATCAAATGGATCTACAGAAAAGGTTAGTTGATAAAAATACATTGGACATTTGCGATGACAAAATAGTTTGTTTCAGAGTGCAAATAGCATCTTATAATCCAGCAGGAGCTCACGGCACGTGGATCGCCGAGTTCCTATGCCACAGAAAAGAGCAATATTTGAGGAAAAGCGGCCCGGGGCTCGATCTTCTGAAACGATTGTTATCCAAAAAGTTACCGCTTTCGGAAAAAGAGAGCCTCGTGATTTTAAATCTCATCCGAAAGGATGAGGATGCCGCCGAGGATACTGGAGTTCTTGAAATCTTCACACGTATAGAGGTAGCATATCAGTTTTTAAAATTAATTTTGAAAAATGATTACAGGTTGTCAACAAGGATGGATTCCGGATTCCACGTTGCATGTACTTGGGAAGTTCTCCAGACGAGCAGAATGAGGAAAGGCACACGATGATTCACAATTTTCCAGCTTCATATGGCCAACATTACCCGAAATGACTTCTCAGTCTCGTGCTCCTCCCTTATACCCCATTCATAGTTGTCAATTGTTATGCCAGAAATGTTCTCCGAAACTGTGCGAACCCTAAGTTATTCAAAAATGTCTTCCCGGCTCGCTCTCGTTCAATTTTCCAGTCGATTCCAATTCCAAATACCCTCATTAAGATTTGTCCCAGAAAAACTATTCGAAACCAAACTCTTGCTCACTTTTTCCCATTTAAAAATGCTCTATCTCACATGTAGTTCTTCACTTTCACTCTTCATCCTCTTTGCATGTACTTTTTCTCATCAATTTCTTATAGACATACCATTCTATTGTTTCATTTCATTCACTGAAGAAATATTCCATGTTTTGTAAGAAAAATATTGAATAATACATAGTTATCATATTTACATTGCTCTCAATAAATGACAGTTTGCTGCTGTGGCACGGCTCCTCGCTCCAATAGCTTCGGCTGGTTCGGCGGCAAGTGACGGCTCGGCGGTCTGCGGAAAATGAGAGACTAGTTAATTGCATTTCAAACGAAAGATTGTTTTGACGTTTGCGGGAACGCGTCGAGTGAACTCACTTCACATGGGCTAGATGACGGACCGCTTCGTTGTATGTCGGCGGGTTTTTGTATTCGACAAAGTGCGGGTTTTCGTAGATCATTTGGTAGCTGTTGACGCCTCGTTCATCGTACACTGGCATACGAATTCTACTGGAACAAATGTGTCAATTTTCAAAGCTCGACGGTATTCAGAATTGTAAACTTACACGTGATTGTCTTCTGGAGAATATATCGATTGATAGTCTTTGTCATCAAATCTCGTGTTTGAAGACTTTCGCAAACAGGCAAACAGTCCCAGGATCAGGACCAGAATCGCTGGGGCTAGAAATCCGACGAAAAGGTAGTACATCTTTTATCTTTTTTCTAAGCCATTCTGAAATTTAAAAAAAAACTCGCATCTTGAACTCAACTAGACGAAAAATTAGCTAAACGAGATGTAATGTTGATGGCCGGGACTCGGACCAAGGCTAAAGAAAAGGAGTTTAGACCCTTCTCCTTCTTCTTCTTCTTCTTTGCTTCGACAAATACAAACTTCTTCTAAACGCATAAAACGAGGAGCAGTCGTGGTGGAATGGATAGAAAACAGAAAAGTGAGGGAGAGGGAGAGGAAACTTGTTCTCGGATGTACATACATTACATCTGGAACGTTTTTCTTCTCCCCATTCCATTTCTTTCATTGAACTGGAAACACACGTATGAATAATGAATTTGAAATTGAACATTCTAAGTGAAACGGAGCAAAAACGGGGTTCAGTCACATGCTATTCGGTTGGTTGGTTGCAAGAAGAAAGTTGAAATAAACAAATGAGGCGAGCGGCCAAATGATGGGAAAAAAAGAGGAAGAAAGGTCTCTTTTTTTTAGCTCGTCTATGACCACCACCACCACCCAAATCCCGGTCTTCCAGGTTGGAGCGAAATTGGAGAGCTGTGTGTATACGGAAACCCTATATTCTGAATTTATTGCGATGAGGGAAGAGGGGAGGAACAAATTATAGAAGCTTAGGGGTGCCCATGAGGTTGAGCCTTACCCCCGGTTTTTTAGAAAACACTTTTGATATGCGTGGCTGAAAAATTGAAAAAAGAGAAGAAAAGGCCAGATGAAAGCCGCGTCTATCTGCTCCTTGGATTTCAATGACACTTGAGAGGGATGTCATGAAGGCGTGAAAAGGAGCTCTGACCGACTATATTTGAAAAAAAACGAAATGGCAAAATGATGTGGTCGGTCTGACTAGCGGGTCTAGCGCAATGAGTTGGAACACACACACACAGTGAGGGCATGTTTGTTTGATACCCCTGGTTTTGGTTACTTTACTTTACAAAGAACTAGTAGACAGACGGTCGAGCTCCCGAGACAGTTTACACAGTTTTTTGTACTTGAGCAAAATCTGACCTATCAAAGTTCGGCTCAAACGCCATAATGAGATTTTAGAACAAAACGTCGAAAAAAAGAAGAAATCGGTAAAATCAGCACGGAGAAGAAAGCGGAAAAGTTTTCGTTTTGAAACCTAATTTTCCCTCCGCTTCCATGTCCTATGTTTGCAATTGGGAAATTGAATGAACTTTGTGTGTGGGAGAGGAAACGGGAGAAAGAGTCGGTGGTCGATTGACTTTTCATTAAAACGACTCGAGTAATGAATGAAAAAAATTGAGTTGGGAACAGTGGAAGGGCATACTTTTTTCAAAGGTCGTTTGATGTCTGAACTTCACAATATAGTTGATCGGACCTTTTGCAGGCTTTATAAACTTGGATTGATGTATCTCGGGTTCAAGTTTCACAGATCATTGGTCTGGAGTTATGTGGATCAGAAACCGAAAAGGCGGCAATTTAAGGAAGGCGGAAGAAAGGAAGAAAAATGATTCTTGGACCGCTTATTATCCAATCGGTCTGAAACTTAGACCCAAGATTCTGCAAAGTGAAAATTTGAAAAGTTTAGGCTTTAAAAAGGTGTTAGCCTTCAAAAAAGCCTGGTCCGAAAAAATGAAGAGAATAAAGGAATGGGCATCTGTCGCATAGGAACCGCGCACAGAATGTACATGATTCATGTCCTTCGAAAACGGATTGATCCCTTCCGCTTCTCTTACACGCACTTGGATGAGGTTCAGAGCACTCTCCCCCTTTTATGCGTTTTTCCTATTCCTACATCTCTCTTTGTTTCGTGTTTCGTATCAAAAAATGTTGGGGTGAACAAAAAAGAGAGGGAGTTGGTTGCACGCCACCATTTCTTCCGTTTCAGATAAAATGAAGAGGGAAAGACATTTGAAATGAGGGTTGAGTCGGGTCAGTTGAGAGAGGACTGCTTAGCTGCTAATGAAATTCTGAATGGAGTGGAGGTCTATGGCCGCAAAATTGAACTTTTATGGGGTTTGAAGCTTCAGAAGAATGCGCAATAGTGTAACTGGAACAAATTGAGCTCCGGCAAGAAGAGTCGTATTGCTTTGATGAAATTTTGGAGAAATGCACATTTTTTCATAGTTTTCATTGAAAGAAAGAGGAATTTATTCACGCATATCAGTCAATAATGTTCGAAGTATCCTTCGGAACCATAGGCACTAAAACCTTGATGTCCGTACTCATGAGGCTCTCCCCAGTCCGCTTGAAACTTGAATCCATTGAACGAAATCGAGTCCAGAGTCACAGAACCTTTCACTCCGACGGCTTGAACTTCTGGAACCGGTATTCGATGGGAAAACTCGTCAAAATGATGATTGTTCACAGTTATCTGAAGCGCAAAAATAACTTGTTCGGAATGAAACCTAAAACTGAACAAACATTGTAGTATCCCTCATGAACAGGAATCCTAAGGGTGAAAGGGTCGTGACGTCTGAGCGGATTACGGTGACGCACTTCTGGGCCCCAGGCGTCATTGATAAAACTGTTCATGACCACTTCGTGCTCGTCTTCAAAACGGAAGTTGACGAGGAGAACGATATTGGGACCGCTGAGCAATTCAATTGCTAAATCTCTGAGGAATAGTTGTTTGCCTCACGAAACTGATAGTATTGTATTGCTCACGCGATCCGTGGATAACATTTCCACGTACATCAATCTCCGAACCTGATCTCAGTTGTTCTCTTATTGGATGAGCACTTGGCGGCGCTGTTGTAGAATCGTGGACCATTAGAAAAAATCGTGGACCGAAAAAAAATCGTGGACCCAAAAGAAAAATCGTGGAACGAAGCAAGGGTCGGACTTCTTGAGAATGGATCATAAAAACCGCTCTAAAGTAGTCTGAGAAGTGTCTGTACTTTTTTCCTATTTACAATACTCCGGTCGGACCCGGAGCCCGAGCCGAAGTAGAAGCACACCGTGGAGCAGCACACCTCTACCTCTTCCACGGGTCGATGCCGGGCTAGTACGGTGTGCTTCTTTTAGGTGAATCACGATGAATGTTCCTTTCACAAGTTGATCCTGTGCTGCTACTAGAACTTCTGTAGGGCCCATGTCGACAAGGTAATATTTCGCCAGTCCCCAACGATTTTCTTCGGTTCCCTGAAACTCTTGCTTCGGTCCACGATTTTTTTCTGTCCACGATTTTTCCAAATGATCCACGATTCTACAACAGTGCCCACTGAACAACAAATAAATCGAAAATCCAACTTTTTACATTTACTCACCAGGATCTCAATGATGTACATATTGACAAGTAGTATTGTTCTGTCTGTCCGCCGTAGCCAAAACGTTTTATATGACGTTCGATTTCTGTTTCTATTGTTTGTCTTTCAATGGAATCATCGAAACGTCTGTTCGAACCTGTGTCAACATTCGATTTAAAAATGTTTGACCTGTAAATGACTCATTTTTCTATTCCTAGCCAAAAAATAGAATCGAACTATTGCAGGAAACGTGGGTTTCGACATTTTTGGCATTTTTGTGTTTGCAGTGTCGTCACGAAATCAGAAACCATCGGAAAGTTTGAACATTTGGACGCCAGTATTCTGATAACAAACTATTTCGATGGCAATCGTAAAACTGTCACACTTTGTTGTATGAATTTTACTGAAAACCGATTTCTCGAAGCATAATTTTCATTCAGTCACAATAGTTACAAAAGCACTTCAGAAAAAACAATTAAAAGTAGGCGTTGTAGGAGTGAGTCTCGGCGAAAACTGGAGCCACGTAGGTCTCGGTTCCGTAGGACGAGTATCCGGTGTGTCCAAAGTCGTGGGACGAGCTCCAGTCAACTCCGAAGTCGAATCCGGTAAAAGAGATCTCGTCGACGTGGACGTCTCCCTTCAGTCCGATCGCCTGGACCGATTGGTAGGCGATGCGGTGTGGGAAGTCGGCCAAGTGCTCTCCGTTCACTTCGATCTGAAAAGTAAGGAATCAAGAAGGTGAAACTGATTAGGAAGACAAAAGTACATGGTAGTATCCGTCGTGGATGTGGATTCTCAGATGGAATTGGTCGTGGTGCTTGAGTGGGTTGTGGTGACGGATCTCCGGTCCCCAGGCGCCGTTGGTCGAGGTGTTCATGCAGACAATATGGTCCCCGTGGAAGCGGAAGTTGACGTGAAGAACGATGTGTGGTCCGCTGAGAAGCTCCACAGAGAAGTCCCTAGAACTTGAGTGTTTCCACGGTTATTGTATGGTGACTCACTTGTGGTGGTGATGAGTGACATGGCCACGGACATGGATCTCTGATCCGGCGCGGAGCGGCTCACGAATAGCGTGAGCGCTTGGGACGGACTGGAAGAAAGATACTGTTAAAAATCTGGAAGTTACCTGAAAAAGGAGGACTTACTGGGCTGTTGATAACATGCATGTTGACGATTGCTTGACTGGAAGTTAAAGATTCTTCGCAAGTTCTGCGTTTTTCTTGCCATCTCCTCTCCTTTTATGCGATTCTTTTTTATTTGAACACTTGACGTTGCGTTAATCATGCGATAAGAACCGATGTTTGACAGATAGATTATGGGCGTAAGGTGGAGAGTGCAGAGAAATAATCTCTCGTTCTTAGAGTTAAATTGAGCGGGAAATGATAGGGAATGGAGTGTGCAAGTGGCTCCGAGAAAGGTCACTGATAGGAATGATGAGTTGTGGCTTTCTCTTTTTTGCATTTAGCATTTGGCTGCTAGAATGTGATCTCTAGTATAATTCCGTGATGTGAGATGGAGCGGAAGGATGACTCGACGCATCTTTTGGGCAATGATGCGTGGACGTTTTATCTTTTTCGGGTGACTCATATTTCAAACATAAATTTCACTCTGTCATGAATTCTCGACAGATCGAACACTTCAAGTTTATCAGCATGACACTACTCCTGAGGTGCAAAGGCGTGTCCCGGTCCGAAACCCAGCTCAAGAGAAAACAATTCAAAATTTATTAAGTTTCACAATTGAAAAAACAAGCAAGAATTCGAGATTATACATTTCCTTCAAAAAGCATCAAAAACAGGGCTCAATGACAATGCTAACAAAAATTTCCAAATGGGGAAGAGATCACAATCACAAAGTTTGCAATTTCAGGAAAAATGTTCACGGTCTGGGTGTGCTTGAGAGAAGCGAAATGGTCCACAACACAGTGTGAAAGAAAGAGGGGAATTTGGGAGGGGAATGTTTTGTTTTTGAGACAATTTTTTAAAGAATTTGAACCGGACTAATGAAACATTTGTTTAAAATTGAGCATTCAATTTGAGGAGAGGAGTTTTAGTGTACTTTCTAGTACATACAAATGCTCACAGATTTCAGGTCGACTAGTTTAATGGGTACATGGTATCATTATGACAGTATCAAAAATGGTTCAAGTTTCACCATGGCTGCTGGTAGAACGCCAACATGCTCGTCGGATCCGCGCCTCCGCCAACCGCAGCTGCCGCGTAAGCACTTGCCTGTGCAAATTTCACCTTTTCCACTTCCGCTTCTTGAAGCCTCTTCGATTTTGCCCTCCGATTCTGTAACCACTTTTTTTTTTCATTTTGTGGCTGTGTTTGATCGGCCAAGCACACAGCAGGGGGGCCATTTTCATTGCCAAATTCCACCGCAATCTTCTCATTCATTAATCATATCATTAACACCTTCAAAGCAAAGGCAAAATCTGACTGATTGCATTTTGGCGAAACGATCCCCTCAGAAAAGTGTCTCAAAAACTGATTCCGGTGACCTTCGAAATTGTTTGGTGGCAGGTGTGAATTGCGTACTAAATCAAGGCTGGGGTGTTAGTGCAGATGTATCGCGCAATCCAACACAATCCAATCCTCCGGTATTTCGTCGTATTTTATGGCCCATCACATATTTGACTGATTAGCCAAAAGCCTGCGGGCATGAGCAGATGAGGGGAGAAAATAGAAATGTGTCCGGCACAATTAGCTTGCGTCATTGACACCATTGTGTGTGTGTGTATGCCCCTCACGCGCGCAAGAAATTTTTGAGGCATCGGTTTTGGGGTGATGTGCTGGAGGAGGGGAAAGGAAATATTTACCAATTACGTGATGAGGAAGGTCAATTAACCGCTTTCCTCTCGGGGGGCCCGCATCATCTGTCGCGCACCACGCGCCCGTCCCTAATAATTTTTGAGAGGGTACTGTAGAACTGTATCATGGAAAGAAAAGACAGCTGGCACAACAGTCACTTGACTGGTAGTGTGACCACTTGAGACTCTACATCAGATAGGCTCATTTTATCGGTCGGCTTTACTTTTTGCTCTTCCCAAAAAGACGATCACATCAGAAGTTTGTATGGTAACAGGTGTTGGTCTAACAGGTCTAGGATCTCATAATATGATGGAGGTGTCAGATCAGATTGAAAGGGGTAACGAAAAGGCGTGAAGGTCGTCGTTATCGCTTGCGGATCGTGGATATCGGAACATTGGAAAAGACCAAATCACAACGCGTTTACGAACACCCATAATTATGAGGCGCGTGTCTTGATTGATTAGAATCTAATGAGCGCATATCTACAGTAATCCTCTTACCTGAAACCAAATCTTCACTTGAGTCTCCGTGAGCTGCAGGGACGCGCTAAACTCTGCCCTCTCCGCAATCGACAAATACTGCTTTGACTGAAACTTCCTTTCCAGAGAAATCAACTGTTGGGTCGAGAAAGGCGTGCGCGGCTTTCGATTGTTTTTGTGCTTCCTCAACATGCACTTTGTGAGTCCTATTTGGATTTTTGCGTCGTCGCTTGCTGGAAATAACAACTAAAGATTGCAGAATGAAGTTTTGCCTACTTGGAGAATCTTCTCGTTGAGATGAGAGCCATGGAAGAGATTGTTGCATTGAAAGTGGCGAAGAGGCACAAGATTCTGGAGAGCTGTCCGAGCTGACCACAGGCAAACGGTTTCTGAACACAAATACGTTTTTTTATGGAAAACCCAAGTTCTCAAGAACTAACCCTGACTGTGCAAAGTAGATCATGACCGGATCAAGCTGGGGTGTAAAGTATGGGGCCATGTGATGCAAAGAGGGCATCATCATCGGCGTCTTTGGAGTCAACGGACTGAGCGGCATCGGTTTCAGCAACTCCTCCTTGATCATTTTCTGAGCGGGCGTCTCCAACAAACTCTCCACACTGAACATTCCCGATTGCTTCGGCTTCTCATCTTTCGACACCATTCTCTAATCTGTAATAAAGCGCGATCGCATCCGATTCATTACGGCGGATTAGAAGGGAAACGATTATGATCATAAAAATAATCTGTGAGACGAGACGAGGCAGAGAGAAGGAGAAAGGGAACAAGAGACGTAACGACATATGTTACCGTAAGAATAATTGAGCAAGAGGATTTAGGCATGGAGGATTTGGTTATTGTAATTAATAGGGGGACTGAGCTCTTAGCACCACGACACCAAGATCCGCACGGAAGTATAAAAAGGCGGGGAAGCGCGCATCGCTTAAGGGCCCGCGGATAAATTGCAAAACAAACAAAAATCAGATGGTTTACGGTAGGATGGGGGCCTGGGGTGGAGCCCATCTAAGGCAGATGTGTTGACCAATCTCACATGCGCTTATTGCGATGCTTAATGACATTAGCACCTTGCGCTTTTCGATTTATTGCCACGTGATACGAGACCCCGTTTATAGCTTTTCTCATTCATTAGAGAGCTGAACTACAGCTGAAGCTGATTCAGAGCAATCCAAAAACAATGATGAGAAGCGAGAAAAAGAAAAACACACACAGACACACTGCGAGAAATAATCATTTTCTCATCAAGACAGGAGGAAATTGGAACTAAATGAGGTTGAAGTTAAAGCTAACTGGAAAACTGGAAAAATTGAAGTTCGAGCCAACAAAACATAATTGTTTGGGTGCGCTGGTTGGCGACTAACTCGAAGAAAAGTAATTATGTCATTATGTGATGAGAGCCAAAACGGTGAGGGGGGAGGAGAAGCCCAAAGTGGAGTTTTACGACGCAACAATTATCATTCATATAGGCAATATTTTCGAGTCTCACTCTCGAAAATGACACACTTTTATTAGGGTCCGCAGACAGAACTCATTAGCAAGCAGTCTGACAAAGTTCAGGAAGGGGCCCAGGATATTGTATAGTAGGAAAAGAAAAAGAAATCAGTGAAGGAAAAAGGTCCACGGAGGTGGCTTGGCTCCGCCCATCAGATTGTTGGCCCTCGGAAAACAATTAACTACCGTATGCCGCAATAGAGACACTCGCACAGCCGCCCACCGCTCGGGGTGGCCCACGAATGCGAAGGGGGGCGGGATCCTATCTGTCTGCCTCCTCATCTGATTTTGATTGTGATTGCATGTCTATCAAAATTGATCACCATCAATTGAGAAAGGACAAACTCTCTCTCTCTCTCTCTCTCTCTCTCTCTTTTCCGGGATTCTGATAGCAATTGAAATCAATGGATCCTATGCTGTTGACAGCAACAAAAGATGAGTGATGTGAGAGCCCTAAAATGAATGAATCTAGCTGTTTTGGCTGCTAACATCGCAACTAAATGATTGTTATTTCGCTTTAATTAAAGGCGTTTACATTTGAGAGAAAAATAAGTTGGCTGGCGACGAGTCACCGTGAAAATTTGGAACGAACGAAAAAAGAAAAAGAGGTGTGACACCACTTGTCAGATGTCAGACATTGCGTTGATTTAGATGGCGCCGGGGTCCGGGCGATTATTTGGAAGAACAACACCGCAGGACCTCCAACTGTTACTACTACAAATTTGAATGGAGAAGTGTTGGGGGTGGTGGGTCTAGTTGAAAAACTCTCTCTCTCTCTCTCTCTTTCTATCTTTTTAACTGATCGATACCATCCGGCCACAGTCATTACTGCTTCCAATTTCCGAAACCTAAAACCAAACTCAATCAGAGCAAGGAAATTGCCACTTTCTCTTCATCTCCCCCCTTTTGCCATCAACCTCTTAATTTCACTTTTTCGCGCCGTCCCCCCCCTTCCCTTTCTCACTTTTCACCCATAATTAATGATCAAAAGGCGCGTGCACAGATTTCGGCGTTTGCATATTCATTCATTCCCAAATCGGAAGGCACCCATTTTTCCGCGCGCGTAATCCCGCTTTTGACGGTCGCCGATTCCGAGTCCGGAATTAGCATATTGTGCAATTGACAAATATCGAACGGACATAACTCTCATTGCGGGCGGCGGGTGTAAAAAAGTGGTGTGACAGAAGGGGAACCGATTGTGGGTCAAAAAGTGAGATCATAAAAAGGGAAGGGACCGGTGGCAACTGTTTACCGACAAAGAATGAGTTATGCATTGACTTACTTGCGGTCAACTAGTCAGCTGTGGCTATTGGTGTAACAACTCGTCCGAGCATACTGTAGTTAGATATTGTTCTTGACCAAAATCACGAGTACAAACGTGAAAGAAAGGAAGAGGCGTCTAATTTCCCATTGTTTTGGTTTTGAAAGTCACCGCATCGCTAAGTGGTGGCGATGGTGGAGGGGGGATATGTTCTGACAAGATGGCAATTGATCAAAACGTCAGTTTAAAGTTTGTTTAACGTGGAAGAGAGTCGGCGAGTACCTACCGCTTTGTGCGTACCCCAACCATCACCACATTTCGGACACGGTGATTTACTGATTTACAAGTCCGTGCTTGCTTTCCGAGCACCCGGTCAAGTTTAATGGTCTTTTCCTGCGCCGGTGATGGGCACCTTCAAGTTTTATGTGGCGGTTCACACTGAATCAGTGACATCTGCGATTGGAGAACTTAACGATTGGGAGGGGGGTGTTGATGAATTTATGATATAACTGGTAGCATATGTTGGAAATGTTGATGTTTGATTGAGAAATTGGCAGATGATGAGAAGGAAAACTTTTCAAAAAAACTGATCTAAGGCAATGATTCCGAGACAATCTAGCTTTTTGATACGGAGAACCTGCAGACAGAGCGATATGTTACAGTAAACTGTCAGTACAACCGCATCATTCATGATACTCGATGTTTCTTTTTCTTTTTCTCGTTTCCTCCAGCACAGTTTGATCAAACCTCATTCATTTCATATCCGTCGGATGTTCTATCAAGATACCGTCACTTGGGTGATTCATCACCCGTGTCCAATTATATGAACTTGCATGCTACTCAATTTGAGCTAATAACCTTCCTATCGAGAAAAAACTATTGCTCATCCCTTCTCCCCAAAGATGGTAATCAGACGTTCATGTTTTGACGGATTAGCACGGATGAGGACAAGTGTCTCTCCCTCTTTATCTTCTAATTGACACCCGCACTCGGCGAAAGTTTATTCAAGGTGATCACCTGAATGAACTCGCAGGACCAACTGACTGCCCCCCCGGGCCTTCAAGACTTGCCGCCGATTAGAAGGTCACTTTGTACAACATTTGACGTGGAGAGAGAAAGAGAGAGCCAATGAGCCAATTAGCGGCCGGACGAGCCGCCAAAGACAACTGACACTCTCGCTGGTCGCGGGAAAATGAGGGGAGATCCGGCGGCGAGTGGAAGTGGTGGCTGATGGGAAGAGCGAATCACTTGTTAAGAAAACAATCATGTTAATGCTTGTCACCAGCCATCGACGCTTGTCATTTATCATCTGCGAAATGGGTTTTTAACTACCTGACATCTTAAAAGCATTCCAGTGTGTACGCAATGGATATATGGGGGGGGGGGGGGGTGAGAAATGGGGAATATGCAGGTTTTGCCATGGGCCGGGGAGAATCTGGAAACAATTTCGCTTTCAAACATTATAAGAAATTCTCCCCTTCGAGACTCTGTACATCGATGTCATCGATTACAAACTAATTATTGCACTTGATCCGACTCCGACTTGATTCTTCAGTTTCTATTGTCCTCCTCCTCCGCAACAATCAGAATCAGACGTCGACAACTGTGTCTTCGCGCCGCTTTCTCCCTATCCTCCGATATTTGATTTATTTTCTTTTCGATCTAATCGTTACACAGCCAATCAATCACGCTAAAACAACAATACAACAAATTTGCCACTGACGCGTCGAAGAGCAATCTTCTCATCTCTCATCAGAGCTCAATTCTCTTGATAGCAGGAAGTAGGGCCGAGTGAGGGACAAGTGGAGCAAAAAGAAACTGCAAGTTTGGTTTGGAGTGCTGAAAAATTGCGTTCGGTGTTCAGTTTCCACATATACAGAAATGATTATTTTCGAGAAATTGAGGTCAGTTTCGGCCTTTGACAAAGATATTGTCCTCTTTTTTATCAATGATTCTCCCAAAGTTTTTGGTGTAAAAAAAGTAAAGATTCCCCGTTATGAACTTTTTCTTTCTCCCTGCCTGGCCCTATACTTTCCTGCGAGATATAGTCTAGGGCCTAAAAGCTTTCGTTTTTCAAATAACTCCGGGTTTTTCGAACCTAAAGTCCTATAATATAATATCAAGTACATTTATCTTACTCATTCGTGTTTCACTATGAAAAATTTATCAGAAAAAGAAGATCAATTGATTCTCTTTGCAGGTGTATAAGGTGTACATTCGGAAGTTCTGCCCAACATTTCCCTGCGTGGACAATCGAAAGTTTCTGCGAATTGGGCCATCTGGATCATCATCAAATTCACTTCTCGATGAGTGAAATGACCATTTTCCGAGTTTGCGTGCAGAGGTCCAAAAAGCACCGCTGCGGCCGAGTAAAAGAACATTTGCTCCGGTGTTCTGGTGTTGTTCAGAGACGCGGTCACAGAATTTGGTGAATGCTTTTTGAATTCCCGCCAAGCTGTTCTCAGAGCGTAGGCGTTCTCCCTGGCCTTGGTAACAATCGCCATCACAAGTTCAGTAGTGTTTAGGTGCAGTCGCCAGCTGAATACGACGAGGGAAACGACGGAAACATCGTGTGTTCTGGACAACACACACTCTTTGTTCTTCTTGAACACGTCGGCCATGTCTTCTCGTTGTTTTCCGAGAAAACGCAGGTCCAGTTTATGGATCATATGTTTGATCATCCAGAAACCCAGTGAACCGTACTGAAAGATGAAAAAAGTCTTTGAGCTGATATCTTGTCTTACGAGTTGCGAGTTGGTTTCGCCTGAAGCTAATGTGAAGAATATTGACTGCGGAATCAATATCTGTAAAACCAGTTGGTTCTGAATAATGAAACTGAAAATCTGCTTACTTTTCCACTATCAATCCAAACACCATCATCTTTCTCGAATTCCTTCAGAAATTTTCTGGGAATGTTCACAACGAGCCATTTGTGGATATCATTAAGAAGACCAGAAGACCCGTATGTTTCACAAATAACGCGGCGCCACGGAGCAAACTGTTCGCCAAGTTCTGACACGGTATTTTCACATAATTTTGCCATCTTCAGCCACTTTTCCATCGACTCCGTGATTATTGCGTAGTTAGGAACTTGAAGATCCATTTCTTTCAACTCCAATAAAAACCAGGGCACAGCAGTGTTATTTTCAATCCAGTAAGGGGTCTGAAAAGTCAAAAATCAATTAAGATTGCCTTTTTCTGATAATTAATGTGTCTTACGTAAAATTCTTTGATAACAATGTCCTTCAATGTCTTGAACATATGTTTTACTTTCGAAATTCGATCAGGATTCATGTGCGAAACGAATATCGCTCTTTTCAATATTTTCAACAGATAAGCTCGGTTGGCATCCTCAAAAATTGTAATTTTTAAGTTTCTAATTTCAACTTGGGACTATGAAACTCACATAAATATTGTCGGCTTTGGAAAAAGCTTTTTTTGCATCTCTCAAACGGTCCTCGCACGTTCCGTCTTCCAAATATTGATTGTCTAGTGCCTGGGACCGATTAACCATTGAAATAGTCGCCATGAGCTCGAAAATTGGTCTCTGTTCTTTGCATCTACAACAAAAAGTATAAGTGACGACAGAATGCAAACTCACAATAGTTTTGCTTCCGCGGAATTGAAGAAATATTGCAAAAGTTGTCCATCTGCCGACACATTTTTGACACTTGAAGAAGATTCGTCGTCGCATTTCTCAAAATCTTGTAATCCAAAGTATGACTCAGGAATTTTGCTGGCGTTGGAGCGACATATCACGTTTTGCACGTGCTCATAGAAAAACGCAGTGTGTCCGTTGACAATATGAGCAAAAAAATCTTGACAAGGAGTGACTTCAGTTGAACTAGGAAGAATGATCCTTTCGCTGTCGAGGTAATGTTTTACAATGTCGTCCGGATCAGCGGATATATTATTTGGAAAGAGAAGAAAGAGCAAGAGCATGATCGAGTTGAGGGGTAAAGATGCAGAATGCTTCTCGCTTGTTTCTGAGACAATTTTCGAGCGAGAAGGAGAGAAAGAGTCCGGATGACAAATCGATGGATTCCTGACTGGTTAGACCCGCCTTCTTCCACAAAAATCTTTAAAAAAGGAAGGTGACTAGTCTGGAAACTCAAATTCTTCAAAGGAAAGGCATTCAAAACAGACCAAATAGTATATATATGAATCTTCATTTTTTCGGTTACTCACTGGAATGCTTGTACTTTCTCCTCGGTGCCATCTCATAAATCAGTACATACGAAAGTGTCTATGAGTTCTTTTTTTTTACAAAAATTATTTTGGGAATTGTATGGATAGAGCAGAAAGACAAAAAAGCAATGACTTCAGGACTCTCTAAAAACGGAGAGGAACATGACAAACAATTGGTCCCTCCGACGAGCGAAAGAAAGAGAAGAAGAGTGATCCGTTGTTTTGCTTTACTGTTTATTCAGGTTAGGAAAATAATGCAATTATCGAAAAGAAAATAAAAAACTATATTATCATTCATAAATTGAACAGAAACCGTGCCATGGGTTTACGTTTCTCCTGCAATGGAAATGACAACTGAGCGGGTCGAACGATTCAGCTACCAAATTCGTGTGTCGTATGTTATGGAGTATCGAAGCTCCGTTCCCCGGGTCCAACAGCAAGAGTCCCGCAGAAATAAAGAAGATCTGGTTGGGAGTCTTGATGATTTCATTTGGAGACGAAACGTCTGGACACTCTTTTGCAGGTTCGTTGAAGTACTTGTGTAAGGCCTGCCAAGCCTTTCCGAGTGCGTACAAGTCGTATGTCGCCTCTCGGGCGATCGCATACACATCGTTAGTGACAACGCCGATATCGGTTTCGTTTTTGTTGAAATGGAACCAATTGTGCCTTTGGTTGGTAAAATCGCCGTAGTAAAGCACACACTTCTGGTTCTTGCCCAGAACAGCGCTAATGTCTTTGCGTTGTCGGCTTAGAGCGGCAAAATCTAGTTTCCTGATCATGTGCCGGAGGAACCAGAATCCGAGTCCTCCGTACTGAAAATGAATAGATATAAGGTGGTTTTAATATAAAAAAGTTTTCTTACCAACTGGTGTTTGCTCGTTCCTGCGGACAACGAGATCAGGGGTGTAGTTGCGATGACCTGCTGAAAATAACAAAAAACCACATGTGATGCAAATAAGTAGTGAATTTCCTACGTTTCCGTGAGCAATCATGATCTTCTCGTCTTTCTCGTACTCTTCGAAAACCTCCGATGGAATGATGCTCTTGAGCCAGTTGCGACTGTCTTCCAAAAGACCGGAAGACGCGTAGGCCTGACACACAACCACGTACCATTTGCCAAAACTCTCGCCCAGTCCGGACACGTTGGTGTTGCATTCCTTTTCAAGGTTCTCCCACTTGATGACGAGTTGCGTGATGTTCCAATAATTCGGAATCACTAACTTCAAGTTTCTGATTTCAGCAAGGAATTTGGGAACGACGTCATTGTCGCGCGTCCAGTGATTGTCCTTAATGGAGAAGTGAGGTTGTAGGGATGTTTCAAAACTTACAGAAAATTCACTTAGGATATCCGCTTTCATGTTCTCGAAAAGTTCCTGTGCTTTCGGAATTTCTTTCCCCATAGCCCAATTGAACACTTCTTTTTTCAAGATCTTCTTCAAGTAATCTCGGTTGGCATCCTGAACTTTGGTCAGCCTTATAACTTTCGCGGACGGTGAAACTCACGTAAGTGTTGTTATAAAACAAGAATTCTTTTCGCGCGTTGTTCAGGAGGGTCTTGCACGTCACGTTTTCCATCTCTTCGGGAGTTATGTCCATGACTATGGACAAAACTCGTTCAAAGATAGGCTTCTGTTGCTCGCATCTTTAAGAACAAAATTAACTAAATTGTTAAAGAAAATGGAAACAAACTCACAGTTTTTTGCTTTCCACGAACTTGAAGAACAAGTTCAGAAGATTAGCATCAGCCGACGCGTTTTTTTCAGACGCAAATAGCGAAAAAAGCGAAAATATTTTTTGCGGGCAGTTGCTAGTTTGTTGCAGCCCGAAGTATGCTTTTGGGAGTTGGTACCTTTCACCAATGCAGCGTCCGTGCTCCATGTGCTCGACAAGGTTGACAAGACGACCTGCTTTAATGTGCCCAGAAAAGTCTTCGCAAATATCCGGCACAATTTTTGAATGATTCGCATAGAAAAGCGTCAAGGGTCTCAGTGAATATACATATTGCATTACAGCGTCTTCAATTTGATAGATCTTCGCGTTTGAAAAACCTTTCGCGATAAGTGAGCTGCTAAACACGGCGTAAGCGTTGTTTGGTAAGAAGAGGAACAAGAGAACCACAAAGTTCATGATGCAATTGGATGGAGGATCTGGGTCTCTTCGCCTGACAGTTGGACACTGGGCTGAAACAAACACGGAATGAATGGGTGAAATGGTAAATTAGAGAGAGGATATTGCTGGGTAAAATAAGAGATATGAGAAACATCAAATTCATAATGGGATTCAAGCGGCTGTTAGTGAGGATTCGTCGGATTGAGAATGTCAGAAGCATGAGAAGGCGGGGCTGAAACTTCGTGCTTCTCCGACTGATTGGTGCCGCCTTCCAGAGCTAGAGAGTATGGAGAAGAAGAGAGAGATAAAGAAGAAGCCGAATAAGAAAAAAGTGAAAGAATAAGTTGTGATTGTCACGGGCGTGCTCAGCTGAATTGCATAGTGTAACACCATTTCATGAAAATTTTTCAAAACGGGCCGGGCCGGGTTGTAGTGAATATTTTCATAAGCCCAGCCCGACTTTGAAATAGAACTTCATATTTCTGGTTTCAATTATCCTTAATCGGACCGGGCCGGGCCAAGCTAATGGGCTTTGACAGGCCACGATGAGATTTTGCAAATATGTTTCAAAAAATTCCCGGTATTCGGACTCTTCACGCCCAGAAGTTTCATTTATCAATTTACACTTTTTTCTTCCAGGTGGCTCAAATTTTCTCCGTTTTTCCGTCCTGCTCGTGTTGCGAAGTGCGGATGCATAGAACTTGGTCCCCAATTCAAGCGTTTCTGTTTCTTGGTCTCTCAGGAGCTACAATAGGACAACTGGGATTGGCGTCAGCTTTCGAGATAGAATAGTGAGAGAGAAAAGCAAAAAAAACATCTGAGTCGTCTTTCCGCTTCCACGAAATTGCTTGGATCTTCGAGCACATTACACTATTCGACGAAACTTCAAGATTATACACTGCGATGGTAGAAAAAAAGAAGTGAGCTCAACGGACCAATTTATTACAGCATTGAAAGTTTTGCGAAGCAATCACATTTATTTCCGAGGCGCATAGATGTAGACAGGTTCCAGTAAATCCCAACGCATCATCTTTGCAATTGAGGACAGTGGAGAAATGAGCGATTTGGGTTATTGCCAGGTTTACTTGGTGCATGTACGACAGTCCGGATTGCGCGATATTAGAGTGTCGACCGGATAGAATTGCTGCATCTATACTGACAGGAGAAGCGTGCTACACAGATATATCGGTGGCAAGCCAAGCGACATCGACGTCAGGACCAGTGAAACAGAAAGAGAAAGAGGAAAATGACAAATTACTGCTTCCCTTCAACGAAAAAAAAAAAGAAGCACAACAGAACTTTTTTCTTTTTGGTGCCTGAGAAGTGCGTCAGCAGTTCTAGAGGATTGCAACGGTTAGGAACATCGAATCTCGGGGGACTCTTAGTTGTCCTAGCGTAGTTTCTGGAATAGTGAAAACAAATAAGGTTGGAAAAGGACTACACATGATTTCAGATTGTTTGGCCTGTAAATCTGATATGTCAACAAGCAAAAACATTTGAAGTCAATGATAAGCGCACAATATTTGCCATTTTGAGAAAAGAATAAACAATTTTCCTGTGCTCTGCCTTTCCCTTTCATATTGTCTCTCACAATGTCTCCTTTATACTTGCAAAATCTCAGCCCTGTTTGGAATTCAAATTTTTCAGAAATATCAAAATTACGTTTTTTTTTGCGCGATGAGTGAGAATAACACTTCAAAAAGTGAGTTCAGCATAGTTGGAACGAGAAAAATAAAGTTTCAGTTCTAATTTTCTTATTTTTCCGCATGTCCGGACCGGGTCTGTGAAAAAATGTTCATTGTTGTAAGTTCGGTCTCCAACCACTTTTCGATCCATTTATCACGATCTATAGCAGTTGTTCTCGTACACATTGGAGCATAAGCTGGGCGACTAGTCATTTTTAATGTAATTTTTCTCAAAGCCACTCTCAGAATGAATTATTGCATATTAGCCCATTTCTAACCCAGTAATCTCTGTATAACCCCCCATTCTCTGGGCATTTAATAGTTGATCAGGAAGGAAGGAAAGAATAAAATAAGCAAATAAAATATTCTGAAAGAGCGTGTTTACATGACCTGACCTTTCGGGAAATTGTAATCTTCTGCCAAAAGTCGCATGAATCCACTGAAATACTTTAATTAATTTTTTGTTTCCATTCGTGTTGCACGCGAGCTTACTGGTTTCCAGTCTTTTCTTTCTTCAATTCGTCATCATTTTCATTCGATTCCTCCCAATCCCACAATTAGTGCACTCGGCAAGAGTCACGCGATTATTTGAAACGGAAATAACGTTTCTTTTCCTTTTCCTCTTCCTTTCCCTGTTTCTGTTTCTTGTTTGCCCATTGTTTTCCTCAGCCACTCCGTTTTTTGATGTATCACATCACAGAGTAGACTATAATAAGGTAATAAGGAATCATTGGACTATGATAAGATGACTCAACAAAAATGAAGATGATAATGGCAAAACGTGCCCCTAAATGGGTTGGGAAGGAAAGGCCGAATGACTTATTTGCATTTGTCCTTGAAAGTCAAGTGTACTCTCGTCTCACAACCCGTTTCTTGTTCAAACTTTCAGCTTTTCCTCATTTAAGATGAGGAACGATCGATCTTATCGGTGTTTCGCAATAACCCGACGTAAGCAACGTGTTCATTGCACTACATCTCGCCTATGAATCACTATTTATAAACAGGAAATTCTTCTTCAACTTTCGCAATTTCCTCATGCATTTCCTCAAAAAATCGGATTTAAACCCGACTTTATTCGCTGTGCTGCTCTTCTTTTGCCTTCCGGCCGTCAACACAACGCACATGTGACCGAGAGATCCCCCTTCCGCCGCACGCTCACGAGGCGGTCAGCAAGTGCGCTCCATTAACAACTCGCACTATTTCCTCGCGTTATTCCGTCGTTTAATGGATTCTACCGCGTTCTAATTCAATCTCATCCGCCTTTGTTCTGCCTCGTTGTCCACAAATTCGATAGTAAACTTCAAGAATCTCATTCTGACTCACGTGTTCCTAGGACAATTGCGTTTTCATCCTCGAAATTCGTCATTTTTTGCGCATGAGAACGTCAAAACGCGCGCTCACCACTCGTGATTTGCTCAATTTTTCACTTTTTCAGGCAGCCATGGCAGCATCTAGTGGGGACCGCCCCTTTCAACAGCAGTTCTTGCCTGGTGTGCACAAGGAGCCGAGCCTCGTCGTTTGTGAGTCAAATTAAGAGTGGTCATCAAGAACATCCGTATTTTTTCAGCTGAAACTAGTCATTCGCCCGACTGGTTATCAGCCACATCTTCCGTCGATTGTTGGCCGGGATATTTGAATACAAAGTGGGTTAATTTTCCGTGAAAACCGAAAGAACTTTGCCGTTTTTCAGAGAATCGTCCGTCACAGAGCAGGGTCCCAAGAGAGAGTCGATAATTTGCGAGATGACGGACCCGAAGACCTGCTCATACGTCCCAGAGGTCCCCCCGGAGAAACTAAGTGCAGTGAAGGCAAAATGGCAAGATCCACGGCTCTGGAGGTCCTATTCGAATCCGGATTTACTGATAACCATTAGCCCACTGGCCTACAGAGAACCACAAAGCAGCCGACAAGGTTCAACAATTCTTGGCATCTTCTGGATATTTTCCTTTCCTCCTTTCAGATCTTGCAGTTTGTAGTGAAGTGTTGACGACGGTGGAAACTACAACCAACACGACAACTACGTCACATGAGGACTTCATCCTCGTGGATGCGGTGCAGACGGAGCAAGAACTTGCTGCTCTTTGCGACGCTTCGATGCCTCTGGTTGACAAGAAGTGAGTTTTCGGCCCTGCCGCCGTCATCGCAATCAATTTTTACAGAGATTCTTCTTCAACTGCAACAAACTCACCGGCTCGTCAGATCAAGAAGATCGAAAATGGGCTGAGTTTCGAAAACGTCGTCTCACTTGTCAGAACCTTTCCGTCAATTATCAACAAGTTCCTGAAAAAGCCGTGGTACGCGTCGCGCGCCGATGAAGTTTGCTTGTTTCCAATGGAAGAGCTCGGACACTACGACATTGTCACCACAATTAGGGACAACGAACACTTTGTAATAGTCACCGGGAAGCTGACCGTCGAGGGACAGGTTGCCGACAACCAATTCCATCTTGTTTTCGCACCGGTCGGCTTCTCCGAGACGGTCCCAGCTGGTGCGAGACCGTTCAGTTTGTGTCGTGCTTCCGTTCGATCCGATCTCATCGACCTTTTGAATCTTTGCGACGAGAAATCGTTTCTGTTCACATCCCTGGACAGGACACGAGGCGATGCCCGTTCCAAGATCGAGGAGCTGGTCATACAGATCCGCCTGAAGCCCCACTACCACTTGATCCACATTGCAATTGCCACGGATCGATTGGATGTATTCTCGGACGAGCTGATCCAGCAGATGAACGAAACTGTCGAACCGTTCCGAAGGTATTCACCAATTTTCATCAATCCATAACTCAATTCTCATTCAGCCAACTTCGTTATCTCTGCACCACCGAAAACTGCTATCCAGTTCACTTGGCTCTGGCCATGGATCGTCAGAAGATTGTGGAGCGTCTTCTCGAAATCGATCCATCTCTGTTCTGCGAGACGGACCCTGCCGGCAACAATGTCTGGCATCACGTTTCGAGCAATTTTTGCGCTCAGGTCAGTTACTGTTCTCAATTTGAAAGTATAAGAATGGTTTTTCAGACGATTTGGGACAAATTCCCCGATTCACACCGCCTGATCGACAATCGCAACAACCACTTGCAAAGCCCGCTGAACGAGGCGGTGAGTTCCGCCAAACCGCTCGTTGCCACATTCCTTATCGGAAAAGGCGCCAAATTCACCCAAGGCGATCGAAACGAATTGTTTGTGGCGATGGCGTCGAAGAATGCGCAGAGTGTCGTCGAGGTTGTACTGACGGACAAACCGGAAATTGCGCACGAACGGGACGCCCTGGGGAATAGTGCGATTCACGTGGCGTTGTACAAAGAGTCGCTGAATGCGTTACTCAATAGGAAGAACGAGCTGGGATTGGATATCAATGTAAAGAACAAGGCAGGAGAAACCGCACTTTTGCTGTTCATCACATCCCGGAAGGTATGGAGAAACATCATCAAAAACACCGCATTTCACTTCCGCTTCCTTTTCAGCCGGATTTATTGCCACTTCTCGTCACTCTCTACGCTCACGGGGCCGATCTCAACGCGACAGATCCTCATGGAAACACGGCCCTTCACAAATCGGCGGCTCTTGTCGACGCAAAGAAGATCAGTATTGAGGTGAGAGGTCAGCCTTCAAACCATACTCAAAACGGAATTTCAGTGCGTCAAGTTCCTGATCTCTGCCGGGGCGGATCCGAATAAGATGAACGTTCGTGGAGAGTCACCGAGGCACTTGGCAGCGTCACTTCAAAAGTAAGAGTCTCCCACACTCCACTCCACTTCACATTTCGAGTGGTTGAAACTTGAAACCAAAATCAAATCCAATTTTTTTCAGTCAGGAAATGCTCGCGATTCTCAAAGCCGCCGGAGCGAAACGATGTCCGAGGGAAAACAGAGGTTGCCTCTACCATTGTCGCTCGGACGACTCGTCTCCAGATGAAGAGTACACCGCCACACTCCAGAACCTGCACATCGGACTGGAGTCGGATTACGAGAAGACCAAGTTCACAAGATCGGAGAAGTTGAACATTAGTAATGTTCTTGGCGGGTCTCGCAAGAGTCGGAAGCCAAAGGTCAACTTGATCTCGATGGATGGCGGTGGAATTCGTGGCTTGGTCATCATTCAGACCCTGATCGCCATCGAAGAACGTCTCGGTGACAACATCTTTAAGTACTTCGACTGGTCCGCTGGAACCTCAACTGGCTCACTCATTATGGCTGGTTTGGCCACCGGAAAGAGCCTCAGGGAGATGCAGCAGACGTATTTACTACTCAAAGACAAGGTGTTCGACGGAATTATCCCTCCATACGACACCGTGCAACTCGAGAAATTCATCCAAGAACAGTTTGGCACGGGAACAGTCTGGGACATACCGTATCCTAGACTGATGATCAGTGCAGTCAACTCGGAGAAGTTGCCAGTTCGTCTGGAGATGGCTCGCAACTACAAACCAGCAACCGACGTGGCCCCGGAGACACCGAAAGAAATGCCGCTCTGGATGGCTCTCCGTCGGTCGACAGCCGCTCCTGTCCTCTTTAAACCATCCGAAGACCGCTACATCGACGGAGGCATCATCTCAAACAACCCGGCACTGGATCTGATGAGCGAAGTGCACGCTTACAACCGTGAACTTCAGTTGTCCGACCGGAAGAGCAACACGGTGCAGATGAATGTGATGGTCTCACTGGGGACCGGCCAAATTCCGTGCACTGTGATTGAAACGCTGTCAATCGATAGCAACTCACCGCTACAATCGATCAAGACCATCAAGAACTTGGCGGCGATGTTCATCGATCAGGCAACGGCGTCGGAGGGAGCTCCAGTGGCTAGAAGCCGGCAATGGGCCGACTCGTTGGAAGTGCCGTTTTTCCGCTTCTCGGCGCCACTTTCAAAGGTAAGACGAGTGTGAGCGGTAACCAGGGCAACGCAGCAACTCCCCATTAAGCCAGCTAACAACTATATATGTATTACGTTTCAGAACATCTTCCTGTCCTCAACAAGCGACCTAGACGTGTGCACAATGATGTGGGACTCGTTCATCTACTGTCGGAAGCATCGTGATTACATTGATCAGTTGGTACGAGTGCTTAAACACGACTCGGATCACCCGTACAAAAAGAGCCCATTCACAGAGCTCTAACTAACTGTTTTAGCCCTTCAAACTTATCTTTTCATGATAGGTCAATTATATGTATGCCAATTTGTACATTATGCTTTGCTGATTTCATCACTTTCTTTGTGTCTCACAATTTCCGATTGCTTTAAATGTCAACAAACTATCCCGAGTCAACCTGAAACAGTGAATGTCATCGTTATCCCCATTCTCCATCAATCACCACAATCAATCAAAACCTCTTTTTTCACTTTTCATTTTGCATTTGGTAAACCCCTCCCTGAATAAATGTAATATGTCGAAAATGTGTTGATTCTTGTGGAAGATATGGTTGTCTGAGTGAAGGGGGAAGAGGGCAAGAACAAAGTGGAAAGTGTCGGATAGCATCTCATGTCGAGACGAATGTCGATCCAAGAACAGCTTGATGTCCGAAATAAGGTCACTCGTTTCCATTTTAATGCGCTACGCATAAAGTACACCTCTTTTTCCCAATAGTTAGAAGAGCAGGCGGTCATTTCGCAGATAGGCGTCTTGCGCTGATAGGGAGGATAGTGTCAGGTGGTAGATATGAATTGAGAGCCCACGGAGAGAAGAAGAGGCTAGTAGAACTTGTGTGTGTGTGTGTGTATGTGAGAGTGAATTGTGATACGCATCCGTCGAGACGGAGATTGGTTGATGAGAAGAGCCCCCGGGACCTTCTCCCCCTTTCCTCTCTATCTTCTTTATCTTTTCCGGCGCAAGAAGAGCAAGAAGCATCTACGAAACATAACACATACACACCGGTCCGACTCATAACGTCTCGTCCCATCGAATCCCACTACTGATTTGCATTTCATTCTTGTTTCCTCATTTAATTTTACCACACAACCCTTTTCCCCCATTTGTGTCGCACCTGTCACACAATTGCCACTGGTACCAGGCGCCCGGACATGGTGTCCTTTGTCGAACAACAGCTGTTCGCTGCGAAGACCGGAAGCGGCGCCTCCGGGTCCTTCGAGTTGCTCCTGCTGCTGTTGGCTGCCTTGCTTGAAGCTATCAGTCTTCGGGTGTCACAAGTTTTGATGAATTTTTGGAACCAGGCGCCTATTTTTGCCCCTACTCTTTCCGCCTTTCAAAAGAGACTCAAGGCTTTGAGATTTTTTACATGAATGCACGTGAAATTGCGCAGAGAACGGAGAAATCTTTTGAAAGTATGTTCTAAATGCCTACTCAAAGCCACAAGAAGTTCAAAGCCGCTCAAAAAATGCGAAATGTGACCGTTTTGGTCGTTTAGAGCTTTTACAGCTCTTAGTGATATGTCTATGAGAATTTTCTCTTTTCCTTACACATCTGCGTCGATTTACTGAAAAACATCATGTCCTGAGAAATAGGCAGACCCCCTTTACCACTCGACTTCATTTTTCCTCTTTTTCTCGAAAGAAGATAACATTTTGATTAAAATTTCCAATCTCACTTTTTTTTCTGACTTTCCACTTGGATTGGCATTTGGCTGCCTACAAAATCCGTGTAAATCTGACCACATGTCCATTGGTTGTTGGTCCTTAGAATCATCTCATCTTTTTCTTTCAACTTCCCCATATTTACTAGACATTCTTATGTTAGTCACACGACTTTCCCCCTGATTTTCCCTGATTTCGCCAACTAAAAGCCGTCACTTCTCATTTGGCCCGACACAAATTGACGTGATGTTTTGTATGTACATAATCGAACCATTCTTCTTCTATAAGCTGCGCCTATAACGTGTATACTCGCACCATTCAAACATTCACACTCACTTTTACCCAACCATGCCCGTTATCTTTTTCGAGGGTACTCAAAAAAGCGCGAATATAATCTAATGACTTCCGGTTCTTTTTTCAGCGAATTGAGTAGAGTTGACGACAATTTGAGGGGCGGAGAGAAAGTTTGGACAGCAAAAAAAGGGCGAGTTATGTGAAATGATGGAGGGGTTGGAGGAATCTGACGCTCCGCTTTCACCCAAAAGCCCATTCGCCAGAAGAAACGGTCGAAGGTTAGTCTTTTTCACGCATTGTCCTGTCTATGATCCCAGAAATCCAATGTTTCATCGCTTATCCGCTTGTCTATCCTGGAGTGCAGCCAGCGTAGGATGAGTGTGGTATTACACACATTCAAAGAACTTGAGCGAAGAGATCGAGGGTCCCGCTATCTATCTTACCTCAATACTTCATGTAATTGATTGAATGACTTTATTTTGGATTGGATCGGTGAGGGATTGTAATGGGCGAATAAACTTTTGAGCTGGATAATATAGAAGGCAAATTATTGGGTTAACTGAAATCCAGGGCTAGACAAAAGACCTGCTTAAGGTTTTTAAGCAGTTTTGAACCACTGCCAATTATCCGATCGGACCCAAAGAATACTAGATTTGAATTGAAACAGATTGCGTTCAAGTCTTCAGACCGATAGGATTATCCGGTCCGGAAATATGTAGATATACTGTTTTTGCAAAATTTGTGAGCCTTTTGGGATTCTATCTCGCGGCCAAATAATCCGATCGGTCTAAAACTGGGACCCGAGTTACCTCCATCCAAATCCAAAAAGCCATCGGCTTTTTTCCCAGCTCTGCTGGAATCTCAAATTTTTCAGAACTTCCCTCCAGTTTTTAGCCTAGCTATAGTCAATTCAAACCCGAAGCCCTTCCTAATGACATTCGCAAAAGTTGCAGTCTCCGCATCCAACGCCTCGTCGACTGCCAGCACTTTCATTACTCATCAGTCGAGTTAGGACCCGTCAAAGTGCTCATAATTGCCATCAACACTGACGAGAATGCGACGGAGCGGATAAAAATGCGTGTGGAGAGCGAATCGAATTCTTGGTGAGCGCTTCCTCCGCCTGTTTCCAATTTATCTTGCCCCTACCCCTTCCTTCTTTTCTTTTTTCTCGTGGCCTTTTTTTCCATTTTTTCGCTCATCCTTTCAAATTTTCGGTTGAAAACACCAAAACCAAAAACAGAAGGAAAAGTCCCGGGAGGATTGAAAAAAAGAAAAGGAGTCTTAGAACTAGAAACGTTTCCATCATTGATTCATCCAGGCTCGTCGAACGTTCTCGGGAGGATTGGGCGGTCTTCGACAGACAGCTGCATCGTTGTGTATTCGAACGACGGCTCTCGCGACTCGAGGAGCTGTTTCCTCTTATTCATCTGGAAACGGCAAAGTTTGAGGTGAGGCGGAACAGAACTCCCGAATCAGTCTGACATTGAATTACAGGAAGTGCTTGTCAAGTATACGGACCGATTATCAGAGCTCACTGGAAGTATCATCACTTGTTATCCCGTTCTCAAGTTTCTAGAGGTAGGTTAGATGTTTCCAAGCTGTTTTTTGTGCCCGTATGTTAGATGTTTTCTCTTTTTTTTCAGATAGATTGTCGAGGAGGGCACTTCGAGCCAGCTGAAGAAACTTCGATTAACGTGCCGGCGATCGCAGCAGCTGTGGTTACCAAAGATTTCGAGCCAACAGATAATACACAGCTTCGGCTACGGGTACGGAATGCCATTTGTAGACCAGTTGTGCCGGCTCAGAACCCAAATCCTCATTTACCTTCTTTTTCGATCCCAGAGTGCTTGGCTCACATTCCGTTTTCCACTCTTCCTCAGAAATTTAAGCAGGTTCATAATATTCAGAGATGGACAAAAGGCCAGCTCAGGCCTTCCGACATAGATGATAAAATCTGGTGCAACGTGCACTTATGCTTTCTGAAAGCTTTTTGAAACCGAAAAACCAAGAATTCTGAATGATACCATCGCTCTAAAACATGAGCTCAATATACTTCAATCCAAGTCCAAGAATCCTGAAAAATTTGGGTCCGATCAGAATATGGCACAGTTCAGGCCTCAAAAAGTTCTTCGCAAAAACCAGGGCCGCCTTTTCCCTTTTGCCCATCGCTGATTATAATCATAACAATGTGACCTCACTGCAAGTTTATTTTTGGATGTCTGGGATGGGAGCAGCTCTTGGAAAGTTGAGTAAACAAAAACATTGAAGGTTGGTGATATCGTCTCTATTACGGAAATGTCAACAGGCAGCCCAAATGAGCAAACATTTTGGAAAGCCAAATTGACGATATCGAACCAGAAGATTGTCGATCCGCAAAATGCTCGACTAGGATTTGAGGTACGTTTTTTTCTTCTTTGAAAAATCGGAAAAAAAACAATAATTTATCATTTTCATCGTTATCAGAAACGCATCTGTTATTTATGTAAAGCGAAAATTGCTCTCTTATCGCTTTCCCATCACATTTTTCTAGAAAACTCTTTCATTTTCCTCTTTTTTCAGATCGGCTACTTCCCACGCGATTGCGTGATGCTCATCGACGACAAACGTCTTCCAAATCCACTGAACAATGACAGAAAAGCAGTGACAAGAAATGCGAAACGGTACATGGCGACCATGTTCCGAAACCGAAGACGGGAGCCCATATTCGGCTTGGAACTAACCGAATGTTTCATGCGGACTGGAAGAAAAGTGCCGGTGATAGTGGAGAAGTGTTGCGCAGCGATTGAGGATCAGGGAATTGTCACGGGTATTTATAGACAATGCGGAATTCAGTCAAATATTCAGAGACTCAGGTAAAATACTTTTTTGAGTTAGCTAGGAAAGATGTTTTTAATTATTCCAGAGCAAAGTTCGACAGCGGCGCAGAACCAGATCTCCAAGAGTTTGGCCAGAGAGACATCTACTCGGTATCTTCACTTCTCAAACAATACTTCCGCCAACTTCCGAACCCACTTTTCACTTATCAAGCCTATCCGCGACTCATTGAAGCATATGAAAAAGAAGAAGAAAATCACATGGACAAGGTGGAATCGCTGAGATTTGTGCTGGAAACAATGCCGGAGGCACACTACAAAACTGCAAAGTTTCTGATGGAACACTTGTCGAGACTGTGCCAATCAAAAGCGCTCACTGACATGACTTCGAAGAACTTGGCTATTGTATGGTCGCCTAACTTGTTCAGGTAAGTTCCGGGCCATACACATAACCAAAAAGTTCATTCTTACCAGACCCCCACCGACTCTAAATGGTGCTGATGCTCATCTCCTCAGTGGTCTCAACGTGCACACTGCAATTTGTGATTTCTTTATTGAGAATGCAGACTCCCTGTTTATTAGCGACATTGATGAAGGTTTGCTCCCATCTGTGTTGAAAACTTTGTTGTTTGCAGAGCAAAGCAAATGCACATCTGTCGAGAACAGTTTCACAACCATTTCGAAATCCGCGACCATGTCCGACATGCGCTCTGAATCCGAATCCAAGTGGCCCAGATTCCTGCGCGGAAAATCCGTTGAGGGATTCTGGAAGTTCAATAAGAAACAACAGACTTCAACCGGGGAGCTGTTTGGTTCCCCCACTTCGGAAGTGAAGTGGCGCAGGTGTGTTCGGAGGGCAGAGAAAGAGAAATGTATAAATTATTTATCAGCAGAAGCACGCGCTCGCACTCCACTGACGCAACCTACCAGTCGTCTCGAACGGATTCGTTTATTCAATTGATGCACACCGGAATGGATCAACTTCGCGAGGGAATGCGCATTTTCCGTGCGAGAGCGAGGAGCATGAGGCCCACTTCCAGACCACCACCATCCCCGAGGACAAGAAGAGCTCGTTTCTCAAATGGAAGTTCCATTAATTTGCAGAAGCCGGACGAGAAAGAATCGCAGCAGGATATTCCAATAGTCACCGCTGAGCCGTCAATCACTCCTGAGCCGAAAGCCACTTTAGAACCGCATCAGATAATGACCAGAACCGTGAGCGTCAACGACTCGGACGACCAGAGTTTTGAGGAGAATGGACTCCGAGAGCTCAGAGAGCGAAAAGTGATGTTCAAGGCGGCTACACAAGGTAAGTCGAGTCTTGCATACAAATTTTGTTTGTTTTCTTCGACATCAAAAACAAACATTGTGTTTTTTTAAAGGAGGCCTGCCACCCACTTAAAAACAAATGCTCTAGCTACTTATACACTGGATAGAGCGCCAAAAGTAACATCATTTTTTTAGTTGACGAGTTTTCAAAAAAATAATTGGGCTTTGAGATATAAGTGTCCAAATTTAAAGGGTTTTTCAATTAAAAGGATGTCTGGCTTGGAAATTCATGTTTTTTTGGTTCTAAACAACTTCAATTTTCAGAGCATGTAGCGCCAATTCACGAGCGTTCGAGTCCAGTGGAAGAGTGGTCGAGTGACTCGAGAGAAAGTCTTCATTTGGAAATGTCTCGCTACGACAATGTCTCGCCGAGTGGTACGATAACTAGAAGTGAGTACATAGTGAGAACCTTTTCCGAGTAGTACTAACTGACTCGAACGAAAGACGGAAAAGAGCAAACAGAAAACGAGACGATTGCAGGCCAGCGTGAGCCGATTAGCAACCTCTCACCGGCTGCTCAGATGCTCTTCTTCGAGTCTTCCAGAGCCAGTCAACTGTTTCCAGCCTGAATAATTTCTTCATTTTTCCCTGTCTCTTTTCTTTCTGTTCAATTTCAAAAGCCACCCTCCCTCCCTTCCTCCCTCCCCAACCAGTGTCTTTTATATTTCCATCAATTCAATCCAATCTATTTGTCCGTGCCTCATGGTCACCGTCACCACATTTCCGCTCCATTCTTCCATCCATTCTGCCTTCCTTCCTCCCCAAAAAAATATTTGTGTTTTCTGTTCTGTCGTTTTGTTCGCTGATAAATTATTTTGAAAACACGTTCTGCACACTGAATTTCAACTTTTTGCGTGACGGAATCGCACACGGCTTATTATTTTCAGATGTTCTCATTTCCTTTCGTGGAAATCGGGGCTTATCTAGTCAGCCTGTAGGCGCTGTTTGTCGGTGTAAAAAACTGGTTTTCGTCTGTGAGAATGCGTCAGTAATAGTCAGAAGACACTCTTGAGAACGCTATCTATCCGTTTCACAAAACCCATTCTCATCTTGTACACATTTCTGTTTGAAAAGGAAAAGTAATAATTTTTCTGATTTCACAATGAGTTGTGACTGTGTTTCTAAAAAAAATAAAGGGTTATTGAGCGATGTTGTTTCGACAAACACAGTCACTCATTGGGAAATCAGAAAATCGATACTTTTCCTTTCTAGACGTATTTGCGTGGTCGGTGGGGAGTTTTCAACCGCCGAACGGTTCTAACTTTCTCACCCTTTATTCACTTCCACGCTCCGTTCAGTTCCCACTGATTATTTTCAATCGCCGTCTCATGGGGTTTCCTCTTGTTCTCACTTTCCTCTCCATTTTCATTTTCATTTCATTTTCTGGCGCCCTGCCCGCACCGGGGGTCGCTAAATGTCATTAATCTGCTGCTGCCCCAGCCGGATTGAGGCTACGCCACGCCAGATGTGGCGCTGAGGGCGGAGGAGGCCATTCAAAGTGAGCGTGAGCGTGGAGGCGACTCTCTGCAAAACACATTCCCTTGATTTGCTCATTCAGTTTCCCATTTTGTTGACTCTTTTGTTATTTGACACGCGCGAATAACATGGTTATGAAGATATGGTGTCTTCATTCCGAATTACCATTAGACGTGCCACTGCCAACCATCTGTGACCTCAATTTTTGTTTTTTACGCGCGAACCTTCCCGCCACAACTGACCTCGCCGACCAAGTGTGCGTGCGTCAACGCACTCATTCTCGTGCTCTGTCTTTCCTTTCCTCTTTTTTGGCCGAGAGGCTACGGGACGGCCTCACGAGGACCCCGTCTCGTCTAGAATGGTCCCGATCGATTCGTGCAGGGTTGCCTGCGTGTCCGCACTACACTTGTCTCCGTCTCACCCCCTTGTACACTCTCTCGCTCGCTCTCCGGGCAAACGGAAGAGAGCGAAAACGGGAGGGCTGCGTTCTTGTGTGACCAGGCCGATCTTTCCACCTCTCTTTCTCTCCTACTACTCGTTTCTACATTTTTCGGAGCGCCGCGCCACAGCGCCCCCTTCCCCCCCATTTTCGTTTCCTTCGTCCTCGCTCTTCTTCGCTTACTTGCTTCTGATGACGGCTAGGTTCTGGATTGTGAGAGGAGACTAATGCAAACAGTAACTCCCGACACCCGTTCTGTTACACCGTAACCCGTCCTCTATTACTGCGTGAAGTCTGAGTCATCGTGAGCGTACTGCTCGCTCTTCGTCTCCACAGCGCCAGTGTTTTCGGTCTCCATCACTAGAAAAAAACATAATCCCCTGTCGTCGTCTCGGCTGAGAGCCACATCTAATTATATCTTTGCTGCCTGTCTTGCCGCTCCACTTGCTACATGTCTCAAAACAGAATTAGCCGTCAACGATACATACGTGGCATTGTTCTTCTTCCGCTCTCTCCGCACCCACTTTATTGTTGCGCCGTTCCCGGTGGGAAAAAGAGTGTTCCGATATTTCCGAATCAATATAATAATCGTTTGCGTCCGCCCGTCCGCCACATGTATAATCAGTATTTGCATTTTGATAGCGTCTTTGATATCACTGCCCCGCGATCACTTTCAAAATGTTTCTTGCTTGTTTCAAAATCGTTATTTTTTGCAGCCAAAATTACGGACCCGGCTGAATCTTCCGAAAAAGAGGATGACCTCTCTCTTCCGGAGCAAAGCGTTGTTACGTGGCTCAGTCAACAGCCCGGCGAACGGCTTATTCGTAAAACGAACCTTCGAATGGGTACGGCTGACGTCTACAAACAAAATCGCAACCAGGAGGAGGATATGTTGACACCGGACCGACTCAAAAAAGGCTATCAGGTAGGGCTAATGCTTAAGATGGGATTAGGAGTAGAGCTTGCATGCTAAAATGTCGTCCACGAAACATGTGATTTAATTTTCTCTTACTCAGATGCCTCTAACTCAATACGAGCTTCAATCTCTGGTATTCAACGCGTCGGAAAACAAATTGATTCGTCTCGATCGGGCTCAACGACGGTCACAGGCAATGTTTGCGGCGGTGAGTGTGCAAAATCTTCGAGGACTAGTTTCTCCAAACTTGGAGAAGAACTAGTCTGCCCATACATGTATTTATTATTAACAATAATTCGAATCGGTCTGCAGGTTGCTTTCAAAAAAGGCGAATTCAACATGCAATTCGAAAGGGATCGCAAGCTGACAAGAGACGAATTTCCGTGCTTTCCAAAGTGTCACTGGAGAAGAATTCTCGCCGATCGTGTCAAATTTTTCTCAAAATTGTGCCGTGGATTTCCGCTCGACCAGCTTGGCAAGCAAATGCCTTTCTTTAGAAGAAAAGATCGTTTGCTCCATGAATTCTATGACTACAAGTTAGTAATCTCTTGGAATTCAATGAGCAATTCTCTTTTTATAGCGTCTCCTTCTCACGTGCGCTTTGGTGCGTCAAAATGCAATCGATAATGTGTTTCGCCTCGGCGTACAACAAACAGAAGAAGACGCTTCTCGATGTGGCAACTGCGGAACTCAGCCAGGCGTGCAAGTCCTCGATCATCCGTCTTCTCGATGCTTTTCTAAGAATCGACGACGACGAAGAGGCCATTGACGCGTGGAACGATCAGTGGGGATACAAGACCGGATTCATGAAATTCATGTTTATGGTGAGCTATCAGGTGATTAAGAGAATTGGAACATTCATATTTTCAGGATGGTGTCCTTGACAAGCAAGAGTTCCTCAACGATCTCTGCGATGTGTTCAACTTGTTCTTCCTGGAAAGAGGAGAACTGGAGCCAACGATTATGAAGTAAGAGCACTCGAATCCACTCCAGTTTTTCTAATTTTATCACTTTCAGAGCATTCCTCACATACTTCTACACGTTTGTGGAAGAAATAAGTGCCAGCATGGTTCTGGCTCGGCGGGTATCAGCGGCAATAGCCAAGCAAATCGCGGTCATGTTCGAAATTGGTCAGAGAATACGGAAGCGGAACTACTACTTGAATGCAAAAGGCGAACTGAGAAGGTGGGTTATTATAGATTTTTTTAAACAATAATTTAATTTCCTTTTTTTGCAGAGTGATTGATCCTTCGACAGGAAAGAGAAGGAAAGGCCTGCCGTCGGCAGATGAAATTTCTGATCTGGAGAACATGGAAAGCCTTCCGCCTATTCCGTATTTCCGCAGAGACGTTGAGCTGTTGAACAAAATTTGTGCGGAATCCCGCGCTGCTCATCGCACAGTCCGGAGAGCGGAAAAGGAAAAAGAAGCCGCCGAGAAAGCCGAGAAAGCCGCCAACGGTGAGAACCCGGAGAACGCGGAAGCCTCTACGAGTGGAAATGACAAAGACACGGATGGCAATGCGGAAGAGAAGAAGGAACCGGACTCCTCGGACACATCCTCAGATTCGGAATCTGAACCGGAGAGAGAAGCAGAGGCAGAAGGAGATGCAAATGCGGACCGTGACGCGGAAAATGAGAAAATGGACACAGATGAAGCGCCTGAAAAAATCAATGCCGATCTACTCAAAGTGGCGCCGCTTCTCACCAGAATAAAGCGAGAGCCAGCGGACACGTACTCGTCGTACCTCACCTCGGACCGTTTCCGTCCGTGGCTTGTCAAAACGGAGCCCATGGATGATTCGTACGAGAATTCTCCTCCGACAGAAGAGGCAACTCCATCGCCAAGGAGCCCTACACCATCACTCAGGAGGAGTCCACCCACATACACTCCAATGCAAGCGAAGGTGGAAAGTGGATCGGCAAGACGCCATTCTGTTGATGGAGATGCCCGTGATTGGAACGATCTGGAATCGTCGCGTTCTTCCTCTCCGTCTTGGATCATGCAGTCATCAACGAATTCGTCGACCGTCTCGCCAACTTCATCGATCTACTCGTCCCGATCCAACTCACCAGTGTCGGAGCCTGATAAGCCGGAGCCTGTCTTCGAACCAGTGAATTTCCATCCTAAAATCGAGAAGCGCTACGGCTACATGGGCTTCAATCGTCCGCCTCCAGTCGAACGCATCGGTGGACGGTACCACGATCAGACGTATCCGTTCTGGGAAGCTGGCGGTGGAATTGCTGCCGATCCGAACTACAACGAGACGCAGAACTTTGAGAATCCAGCGCCACCAGCGCCACCCGTAGATGCTGCACAACCGCCTGCTATTTCGATGGAAGTCGACACCACGCCAAGCAGCACTCCAGAACTTGACTCTCAGAAAGAAAAAGAGAAGGACAAGGACAAGGACAAAGAGAAAGAGAAGGAGAAGTCGAAGGACAAAGAGGTGGAGAAAGAGAAAGAAAAGTCGAAGGAGAAAGAACCGGAGAAGGAAAAGGAGAAAGCTGAGGATGAGGACAAGGAAAAGTCCAAAGAGAAGGAGAAGCCAAAGGAAAAAGAATCGGAAAAGAAAAAAGAGAAGGAGAAGGAAAAGGCCAAAGATGAGGACAAGCCAAAAGCGAACGAGCCGGAGAAAGAGAAGGACAAGCCGAAAGAGAAAGAGCCGGAGAAGGAAAAGCCCAACGATGATGACAAGGCTCTGGATAAGGAAAAGGAGAAGGTCAAAGTGGATGGCAAGGAGAAGCCGAAGGAGAAAATTGACGAAAAAGATAAGGACAAGGAGAAGGAGAAAGACAAGGAGGACGGCAAAGAGAAAACCAAGGAGAAGGAGAAAGATAAGGAAACCGACAAGGAGAAGGAAAAAGAGAAAGACGGCGAGAAGGATAAGGAGAAGGACAAGGATAAAGGAAAAGAAAAAGAGAAGAACAAGGACAAGGAAAAAGAGGAGGAAAAGGAAGAACCACGTGTTCCAACGCCGCCAAACCATTGTAACCCGAACAGCAGCCAGTATCACCCGAGCAACCTGATGATTCCGTTGTGTGCAGAAGCTGAGAAGAAGTTCAAACCAGTCTATAGTAAAGCAGTCAAAGAACGAATGATACGGGAGAAGAAAGAGGAATCCTCGTCGATCGAGAAGAGGACGGAAACCTACTACAGCTTTCTGAAACGGAAGTGCGCCGATCCATACTTTCGAGATCTTGGAAGAAAGTTTTTGCGAGGAGAAGAACTGCCGAAACCTGCTCCCCGAGTCATTAAAACCCCGCCTCCGCCTGCTCCGCTGCCGTCTCCTCCGACCGGACCAGTCCTTGTCCCCGCGTTTGCACTTGACGCGATTCCATTGGATGAGCCATTCGCTCTCACCTACGATCCAACCATCCCTCCTCGACTTCCGTCTCCGACGCCCGAAGTACGACCTCCTCCAGTTTTCATTCCACCCTTCACGCTCGATGATAGCGACCTCTCGATGGGTCCGATGACTGCAATGCCTCCAATGAGTCCACTTTCTCCTCTGGAATCAACAGGATCAACGGCCCCGTCAGTGACTCCAATGCGTCCGATAAATCCGCCGACTCCGAGGCCACAAATGGGTCCGATGAGTTCGAATAGTCCGATGAGATCAATGCTTTCGATGCCTCCTATGCTTCGGATGCCTCCGTTGGCCACAATGCCTTCTTTGAGTTCTCTGGGCCCTCCCATCGGCCCACCAATATGCCCACCGATAGGATCTCCACTGAACTTGATGACTTCAATGAATTCGATGAGTTCATTGGGGCCAATGGGACTAATGGGACCAATCGGTGGAATCGGTCCAATGTTCGATGTCAATTTTCCGGACGCATACGACACGTTTGGCCCTCTGGATATGTCATATTTGGGACCGATGGACTTTACGCAACCTCTTCTGCAGACACCTGCTGGCATTCCTCTTCCGGGAGCTCCCGAGAACCCCATCACAGCAGTGGCACCAATGGAGCCAATGGAAACTGACGAAACTCCGGCGGATGCACCAAAGGAAGCAACCGCAAGCACTTCGGAAGAAGCTTCAGCGGAGCCAATGGAAGTCGACCAACAGCATGCTGCTGGGCCTGCCGATACTTCAACCGTCACGCCTGACGAGAAGCCTGTTGAGAAAGATTCTGAAGAAAAGTCTGAGAATACGCCTTCCGAAAAGCCTGCTGATGAATCGGATGACAAACCTGAGGAAGGAAAGAAAGAAGACGGCAAGGAAGATGGAGAGAAGGTAAAAGAGAAAGCGGAGGAAGAGGACAACGACATCATCTTCATTGAGCCGTCTCCAAAACTGAAGGTAGACGACGATCCATCGGACTGCGTGGTGATTGCTGAAAAGAAAGCTGGCGATAAGGACAAAGAGAAGGACCAGGAGAAAGAGAAGGAGAACGCAGATGAGGATAAAAAAGATGAAGAGAAGAAAGATGAAGAAGAAAAAACTGGTGACAAGGAGCCAAATACCGAAGATAAAACCGAAACCGAGCCCGAGCCGATTGTCCTTCCGCCACCGCCACCAACAATTATCCCAGAACCACCGAGAGTGTACACAGCGGAAGAACTGGAAGAGATGAGGAAGCAAGAGAAGGAGAAGTACCTGGACAACTTGGACAAGCGGTTCAGAGTCTCGGACACTCATCCGGGCTTCAAAATCTTCTACGAATGCCCCGACCACCTCGACTCGATTATGCTCCTCTCGGGCATGCTTCAGCACCTGGTGTCAGTTGTGCCGGAGGCGTTTGTTTGGAATGATTTAGCGGTGAGCAAATGAAAATATTTACTTTTCCGAGATTTAAATGTCAATTTATTCCAGTTCCGCAGCCGATCCAGAAGCAAAATCATGATCCAGTTGTGCGGTTCTCCTCTCGATTTCCTGCCGTGCAATGTCTTCGAGCTACCAACGTTGCCAAGTAAGTAATTGCAGGAAGAGTGAAAATAATTGAAGAGGGGGAGGTTGCACAACAGCGCAGAAAGTCGAATTAACTGTGCGCCTGGTGCAAGTGCGCTCTAACGCTAACTCAAACATTTTCTTTAAAAATGTATCATATGTTTCAGATTTTGAACGTGAAACGAATGACATTCTGAGAATTCGTCACAAGGAAATTTGTCGGAGGAGCAAATCGATCGAAGAGAAATGGCTTCCAACCAATGCGGACGTGTTGAAGTACGGAAGAATCATTGACACGTGCGTTGACGTCATCGGCATCATGGATAATATTGATGTGGAGAGAGCGAGCTCTATTGAGAATGCGGCGAAACGATTGTTCAAATTCAGACCGAAATTTCAGTACGAAGAAGCTCTTTTGAGGTGAGTCAATAATAGGACAACAAATTATGCATTCTTTTATTATCTTCAGAACCCGGCTCATGTTCAAATGGTGCATCACTGAAGAGCGTGAAGGATCGTTCCGTGCCGCGTACGTCGCCAAACTTCTCCGGTTCGGTATGGATCAGAACCAGAATCGTAGAATCGGCGGCTGGAGAGTCATGGATCTGCTGTTCAACTTTATGTCCACCGAGGGGCCGAAATACGGCTCAAAGATGTATCAAGACCACTTCGACGCCACTGTTTCCATCATGATTGAGATGCTCCGCGAGAAGATCTTCTGTATCAACGACATTTTGAAGGCGTTGGAGAAGGACGATGAACTCAACTTCTACGCACCACTCATGTGCAGGCAGCGGAAGCAGAAGATGCCGAAGCGGCCCAAGGGCAAGCCGCCGGTTCATGATGAGCGGAAGTTGATCTACTTTGAAGAGAAGACCACTCCGAAACGATTGTTCATGGGAAAGAAGATGGATTTGTTCGAGCGAATGATCATTATTCTTCCACAGTTGGACGTTGGATGGGATTCCGACGAGTACAGAATCCGCCGACTCCTTCTATTTGGCCTCCATCCAGCTGGAAACGTGTTCTTCCGAAGAGCTCGCAACATCTACCGGACCATATCCAATGAGCTCGAAGGCAAGCTGTGGGTTGAGTTTGACCGTGCGACACGTGTCACAACTGTTCACAAGAAAGTTAATCAAGTCCGGCTCGACGACCAACTCCGCCAGTTCCGTGCTCAAACCTACCATGATCAGCATTTGATTGTCCAACGGATCGCTTTCTCGTTTATCGATGCAATCGCCTCGTTCCTAAACAAGGATCACGATAAAGTGGTGGCTCCGGAGGTGAGCAACATCATCTGCGAATTGTTCGAGTACGCCCAAGACATCACGTCGATCTTCGACTTTTTCGAACAAGTCACCCCGTACCTGAAGGGCATCGATGACAAGATCAATCATTTCCGGATGGATGTGATTCCGGCGATGTATTGCACCGAAGTCACGTTCATCTTCGTCTCGTTCTTCATGAAACACTGGCAGCGATTCTTGTTGCATCCACGCGCTGTGAATATTGTCAATCAATGCTACTACCTGGTGGAGGACATGATTCGTGGAGTGGACAATGTGATCACCGGATGGGGACGGACCATTGCTCTCTTTGCATACCACGCGAAGAAAGCCATAATCAAAGCTGGACTTTTGAAAGACGGTCAAACGTTAGTCGGTGAGGACAGCCACTTCTGGAGAGTCTTCCCGAACACGCAGCACACGGATCTCGATGTCAGCCACTTCAACGCTGAGTTCGCAACGAACAAACTGACCCTCCGTGGAGGAGCTCTTCGATACGACTCGTTCAACGATTTCAAATGGATTGTGTCGAGTTTGAAACCGAATCTACGGAAGAGGCCGTATCTTAGGAGACCGAACACTAGGTACTCCTTCGTGATCCGCGCGTTCATCGAAGCTCGTAACCACGGTCGACACTTTGATCGCATCAACGAGTTGTCCAACTACTGTGCGAGCGTGACAGCAAACGATCCGCCGCTCTCGGAATACTGGATTGGAGCGATCAAGGGACTGTGCTTCCTGAGTATGGAGGGTCCGTATCCGTTCAAGGAGATGTCGCCCGACATTGATGTGAGTTTAGATGCCGAGAATCATAGTTCGCGAACCTCAAATGTATGTTTTCAGATTTCGGATTGTACCACTCACTACTCGCTCTGCACCTTCATCACTTGCCTGGCCGGTAAAGCTGCTTTCTACGTGCCACGGCTTCTTGCCGAGCTCACCAAGCACGTTTTCCCGTTGATGCTTCGACATGATGGCCGTCTAAGCTCACTGCGAACGAAAGAAGTGAAGCGGAAGGTCGCGTCAAAAACCACCGAATGCCGAACAGTCAGTGAAGCCGAGCCGGGAGTCTGTCTGTGTCTCATGATCATCTGCCGACTTTGCTGCGTGGGCGACGAGCCATTCGGACTGTCAATTCACTACAAGGGAATTGAGAAGAAGCGGAAACGATTCGGCAACACGGCTGATGAGAGGATCATGCACTTGTTCCACTGGTTCGAAATGGACGGCGCAATGTTCAAAACTCTCGGCCACATTGCTCAACTCCTCGAGGCTCTTCGCTCCAGACACAAGGACGCCAACTTCCTCTTTCCGAAGCTCTTCAGAGGATTGGATCCGAAAAAGGAGAAGGAAATGATGGAAGCTCAGAAAGAATTCCGCAAGTATCCCGCCTACTATCGCCCACAATTCCTGTTCAACATTGCGAAAACCGTGCAGTTTGTGATTTGCGAGCAAGACTGGGTCACTCTTCGGATGTTCCGCTTCTTCAAAAACCGCAAAATGGAGATATTCAATCAAGACAAGTTGAAGCAAAACTGTCTGGGACAGCAGATTCTGAGAATGGCTCTTCGTCGGCGAACCGAACGGGATAATGTGGAGAAAATTTTCGAAGCGCATGCCATCTCCAAGAAGGCGACAGTCGACAGAGTTCTCTCTTTCATGAATCTGTGGAACTTCCGTGCGACCCTCTTCGATCTGATGCTGATGATCAAGGAGATCTCTCCGGACGGGAACACCCGACACGCACAACAAGGAGCCATTGCCGCTGATGCTCTTCTCCGTGAAATTGGCCGATGTTGCAGGGACATGTTCATTTTCGCATACAAGGACAAGACCAAAATGCCGGTTGTGAAGTCGCTCATGGAGTTCCGATTCTCGGACATCAACAAGTACTGGCTGATTGCTCCGCTCGTTCGGATGTGTCCGAAACCAATCAATATTCCTCCACAGTACGCGAACACGACGGTCGAAACGGTTGCGGCCAAGTTCCTGAAGGAAGCCGCGTCTCTGATGGAAACGAAAGCGAATGCACCAAAAGAACGCTTGTTGCAAAGTGCGTGGGCGATGTCACGTCTTCCGTTCATCAACATGATTCTGACGTGTCTCCGATGCGAGAAGAAGCAGCAAAGCAAGGACATCTTCCTGCAAGCACTCTACGGTCAACTGCAACGGGAGACGCTCCGCGAGCACAACAAGCGGACCTTGTGGACATTCCGCAAAGAGCACTTGGAATGTGCCAATCTCCGAATGAACATTCTCACCTACATATTCAAAGAGATCCTGAAGCCGACACATGTGGAAGCATGGGGACTGCTGCTCTTCCAATTGATGTATCATGGAATTTACAACGAGGACCGCGAGAAGCTCATCTACGACACGTGTTTTGACATGCTTCAGTACATGATGCTCTGGACGCTGGTTGAATGTGAATCTTTGACGCATTATGATCGTCATGGCTCAATCAGAATTCGGTACCCTCAATACGCCGGTCTCATGAAGAAAATCCGAAAAGAAACAACCGAACGATTCACCGATCCATCTCGGGAGAACCTTCATCGCTTCCTTCCGATTGGAAAGTGCTTCACCCCGACGGTCGCCTTCAAGAAGTATTCGCCGAAACCTCCGAAGAAAGCTTCAAGACACTGGAAGTCCAAGGAAGTCATTTCTGGTCTCAGACACGGAAAGTTTGCGTTGTTGCCGGAGGAAAAGGCCAAGTCGAATCCGTTCGACAGTATGCCTGGAGTAGTGACGGACGGCATCATCAAAGGAGGATGGAAGTTCCACTGGTTCCAATCGGTTCGACTCGAGAAAATTGGCAAGATTGTGCAAAGCAATCTGAGACTTGTCGCCCCACACCTTCACCCCTCCGAATTCCACAGACCTCAATTGATTATGTCTGAAAACGTATTCGACGACATTTATCTGCTTCCACCCGAAATCGAGGTCACCGGAGTCATTGAGACGCCCGACATGGCACCTGACGAGGAGAAGGAAAAGGAGAAAGAGAAGGGAAAGACTAGCGAGGAGAAGACTGCCGAGAAGAAGGATGAGGAGAAAAAAGAGGAGACTGCCGAAAAGAAGACTGACGAGGAGAAGAAGAAGGATGGCGAAAAGGAATCGGAAGTGACAGCGGAGAATCAGGACAAGGAGAAGGAAGGCGACAAAGATAAGGATAAGGAAAAGGCTAAGGATGGCGACAAGAAAGAGGATGATGCCATTAAGAAGGAAGGCGAACCTGAAAAGGAGAAGCCAGCAAGTGAAGCGGGTCCGGTTGCTGCAACCACTACTCCAGAAGATAACAAGGAGACGGAAACTCCTCCTCATGCTCAAAAACGTTAGTTTTATTCCTGGTACATTTTTCTCTAAAACCAATCGATATTTTTCAGCAGGTCCAGTTGCACGCTCTTCTCCGGCAACTCGTGGAAGAGGTGGCCGCAAACGCAATTCGGGAACTCGTGGAGGACCAAGAGCCAAACGGACCAACTCGCGCGCAGACGCTGCTCAGGCAGCTGCTGGAACGGGATGGAACGCATCGGGAGTCGGTGGCAGTGGTGGTAACAGCGGTGGAAATTATCACGCAGCCATGAGGGCTAACCAACCGCCGATGAGCAACGGATCGAGTGATGAGACGAAGGCGAACATTCGCAACTTGTTGAATCGCAAGCAGGAGAAGCGCAATAGCACTAGTACGTCAATGGTTTTTTTCTGAAAGGGGATTTGCAATATTTTTGTTTTTGTCGAACCGAATCATCTAAGCCCAGGCAGCATAGGAAGGGAGGGAGGGGAGGTAATGGAGAAGGGGGACAGACAGATAGACTTGCCCGATAAATCTTGTCATTTTGTCGTCGGACAAATGCGAATACGATAATGTTGTAGACGGAATGCACCTCAAAAAAACTGTTCTCCCTTTTGCTGTCTGCTGTCTGCTATCTGCCCACCCACCATTTCTTCTCACTAGAAGGTTTTATTATTCCGTTTGCCTCCTCCCTTCTCTCTACATCAAATCTTCTCCCCCCTCTATTCTCAATTTTATTCCAAAACGGGTTTCTGTCTCTCTTCCTCTCTCGTGGTTATTCACTATTATTTGTGGATCTATCTGATTTCTAGTTCTAGTTCTATCAGCAGAATACCTAATTATGAAACGCAATCGTGATGAGACTGACTCGCCTGCAAATGGGGTGGCAAGCAAGAAGAGCCGTTCTCCAGAGTCAAATGGTGTAAAACATGGGGTTCTTGTCTAAAAATTGTCAATTTTTGTGTTTTCAGATGCTGCCGCCGCCGCCGCTGCAGCTGCAGCTGTCTCCGGACCTGGAGGACCTACCGTTCCTGGTATGCAGATGCCGCCGGGACCACCGATGCCCGGAGTTGGAGCTCCGTCCGCGAATATCCAATCAATGTCCGGATTGCCTCCTATTCGACCTCCAAACACAATGATGCAGCAGCAGAATCTACAAATGTCCGGACTCAACATGAATCCGATGGGCTCGTCCATGAACATGGGAATGCCTGGTATGCCACCCGGCATGCCGCCAGGAATGCCCGGAATGCCCGGAATGCCAACCGGAATGCCTGGAATGCCTGGAATGCCACCCGGAATGCCGCCGCCACCTCAACAGGCTCCGCCACCATACTCTTCTAGTTCCAGCAGCTCTCTGAACAGTACGTTTCCTTTTGCAAATATTATTTTTCAAGCTTAATCCAGTTTTTGTTTCAGTGTACGCCAACCAGCCACAATTCGCCGCTCCAAACCCAGGCCCGCTCAACAGACCGTCTGTTTCTGTGACGAGCGCCATTAGCGCAGCTGACCGCAAGCAAATTATGGAGCAACAAATGCACGAGAAGCTGGCTCAGCAGCATGCACTAATGGAGCAACAGAAAGCGAGAAGTGAGATGCGAGAACGCGAGGCTCGTGAGCACGCAGAACGTCAGCAGAGGATGCGTGAGGAGCAGGCGAGAATTCAGCGAGAGCAAGAGGAAGCCAGACTCCGGCAGCAGCAGGAGGAAGCTCGACGACTGGAAGAAGCGAGGCAACAAGAACGACTCCGGCTGGAACGAGAAGAACAAGCTCGCCTTCAACGGGAACGTGAGGAGGCCCAGCGGCTGCAGAAGGAAAGAGAACTGAGGGAGCAAAGAGAACGCGAGGAGAAATTGCGACGTGAACGAGAAGAGCAGATGCGACGAGAACGTGAAGAACAACTTCGACGCGAACGCGAGGAAGCTCTACTCAGGGAACGACTGCAAAGAGAGCGAGAAGAACAAGCTCGTCGTGAAGAAGCTGCCCGACGTGAACGTGAAGAGCAATTGCGACGTGAGCAGGAGGAGCGGGAACGAGTTAGGCGAGAACAGGAGGAAAGGGCTCGACGAGAGCAGGAAGAAAGGGCTCGACGGGAGCAGGAAGAAGCCGCACGTCTCCGAGCGGAACGCGAACGTGAAGAAGCTGCCAAGGCTGCCAGGGAAGCGCAGCAACAGCAGGAGATGGCACGTCAGCGGATGTTGGAACAGCAACAGCGGATGAACAATTCGTACATGAACCAGCAGCCGCCGGCCTACGGACAACAGCCGCAAGGTCAACCGCCCAGCTATCAGCAAGGATCCTATCAGAACCCAGCCGCTGGATATCAAGGTCAACAACCTCCGCCGAACCAACAACCTCCGAGTTACCAGCAACCGAGCCACGGACTCCAACAACAACCCGGACAGCAGCAACAGCCTCCTGCCTACCAGCAGAACAGTCAAATGCAGATGAACATTCAACAACAGCAGCAAGCCGCCAGACAGCAAGCTCAAGCCCAACAACAGCAGCAGCAGTTTGGTGGACAGCTACCGGCAGGAATGAATCAGCAACGACAGCAAGAGTTTGCCGCGTATGGTCAGCCGGTCGGGCAAGGACAAGCCGGACCAGCCGCGCAGTTTGGTCAACAGCAGAGACCCATGTTCCCTGGACAGCCGGGCATGCAAGGACAGCCGGGAGCGCCTAATGTTCCGAAGATGCTGGTGCACGCTGAGCCGAACAAGGCTCACCAGGCGCAGTATCAGATGGCTCAGAACCAAGCACAGAAAGAACAACTTGAAAGGACTCAACGGTATTTCGATAATCAGACGTCAAAACTGCAACAACCAAACGCTCCAACCAATCCTGCCCAACAACAGCCACCACGATTTGGAGATGCGACTGCCGGAAATGCCTCAGCGTTTGGACGCAACCCATTCGGACAGCAGCCAACTGGTGCTCCTGGTAAGCTACATTTTCAGGTGTACAGAATCCATACAATCTATACATAGATATTGCAGGTCAGTCGCAAATGCAAGCCAAGGCAGCAGCTTCTCGTCATGTTCCGGGACAACCTGCCAGCAATCCAATGGGCAACATGCAAGGCTACCAACCACCGGTCTTGGGTCAACCTGGACCAATGCAACCTGGAGGAGGACCGGCTCAAAGTGCTCAACAACAGCAACAACAGCCTTCCGCGCAGCCAGGAGCTCAGCAGCCGTATGGTAGCGGCCGGCCAACGATGCCAACTCAAAGCGAACTTGCATTGAGAATGGGCGAACGGACAGCTTCGAGTGGCATGAATCCAATGGCTAATCGGATGAACCCGCCCCCTCAGCAACCGTACCGACCTGGTCAAGACCCAGCCAACTATCAGGCACAGCAGCAAGCTCAAGCTCAAGCTCAGGCAGCATACCGAGGTGGAATGGATCCGCAGAAGCCAGGGCAGTTCCCAACCACAAGCTCGGGACACGGACTCTCAGCGCAACAACAACCACTCGGACATCAACAAGGTCAGCAGCAACAGGGTCAGAATCTTCCTTCTGCTCAATTTGGGCGTCAGACTCAAGAGCCGGGCTATCAGCAATCATACCAACAGGGTGGTCAATCTGGGCATCAGGGTGGTCATCAAGCTGGCGGCTATGCTTCACGTCAGGACCAACAAATGGCTCATCAGCAGCAACCATCTCAGCAGCAATCACACAACCAATATTCAGGCATGAACCAGCAGCAGAATCAGATGCGACAATCGATGCCTCAACAACAGCAACCGGGCCAGCCGATGCAGCAGCAACAACCAGGACAGCCTGGGCAGATGGGCGGCCAGTTCGGAAGGAGTGCCCAGGAAGAGCAATATCGTCAAGCGCAACAGGCTGCCGCGCAGGCTAAGGCTCAACAAGCTCAAGCTCAAGCCCAGGCTCAAGAGCAAGCCCGGGCCCAGGAGCAAGCCCGAGCAACGGCGCAAGCGCAAGAGCAAGCAAGAGCGCAAGCGCAAGCCGCTGCTCAAACTCAAGAACAAGCCCGAGTTCAAGCTCAAGCTCAGGCTCAAGCTCAGGCTCAAGCCCAGTCCGGCTACGGACAACAAAGTGGATTCGGCGGACAACAACAAGGATACGGCCAACCGGGACAGTCTCAAGCTCAACAAGCTCAGCAGCCGTTTGGACAGCAACCGCAGCAGGCGAACCGATTCGGCGCAATGGGTGGATATGGTGCCAGCAGTAGAGGAGGACCCTCTAACATTTTGGCTCAATCAATGGAGGAGTCTGGTCTGAATATGCCGGGAACTCACGGAATGAAGCCTAATGGTAATTGAAATGTTTCTGTCTGTATCCAACTTTATTTTCAGTGCCAAGCCAGCAAGGTGGTTTTGACCGTCACACAATGCACATGTCTCAAGCGCAGCAGCAGCAGCACATGGCCCAACAGCAAAGTGCTCAGCAGCAGCGGATGGGACAACCTGGAATGGCTGGAATGAGTGCCCAACAACAAGCGCAGTCCGGAATGCCACGTCCTGGAATGGGAATGGGAAAGCCCGGAGCACAACAGCAGCAGGCGCAGGCACAAGCTCAGGCACAGGCTCAGGCCCAGCAACAGCAGCAACATCAACATCGTGGAATGATGGGAGCTGGCGGCGGTGCTCAGTTGCCACCGTACTCGGCGATGGGTCAGCAACAGCCGGGACAAGCGGCGCAGGACCAGTATCGTGGAATGCAGCAGGCGGCGCACCAATCTGCCGCGCAGAATCGGATGGGAATGAACCCGCAAGCTGGAGCTCAGCCGCATCCGAGCGGATACGGTGCTCACATGCAATCTGGTGGAATGCAGTTGCCACCTTTGCAACAACGTGGACAAGGACCGCAAGCTCATGGAATGGGTGGTCACGCCAACATGCAACAACAACAGCCTGGAGCCAACCAGTACTATCAACAGCAACAACAACAACAACAGCAAGCTGACCCAAGGTAAATCAAATCAAAAATTAATGACTTGTTACTAATATAACTTCTTTTTTTCCAGAATGCAACAACAGCAACAGCAGCAAGGCCAGCAAGCACAACAACAGCAGCAACAGCATGGATACGGTATGGGACAGTACCCCAACCAACAACAACATCCATACTAACTTCATCATCATGTCATGTCATACATTATTTTCTCACACTGTAATCTAATTGAGTCTATTATTTTGGATATTTATTTGATATTTATAATTATAGTGATACCATGCAACTCTCTTCTTCTGTCAAATCCCGCACCAATCTAATCACTTTGTTTTTTGTCATTACCACCCAACCATATGCCAGTCATTCTCCTTCATTCATTCTGTCAACAGTTTAGTGTGATATTTGAAAATCAGTTTTTCGTCCCTTCCCCCCTTTTTCCATTCTATTTTGGAACATGCAACAGCGAATCTGAATTGTGTAAAACGGGTTATCAACACGTTTCATTCGATATTTATTTTGTCATGCATATTTGATGCCACAATTACTCTTTTTCTTTACGTCTGCGGGATGAATGATTTTTTGCGACATTCGGTGTTTTTCAGGGAAGAAGAAGCGAGAAAAGAGTTGTTTTTGAGGTTATGAAATTGGATTTGACGGCGCTGTTCGGTGTTTTTCGTCGTTTCTTCTTCTTGAGAATTGGAGAGCGTTTTCAGGAGCTTTGAACTTGAAATTCGCAGAAAACATGAATGGTCCTCTTTCACTAGAAATCCTCGCTTTAGAGTCATATCAAAAAGGAGACAAAAAAGATGGCAAACGAGCGAATGATGTTGTCAAGGAGAAACGACGTCAACCCGCTCGTTTTCTTTTCGAATGTCTCTTTTTTGTGCGTCCGTCCGGCCGACGCGCGCTTTTCTCTCCGAATGTTGAATATATCGGCGAAAGGCGGGCTCAGGCGCCGGAACTCATTGGCTCACGCTGCTCGCACTCACCATCACATGCCAAATATCTTTTCTCTCCTTCTTCTTCTTTTTGCCGTTTACGAAAAAGCTCCGCCTCCCCTTTCCTTTTCTCATTCGCCACTTTTTATCTCTTACTCTTACTTTCCGTCGACGAGCACATCACTCATTCCATTACATCTTCTTTTTTCTTTCCGGACGTGCCTCCTCACTTTCACGTCACTTCGGTTCACTTCATCAATGTCATTCCCAAATCCACCGACATATGAACGTAAGTGTTCTTATGAACACAATAGTCAACAGGTAGGACCATAAATTTTTCAGAAATGATCCCACCACCTTTCAACCCGGAGTACGCCTCCTCTCAACCTGTTTATCACATGAATAACCGCGTCACAGCGCCACCATACCACTATCATGAAAATCCGGCTTATGAGAACGTGGTAGACGTGAACTCACCAGGTATTAGATGTGAACTAATGTAAGCTTATCCAACCTTGAAATGTTCTAGTCTATACCACGTTGGCCTCGGGTCCAATGCCAACAACTACCATAATCATCCGTCTGGAGCAGTTCCCAACCAAACTGCAATGTCCGTACTGCCGTCAAGATGTGAGTCATTATTCAAACACGCAAAACAATCGAATTATTTCAGATCGTGACTCATACAAAGCCCGTCTATGGTCTATTAACCTGGATTCTGTTCGCCGCTCTTTTTCTCTTCGGGTAAGAAGGTCCCAGACCAATTAGGACTCGCTCGCTTCCTTGTTTTCGTGCTCATCCAGCCGGGAAAAATCGACAATTTCAATTTCTTTCCCAACTTTTCTTCCTTTTCAGCTGCTGGTGTTGTTGTTTCTTGCCGTTCTGCGTTCGTTCCTGCAAAGACGTGGTTCACCGGTGCCCCAATTGTCGGGCCATGATCGGAATTCATCGACGAATCTGAATCCTCTCTTCATAAAACATTTATTCTGCATTACACGTGACATAATTGAATATGAAGAAGGTTGTTATTGAGAGAATTGGTGGAGTTTTTGAGAAATGGAGGGAAGAAAACGAAGATGTGGGTTGGGGTGGGGGGAGAAGCGAGATGTGAAGATATGATTGTCAATGAGCGGGTGCATAACAGCTGCCTGCAAAGTGTTGAAGTCTCGAGAAAGTTTTTCCCGGCGGGTGTATGATGTGAGCCGGAAATTTGTCCTTTCTCAATACACCACACTAACGGCTCTAAATGCATCCGCTCAAATGATATTCATTTGGGGAATTGGTATTGGAATTGAGGGGTTTGGGAATAGAGAACTTGGTCGTCATATTCTTGATTATGGAGCTGCATCCATTGCTGATTTCATGTAAACAAACCAATAAATGAAGTTGTAGAATGTAAACACTACTGGAAGAACAAGAATAAAATCATTTTGGTTCTTTTAAGATTAACAAACCTGGAAACATTAGCCTGGAACAATTGTCTAGTCTTTCACAATAAACTATATTTTGGGATTTTCTCTGAACTTCGTCTTTGCTATTGCTCTGTTGCTGCCATCGGACAGACGCACTGAAACAGATGTAAAAACTTGAACAATTGAGATATTTACTTACTTTTTGATCGATCTAGAAGACTTTGTCGGTGGTCTCCCTTCGTCTCGCATCAAAAATCCAATGGTAGCTAGTTCAAAGAGGGAAGCAAAGACGAAACAGATTCCGCTGAAAAAATTGAGAGCTCAAAAGGTCAGGGGGACCGGAAACAAACCTCAGCATCCAAACGTCGATGGCTTTGATATATGAGACTCTGGGTAGATTTCGGATTATGTTACCGAATTGGAAGGTAAGAGCCAACAAGGCATTGACACCTGAAGAAAGGAAGGAAATGATGCTGGTTTTTGATTTTAGTTTGATTCGCCAAAAAGAATCTCGTGGTTAGTCAGAAGAGGGTAACATTAAGCAGATGAACAGTGTTCTTATCAAATCCATTCCAAAGACTTTGAACTAATCTATCTGACAGACAGATTAAACTATTTTCGAAAACATCTGTAATACGTGACGGCTAAAAGATTACCAATTCCTATCGTCATTTTCATTTTCTGCCATGAACTTGATAGTCTTCTTTTCACTACAACTTTCTACCCATCCTTTCAAACTTGCGGTTTCAATACCCAAGGATGGGAATAGATTGATGTGACGCGCAAAATCTGATCAGCGTCATCAAATTGAGTTACCGAGGGTTCGCGATGAGTTGGAGAGACAGAGAAAGCGCAACTTTTACGAGATTTCGAAGACAAAATTACGACTGACCTATCATAGTGCGTGCGGGTATTGCTTTCGGACCCAAATAGAACGGAATCCAGGAAATGAAGACTGTCATATAGGTCGGAATGTATCCCTGCAGTAGGTACCAGCCGGATCTCCGTCGGAACAGGAAGTTTACATTGAGCTCACTCCAGTACCCTGCGGCATAGAGCTGGAAGAAAAACAAAACAAAATAAGTATAGGATGTGATGCTTGGATGTTATGCGATCTCACTTGGAATTTGTTGGAAGTGCTATAATTGGTCATAGTAAAGTCCGGAAGCTCGATAGGCTTGAAAATAGTCAGCGGAGGATCACTCCATCGCATGAAAACCTCATCCTGCAACAAACGGAGAAATGAAAGAATAGAAACAAAAACAAGAGCGGTGAAAAAGATCTAGTTTTAAATGGAACGAATATAATTGGAAAAAATTGGGCGGCAACCTTGTTGTAGTTGAATGACTCGAAAGTCAGCGAACATTCGATACTGTCCATCGGAAATTTGGAGAGATCCATTACACACGGTCCGGTACTCTTAATGCGCCAATTCGACCACACCGAGCCTGAAAGGGAAACATTTTGGATTGAATTGGAGGGTTAACGGAAAGGGGAAAGGGGAAAAAGGGGGCTTTCCGCGTGTACACACTCCTCTTCGGACAATTATTCACGCTTATTGTCTTTGTTCGGTGTTTGCATGTGGTCTTTTCGATCAATTATTCATTTGGAACCCAACCTTTTCTGATCCCTCCTTCTCCCTTCTTCACAGAATCTGAAAACTACAACCAAAAATTATATGTAGAGGATGGAAATTTGAGATCAAAATCATGCGATCTCCTACAAAGATACTGTGTTTCCTTCCGATTCTTGTCAAATTTCATACCCCCCCTCCTCCTTTTTTTCCAATTTTGTTCTTTGCGCATAGCCGCGCATGACAATAAATCACTAGGCTGGAATTGAATCGAATTTGTCTTCAGAAGAATGTGACTCAAAATTTTGCATAAACGAATCAAGCTTAGCATAAGTCGAACTACACTTAACGAGCTGGGGACGCTCTCCCTCCTCCAACTTTTACATCTTTTTTCTTCCTTCCCCTCTAATCCGCCGAACTCTGGGGGCCACCGCCACAAATTGAGACGGGAGCGAAGAAAAAGAGGGAGAAGGAGAAGGAGAAGACAAGGGAACATAAAAAACAGAAAACCTTTACCATTTGGAAACACCATTAGAAAAACGTTGGTGAATGGCGAACTATGGAGTTGGGCCTTCTTGGAATTGATGAAGCATGTATTCGGCGTCCAGATATTCTGCATGACAGCCCAATCGAATGATAGATTGCCCTGCACACACAAGAAAAATGTCAAAATCTCAGGAAGTTGCAAATCACCTGACATGGATTGAGAATGTCGTATGCCAACCCGGGATCTGTCCAATATTCGTTCATGTACAAATCTGAGAGAGTAGGAGTAGAAAAAGAAAAAGAAGGAGCGAGAATTGAATATGTAAAGCGATGAGTACCTATTTCGAAATCTTGTGTGAGCTCCGACACCGACGACACTTCTTGTACCCACATCTCGATTCGCACGTCAACTTGTGGCGACGGCAATTTGTGCTTGTTATAGTACAAGGCCCGATCAATAAGCAAATGATCGATGACTTCGGTGTCGTTTGCACATCTGGAAAAGAAAGTGCGTCCGCAGATTTAGTTTCTCTTCTCACCCTCTATCCAAAAGGTATGAAACCGTAGGACTGATCTCTGCCGACAGTGCGTGTACCGATTCCCGAGTCGCGTAGAGCAATAGGAACAGTGTGGACAGCATGACCGTTCCGTGGTCTGAAACTGACTTCAGCAATTTATCTCTGGTTTTCAATCAGAACGCCGTTTTTCCTCTTCTGCGCATACACTTGGCGAGCGCCTATTTCCCCGGGGAACTCAGGAGGATAAGATAAATGATGGGAGGAAGCGACAAGTCGCTGGGAAATGTGTCCGTCTTGGTTCGTTTTTTCCTTTCATGGACACCATGCACCGAGAAAGCAAGGGTAGTAAGAAGAAAAAGAGAATTAAAAAAGGATTTACGCACACGTCTAGATTGCTAGTTTGTCATTAGAACGAAGCAAATGACTTACATGGAAGCAGTTCGAAGGTGTCACCTAGCGATTGTGTTGGTGTTGGTGTTTTGAGCGACGATGAATGGTGGCATCAATATTCGTAGATGTCTCGGTCGGTCGGTCGGTCGTCGCGCATGCCCTGAGGCGACCGACTCGAAGGCGCCGAACTGAAGCACCGCCCATTGTTGTGGGGCCTGCAGACTCCGCAGCCGGAGCCCGCCGCACCCTTGCACCCTCTCCTCTCTACTTCTGAAGCTGAGCATGTAAAAACTCAATTCTTATCTCTTTTTTGAACATCTGACAAAAGAAGAAGCGGGCTCGGCGGAGACGGCAGAAAAGAGGCTCTTGTCGAGGAGCGATGTGAAAACGGATTTGGCACAAAAAAATGTAAAAATGATGAAAAAAGGAGGAAGTGCTCTGCTGATTGCTATTCTATTTTGTCCATTCTATTCTATTCCCTACTCCCGCCCGCTCCACTCCTTTCATGTCTCCAAAACTGCCGAAACAATCCATTCAGTCAACTCAACTGAACAACGGAAACCCACTTAGTCGTCAGGGAGCTCAAGGAGAGGGGCACCCCCGAAAAAGAAACAATTGGAGGGAAAGAAGAAGAAGTAGAAGTGGAAGAAGAAGAAGAAGCTGGGGGTGGAGAGAAACCACGAGACGATCGCAAATTGCATAGCAATAAGGAGTCACTAGACAACCAGAGCTTCGTCCCGGAGGACAAAGTTGCGAAAGTCTAAACACAGAAATTGGCAAATTGCTTGCTAATAACTTTTCAAAAAACTGACGTGGTCATTTGGTCGCCTTTTCAGGATTATTGTAGTTGTGCTGTCAGCTGACGAGCCGGACTCACTCGAGATGGCCCGATGTGACCCGACCTAGACAGAAGAGATATGACAACAGATGCACCATAGGCATTCCATCAGACGTTCCGAATTTCCGTCTACATTGTTCTATCTACTCAGACTTGTTTCGGGCCGGGCTAGACCGGATTTTAGTAATGATTTTTGATTCAAACGATTTCCAGAATAGTGAAAATTTATCTTTTTTTCAACATTTCAAAGTACGATGATGTTTGTCAGAACAAATAGAGGGTTTTGGCAGATTTTTGGCAGACTACTGAAAACTACATGAAATGCGTAACAGCTCGTGTCGAGCCAATTGAAATGTCGAGGAATGCGATTTTTCAGTTTTCAATCACGCTTTTGCTGATTAAACTCGGCACCACACCAACAAACCAATCAGACGTTGTCTTGTGACTGACCACCTGTCCTTTACCATCGACCTCACCTCAAACAGCATGAAATACGACCGTCCCTACTACTCATTTGTTCAACTCAGTAACCCGATCTTTTCCCTCTTCTCCATCTGACCTATTACCTTTGCGTCGTTCATTATTTGACAATCTGCCTAGTGCAGGAAACGTTTGATTTAGTAATCAAAGTCGAGTAAACGTGTACTATGATGTGTCACTCCACGCGTTTCTTCTTATCACTTATCAATTTTCTCTTCTCTTCAGTGAGTACGTGTTATCGGTTGTCTTTCCCACTTGATCATTCTCTTTACCTCATTCTCGCTTCCAACCAAGTTTCTAATTGTCTTCTCCAACTTTCTTTCAAAACTTCTCCTCCTCAAAAGAAATTATGAGAAGAATAACAAAACGATGGCAAAGCGGCGGAGACAAAAAACTGCTCTACGTATTGTGTTGTGTTGATGGCAGCACTTTCGTCCTTTCCCCCTTCCTCTCCTTCTCCTGCTCTTTTCCTAGAATGACGAGCAGGCGCATTGCACTTTGTGCTGCGTCTCCGTTGTTTTCCCAGCCACTTACTCCTGATTAATCTTTTGGCGTTTTTTGAAAGACGCGACGAATTGGTGTGTTGGGGCTTCACGGCAGACAGCGGCCAAAAGTCGTTTTGTCTTGCTGCTCGCTTTTCGGCTTCACAAAGTAAAGTGCAAACGTCTCATGTCGTCTGTTTTGAAATTTCGAAGCGAACTGAACCTTCTGAACTGTTCATTGTTTATTCATATTTTTCTCTCAACTCATTTTTTGCAGTTTCGAAGATGACCGAAACCACCTACGACATTATTGAAAATCCGGAGGCATCCAGCGATCTCTGGAAGAAATGGAAACATCTGGTGGATACGGAAGGATGGACCTCGGATGACAACTCCGTCACGGCTCTCACTCCATCTCTAAAGTCTACAAGAAGTGTGTGGGCGGTATCGAAAACTCGTAAGTTATAATACTCGTTGGGTTCAGTACAAATATGTTCTTCAGCTGACAGGGACTTTGTTGGATGTGTGATTTGGAACGAGTACGATAAGTTAGCCTTCCTCGGCTTCTTCATCCTTGCTCCTGAGTTCAGAGGACAAGGAATTGGATCAGTGATCTGGGATGTTGCCATCTCGCGCATACCCCATGATTATGTTCTTGGACTCAGAGGAGGTACTGTGCTCTCAAAGATATTAAAATTTTAAAAAAGTTATTTATATTTCAGTCCCCAGTATGGTTGAGAAGTACCGAGCAAAAGCGACGCCTGTAGTCGGAGCCAGGTTGGAAAACTACCGAATGAAAGTCGCCGAGTACTATGCTTCTATGGAAAGTTCAACTGGAGATGTAATTTGTTCGAAAGCGTTTTTCCATGTATTCCTACTCGTTTTTCAGCATTACAAGTTGGTCAATGATCTTAACCCTGAAGAATGGAAAAAGTTAGTGCAATACGACAAAGATGTGAACGGTCGGAGCCGTCAAGAGTTTTTGGATCTCTACTACAAGTTGGATTTCACACTCGGAGTCGTGATCTTCGATGGGAACCACAACGTGATCGCCCATATTTCCGCAGTGTCCACATCTCACAAAGGTATCGTCCGCACTCATCTTTCCCGGAAAACGAAAGTAAAACACGGAACGTCCCGTTTTTCAGAGGATAATGTCTTCAAGATTGCGCCGCTCTACGCGGATTCGCCGAATATCGCCATGTCGGCCCTTCGTGTCTTCTCGAGGGTCATATACGAGAAGCACCCGAACGCGGACGTCATTTTCCACGTTCTGGACATTGGAAGCGGCAGTTTCCTGCAGTCATTCTTCCGAAGCCTCGAGATAGTGCCGGCAGTAAGTGGAGTCACTCTTTTCAGTGGCGAATATCCGCATAAAGGTGACCTTTCCAAAGTGTACATCGCTCACAACAACTCTTGTCACTATGATTATTGATGCTTATATCTAATGTTATAACAATGTTTTGCTTCTCCTTTTCCTTCTATCGCCGCTTCTTTCACTTCTTCTCTTGTTAGTGTGAAACAGCTTGTGATTTTTATTAGAAAATTTCGCAATAAATCATAAGAACAAATAGTTTTTCTTTTCTTCTCTTCCGACCGCCGCCCGCAGCCGGGCCGGGCCGCGTCATATGGTTTTTGATGGTAAAGAAGCTTTTTCACACAGTTCCGCGGCAAGTGATCAGTTGTTTGTAGGAAGTGTGGTCAAATGAGTGAGCTTCTTAAAACTATGGAATGTGGTCCTTTTTCAAGGTTATCACTACTCTTATACTTGTTCTCTTTGCAATCATTCATGCATTTTAATTGGATCTCGGTCGTATCCGATCGTTTGACAATGAAGGGGCAAGGGGGAAACGAGTAGATTTAACTACACATTGTGTGTCTTTTCTTACTCCCTAAATAGTTCCCGGAACCTTTTTCCCTCTCTAATCATAACACCCCCCCAATCCAGTTTTGCCCTCCTCAGAATTTCACGTTTTGTGTTGTCCGCGCCTCCCTCCGCCCGCTCGCTTTCTAATATCCAACTGTAAAACTAACGTTGTTTTATTTTAATGTCAATTTATCGTCTCTCCTAGTCATCACCGAAAAACCCTCAATCAAAAGGTGATAAGGACGATGGGCCCGCCCGCCCGCCTATCTCTTGTTCATATACATATCCTTTTGTCTATTATCCATCCATCCGTCCGTCATCAAGACCCGTTAGCCCCTTATACATAATCATATCTCTCTTTTGTGCGGCGCGCGGGATGCATCCGAATCGTCTTTTGTCCCGCATATATCTCAGAATTTATGATTCGTCTGTAAAACCGAAAAGTCTGCCTTCTTGCTTGCTCAGAACCCCGCATTTGTCAACAAAAAGCCTGTTTTTACTTGTAGTATACAATTCGATTATTCGTTCTCCGATTACTCATACGATTACTCAAAACGTTTTCTTTCTTCTTTCCCACCGGACACTTTTTTTTCCATGCCCACTCGTACATGGTTGTTTTATAATAGCATGTTCATCGCCTTGCACATACACACACAAACATTTACCAACACCCACCCTTTTCCTCCAAAAAGAAATCTGTTGGTTTGGTTTAGCAAACAGCAATTTGGTGTGTTTGTTGTGAATGGGCGAGCCAGCCATTTGTTCCATTTCTGTCCACTTACTTTGATTCGATTATGTCTCCTACCCACAAACAATGAAATCTGAAAAAAAGCTGAAAACTAAAGCTTATACCTGTATTCGTAGGATTTGGGGCGGAAAGTATGTGTGTGTGGGTGGAGGACAGACACTCCCTTTTCCCTCTTTCTCCATGACTACTACAGATTTCTTCCCCATCAACTTCGTATGCAATCACCTTTTGAAACATGAATCGAAAGCAGCGCATCACGCCCTTGCCTTGAAACTTTGTCTGGGTTTGGTTAGGGTAGAAATGGAGAAAAATTTTGTTAAATTCTTATCATTTTCTCTTAAGGTATGGGTTTATGATCCTAACACCTCTCTCCCACTCTTATCTTTGAGTTCATTTCACTCCTTTACGTCTCTTTTGGAATTTTCCATTTCAATTTCCCCCCTCTTCAGATTCTTTTCAAATTTGGATGAAAAATGGACACACCGTCCTCTTGTGAATCTTTATTTTTCAGTAAGGTTGAAAATGGCAAAGTAAGTTTTACTCCTTTATGTAATTCTGTTCATTTTCCCATATTTTCAGAGTCCAGAAAGTTCGGATTGTGAAGGATATGCGACACCACTTGCCTCAAGTTTGACGGACCTCTCCAGTCACGGAATCACTATCTCTCTGCCAGAAGACTCCGAGGACAGACCACTGGCATCCGGAGAGCTAACCCCTGTGAGCACTTCCCGAGCCATCTCCCCTCCCATCGTCAAACAGGTTATGTATCTACAGAAGCCAAAAATTCTGGTGATGACTCAGCGGGAGATAGACGACGAGGAATGTGGTGTCCGGAGGAGTCTGGAGGAGGACAGCAGTAGCGAGGAGGAATTCTATGACGTGGCCGATGTGCAAATCAGAATTGTGGCCGAGCAACTGCTCAATGCTGTTAGCGAGGAACGAGTTGCCACTCCGATTATGCAGGAAACGGAAAGTGATGATGCAGCAGAGTGCAGTGCTGACGATGAAGTATCAGGAAGTGTCACCCCAGTTTTTCCGGATGATGAAGTCTCTGATGAACTGCAAAAAGATGTTGTTGAGTGCATTGGAAGCCTGTTAACTGAAGTTGAAGGCACTCAGGCAAGTCAACCAGTTTGCGAACCCGAAGAAAGAGAAGAAGTATTTGTTGCTACTGCAGCAGCAAGTGAACAAGTTAATCTCATTGGCGCCAGTACACATGAATCAGAAGAGGAGTCTGCTGAAGAAGTCATTGAAGCAGCATCAATCGGGAATCTGGAAAACCAAGTCTCGATTGATAGCCGAACTGAATTATCAAGCAGAGATGGGTATAGCGAGAAGGAATCTGAGGATATCGACTTGACAGATGAGACTGCACCAACCGTGGAGCTGACGAATTCGGTTGCTCTGACATCGGAACGTCAACTTGAAGACCACGAGCAGACGGTTTTTGAGATGGCTCCCACAACCGCCGAGGCTCTACCAGATGAAGTCGAAGTTTCTTCTAAAAGTTTCATTCCGGAGAAAATCGCCTTTGACAGCCATGTTTGTGATCTGCAATCCAACGACAAAACGGAAACTGAAATGGACAATGCCAATGCTGAAGATGAATCAATTCCTGTCATTGTGCTGAAAGATGAAGCCGTTTCAATTCAAGAAGAAGTTTCGAGTGTTCTGATTGAGCCTGAAAGCCAGTTGAACGGCGTCTCTCAACTTGAAGAATTAGTGGAAGCTCCTGAAGAAATCATTCCAGTTGAAGCTGTTCCCAAGGTCCCTGAACCAGAAGAAAAAGAAGTATTGGCCACCCTTCCCATCAACCAGGAAACAATTGCCGTCAACGAACCCATGCCAATAGTCGTTATTTCTGATGAGGTGAAAACTCACCCAGCTACTACGGAGGGCGACGTTTCTGACTGTTCGCCGCATGAAGTGAAAGTTGATTTTGATGTCGATGGAAATGGTTACTCGTCTGGGAAAGAAGAGAGCCTCTCTTCCTCAACCTCGTCTGAAAGTTTCGAGTTTGCCGAGCCGGCGCTCAGTCCGGCGTCGGATGAGAAGGCGTTAGCATTGCGGAACTCGATTATCGAAAGGTATCCGTCAAATGACACCGACGATGATGACCTGGACAGCGGCGGCGAGGACTTTGACGATGATTTGTTGGCGGTGAAGCAGATATCTGCAGAAGTTGAACAGCTGGTCGCGGCTATCAATGCGTTCGGGTGAGTGGATGGAATCGGAACAGGCTGGGCCGAAGCGCAGCGGGCTGGCTATGCAGATATGGGTGTGGCTGGTTGATGACAACTGTGACTGATGAATAGGTTTCAAATGATAGGGGTGTAAGAGAAAAAAGTTGCATGAACCGAATGGCAAACATTGATAGGGATAGGAAGGTCATAAATTTTTTGTGATTTCCCATCACATAAGAGTACAGTACCACCACTCCTTTCTAACCACACACAAAACTTTTTCATTTTTCCTTCCATCTTCAACCCTTCCTTATACAGTACTCCTGTCTAATTGAACTTCCACTAATTCACCATGCCCGCCTGTTTCTCGCGCAATAAGTAAGAGAGAGAGAGAGAGAGAGAGAGAGAGAGAGGGAGAGGCCCGAGATAAACATAAACGGACAACGCCTTCTGAGTCATGGTCAGTCAAATAGTACTATTTCTTCAGACGAGACGAAGAACAACAGATGAGCGCCTATCTGGTCGGGAAGAAGATGGCGGCCGAGAAAAAGAGGAAAATGGACGCTGCTGTGTCGGTCTCCACCTTCTCTTCGTGCCATGACCAACTTGTTCAGGTGAGAGGACACCCGTGTCATTTCTTATAATTTTTCTATACCCTCGTGGTTGGTTTCTTAGTAGGATAGTGATCGTTATCAAGATCACGTTAGACTAAGTCAGTGAACCATGAAACAGACTAACCAGTCAGTCAGTACGATCCTTTAGCTAAACTCTTATCCAAAACCCTTTTTTCCACGTTTTCCTGCTTGTACCAGCTATTTTTAATTTAAAAAAACAGTTTTCCGAATAAACATCTGGAAAATCGATAATTTTTTCCACAATTTCGAATCTGGGCCGACAAGTCTGGTTACTAGAAACTCAGTGTGATCGGAAATTGTTTCTAACAATAGTTTCGCCAACGATTTATCACCATTCGTCACAATGACAGTTGTTTTGAGGCAAACGCCGAAAGTATTCCAATCTAATTTTCCGAATGACGTGCTTTCTCTTTTCCTCCCGTTTTTCTTACAGTAGTCGATCTCATAGTAATGCAATTCCTTTGTTTGTTTTTTGTACTTATTCTGAACCGTTTCTTCACTGGCAAAAAGAAAGAGAAAGCAATATTTTTAAACATTAGCATCTGGAAAAGCGCTAAAGTTCGATGAACTAAAAAAATCGGAAAATCATCTGATTGAAGTAAACATATAAAAGCAGTTCGGTCTCAAAAAAGTTTCGGAGAAGCAGCCACCAGGCGCCCATCAATGTCAACAGAAATCAGGAGGAGGAAAACTGTTCCCGAAGTCAAAGACGAAGTCGCTAAATCATTCTACATTATGTGTACATTTCACGGTAAACCTCCTCTCGTTCCCGTTCCGCCGCCCACCTTTCAATTTCAACCGTCTTCCACTAATTCGTTTTTTCTCTTGTTCTGCCATGGTCGCCACACTCAATCAAATTCAATTTTCAACCATAGAAAACCGTTTCGTTCTGTCCTATTTGATTTTTGAGACCTTAACCCAAACGGAAGGAGAGAATAGCATAGAGAATTGTATTTTTACGATCACGCAAACTCGATTAATTTCGTTCAAAGTGTCCGACCACCCTCACAGCCACGGAAACGATCGTAGTGTTGGTCTCCCGGAAAAATCAGAGGAGGAGATCAAAAATGCGTCGCCCCGGGACACAACACCTCCGCTCCTCATCTCACTCACAAGGCCACTTGTTCACGAATATTTTGTTTTCGCGCGAGAGACTCACTATTTGAACTATTTTTCTGCTTCTATCTTCGTGTGTGTATAACTGACTGAGCAAGTGTGTATATATGAAGACTTATGAGTTCCTGCGCACCTGACGGTTTTCTGTTGTTCAATTCGGTTTCCTTTCGTATTTTGCCGCATACTGTACAGCCGTGTGTCCCGCAGATACATTTCAATATACTTTTGCTTGCATGAGCAACAACAGTTCGGAAAAACAATTTTTTTAAAATCGCATTGCTTTTAAAAAAAATGTCCTAAGACAGTACTGTACAGTTTTTTTCTAACTGTGAAGTTCTAAACTTGGTCAACACTCTCACAACCTCTATTCTTCTCTTCGCGGTCCATTTGATCGCAAAAATTTCTGGATTGTATCTATGACCATACATGTTTCAACAAGTACGTATTACTAATACTATTACGGATAGCTGAACATTCAAAATTTTTCGCTTGATATATTCCTATGTAGATCCTTGATAGCCCACCAAAGTGACACTTCCTCCTACATAGTCCCCTGTGTGTCATCGTTTGCCACCCACGTTACCCGGTCTGAATGAAACTAATTCCTATTATCTTGACATTTCTGCAATCAATGTTCCGCGCCATTTTGTCGAAAAGACAACCGCCAGTAAGTGTTTCTCTGCCGTCCGATTTTCCACGAACGCCCACTTGGTTTATGCAAATCAAATTCAATTCGGTTTTTGAATCTTTTGAATCTCCCGCCTCTAGTTTTGTTTTGGGTTTTAGTTTCTACCGCGTTTTGCGTGCGAAAAAAGTGTCAAGTTGAATAAGCTTGATGAATCGGTGAATCGAATCGTTTAACGGTCGGAGACCCCGAAACTGAAACCAAAACTGCTATGTAAAGCGTGGTGAGAGGCAGAAGCTATTGTTTGATTTTCTCATCATCGCTTGACGGTTGTGATGGTCTTTTTTTTCTGTGCGCCACGACAAGGTAGGACTGACTTGCGGCAGTAGGAATGCAATGTACACCTGTAGTTATAACATGCGAATTAGTTGGATAACGCCCCCGCTACTGTCATTATGTAACCCATCTACATACCAGTGTGATAGATATTTTATTCGTGTTTCTCTTTCATACCACTATTATCCTTTACAGTTGACCTACTAGTGACTGACAACTACCTTTAATGATCCATGACATATTTCGAGAGAGAGAGAGAGAAAGGGGAAGCGAGTGACTTGTCCTCATCCTCATCCTGCTTATCCCTCACCACATGTTCTTGTTTTCCCTCCCAATCAGATATATCATTATCATGTTATCATTGGCCTATCCTATCCTCAATCCATTTTCATTTTCCTTTCCTCCCTCCCTCCGTCCCTCCTTTCGTTTTCTTCTCCGTAAGGTAACAGGGGAATTATTCAACGAAAGCGCTCCGATAAGAAACTTCTTTTTGGTGGGCGCCAGCTGATAACGCAGTTATTAGTTTCGCCATCTCTGATCATCATTTTTGAATGAAAAAAAAAGCGAAGAATAGAAATTCAAATGTGAACGAGAACATGTGTGGTTTGACACCTGTCATTAGGCCAGATGTGACCCAGTTTGATTTGCCGCTCTTGTTTTTGAATATCGAATTGAAACCTTTGACATTCACACTTCAATATTCAGACGGACAACGACTCGTTCATCCTCGTTGACCGACATCTTCCTCAAGCCATGGACAGTCTTCAAGTTGAAATCGATCGTCTTCAAGCTGACTTGAATAAAGTCAGAAGTGGTGAAAAGGTGAGCATCTGGAAGTTGAAAGAAAAATTATAGTTTGTTTTCAGGAACTGCTGAAAATCAACGCCAAACTTCAAGAAGAGCTGGAAGAGTCTCAACAAACAATCGATGGCATCGAAGTTGAAGCGGAACAGGTACGTCCTAACCCGATTAGCCAAATTTAGTTTTTATTTATTCATGGAACACCCGTGATAGTTCTTTCTCCAATAATTTCAAAAGTCTAACTTTTCTATTTTTCTAACATGATGTCAGTCAACTGATAAAGAAACGGTAGCCAGGCGCCAGCACCGGAAATTAAAAATTGAAAATTACTATGAGTACACTGACTGAAAGTGATAAAGTGGAGGTGACATCATTTCAGCAATACACTGAACTGACATCGGAAATTGATGAGCTTTGCGAAATAGTGATGAAGAAGGACCAGGAGCTGGCAAGTTTGAAAGAGAAAGTTGCGAATCTGAGTGTCAGCGAGAGCAACCTGAAAGATGACGTGGATTCGCAAAGAGTCATCGTCCAGCGTCAGAAGGAGATTGTCGAAAGCTTGAGGTAGAATCCCTATAAAACCCGATCTTAAATCCATCTTCAGAGAGGAATTAGATGCAATCACCAAGAAGCTGGGCGAAGTAACCAAGCTTCGAGATAAGGCGATTGAGGAGGCGACGCTTTACAAGATGAAAAACATGGAACGCGACAGATTCTTGTCGAAGGAAGCGCAGATGTCCATGGAGATTGAGGACTTGCAACGGGAACTCAACAAACAGAAGTTAATTTTGAACCAGACCAGCATGGCCAAACTGGCAGATACTGTAAGTTAGGAGTGTACATCTTTTTAGTGTGCCAATGCCAATGCCAACATTTCAGTTCGATCGAAAAGTTCTCCACCTTGAGAACGAGCTGCGGGAGAGAGATATGCTTATTTGTAAGCAGAATCAGATCATCAACAGTCATCGAAAGTCGCCGACCGGATCGGTCATCACTCAGCGCAAAATGCAACGTAATCCTTTTGAACTGTAGAGATTTGATGATGACGTTATGGCGTTTTTCAGCACGTGCTTCGGTCCTCGCCGCTGCTGGAAATCTACCAAGCGCTGGCAGCAGTTCCGAATCTTTCCAGAACGGATTGGATATCGAAGCGAGAGAGGCACTTCTCAGCTTTATTTTGAGGTATGACACATTCAATCATAATCCATTCACCCTTTGCGAATCTATGTTAATCCAAATAATTCATTGCAGTGACCGTCACAATCAGCTGGCCAACATCTACAACATTGGCCGCATTCTCGACCTGACACCCCAGGAAGAACGCGCCGTCGAACGACATCTGACGAAGGATCGATTCACCTAAATCGCTCCGAATTTATTTATGAACTATATGCCCCCCACCCCCTTCCTTTTCTTCATTCACAATGTATATAAGTAACCGGCCCCCCGCAAGAAAAATCTCTAAGTATGTGCCCAGCACTTGTCGATCGCCATATTGGTGTCACCCCGTATTTCCCAGTTTTTTCCCCTAAATTTTCATAGTAGAATAGAGCTTTAGCACTTTTCAACAGCTCTTGTTTCCTTTGTCCCACCCATAACCGAATCCCCGGTATAAGTATTTTTACATTTCTTGACACTTATCCAACCAAATCTATTTTATAGCCTTGCTTGATGACGCACATTCCTGAAACCCATTGTTCCTTGAAAAAATAGTCTAGTTTATTTGTCGAAATGAACAGTTTTGCCGAAGAAAGTACTGTAGAAAAGGGCGTGAAAGGCAAACGTGAAAGAAAGAAAGAAAGACAAACGATTTTTACAACATAGAAAAGCTTCTCCTTCAACTTTACACAGAATTATCAGTCCATTCGGCTGCATCTTCCTCCTCTATCACCACTTTTGGAGATATCAATGGCCTTTTTTTGTTGCTTCGATCTTCCAGAGACAGTGTATTATTATCGCTGCTCGTCGTGGTGTCTGTACGGGGACTTTGAAGAGGAAACGCTGAAAAAATGTCGTTTACGGGCTGGAAACTTGAAAAAACACTATTTGAAATTCGAGCATTTTCTACTTGGACCTTACTTACTTGCTGACGTGCTTGCCGATGGGACTTGAGGAGGGACTAGCGAGTATTCCGGTAGAGCTGACAGCATGCACGGAAATGATCTGGTGGCTGCGTCACGGATCGGAAGCACGTACCTGAACAGAAAAGTTTGAACTGTACTTAAAAACTGTTTCTTTTTTCCTACCAAATAAGATACAATGGATGAATAAATGAGATTAACAGCGGAATGATCAAGAACGAAATCTCCAGAATTAACACGGAACACTGAAAATTGAGTAAAATAATTTGCACTCAAAAAACAACTTTTTCCCCCCGAACCTCGTCACATGACTCTCGGAGCACATGTCGATAGAGCACAACACATCCGGAGACGAACAATGAAATCTGCCATCCCAGCGTCTCGTATTGGATTATCTCTTTCAACGAGAAAATTGTGAACGCTATCCAACTTTTTCTGCAGAAACACAAGACTTTTAGAAAGTTGCAGATGTAAAACTCACTTGTTGTCTTGCAATTTCGACGCAATCATGATCAATATTAGGCCGGATGCGTGGAGGAAGATAAGAATTGTGAGAAGAGAGAATGTAAGGATAGATTGGGAAACTGCCAGGAGAATCGAGCACTTGTTCATGTGTTCATTTATCAAATCTTCGTCAAATGCGGTGAACAAGAGAGTGATAGCAACACACGCCGCTGCTACAGTACTCTGCCAAACCGAACAAGACAAGTACCATGTCATTGGCTTTTTGTCCACTGGTTTTCTATAGATACTGTGTCTTAAGATGAGACTGTCATTTTAACTAAAAACTTACAGTTTCAAAAAGTTGCATTGAAATCCCAACAAGAATACTGTGGCGGCACAGTGGATATAGCAAAAAATCAGCGGAAACTCTTGAAGTTTACAGGACACTGTAGTAACTTGACTCAAACACGGCTGCTGCATGACCAGAAATAGAAAAAAGTTTCTTGCAAGTTGAAAACCGGACAATATCGCAAAGTTTATAGATATCGACGCCTGAAATCGCATATTTCATCTTTTCACAATCGATATTCGAATTCTCACCAATAACCTCCGTTGTGTGTGCGGCATGGGTATAGCTTTGTGAGAAATGACAGTTATAACAGTGTTCATGACAAGACCTCCAACTGCCAAAATGATTTCGACAAGAGTGAAAAACCATTGAGACGGTTCGATAAAAGGTTCAACGCACAAGTCAGGATTTTGAGTTGTGATGTGCATTTTGTCCTGAAGTTTTGGATAGATAATATAATTTGTACACAAAACCAGAAGGAAAACGAGTATTTGTTGTGTCTGGGAAAGGCATAGGGGGGAGTGTCGTAGGCCTGTTTCCGGGGAGTCTATTAAGCAATGCAGACACGCTATCTCTTTGCAATTCTTTCCGAAATGCGAGGAACTGGGAAGAACTCTTCTTCCTTTCACGCACATCTCCCGGCAACAACAACGGAATGTGATGAGAGGGGGGTAAGGATGGAAAAATAGACAATTTGATGGAAACAACTTTCTGGAATATTGGAATGGCAGATTAGAGCTGAAACGCGTTGCTTGGAAGATAAGTTTTCAGAATCTCAAGAACAACAATCGATAAGTGAGAAAAACTCATCTCTCGAATATCATGAGCATATTCGCAAATTGAATTGACATAATAATGTGAGCGGAAGAGCGGCAGCTAGCTGTTGATGTACTGGATGAATATCGTCTTTTTTTGGCACTTTGTTGTTGACTCCGAAATAAAAAAAAAGTTGTTCTGATTCAATGAATATCATTCATTTTTTTTTGAGGAAAAACTTCTGGGTGCATAAAAACATAATCAACGGAAAAAATTCTTTTGTCTTGTCTAACTTCAGTAACGTTTTTGTACTCGAAAGGATTGGTGGAAGGGAGGGGTAATAGAAGTGAACATGGAAAAGGATGTTGATTATAGGATTATTGTTTAATTTAATGCTTCTAAGTATAGATTGAAGGAGTCATGCATCTTTTCCAACTGATCCCAGATTGTAAGCATTTTCCGCTCTCTCGCACTCATTCCTTCGTACACACTCGGTTGGTGTCGTCGGACATTCGCAGCCGAAAAACCGTTTCTTGCATATATCATTTTCATCTCTGCGACTCGTTCATTGCCAATAAGTGATCGCATTCTAGTTGCAACTTCTGCGAATTTTAGGGAATTTGTAAGTAGCACCGTTGACGGGAACGGTAAATGCCACACGCAAAAGTGAAGCTTCGGAAGTGTCCCAGTGTCCATCTCAAATTTTAATGAGCCAACAACTCCGTCGAACCTGGTCAAATCGAAGGAGTTGACCAGGTTCAGGAAGTTGCACGAAAAAGGGTCGTCCGAAAACTCCTGATGGGACCTGAAAATTACTTGAATTCATCTAATTGCCAAAACCCAAGCAAACAACTTACAAAAACACATTTTCTCTTTGATCTTTGTCCCAAAAGTGGAATGGCAAGCCTTCGAGAACCTTTTCCGGTCGGAACTTGCGCAGAGCATCGATGATAATGAAATGTTTGGCGCGCGGGGTGCCTCCGTTCAGCCAATTTCGCAAAAAGGCATTGACGTCTTCACTGCAAAGTTGGTTGAAGCCGTAGACTGCGAGAACTTCGACGTCTGAGCTCAAAAGTTGCTCCCTCTCGAATTTGCCTGTGGAGATGCGAAGTCTTTCCGTCTTCGAAGAAATCTGAAACAAAGTGATAAATTTTTGATTTTTGCCCGTTGAAGTTCTTACTTTCTTCATATCCAGCCCTTGAACGGTGAGATTCAAGAAGGCGGTGCCGATTGCCGTTTTCTCAAATATATTAGACAGTTCCACTCCATCGACGGACGGAAAATCATAAGATAATTGTAGGTGGTTGACGAATCGCTCTGAGATCAGCTTTTCAATGACTCTGATCGGGAGCGTATTGTCTCCGAGCTTTATGGACTCAAACCGAGAGTTTTTAAGCTGGTCGAAAATTCTTTGAGTCAATTCCAAGAGCTTCACTCCAACAACTTCGTTGTTTTTGCATGTTGCAATGAGTTCCTTCTCGCTCTCCAAACTAAAAGAAAAATCGTATTAAAAACCCACTTTTTGAACATTTTTTTAACCTCTCGCCAATCAAAAACTCATCCGTCTGTTCGGGCGACACACGGAAACGGATCTTGAACTTTCGCTTTTTGAGATCATCGTTTTCGAACGAAACTTTGAGACAAGCGACGTCTGCGCGGTTTCCGTATCTGCCAGTGAACACTTTCAAAAGAGCAATGTTTTCCTGGTCGTCAGTTTCACTTTCAGAAGGATTCGGGCGCACGATACTGTTGTCGTTGAGTGTGAGAATTCTGAACATTTTAATGTAAAACAAAAACAGAAAGGCAAAAATGGGACTCACGTGTTCCCAATCTTCAACTGACTGAAATGTTCGGTGATGGATGTGCATAGCAAAGACATTCTGCAAGAAATGCTTTTATTCTCCAGTAACAGATAATTCAGGATGAGAGGAGACAACGAGCAGAGAAAGAACAAGCCGGAATAGACAAACTGAATGCTGCGACCTTGACCGGTCGCTCGCATTCGTCGACAGTTTGTTATGAAATGATGAGAGTGTGTCTGGACCAGCAATGATTTGAGTTATGACATCACGAAATAGTTTCTATTTGGAGAGACGGACACTCAAAACACGTTAAAACCGACAGAGTAGAAGCAAAAGATTGAATGGAAAGAGTCGAGTCGACTGACGAGCTGACTATCGATCCAATGTGAGTCATTCGGTGACGCATAGCCCAGATCCTCCGTTTGCGACGCGAGGCGTTCTCGCAACGAAAACGTTTCGCAACCACCTCTTGGCACTTTCTTTTCTTCAACCTGCAAAGCACTATCATGATACGGCACACATAAAAGATACAGAGATACGTTTGTCATCCGAAATCTCAAATCACTTAAGATCCAGGTCTAATAAAAAAAAACATGAATTCAACTTTACAAGGTTTTGTGGCTTGATGCCACCCAGAGAACTCTTCGATACACCGGCTAGCTCAAACTGCTCAGATCTCCTTTTCGTCGTTCCTTGGACATTTTCCAACTGATTCCAATCCTTCCGATCTTTGGAGTTGTAGTCTGTTCTAATTTTATCAAGACCTCATTTCGTTTGGAATTCCGGAATGGTTCATACGTGCCGTCTCGGTGGACTGATAAACGACGCGACGTGCCTTCGCTATCAGTAATGAATTGTGCTGTTGATGTCGGAAAAAAGACTGCGACGAAATGATATACATAAGAATTTGTGTGCCGCTGAATGTGTGACAAAAGTTCGGACGGTGAAGGAAAAGCTCCACGGAAAGAAGAGATTTCAGATTACAGGATGGCAATGACTGGATCACGCACGGTGTCGGTTTCGTCTTTTTGACAATTTACATGAAATGTTCGGGGATTTGACTGAAGTACGCACTCTGTTTTGACGCCAGCTTATTTGTATTCCGCTTGAACCAAGAAAGCTTGCTCGGGACAAGCATCTAGATCGTTCGCAATATTCGAATGGGACGCAAGCATTACAAGCTGGGATCGCTCTCCTGAAGTTTCAACTCTAATAAATTCGAACGATTGTCTTGGTCCAACATTCTAGCCAAACTTGTCATCATCCCAGTTTTCCAATCAGAAGGGTCTTTTCTAAAATCACGCTTTTTCCTTTGATCATAAACAGTGCTGATTGGGCACGTCACGATGTTATCAGGTTGTTGATGATGCACGTGCTTGGTTCCAGAAAACGTTTTGACAAAAACGGGCACAGAATAACATAGGAACAGCAGGAGATCCGAATTCAGCTTGAAGACCTTTGTTTTGTCTGAAAATATGCTCCAGAATGTGAAAAACCTGTATGTGACGTTGGATGGATTTCAGAAAGTCAAAGTTGAGCACTCAAAATGGGATTCAGATCAGAACCTATACCATAGTCTAAACAGCAACGATTCATTTAGAGACCGTGCTAGGTACCACGGATCTCTTATCCTTTTTAAGTATCAGTGTCACTTTCATGCGCCCGGGCAGTTGATCTCGGGGTCCTACAGAAAACTTGCCTTAAAAAGTTTGATTCCAGATGCATTCCTTCCCTTACATCGGACTTTTACTTTCACCTACAGTATTCCAGTGCCAGTCTCTATTCCAAAATCACGTGCGATAGTTCAAAGTATTTTTTCTTTTTCCTTTCTTTTGTGACTGATACCATATTCTGGCAAAACTGTCACATGATGTATAATTATCAGTTCCCTTTTCCCTGGCTCTGCCCACTTTTAGTCTGCTAATCTTTGTTCTCACTCGTATAAAAAGACCCTTCAAAGTCATTGAAATCAGTGTGCTCACTCTCATCGAGAAAATGTCGCTATCGAAACAAAATTTTCATCCGGAGGTCGAAGCGGCGATCAACCAGCAGGTAAAGCGTCATAACTTGGGAAATTTCCCCTGCTCTACAGAGACAAACTTTTTCAGATCAACACCGAACTCACCGCATCGTACGTCTACCTGTCCATGTGGGCTCATTTCGAACGTGACGACGTCGCTTTGGCTAACGTCGCCAAATTTTTTAAGCACCAATCCGAGGAGGAACGTCAGCACGGAACGGATCTCATGGAGATGCAGAACCTGCGTGGAGGACGTGTCATTCTGACAGACGTCCAGGCCCCACAAACGGAATGGCCTTCTCTTCTTGCCGCCTTCGAAGCCGCCTTGGCACTTGAGAGACTGAACAATGAGCGACTGCTCAACTTGCACGCGGTGGCGACCAAGCACGGCGATGCCCAGCTTACCAACTTTCTAGAAGGAAAGTACCTTGACGAGCAGGTGGGGTGACAGAAAATTATGCACAGAACTTCAGCAACTTTTGAGAGTTGAAAAGTTACCGAGAATGTTCAGGTTTGCTCAATCAACGAATTTGCTCGTTTCATAAACAATATCAAGAGAGCCGGGCCCGGCGTCGGAGAGTACATCTTCGACAAGGAGGAGTTCTCCGACTAAACCAATCCTCCGGTTTCTCCGTTCTATTTCATAACTTTTTTCATAGTTGGATTATCATTTAAGTAAACTCTCAATAAACAATCTATCGTATTGTTCACACTAAAAACATTGAAAGGAGTAGCGGATGGAGGCAATTACATTTCTGATTGAACCAATTCCCCCAATGAACCTAATGATCACTATGCTCAAAAACACGACCAATTATTTTCGAATCGAAGAGTCTTGTGATGAGCCTTAACGGTCAATGTATACACTACTACGGGCTGCGCAAAAGGCCGGTCCAGGCTTTTCGCAGGCATGTCTAGAAAAAAAAAAGAATTGCCTTGAAACTTTTACTCAAGACACTTCGATTCAAATACAAAATTATGGGTTTGATTGGATTATCGGAAGAGGTTCAAAAGTACAGGTCTTCAAAGAGCCTGGGACGACCATTTGCTCAGCTCCGGTTTCGACACAAAGAGCGTTTTATGCCAAACCTTTTTCATTCAGCAAAATTGTTCCCCACGCTTTTTCAATGCATTCACATATTTCAGATACAATATCTCCTATAGATTCAATTTTTCATTCCATGAAAATGACAATCGTTTCTGCTGGCTTTATGCCTCAACCTTTGTTAATCTTGTAAGCTTTAGATAATCTGATTCTCCAGAACAAAAGCTTCTAAAGTTCATTCCATTTTTCACCTCATTTATCTTCAATCCGCTCCTGCTTCTGCTCTTTTCTTTTATCCCGATTCAGATCTGCTCCAAGATCCCGTCCTCTCTTCAAATTCAACATTCATTCATTCGTTGCGTCCCATAAATTTATTTTCTTCTTTTTTACGGCATAGAAAGAGGGAGGAATGAAGAAGAAAAATGATGAAAAAGACGGCTACGTCACACACGCTGGCGCTGGCGCCGACACTGAAACGCACGATGCGATAGGATAGCGAAGCGAAAAGTGTATAGAAAAAGCAAAAAAAGGAGAAGGAGGAAAAGAAAGAGGTAGTAACCTTTTACCTTCTTTTTTTTGCAAAAAGAACATTTGATAACATCGCGGGCATCAAACCGGTTTTATCAAAGTGTTTAGCGATTAGGTCAGAACGTTGTGCCTTTGCGCGTAACTACAGTACTACTTTTTCATATTTTCTTGAGGTTCTCACCTTGAGAGCACTCAGTGACACATCCTTGCGATTGGTCTTTTTTTGAACTTTAGAGCGGCATCATCGAATTGAAAAAACGTACGAACAAATCGAAATATCAGGACCCACCGGGTCGAAACGGATCTAAAATCGGGCAAGTCTGCTTACTTTCTAAATATATTCTGCAAGTTTCTCGGCACTCTGGTTTGAGCTCTCACTTTTACAATCCAAATATACATATTTGGATCATCTGGTCCGACTAAACTCCCCCTCTCTTCATTCAAAAAAGGAGCCGTCGTCGCCGAAACAGAAAACGCCCATCAAGTGTCAATTATTCAGTCCAGAAAGCGTTGGCCAAGCGTTCAATTTCCATGGCGTCCTTTCTGGCGACGACTTCAATTGCTCCGTCGCTCGGGCAAAAAAGGGGAAGAGAGAGAGAGAGAGAGAGAAACGTCCTTTTCATTCTATCGAAAATCCCATTCGGCCGTCCCCCCGTTTCCATTTTCTTCCATTTTCTTTTATGGCTTCAATATTAGTTCCTGGCCTTTGAAAAGTCATCCGCTCCGTTTTTGACTTATGTTTTTTGTAGTTTTTCAATTCCAACCACTTCCTCAATTTCAGCCCTCTCAATCTCTCCCGATGTGGAAGCCAGCGTCGAACCAACCGGTAAGTGTAGTTTGTGTTTACAAACTGACGTCACCACCAAAATCCACCACATCATGAACTAGTTCGAGTTTCCCAGAAAAGAAAAACGCATGAAAAGGCAGAAAAAAGCAAGTGAGCAAACAAGCGCTCGACGCTCGCGGTTACGTTTTGATTACTCATCAGTCAACTGACCTGTCCACCATTATCCTTCTCCCAAGTGTGAGGAAGGGCAATGTCTGTCGGGTTGTGCGGGGTGAGTTAGTGAGAGCGTCCCGATGAGTGCAATGTGAGTGAAAGTGAGAATGAGAGTGTGCATACGCATCCCTTCCTCTACCACGTGGCGTCCGGGCCTTCATTCATTCACTCTTCCTTTCCTCTTCCTGTTGCCCCCCTCCTCTTCCTCCCTAAGTTTTTTGCCGGAAAACGAGTGTGACAAACAAATCAGACAAAATTTTGTCTCGTCCAATCTCACCAAACCGTCTTCCCAACACAAAAACGAAACAACGGACGCTGGATTGATAAGAGAACTATTTTTGTCCCGCAACGAAACAGTTTCGCTGCGCTTTTCTATTTCTTTCTCTTTGCCTTTTTCCTTTGTCTCAATCTCAGTTTGAGTCACCCCAGTTCTCTATCTTCTTCTCGCACTGCAATTTTGTCCATTTCAAGCGCATGTGTACGAGCGGGAACGCGAAAAAATTGCGCGCAAAGCAGACGACACTATAATGCAAGTGCGCCCTACCGCACACGCCCGCCCTCTCTCTCATACCCGCACTCTCTCGCCAGTCTCTCGCCGAACATACGTTCCGCGTGCGGTCTTCTCGCATTTTCTGTCATTTTCAGGGTTTAGCTTGTTAATTTCTGTGTTTTCAGGCAAGAAACCGCATAATGGATCACTCAAAGCGCACCATCGGAAAGGGAGAGGCCCTTCAAATCGATCCGGCGCTCAGAGGTCAGAAAAATCGTTTGTTGCTGTCAAAAATTAAAATTTTCAGGCGAAACGTCGTTCTCCGTCTACCGCAGCCATTCCAGTGGACACGAGCCGTTCGCTCCGAGGTAAACACGTATCGATTTCAGCGAAAATTCAAAGTTCTTGCATTATTTCAGCCCCGGCTCATCGATCGGCGCTAGTGTGTCCATGTTCTCGTCGCGAAACTCAGAGGCCGAGGTCGGCGATTCGGAAGAGCTCGACGGCGTCCGCACGATCATGATGCACATCGGCGTCGGGGACATGGTGGCGGACAAGGAGATCCAGACGCGCTACCCCGAATTCTATCAGTTCCTGTTGACCGAGCAGCCGACGTGGTTCGAACCGGCTCCGTACAATGGGACTGTCTACCGGGTCCATCAGACGACGGCCCCACCCGAGAACCAGAGAAAACTGCGCAAGGAGCTGTCGTACGAGATGTTGGATCTGATGTACCGCTTCTATCGCCAGAAGGTGAGCGCAATCAAAAGCCACGTGACATTTCAGCTAATCGCGGTTGATTTGCACTCTTCCGATGTGTTGTCATCGTAATAAGCCTAGTTCCATTTTCGATCGCATTACCGATTCATGTGATCTGCTATCCATGACAGACCACAAGGACGTGGCAGGTGTAAGGTGTAAGATGGCATTTGCCAAACAGGATTGTCCTTGTACCGTCCCCGTCCGTCACTCACATGGGTTTCACGTGCTAAGCTTCACTTGAAAGCGGAAAACAAGGATCAAGACAAGTAATTTGATTTCCGTTTCAGCATGTTAATGCTCAACGCAAACGGGAGAACAAGGAGCTGGTGGAGGCGAATCAGCAACTCCGCGTCGCCGCCGTTCAGATGTTCACCAAGGCCGAGCAGGAAGAGGAGTACATCTCGAATTCGCTTCTCAAGAAAATTCAGCAGTTGAATCAGGACAAAGACTATCTTGTCAAGAAATATCAGAAGGATGAAGAGTCGCTGACCAAGTCGCTCATGGCTAACGTCGCAAAGATCCCGGACGTGCATGCCGACGAGACGGAGAAGCTGATGGCGGACAAGCAGGCAGAGATCGAGTCTCTCCGTGCTTACTGCAGTCGTGCTGAGAAGAACTACCAGGAGGAGCTGATGCGTCTGCGCGCGGAGAAGGTCGACCACGAGTCGGCTCTCGAGCAGGAACAGGAACTGCTCATCAACACGCTCGGAAAGCGCATGAGCCAGATGAACGAGGAGAAGCGCAAGATGCAGCAGGTGCTCGAGAAGGCCTACGTCAACGGATTTGTCGACTACGACGAGACCGTCGCCGTTGCTCTTCATGCGTCGGCAGCTCGTGAGCTGTGAGTGTACAACGATGCATTTCAATCAATAATCAAACTTTTATTTCAGTGGTACTTCGTCGTCTTCCCAGCCGCTGTTGAGAGGAGTTCTGGATGCTTCGATCACTGCTGCTCCGGCTCGTCAACAGGCGCATGATGTCGGAGCGCTGCTCGTCCAAAACCAGAAGCTGCGCGGACAGGCCAATCAGGCAAATCGAAACAATGAAGCGACTCAGAATGAGATCAAGAAATGTTAGTAGCAAAATAACAAAGCGAAATGAAACCCCTTCTCTTTTTAGTGAACCAGCGCATGTCGAAGATGGAGGCCATCATGGACGCGATCCGTACCGACGCGCTTCGTGGCGACGGAACTCTGGCTTGGCGCTTGGCTGCTCTCAGCCAGGAGCACGATTCGGAGGAGATTCCGCCGAAAGGAGGACACGGTGCGGAGAGACGTGCTCACGGAGCCTCGCCGCCGACCAACGTCGTCATCGGACAGCCGAGCAGCAGCCGTAGCACCACTGAGATTGCGACTCCGCAGGCCGTGGTGGCTCCGATCTTGGCGACCGTCTTCCCGACTCAGCGCACGACTCCGTCTCGCCCGGATAGACCGGATCAACAGAATTAATTAAATTTCTGACGTCCCCCGCCCCATTCCTATATTTGACCCCCAGTATTGTCGGTCTTCTCCATGACTGAAATCATCTTATTTTTTTATCTATTTCTATTTGATATATTCCTTTTTATAGCAGAATAGGTACCGTAGCCACCCCCGTCCCAACCGCCACAGGTTTTCATATGGTTATCCCCGCTCTCTTGCTTTGTGCACTCGAAAATCCTCCCCCCCCCGTGTTTCGTGTCACAAATGGCATAATCCCAGTTGAGAATTATGCACCATTGAACGTTAGTCACCTATTCCATCCTTCATATTGAGATTCAGACCTGTTCTGCTTAACGCTTCACACTTTGTAAAATTTCCAGTAAGGAAAACATGAGTTATGAATATAAAACTGGGGTGTCCATTAGTGCCGAAAAAAGTTCATACTTCTGTATTTTTAGGACGAAAGGACACATACGCAAATATTGTATTTTTGTTCGATTCGAAATTGAGCAGAAAAGTATCTTTCAGATTATTATTTCTGGATTTTTCGTACTCTTTGTCGTCGGCGGACCTGAAAATCACAAATTGCTCGAGCGGCCCGGCAAATGAGAATTTCAAATAAATGCCTTGAGAAAAAAGCGTTCCCTTCAGGCCATGGTTGCTGGGAACGGATTCCGTTTCATTCTCAGACCTTTGAGAAATGAATAGCCACTCGATATTTTTTCGGATTCTTTCTACCCAATTAATTTTTTCCAAATTGATTACATTACACACTTACCTTGGCACGCAAATCGGACTTTTTTGATACAATTTCCTTTAGGAAGCCAATAATCAATCTTTCCGCAATATGGTCAAAAAAGTATTTCGAGTAGCTAAGATTTCAGTCGAAACTCTTAATCCGGGTTTTTTTTTTCATTTATTCTTGAGAAATTTGCTGAAAACTAATAAAATTCAACTCAACCCTGAAATTTTTCTAACGTTCATCCTCCATCTTAAGGATTCATCCTCATGTCATGTTCGTCTTGTTCTCCGTTTTCATTTCATCCATCTCATCCAAAACCAGCGCTAACAGGTCGGCGAAAAATAAGGAGAAAACTGATTTATTATCTCGAACGACCTATTCTTCTTCCATTTCACTTCTCTTCCTTGCCTCCTATTCGATACAAAGAAGTGTGCAAAAAAGTGGTGGCCGTCGGGCAACCGTATGGAGGTGAAAGTGCTAGGCGGCCGGCCGAAAAAGGCGAAAACTAAGTCAAGGTCGATCCGTATCCAAATCCAACTAAACGCTCCAGTAACACACTTTCACGCGATGATTGTTTGTAGGTTTTCCCTCCGGAAATGTGTCTTCGAGGCCTTTTTATTTTTGAGTCCCTGTTTCTCCTTTTTCGACGCCAAAGGTAATTCTCAGGTTGTCTCTCATTCTCATTCCAAACTGCTGCCACTTCTTTAAAATTGATCACTTTTACGGTCAACTTGGAAAAAAGCAGAAGGATAGAAGTAGAATAAGAAGAGAAAACGAGAACAAACGCGCAATCAAAAAAAAAAGATTGACGAATGAAAGAAAAATCTCGTTTATCTAAAGGAACACCTTCAGCGGACTGTTTTGATTTCCCCGGTCAGTCTTACTGGTTCACAGTTCACCAATCACCAGCCCCCATATGATCATAGGATATTTAACCGAAAAAGATCTCGACGTAACATCATGTGGTCAGACAATCTTCAGCCTTGCAAAAAAGATACATACGTATGTAAGTAACCACCTGGTACAGATACATACAGTATGTCAAGGCCGCACACGCCCGAACATCTGATTGAGGGGCGAGGCGCTGAGTTGAGTTAGTTTCGCAACATCATATGATCGAGAACTGGTTTTGAAATAAGTCTCAGGTTAGGAGGAGCGTGAATTTTGGATTAGATCTCGGGTGTATAAAAAGGATGATGTCGGTTCTATAGGCCAAACCGTAAGACTTCTGACCTTCCCTCCCTCACTCCCTCCTGACGTTCTAAAGGATCCAACAAATCAACCAGTAATCGCCTTAGCCACAACTTGAAAAGAATCAGCGCGTTTCTTCTCCTTTGTTGTGGTCAATTCTTCGAGAGTTGTAGTAACAAACACTTGAACTGATGTGATTTTTCGAAATCGTCTGAAGAACACAACGTAACGCGCAATCACTCTCTTCTCTCCCCCCATTTTCTCTCCAATGAACTTTTCCTTTCACTACCCCCATCAGCCAACCTTTCCATCCATCCGTAGTTTATTTGTTCCTTTTGTCGGGAGGGTTCCTGTGTGTGTCCATCGTTCTCTTTCTTGAAAACGATGATATTTCTCCTACCCTATCCCATCTGAATTTTGGCCTAAGCCCGCTTGCACTTTGTGACCTGAATCCATTTGGTATTATCTATCTTCTCTTGTCTCTTTTTTCTTCTTTTTTCACTCACTTACAAGTTTGATATTACAGATGAGCAGATCCAATGTATCCCTTCAGTTGGAGAGAGTCTACAACGAGCAGCGAAAAGCGGCCACACTTGCCTCAACAGCCACCGGATTTATCATGTAAGTACCTATGTACAGTACCCTACTCGGAGAGATAGAATAGGTTTGACCTCTAGAACTGTTATCACATTATGACTGCGAAAAGACGTACTTTGAAAGAAAGGGAGAAAGAAATGAAGTTCTGGACGTTGAACGTCGGACCAATTACACAAAACGACCGTAACCGTTACCATACTTTCTTCATTTCAAGGTCGATCTGCTTCTTCGGCCTTCCGCTCATGTGGTCCGGTTTCTTCAAAGTGATGTCAGTGCCGCCAGCGACCGTCTGCTCCAACGATCCATGGAGCGGAATCACCGACTTGTAAAGAAATGATCCCCCCGATCAAATCATGACTGTCATCTTTTACGGTGTTCATTCCGATTCAGTTTATGTACAGCGGGTTACCTTTTTATATAAATCCATTACTTTATTTTCTCGAAAAACACATCTACAAATGATTACAAAAGGGTTGGAGACAAGACTGCAATAGACAAATAGTATGAAAGAAAATTCAAATTCAAATTACAAAAAACGTTATACAAAAGGCAGTTGTTTGGGGATTGAATGGAGATAATATCATTGGGTTAGAAAATGTTTGGTTAGAATCGTAGGTAGGACGGGGCGAACTAATATTTCTAAAGAAGACAAATGTCGTTTCGTAGATGTATATGGAAGGATAATTTTCAATGACTTGGCATCACGGACTCAAAAAAAGGTGGAGGAAGAAGAAAGAGAGAATGGATTGTGGGGGGCTAGTACAGATATTGTAGGTGCGTGGGACGTGGATTGGATTAACTAGAATCGTCGTTTTTTAGCACAGGAACTATAGAATTGAACGGCTTTCTCTAAGTCAGCATCGTATTTCTTGCGGTACAAACCGCCATACACCACGTTTCCCAGACGCCACCTGAAAATTTATGTATTTCACAGAAAATTGAATCGAATCCGAATTACCGTTCAGTTGTAGGTAGCCCAGTCGCGCGCAAATCCAGTGTATAAGCTATGGAGCGCCGAATATCCGGCCTGTTTATTAGCCGATGATCTTCCATGCTCGGGGGTGTATACGGGCTGCAATGCTTTTGGGTTTCTGATTTGTCAAGAGGAAGTGCGGAGAACAACACACTGAGGGTAGTATTACACAGTTCTATGAGACGTATTATTAAAGAGAAGTTGTTGTTTTTGTTTGATAACGGGGTTCTACATTTAAGAAACAAATATATAAGAGGAACAAAACATGCACACACATTTAGTGAAAGTGTTTCTTACCTTTGATAGAAGGGGGATAATGCAAACGTTACACAGGTAGGTAGGATAGATAAAATGCGGGAAATTTGACTAGAAAATCACTCCTGCAGAATCAGGAGCTCATTCAGAACTTGGCAGCGAAACAGGGTGCAAAGAGAGGAAAGTTTGATGGTGGTGATGGTAAAAAAAGGTAACATTATTGTCTGCCTAAAATGCTAGAAAGTAATTGGGAGAATTGGGAGAAGAAAAGAAGAGACATTTAGTAGTGCGGATAGAAGTGGGAGTAGACGCTAGTGCGTGGGAGGGATTGTCCACGGTAGCTGCTGTATGAATTAGACCTGAGCAGTTCCATTTGACGGACAGCTTGGTCAAGTTTGGAGGACAATTGTTGGTACTCGGTGCGCAACTGAATGGATTTACAATTACATAAAACATGAAGCTTTTCGGACGTTCAGAATGGATAAGGGGGACCAACAAAACATACTCTGTCTTTCTGGATAACCTCACGAGACAGCGATCTTTCGAGTTGTCCGATGCGTCCCTGAAAACATGTAACAACGTGACATGGGCTCCGGAATATGGGCATGCATTCCGGTTAGTGTGCAAGAGAGTTCAAGGACTGGTTAGACGAGGACGTTATGATCAAGTCGGACAGGTTGGGTGGGTACTGGGCGTTATGCTCTGACCTCATACATGCTGCGAACCATAGCCGGGCTGGTGTCTCTCTGATATCTCTTCATTCTACGGGTGGAATCAGTCTCGACGTAAGATGGGGAGGAGGTGTAAGCCTGGAAGTGACGGTGAGAAACTTAAGGTTAAAAAGGTTGGATGATTAGGTGCAAAACACTGGTGCCTTTTTCTTTTTATAACCCCAATAACTTACGAGGTCATATTTCTGCCTGAATATACGTTTCTTCGACAAGAGATACATGTTTAAGATGGGAGGGGGTTGTTGTTTTTTTAAGAGAAACAGATGAGATCTTACGACTGGCGGGTTGGGACTAGACCAAGTCAATAGAAAACTATCTGACAAGACTAGCGAAAACGAGTGGGAGGGGAGGGATAAGAATGTCTTTAGTGAAGTGTCCGGGTAGGGGGCTAGCTCCCGGAAAGTGGAACGAACGCTCTGGCTCTAAACCAAGCGGGAATAGAGAAAGGATAGAAGGATATAAGGGAAGGAAGCGAAAAGAAAGGAAACGCAACACAAAAACGATTGCGATTGCGATTGCGAGTCGGAAAGGAAGCCAAGGACTTGACTAAGGGCTCTGGAGTGGTGTTTGTGCTCACTCGCAAAGTGCGTGTATTTTTCGCCTCAAGTTACTGTTACTGTTTGCGCGAGCTCCCCTCTCCTCCCACTTCATCATAGACACAATATCTTTTACTTTTTCTCGCAGGGACACCAACTGATAATAGATCAAAAAACGTAACTGAAAAAAGGAAAACAAAAGTGCATAATCAAAACTAAATGATAGTACTAGTTCTCATCATTCTCGAGCAAACCAAAGTAAATAAGAAAGAGAAAATTATGGTCATTAATCTTTTCGAAGAATTGATAAACAAGTCTTGCCACTTTCCACTTGACACTCGTCAGTTTGACAAACAGTGAGGGGCAAACCCCCCTAGACACCAGTGTTTCACACTACAGAGCAAAACTTACAGTGTATCCGTTGATCGTCGAGTAGGACGTCGGGCCTCTGGACGACGAGCGGTATCTTTCGTAGCTGGATGGCACCTGGCAATGACAATGAAATGATCGGACATCAAACCGTCTATTGATAGATATCTGGCTACTGTTTGCTCTACTCTCCACTTCTCACTCAATCATATCACTGCCCCACTTCTTACCTCGTACTCGTACGGAGTGTGGATGTCGCGAACGTAGCTATCGACGCGAGAAAGACGGCCGCCGCCAAGATAAGCATCCACATTGGCGCGAGAAGTGCTTCTGGAGAGCGAGTCTCCGTAGATGGAGCTGCGGGAGTTAGCGCGCGAGAGCTCTCCTTGCTTGGCATCCGAGTAGTCGAGGAATGAGATGAAGCTCGAGTTGCGGCTAGGCGGACGGCTCACAGTGCGAGTTGGAGGGGTCGAGTACTCGCGGGCACGCGTTGGCGCCGGGTACTGGGAGACGTATCTGAAAAATTAATCTAGAATTGACCAAGTGTGAGTGTCAAACAAACCTGTAGTAGTTAGAAGCCGATCTTTGGGATCTCATTGCCTGCTTGCGTTCACGAGTGCGACTGCGGGATCTCTCAATCAAACGGGTGGTGGAGTACAAAGCCGAAGAGAATGCTCCGGTGGCAACGATGTCGTCGAAGTGAGAGGTGTAAATGTTGCTCGGGCGGTAGCTGGTACCAGAGGTATACTCGTTGCGGTACTTGTTGGCGGTGCTCACGAATGGGCTGAACAATCGTTCATATTTGAAAAGGAACAAGAATTGAAATCGGATACCTGATCGGAGTGTAGCTCTGCTTGTCTGGTGGGCTCCACGACGAGAACGAAGTCGCAGCCGGGATTCTTGGTGGTGGCACAGTTCGGTACGAGTCCTCGTCATAGCTGGTGATGTCACGGTCCGCGTGACGAGAAGTGCGCTTTCTTTCCGGAGATGGAGACTGAACACGGCGACGAGCTGGTGGTGGCGATGGCGATGATTGACGAGCAGCTGGTGGAGCAGACTCTTCCTCGGCGACTTCAGTCTTCTCAATTGGTTCCTCAACAGCTTCTGGTTCTGGAGCAGCCTCCTCGGCCACTGGCTCTGGTTCAGAGGCGGCTGGTTCTTGCGGCTCCTCGACAGCTTCTGGCTCTTCCTCTGCGACTGGCTCTGCTTCTGGCTCAGCCTCGACAACTGGTTCTGGCTCTGGCTCGGCCACTGGCTCCTCCTCAACTGGCTCTGGCTCTGGTTCAACCCTAAAGTGATATATTGTGCTATAACCGTGCGCTCAAACTCAATTCTACTCTAAGCGAAATAGATAGATAGATAGTAATAGACAAACAAAAAGAAAAGAGATAGAAAAGTGCGGGAAAGGTGTGGGGGAAGAAACTCACACGACTGGGGTCTTTGGCGTTTTGGTGCGTGGCGTGCGTGGGGTTTTAGGGCTCTTTGGTGTCTTTGGTGCGGCTGGAGTGGTCAAGTTTGACTCGATTGGAGTGGCCGGCACGCTCGACTTTGGAGTTGCTGGAGTCTCCTCGAAAGTGAAAGCAGTGTTGCCCTTCGGGGTGGCAGTGGCAATTGGAGTAGCCGTAGCGGCTGGAGTAGCCGTTGCGGCCGGAGTGGCAACCGGAGTAGCCTTGGCGCTGTAATGGTGCGTGGTTTAGACGAAAAATGAAACATTAGAGGTGAGGCTCGGGGAAGATAAAGTGATATGATGAACATGCAAAAGTAAGTAACTGATAAGTACCTCTCTTGAGCAATGGACGGGGTTCCTGGAATGCTTCCATTGGCAAGATGTCCATTGCTCTTTGGAGTTGGTGGCACATCCGACGGAGCAGCTGATCTCGGGGTTGGTGGAACCTCCGAAAGGGCTGCGGACTTGGGGGTCGGTGGGACTTCGGATGGTACAGCGGATCTTGGCGTTGGTGGCACCTCCGATGGCGCAGCGGATTTCGGTGTTGGTGGCACTTCAGATGGAGCAGCTGACTTTGGAGTTGGCGGCACTTCCGATGGGACAGCCGATCTGGGGGTCGCTGGGACTTCCGATGGGACAGCCGATCTTGGAGTGGCTGGCACCGATTGTTTCTCTGTAGGAATATTTTTATTAGCTACTATTCAAATCAATTTCTCACCCGAAGCAGCAGTCTTTGGAGTTGGTGGCACCTCAGCATCAGCTGGAGCCTCTTCGGCAACTGGCTCATCCTCAGTCGGTGGGTTGTCCAAATCATTTGGAGTGCGTGGGCGCTTGCCCTCTGGTGGAGCCTGAAGCTCGAACTCTTGCTTCTCAGCCTCTGGCTCTGGAGCAGCCTCCTCAGCAACTGGTTCCTCAGCTGGCGCTTCCTCAACAGCAACTTCCACAATTGGCTCTTCGGCCGGAGCAGCTTCCTCGGCTTCCTCGGCCGGAGCAGCCTCTTCGGCAGCTGGAGCTTCCTCAGCTACTGGCTCCTCAACCGGAGCCTCTTCTGGAGCGGCCTCCTCGGCTGGGGCAGCTTCCTCGGCCGGAGCATCTTCTTCGGCTGGCGCAGCCTCCTCGGCAACAGCTTCTTCCTTTGGAGAATCTTCCTCTGCGGCAGGTTCGTCCGCAGCTGGAGCCGATTCCTCAACCTAAAACATAAACATGTTTCGAAAATTATGAAATTCAACTAGAATATCAAGATTGTTGGTTGATTGAGGTTGGTAAGTAAGTGTTACCGTTGTTTCCTAAACTCACGTAGCTTTCCTCTACCTCTTCCTCCTCCTCAATGAACTCCTCCTCGACGATTTCCGAGGAGATGACCTCCGAGCGTGGCTCCTGATGTTCCACTGACTCTAGTTGATCGGGAAGCTCATCCTCCTCGATGATCGTGTCTTCGAACTGATTAGTAAGGATTAGGATGATAGTTGTAAAAGTTAGGAAGAAACTATGTCTAATGTTGATGAGAAAAAGTGAAATTAGTTATGGATCATTGTTGCTAATTAGAGCTTACGGTAAAGACGATTCATTCTCTTTTCTAACCTGAGTTTCTTCGTTCGCTGGCAGATCTTCAATTCCGTCCATGCTTGTAGTCATTGGGTCCACGTACTCCGTTCCAGTGATATCGGGGACCTGTAAGAATGACCAAGTTCAGGTTTATACCCGATTCGAAAAGAAACGTCGGGTGTGCGTGCACTTGACGAAAAATGACGAACACCTTTGGTACAAGTGGATGTAAACGCGGGAAGTTAGTCAGTCACATGGTGATTTGTTTGATCTGAGGAATTGGCAAAGAACTTGGACACGGATCTGGCGCGGTGCGGTAAAAGTGAAAAGCCATCTGGTTCTGAGCATTTTTAAAACATTACTGCCGGTGGTTCGGTTCGGCAAAGAATGAATATAGTGGAGAATGAAAAATAAAACGGAGAAGAACACGGACATTAAATTTGGCTGGAGTCTAGATTATCTATATTTCGAAAGATATACTAAAACGTCTGAATGTGAAAGTGTTCGGATTTATTAACGGGGGACGGAATGAGTCGTTGGATAGTGATTGAGTGTCTGAATGACTGGTTGTTTGCGTTTTGCAACTCGACGCACCAGGACGCACCGAAGGAAAAAAAAGTTTGGTCTCTGCCGAGGCTGCCGAGAGAGAGAGACACCTACGCATCGAGCAATCTCTTGTCTTATATCACGATATCACCCAGTGACGGGTGATGGTTGGGACTTGTTTACCAGGGGGCTGGGACCATAAAGGAATGAACATGATATGATAAGAGATGATATAGAAAGCAGAAAATGACTAGTAAGACAATATTTTTTGTTTTCTGCTTCTGTTTTCTATTTTTCAGGTAGGTTCCTGTGTCGACGGGAGAAGCTTGAGCTTCTGATATCAAAAGTTACAGACACAAATGAGGTAAGTGAGTTCATTTTTCCAAAGAATTTCTGAGGTACGGCCTTCCTCAGATGATTAAAATTGTATAGAAAGTTCAGAAGCGTACAACAAGTTCAAAAAAATCCTGATTACCTGATCTTCAGTACGGTCCTCATCCACTTGCTGAGCACTCTTCTCATCATCAGCCTCAGCAGTCACCAATGGTTCTTCACCCTCTTCTAAAACGTGTTACTTTTTTACACGAACCACTTTGATTTCATCTCTTACCGGCTTGTTGAGCATTGCTGTTGTCATGCTCAATCTCAGCGACAAACTCCTTTTGGACCTCGATGATGGCCTCTTCGGGAGCGTCGTGAAACTCTTCTTGAGCATCCACCTCAGACATTTCCACACTGAAAGTAGGGTAAGATGATAAATGACAGACGCGTGTTTGTATGTCAGCTTGAAATCAGATACAGATACACAAACAAAAAAAGGATGGAAAAGATGGGAGTGAGAAAGTGCATGTTTAGGAATGAATGTTTTCGTGTTGTCGGAGGCGGGACTCGGTTTTTGATGATTTTGTGCCGGAAAATGGGTTACCGTAGAACAGATACATCAGTCAATGTGACCTCAGAGGAAACAACGAAGACCGAGGAGGCGGAAAGATAGAAAATGAGTGGGAGGATTGGAGATCCCCCACCCAAGCACAACAACTTTCTTCCTCTCCCTCTCTCCCTCGACTTCGTCTTCTTCTCTCGATCAGTGTGAGGTGAGCCGGAGGAGTTCTAAGGAGACACCCGCCACTTGTTTTTCGGGACAGAAGAAAAGCAGTTAGAAACTTAAGCGGGGGACTTGTTGATGATTGGGAGCGATATGGAATGGGGCAAAGTTCGAGTGGGGCAAACGTGGAAAGGTGTCGGTTGGAGGTATTTGCTTGCCAATTGCCACGGACCCATTAAAATTATGATGATTACAACACACTCGCGCTGGTGTGAGAAGAGTGCGAGGAAGGTGTAATTTCTGGGAGGGGGGGCTCTTTTCAAAATTTCGAATTAAACTTGTTCCCGACGTTCATCGAGTCGGAAACAGCTCATTTCATTCCCACGATCCGGGCACATATGCAAGTAAAATAAAACATGAGGGACAATTTTTTGTTGTTGGTTCAGTCGGATTTATATACATTTTACACTCGGAAGGTTTGAATTTTGCTGGGCTCTTGGCTCTCGGCTCTGGTGTCCGCTTTTCGTCCACTAAAATGCCATTCAATGTGGAATCGATTTGAACGATTTGAAGCGAAATGATGATAGAGTGAGGAGAAGAGAGGGTGGTCCAAAGTAAAATGCCACAGTTTTAGGTCCCACGAGGTTGACGAGTGAAAAAGAAGGTGAAACGGTGGAGCGTGTCAGGATAGGGTTACAAATTTTTAGTTTCATCTTTGACGTTCTACTCTTTCCAGGACGGATAAGAGGTTGAAAATCGCATTGCTAAGAGGAGGAATAAGTGTAGGTCAACGTTTGATCTACTCTCAACTCGAAGCTAAGAAGCGGACAACTGAAGGACTGGAAGACAGCACAAGTTTGCGAAAAAGAACCCTGGCACCTGATGGTTGTTGTATCGTTGTTAACGAAAATTGATGTACAACGAGGAATGCGGCGTGCCGCTGCTCGTGTTTCCTTGTTTTTCAGTCATATCACTTGGCACCCATCACCTTCCCCATCTATTATTTCTTTTTGTTTCCCGCCGCCTCCTCCTCTCCCAACTTGCCCGCTTATTTTGAGGTCTTCAAAGTGTTTCACATCCTCACACACACACACACAGCCTCTTTGCCAATGTGTAAGAGAGACGAGGATGAGGCAATGGCTGATCAGTTCGATGCTTGACGCGTGGCGCCGACGACAAGGCAGGTGTCTAACCAATTGCTTTCTTTTCTTTTCCTTCGCAAATGTACAACACGACTCTCGGCACAGAGGAGAAGAAGAAGAAGAAGAAGAAGAAGGAGAAGAAGGCAAAGAGTTCTTCGTGCCAACAGGCGCCTATCAGCCGAAGTGTGGAGAAGGATAGAAGATGCCCGAAAAACGGGCGATTTTTGATCGGCATGGGGAGGCAACTGATCTGATCCGGAGAAAAGGGTTTATTTCACTGGTGCGTGTCTCACTTCCGCAGTCGTTTTCTAGGGCGAGGGAACTTTCCACGTTGTTTCAAAGAACAGGACTACTGGTTGAATCGAATGATCAAAAGTCCCGATTTAACCACATCAAGAGGTAAACGTACGCGAACAGGACCTGCTAAATTTTTTCGGCTAATACATAAGTTCATAACCCCTCAGTAATGACAATCTTTTTTCTCTGAAAACCCTTAAACTAATGGTTTCAAACCCTTTAAAAACAGGGCAAGCGCAGAGTTTATTCATCGCATAAATAGAGTTCGTATTAACAGTGTGGGGGCGAAGAAATTCACAGTGAAAACGGAGATGATACAAAAGTCGAACGAATGAGATTCAGAGTGGTGCGTACGTGTTGTTGTCAGGTCCCTATGTGGTTGGTGTCTTGGTCTGTAAATGGAAAGAAGTTCAATTGTGCTCGCCACTTTTTTGTTGAATTATTCATTTGTGCACTCGTCACTGCTCATAAAACCCATAAAACTTTTGTCCAACCTAATTCAACACAAACGTTTTCGGAATTTTTGATGAAGTTAACCATTAACTTTTGAGGACTATGCACGTTTTGGTTGGTGCAATTCAAATTGCCCGAAATAGATGTGGACCTACACTTTATCGTCGTCCCAATCCCATGATCATTCGTCGTTTGTCCACCAAGAAGTTGTCGCTGTCCAGTGCGTCTGAAAACGATTTGTTACCACATTAGGACTCAATTTTCGATTCCGACTAGCTAACACCAATCTAATCTGACACACATTCATTCCCGGACGACGTACCTTTTCCGTTGCTCATAAATAATCATCTCAAAGCCAAACCTCACAGGTTGTGTGCGCATACCACCACCAACAACAACTTCTGTTTTTAACTAGTAACATTTTATTTCTGTTCTCAGCTTCAGAAACTTCCATGGTAAACGTTCAGCGTCTTCGTAATAAGAAGAAGAATTGGGGGAATGATGGAGGAGATAAAGAAAAAGATAAAGAGAAAGAGACAAATGGAGACAAAAATACGGGGAAGAGCGAGAAGAAGGGAGAGAGAGAGAGAGAGACTGTATCGAATTGCTGGTGGCGCCTTTTCACCCCTTGGTGCAACAGTGGTCTGGTGGTGGTGATGGTGGAGTGATGGTGGGAATTAGAAGGCATCGAGGTCTAAAAACCAATATTCTGCTGACCATCTCGACAAGCACAAGAAGCGAAAGTGTGACGTTAGCATATGGGGGGTTAGTGGACCGACTACAACACCAGTTGCAAAGGGTACGAACCGAACTGCTCCTCCGGTGCCGATCGTTTGCCGAAACCCATGTTGAAGTTGCGCATCGCGGCGCGTTTGCCGAAACCCATCGCGAAGCTTCGCGGCTTGTAGCGCTTCATCGGAACGTCCTCCGGGATTTCGCTCAGGTCCCCGAGAGAGCTAGAAGAAGGATTATTCTGTTCAGATGAGTTTAAAGGTGATAAGGTACCGTTTTCCGAATCCGAACACCATTTGCTTCGGCGCGGCCATGGCCAAGACGCAGGCGGAGACGAGAAGAACGAAGGCGAGTCGCGAGAAGCCGAACATTGTACCTACAAACCAACCAAACATTTATACTTTTTAAGAGTAAAAACAAAAAGAGAGAGAGAGAGAGAGAGATGGATAAGGATCGGAGCTGGCCGAGCTGACTCAAAACAAAATGTGTCTGTTTGCGGCGCCTTATGACATTGGCTCCTCTCCCCCAAAAAGGGGTGGAGTTCCGAAGGACGTCTCCAAAGGCCACGCCCCCTTTTGCCTTCTTTTCGAAAATGTGTTCGCTTGAATGGTTTTTTTCCCGAAAAAAGCTTTTGCACACGTGTGTGTGTGTGGGTGGAGTAGTTACGGAATCCGAAGGTATTTCCAGGAAAGTCTCATTGAAGAAGACAATTGTATAATTCATAAGTCGTCGGTTGAGCAATTCATTCACTTAACCATTCAGAAAGGAGAGGTATTCCAGAACAACAAAAAATAATTTAGTAAAAAATCAGTTTGCCTCAACATTCGCAGAGAAACGGGACTCTTAGGTACCACAGCTGGCCACACTCACTACTAAAAAGTGACACGTTCAAGTTATGAATTCAATTCACCACATTTACCGCTCCTCTCAAAAAAAAACGGTGTCAATCAAAACTGAGATCGAGAAACGAGTAAGTAAGGTCGAGCAAAAAGAGGTTTGTTTTCCCATATTCCTTTTTTCCAGATTCCTCTTTTTCAATTGAAGAAGGGGCGATATGAGTAAGTAAATGAGGGGGGAATCCATCAAGAATTCGCAGTGTTTTTACTAGGACAATGGTCGAGTGAAATAAAAATGAAAGAGGAAGAAAGAGCAAAACGGAAGCGAATGGCCCCTACAAATTAACTCGAGACTGGGGAAGGGGGGAAGGTGTAATCCGATATTTTTACGATTGTCTTGACCTTCTTTTGACATTCAACTAAATGTGTTTCACGTGTGACGTGGCAAAACACGTATTGCTCTGAATGGTTCTCAAGAAAAGCGTTCTCATGTGCTCTTCACAACGGAAAATGCATTTCAAGTGTTTTTTATTGTTTTTCAATCAAGAACTCGCACAGGATGATTCAGAAATCAGATGTGTTTCGTAAAAATAAAACTACAGTACCCCATCCTATCTCCAAACCCTATAATTATTGGTTTCGTATATGTAGTCTCCGTTTTTATGTGATGTGACGTGGAAGTGTAGGTGTAACGAGGTTTTCCCCCGAAAAACGAACGACTTGTTCTCATTCACAAACACAGCCCCTCTTCTATGTATTCTTGTGCTGACAAAAGAAGTTGTTGGAACTTGGAATATTCGATTTGGAACACTTTCAGGCGCCTCTCATTCTCTCCCTCCACAACCATTCAGCCGTGTCAGTTGCGTTGAGCACGAAAAAGTGATTTCCGTGAACGAACAAAAAACACGACGTCGTCGTAGACGCAAGGCGCCGAAATCACATTTCAGTGTGTCTTTTGTCGGAAGGCGTCACGGGTTTCGTATCATTTTATTCAAAACTTTGCTGATTGGTTCAGCATACAAGACTTTTACAAAAGAAAGATCAAAGTATACATAGAGTTGCAGTTATCCGTTTGCTCTTCTCACATTTCCTCTTCTTGTTCACATTTTAGTTTCGGGAAAGTATCATCAATATTATCCATTCTCATGAGGGAGCCAACCAGAAAAGATTCATCAGTCTTCACCCTTGACAGAAAACCAATTTCTGTTCGGAAACGCTAAAATTAGATAGTCAAGTGTTTGCAGAGAGATGACGAAATTTTGCAATATCACATCCTCTTCAAGACCCAATTTTGGCTTTCGGAATGGTACTACGAGGACTCCTACGCGGTGCCCATCATTGCTCTTAACGGAAAACCGGGAGGGGTTGAGGAAAATGGAAATGGATGGAAGAAAGGGACTAAGAAATGGGAGAGCGGGTCGTCAGGGAAAGGGGAGAAATCGACTTCGTCTCTATCTGATTTATTATGCATTTTATGGAGCCAAGTCTTGGTGAGATGGCAGGAAAAGTGAAAGTTTGTGGGCGATTAAAATGCCATTAAAATGTCTGGATACAGTAACCAGCCGAAAAGGGAACTCAGCGTGAGCAGACTCTGAACACACCGTCTGAGTGTGGGTGCGAGCAAGTCTGCGAGCATTTATACCACGCCCACAGTAATTTGATCGCTTAACAGATTTGCATTTTCATGGATCTACATAGTTGGACATTTGAGACTTTCCGATTAAAGATCAACGTTTTCTCGAAATTCCAAACAATCCCTTGTTCTGCTTTTCGCTTGTTATTAAACATTTTAGTACTGACGTAAAACTTTCAGCTTCACTTCCTTATGCGGGAGAAATAGAGAAAGAAACGGGGAAAAAATCGTGTAGGGTAAAATTTCAGACGGAGTACGAGTATGTATCTTTCAAAAACAAAATCTATAATTATTCTAGGAATTTGAAGAATTCAACCAGAAAACTTGTTGTTTTCTGGACAAAATTGATCTTGCAAAGATCAACTTCAATTTTTCAAAAGCATACACCGACCATCCAATTTCCCGAAGCGAATGTTTCAAAAAAGGGAATAAATGGGATTTCGTACCGCTGTCATCCAATCCGTCAATGCGACGCAATAAAATCAGCAGTAAGGAAGAAGCGTGTGCAAATTCTCCGTCTTCCATTCTCGAAAGAAAGATGCGTTGCACATAACTTATGTTCATTTGCATCCGAGCGTTCATTACTCTTTCTTCCTCTCTTTCTCTTTCTCTCCTTCTCCCCCTGGTATTGCAAAATGAATGGCCAATTGGCAACGTTCTACGGAGCGAGAAGAAAAAAACGCGTTGACATATGTATGACGCATGCTCAAATCGACGGCCGAAATCTGACAGATTTATAAATGAATCTCATATTTTACTCGTTACGTTTTTTGCCAGAATATGATATCGACGTCTAGAAAACAAAGAGATTGGGAGTAGGGGTGGAGTAGGGAATATGACTAAATGAATATGTTCCAATCATTTTGTCTACAACTACAACATGAATCATTTTTATTCTGGAATGCAATACAGCAACAATTACTATTATTTACATGAACATGTGGTTTTTCATATATCTGTTTACTATTTTTTGATAAAAACACAATAACGAGTGAGTATACTGCTGAGAGCCAATGTGATAACTATTCATTCAAATAAATCCTGGCAGCGAAGCCGGGGAAACAATTTCCGGTGGATAGGAACAGGAAATATGCAATTATCATTGTATTCAAACCAATTTTCATTCATTCATTCTTCTTTCCATATATCACCGCATGCTGTTAATCTTTGTCTGAATAATCCAAGGTTTTCCATGCCTTCCAGCAGTGGATTGTGCTCTGACAACGTTAAATAAATTGTGACGGACAAATAAGGAAAATAGATAAATGAGAAAAAAGGGCAGAATGAACAGGAATATGACACGTGGTATTATGATTATATCCGTTTTGGTTTGAGAGGTTCTCGAAGGCTCGTTGGGTCCTTTGATGGGCCAGATGTAGAAAATCAGAAGGACGAGGAACGTGATGAGGGAGTAGGTTATCACGGATGTTCTGAAATAAAAATGCATCTTTTTTTAGTCATTTTTAAGTAGAGGGGCTTTTCGATGAGGATACAATTACTTTTTTTGAACATTCTAGATATGATCAATTTTTTTATAGTTTCTACCAGAAAAACTGCTTTTCCCATTGAAATTATGAAGTGTGCAAACTGAAACTAAAGAGCACAGTTTTGGAAAATATTATTAGTAGAAGTATTAGAAATACTAGTGCTAAAACGTGGGCCGACGGGGTCAAGTCGAAAAATTTCCACAAAAAAGGGATTACCTATAGAAAAACACGTGTTTGAGCCATTTGACTCGTCTCTTGGGAAATATCACATTCATTCTGACGACTACTACTACTAGTGAATAACAAAATAAAAATACAATCGAAAATGTCAACGACGTCTGATCTTGCGTCTCTAAGCTCACACATAAACCCTCCTTCCGTTCTATTATCCACCCCCCGCGCCGAAAACTAATTACTCACAATCCTTTCGATCGTCCGTTTATGATACATAGCAATAATGCGATGGAGATTATCCCAAAACAAATCAGGATACCATCGCCAAAGCCGAGAAAATACGCCATTTTGTAGCCGCGGGGTCTCTGGGGACAAAATTCGATACGAAATGACGTTGTGTTGCTATGGAAACATAGCAGACATTGCATTGCGGGAGGCCACCGCGAGAGGGGGAGGTCCAAGGTCCGATATCCATAGTGTGGTGTTTGGTGCAATATGTGTTTATGCATGTTTACAAGTGCAAGGACAATCAAAAATTGGAAAGTGCAAACAAACATATCGAAAATCATGCGAGAAATTGCACTTCCCTCCCGAAACTGAGCCAATTAACCCGAGACATCCCCTTGCACTTGATTTTTTTTCCCAAAATGCTCTGTCTGCAGTCCGGTCTTGCCGCGGGCATATATAAGAGAATAAGTGACCGGAAGAACTGTTTGCGATTCCCTCTTTGGCAACATCATCTTCGAATGTCGCGTCCGGCTGAGATGAAGTGAGTGGAGTGGGAAAACGACGGCGGCCTTGGCCGGTGGTCTCGGGATTGAGTTATTGCTTTGCTGATTTTTCGCGTTTTGGGTGTTTGTTCGGATTTGCAAGGTTATTTGAAGAATTACACGCAACATCAGCAGGTTGTGTCTGTGGAAGGATAGACTTGGAACCGAAAACAGAACGTCATAAATCGGATCCGCATCTGCTCATACTTCCAGCGCGTTCCAGTGAACTCAATGACCTCGGAGAGAATCCATTAAACGTAAAGATTCACTCACTTTTCGTCCTAGTCTCGCCATCATAAACGCGCATCGGAGTGGAGCAGATGTGTCGAATCAGCACTCGTCCCACTCCATTCTACTTCATTCCATTCCCTCTCGGGTTTTCTTCTCTATTTCATTCCCCCTATCAATTTGGGTGACCGTGACCACGCTTGTTTTGATAGTGATAGTAAAACACTGATCATTCATCACACCACACGCTGTTGACGGAATGAATGTGTCGTCGTTTTTTGAACAGTTGTGTAGAGTGTCAACAGCACCAGTAGACAACACCTGCAGATATCAGCTCATTTTGTGTCGTCGCGCCACTTATCGGAACTCCAGGCACCTCCTGGTATCAGTGTTGGTTGGAAAGATAAAGATAGAGAGAGAGAGAGAGAGAGTGAGAGGAGGAGGATTCTCTTTTATTTTCGATCGCATCTCTCTTGTCGCTCGAAGAGATCCAGATTGCATTTTGCAAATAGTCTCCCTCCTCATACGTTTAGCACGTGGCGCTACACGTGAAGCGTGGCCGACTGACTGGTGCACACAAAACGACAAAGAAACCCCCGGGCGTTTTTTTTTTCGCATTTTTCGACAAACACTCAGTGAGAGACAGACGCTGGAGAAATGATAGGCGAAACGGGAAGAGGGAGGGCGGGAGGGAAGAAGAAGCTGAGAGTAGTTCATCAGAGAAATGATTATGAGGAAGATTCATTCTATTTACTAACTTTATCATTGAAAGTTTAGCTTTGACTATGAGCTGGAAGATCGGATTCGAGTTCAGGTAAGATCCCAACCCTGATCATTTATCAGTGCTCTTTCTCTCTCTCTCTCTCTCTCTCTCTCTCTCTTTCTCTTTCTCTTTTCTTTACGAGCTGATAACCTAATAGCATTTATGTTCGAAGTCGCCCGATAAGTGACCGTCCGCTGTTATCACACTTTCCCCTGGCGCCCCCCAACTATGACTTCTAACTTGCACGAAAATCGAAATATACTGCACTACTCCTTCTTTATTCGCGAACTTTCTTTGAAGTTCCCGATAGAAATCAAGCAAGAGAGAGTCAACAAAGTCAGCGGACCTCAGAGAACAATCAGGTATCGTTTCCCGACGGTTTCCACAGCGGGAGGGCACCACGAAACAAACCTGTTATTTTTCGCCACCTCTTCAAAATTGACAGTATGAACTGTTATTGATAAGTGTCTCGCATATCTGCCCATTTCGTATATCCTTTTCATAAATCAACACACGGAAGACAGAATGGGAGAGAATCTTTGAATCTTTGATCAACGAGATCAAGTAACTGAGTTGTTTTGACAAGAGAAGAAAGTGTTGATGATGATGAATTTGATAATAATTGATACGGAACTTGATTTGATTCCGAGTACTACACAGACACACACGTGTCGCGGACGAACGGCTTGCACGAAGTGGAACGACCATCTTTGTTTTCTATTTTGTTTTCGGCATGTATGTCGAACTCATATTTAGCTGACTATATTTGGAAAAGAGAAAAACTTCGCCTCCTAAATAAGACATTTTTATTTTTTCACATAATTTTTTATAATTCGTCATAGCTATGTAGTTGTCCCGGATTTTGCCAAGTATGGTTTTCGGGCTGTCTGAATTAGTAGTAGTTCTGAAGGAAAGCGACAAAAAGTGACGCAACATCTTCTCACCCCCACTTTTTCGTTATTTTCTGTAGTCACGTGTTGTCTATTAAATGATTTGTTTGTCTCGGAAACCTCGTAGCAGGCAGGAAAAGGGGAGATGTTATCAGTATCAGTCGATCGGAAATCGAAATTATTTTCATTCTTACTCGGGCCGTTTTCATAGTGAACTTGCACAGTTTTTTTAGACTTTGGTACAAAACTTTAGATCGACAAAAGTCTAGGAAGGGATTCAGAATTTTCACCAACAGTTTATAGTAGAAAGTCTTCAGATTCAGTTGACGGTCTAAAAATATTGTATAGTTCATTTTCTGAATACTGTAAATCAGCGATGGCTCGGCTTATATAACTATTTGTTACTTTACAATATTCTAATCTCCAGTCCAAATCTCGTCCCTTAGAACTTTTTCCGAAATCGTGACCAATCTGACCCAAAAGTTTTGGGGTTTTTGCAAACGGCTGCCGTGCGCGCCACCCTAAAATACCGACTCAGCAAACGTGTTCAGTCAGTGCTGCCCCTTCCTATTCTTCTGATAACAATTGTCAATATTTACCAGGTAAACCTTGCCTAGTACATCAAAATAAAAGAGGTGTACGTGCCCGTCTAGTGGGTTTCATGCAGTTTTTCGAAAAATTCCATTTCATTTTATGACATTCGGCGTGTCGATACTGACACTGAACCTATTCGGTCGTTAGTCCCGGATCCGGAAATTGTTGAAAACATGAAAAATGGTTGGGTGATTAATATGTTTGTTATCCACCTTCACCTTTGCTGCCAGCCCTACACAATGTAATGATTCTTCGTGAGAAACGTGCACATTTTTGTCTGTCTCTCTGGAACCTCCATGATGGATTTAGTCTGATTGTTATTTGTGGTGCAAAACAATTTTTTGTCTTTGTCTTTGCAGAAGAGATGAGTTGAAACTCTGGCAGAGAATCATAGAATCAAAAACCACCTCGGGCAGCAAGATGAACACTTTGAGATTGGGAAAACTGACAATAGGGGGAGTCCCTTTTGGTTCGTAGGCCCGACAAACAATCGCGTGATGCATCCTCCACTATTCTGTCATTATCATACATGCTACTTCAAAGAACACGCCAACTTTTGTGGGCTGCACATGTTGTCATCATGTGAATTCGTATTTGTCGTCGGTGCAACAGAGTGCTACCTCGTGAAATTTTGTTGCAATCTCGCCTAAAAACAGCACACTTAATTCACTATTTTCTCTCTTATCACTGGTCCCTCCCTTCAGCAGCTAACGCCTTGAAAACATATCAGGCTGATGCAAGTTTAGTCGATTTGCACTCACAAAAAGCTCAAAGAACTCTGTGAGGATAGGCGATGAGCCCCGCTTGGTTCCACGTGAAACACGTGAAGCTTCTGCAAACTTTGGTGTCATGTGTGTTTGGAACTTTCTTCCAGTGATGCAACCAACTAGATCCTGCTGATGAGAACCGAGTTTAACCTTTAAGGGGAACGTAAACAATATACTGTAGTTTTGCGCACGTATTTGATTTTTACTTTTTCAGGTCCTACGTGAAATAAAAGAAAGAAAGTCTAGCGTGTGCGGTCATCATGTAAAAAATCATACATCAATTATTATTAATAGTATTATCAACCAAAGTGTGAATCCTGTTACTTGTTTTGTCCTTCTTAAAGGGTTACTGTAGATTGCCCTTGTCTTTCCACTAGGAGCAGAACAACTTACGGTGAGGGGGAGGAGGGAGAATTTCCACGCTACCGTAACCCAATTATATCCCACCAACCACAACATTTGACCTTAACCCAACCTCCTCGATCCTCTTTTCTTAAAATAATGACAAAACAGTTGGCTGTAACTGATTTCTGTGATAACCTTTGGTGTCAAAGTGAAAACACATTCCAACCCGGCAAAACAACCTTTCAAATGTGTTCTGAACTCTTTTGTCCATTGTTCAACGAGCGCTGACTGTCAGAAACGAACTTTCATTCCTTCGATCTCACCCCAAGTATGTATAGTATACTTATCAACCGTCTGATCAAGAAGGATACTATCATCCTGTCTGTTAGTTCTTCTCTTCTCCTACTTTCTTGAACTCTATCCCAAACGCTTTAAAAAAGAGTAGAGAAGAAGAAGAAGCCCGAGCAGAAATTCGAGACCTTCAAAAACAAGGCGCTCGGGGCTCCAACCGCAAAAAAATGTGGCAAAAAGAACAATTTTACACCTATTTTCTTTCAGAATCCGTTTAACCTTCAAGAATGATCAAAGATTGAACTTTTGTTGCCCCCAGAGTCATTATCAAAAATTTGGTCTGAGACTTGTGTTTTTCCACGTCTGCAACATTCATTCGGCGTTTGGGTATGGTCAATAAATGTTTATTGCAAACTGTTGAAATTTGGTCTGAGACTTGTGTTTTTCCACGTCTGCAACATTCATTCTGTCGCGCAATGATTTATTCAACGTGACACGGACAAATTGCGAAGCCAAAACCACGCTGCCGGTTTTTGATTCTTTTGTGTCCTACCGTAATCGGATCGTTTCAAAAACAACAGTTTACATTACATTATACATTACACCTCTGTCAAAAGCAGACGGTCCCCACAGAGACGTGCGTATTCAATCTATCTCCGCCACACAGTGTTGCATATCTACAACACTGGTGGTGGCCGGCAGGGAGGGGGGGAGAAAGATTCACGTGCAACAGTTGTAGGTTCATGTTCGGCGTTGGGGGAGACCCTGCAAAAAGTTCACGTGTGTCGTCGTCTCGACATGAGGAGGTGGGGTCGTTCGATGATAGCAAGATTAGTGGGAGGAGCCACTCGCCACCTCCCGCAACACACTCTCCTCTCTTTTCCCCCCTTCTCCTGGAGGCCTGAGCCGTTTTCTACTTTGATTTTGTTGTTGTGGTTTAATCTTAATATGATCGCAAAGTGTGTTTTCAGGTTGCATCAGAAATCAGAACTAAAATGTTTGGTTGGGTTTGGGCTACTGTAACTTGTTATGTCTTTCTGATTCTGATTCTGACTCAGTCTTAGTACGTTTTTTTTTACTAGTATAGCTCTGTCATCTGACGAAATGTAGAAAAACATGAAGTACTTGAAAACAGATTCGTGCCGCTTCGTAAATACTCTTATCTTATTGAGTTTTGGGGGATATCCAATGAACTAAACAAATGTCTATAATATCTTCTGAGCTTAACATTCAAAGTTCGCTGTATTACTGCTACCGTACACCGTTTCTCGATTCGAGAGCACTATGATTTTCGAATGTACCAAATTTTCATAAAACACCGTAGCTCAAGGCAAAATCCAACAGATTTCAGTTTTTTTGTTCAGAAAGCTTCACATCCTTCTCAAATTTCTTCTAACAGTTTTCCTCCCAATCGTTCAAACCTCACACCTCAATCTTTTCTCCTCATTTTTCAAAAGTGCCACTGACAGCCCGGAGATTGGATTCATCGCAGAACTCCCTTGAGAAAAAGTGACCATTCTTTGCTCTTCCACTGTTTGTGAGTGTGTGTGTGTGTGAAGTGTTCGGAGTTTGCAAACTTGCTCATTCGAAAAAATTTTCTTGACAAGTGGCAAAGGCTTGGGATTTCGGGCGCACCCTCACGCCCAGCAGGTACTTATTTGCGATTTTTGAAACGGTCGAGTGAGAATTTTTCCTCATTGGCTAATCTTCTTCACTTTATCCCAACCCTCTTTAGTCCACACTCATCCTTTGCATAATCATAATCATAATCCCATTACTGCTTAAGAGTGCTGGGTGCTGTAAGTGATCAATTGATCAGAACCGAGAATATGAAGAGTCTGCTGGGCGGGCCGGCAGAGCGAGGGAAAGAGAGAGAGAGAGAGACGTCAGAGGCGCAGACGCAGATAGTTTTGGGGGTCCGTTGCGCACTCTGCGCGTTCTTTCATCATCTCCCAACTCTTCTTATCCTCTCTATTTGCACGCGTATTTGCATAAAAAGTTACACTTTCGCTCTTTTTTTTAAACAAACGCTCTGCCTATATTTCTGCCCGTCTTATTTCGTCGTCTGATATAGATAGATAAAGTTTCCGCGAAAGCGGAAGCACGTGCGACTGATAGATGGGCCTAGTCGTTCGCCTTTCAACCCTTTGCCAAGTCACGTACACCCATTGAGGGAGGTCTTAGCGCCGCATCTTTTCTCAAATCTTTTCTCCATTTTCGTTGTCCGCATATATCGAAACATATGACTGATAGTTTTGCGATTAAAGTTTCTTCTGAACGTTTTGCATCGATTTTCCATTTCTTGATTCTGCTTTACGATTCCTTCAAAAAATGAATCGAAATTGACTTTGTACGACACTCCAACTTGTCCGCTGAATTTCTGCCCTGTTATCGACTGCTTATCATCCCGCTCTCTCGAAAATGAAAATAGTTTGCAATTTAGACGTCGTCGACTTTCATTCTGATCGAATTAATCGGATGATCCTTCAAAAAACGCCGCGATAATTTTTGATTTCTCTGACCCTAAGTGCATTCTTTCGTAGGAACAGTTGTCGACAAAGGCGTGCATGTCACTTCCAGACTCTGTCCAGTCAGCGAACTGACAAGAAAAGAAGAAGAAAGGATAAAGCCACTCGCTTCCCGTCTCGAAAACTGAATGCCGGGCCCACAACCAGTGGGGCCAGAAGTAGAGAGATAGAGCGAGAAAATGAGCGCGCGTGTGTGTACGTGAGCTTGTCGAAGGCGAAAAAGAAGAAGAAGAAGAAGAAGAAAAAGAGGAAGAAGAGCCCAATGGGCTTGGTTAGGCCCCCTCCCGCCCGTCCGCCCGCCCGCTTGCTTGTCTATCGCGCCTCCAACAGATTGATTTAGAACTCGCCTCTCCCTGTTTGATAAGTCCTTCTAGGTCCCTCCTCCTCTAGGCCTAGACAAAACTTTTTTACGAGAGGTCCTCTCCTCATTTCGTTTGTGCTCTGCGCTCCGTAATGGGCTTCTCGTTGTCGATGCTCATCGATAATTATGGCGATTTTGAAGAAGCGTTCCGGGAACTCGTATTCCGTATGACTAGGTTGGTTTGCAGTGATCCCCCCTGCCAGTTTGTTGTTGTGCCATCTCGACTCTTTGCCACTCGCTTTTTTCTCTATCCAAAAATTGAACAGACGCAGACTTGAGAGCAGCTCAACGCTTTTATGTCATTTTTTGTTTCCAATCCTCATCATCTCATATTCGAATCAAACTATTTATGCTTGCAGGACGCCGATGGAAATGGGGCGTGAACGCGAATGGGAGACCTGCGCCGCACACTCAGCTCCAGCCTCATTCTCGGTCCTCTCTTCGTCATCCGGATGTCGTCGAGCCGCCAGTTTCCCCTTCTTCGGCGACACATCGATACAAGCATCGAGTTTGAAGGTTAGTTCCTTTTTTATGCTCTCATGCACTTCACTTCTGTTTGGCGACGTGCAAAACGCGCGGTTAGAGGGGAAAGCGGAGAGCTGTGGGCGCACGCATCAAGAATAGAAGACAGTTGGATATTCAGGGAGACGCAGCGGTCCGCGCGCCCGCCTCAGGGTGTGTGTCGGCTTCTGAGGAGAGTGAGAGAACTCGGCGCCCTTTTTTTTTGCAAATCAAAATTCAAAAGATCAACATTCTAGAAGATGCTAGATACGGCAAGAAAAGGGAGGCCTCCGCTCGTTTACAAATTTGTTTGCGTCTCGTCTCGGTTCTATAAAGAAGCGCGCTTGCCCTTCGTGGCGCCGTCATTCTGATTGGAGACGGGACCGGGGGTTACTGTAGCTTTTATCAACCGATGCACTTGCCCCAGTCCAAATGAAGAGAGAAGACACGGAAAGACAAATAAGTTTTGCAACAAACACCCTCTCTCTCCCATTAACAGGATTCTGTCTCTATCTTCAGACACCATTGCACACTTTTGTCACGGTGTTTTGTGTATTCCTCGCGTTCCGTTCAACATCAAAACTGTCCAGTTTCAGGTTCGCTCGCAAAGCGAGTCAGAAGGCTTGAACAAAATTCGATTGGCACAGGTGAACGTGGAAGCGGTGCGCCAGCGCCTCTGCAAGACGACCATCAACGAGAAAGGTATGTACATATGTGTTCCCGCGCGGATAATTCGATTAATGTTTGGCGGTCTCATTTCTGCAAACGACCGTCTCATTCGCCCTTTTTTTGTCCCGTCGGTTGTCTGAATGTTCAAGTTCTCATTGGACTTTACGGGCTATTTTTAGTGTCCACTCGTAAATTGGGTTTCATTGCAGGTTATAGGGATTCTTTTCGTTCCACATTCTTTCCAAGCTGAGATAAAATGAAATGAGGGTGTAGGGGGTGTAGGAGTACGGTAGCCTGCCATTGACAAACTAGATTGTAGTCTAAAAGAAGTAAAGTGAGCGGGGTGCTTTCTTAGGAAGATCTTACACAGCTCAGAACTCCGATCCAGGGTTTCGAACAAATTTTCGTTTAGTATCCATTCAAAAGTCACTTACTAATAAAACAAAATCCAACTTTTCCTTCCTCTCTGAGATATTTTCGAAATGATTCAATTTTTTCAGACGAAGGAAGCGACTGCCAGTCGCACAGTTCCTCGAGCAGCGAATGCGACGGCGATGATTCGGACCTCTTCTGCGCCGGTCCGTTGGAGCTCAAAGAGGAGGAGAAGTGTCGCAAATCGGTCAGATTTGCCGACGACTGTGGCCACGATCTGACCATGGTCCGTGTGGCGAACGAGCCGAGCGACTGTCCGCCAAAGCTCAGTCCATCCGTGCTCAGACGCTACCGTGGTGACTCTTTTGAAGAGGAGACGGTAATTCGTGAGCCGGCGCCGGAATGGACTTTGCTCTTCAAGCAGCCAGCCGCAGATTATGTACGCTTCCGTGAGAACTTGGAAAGTGTAAGTTCTTTTTTTGATTCTCATGCCATTGAATACGTTCAGAACAAACTGTCGCTGGAGAATGTGATTCTGAACAACGAAGGGTACAAGGTGATGGGAACCATCAAAGTGGGGAACATTGCCTTCGAAAAGTCGGTTTTCATCCGCTACACTATGAATGGATGGCTTTCCTACATGGATAAGGCGGCTTGCTATCAACCTTCGACCAGCAAAGTCTACGACACTTTCAAGTTTGAAATCGATCTTCCTTCATCTGTCGAGAAGGTAGCTCTGCTTTTTTGTTCATCGAACAAAACCATTTTACATTTCAGATTCACCAAATCGAATTCTGCGTCTGTTTCAAAGCGAACGACACAGAGTACTGGGACTCGAACGCGGGTACCAACTACGTTTTGCACTGCGCACAAAACCAACACGAAGTGCCCCAACAACAGCGTCGTGCTTCACTGTTCGGCAGGTTGGCACACCTCCGAGCCCCTCTTGTTGTAAACTTACCTTTTGCACTTTAGTTCGAAGTATCTCGATCGAGACGATGCTTACAAACTTGACTACAACGATTGGGGAAAGTTTGCGTCATGGAAAGCACTGAGCACCGACGGACCGTACTGGTAGACAACGTTTGGAACGAAACCACTCCGCCCCAACATTGCCCGATCACTCACTCCTTCACAAAATCCTCGTTTCTTCTTCACAAATTGCATGTACCCACTTCCTTTTTCTTCTACTACTACTGGTACGATTCGAAAGTGCCCGGGTATAGGAGATGAGTATCTGCCTTTTTGTCTTTATTGCCTGCTCCGTCTCGCCTCTCCCACCCCGTTTCTCCTGTAATCATCAACTAGCCGAATTGTTCAAGCATCCCGCACTCCTCCTCCTCAAAAGACAGCAAAAAAACAAAAACCATCCAAATGGGTTTATCTTGTCATTATTTAACCGTTTTTTCAAAGATTTCTAAGCTTGTTTGCTTATTTTTTGCCATACTTTGCTCTTTTTACCGCCCAGCCAGCAGCCATCCTGAGAAAACGCGTGTATATCCGACAGCAACGACGACATTTCCCTCCCCTCCCCCCCCTCTCCCAGTTTTCCTTGCCGCTTCTTTCTCGTGATGTGTGTTCATTTTTGTCTAGGGTACAAATAGTCCGGTATAGTTTTTTTCGCCTCCTCCCCCCCACCAAAAAAAGTTTGTAAGTGTAGAGACTCAACTCATTTTACCATTTTACTCATTTTTCCTGGCGCCGAGTAACATCAAATGGTGCTCAAACTTCGCCCCTTCACCCCCCATCCTGCAATCGGTCAAAACGGTCAATAGTGTTAGAAATGTGATGAATATCAGAAAGAAAGTTTTTCATACCTTATCATAATGGTCACAATTTATATATGTATCGTGCCCGTCTCACCTTTCTTAATATAAATATCCTGTATAACTTTTTCCCTTCCCAAATAACCGGCTCTAAACGTAATTGCTCAATATTCGGTGCAACCTGAACCATCGACAATTCGTCACACTCACACTCACTATAAACACTATTAACTGATTCTGTAGAATGGAATGGTATCCATTATTATGATGATTTGATTTGATGATGATGATAAATGAATAATTGCAAATTTCAAGCTTCATAAAAAGGAATGTAAGAATGACATTGAGTCGGAATTTCGCTGAGATCCGCAATGAATTTTGATCAAAAAATTAGAAAAACGGAAAAGTTGATATCACAAAGTCACAAGTCCTCTTGAAAACGATCCGAACAGTTCCAACGACTGCATAATATCCGTATTCGTTCGACATCTCTGCATGAACTCATCTTTCGTGATCCTCCCGTTGTTGGCAATGTTCAAGTTCTCAAAATGTTCACGTTTTACACCGAAACAATGTCATAGACTCCTTTCAAATACCTTGAAAACGAGCTTCACATGTTGCCGACATATGGTGGCGAGAACAGCTGGTTTCAGTGATGCATCCACCAGCTGATACATTGATCTGAGTAAAGAAAGTGCGTTTTTTTTCTTGAAAGAGAATTTTTGAGTGAACTCACTGGACGACATGAAATATCTCGTTGTAACCCAGCACTCCCATTCGGTTCGTGTCGTAGAGGGTGAAAATCCAATCGAGTTTCTCTTCGATTGATCCTTTGGCGATTTTCGAGTAGTTTGTGATGAAATCCTGCAAAAACAAAAGTGTCTGAGAGTGACTTGAAGAAGGCATTACCAGAAAAGTGACAGCTCCGGTGCGATTCTGGTCAATGTTCCGGAAAACAAGCTCTGCGTAACCTTTTGGATTGCCTCTTTGAAAAATGCTCGCATAAATCGCTTGGAACTGATCTAGGGCCACGGTTCCATTGGGGAAAAGCTGGAAAAATGCATATTTGTGATTTTACGGCCCGACCTGAAATACGCCGAATTTTCTTCAGGAGTTTTTTTTTCTCCAAAAACCTACCTCTTTGAAGGATCGGTACAGACTTTGAATTTCAGGTCTGGAAAAGTTGGTGACTTGGAACAATAAATCGATGCTCGGTGGTCTTTGCCGTTCTAATGCTGGTTGCGTATCCAATTCTTCTTCCACTGAAAAAATCACTTTTTTGTTGATGAACTGTTTTATCACTCTGAAAAACCCGTCAACCTACTTTCTGCTCTGCCAGTCTTTCCTCTAATGAAAAGTGCTGCTGGCGGAACGCTAACCGCCAGCGGAATCAGCGCTTGATGGAGCGGTCTCGTGCATGAGGCGGAGCCAATCATAACCGCGTTTTACTTAACTTAATAGCGACGTGACGATCGATGGGATGGAAGAAAGAAAGAAAGAAAGAAGAAGAAGAAGAAGAAAGAGGCGGAATGCAAGTGAGAGAAAGAACAATAAAACAAAGTTGTGGATGGGATGGAAGAATAGGAACGACAGATATATGAAAAGTGCATTGAATTCAACAGAATTGGGGAGTGGGGGATGTCATGCTGGGTGTAAAAGGCCACTAAAAGACAAAGCAGCAACACGAGCAACACTCGTCACATTTCATCTCCATTCCGACATTGAAAATTCATCCCGCCATCGCTGGGAGCCGGGTTTTTCTTTTTCTGTGTGCGTTTGAGCCCGACCCCTTCTGCCGGCTGTCGTTGTCGTCGCTCACCAATATATTCGACTCTCTCTTCTTCTTGTCGGGGAGGCCTTCTACTACCCCATCATTATGTTCGAGATTCTTTCAATGAAAAAACGGAAAACGAGAAATGAGACAAAAAAAAAAAGCGGGAGAACAATAGAAGTATTTCCTGGAAGTTGTAGGCGGAAATCTTTGCACTTTTCTATTGTAGATTGTAGCTTTGAAGAAAAACCAACTTGACTACCGATAAAGAAATGAGCTAGCCGAATCGGAATTACACCTGCGCCCAGAAAACCAGCTGGCTCGTGAGAATTGAATAAATTTACGAGAAGAAAATAGATTAACTCACCCAAATGATAGTAGAGAAACGGATCCTCGGGCGTTTTGATGACCATTTCCTATCGGTACGTCACTGGTCTTCCGGGTAGACGCACTGCAAATGCACACGCATCTTTTTTGAGTCAGAATATGAAACGAAGTTTTTTAGCGATTTTGCGACGTCGCGACCAACAAGGAAAAAAGTTGAGGTCTTCGATCGGTTAGGTTACACCCGTCACAGCAATAACCCTTCGGGAAGTAACATGACTGTTCAGACGGCGGATCCAAAATCGGTTGAATATGTGATAAGTGACTGTGCCTCGCATCCCCCTTCTCCTATATTTTGATGGTTTCCGAGGCTGATTCTAGTACGTTGCCGGTCATGCATATCATAGAATGTTTGTGCTGTCTAGATGAATTGAACGTTAATGGTCCCAGGGAAACGAGTATGATGGATGGATGCGTGGGAGTAAAGGAAATGTATGTTCATTTCAAAAAAAGGCAAAAAGTTGGAGAAGGAGAAAGAAGATGGAAGAGGGTAGCAGAAACAAATTATGGGGTGTTATCTGTTGTCAGAGTTGGATTGGATGGGTGGAAGAGCACAAGTAGTAGAGATTAGGCATGTAGCGCGAAAACTGCATCAGCTATTATGAATTACCGAATAACAGTGGGAACAAGGAACTTTTGAAACCACGTTACTCAATTTTTTCGAATCTACTTAGCCTTAAAGATCTCTCAACCCCTCAAAAATGGCCGCCCACACAAATGGCTCTCTGACAAGAACCGGAAGAATCTGAGACCAGAACGGAAGAAAGGAGACGAGAATCTGATACTACAAGCAAACTTTTGGCGTCGTTTTCTTCTTCTTTGTCTATTTATAACAAATCGTGACCAGAAAAAGTTTCTCGAATCTTTTGCATTTCGAAAATTTGTGTTGGGGTTCACGGAATATCCGAAAAAAGGAAAGAAAATGAAGTGGAAGCGGATCATGGGAAAAAAGAAGAAGGCACCGCTATTCTTCCAATTTCCGTTTTTGACAAATGATGGTGATGGATTAAAAAACCCCCACACTTTTGTTACATGTTTTGTCCGAAAAGGCATATACAAAATTGTGTTGTTTTGTTGGGGGATATTCAAGCGAAAATACACCATACAGGGTATAATAAAAACCGAATTTTTTGCGGGATTCACACTCAGAAGCTCAAAGAGCGAAAAAGTGCGCTAAGGGGTACTATGGGAACGGAAAGCAGGTGACACATACTCGGAGAGCCGGAGCTCTCTGACTAGTTCTCATTGGAAAGTTGAAATCTATAGAGGATTCCGTGGAATTCGCGCCAGTTTCCTTTTTTATTGCCGCGCCACAGACCAAGCATTGGAGGAAATTAGTTGTCAGAAGTGTCCAGACGCATAAAATGTTCTTTTTTATTCGATGTTTTGCGTTAGGGATCAGCAAAAAACTTTGGGATTGTCAGTATTAGGAGATTAAGCCGTAACAACTATACAACGTTTTGTCTCAACTTATTATAAAGTTCCTAGTAAAAGCGAGCAAGAAAAATAACTTTTTGCCCATATTTGATGAACAACATGTATTATATTGTGACACTTCTGTGTTTTTGCCTTGTCGGAGAGCAGATTAAAGAGCAGAAGAATAAATTTGCCTTTGGGGGGTCTGCTCATATCATATCCGGCAAAAACAGAGATAAGCAAGCCGTTCTACTTCCTTTATTTTGGTCTTCGTCTCTTTTCTGATTTTTCTTCCCCGATGATATCACTTCTTCTTCTTCTTCCCCCTCTCCTACCTTATCTTTGTGTCCTCTTTGATAACATTTTCCATCCATTCGTGTTTTGTTTTCTTATTGTCAGCATTTCTCCCTTCATTTTCCTACCGTCTCAAGGGTAAAACGAGACAAACAACGAATGCGCAAGGGTTCGTGTTGGCCCGCACACAGAACGCGCAAACAACATATGACACCTCGACGAGTCCCTCCTCCCCATACACTATTTCGCCGCACATAACGTTCTCCGGTCCGATTGACCTCTTTTTATACTTCCCTTCCCCACCCATAATGGGGACAAATAACTGGCTTAAATGAGGTTTTGATACTGAATCGTTTATGAATCGCATCCCCCCAACCCGACCTCCATGTTTTCTTGGGTGTGTGTCAATGTAAACATTGGAATTTTCTGCGTCTCTCCTCCTCTTTTCCGTTTTCTTATGATAATCGCAGCGGGAATTCGAACCCAATCATATCAGTATTCCTTTCTTTTCAGTGCATATGACAACGACCCGACCGAAGAGAATCACTCGGAATGCCACGCCGGCTCCTCCAGTTGAAGACGATGTGACCATTGGTGAGTAGACTTTCTCTCTTCTTTGTATCGATCGACCTCTTCTCTTAACCCTCTTCTTTCTTGCAGTCCGCACTACCCTCGACCGCCTCATTTACGCGGTGGACGTGATGGCAAGGTTCGATCGGACACGTGAGGACATTGCGGCCGTGAACAGAGGAGAGAGTAATAGAACGATGACTGAGATTATGACGGAGGTCCGTTGGCACGAGCATGCTTCAAAAGCAAGGAAAGAGTGTCCGTTGGGGAGTACGAAAAAGAAGAGACAGTACGAAGATGATGAAGAGGAAGACGAAGAGGGAGAGGATGGGGACGCTCCGAGCACTTCCAAGGTAATGATAACAGCAAGAAAACTAGTGCACACATGTATGTTAATCATTGGAACGCAGAGAAGTAAAGGAAATTAGAAACAGGTGTAGCCTAGTGCGAGAGCGGTGACGGCCGGGACGGTTGACTTATCAGTTGCAGTCATTCAATTCCCCATTGGAATGATTATTCTTGCAGATCTCGAAAGGACCGAAGCCGACACCAGAGAAGAAGGCGCCGACACCTTCCAAGGCAAAACTGGCAGCAATGAAGAAGAAGGCGGATGCGGCGAGACGGAAGGCTCAGCGAGAAGAGGCAAAGAAACAGGCGGAGCAAGACGGGAAGGATGATGAGGAGGACGAGGAACTCGACGAGAACTTCATTGGAATGCCCACCCTCATCAGCTCCGTCATCACGCCACCGCCACAGTCTCCCGACCTGGATGCGACGCCGCCACAATTGACTTCGGAACAGTTGGATGCAAAATCGTGGCTGGGCGAAGATCCTCCGCTCTACCCGTTGGATCTGGTGCCGGTCGTGGAAGATGTGCCAGGAAGAGTTTGGTGCCCGCCGAGAGGAATCTGTCAGGCGACTAACGAGCAGGTTGTGGAGATTGGACCGTTGACCGAGTTGGAGACCTTGGATTTGTCATTGAGTCCGGAGGCGTTTGACTACTTGCTTCCAGAAAAAGCGGAACAAATTCTGATTCGCATTTTGGAGCTCCGCATTCCGCACTTGGAGATGAAGATGTTGGACCCAGCAATGGGCGAGGATGAGAGGGAAATGAACATCAAGCAACTGGAAATCTACGAGAAGCAACTGGACGAGTACATGGAGAAGCCAGCACTTCTCAGATACCGGATCGCAACCCTTCCTCATCCGGCCATGAGTTACCTTCCGAGATATTCGCAAAGTATCGTCTTCTACAGTGAAATTGATCCAACCTGGTACTCCAGCAGCCGAGAGTGGTTCGACAAGACAATCCGAAACCGCGACAAGATTTGTCAGCAAGACTTTCTCGACAACTTCCAAGAAACTGAGGACCAGATGATTCTGGACTTTCAACGTGAGATGCTTGAGAAGACAAAGATCGTAGAGCAGCAACTCGCCGAGGAGAAGATCAAGAACTTCAAGTTGCCGCTGGTTCACAACTTGGACGGATTGACGCCGTTGGCCAAGGAGAGAATGTTGGCATTCCGATCCCTACTCGCCCACGTCTTCCAGTATGAAGACTTTGAGAATGCGCACATGACCGACCCCGCGTGCCGTGGAATTTGGAGAAAGATTCAACCGTTCCCATACGAGAACGGAATCGCAGTGGATGAGGCCGAGGCTGAGCTTGTTGAACTCATTTCCAGCTACAAAGTGCAGTTTGGAGCGGAGAATCCGATCATTCCGCTGCCAGAGGCTGTTGATAGTGAGAACGAGACCAGCGAGGAGGTTGGCAAGGCGACGGAGAGATTTTTGGCAGATGTCATCGATACTGTGGTCTTTAGAGAGCTAACTGACTTGGTAAGTAAGTTTGATGCAACAGACTGATCTGCCCGGCTAATTGAAAGTTTGTTGATTACTAAATCAACTATATTTTTTCAGCCAACCTACCCACACCGGATTCCTATCTACAAACCGCGTTCTACCCGCCCAGCACGCATCAGCCCGTCCGTTTCACGTGAAAGCAACACGTCGGAACAACCAACAAGCTCTCCGCACGAAGAAACTCAGCAAGACATGTAGATAGCAAACTCGTCCAACATCGGCCGGTCCGGACGGTATCGATTTTTCAGTTCTTCACTCGGAATATTGTTACATAACCCAAATCGCAAAAAATAACCGCAATTTCTGAAAAATGTCTGCTAGATAAGCTTTTCGCATTGCACAAAAAAAACATACAGATACAAATATTCCTCATTGATACGCTTCCCTCTCTAAGTATTCCCGTAGTTTCTGTCATTTTATGTAATCTCTGTACCGCCTACGCCTGCACAACTTTTAATTTCTGCAAATATACAATAGCATTCCATATTTACTGCCACAGCTTCACAAGTTATTCTTTTACCGATTCGTCAGTGTTTTCCAGTCATTTTCTTGCATAATACAATCCTTGCACACTAGTTTGAAATGCGTATGTTGTCATACAATTGTAATCTAATAATCTTGATGCATACTTATTTGCATTTTGCTTTTTGCTTGATAGAATAAATAAGAAATACTGAAAGACGGTTTCTTGTCTTGACTTAATGTTTCAGAAGACACGAGCAGATTCTTTTGCTGTCGGCTGATAAGCCAATGATCATTTGATTTTCATTTTATTAGAGTCATCTTTCGTGAAGCGAGGAATGAAATCAGTGGAATTGAGAGAAAGAGATGTTGTTGATGTGGACGTTGCCTTCGAGAGAGATGGCCTGAATGGCCTCGAATGGAAGACGGTGTGGGAAGTCGCCGAGAAGCACTCCGTTGGTGGTGACGTGGAAGTATCCCGGGTAGACACGGACTTGGAGATCGAACGCTTGGTCGTGATGGAGCGGGTTCGCGTGGCGGATCTGGAATGTGTTGGGTTAGTGGTCCGTTGCACACGACTAGTTTTCAATACCTCGCTTCCCCAGGCGTTATCGATCTTAGCGTTGAGGACCACATTCTTGTCCTTCTCCCATCGGAAGTTGATGTGCAGAGCGATGTTGGCACCGGACAAAAGGTTCACGGAAAAATCCCTGAATAATTGCGACTAAATTTATGTTTTAGGCCACACAGCTACTGCTCACTTGTTCTTGTGCTTGATAAGTCCGTTAATAGCGATTTGGAGTCCGGAACGAACGCCGTACGGAAGAGCAAAGGATCCTGGAACCGACTGAAACAGAGACAATTCGTGTTTGACTAGAATTGAGGAAACTTACCGGGTTAAGAATCGGGGCAGCCATTTTTCAGCTTGAAAAGTGGAACAACTCAAATTCCTTGTCACGCTAGCCTTTTATTTGACGTTTCCTGCCTTATCGGTTGAGTTTCCTCGCCATCTACCCGAAGTTTGGCCGAGTAAACTTTTAGTATCATTGCAAATCGAATGACGTGTCCTTTTCCTTCTCCTCATCACCATCGCCAAGTACAACGATCTTTTTTCGATATGATGATGTTATTTACGCAACGGCTTGGAAACGAAACTCTTTTTTACGGCTTTCCACTACGTTTACACCACTATCAGTGATCGTTACAATTTGGGGTACTTGGAAGTGTGTCGTAGTTGATACGAGTGATGTAATCGACAGGCGCGTCCAACTTGATCGGCAGCCACACTTTAAGTAATTACACTAAGACCTCTCTCTCTCTCTCTCAAAAACACTTTGTGATGTAAACTTTTTCGTCCGTGGGTGGATTGGAGAGATGAGAGACTCGTTTGCAGAGCTGGTGCTTCAAACAAGAATAGATGAATACCCGGAACTAGGAAGACATTGTTCGGAACTCGGCGATTATCTTTCGGAATTCCAGAAGAAAACATGTTATTGGGAAAAAGAGGTGAAATATGAACGTGTCACTATTTCAGAGAGTACGAATCGATTGTTTTTGGAAGGACGAGAAAGTTTGCAGAACTTTGCATTTCCCGAGAATTTAAGGAGTGAATTTCCTCCTAGTTACAGTAGTTTTCAAATTTCAGTACTAAAACCCGGGCCGAGGAAAGTCTGCATAAAACGTTCTAATTCACTAGTGAAATCCTTTTAGAAAACTTTTTCACTATACTGTAGGATGTGACTTTTAAAGTTCGCATAAAAAGACCATTGAACCACTCTGATCTTTCTCAGAATTCTCCTAAGTACTACCTGGAAGCACTTTCACACTTCCTTATCTTTCGTGCATATTCCGGAAATCTCATGTGTTTCTCCAACCCGCAAATGTATGCGTGACTTTTGAAAACCAAACATCTAAGAAAGTTATTTACTTATAGGTTTCATAGATACCAAAAATCAAGCCTTTCTTCTCGTGTTCTCTGTTTTATTTCAATTTCTTCAAATCCCCTCCGATTTTTAAGCTTCTGTCGGTGAACATGTTTTCCCGACCTACCTGTAAAGGTCTTTTCCGCCAAATATAAGATTCGTACACATGTTGACACACATTCCAAAGGTCCGTGGACCCGCTGTGACATTACGTGTCTTGACGTCAGTTGACGGCGATTGTTGGGGCGTGTCCACTTTACACTTTTCGATAAGACGGCACCCTTTATCAAGCCCGCGAGACGCTTCACTTCGCCACTAACTTCCCGACCAGCATCCCAACCTACTATTCTTCTGGCTTCAAACCACCGTCTCCGATTCTTTGGTCGTCATCGTTCGAAATACGCGTACTATGACACTGAAGCGAGTTGGAAATGGTGTTCGAGTCCCAGTTTCTTCGGTTCCTTAACATTTGTCATCCATGGGGAAAAGTGAGGGAGGAAGCAGATTGTGACGATGAAGAACAGACAGCAGACACATCCCAAACACATATGAATGTCGGGTTTTCGAATATCAACAAGGAAATAATCTCATGGGAGTTAGGTGACAAACGTTGTTTTTGTTTCAGTCTTGACTCTTGGGGGACCGGTCGTGGGGTGCCACATAAAATTGCAATTTGTGGGATTGAAAATATGCGCAACACACACTTGTTTAGGAAAAGATCCGAGACACTGAAAGTCACCAAACTGAGCCCTTTCATTTTTCTCTCTCTCTTTCTCTCATAACTTTTCGGGGGGCAAACAACTCAACAAAAAAGTGTAATTATGTGGCAACGCGGGCCCGTGATAACTTTGTGTTTTTTTTTCTATTATTCAAGGTCCCTATAGACACAAACAAAGGCGGTCGTGGTGGTGGTTCACCACACAAAACCATTTTGAGAAAAGCGATTATCTCAAATCCTTTTCATCTCGCGAGCGGAGGGCGCACCGCCCGAGTACTTTGTCTCCACTTCACTCATCTTCTAAATAGCTCCGGCCAAGTTTTTGTCTATTTTTGAGATGGTTCAAATGTTCATCGAGGCGGGCACAAAAATGAAAAAGACGAGACCAATAAACTTTGCTCTAAAATGTATGCTCTTTTCAACGTTCAATTCAGTTTGCAAACCGAATGATAAAGGTGTTTTGTCGTACTCCCTTGCGTTCCTTTCGCACTTTTTCTTCTTTTCGATTCCCGGTTTACTTGAAAAATGACGTGGGGCAGGGGCTGGCTCAAAAAGGGCCGGACTACCTTAATTCCTCGCTCATTTTTCACTTCTCCTCCACTCTAAATACTGGTTCTTTTTTCGTTCCACAGAAAGCTGGTCTTCTAATCAATCAAAGAGGTGCCTAAATCAATCACTTTTCAAGAAGAGAAGAAGAAGAAGGAGAAAGAGGAAAATATAGGCCCCACTCTTCATTCAGCACTCTTCTCTCCGTTTTTGGAGCGGTAATTGAAGACGTGGCTCTTTTCAGGCTCTTTTCATGGCCCCATTTCTTGTTTTCAAGGTTTGGCAAAGAAACGACTGAAACTCGGTGAGTAGAACTCAAAACACGTTTTGACAAGGAAGTTCGAATGTTCTATGATTTGTACCAAGGAGATTCGCACATGTTGATTTGGTTAAACTTACAGTATTAGGGCTCGATTCGATTTATTTGTTTGTTCATTTCTCTCATCTCATTTCCTTTTCTCTAAACTCTTCCAGATGGTAATCCGAAAAACTCCACATCGTTGATCAGCTGAGACGTTTGTTTCCAAGTAACATTGCCCACTTCTCGGTAGACATCACAAATCAGCCTAATCCATAATCTACATACTTTTTAACAAAAGTGCTCAAAAAAGGTAGTTGATAACATGTTTGCATGTAGTGGCTTCTTTGCTGACGTTCAGTTCTCTGTCTGGCTGATATTATTTCAAAAATCGGATATTCCGGAAGAGAAGCGACTCAAACTCAGATGTTGTAGTTTGTGATCCCCCGGGGAACCACAATTTTGTACTCCGAATGTTCAATATCACCATTTCCATGGCGGAACTCATAATTTATTAGTTCTCGAGCTGATGATCTTTAGCGTTGCTCCTTTTTGTGGTCCCTCAATTTGAATTTTTAAACATGTAAAAGTGAAAGTGAAAGTGAAACTATAGATGAAACCGAATAAGTTTGATCCATCATCTTCCATCATTGAACATTGACAGTGGCGGAAAAACAGAAAATGTCCTTATCAAAAGAAGCCATTCTATTTCTGCAGTCTCTAGGTTGGTTGGCTAAAAATCGGAGCAGTAAGCCTTCTGGAAGAGTCCCCTTTTCTTTTTCTCTCACTTATTTTTTTTTATTTCTACGTTTTCCTTTGAGAGATGTTTGACCAATAGGATCTGTCTATTTGCTCTGAATTCATAAAAAGGTGTTGTCCAACCAAAAATGCATTCTTCGATATGAGCTTTCACCCAATTTCTCAACTCATCGGATCTTCGTTCCTCTCATGGATAATGATGTGAGTTAGTTGTCGGAGGATGGTGTCAGTTTTCACACTCCCTCCCTCTCATTTCCAGGCAATTATTCGCCATGCTGTGTCGTGCCTCAACCTTTTTCCTAACCCTTATTCTCGATTGACTTCTGACCTATTACTCACATGACGATGAGTTGATACGTCTTTGTCTGGTCGAGAGATGGACTGGGTGCCCGGGGTTGGGGGGTGCCCGACAAGCAATACCCGAACATTGACATTTTTGATTGAAGCCACCAGGCAACTGCTTCTCCTTTTCCTTTTCCTTTTCCTTTTCCCCTTCCTCTGTCTGTCTCGAAGGATCTAAAGATATCAACCAGTTCGCTGCCGTGTGTATTGCTCGTGCCGCGTCAGCAATCTTGGACAGAAAGTTTGATTTGACTACTGACTGACAGACGCCATCCATAACTTGAGGGACCCCCCCCCCCCTCCTCCTCAATTTCACCTGAGCGATGTCATCGGAAGCAAAGAATAACATGATGTTGAAAAACGGCTGATGCGATGCGATGCAGCAAAAAAAAAAGAGAATGTGAAAGCATTTGGTCTTGACTTTTGCGCTCGGCGAACTCTCTATTCTTCTTCTGGCTCAGAACTGAATAAATGAGGGGTATAACCTTTGTGATGTGCTGTCTAGGGTTCTCCTAAGCTTGTTTTCTTTCTCCCTTATGAATCACAGAAAACTGATAAATCATTTACACGTTTTGCCAAGTTTTGACGTCTTTAATTTTGAAAGTTCTTTAATTTTTATTTTTACTCACAATCAAATCCATGTTTTGAGCATTTTCGCTTCCGAACATGAATATTTCAGTTTTAATTTCTCTCTCCCTTTAATTATGTAATAATTTCCTATTCTTGTCTTGTCTTCTGTTCTAAATTCATTCTCACACTCACCCAACTCAAGAAGAAGAAGAAGAAGAAAAAGTTGGCGGAAGAAGTGTGGGCGATCATGTACGGAAATTGAGTCTAGTCATATTTGAGCTCAACGGAGCAAAAAGTGACTTCCAAATATAAATGTGTTTCTAAAACGAGGTCGCCGGCGGCCGAGTAAGCGCGTCTCTCCATCTAAATCACTTTTGCTTGCTCAACTTCCGCTTCTCTCCGGATTCCTAGTGTTTTTTTTCCGAGAAATGTCACATATGAAGTTTCCTTCCTAGACCAAGTCCATGTTTTCTTTTTTCAGTTGGCCCTTGCGTTTTCTATGAGCGTTCAAGAATTTCCATTCCCTCCCGGTCCCGCTCCCAGACAGACAAAACGTTGTGACTTTTCTGACTTCATAGTTCTTCCCCCCACCCAACCAACCTTTTCTATTCAGTTCGCGCGCCGTGACATATTTTGTTCTCTGACAACGCGTTTCACAATGCAAATTCTCTTTCCTCATTTCTTCACCCCCTGTCTGACGTTAGCGCATCCTTTTTTTGGATGAGAAAACATGTTTCATCACGGAGCAACGGATAGGTTTATTTATTTATCAAAAATAACATGAAAACGTGAGGACCCTTTCATCTAATTCTTCAACCGTGAGATGAAAGTTCCAAGAAAAGTTGAAAGATGACACTTGAGGTTCCTCATCACTTCTCCTCTGAAACGGAAAAACGAAGCGAGAAGAAGAAGAAGAAGAAGAAGAAGAAGAAGAAGAAGAAGGGTGTGGCTTCAGAAGTCCCCAAGGCTCTATCTGATTCATTTCTTGCCGTGCTCATCTTTCACAACGTTCTCCTTCCTTTCTCTAATTCGGTCTTGTCATCTTGATTACAAATTCCTCCCTCACAATTATATTATCCTCGGCTTGCTAAGAATAATGCAATAATGAACAAAATCAGGTCTCCTGACCGCTGTGACCAGTTTGCGAGCACAAAAACAATCCATATTTGTTATTGCTTTTCCGACTACAGTTCATACAGTTTGGAACCGAAAATATGAGCCAATTTGAAGGGAGTGTGTGTGAATTTTTAGAAAAAAAAGAGCGAGAGTGCACGTTTCACGTTCTAAGACGTCTTTTTACTACTATGCATTTATCAAAATTCATCTTAATCTCAATCCCACTAATACGTTCTTTTTTCTAAACCTGTCGTCACAAGCAGCTCCGAGCACTTGATGTTTTTCATGCTTCTACCTGTTTTTCCCTCTTAACTCGATACAATGACAGGACAGCACACTCATAGGGGACCAATGGAACAAGAAGTAGAAGAAGAAGAAGTGACGGAATGTCTGTTGTAGGGCTTACCTCCTCCATCGCCATCAATTCGTTCAAATATAGCGGCAGATCCCGTAAAAAACAAATTCATCATTTCTCATTCTATATCCGCTTTGTTTTCCATTTCGTGAATGAATGAGACGTTGCAATCTCTCATTTTTCTTTTTATTTCGCCAGACATCATGGTCTGACTGATCTGATCTGCAGTCTGGACCTTTTCGCTCAATTCTCAAGTTCGTCTGTCGCTTGACACAATGTTATTTTCTCTGTTACTTCCCTCATAAAATTGGATAGTTACACTCGCACGTTCTTTACGAGAGCCAAAGTTCAAAGAAAAGTGGGCAACAACAACACAACTTTCTCAACTTTTATCAAACAAGATCGAAGAATGAGATATCTAAATTGAAATCAAATAGTTACTCCCTCACTTCGTTTCCATCCCTTCCCTCTCTTCCTTGATGGTTTTTGAGGGACACAACGCTTTGCTTTTTCTCACATTTATTTTTTTCAGTGATGAACGTTATCCAAACAAGTGCAGGCTCATAAAGTGAATCTGAATATGCTTGAGGGATTTCTCTTCTTCCATTTTGAAAATTTCAATGATTGCACGTTTTCTGCAATGAGAACTGAAAAATAAGATATAATAAGCAGTTCGGTTTTCTCACGATAATCTTTCGTCGAGTCCAAATACTATAACATCACACTCCCCACTTCTTGTTTCCTTCCGTCCTCATTAATAACGCACTTCCGTTCATCCAAAAGAACCCGGATAAACATTAAGAGCACAAGACACACAGATCTCCGGGTTCAGCCTTTCCCTAATTCGAAAATGAAAATTAAAATTGTCGAGGGCGTCGTCGTCAGTTGTTTCCCTTCCTGTCATCCGAGTACGTGCCCCCGCGTCCGCATTTGTTCCAGCAAATATAATGAAGTTATGTCACGTAGAGGGTGTTTGCGAATCTCGCTATTATCTCCTTTTACCTTTTTCTTTTCCGGGTCTTGCCTATTTTTGCTAAAAGATTCGAAAGTTGACCGGAATAAAAGAATTGTTAGGTGTTCCATGCAGTGCAAGAGAAAATTAAATCAAGAAGCCTTCTGCACGGACTCTCACAAAAACATTCCTTGTTGAAATCCTCTGAAAAGAATGGGAAAGTGGGAGTAGGGTGTCAAAACAAACAAAGTACACTGAAAAAAACTGAAAATGCCTTCTTTGGATCCTTGAAAAGGATTTGTTCTAAATTAGGTAAAAGTACATTTACATTTTATTTCTGAAAGCGTCTATCCGTTTATTTCCGTTGTATCTCTTCCTTCCGCTATAAAACTTTAATTTCAGGTCCACCTCCTCCTAAACATCCGGCTACAGTAATCCTTATCATTTGTTTCTGCGCCTTCTGCGGCGTCTTCTCACACGTGCCAAAAATGGAGGTAAGGAGACAAATCTTACTAGTACATCCGAAATAATGAAGTCACTTGGTACCCCAAGTAAACAAAACTGAATACCCCCAAAATATGTACGTTGGGCCGGAAAAAGACAAACCGCGGTTGCTTTCTTTACGTGTGTGAAAGTCAGAAATTAAAGATGACTGGTTCACGAACGTGGTACTAAGCTGAAAGTGCAAAAAAAGAAGTAGCGACGTCAACACGGAGATGGGGCGAGCGGGCGGGAGACATGTATTTTCCACAATTTTATTCCTCCCGTGTTTTCCATAAATTTCGGTGGCGTCCGGAAATAGTAGTTCGTTGACTAGATGAAATATTGTCATGATTCGAAGATCATCGACCTAGGACCTAGGTTCTTGATCAGCTTGATCGGATCACAAAAAGAAGTTTGGTATGAAGTCGAGGTGTCGGAGAAAACGCTTCCGCTCTTTTCCGTCATTTTATTTTGATCTCTAGCACTGGAAGGAAACTAGTTTTAGCTCACAGACGTTTCACTCTTCCTCCCGGCTCAAAATTTAGTTTTAATGACACGCTGGACTTCACGGAAGTCGTCGTCGTCGTCGTCGTCGTCGTCGCTCTCTATATGTCATTAGACCTTTCCTTCCTTCTCACTTATTCAATTTTTTCACGCGTCTCCCGCCTATTCTTCCTTTGTTATTGATAGAATTTTAGTGCAATGTTCACAGAAATTCGAATAATTGTGTTCCGCTCGCTGACTTTTGCTGGAATCTGGTTCGCGCAAGAACACTAACAACTAATACTCACGGGTGTCACGAACCTCTCATAAATCATCCTGGTCTCAAAACGAAAATTATGTAACATACACGTTCGTGCTATTTCCCGATCCTAATAAACAAGAAAAATTCAGGATGAATCATTTTGTACAAGTCTCTGATTGGCTTAGTTGGTTTAGGTAACTAACTAATGCTCAAACTTCAGTGACGAAGTGTGACTATCATTTCTATTATTATTTTCGCCTTCTACCTCTTTTTCCGGTCGTTCAGACAGATTGCCGGCATGCTTTAATTGGCCTCGATTCCACAGGCATTCAGTTCAAACACTCTCTTTGTTATGTGTGACGGAGAAATAATCGCTATATTAACAATATACTTAATGATACCAAAAACTTCATAATTTGCATAGCCTGGTATCTTCACGAAAATCTTAACTAGAAACTGATTATATACGTCGTAATAAAATTCGAACTCTCAACTTGAAAGACAATTTTTTTTTCCGAGAAACGCTGTCCAAACGCCCGTGGTACGGCCCGGTACCAAACTTGGGTTTTTTGCTCTTTGGTCTTTTCATTTTCACACTTTAAAACGGAAACGAGTCCCTGAAAATGAAAGTGAGCACACACGCACGAATTTGAGATTTCTTTTTGCAAGAATCCTACGCAATCCAATCCGTTTCGTTTGGTCAATTAGTGATCCAATGAACGAAGTATGTCTCACTTTTTCTGAGCAATCATTCTCGACTCACACTGAGTGAGGTGCAACCTTTCCTGCTGTAAATGTATATCGCCCATTCATATTCCATTAATATTTCACAGTAATGCATTGACACAAATCCTACCCCCTCTCCTATCCTTCTCCGCCTTCGCATTCGGTTCAAGCCAGACAATTTGTGATCTCTGCTCTTGTCTTTTGTCAGCTTTTTAAAGATTAGCAACCTTGCTTCCGGATATGGTTAGAAATAGATGTCTGCTAACTTCCGGAAGCACCTGTTTCAGCTTTGAAACTTAGTTTAAAGGTGTTTGAACCCTTACCTTAAATTTTTCTTATTTAGGTGTCTGGTGCCAGTTTTTTTGGGTGGAATCCGCTGTTTCCGCCTACGTACTGGGTAATTTCCACCCACCCACTAATTTTCTCGTAACTAGACGCGCTCAGAAGCACAAAAATCATGATCCTCAGTTCGTCAAGCCCAGAAGTAGTAATAGAGCTCTTGGCTCGAACATCAGAAATCGTTTTGTTTTTTGAAAATAGGTGTCTCTCCGTCTCACTAGTCAAGCATCCCATTTAGCTGAGCTCCAAGGATAGGATGATGGAGAAAAGAACTCAGTGCTCCTGAAAAAAAAACTGCAAAACAACAATTCCTTTGCCGCCGTCGGTTAGTCGAGACGACAAAGTGTGTTCTTGACAGGTTTCTGTGCTCCTGCTCCTTACTTTGCCTTCAAACTCCACTGGTTACACTTTTCCTCATCACACCCACTATTCTTAGCATTTGTGGGGTTTCCGTGCGTTCGTTCTTCCCGGAAATTAATAAGCGCAAGATGAAGAAGATAAACAACGGGGGAGGGAAACTCCCTTCCCTTTTTTGCATCACATCCGGTCACATTCTTCTCTCCCTGTTTCCTTATGCACTCATCAAATAGAAGAGTCCAAAACGTAGGACCCCCTTAAACTACAACTGTTCTCGTTGCTCCTAAAAAGAAATTTGATACTTTTTCTGGATACATACACTCACACACACACACACACACTACAGAGAATGTTTCAGCTCTTTGTCGCCGCGTCTTCTCATGCCTCCAGTGATGGTGCCATCAGATGCCGCCTCCTCGCCGACCACCTTCATTGACGTCCTCTTCGACTGGGCCTTCTCCTTCATACAAATGTTGTCGCATTTGCTGAACGGATACTTCACTGCGTTCTTCGTATTCACTGGTTCGTTTTCTTTAGTATTCTGGAAAAGATCTTTGTCTCTTACTAGGCTCTCTTTTCTATTTCTTTGATTGACAAGTTCACTAATTTTCCAGGAATTGCTCTCAATCTCCTTTCGGTCTCTATATTCTTGCGAAAGGAGCGAGCAGGGACGCCGGCAATTCAGTATTATTTGGTATGCCAAAACAAGAACTCATAATCTTTTAAGGAGTGTGTCCTTTGAATCATGCCAACTCTGTCAATAGAGTTTGACACGTAACTTGTAGTATGTCATTGCTCAAATTGCTTTCTTGTTCTTCATTAGCAATTTGAGTGAATGTGTTAATTGGATGAGCTTTCGGATGTAACTCGACACTTATATTTGTGGACAGTCATCTGATAAATTTCCTGAACTTGAAACGAAATGGATTCAACTCTGGGACCAACCATTTTTTTTCAGGTAACTCTAACCCTCTGGCAAACGGCACTTCTGGCCAACGCCTTCCTGCTCTACTCGTTCCCCAATCTTTGGTGGGGTCATTTGGTCTCGCAGGGAACGTACGTGTACCTTTACCCGTATGTGTACACGTTCGCAAACACCACTCACACCGGATCCGTATGGATTGTTTTGACACTGACTATAGACCGCTATTTGGCTCTGTGCCAGCCACTCAAACATCGTGCAATCGGAAAGAAACGGTGCGTGAAACAAAATCAAGTGGGGGCCACCAGAGCGAGTCGAAACTAAATTCCATTTCAGAAGAGTCCGACGCCTCATGATTGCCGTCTCAATTATGGCCGTGTGCTTCTCGGTTCCGAGGTTTTTCGAAGTTCACGTCGTTTTCATTTGTGAACATCCGATCTACTGCGTGGCCACTATTGACCGCACGGAACTTTTTGATGTATGTCCGACATGGAAAGAAATTGAGCATTAAAAGAATAAAACATTTTCAGAACCGTTTATACTGGACAATCTACCACGTCATCCTAGCAATGATGTTCGTTACTCTACTTCCCTGTCTAATATTATTTGCTCTAACATTGCGAATCTCAATAGGTACCTACCTCCCTTATCACCAGTGTAACATTGCGCAACTCGTTCTCTTTTAGCGCTCCGATCCGCTATCGCAAAACGCAAATCTTTATGTGCACCCAATTCGGACATTGAAAGTCGATGTAAATCGATAAAATCATCACGATACAATTCGTCAAGGTGAGTGGTGACGTCACAACACTTTATCATTTTGATGTTCCAGAAAAGACCACAAATCAAACATAATGTTAGTGTTGGTAATTGCTAAATTTTTGATCTCCGACATCTTGCCGACGGTCATTGATGTCCTAGAGCACGTAAGAGACCGTAGTACGTTTCGACAAATCATCAGGTTCACTTAATTACAGGTTGTCGGCCAGTCAGCGTTCATGAGATCACCGCTGGCTTCCCTGTTCGTCGACATTTCCAACTTCCTCATCGTCCTGAATTGCTCTTCAAACTTTTGGGTCTTCTTTGTCTGGGGAAAACGATTCCGACGGTCTTGCCGGAAGTGTATCAAGTCCACTCAGATCGGAGCATGCATTTATGATATGGCGCAGTGGAATAATGATTCGGTAAGTCTACAGTATCCTGGAATGTGACTATCATTCGAATATTTTCAGGAAGTTTCTCTGTGCGGCGCACCAACTTCCTTTACAACTGTAAACGTCACGAAAGCCTATGGTAGCACGGCGGAAAGGTCGTTTCGTTATAAAAGAGGAATGGAATTAGTTGTATCCAGGTAAGGCACCCCCTTCAAGAGAATTTCGGAAAGCGGAAACGTTTTCCGCACACTCATGCATCCTATGAATATACGTTTTAATATTTACATGTTTCAGAACCGACGAGCTGTCTTCAAATCCCAGTAGAACGTGAACCTGAACCATAAACAAAAATTGCTTATAGAAAATGAATGATCTCATTTTTTCCCCTTCCCTGTGCTTTTCTTTCCTACCTACCGCTTTCTAGTTCTCATTCACCGCATTCAAAATGAAATCACGTGTTCTGTTCTCCCTGTCCAAACTTTTTTCTCTTCCCGTACTAACACTACATATTGTCCTTTTCTTATGAACCCGAATTTCCGAAATTGCCAACTCATTTGCATACATGTTGCTTTCACGTACCTTTCTCGATATTAGTTTTTGTTTTTTTTTTTTGAAAAAAAGAAGAGAAATTGAAAATCGTCGTGGATTTCACTATGGAAATGTCGTGTGTGTGTGTGTACGTCCTGTGAATCGAGGAAATAAAATATATAACATGAAAACGTTTCGAATAGCAACGGTGAGCTCGGAGAAGCCCTCGCAAACCACACTTTTTCACTTCCATCGGAAGGAATTATTTCTTTCTTCCAATCAGAATGCTCCCAACATTCAGTCAGCTCATAGTGCTATCTGTTCTCATTCTGGGTAAGTTCTAAGAGCTGATATAAAACTTTTCATGTCCCAGAAACCCGGAAAAATAAAGAAATTCGAACTGAAACTTTATTTTTCTGATTCCAACTATCTCAAACTCACGTTTTGAGGGGTTTTGCTGAGATTTTTCAAGTACAAGTTCTGTAAGTTCTGAACTCTTCAGTCACCTACCAACAAGTACAAATCAAGTGCTACGATTGTTTGACTCCGTTGGGAGTGGAGGATGCCGTGGATTACTGTAACTCAAGCGTTTATTGCAAGGGTGTCTACTGTACCAAGGGTCCGGACGCGCTTTCGAACGGAATCTATCACGGATGCGTTGATAATCCACCTATTGACACTTCGGGAGCAAGTAAGGCTATTTTCAGCGGTCCCCGTTCCCATACGGTCTATACTTGCAGCCTGCAAAACAGTCACCAACACATTAGGCACACACGAGAACTGCTACTGCAAAAACATCGACTACTGTAACGACGGCCGCGAGAGCAACATCGTAATGCCATTCCTACTCATCGTCCCGACCTTTTTCTACGTTTTCTCACAATAAAATGTGTTTGCCTGTTAGTTATTGATTGAACCGAACCGAGCCGATGATAGTGGCGGGGGGGGGTGCTTTCCGTTGTGAGCTGAGCGAGAGCCGAGAGCAAGAAATGAAGAAATGAAATGACAGTTCGAGGAGGAGGAGGGGGGTCTGCGTTTTTGGTTCGTTCGCGGTTTGTGTGTGTTTGCACCGGCTCCTTTGGTGTTTGAGAGAAATAACCCTTTCTCGCTACGATACTGCTCGGATCAAAAGAGGGCGCAGGGCCCCAGTGAGCAAAATCTCTTATTAAGAGGAGATGTTTACACGTCACTCGAACTGTCAACCAACTCTCTCTCTCCGTTTTTCCTTCCTTCGTTTCGCCGCGTTCCACTTCCGTTACCAGCCGCTTCGCTTCCTATGTCCCCCCCGTTATCGCGGAAAAAAAGGAGTCATTCGTCTTCATCCACGTTTTCAAAGAGAATAAATGTGTTTCACAAGTGGGCGGACAGAGAAAAAGAAATTGTTCACTTCTTTTGAATGGTCACCGACAATTGTGTCGGGTTGTACGTCTTTTGAATAGGCAAGTTGGAGCACTCATTACATGATAATTATAGGTCCTTTCCCTTTTCGCTGTGACCAACATGTTTCTGACTTTTCTAACTCAATGCCGTCCGTCTATATGTACCTTAACTTTGTAAAACTCTAACTAAGTAAGTGTTCTACTAAACCGCAAATGTTTGCGAGTTCACAGTATGTCTCAAACAAATTATAAGTCGGAACACCAGTCTTTACCTATTTGCCAACCGATTATCCGTCCATTTTCACTGCAAAACTAGTCGTCGGAGCACAAGTTCCTTTTTCCGCCACAAAATGTGCAAATTCTACATGCAAAGAACGGTAAATATGACTGTTGACGTGTCTTGTCGGTTCCCAGTAAGGACGTTATAAAACTTGTGATGTTTTTCGAGGTTCGCTTTTTCTCGATGATCACAGTGTTGATTCTTAAACTCGTGAGGTTGTTTTCCAAAACAATTCAAGTTTCTCAATCGTTCTTCAGACGTATTTTGTCACATTTCTCCGACGTATCGTTCCCGTCTCAAATTTTGTCTGATCCCAATCAATCTGAAAACTTTCGCATGAGCAAGACGTCCATAGTTTTTCATTGAAGATAGAACGATTTCGCAAGGTTTTTGTTGCAAACTAACGTCATTGATATCAGTGGCTTCTCGTCTGGAATTCCTTCGAAATTTCTTCTTTTCTAACTATTGTTGAGTCATTCTTTACAGGCAGCTGCGCCACTTTTGTAATCAGAACATTTTGGTGCTTGACGGGCTGCCTGGCCCGACCCGTTGCAAGTCTACTTTCAAGTAGCTGCCCCAAAAAATGAAATGCACATTCATTTCCTCTCGAATACTACATAAAGTCGTTCTCCATCATTTTGTCGTCTAATTGGCCCATTCCGACTAACATCTATCAACTACGACGACAGCCGGACGGGCCAAGACATATGGGCCCGCCGAAGTGCTCGCGCTGTCTTCCGAAGGACGTCTCGGACAGTCTTCGGGTGGGCAGGAACTGGAGAGGAAGAGAGGGGAGAAAGGTCAATCCGAACCGTCACATTATGCTGCAGTGGGAGGTGGTCATCCACTTGGCAAACAGCCAACCGGCCCCCTTCCTTCCTTCCCCTCTTGTGTTGGCTGGGTGAGGGGCTGACGCGCGTATAGCCCCGCTCTCCGCCGCCTGCCGCACTCTTTTCCCCCACTTTTTCTCTGCGCTCTCTTGCTCTCTCGCCGTTTTCCTCCCGTTCACACCCATTATAGTTCGTTTCCCACTGTTCTTAATGATTCACACGACTTTTTTTCATTTTAGACTTTTTTGTTTTTATAATATCATCTGTCAAGCCAGAAGTTTTTTCTCCTGACGCCCGATCATTTTATCGCTTTACACTCTACCACCTCATCAACATGTTTACTTTCTTTCTCCTAATGTGCATCTTCTTTTTTTCAGAAAAAATTCTGGGGTCTAGCAGGCAAGAAAGTAGGAGATTGGGCAGAAATGCCTCTGGCTGACATAAACTCGTCCCTGTCCGCAATCTCGGCCATCGACCCGGCCGAGTTTCTGCTCACAATTGCCGTTTTTGTCGTCATGATTTCAGTGTTCACGCTGTGCACGTGTTGCGGAAACGACAAGAACAACAGGTGAGAATGAGTCTGCTTTGCGGGATTGTTGAAAAAAATTGGATATTTTCAGAGACAAGCAAGATGAAGCGGACTACGGCGTGGTGACGGTCAGCGGAAACCCTCAGAACCCAGCAGCCAAGCCAGCAGCCCTTCACGGCATCAACTTCCGCACAAATCCTGTCAAAGGACATCATGAACGACATTCTCAGCCCGCCACTGGCATGGTGAGTTTTTCATTTAATTCGATTCAAACTGATCGTAATTTGATGTTCAGTTACAGAGTATGCTGACCTCGAATCGTCAATCGGCGCCAGGAAGAGCGCTGCCGAAATTGCCGGCCGATTTATACACGGCGATCGACAAAAAAGCCAAGCGATGCGGCGGCGTCAACCCAACCGATGACATCCGATTCGCTGATGAAACCGTCAATCCGATGTATGAGTGCATCGACGCGGAAACCGACTCGTTTGTCGATCCGCTTTATTCAAAGGTGACTCCCGACTCCTATCAGAATGGCTGGAAAGTTGAATTGTTCAGGTTGGAGACGTGACTGGAACATCTGCGAATCGGGATCGCAAGTACGATTATCCAATCTTCTCTGGTCGTCAAAACAGGAGAGAGGAGACCGTCTATCAGAGTGCTTCGCAGATCTACGCGCCAAACTCTGAAGATCCATACAGGTAAGATCACAGTAAACATGCAAGATTCCGGGCCCGCCCGGCATTTTTTCACGAAAAAATTAAGACACGTGCGGAAAAGTTGCGAAAAGTGGAACGTTACAACTATTGAACAAATCTACATTTTCAGCTCCATCACATCCGGCCGAAACGTGAACGGCGACAATGATGGCGATAACAGCAGTGCCTATGATCCAGGATACGCAAAAGTGAATTTGAACGTCCAAACGAGCAATACATTGGATAAGAAAAAGGAAAAGATTGAGAAGACCGAGCGAGAGCTCGATTTGCTCTATTCCAAAATCCGGAGGAATGTGGCCAACTATGGGGACGACTTGCAGCCTGGTCCGTCGGCTAGGCCTGAGCCCATCCTTCCGACCTATCCAATGGTGGATCCTCTTCCTCCGGCAGCTTTGTTTGATGAGCAGTCTGCTGTGTCGAGTAGAGAACCGTCCTATCGTTATATCACTATGCGGTGAGTATTTGGAAATCAGGATACAGGAAAATGAAGGGAGTGCTTTCAGTGAAAATGCGGATGTGGTTCGCGAGCGATTACGGCAGCAAGGGCAATTGGATCAGCCGAGAAGAGAGCATTATTACTCGACAATCGGAAATGAGTATGAAACGGTAAGTAAGGTACCCAAACCAACCGGGCTTGGGAATATGTCCCCACCGGCCCAATCCATAATAAGTCTGCCGAGATTTTGTCAAACGTGTTCTAATGATGATTTCACAGATTGCCAACGGGAGCATATCCAACAACGCCCACACTTCCATCACTATCGACACTCAGCCACGAGCTCCACTGGCCAATATCTCAACCAGTTCGATTCTGGACGCTCCACCACCACCAACCTCTCCGATCCCGGAAAGAAGTCGTCCTGTCTCGTACATAGACACGTATGGAAGTGTCCTGAGCGGCTCGGCCATCCCTCCGCCACCCGATCTCCGATGCTCACCAGTTCCACCGCGGCCTCCCGGCGATGACATCCAACCGCACGTATTTTCAATCTCGCATGCCTCTTCCTCATCGACCGCCGCCCCACTTCCTCCTCCGCAACGAGTATCCTATTCAATTGATTGTCAGTTTGAAATGGGGACAAGTGGAAACAAGAAAAAAAAACGTTTGCGCCAATTTCAGGCAATGATGCGTACACAATGCCAACGACCGCTCGACCCGCGTCCTCGTACAGAAGTCTTGAAACACTGCTGGGCAAGAGGACTGTTGAGGAGAAAGAGACGATTGTCGAACAAAGGTCGACATTTGCGTAAGTGTTTCGCTTCATGTTCAGGATGAAATTGTAACGGAGTCAGAGAGAAGGATGAAACTGCAAACCAGCCAGAGATTCACATGAGTATGGTCGTTCGACTTGAAATGAGGCGAGCCTGAACGCTAGCGTAGTTAGATCCGTCATTTGGATCATGTCAGGGCAGCAATTGGACGGTCCGGGCTCCAAAAAGCTCGGACTTTCCACTATATCTCGAGAGTGAATTATCCGATCGGTTTGAGACTTGAGAAGCGGTTCAAAAGTCCGCCCAGTTGCCCAGCCCTGGCTCATGCTTTAGATAAAAATCAAGTCAAAAAAGAGAAACACCTTTTTTTTTCAGCTCCGGAATCCCAGTGCCCGTGCCCACAACATCAAATGTCAATGACATAATGAGTCGGAGTATGGATTCTTGGGGTACGCCGGCGAGTCGGGCTGTCCATGAGGTGCCTATTCGTCGACTGGATCGTGGCTATGAGGCCACTGGACCCAGTGTCGACCGCATAATTTCCGGACGGCGATATCGGAACGGACAAGGAGTTCCAGAAGAATCAACTGCCGTCGCGCCAGAAGTCAGAGCGGACAGTGACAAAGATAAAGACGGACGGGGGAGTAGTACGGAGGTGAGATTTTGTCTTTAGGATTAGGACGGGCTCTCTGAAAAATTGTGTTCCAGAGACGACGAGAGCGTGCTCGCAGTTCGAGTGACCGTGAAGACGAGGGGGAGCCAGGGAGATCCAGCCGGTCCGCGAGAAACAAAAAGAACTGGAAGGATGAGTCCGAAGAGGAACGCATCCGACGTCTCGGGACCATCTACACTGCCAACGACTACGTGTGCCCGATAGACATGACGGATCAGAAGCCGTGGCCGATGAACGGCGCCAACAAAAAGAATTAATCAAAGAGAAAACGAGCAGATTTATTGTCAAATCGGGTAGCGCCACATGAGCTTTTTCACTTCATTTTCGACTTTAACTGTGTATAATTGTGTACCACCACCATCATCGCGACTAGTCATATTTCTGATTGTCTGGTTGTTATTTTCCCCATCCTAACATGCATAATCCCCTTTTATTTACCTAAAATTAGTGCAGAAGCACATGCCCATATGTTGACGGTGATCGCATTTCTCACTTTTTCCCTCACTAATTTGAAAGTGTATAATTTATTTATTTTATTAAATTTTCGGAACGGAATTTACCTTTGTTAAGATGTAACTCCTACAATTAGGAGAAGTGAAGTTTTCAGGGCAATTCGGGGAGCAGGTACCCCAACATTACACGACTTTTGTGCTGAATTTGGAAAAGGATGAGTTCGAACGATGTCGACGGGTTGAAGATAGAATTCCACCTAAAAGTGGTCTTCATTTTACAAGAATAAACTGTTCGTCAGTTTTCTGAGTGTTTTTATGACAAGAGTGCTTCAGAAGAGTAGGTTATTTCAAGATGCGACTTGGGAGTTTTAAGAGGAAATTTCTCGGAATACTATTATCTTCTGACGCTGTGCGTGGGAAGGGGAGTAATGCCTATAAGAGCTAATACTGTTCACAGTTGGTCTCACGCCCCCCAGTTCTACACTTTATTCTTCTGACGTTGACAACTTCTATTGTCTCTTTCAGGCGGGATCTTGAGCATTCATCGTCAAGCTGAAATTGTTCTTTCTTCTTTTCTCTTGATCATTAGATAATAATAATTGCTAGATCAATAAAAAATTCAAAAAGTGGACTGAAAGTTCTTTCCAATCCACCGAATGCGCAATTTCCTGCTCTCATCACATCAGGAAACTGTTGTTACAAAGCCGACGAGACCAATATCTATCTTGTAGCTCTAGATGGACGAAATCATCGAATACGGCTCCATCGAAGCGATTCCCAGGTACAACTGCAGGTATGTCACAGATTTGGAAATCACCAGTAACTGAATTTCCAGCGGTCACAGCTCTGAAATGTGGACCGAGTTTTTTGAGGTGCGACATCCCATTATTGGCACTTTTGATGTCTTGTTCGGATTTATCATCAACGTTTGTGTTTTTTTTCTTTTAGTCGACTGTACTCGATATTCAGATTCTCTATATTCCAATTCTAGCCGTAATGTACCAGCCGATGTACTTCAAAATGTCCTGCTTTAAAATCATGATCTTTCTCGGAGTCATCGACATGCTCGCACTTTATGTCAACTCTATCATAACTGGAGTACTAGCCATCCAGGGTACCGTCTGGTGCACTTTCCCCAATTTCAACTACATTGTCGGAATGATCATTTTGAGATTGTGGTGCTGTTCATGTTGTTCGGCTCTGATGCTCGTGGCGAACAGACTGATGGATCTGACCAAGCCTCAGTGGGCAATGATTTGGTTTGAAGGGTGAGTAACGTCGAAGCAGATGCTCAAGAAAATTTGGTTACGTCTGACGCGCTGAATCATGATGAATGATGGAATAATGCGCCCGTGTTAGAAAAAAACAGACTTTCAACAGTCCGGTCTGGGCCAACACTTAAAATTCTCCAGATGTTTTCAGAAACAGAACCTATATTGCTCTCGCTGTATCAGTTATGTACGGTCTGTACTTCACACTCTTCACAAATCCTGTCGGCTTCAACTCGAAATATTACACATGGCTATTCGATCCAATAATTGATAGAAACCCATCCGCCGATGTAGCTTACACAAATTTGAAAGGGATCATCTGAATGTTCGAAAATTTACAGTACCATAACATCGCGCACAGTATCAACAACTTGTTGGTGGTGGCCGTCACTTGTATCCTGTACACTTGGCTTTACGTGGTCATTGGCGAACAGATCAGAATGTCTACGCGGGCCACTCAGAGACAAAACTTGGTTTTCAGTCTGTCTACACTTTTAAGCCCAAACGGAAATTGCAGAGTCTCCAAATCCTGGTTCAATCTACGATGATCTGCTCGATCAACCTCGTCGCGTCTTGTGTGTTTGTACTCATGAACTTTGTCGAACTTCCAATATGGGTCATAATAGTGACACACAAAGCTTGGCAGTTCATCCACGGCGCTCCTGTCATCATCTACTTGACATTGAACAAAACGATCCGCAGCGGTGTACTCAAGAAGTTGCAGTCCGACATTAAGATCTATCGCTCCAGGTCCGTGGCTCCCCAATAAATCGAGTTAATCAAAAACGTGCAAAAATGGTGTTATCGGCCTGAGGTGAACAAACAACTTCAAAGAGTGTCCCCATGAGTTGTACTTTGACTGATTGTAAGAACTCAATGTATAGTCTAGCAAATTTGTGATGCAATTTCTGATGATAATAAACGTAACCAAGAAGGAAAGAGCACATGACATGACATGGAACCTTGTACATCACAGGCAAACATTCCGAACTTGCGTGCGCCCAAAATACCCAGACTTTACGTGTAGAATTCGATTTCCTTACGTTTCACTTTTTCTCTCTTTCCCTTCTTCTTTCTCTTCTGCTTTCCTCGTTTTCCAATTGCTCGTGGAGAATTTTCAATTTCGAAACCTCGCTTTTTGCAAACTCTCCGTCGTCTTCTTCTTCTTCTTCTTCTCCGTTTTCTTGTTATCGCACGGCAATTGCTGTGTGCGCCTCACGAGGAGTTTTTGTGACCTGCACACTTGCGAACGTCTCCCTCTCGCCTTCGTATCCTCTTTCATCGGGTGGACTCGGAGCAGTGGAGCAAGAAGAACAGGTGCTCGACGTGGCTCGGCTCATTGACCTTTCTCCCTTTCCTCCTGGCTCTCAGAAAATGAAAAAAACTTCCAGAGAACATAGAATAGAATGGAGAAAAGGGAGCAGAGATCAGTGGATTTTCAGAATTCTAGACGTTCTCACCCACAATTATCTATTATCTGAAAAACAGATTTCCGTCCAAACAACCAACGATTTCGGTCTACTCTCCGTATGCAAAAGTTTATTGACAACTCACAAAATCTTGCACGGGGATTTTAATATCGAACAGGTTTGCAGGAAAAATAAATCGGCGACAGAGGGGAGAGGGTCAAAGCTCGTAAAAGAAGGATGGAGAAAGCTAGAGACAGACAGAAGCTAGAGGGCGATGTGTTTCAGATGTTTGCAAGAAGAGCAAAACGGGGGGAATGTCATCGGGATACAGGAGGAAACGGGTAGAGAACAACCGAAAAATATTAGTATGTTGCGGGATATCAGTTTTGGACAGAAATTGACAGAATTTATACAGGAAAAGTGGGAGAGAGACAGAGGGGAAAAAGGAATTTAGCTGCGGCGAGCCTGTTGCCAAAGGATCTTCGGAGGAGTGCGGAAGCGGATGACCTCACGCACCGCGTGGTCATGAGCCGTCACCCACTCGTCCTTGTCGAATCTGTAGATCGGGTAGTAGGAGAAGTGCTCGAACAGACGGCAGTAGATCTGGATCTCGTAACGGTCGTGCAAGTCGGCCATGACGATTCCCTAAACGAAGGTGGTAATTGATGAGATCGTCTGTTATTATTGTCTGGCTTTGCTTACCGCATATTTTTCACGTGCCAGGTTGCCGAGCTTGAATCCTTTGGGAAGGCGGCTCATGTCTGGATCCATTCCTTCCTTGATTCCCTGCAAAATACGGAAGTAAAAGTATTGTGAAACCGTAAGATTCGGTTACCATAGTCTCCGGAGTCGGATGTGGTCGTGGTGCGTCTGGCTTTGGCGGCTCCGTGGATGGCGACGGTGTAGCCGTGTAGACCGGCGAAGGGTTCGGAATCTCTGGAACTGCCGCCGGCACCGACACCTCCACCTCCACCTCTACCTCCTTCGGCTTCTTAGCCGGAACCTCAGGGGCCGTAGCAGTCTTCCGCTTTAGACCAGTGTCTTGCGGAAGCTCCGGCACCACGAAGGGCTTAACTGGAGCAGCTGATGGAACAACCTCCATCTGGAAGATTTCTGTGTAGACATGAAAACTAGAATGATCTTTGGTTACCTGGTTCGGAACTTCGGCCGTGTTGTTGTTCATCGCTTTGGATGAGTGGATTTGAAGAGTGCCACTGAAAAATTTGTCGAATATAGTCGATCAGAGTGAAGCGGGAAAGAGACGGAGTTTAGAGTCGAGTCAATCTAGGGAGCTTGCATGGAATTGAATGGAGTCTAGACCCCCTGCCCCTCTTTTCATCTCCAAAAGTGAAAAGTTGAAAGGCACGCCTGTGGACTCTTGAACTGGAAGAGACTGAAAACTGAAGCGAGACTCAATGTTCCACTCTTTTTATCTCTGAATTGAAAGCGAGGAGAGGGGAGCGAGTAGGCGGGGCGGGTGGTCGCAGCAGCTAGCAGACGGGGCGGTAAAACCTCAGAGCAACGAAGCAGGCAGCAGCAACCAGGCGACAGAAAACATACGGAAAGCCGAAGAGTAACACCCAAGGGGTGAAATTTTTCGTTCGGTTTGCTTTACAAAGTTCACGTCCGTTTCCTTCTTTTGCAAAAAAAGGGTATATTTTTGGACGCTTCTCATAACGGTTGAACTGGCATGAGCACGCGCGAAGACCGCTGTTTACCCAGTCGTTGAAGAGGCGGTTTTTTGAAACCAGTTTCAAAATGTGGGTGAAAATTGCCCGCAAGGCATCCAGGATAGGAGAATCTTTTGGAGAATAGAAAAATGTGAGCAAAAAGAGACATGAAAAAGTAGCGTTTATGATCTCCGGCTAGGAACCACTTGCAGACAAAGCGGAAATGTACGCGGTGCAAAATTAAAAAGATGTGAGCCGCTGCTGCTGCTGCTGCTTCTGTTGCTTTGCCCTGCTCAGCCGTGTCCTCTCTTCTTATCTCTCCGCGCCCACAGCCTTCTAGTAGATTAGTTAGGAGGAGAAGTGAGTAGGGTCCCGGAGACGAAGAAGATGTGAGAGCAGAACGAGATAGGAAATGAGCGACAATTCTATGAAGCTCCAGAAAAAAAGGGTTTTGTAGGGAAGCGAGACACGAGGTCTCTCGCAGCTACAAAAGACGTCGGCGGCCGGCCGGCTGGAAGAAAACGAATACAGTAGTCGTTTGTGAGTCATGAGACATAAATTGTACTGGGACGGATGAGTAGAGAAAGCGCATAAATGAAAACTCATAAATGCGCGCACACACAGGGGCGCATACACACACACACACACACATTTTGGAGTCTCTCGCTGAGCGGCCAGCTCTTTGCTCATCTAAAAGTCAGGGCGCCCTCGCTCGTCCGGGGGCCCGAGGTCCCGAGACCACATTCATACATATTTTTGCAACGAGCACTGCAGGCTCGACGTCCCCAGAGCAGGAAAAACCTAGGGACGCGACAAAAACTACGGGAACAGGGATCAGATGATCAGAAATGTCACATCTGAAGCCTCACTTGTGGAGGAGAGAAGAAAATTTCGTTTTCGTTCAGTCGACTGACCATATCAAAAACGTATAGTTGTTCTTCTCATCGCAACAACATATGCTATCCGTTGGAGCGGAAAATAGAATTTGTTTTCGAATTGTACTAATTAGAGTCAGCTCCATTGCGTGACTCGAGATGATAGAGCCAATTGAGTGGAAAATGGCAACAAAGCGATGAGAACTACATTTTGAATGAAACGTGACATGTCAGTCAGAAGGAAGGCACGAGGAAGATGTCTACTGTAGTTGTACTTGTGAATATTGCACTTGGTCCTCCCAGGTAAGCCCATTAACCGACCTCAGGCCTGTCTACAAAAACTTCCGAAGTTTGATGCATCCGACAAGCGAACTTTGAATTGTTTGTCACCCCACCACCTTATCTCCCCGACTCGTAGACTTTTTTCACGATTTTATTGCCGAGTACGGAACACAACGTTATCACAATGCTGCAGCCCTCCCAAAAACGGAGTGGCTTCAAAACGCAAACGTTTCCAATGCTAGCGGTGGCAGAAAAGTGGTATTGCAGAAAAAGGAGACAAAAAAAACGGCGCGATGAACACAATACAAGTTGTGCGTGCAAAACGGGAAGAACGGCGACACAAACAGAGAGAAAAAAGTGGAAAAAAGGTGGTGGCAAAAGATGGAGACGGTGGATGCAAAATGCAAGTGGAGGGAGAAGGAACGAGGCGGCGGTGTGCGTGTGTGTGTGGTGAAAGAAGAACTGTTCGTGTGTTTCGATAACAATCGTTATAGAGACGAGGGTGTCTTTTGGTGTTTCCAGTGAGAACATTAAGTAGGATTGCAACCGTATATGTAGAAGGATTCTTGATTTATTTGCAGAAAAAAAGGAAATCCTTCATGGAGGAATCGGAGAACCGCATGACTTTTGCAAAAAGGACGGAACAGGCTGCAGAACAGAACACAGACTGTGTTATGTGTGAACAATGCGTAAATAGTATGATTTAGATTTTGAGCACAACCTAGACAGAGGATAACTGCATTTGAGTGCTCGCGACCCTTATAAGAAGGGATGATGATGAGGGAATCCTTCTATTAAGTGCATCATGTGTCAGCAGCGTGATGCTCGGTCAGAAAACTTCATGTTTTGCGCGCTAGAGATAGAAAAAAAAGGGATTAGTTTCAGAAAAACGAGCGATGACTAATTGGTCTCATTCAGGACGTATATCCATTGCATCCGCCCGCCTCCCTCGATATTGCCATTATTTATGACTATGTTCTTCCATTTCTCCCCTTCGCCTTCTCGTCGGTTATTCCCCTTTGCAGAGCGAGGGCAATCGGAAGGAAGTTCGGGAAAGAAATGACAAGTGGAATTAATTGTACTTGTTTCATCGAATACGCGTGCTGATACAAAAAATAGCCGCGTGACTATGTACTCCTGCAAAATGCAAAGGCACGCAGTTTCATCTCTTTCTTTCTCTTTCTCTCTCCCTTTCATCGCCCTTCAAATAACATATTTCACTCCGGCAAGGGGTGTAAAATGAGGCTGATGGTCGCGGATTAGTGATGAACACGAGGTAGTTGGAAGGTTGCGGAGAGAGAGAAGAACTTTTGACTAGTTCCCTTCCACAATGATCGAAGAGAGAGAGAGAGAGAGAAGTCGGAAGACGACATCAAGATTGCATAAATGATCAGAGATGAACACTTACAACAACATGTGCGGGCTGCGGAGACGGAAAGACGTGCTGGCGCACACTGGGATTACTGGAACGCGGAAAAACTGCCAATTGGGAGAATAGCATGATAATGGCGGCTCGGTTTTTTCCGGGTTTAGACTGATCACACATTCATATTAGAATAGATTCATGAGAATTTGCAGACAGAAACTGGATCTTTGAATAACAAGATGTTTGACCCTCTTGTAACAACCCTATCGGATACCAAGTGAGTGGCATTAGCAAAATTTTTAAGGCGATTGAATTATTTTGCTGTAAGAGTCATTGAAACAATTTCAGAAAGCACGGTGTTTCCCAAATTTGATGAGTATCTCTGAAAACCCTGGCAAACCAATGACCTTTTGATTTTTTCAAGAATGGGTTTCATTTCCACGTGTATTCTGTTGCAAATTCCACAAGGCCTAGTGGAAGCCCAAAAATTAAGAGCGTTGTGCCTTATTACATATTCTGTGCTCATTTAATATGGAACAAAAGTCTTCAATGCGTGCGAGCCCACGAATTGATCAATTGCGGAAAAAAATGCAACGACATTTTTGAAAGAGGCACCCAATTCGGCATATCTACTTATTTATGTACGGCACGGAAGGAGCTGAGATGAAATGAAACAAAAAAAAGTGTTATAGGGATTACTACTGTAGAATGTGAAGCTCAGACGCAGAAGAGTTTAACAAAAAAGCTTTATCACATCAAATCACACAATCATCATGAATTAGTAGGCGTGAGGTGTGTGGGATCCTTGGGCGGCTCAATGAGTGGCGCACTCGCAGTTGGCGCACTTGCAGTTTCCGGCGCATCCGGCAGAGCAGCACTTCTTCTGGCTGGCGGTGGAGCAGCAGAACTTCTCGCAGCACTTGCCCGCCGAGCAGTCGCATTTCTTTCCGGTGTTGCACGCACACTTTTGATTCTTGCAGTCTGAAATTGCAAGAAATGAAGAACCTTCATTAAAAATGGAACTGACCACACTTGCAGACCATTTTGAGGATTGGAGAAGAGGGAGAGAGAGGTGAAGAGAGAGGGACTTGAGAGTTTTCAAGCTTGATTTTCTCAATCGACAGAAGGTCTTTTATATGGGTGTCCTGTGTACACTCATCATGAGTTTATCAAAAGTGACTGATAACATCACAAGCCTATCACAATGTACAATTGGCAGAAAAACTTCAACTATCTTGAAAAACGACTCTGAATTCTAAATGTTTTTTGCATTCGTCTTCTTACACAATCGACTTTGTCATGAAAATATTAAAATCCAAGTAACAGGATCAAGGCAAACAAAGTTACGGAAAGTTAACTTTTCTGTCACAGCTCTAGTTTGTGATCAGGCTTCTTATCAGTGTCAGGTCAGGCCCTCTGTCATCATACCTGAACCGTACCTGTACACACTGCGGTAAAAATATTTGCGACAGGCTTTCATGAGCGTTCATTGGGCTCGGATGCTAAAACAGGTGTTTTGATTGTTTCTCACATAACATGTCTGATTTGGTAAAGTCTCAGACAAAGTGATTTTTTGTGACACAAAATTACATAGTTTCTTTAGCTATTTCAAATCTTGAACAGATTTTGACCTTAAAAACATACGTATCTTAAGGGGTCTTGTTTTTCCCATGTTTCCCATTACGCTGAATCCGACACAGGTGAATTCCCGAACAGAAAATTCAGTATTTTCCTTCATATCCCTCATTTTCTTCATTTCCTTCTATTATGGCCAAAACAGTGGCCGAATATTACGTAACCAACTACACGGAATGCAAAATCGACGGCAGCTTTCTTGCCTCCGAGGAAGGATTGGTTGACTCAAGCCACGTAATTCAAGGGTTCGCGGCTCCCATTCAATTGTTCACGTTCTACCTGATTATGTACAAATCACCAAAATCTATGAACGCTGTACAATGGCCGTTGTTCGTCACTCACTTCTGGTGCACACTTCTCGACTTTGAATTTTGCGTTCTCGGCACACCCTACATCTTTTTGCCTTCTCTTGCTGCATTTGGGAGCGGAATTCTCAGTTCATTTCATGTTCCGGTTCCTCATCAGCTGTACATGGGAATTGCGACAGTTTTTGGTAAGATAAAGGTAAATTCGCAGAGAAAATTGAAATCGTTGCAGCTATGGAGTTATCCCTGATATTCATAATTGAAAGTCGGAGCAGCAGCATTCCAAACAATCAATTCAAAATTGAACGGAAAGCCACTAAAGCTGCTTACTACACATTTTTGTACTTGAGCAACTGCCTATTTTTCCTAGTCTTTCTCGATATTCCAACAAATCAGGAGGCTGCCAAGCTGGACGTTCTGAAGATGAACCCGTGCCCCACCCGAGAATTCTTTACAAGTCCTACTTTTGTGATGCTTACGGATCAAGAGTTGGTAAACGCTATTTTTTCCGTCTACTTTCCGCTCATAATGTTACATGGCATTCTACACGTTTTCTTTCATACCGGCTGTTGCATCTATTACTTGTATCTCACCTCTTCAACTATATCTTCAATGCGAACTCGTCAACTCCAACGTCGTTGTTTCGTGGGAATACTGATTCAATCCTCAATGCCTGTTCTCATTCTCACAGTTCCTTATTTAGCTGCTCTGGTTTTAGTGTCTTTGGGCAAGTGGTCTCAGGGAATGACCAACTGCCTTATCATTTTTTTCGGTCTTCACGGACTTGTTGAAAGTATCGTTATTATTTTGGTACATCACTCCTATCGGGACGTGGTTTGGAAACTTTTCACCGGATTCAAAAGTATGTTGATTATAAAACCATAATGAGACTGCAAAGTTTTTCAGGAATCACTCCGACTCAGGTAGTCTTGAGCAGATCGCCTCCACCGACGACTCAACGAGCACTTAATTTATCTCTTAAGTAAATAAATATGTTTTTTCACTCTTTCCAAAGAGACAAAGCTTCGAGAAATGGCACGCTTTACACCGCACTGATCATCTTTTTCATAGTCGTTAATGTTAATTATGCAAACTTTTTCATAAACGTAAAATCGTAAGTTAATAAAAATTACAGGAGTGACTGGTCGCAGTTGGTTTGGATGTCCTCACTCATTGCTGATTCCTTGTCTTGCTCGGAGACACTCAACTTCTTTCTGGAATAACCTCATCCTGCTGTCGTCGTAGTGAGCTCTTTCCGGGTCCTGCAAATTAACAATTAGTGATTGACCACTTTTGTTACTACTCACCTCCCAGATATCCACTCGGTTCTTTCCGATTCTCATTATTCCCGGCATGGGTTCGAAGTCCTGAAACAAACGAATACTAAATATTACAAGTAAAATAATTTTACGTCTTCGTCTTCGTCGTCTGGACCTTTCTGAAAACATACACGCTTCTGGAGGTCAATTATTGAACTCAAGATACCTCTCGTTTTTGAGCTTGTTCGTCGACGTTGACTTGATCGGGTTGAGCCGGCTCGTCTCTTTCTCCTAACGCCGGAATGTGCTCCTCGAGAGCGGAGTCCGGTTGTGGAGCTGTTGGCTTGTCCATGGTCGGAGCAGACATGGTTGAGGTAGGCAAGCTGAGGTAGACTGATAAACTGATAAGAGCTCAAACTCTTATATGCATAGGTTTTCTAAAGGTCGATGGGAGGAGAAAAAATGTCGTTGTCTTGGAGAGCGACAGCTTCACCAATGCGCTTTGAAACACGGGAGGTGGAGCCAAAAAAGTTCAGAAGTGTGAAAAGTGTGTCTGAAAAAACTTGGATACAACGGTGAGTTGGGAGAACACGATGTTTGTCGATCGAACAGTTACTCTGCTAACTGTAAAGATCCGTGGAACAGAATCTTTGAACACTTGTTTGAATCAGTGTGGCTTTTTTTAATAGCTGAACTTTTTTTGGCAAGGAACCAGAGTGGTCGTCGATGAGACGACTCGGAGCATCGTAGTTTGGGATGAGGGGCAGAGATGAATTTTAGCACAATTAGCCCTATCCGGTTGAACCTCCAAATGTCGAGTGATGCTTGCTGAAGAACTTCAAGAACCGTAAAAGCGCAGGATTTCAATTTCATTCTTAATCAACATTCCCTCTCGTCAAAAAACACTCAATGAACACCATCCCTACTCTATGAAAAACTCCAAACTCCCTAAGAATATTTGGAAGGCCCCGATGCGAACCGTTCACCAGCCACATTCATCCGATTCGGTACTCGCAGGTTCAGATTGCTCCGCTTCGTAAAAACAAGTGCCACAAAAAATCTCTGACTCATAGTAGTTTTAAATTCTGTGCGATAGTATTAGTCTTTGATGTTTGGCAGCTCTCTGGTGCAATCAAGGTGACATTTCTCACATTTTCCGACTAAATAATCACACGTTTTCTTGTTTTTGAAATTCGTAAAGTGCTTTTGATAAATAAAGGACGCATGTGGGGGGAGAGGGGACAAAAAAAGTTCTCCGCTGAGCAGGCAGACTGATAATCTCCAGAGCTTCAAAAGGGCAAATACAGCCTGAGATTGTCTTCCGAACACCTCGATTAATCTTCAAGCCGTACGAAACGTATATTTTGAAAAGGTTGTGTTTCAGAAAACGAATCAGATGACTTGGAAAAAGTGATTTATTTCAGATGTTCAGTGGATAAAGAATGAGGTTAAGGAAAGAAGACGATTAAAAATGATGTGCATTAGTCAAGTGTGATGACGTCATTCTTCTCTTTTTGCTCCACAGAAACTTCTCGGGCTCCTTCCGTTTGTTTCTGACTGGTCGAAGGTAGCGGAGGAGGATTGAGGTCCCCTACCGGGCTGATAAGCTGTGTTTGAACCTCTTCAACGTTTCCAACTTCCTGAAAAAGTAGTGAACATTTTCAAAACAGGTGCTTTTCAACATACCTTATCTGAATGAAGAGGACTGATCTGTTTCTTCCGCTTGTCCCTTTGACCGACAACAATATTTTTTCTCTGAAAAGAATGTGTAAATGAGTAGATGATAACACGATGCTGCACTGACTTTTTGAGGGATATTTTTTGGTATTTTCTCAGTTATTTTCAATTCCTTCTTCACTATTTGAGAATCGGCGTTATCCGATTGTGTCCGCTTCTTCCCACTTGTATTTGAAGACATTTAAAGTGTACTGAAACGCGCAGAAAATGAAGTAGGAAAAGTTTTTGTGAGCTCCAAAAGAGTGAAAAAGACGAATGAGAGTGCATTGAAACAGCAGAGATTTCAAATCCCCATCTGTGAGACCGACTATGCAAAACAACAGGAGCTCGGGTGAGTGGTGAGTGGGTGTCTCCCCACTAGTCAGCCTTTTAGAAATATTTCCTCACGCGGATTCGATAATACGGTTTGACTCAAACGGCGACTGTTTTGAGGGCAATTATAACTAATTGCTTCCGAATTCAGAACCAATTAGTCTCTATCTATATCTTAATCCTCCTTCCTTGGATCCTTACCGCTGGTTACCTGCTAATCCCATATCCGTTTCCGCACCATTTGACTTATTTCTATTTTGAAAATGAAGTCTAAATGCTCTTTGTTACTAATGAGCGTCACCGGATTAGAGGTTTTGCAAGAGCTATGTGATGTATGAACTATGCGTAAGACGGACTAAATTTGCAGGAAGGTTTCCACAGGTCCGGTTAGATCATTCTGAGAACCCGGAACTTTCATACGTATGCATTTCATTCTGTTCGATTCGGTTGACTAGACTCTTTTTGTGTCTAGCTTGTTTTGTGAAAGCTCACGAGTTGTCTGGGAAAATTTATTATTATTATTTTTGTCCTCCAGCCGCACCTTTGATGTGTGAACATCGGTGCTGCACTGATTGGAGCTAAGCAACCGTTCTGACTGTGAAGACAATTTTGGTTAGATAAGTTTTTTCGAAAAAAAAAAAGAGGTACGGAAAGGGGCAGTTATGGTGATGGATGATATTGAAAAGTAGGATTCAAAAAGCAAAATATCATGAAGAGTGGAGACAGACAAGAGCGGGGGGAATATTGGATTAGTCCAGCACGATGTACTTCACTTGGTTCTCGTCGTACCAGAATTTGAACTGCTCCTTCGGGTTTGGCTCCGCTTCTGGCTCCGCTTCCGATTTCGCTGCTTCCTCCGCAGTCGGCTTCTCCGTTGGTTGCTCCGCTTGAGCAGCTGGAGCACTTGTTGCCTCTTCCTGAAAACGAAAATATCCCATCACATCAGTTAACATACAAAGTACCTGATCTTGAGTATCGAATCCGAACGGATTGATGAAAGGAGGCAGTTGAGCGTTCTCATTCTCTTGACGGGCACGGACGTATTCCGCGTAGTACGGCTGAAATAAACGTTCATTTCAGCGAGAAAGTAACTATGATCTTACATCCACAATATTCATTCTTCCCGTCGCGTCTCGACCGACTATAATGGCTCCATCTACCGGTTCCTGAAATTAGCATTATGAAGTTAAGGACGAGTATTTGAAGCTTACCTCATAATATGTATGCCAGAATGGATCTTTGTCAGGGGACAACTGAAAAATTGGTGAAAGATGATAGTAGATTATAACTTACCAAATGTGCCATTGTCGACCGGCAGCTCCTGAGTAGAAGGGAGAAAATCCAGAAGTTCTGGTTAGAATGAGGAGAAAGTCTGAATGTGTCGCTATATCCATATGCGTGCTCAAGGGGGCGGAGTCAGAGGACTTGACATTCGAAAGTGCTAGAGAGAATAACCAAAAGAGAGTGCCTTCTTACAGCCGAGAAACTCTTTCTGCGGGAACGGAATACGAATTTGAAATAGAATCGAGTATTAAGCACACAAATCCAGGCATCAGAAGATGTTTCCGGATTTAAAAATTAAATGAAATAAAGAAAATCAAGACAGGAACGGAAAAACTGAACTATCAAGCAAAATGGAGAAATGTATTGACAAGTGAATATGAGAAAAAGATAAGGTTTTGAATTGACGTCCGAGGACATGTTCTCCGTCTTCTCTTGATCTTTTTCCTTGGTTTGATTGACAGCAACTAACAATTTTTTCAACGTGTACTGGTTTCGAGAACATTTTGCCAGCCATCTAATTGCCTTCAATTAACTATCGAAATCGTTTCAACGCATCAAGATTTATATGTTTCTTATCGTTGGCACACAAAATATAACTAACAGTGGGGAAAGGGACGTCGGGAAAAACCATCTGTGGAAGAGAGAATGCTATCTCCTCATGAGCCGGCATATGGCTGCTTTTTCAATAATGCCGACCCCTTTCGGTGTACGCATAAGCCTAGCAGGTGGTTTTGTATGTGAGGTGAAACAATTATCTTGTTGCATGCATATAATCTCCGTTTAAATTGTTGCTACGGCCCTCAGTGATTTTGAAATAAAAACCGGTAAATTAAAAACGAATTTATTATTTTCCAACTGAAATCTGTCAGTTTTCTGTTTAAATTATGCGCAAAACAACAAAAATCATCGAACAAAACGTTAGACTAGTTTGACAATGATAAATTGACAATTTTTGTATTTTCTCGATGAAACCAAACGCACTTCAAGAGGGAAAAGGCGAAAGAAACGTCGATTTTCATGAAATTTCAGCAGAAAGACGGAGTGCTATTAATTTGCGGACGAAGATAAATCGAGCGGGGCGCACCGAGTCCGTTTTGACCTACCGCCCGCCAAACCGCGCACTCTCTTTTTCTCTGCGTCTCTCGGCCGGGAATCCGCCTCGCCGATCTCGATCGATTCACTTCATAATGCCCCGCTGCCGGTCCGACCGTCGCTGTGGGCGTCTAGACAGAATTGGATCAGAGACTCGGATACAACTAAGAGTGATTTCGAGTTCCGAGCTTCCACAATTAATGTGGGTTCTCATTTCAATAATTACTAGAGACGTTTTTGGACGGAAACACCCTTTATTACAGAGAAAGTCTACTCCCGTATTCATAATCCGACAAATACGATATTTTTTTTCGACTCGGAGAACACTTATCGGACGATGAAAGCAGATGTCATTTATTACGATCTTATTTATGAGCCTACCAGGTACGTTTTGATTCTACTTTTCTTGTGACTCTCCAAGAAACTCCGGGAGGAAAAAAAATCGCAGTTTACCATTAGAGGTGAGTCATCACTTTTGTGTAATACTTTCAAGATGCGGAGAAGAAGACTATTGATTAACGAGTGATGAAGATGATTATCGCCAAGAGAATTAATAGGATCTATTTTTTAAGCCGTTCACACAGAGGTAAGTGTGCCTTTTTGGTAGGTATCGCCAAGAAGAGTGATGAAGATGATTATCGCCAAGAAAATTAACAGGATCTATTTTTTAAGCCGTTCACACAGAGGTAAGTGTGCCTTTTTGGTAGGTATCGCCAAGAAGAGTGATGAAGATGATTATCGCCAAGAAAATTAACAGGATCTATTTCTTAAGCCGTTCACACAGAGGTAAGTGTGCCGTTTTGGTAGGTATCGCCAAGAAGAGTGATGAAGATGATTATCGCCAAGAAAATTAACAGGATCTATTTCTTAAGCCGTTCACACAGAGGTAAGTGTGCCGTTTTGGTAGGTATCGCCAAGAAGAGTGATGAAGATGATTATCGCCAAGAAAATTAACAGGATCTATTTCTTAAGCCGTTCACACAGAGGTAAGTGTGCCGTTTTGGTAGGTATCGCCAAGAAGAGTGATGAAGATGATTATCCCCAAAAAAATTAATAAGATCTATTTTTTAAGCCGTTCACACAGAGGTAAGTGTGCCTTTTTGGTAAGTCAGAAAACGATTTATTACGCGTGTTGTTGCCGTAATTTCACCATAAAAGCGTGATGGCATTTTAAAGTTTAGGGTTTTTTACTGCGTATATATATGTTGAAGCATTTGTGTTTGCATGTCTGTGGGTCTTTTCTTCTTCTCCTACTGGACCGATTTTTATTCTACTTTTCTTGTGACTCTTCAAGAAACCCCGGAAGCCGGTAATCCTGCTTTTCACAGGTTACTATTAGAGGTAAGTTTTCACTCTTGTGTAATACTTTCAAGATGGGGAAAAGAGGACTGCTGATAAAAACCATGAATATTACTATCGCCAAGAATAGTTCCGACTATCACTGGAACGAATATTATCGTGTTCCGGATAAGAAGGTACTATACGTGGCCGGTGAAAAAAGCCATGGACCAACCCTCAACCAGAGGGTGCGTTAGCTTAGCACTCAGCTGAAATATGACTGATTTTGCGAGAATCGTTTTAATTTAAAAATCATTTTTCAGAAGGACTACGCGAAGGCGATATCTGTGCTAATTGAAGTGCTGGGTAATGGTCAATGCACGGCAGCAGCTCGAATTAAAAGTTGGCGAAATGTTCCAAGGACAACGGAGAATGTTCATGAATACTTGAAAGTTTTTTAACTTCAGCAACGTGCAAATTTTAAGTGTTTTTCCACACATTCAACAAGTGTCACAAATCCTCTGTTGTCAAGGTGACGCACGCATTTCATTTCCGTCTTCCCACCTTGAACTTTTTTTTGTTTCAAATGTGTTGAAATAGATTTAAAGCAAACATGACATCATGGCCGTCTGAGAAGATATCCGGAAACGCGATAACTCGTTAAGATTCTCAAGGGTTTCAGGTGATCGCCATGATTTGTGGCCAGAATACCAGAACAGCTCATCGCTCGCAAAAAACGTTCTCACGACCACTTCTTCAATGAGAAACGAGAAAAACAAAACGGGCCCACGAGGTTTATGCAGAGAACGGATATAAGTGAATGGAACCCTTTTTAAAAAGTTTATAATCCGTTGTTGTTTTCAGTATTTTTGAAAGCAATATGACGTGGCTAGTATGTACATACCGTTAACCTTTCAGCTGAAGCCAAACATCCCCATTCCACATTTCCTGCTCCCCTTATTTCAATTCTACGAAAATGAGAAAAAGAGTCGTCGGAACGAGTATCTTTACGACTTTTTCGACGGAAAAGTGAAACATTCACAGTTTTTAGACTACTGTAGTCATTGCTACTTGGTTTTGGAATAAATGAGCTTTCTAGTACTTTTTCACCAATATGAATAGGGTTCTCGAAAGATGGATGAGTTTCTGTGTACACATCATTTATTCTTTTGCCTCCTCCTTAGATGTCTGGATTTCCGTTCAATTTCCTCTTTCTACGCTCGGTCATCTACAGTAATCCGGCGTTTGTCTAGCGCCAGTCACAAAAACACCCAAACGAAATGTTGATTGGTGAATGTTTCAGAATAGCGATATTTCGCATCCTAACTTCAATTTACGGAAAAACTCCAACTTTACCCTCGGCAGGAATTATACAGATTAGACCAGAAGGCACGTGTTGCAAAGGGAGGAGCAGCACAACGCCACCTTTTTTCGCTTCTCCCACCATTTTTCGCAATAAATTTTACGAGCAGCGTTACACTGCAACCAGTAGCCGTGCAAACGAACTAATAATCCCGAGAGAAATGGGTTTTCCGCACTTTTTCTTCAAAGTTTCATACGTGAAGCGGTGAGAAGTCCGCAGAAGAGACCGATTCGTTTCAAAGGACATACGTTTATTTTTCTAGGTTTATCTTTTTCCTTATGCTGCATGTCTCCAACATGTTGTTTTTCAGGAGCGTTGTGCACTCTTTTTCACCACAAACACATCATTCCGAAAAATAAAAATGAGGTTTTGTTTTTCGAGATTCGCAATTGGTTTTGAGAGATATTTTTGTATGTTCTCAATAGATGTCTGAATAGATGTCATGTTTGGTCCAATAACGGTCGAGTACGGTGTCCAGCGTCAACATGTTCTGTTATGAACGTTTCTCTTTCTAAAAAGAATCGTCGATTCAAATTCGATTTTAACAGATTTCCTGCATTCTTCCTTTTTTGCTCATGTTCTCTGAACAAGCGTCTAAACGTTCAGTGTTCAAACACTTCAAAAAAATAAGTTCCAGTAAGAAAAAGAGCAAATGCGTGGGGGAATGAAGTCCCTTTTCATGTCATCGAGGGCTGCCGCCGGTTAGGCTTCTCCTCCTCCATACTCCATCGTTTCTCTCAGATAGGATAGGCAAACGAAAAGAGGGAGGGTCTCATCGTGCCCGGTCGTGGGGGCCACGCCCCTCTTCTGCGGTTCTGGCTGTGACACCTCATTCCAATGCCACTGGTCCCCCCGTCTTGCTGCTTTGTGTTGTTCCTTTCTGTCTCCCGCGCCACGCCCCTCGTTTATTCAGTTTTCTTTTCAGTTTCAGTTGGAAACCCACTCGATCATCATTCCGTCTCTCGCCCGTCGACCGCTGCTCTCCGGCGTCATGATCATATCGTATCTGGCTCGGATTGTGCTCCTACTGCCCGAGCTCTCGTCTGGAGATACTGATCGACTCGCCGAAATCGCTGCTAACCAGGTACATTAATCGAAACTCGAATCTAAAATGCATCTAAATTTTCTATTGCCAAATCTGATCCAATTTTCTCCTAGACGTTTATTTGCTAGACTTGTTTCATTTTATAGGCGCCGTTGTACTCACTCATTTCCTTATTTTTCAGTAGATTCAACTGAATCTTTTTTCAGGAGCACTCAATTCAGCTGAATCAACAGGATAGGACGTTCCCCTATCCGAACATCCCGGAGCCACAACACGAACGTCGTAGGGAAGGTGGAAAACGGAAAAAGTTCCGGAAGGAGCGACTGGACGAGGCGTGTACTGCGATCAATGAAACTTTGCGCAAGAACTTACTCCAGGTTAGTTCTTTTTCGGTTTCGGCACGTCATAGGGCCACATCCGTATCTATTTTTATGGATGGATGCTTGAAAACTCAATTTCTCCGGAGAATAAATAAATGCGTATCCTTGCAAATGTCGTGTATTAACATTTCAACAAAAAATTGCTCTTCCTAGTGAACATTGGAACCCTTCAGTTTCGCTATTTTAATCCGTTTGATGCGCGGCCTTTTACTGACGCTTAGAGGTTTTCAACTGGCATTTAGATTTGTTCGTTTACTCGTTTTTCTAGCAAAACAGGGGGTGTCTAAAGCTGACGAATCAGTCTTCCTCACTTCTGTTAGTGTTCAGGTTTGGTGAGGAACGTCAATAAGTGTCACAGGAATCCTGTCAATCTTCCATTCTTTACCCAAAACGTTTTTTGTTTCTGTTTGTCATCATCTCAACAGAATATAGAAAAGAAAGATACATATTGGGGGCACGCAGGTCTCCTTTTTTTCTTGCTATTTTCTTGTCTTTCAGTGATGGGGGAAACCCATTATAATATCTGCGAAAGCGTTACATGCAGATCTTGTTCTAAAATTGGTTTCACCCCCAACAAGGTATAATGATCTGAGAGAGCTCAAGCTCAGGTTTGACATCATCATGACGGAAGGGGGGTATGTTGCAACTAGGACGTTATTGTCTTCCTGGGAGGAAGTTGGTATGTACTCTTAGCTTCAACCCGTGGTTCCTGATTCTTTATAACTCTCTGTCTCTCTTTTGACTTCCATCATTCCGGCGGACCTTTTTCCCACAACCCAACAAAAAAATATATATATTTATGGTTTTTATGCGTTTGACGGCGACAAAGGTCCTCCTCACACACACACACACACACACACACAAAACCCTTTTAGTAGAATCATGGGCACAGAGACACTGGCTGCTTGGAATCATTCATTCGCATTTATTATGCGCACCCAATGAGGCGTGTTCATAATCATTTTTTAGGTCCGAGGGGTACGCAAAACGTGTGTAGTGCAGTGTTGCCGGCCGGCCGCCAGAGATTCTAAATGTTAATCGAATTCCATCTGTCCCTTCTTTTTTGTCCAACTGACATGAGCCATTTTTCGAAAGACCGACGCCTAACAGCCTAATACGAGAAAAATCGGATTCGTGGGCGCCCCGATTGGTGTGTCTTTCGTTTTAATTGGATTCTCTCATTTTCCCGAATAGAAACAGGAACACAGAAACGAAACGTTTAGGGCTCGTGCCACTGCCACAAAATTGGAATAGTTTTATGTGTCCGAGAGCAGAATTGGTTAATGCAGGAACGAATTTGGAATGAGAATTGGATGAATAAAAAAGAGGGGCACTTAAGGAACAAAAGATGAGAAACAAAAGTTCAATTTTGAGTTTGGGCCCGAAAAATCTTCCTATCCTTGTTTTCATTTTTGTTTTTGCCCATTTTGTGAACGCGTGGTCAATCACGTGAATAAACATTCGGGCTTGTCTCCAAATGCATCAGGGACGGACTGCTACTCTTAAAACAGCCGCAAAAGAAGAAGAAGAAGGAGAGGAGAGTGAGAAAATAACATATATAATCAGACAGAGCGAGCAGTTTCACTTTATTGCGTTTCAATCCATCTACACTTTCACGTTTTTTGGGTGAAAGCTTTTTTCCTTCCTGCCGGCTCATCCGGCTTCACTCGACAAACTTATCGCTCCTCTCCGCCGCCGGTTACGACCAACCAACTATGTGTGAAAGCGAGCGAGGGAGATTCTTTCAGCTCGAAATTTTCATCTCAAAGGTTCTCTAATGAGAGCTGGGCGGTTATTAGTGTCTAGTGGCATACCAGCCGATGGTATTTGAAGTGGAACCATTGAATTATTCATATTGGAGCAGTTAATGAAAAGGGTTGGGTTTCCCGAGTAAATACATGGGATCATTAAATAATTCTATGGAGAAGGGTTTGACGTTTGATGATCATGAAAGTGAATCCAAGTGCAAAATCCAAGTACATACATGCCTTCCTGTTTCAATTTTTGGTTCTCAAACTCGAGTGTCTTTTTTTTTCTTTTTAGGCAAAAAAGTCATAACCAAATTCATGATGCATATTTGATGATGTCGATGAGTCGGGCCTTCTTCGCAGCCAATAGATTCAATTGGGATCCCAATGTTCGGCGTGTCTTTTGTTGTTCACGTGAACAATGGTCGATAATAACTGAAAGTTGGTTTCGACCAAAGTATGCACCGCTTTCCCATTCCCCAGCGCATCTAACTCTAATCCATAGCCCGAGGGGGAATGAACTGGTCAATCATGAAATTCTGAGAATACATAGATGGAAATGTACACAAACATTTATTTGATTGGGAGAGAGATGAGATTTTTTTCAGGAACTCTTCGACGATTCGTACGACAAAAATAATCTGCCAAGTGCTAACTCGACCGAGGTCCGGAAATCTTCGACTTCAAAACAACTATTTCAAACTCTTGCAGGTCATTGTGGAATTGACAGTCCAATCGATAACCGAGATCAGCGAATTCTCGTCGAGTTTCAAAGCGGATGTGTGGTTCTCTCAAATCTGGCGTGATCCACGTCTCGACTTCTCCGACCGTAACTATTGTCTCAAAAATATTTCGCTGGCTTCTCACAAACTTCCGACCATGTGGTCTCCGAACGTGTGTTTCGTGAATAGCAAAAAAGTGAGTGCGGGGCTCGGCGGGTCCAATTCTCTCTCTCCAATTTTATTAGGTTCCGTGGACTTTTTCGTCGGAAAATTTTCACAAATTGAACATGCGACAGCAGTTGTAGAAAGTATAAGGTTTTGGAGGCAATGGGGGGACGTCTCATTCACAATTCGGGGTCAACTCTTCATAAGAAATCTCGAATTTCAGGTGGAAATCCATGCTTCTCCGTCACAAAACATTCTTCTCCTGATCTTTCCAAATGGTACCGTTTGGCTAAACTTCCGCGTCTCATTAATGGGGCCTTGCAAACTGGATTTGACCTATTTTCCAATGGACAGACAATCCTGCAATCTCGTATTTGAGGTGAGAAATAAGGAGGATGAGGAAGCTGTGGAAATGACAGTTTTGTGATGGATATGAATCCACTTCGGGGCAAGTTGTGGACAAAACATGAAAAGAAAGGGAGGGGGAGGGAGAAATAAAACGAAGATCTCATCTCATTCCCGCATCCCACTTTACTTTTACAGAGTTATTCGTATAACACGGCCGAGGTGAGAATTGTGTGGAGAGATTGGGATCCAGTCACAATTCCGGACCCGGACTCGAAAAATCTTCCGGATTTTGAGTTGGTGGATATCAAGTTGGTCGCAAAAGCAATACACTAGTAGCAATATTGGAGATTTCAGACATTTTAACGCTACTTTGGTTTATACAGCAGGACTCTGGGATCAGTTAGAAGTTCAGTTCACTTTCAGAAGACTGTATGGCTATTATGTTCTTCAGGTACCGCTGAAAGTTACAAAATTGACAAATTTCTTTATTTTCAGGCGTATATGCCAACATATCTTTCTGTTTTCATATCCTGGATAGCTTTCTGGATTGACACTAAGGTAAGCAGACTGTTGGCCCGAAAAAGTGCAAATCCGTCAATTGTAGGCTCTCCCAGCTCGAATCACACTCGGAGTCTCATCCCTTATGGCGCTGACCTTCCAATTTGGTAACATTGTCAAGAATCTGCCACGTGTCAGTTATGTCAAAGCTCTTGACATTTGGATGTTCGGATGTGTGGGATTCATTTTCTTGTCTCTGGTTGAGGTGAATCTAAATTATACCCTTGAAACCTTTAATTCGGCTCTTCCAGCTCGCTGTCGTTGGATTCGCTGACAAATTGGAGGCCAAACGGAGGAGACACAATCGGTTCGTTTTCGTGGCCCGGGGGACGTTTTTTCTAGAACAGAGCACATTTTCTTCAGGTGCAAGGAGCAATTGATGATGAGAAGCGATTCGGAGCAACAGTGGCTCTCCAGATTGTCCGGACAACGACCACAGGTTGCCGAAACGAGTGCAGGTCTTGAATCTTGGAGCATCTGAAAAAAACAATTGCAAAAGTTGACTTACAGATTCCACCCATACAGTTCAAATAAACGATGGGAACGGAAATGTGCGGAGACGAAAAAGTGAGGAAAAGCGGCAAAAGCTACTGCTTCACATGGAGAGCGCGATGTATGTCAATGGAGAGAAAATTGACGAGGTATGTATAACTTCAAATCACATATTTTTTCATGAATAACTTTCAGATTTCTGCTAAGCTCTTCCCACTTCTATTCACCGCGTTCAACATCTTCTATTGGTTCTACTACATTGGAATGTCTGGGGGATTCTTCTAGACGTTCAACGAGGAGTTTTCATATTTCATAATGTGATGAATGGTTTTCTTCTGTGCAGCTGACAATTGTACCACTTTTTCGTTTTTTTTTTCTGAAGCGGGTTGCTTGTATTGAACAAAATGTTAATAAAAAGATTGAATTGTACACGTGTATGTGCATCGTTCAAAGTTTTTTGTCTGGCATTGTCAAAAAATGTTTGCATTTTCTATGTGTTCTCCTTTTTCTCATTTCTCATCTCAAACCAACATGTCAAACCAAAAATGTCAAACGGAAGAGTCCAGGATGAATGTTCTGCCTTCAATTTACGTCAAGGAAAGCGTCCAACCTCATTTGAATAGTCTTTTCTCTTCACTCTTCAAATCCTCATTCTTGTTCTTCTGCCAATTGAAAAATGAACTGAAAACACACGAATTGTTTTGCATCCCATCCCAAATTGCTCTTTTTTTTCATTTTACACAAAGCGAACTGCTCGTCATTTGTCCTGAAAGTCAGTCAGTCAGTCAGTCAGTCAGCAAAAGACGACGCCCACTGAGCCGGCTTCTCCCCCTCCACTTTTTTCTTCCATTTTCATTCCGATTCCATGCTCCGATGCTCTTCTGTCTGTCCGCGACGTGTTCCGCTCCTCTTTCTCTTTGCCAACCAACCAACTTTTCGGAATCAATGTCAACCCCATTTTCGCTCTTCCAATCGAAAGAAATGGACGGAAAATAGCGATAGGAGCGTATATATATGCATATTCACTTTTTTCGTCAGCTCTCCCGCAACCGAGCACTTTTCCAAAAGAGGCGTCCGCTTGAGAAGCACTTCTCACTTTTCACGTTTTCTTCCAGTGCATAGGAGGAATAGGTCGGTAGGATTCAATTTTTTTTGGAAAAATAGGGTCTAGAAAGGAACCACGAACGTTCCACGTACGCTACATTCGCAACTTTTTCCGCGATCATCGTCTTCAAAATTGTTGCCTAGCCTACGCACACACGTTAACAGTATTCAAAAAGGCGGAATATTATTTTCTAAATAAAAAATAAATCTTCGAAACATTGTGCACCTTGTGATGTTCTTTCTGATGCTAAAGTTCAGGTATATACATGCCAGACAGGGCCACCCCAATTCTCCATTAGTTTCCTACAAATTTCAGTTTTTTTCCAAGCCGCTGGTCTTTGTCAACCCGAAATCAATTTTCCCCGATCCATTTGCGACGTAGTAAATTGCATAACGAGAACGTTTATAGACTCGTGTTGCCCGCACTTCGCCATGACAACAAATACATGGATACGGCTCGAACAAACTTGTGAACAAGCTCAGACTTCCACAGTGATTCCCTACTACTCGTCGAGAATGCGTCCAGGTGAGTAATTGGGTGGGAACCAAAAATCGGGTTCAAAAATTTATTTCTCCAGGAAAGCAGAAAAGTGCATGTTACTTCTGCATGCTCTTTCTTGCCTCAAAAAGTGCATTTACGGTGAGACTCTCCGCCTTTTCCCCACTTTTCCATCAAGCATCGTTCTACTTCTAATATTAAGTACAAAAACAGATGATTTCAGAATTTTGACTAACAGGTGCATTTTTGAATTTCTCTTCCGCGTACTTACTTCTCCCAATTTCCACCATGTTCATCGGTGTACGGAGCTACGGGCGTACTCGGATTCAGTTCGACACATGATAATGAGATTTGGATTTGGATTTGGATTACACTTTCTATATTTGTCGTTAGAGAATGAGAGGAAGAGGAGCAAGTGTGGTGTGTTGTTGATAATCCGCTTCACAGCCACAAAAATTTGGGGCAGAGTATTGGATTAGTACCTTCATATTAGCTGAACTATTCGCGTGGACGATCATGAGCAGGCGTAAACTGGAATCGCAATCCACATTCACTAGGTTAGTCGATTATTTCGTTGAGAGCAGAAAAAGCAACTTTTTCTGATTGAAAATTTCCCATGCTTGACTGCTCGAATCGCTCATCCGAAAAGTCGTATGATTTCTCATTTCTGGAAGGTGTGGTTCGATTCCGATTCCAATTCCATTCTGACGTGGTCACTGTTCTCGTCATCATTGTCATCATCGTCATCCGCGTCATGTTGTTCAAAAATTAGCCATTTCTGTTGTCCTAAACCGCGTGATGCACCATGCGGACACTGACAACAACGATAACGAAACGAAACGAAACGAAACCAGCCGCAATCCGAACACACATAAAATTGTGTGTGTGTATACGTACGCAAACGAAACACATACACTTCTTTTTTGGTTTTCCGCGAGGACGGTTGGCCGCAACATGTTGCACCTCTATAAAACGTGATGATAGGCAAGGAAGAAGAAGAAGATACGGGGGCGAGCGAGTGATCGTCGATTGACGTAGAATCTTTTCGGTTTCTCTTGTTTGCTTTTGCATTTTTGGCGTCTCTTATCAGTAGAGGTTCTGGGTTATTCCTGGATGCTTGACTCTCATTAGCACAGCTGATATCAATGTCAAATTAATCGAGCCGGAAGAAGTGCAGCGGACTTTGCTCTTGTTTTTTTCTTGGGATCTTGGGTAAACTTTTGGGGCCTGGGCCTGAGTGCCCCTTCCCTTCCCGTCTATTTGTGCGTTGTACGTCCCGCTCTCTGGCGCGCTGTGTCTCTACAACTTCAAAAGTCTCTCAGTCACCCCCCCCCCCTCCTTCCGTGGTGTGTGGGGGGCTTGTGAGTATTTGTGAGTGTTTGTGTGAGTGAGGCGTATGTCCGTCTCCACACACTCTCCATTTCTGAGTCTCTTCATCCATGTCGCATCTCTAGACCACTCTCCACATATGTGACACTCTCTTGGTGACACTCTTCACTCAAAAAATAGAAAACTTTGGCTTTATTAGAAAACGATGATGATTATCCTCTCGATCTGTTTACATTAATTACCCTGACCACGAGCGCTATCAATTAACACCTCAATCACTCGGTTCGCTTGATTCATTTCGCCGGCTTCTTCTCCATTCTATTTCTTCGGGTCATTTGTCTGCGAGGCGTGTGCAGAAAAGCAGAAAAGAAAGAAACCCATTAAATTTGAAGATGCTCTCATTATGGCACCCCGGGGCGGTTTAATGAGATTCATTTTGATGAGAAACACACGAAAATGGGCTGTGAGCGGCGAGCGGCCCGGCGAGGACGGAAAACGAAGACGGGTGGGCACTTCTCACGTGTCCATCACGTCTATAAATACACTTTTAATATGAATATTTTGCATCTGGTTGATGGCGTAAACTTTCGCGTAATTTTAAGACGTTTCAATTCTCTGTTCTTCAGGATTTTCGCTAAATCTTTCATATTTCCTCTAATTTGAATCAAAACTCACACGTGTTCAGTTAAAAGTGCGTCCTGTTTACAAAATTTTCACTTCTCCAGATGTGTTATAAACAATGAACAAGCAACGTTTATCGAACATCAACCAAATCTCCAAAATTTATTCAATTTTCTCGGAAAACCACCTCCACACCTCCGCAAAGCTAACAAAATTCTGATATTCAGCACTTTTCCTTCATAAATTTGTTTATTTTTCCGAGAACCGTCCACTTTTCGTTCTCCGCGGCACCCTGATTTTGCTCTCTCCTTCTTTTCCTTTCGTGTAACTGAATAGCTAACATAATTCCGAGACTACATTGAAAAAGTTTCCTTTTTTCATCTATCGGTCTTTCCTTTCTTTTTCTCTTTTTTCGGATCTCGCTGTCCTGACCCTTCCGAACCTTTTCCCCACCTAGTCTAACGTCATTCATTTTCGAAGACAAACTTGTCGCATTGATCGAGTAACGTTCGGACCTGGTGACTATCCCTCGGTCGTCGAGCCTACTGATGAATGAATGAAATAAGATACTGAAAGAGTAAAAGTATCGGAAAGGAATAAACAATGGGGTCCTGGGGTGAGTGGGTGGGTGTACTGGCTGGTCCCCCAATTCTGGAACAATGGCTGGTGCGTAGACTAGAGTCTATTGTGCAGCTCTCGGCACCGATTGTCAATTCATTTGACTGATTTGATTATCATAGTGATGATTCGAACGACTGTTGGCAATTAGCATTCCACATTTCCCATTCCACATCGCCCTCAGTTCACCAGTCCTTGATTCTAGTCGGCATGCAATCAAACGAGCGAAAACGGTGAGATAGATAATACCCAATTTCCTCAAAATCTAATTTCTATTTTAGTCCTCTGGGAAAACCGAGGCTCATGTGGAAACGGTATGTTCAGATGAAATGTGATCAATGCTCGGCTACTTTTTTTCTATAAAATATCCGCTAAGATCCAATGAAAAAAGAGATGAGAAGGCAACATATATCGGAGAGGCACGGGTCCAGCTCTTCCCGCAACCTGACGCTCCCTCTCCGGCTGTCCGTGTTTCATTTTTAAACTTTATCGCGGGTGGTCTTTTCTGTGCTGGCTATTGTTTCTCATCGCTTCTCTTTGTCTCGCCCCTTTCGAGCACACTTTTTCTGAGGGACCTGGGTGATTATTATAGGGTTTGTGACTTAATTGGTCTAGTCTGGCCTAGCCTAGCCACTTTTATGGTTATTGGTCTAGCTCTACATTGGTCTCAACTGCTATAGTTCAATTTTTCTGGAAATTCGTTGCAACAGAGATCAATGTATGGAGAGAAAGAAGTGAATGAAATAATAAAAATGAATACAATCGATCAGCTGTTATCAATGTCGTCATTGAACCGGCCGCCGTCCTCCCCCCTTACACACTTTCAAGTTCCGACAGATCTTCGTGTCCACTTTCACACCTATCGCATTTCATTTCACCTCATTTCCATTTCCATTAGATTTGATGGCAAGTCAAGTTTCCAGCGATTCTATTCTATTTCGGTCGTTTATCACTCAATTACATCTTTTCTGTTCGCGGGAGAAGAGAAGACAGAAGAACATAGACGTTTGGTTCATTGATTCATAATCAATCGAAAACGGAAAGCGATATGAGGCATATCCGTCTTTATCAGTGTTGACGTAACAACACAATTCCCCTGTCCGCAAAAATCTGATAAAAATGTTATCAAAGACCGGAACAAAGTGCGAAATGACCGGTGGTGTGCAATTGCAATAACTCGATTCGACTCGTCGCATCACGTGGCTATTTCATTTCGTCTATTTCTGTCACTTTTTTTCAGGCGTATGGAAGAGGCGAGCTCCTCCGCGATGGGGAGCAGTGGCGGGGCGGGACCGGCCGGTCTCGACCTGCCGACCACATCAGAAGCCGCATTCCTGGCCCAGGCGAACAACCTCGAGCCCGAACGTCTTGCTGTTCTTCAAACCCAGCTGCAGGTGCGTCTTTCTCAAGTATGTCCTCGTTTTTTTTTCTGATCTTATGGAAACTTTTTTGAAATTTTTTGGTGGGCAGAATGGTATACGTGGGAACACAGGTCGATAACTTGCATTCCCATTCAATCTGGCTCAATTTGAAGAGTAGAACACAACTGAACTTTTATCCAAAATGCAGAGAGCTCTGTGTTCAATTTCTAAAGATAAATGGAAAAGCCGCTAGTCGTGGGGAACTTTCGATGCTAGGATATTCCAAAAATAAGAAAAATCTCATATCTCATTGAAAATAAAGGTTTCATAAACCATCACCGAAAAACAAAAAAAGGTTCTTTGGTTCTGATCTCTTTTTCGTGACCATTTGCGGAATTCCTGCGTTTATGTGTTGTCTACCCAAATTACTCAGTCGGTACGTAATAAAATGAATGAGTCTGAGTCTAGACCATGTTTCTAGAACTCTGACAAGTTCTGAGAACATTTCCCCGCCACGATTTGATCGGCTCACAACCAGTTGTTCAGGTTTAGAGAGTCTGTTGTCAATCGAGTTGACCAAAAATAGAATTTTAATTTCAATTACTCACTCACAAACTCAAGTCAGTTCAAGTTCATCTCACATCAGTCAATTTGATCTACTCTTGCTATTTTCGCCTAATTTTTTGCCGCCCTTTTCTTTTCACGCCTTCTCGACGTGACACAAACCACTTTTTTCCTGCGGAAAAAGATAATTAATTGACGATCGGAACTCGTTAAAGGACCAGGGAACCCAAAATTTTTTTGATTTTTTTGTGAAATGTTTTTGTGACTGTTTGAATTGTCTCTTATTGCCTCATACACTGGTGAAATGCTGCCTCTCAAAAATGCCAATGAACGAAACGGCGTGCAGTTGAAGTTGTGGCCGTGGCCTAGCGCCAATGGCCGAAAAATATATAAAAAAATATGCGCTTCTCGGCCATTTTATTTTTTTCCGCTTTTTTTACCGGTTTTTTTACAAAAAAATTCACGGTTTCTCATATTTTTTTCAGTTGATTGACATTTGTTCGGCACTTACTTATTTTTTCACTGCTAAAAAATTGTTTTCATTCAGTCGATATGAAGTGCCAAAATGGGAGAAACCGTGAATTTTTGGAAAAAACCGGTAAAAAAGCGGAAAAAATAAAATGGCCGAGAAGCGCATATATTTTTTTATATTTTTCGGCCATTGGCGCTAGGCCACGGCCACAACTTCAACTGCATGCCGTTTCGTTCATTGGCATTTTTGAGAGGCAGCATTTCACCAGTGTATGAGGCAATAAGAGACAATTCAAACAGTCACAAAAACATTTCACAAAAACATCAAAAAATTTTTGGGTTCCCTGGTCCTTTAAATAGCAGCGGGAGATTGAGAAAGTTGCATTCGCCCATATACATACTCTCTTCTATTGTAATCCTAGGTAGGTAAGTCTCACTGCTCCTCGAAATAGTGAAACACGTCGGAGGGGCCAACATCACTATTTTGCCAGCCATAGACGATGCGCGAGAAGGGGGGTTATTTCCGGATGTGTCGAAAATAGAAGCCTGAAGAACCTGACGATGTTGTTTGTCGGTGTCTGTGTAAGAGATGAAAAGACGCGGAGGAAGGAAACGGCTCGAAAATAGTTACATTTCGTTTTCTTTTACTTTCCGCCTTCCATCTTCCCTTTTCCATTTCTATATTGTCTTTTTTCTCATCATTATAAAACCAATAAGTAGTGAAGTCGTCGCCATCATCACCGGCGTCGTTTAAGACGAAACAATGAGAATAGAATGGGAAGCAATCTGAAAAATGTAATGAAATTGGTTTCCTTTCTTGCCCCTTCCCCGCTCATTTTTAATCTTTCGGGTTAACAAGAATTTTGAAAGATTTTTTGATTTTTTGGTTCCTCAGGGGTTGCAAAGAGTTGACTTCCTTTTAAAATAACCTTTTGTCCTATTATATGTCGCACCTGAAAACCTAGTATGGTGCTTCATAGTCTTTGGCTCGAGACTTGAGCTCTTGGTCAGAAACGTTTTTCGAAAATCACCGGAAACCCCTAAAAATTCCGTCACTCTTTTGACTGACTGGTTTCAAAAATTCCAAAGAAGGCGTCAAGGGGGTGTCTGCGTCAGCGCGCATTTCGGAGATCATGTTTTCGGCGGTCGTGAACCGAATTTGCCTCGGATTTCTCAAGAAAATCTTCTTTCGCTGTGATTTACTAGTCATCAACCATCTTGCTCGAACAAGTACTCTTTGTCGATCCGCTAGGGTTTTCTTTTTTCGGCGGCCCTCATGTGTCTCCACTTATCCACACTATTTTTGCTTGCTAGTCATTTGGAAAGCTGAAAATAGAAAGTAGGAGATGTGAGTAGCATGAAGAGAGAGAGAGAGAGAAGGAGAAGGGATGAATGGCTTTCGGGGGTCCGCCGCAAGCCTCGTCTTGCTCTGTGCTTCTTTTCAAGTTGTGACTGACCATTTAGCAACATATAAGCGGCCACCCTCATACCTAATGACCCACGTTGCTTTGCTTCTCTCTTTTCTTCTTTATCCACTCGGCTTCTCAACATGCTCAGCGTTTTCATTTTAATTTCATAGCACCTCGTTGTTTGCGATCCCGATACGTGTGTTCCAAAGTTACTCGAACGGTTTGAATCTAAAAATAAGTTGACAAATCAAACAACGTCCGAGAACATCCACGTCTAGACAGTCTTCCCGCTCAACTCTAGGAAAATCGGACTCATTCAGATTGTGTGAGCCGCCACGCGCGCAAAACACAAAGATGGACATTCCCCTGTTGGTCTCGTATCGACGTGGTGTCGTCGTCCGCGTGTTTTGCCATTCATCTATTCATAGACACACATATGTACATGTACGCAACTCTTTCTCTTTCTCTTATCAACCCCCCACTCCCACTAACCTCTCATGATAAAAAGATAGAGAGAAAGAGAAAGAGCGAAAGATGATAGACGGTGAGGGAAACCCTCTGGGAGCACACTGTTTTCAGTTAGTTTCAAAGTGCGCAGCGCAACGCAGCTCAAAACAAAAAGTCATCGCCGACCGTCTGGCGCTCCAATGTTTTCCTTTGCCTTACCCATTCTCAAAATTTGCTTTTGATGTTCCCTTCTCTCCTTTAGTTTTTCTACACATCGCCGACCGCACAGACTCTTTCTTTCTTTCTCACCTAAAAATAGTGTGCCCCGCGGTTTTTCCCGTCCGATTTTGTTTGCTTCCCGTCTCTCTCTCTCTCTCTCTCTCTCTCTTCCTTCCTCTTTCGCTCTTTGCCTCACTCGGTTCCATCATTTTTTTCCTCATATTATGACGAGATCCGATGCCCGGGGGTATTGATTTTTCGGACAGTCCACACAATCGACCATCATCACTAAATATTTTTCCGCGCGTTTTGTGTGTGTGTGTGTGTGTGTATGATGTGTGCTTGCGTGGCTGTGTACATACAGTGCAGGAAAATAACAGGAAATGCTCCATGCGGAAAGCAAAATGCGCACCCCCCTCCTTCCAACCGCATGGTCATCGCCTCGCAAAACAACTTTTTTGCGGATTTTTTCCGGTCGCTCTCGAAATCTGCAGTTTTCGCCGAGTTCTAAGTTATTTATACCCCCTACCAAACCACCACCACGTATCAGTGGTAATCTTCTTACAAAACCAGATCCGATTGCAGAGATTTCATGCTTTTTCTCAATTCTCGCTTCCCAATTCTCAATTCCCCCCCTCCCCTCTTCCCCCTTTATTCCCCACAATCCTAAAATAGCAACTCGTTGGTCGCTTGCACACACACACAAACATACATGGTCCAGACGTGTAACAATTTCCCTCGTTTTTATTAGATGCAGATGAATGATTCATAGAACGTTGGTCTGTTTTTCAACCAATCTATAGCAGATTTAGCAGACAAAGTGCAGTTTATGTCCTTTTTTTCTGAAACAAAACGCGTCAAAGGCTAGCGGTTTTGCGCACCTGCCACAAATCTTCAAAACACATGTTTTGGTTGGTGTGAGAAAAAGAAAGCCAAACGAAAAAGCCCTTCCGTCGAATCACCTGACTACCTGTTTTGATTATTGAGCTTCTTCTCTTCTAGGTAATGAAGCATACAATTCTTGTGATGCGCGCTCGTGTTTAGTATTAAAAGTGCACACTATTACTATTACTAGTGCTGCTATTCTCAGAATGAGCTGAGAAAAAAAAAACTTCCTTCTCTCTCTCTCTCTCTCTCTCTCTCTCTCTTCCTCTTCTTCTTTTTCTTTTTAGTTTTAGTTTTTGTTTTGATCAAGCCAAGCTTCTTGTCTATTTTCAGACTTTTGTTGAGGCAAATCTCCCAGGACAACGGGGCACAGACGGGTAGGGACGGGTGAATGTGGCAACAACGGCCGTGCACTATGACTAATGAATGTGTGCGTCTAAAAAAAGGTTTTTCTTGCTCACTCATTCACTCTGCACAGAAAAGCAATGTAATCTCCTCGTGCTTCATCTCTCTCTCTCTCTTTCTCTCAATGAATTAGGTATTCTCTCTCTCTGTTTCCGCTTCCTGTTAGCGTGTTCCTCCAGCGCGTTCTTGGTGGGCAAATGCTAAGAAGCAAAACACAACTCCCTTACGATCAGTTTTACCCACTTGTTTTTCAGTCTATTTTCGTCTCCTGTCTGAATTTCAGATCGCTTACACCCCAAGGCTTCCGCTTCCTTCTCGGGGGGTCACAGGCTGATATTTTATTGCTTTTCCCAGAGCTACAGTCTAGGCGAATCGACAATAAAACGTCAGCGTCATATTTCTGCTGTGCTATAAGTGTAACCCTTTTAAGATTATTAGAATCAAAGAAAAAGTGCAAGAGATTACATATCCGTACATTTGATACAAATGAGTTGTGGCGCTGATGAGGGATGAGGATCAGAGATTGGAGAGATTAGCACTTTCGTTTTCTTTGTTATTTCGGTTGTGTCAGGTGACTCAATGACGGACCCTCGTTTTGATTTTGAGCATTTTATCCATAGGTACCCGGAAAAGTTCAAAATACTTTCTTTCTTCTTCCTCTTCCAGTCCCTCTGGGTCCAATAGATAACTCACGAGTACCCCATCTATTTTAGGAGCGGATTCCCCTTTTTAATGTATTTTGGTTGGAAGTCTGATCCCAATTCAATGTTTTTTGCAAAAAAGAATGTGTGTGTGTGTGTCTTTTTTTCGGTCTCAGAACCGCAATCGTAGTAAACAGATTTCAAGTGAGAGCAAGAGTTTGGCAGATTGACAGAGACAAATGCCCGCAGGATTGTTGCTGATTAAAAGTATAGCGATGAAAATGAGTCAATTTCCAGAAATAGAACACGCATAGTCATTCGTACGCACCGCACCGCACCGCACCCATTCGCTCGTTTCGCTAATGAGACTCCTCACCCCAACCCACTTATTTGTAGTATTGTTTTGTTCCTTCTTCTGCCATCCCATTCTTAACGTCGGAGGTCAGACTCATACCAATATCCAGATCATTCAACAGTTCAAGTATCTCCTCCTGCCAAGCACCGAAGCGCAAAAAAGAAAGAAGAAAAAGACGAGCGTCTGGTCTTTTTCTCTTGTCGACAACTCACAAAGTCACAAAGCTTCCTCTTTGTTCTGTCTCCTCGTGCTTCTGACAAAAACATAATTAGATCTTATTTTTGGGAAGGGGCTCAGACATGGTCGGAGTAGTCGGCCAGAAATAGCGACGGCGTTAGTCACCCACTGATAGCATAGCATAACATAACAGCAAGCGGAGATACCAAAAATTGTGAAAAAAATGCTTCATTTGCTGAGGATTAAGATATTTGAGATTCGACTGCCCCTCTCCATCTTTGAAAAGCTTATCCGACTCCTTCTTTCGCGCCCGTCCTCGTCCTCGTCCTCGTCGAATACTTGCTTTATTTACTATTCTTCTCGGCAAGGAAGAAGTCCATGAGCCATTTTTAGAATCCAAAGTAGCAAGACCCCCCTCCTCTTCGCTCCTTCCCTTTTTCCCCCACCCCTCGGCCCTCCCTCAATTTTTTGTTGCTTTTTGCATCGTTTTTCATCTCTGTTTTCTCTAGGTACATCTCATTGGCGTCACGCTTTTCCCTCTCCTTTTTAGGGGCGGGCAGGGAAAAAGAAAAAGGACAACACCATTTTTATCCGTCGTCCTTCTGGAAAAAAGCTTTGCCCTCCTTCCTCATCTCTTCTCGTCAACTCTCCTCCCCCCTCCCCCCATATTATATTCGCGAAAATCGAGAGCTTCTCTCTCTCTCCGTCCCGGGGGCCGTGGTCTGTCTGTGACACTTGATTTTGCTCATATTTCAGGAGTATCGGCAAAAGCAAATGGACCTTCTTGGTCACTTTCACCGAGCTCAGCAGGAGCTGAGCGTTCAACACATGCAGAATCTGTACTCGGCCCTTCAGCAGCAACAACAGGCACAACAACAGGCACAATTGCTGAGTCAGCACTCAACAGAGGATCAGAGTAGTGGACCAGGTATAGAGCGGGAGGTCTAGACTGGTGTACTTATCAGAAAAGGAAAGTACAACTCGAGTTCATTCAGTGAAAACGCGATGATTAACTTGATTAGAGAGCGGAGAGGCTTATCAATTCTTAGTAACATGTGGGAACAGGAAAGAATTAAAAGTTGTATAGTGAAACGTTTCTAATCTGATTTGATCTCTTCAATTCCTAAATGCACTTTTATTTTCAGCGGCGCCATTGTCGCTCGCCAGTTCGCTCACAAATCTCCTCTCATCATCAAGTGGAAATGTGTCGGTGCCACCGACGCCGACAAAAGAGCATCATCCGCCGCCGGCGGCGCCGTCGTCTAATCGAAAATGGTGAGTTTCCTTCCTTCCTTCTTGCCCACTCTGCCGACTACCGCTGATTTCCTGCGGAAACAACCGCCTCATTGATTTTCAGTGACATTCCGCGCTCCAACTCGACCACAATCTCTCAACTCACCAAAGATCGCCTCAAAAGCATGATCGCTAATAGGAGTAAGGGGGAGAGTGGCAGTCAGTCGAACCTGGCCACGAACAATGGGTCGACTGGAAACGGGCATGGGCATCATGAGAACGGAAGAAAGTTGAAGAACGCGAACTCGCAAGTCAACGTCTCTTCTCCGCACTTTGAGCCGTACAGACTGCCCTCAAATCTGGCGAACGCGCACAATCTGCAACAAGCCAGCGAGTTCCAGCTGAGGAAAGTCAACTCCGAGCCGAACTTGAAGATGAAGATACGTGCGAAGCTTTTGTCGAAGGGATCTAGTCCGGTTCAACATCATCAGCCGAACAACTCGCAGTTCAACTTCACTCATCCGCAACTGAAAAGATCCGACAGCGAAACTTCACAAAATGTGCCACTCGACTATATGCAATCTAGCTCTCAAACCAACCTACCACACCTCATGCTGCCATCCCCTTCTCTTCCAAACCTCGCTGCCGCTGGAGCGTTTACCGGGCTCAATTTGCCAGTTGGTATGTGATTATGGAAAAGGGACACGCGCAAAAGAACACGTTAAGGTCAAGATCTCAATGCATTCATGGCCGTCGCCAATCTCACACCATTCCTCAGCCTTCCTAGCTTGTTGAACAAGAAACTTGAGTTGGGTGGTTTGACCGACGAAGGAGGTGAGTCTTTTTGATGTTGTGAATTCTACTTAACCATGATTTTCAGACCGCAATGGCCTCTTGAGTTCGGCCTCCAACGCCTCGTTGACTTCGTCAATGAACATGGGCTATCAGTCACTTCTAAAGCAACAAATCCGTGACTTGGTGCTCCGTCGCAAGAGTCTGGTGCGAGAAGATCCAGAGGGTGAAGGTCTCGCCGAGCTCTACAATGGCCTTTTGCCACAAGCCAAGCTCCAGCAGCTCCAAGCACTCGCTACGGAAGCTGGAATGGGCACACGGCCTGAAGTTTTGTGCACGACTGGATTAGGCTACGATCAGGCGATGGCCAAGCACGAGTGTTGCTGTGGAAACAACAGTTCTCACGTGGAAAATGGCGCACGTATTCAGAGCATTTGGTCGAAACTGATAGAGCACGGACATGTCCAAAAGTAAGTTCATACTATTTTTTCTCATAATTTAATTTTTGTACCTATTTCAGGTGTGAAAAAGTAGTTGCCAAGAAGGCTTCTCTGGAGCAACTCCAACTCGTGCATTCGCAAACCTACACCACATTCTTTGCGGTTTCCCCGACAGCGTGTCTTAAGATCGATGCGAACTCTCTTCCGCTCAAGCGCTTTCTTCAACTGCCATGCGGCGGAATTGGAGTCGACTCGGACACCTATTTCAATGACAACAGCACACAGACAGCCGCCCGGTTGGCCGCCGGAACATTGATCGAACTCTCGACCCAGGTGAGTTGAATCCGAGAAACGGATAATAATTATAGTCATGAACTTCAGGTGGCCGAGGGACGTCTTCGCAATGGATTCGCGTGCATTCGTCCTCCAGGTCATCACGCGGAACACGAGCAAGCGATGGGATTCTGCTTCTTCAACAACGTGGCGGTTGCTGCCAAGGCGTTGCAGTTGAAGTACCCGAGCCAGTGTGCTAGAATTGCTATTGTTGACTGGGTAAGTTATCAGAGCCAGCTTTCCAAATTGTGCCAATTTTTAGGATGTTCATCATGGAAACGGGACACAGCTGAGTTTTGACGACGATCCGAATGTTCTGTACCTTTCGCTCCATCGTCACGACAACGGAAACTTCTTCCCTGGCACCGGATCAGTTACGGAAGTAGGAAAAAACGCCGGAAAAGGATTCACTGTCAACGTGCCGTTCTCTGGGGACGTCATGAGAGACGCCGACTACCTGGCAGCATGGAGGACTGTTGTGGAGCCGGTGCTCGGAAGTTACCGACCAGACTTCATCCTGGTATCCGCCGGTTTCGATGCAACTCACGGCCACCCGAACGCATTGGGAGGCTATGAAATCTCGCCGGAAATGTTTGGCTACATGACAAAGTCCCTTTTGAGTTACGCCAATGGAAAAGTGGTTTTGGCGTTGGAGGGCGGCTACGATCTCACGAGCATTTCTCAAGCTGCCGAGCAGTGTGTTCAGGTATAAAGGTTGTGCTCTTTTTCATTTTTAAATTGAGTTTAGGCACTAATTGGCGAGTCGGATGACGCTGGACGTTTGAGCTCATTAGCGTTAGAGTCGCTTCCCAATCAAGCGTGTGTCGAGACACTACAAAAGGTACACACTTTTTTGACAAACTTGTCTATTTTTCTTCTAAACTTGTGTTTTTTTTTTTCGTCATTTTGCGTTTGAAAAATACGTTACGAGACCAGGCCGGTAAATTTTCGTTTTACCGCTCTTTCAAATTCATTCATTTTGTTTTCAGGTGATCGCGATTCACAAAGGTTACTGGCCGGCTCTTCATGGCCAGCACGCTGCAATTGGCACGACGGAAATGCAGTGGAGGAACTTGAAATTGCAAGTTCAAAACATGCAACAACAACAACAACAAGCTCAGCAACAATAATAATCAAAACCGTATACATTTGCAAGAAAAACAAGACGAGTTCCTTGCATAATTCCAACCGATTCATCAAAAACAAATTCCTTCCCCTAACGCAAAATTTGGCCGAATAACCTTTCCCTAGATCTGCATATGTATCGAATCCAAAAAATCAAAAAAGTCCCCCTCTTATTGTGTTCTGTATTTTCCGAAACTTGTGATATGTTCATAATTCCTGGCGTAGTGGCTGCAAGAGAAATTGGCGATTTCTGTTAGCTTTTTCTAGATAATTCCAAAGAGGAAACGTTTCTTTTTTCATCGTCTTCACGGGATATATTGTATTTCCACTCAAATTCTTCTTTGTGTTCTTTTCTTTTCCGTTTTGTTCCCCTCCGCTTTTACATAGTTGATGGTTAGTGCTTTGGAGAAATGGTCTGTTCATGATAGCTCCTGACAGTTGTTCACCCGTCATGATTAGCACGCTACCAACGTTCGTGATCCCAGTCTTCTGATAAAATGTGATTAACTGTTGATGTTCCTCTTCCTGCTAGTCTTAACTCAACTCCTTCAAGGAATCCTCTCCAACTCTTCTTCATTTCAGTCTCAAAAAGTTGTTTCAGCATTTTATCCCCCCGTGATATGTATTTTTACCCCTGTCATCCTACCCACACCTGTCATACTCATCACATTTTCATTCAATTTCCCGACCAAAATGATTATGTGACTTCTAACCGTATCAATTGAACCCTTCACCTGTCCTTCTCCCCTCCCACCACTTCCCAATCTGGAATTACCCCCCAATCATGTACATTCATGGGATTTAAATTGTGCACCAAACTATTTCAATTCGTTTCTCTTGAACTGAAATAAAATAAAGACGTTATCTTTTGAAAAGATGAAAAATGAGAACAATCAAGAAGGGAAGAGCGTGCAAACTTTTGTGGACCTAATAAACATTTTAGCGCGTTCTTTCGTTCTTGACATGATTGTCGGGCTGATTTGAGGATTCTGGAGACAAAAAAGTCGTGTTGAGTTTTTATATTCACAGTAATCTGATTCCCAAACTGTTTGTGTCGTTTGTGCATCACCCATAACAAGTAGAAATAGGTGAGCACCAGGTAGACACAATTGAGCATTAAAAATACACCTAATATGACAAAGTCATTTGGTCATTTTGTAGTTCGATAATATCCCAACTCTAGTTTCACTCCGAAAACTTGAGCACAATGCCATTTTTTCCCGTTTCGTTACAGTTGAACTTCGTTGAAAAAAGTGGCGCTTCCGATGAGGAGCCCAGAAAACTGGTCGGGAATAGCTTAACTGATAGGCGGTTCGATGGTCACTGTTTATGGAAACCCAAAATACTTCATTGAAATGTTAGCGTTGCGTGCACTATTGCTCTGATTGTCTCGTTTCTCTGCGTCTCTAGTTGCTCTGGTACCTTGCTTCCCCCAACATCTCTGATCTCAGCGGCATTGATCGTGCCCGAGAGAGAAACTCGGACACGCTGAGCAGTAACCTTTCACTATTTTCCCTTTGAAATGGCCAACATTCACGTTCATTGTGACAATTGCTATCAGAATTCATGCAATTTCAAAGAATGCTTATTGGTCGATTGCCAACTTTGTCATGTTCCGCTTCACACTTGCAAACTTAAAGAGCACCTGGCCGATATTTGCAGAAGGGCGAGTCTATAGATATTTTCAGTCCGCCACAATGATAATGACGTAATTTAGGCTCAAGTTGCATGTCCAAACTCTGGAAATGGATGCAAGCTCTTATTGATCCGAGAAAAGATTCCTCATCATTTACCGAAATGTGTGGCCAGTGTAGTTGTATGCTCCAGGTCAATACTAGTATTGATTACGACAAAAAATGAACGATTTTTTGCAGAGATCGTTGCCGAAAACTGAACGCGAAACCTTGTAAGATACAATTGAAGCATATGGGAAGACAGAGCCAATTTGTCACAACCGATAGTGATCATCTTGACGTGAACCTCGCAGTTTTCGACCAGAATTTGATAATTGAAAGTTATCACTCATCCCGACCAAAAAGAGTGCGACAACGAGATCCAGTTCATCCGGCACATCCACTTATTCCTTTGAGGAATATGGTTACGATTTTTCTTTTTATAATTTGCAATTGACACTATTTTTTTAGCCATTTGACACAACTTCCCCAACAGAAGGATTCGATGATAGTAGTGAGGATGAAATGAGAGAAAAGGTTCGTTCTTTGAGCTGAAAGTTGAAAGCATGCGCTCTCCCTGCAAACTTGTTTTTCAGAGGGAAAAACTGAAGAAGTCTCGCATGGTGTTTGCCAACTGTTACATGTGTCAGATTGACCCATCAGTGCAGCATTTGCACACTCTTGGCAACGGAATGGATATTGAGAAGATACGGAAAAGAAGGATGACTCCACATGTGAACGATGTTTTCCACGATCAGCTAAATTTGAAGGTAGTTGGATGAAATGGAAATAGAAATAGAAATGTGAGTAGTTTTAGGTGAGCATTGCAGTCGAAAACGCTCCTGAATCTGTGCTGAAAAGTGAGAACATCCGCGAAATCAAGAAAGGAGGCACTTTGTATACATTAAAGTCGGTTCTTTTTGTATTCTAGTTGTACATTCCCATTCAGATGTTTGAAAACAGTCCGTCGAGCGGAATACGGCGATCATTGCTTGTCACAGCACACCCAATCGGTTGATCAGCTAAATGAAATGATCCTGAGGTGCCGAAATTTTGATGTACATACTTTCATGTTCAACAAAACCTTTCAGATGTCCAAACTGGTCGAGCGGTTGTGGTTTTACTGCTTCACGGATCAAGCTGAAATGCGGAGAATTGAAGTGAGCAGCACTGACTAACTCAAGTTTTAAAATAATCATTTTCATCAGGTTTCTACCACATTCGTCTACTATCAGCCATGAAATCCCGACAAACACTTTGTCAGTAATTGGCTCTTCAAATCTTTCGTTGGATAATCTTCCACTTTGGGTTTACGAGCTTCTCGGAGCATTCCTTCCAAGCTCATCACTTTACAATCTTTCACAGACCAACAAGTGATTTTGAATCTCTCTGAATATTCACAAAAAATATTTTAATTTTCAGGAAACTGCGTGAAATAGTGTTCCTCGGATGCAACTCGCATTGTTTTGTAGAACCCGTGTGGAAGAAAACTGATGTGAATGGGAAATGGGAGCAAAACGGATTTGTATGTTTCAAGATCAATTCTATTTACAGGCAGATCAGGCAAATTCAAAATTTCCAGATCTGGAAAGTCAGCTCAACTGAGCCACCTCCAAAACTGGAATGGACAGTTCCAGTTGAGCTCTCTCAACATCTTTCAAAGTGCTCTTATTTCGATCCGGTGACATATGAAGAAAAAATGATTCCAATTTTTCCTCGAGATTTGGAGTCGGAAATATGGAAAGGATTTGAGAACGAGTTATCGGAACGGTTGATTCGAAATGAGATTCTCGCCCTTCAAGAAGATCCATAAAATAATATTTCCTTTTCGAATTTGTAGTGATAGGGTGTATCCGGTGTAAATTTTGGCCAGAAAGACAGTTATTTCAAAATGTACTTGTTCCATTTGTTTGTTAGTTATTTTTGTTTCATAAAGTCTTGAATCCGTTTTCGTATGTTTTTAGGAACCGTAGTATGAATATTGAATCGAGTAATAACTTTCTTTGTAGATCTTCTGTGTCTGGAAACGTATTTTCCATTTTAGCCTGTATGATCACTTCTGGCGAACGGTATACACCTATGAACCTTGGACTGGAAAAAGAAAAGAGACAATGAGTGCAGAAAAATCAATACTAAAGCAAAACAAAAATGGAAACCGAGCACGAATAAGTGAATAAAACCAGTTAATGGCTGCCTTTCCAACATTTAGTCTATGTTCCATTCCTTATGCGGGTTGAGTTTGGCAGTTTGGTCTCTAGAAGACTTCTTGGCGGCAGTGCACGGTCAAAGACCATAGGCCAAACTGTTGGTTTTTTGGTCAAACTCTCTTTTGTTCTTCATGACTACATGCAAGCCTCTTCGCGGCAAGAAACGGAAACGGAGGCTTCCTCTACATAGCCTGAAAAAGCATTTGGGAGCCCGCCGGCTAATTAGTCAAAGTACAATTTATTAAGAACAGGGAGACGCTCCTCTTCCTGGCACTCTTCGGCGTATAGGACATCCGTGCTCCGGCAATCCATCGTGACAAGTCCTCGTGAAAAAACCAAGTCATAATAACGGTAAAACCTTACAGATTTCTATTTTAAAACTCTGGGGACAACGGAACTTGCGAGGATTGACTATTTTCAGCGAAGCGTAGAGTATGTCAATTATTGTGACAGCTTCTCATTGAATCGAAAATGAAAAACTACTAAAGGCAGTATCCATCTGCTCAAATTCTCGACATTTGACTCTCCGGCAGAAATCCGAGATTTGTAGCAGTTGTAGTCGCAGCGCCCGTGTCCCAGTTTGCACTTTTTTCTCAGAACCCATTAGTAAGGCTTGATGAAGGCAGTTAGAGCAAGTCGTTTTCTAAAAATACTTTATTCTTGGATAAGCGACATGGATTAATTGGCCTCATCGGCACCTACCGACACTCGAGGTGTGTATTGTTATGATTCGGGAGGGACAGGAGAAGAATGTGATAGAAGGAAAAAAGTGAATGAAAACAGGACGACAGAAAAGACGAGAAAAAACGGAGTAGGATAATATTGAATGATCGATCGACTGATTTAGCTGTAGTTGGTGTTGGCGCCGAACGAGTTGTTGAATCTGAACTCGAACACGTTGAAACATAACAATTAGAAATTCAAATTTCTCACGACACGATAAAAAATGATCAGAATTCCCACCTTTCAATGAATTCCGCAGACATTCCGATGCAGCGAACTTGGAAGTGATTATGTGCCATTTTTTGTTGTTTGGTGAAGCTGTAAACAAGCAGAATGTGATCTTTGTGCAACAGTTCCGAATAGCTTGCCAATGCGGACGTTTGATACTGTCGAATCGGGAGAACTCATGAACCAGGGCATCCATGTTGTTCATGGAATCGCGATGCGGAGAAGCCTCGCTGTACGGGAACACCAGGAAGTGCGGGTTTTCGCGTTCCATCGACAGACGCAGTTGCTCATTACGCCATTTCTCGCCGTGAGCCAGCCACTGCTCTTCGGCCGAGTTCCGGGAAGGTCTGGAAGGTTTAAAATTCCCTGGTGTTTCAAAAATAACTTAATATACCTTGGAGTTGGGGTTGGTCGTGAAGTGTCCTGCTCGCTATCCGAATCCAAGACAGACTGGCAGGCAGGGGCCGTGTGGATCACGGACGTTCGAACTATTCCATCCCCCATGTCATTCATGATGTCACGGTAGTATGTGGTCTCCATCGAGTATTGTATGGCCTGAATTTCTTTCGCTTTGAGTACCGTATCATTTCGGGTTCCTGTACCTGAATCAAAAACGGAATTCCTCGAATATTCTTCATCACCGCCTCCGTTGTATCCCTTGTGATCATTTCCTCCGGCATTTGCTCTCGTTGTTTCAGGAACTTTTGCAGTTTCTAGACAGAAAACGTACGTTCTTTTTCTATTCTCTATTACAAAATGTGTTCGATGTTATTCCGAATACATTATATCTCATGTCAATGCGTCAATGTGTGCAAAATGTGCACAATTTGACATTTTTCCTCTCTTCTGATCATCCCCACAACTACAATCTAGCGGTCCAGTCTCTCATCACATCACATCAAACTATATAAATGCGTTGTTTTTTCACTGAAATAATAGCTTGCCTAGGCTATTTCTATCTGAAGCGTATTGAGAAAAAAGAAGAGCATCGGATGGCCAACCAATTAATTATGAGTCCTTTTCACTCGCGTTAATAGTTTAAAAGTGTGAGACAAACAAACTTTTCCCCGCTGAATTCCGCTGAAAGAGACCGAAGAACAGTGTTGAACCTGATGTCTACTTGCTTGCGAAATCGAGCATGCACAAACACGTACGGACACAGAGAAAAAAGATTTTCTGCCCTACCGGTCATCAATTAAACATAGCTCTAGTCTCAAATTTCCTCCATTCTAAGTGCGTTAATTCCCCCGTCTCTCACCGACGACTGAATAAACCAGGCGATCGCCGAGAGAACCATTCCCAGAAATCCGAGTATTGTCAGGATTCCGGACAGAAGTAGCAGGTCGTTCTGCATAATCCCGACTCCGAGACCTTCAAAAGTTCCGCATACTTTATAGACGAACACAAGGATTCGGACTCACCGACAAGGAAGATGCCCAAATTGACAATAGCGACGAAGATGAAGAAAACGCGAAGAAGACGTCTCATTTCAGCGGTTCCCAGTTTGATTTGTGCGACAACTGAAATGAGTAGCGAGGTGAACACAGTGAGCAAAACAGAATTACAATGAGGCAAGAAGGCAACAAAGCTGTTTGCTTCTTCCTCTCCCGTTTGCGATGAGGTAGAAGGGAGGGGAGGAGAAAAGTCAAAAGAAATCAAGAATGTGTGAAAAAAGGCTCGAGAAAGCGGCATTCGTTCTCATTTTCTTGTGGTCCAATGAATTCAGGCGACAAACAGACTTGGATAAACATGATCCTCTTTCGCAATGACCAAACTGACATCTCTTTTTCTAATTTCGTTCAGAGAACTACTCAAGTAGTAATGGATGGAAGGACGAGGATTATGATTGAGTTATGAGTTTATTGTGAAATTTTTTGGGATGAGAATGTGATTGTTCTACAAAAAGAAAGAAATGTTGAGAATGAATGAGAATGCTCAAACTGAAGCCGAGGTACGGCTCAAAAGGGGCGGAGCTGAGAGCTTAGAGGCCGCCGACCGCTGACACAAACCATACAAGGCGGGGCTAAGCGAATATCGGAATGGGTAGCGAGAGATGAAAAATAAGACGGGAAGTAGTTAAAGCCTTGATATCGGATTCTCATGCAAAACTGAGATATTTGTTGCAAACAGAGCTCAATTTTTAGGCTTAATGATACAGCCGTTGTCCCAAAACAAGAAAAAGTAAGGGGAGGGGGGGTTATTTACGGGTGTGAAACCTCGAATTTGATCTAACACTCAGCTTCATGCTCATTAGACAAGAGCGTGAGCGTGAGACGAGGAGGAGGAGGAGGAGAAAAAGAATAAGTAGAAGTTAGAGCAGATTGAGGAAAAGTTGTGTTGTCAAACAGAAAAAATAATATGCGTGGCGGAAGAAGTCAATGTGGTGTGCGCATGCACCTTGGAACAGGATTTTGTCGTCCGAGTACAACGTGGACTCGTGTTGATGTACTGGGGAGATGTCTCGGATAAAAATGAAGGGCGACAAACAACAAAATGAGTGAGTCCCGTGATTTGGGTACAAGGAGAGAGGGAAAAAAGGTTTTTGAAAACTAACTCAATGTTGATCTTGAATACAACCAAAATCACGAGCAAGTCAGAATAGTTGGAAACGCGAAAACACGTGAAGACTATGTCTTTGAGGAAAACAAGTAAAAATGTGTCTTCAACCGTACACTTCATTTCACAAAAGCAGATGATCTTGTTGAACCCTCTTAGCTCGGATATGTCAGACGAAATGCCAGACCATTTAGGAGCAATGAATCGAATTACGATCACGCGTTCGACACGCAGCTCGCGGCGATATCTGCTGACGTACATCTCATCATATTTTCTCCGAGTGTGTCACATCAGAAGGTTTTTTCTTCGATCACACTTTCCCCGGACCACCGCACCGGATGTTTTGTTCTTGCAGTAGGTCGCACTACTCATCTGTACCTGACCAAAAATTTCTTTCCCCCCATTCCTCCTCTTTTCAAACGCGCTGCATCTGAGCGTTTCCTTTCAGGCGCACAAGTCCTAATTAAAATAATTGCTGGCATGACATGGCTATGTGTTGGGTTCGAACAAAAATTTTTGTGGGACACTGAGCAGAATAGAAGAGGAGAGCTGAGAAATGAGCTTTTTCATAAGAATTGAATCCAGCGCAATCCAAAAAAAAAACGGGGTGGCTGAATTATCTCGATTAGTCAGTTGGCAAACCGAGGGAGAGATACTTCTCGGAAGGGGTGCTCAAATAAAAAAGTTTTCGGGCACTGGCCTGAGTGATGAATACGACATCGGGACAATTTTAGCGTACGCTCCGTTTCCTAACGGAGCCAAAAAAGAGGGAGAGAGAGAGAGATAGAAAATGGAAAAATTTTGAGTTGAGATAATCCGTCTGGACAATTCTGGATGGCTTTAGTTATGGTTATGATGATGTAAAGTTGAAATGACAAGATTACGGCCGCATTTTCCGGAGGATACAATGACAATGATGATGCGAGTTGATGCTGATGCGTATTAGGAAGGAAAAACGCGAGTTGCTCCGGAGGCTGACAGGTTGTGAGGGACGAAATGAAGACGAAAGGCAGTAAGGTGTAATTGCATCTTTCGAGATATGTTTGCGTTGTTCACCCTATCGTGACGTTGGAATACATCACTTGGGTTGAGTTTGAGGCCGACTTCAAGAAGAAAGTGTGAACTTTTGCAAAGTCGTTGGGATAATGAAAGGTCACAAATATTATCGACTTCCAGTTTTCTGGCGGTTTTCTGGTTGAGACCAGCCAGATCGACCAAACTTGCCGCCGAAGGGATGGGGAATATAGCTTTCAGACTGGTCGCAGTAGATGTAGAACATGAAAATCGGGCTCATAAAACACAATCCCGACTCGAGTTCAACTAAACTATTTTCAATTGAGTCCATCAAATAAGACAGAGGAATGTTGAGGACGTTTCACCGCGAGTGTTTGCGACACATGCCCAGAAAATATAAAGAAGATGGCCAAATGAAGAAGGAAACTTGCAAAAAAAAACGCGCGAGTTTTGTGGTGTAAATTGAGAACATAGCAGAACATGTGACAACGCCTCTTCCAGAAGGGGGCGCCCGGACACACAGAGAAATTCGAGATTTTGCGCAACTTTTCTCTTTTTAGTAGTGGTGAGTGGCAAAGTGGATGTTAGCTTTCAGCGCAACAAACTTGTCTGACCGCAAGCGATCAAAACCCATATGTGCACACTGAAATAGACGTTTTCCGGACTAAAAACTGAAGAAAATAAGTGGTCTAGTCATCGAATTTCTTGGAATTTCACATTTGCAGTGCATCCGGCGTCTAATTACTCAGTGTAACATCAGTATTTTTGATTGAACCCTTGCTCCACTTTGAAGAACTATGGTGTTGAGGATGAGGGAAGATACACGTTCATCATATTGTGATTGGATGAAATAAAGATATTTTACCAGTCAGATACCAGAAATCTTTAGGGACCGCTGTTGTTTTTCAGATTAATCATGGCGACTTCACTTCAGTTTTCCGTTTTGACTTGGATGGATCACAGAATGAGTTTCGATTCTGAACACTTGACAAGGTTAGGGTAAACTCTTCCTGGCCTGGTAAGTCTTGCCACCCCCCTCACTTCTTCTTCAATTTGCGAGTACTTGAGCTGAGTCCAAGTTGTTTTTGTTATTGGATTCCAAAGTTTGTGCTAAAGAGAATGTCAGAGCGTTGATTATAGTCATTATCAGCACTCATTGACGCACGGAAATTTCTCCAGGGAACGGTCACATGAGGACCAGTCGAGAGTCACTCATAGCTTCGCTCATTGTGTTTCAGACAGGCTATTGGCTTTGTTAGAATGCTTCTTTTTCTGAGATTTTCTGATAGACTGTTAGGTTTGTCATCCTGGCCGGCATGGTCTGGCCCGCTATGACGAAATATAAGAACATTTTTCGGAAAAGTCCGAGAAAAGTCGAAATTCCTGTAAAATTCTGGAGTCATCTCATTTATGTAACAAAGAATCGCTCTCTTCCGAGTATACTTCACGGAATATATGGTAAAAACCCATAGGCCCGGACACCAGGGTGCCGCTGTCTGCGTGGGCCATCGCGATGGATACCAATAGACAGAGTAGTGGCTGCCGACATTTTTCCGCGCTTTTCTTTTTCCCACAAAACCTTTCTCTCTAACTTGGCTTATTGAACGCTCATGAGTTTCAGTTCAAATAAGATTTCCCAATTCCTTTTTCACTTTTTTGCTGGTTGTGATTCACTTTCATTCTAACCGGTCACGAGAAATCCACATCTCGACTGCGCCGCTTAAAGGCTACTATTATGAACTCAAAAACCCACAATTTTGAGCCCAATTAGTAGACTGATTATAGGCGCTATCTTTCCTCAATGACGCGAAAAAATCCCCTGAGGCGCAAGAAGCGCCCACTTTTTTGTGAGCACGGGTACACTGAAAATTTGAGCCCTTGTGATTGACTCACTAGCATCCGAGGCTCCAAAAAAGTAGATTTTTCCTGACTTAAGAGTAAATCTCGATTCAAATACAATCCAAAACGGATGAGAATGGACATCTGAAATGTATTTGAGATAGGATTCGGTTTGATAGTTGTAATCGTAGTTTTCTGCTTGCACCGATTGGATGTCAAATGCCAGATTCTTCTTCTCAACTTCCCCGTTTTTCTGTTAGGTTCTGTGAAACTTTAAATGAGAAGTCGAAGAACTTTTATGATCTCATAGTTACTTTTTTCTTCATTTTTGCCATAAATTTACTTTCTACAGCGCCTTTTCCAATGTCATTCGACTCCCGTTCAACTCCGCCAGTTCCGCCTGATGAATTCAAACTCCATACGCTGCCACTTGTGCCTCTTCTAGAATTCCTAGGAATGTGCACCGTGGATGATCTGTAAGTCAATATTAGGCCCATTAGTTTCAGTAGTAAATGTTCAGGTTTAACCTGAAGACGGCAGACGAAGCCGCCTACCCAATCATCCAAGAATATTTGGAGCGGAAGCTTCATAACACACAATATGAACTGATTCTCACTGAGAAAATGTCGGAGATCCGTCTGAGATCTACCAAACCCCCCAATCTGGATCCAGTTTTCCGTTGGAGTTTTATCGAGCGAAAAGAACGGGACCATGATTCATTGTAAGTCAGAAAAACAGTTTTCCACAAGTGGTGTCAAATATTTTAGTGATTCCGATACGGGCAAATGCAGTCATTTCATTGAGAATTCGGACACTGCTCGTCCGGCTATCACTCGTCTGCTCGAGTGTTTGGATGTTTATCCGTTGCCACTCAAGTTCATAATTCTACAGGCTGATACCTTTTTACGCGATGATCTTCTCAAACTGGTTGCTGAAAAGCTTGTCGAGGTGAAACTCAGCGAGAACCTGCGCGTCGTCGGACACGGTCAGACGTCCGAAGCGTGCTCGACTATTCTCGGTAAAATGATCGTGAAAAATGAGATATCAGTGAGCAACTTCTATCCGGAAGAACATTTCGATATCCAAAAGGTATAATTTCATCATGAAACCACAAATCAAACCATAATTATATATAGGCGAGCCGACCTATGAGCTTGACAATGTGGCTGAACACGGCAACTCCGGAAAGAATTATTGAATGTGCTGCCATTGACAGTGTCATTTATCTGGATGAGTTCGCCCACGCGGATGTGGACGAGTTGATTCGACTGTGGATGAACGGAAATTGCACAAGAATCACGAATCTTACGCTCCTGGTGAACGCTTATGAAGAAGTAGACAATCATCGTTGGTTTCAAGGCTTACACTACCGTAGGGACCAGGTGTGGATGCTGTTTGACGGGTGAGAATCAGTTTGATAAACCGAATTAATATATCGCTTCAGATTTCATTTCGACTCGGATATTAACCGAAGTAACCGTGAGCAGATGTTCAAATATATAGGGATAGATTTTCACCGTCCGGATGGTTCAGTTGCAACTGTTTTCTACTCAAAGACTTCCAACTATCAAAAGTTTGAGATGATTGTGAGACGTCCTGGCAAACAAATCAGCCCGAGTATCTTTTCGTCTGACGCATTAGTCATTCGACAACGAGAGCAATCTACATTCAAATTCCACAAAAGCACCAAAGTAACATCTAAACGCGACGAAACTATGGACCTTTTGCGTGAAACAAACGATGACGAAGAGATTCACCGACTGAATAGAGTGTTATTTGAGTGCAACTTCGAAGTACACTATCTCAGATGGCTGAAGTGTCAATTGGAGCATTGGGAGGAGCAGTTGAAGCAGGAACGCAGACACTGGGAGACGTCAGCCGAGAGAGCTTTGTGCGGTCACTTTTGTCTCGATAGACAATGGATGCAAAACATTCAGACGTCCGTCCGCGTGTTCATCGTCGATCATGTGCACAGAAGAAGACGATACACTCTGGAAGGACTTCCGCATCTCAGACTCAACGGATGGAAGAACTTGAATGAATGCGCCGGACGCAAGTTGGTCAAACGGTTTTTCAATGTCCTTTACTGAATTACTCTGTTTTCGGTCTTCCATCATTCTCTCTTCTTTTCAGTTCTTCTCTCTTATAATCAGACTTGTCGCGGTAGTAATGCGCCAGGCGGTCGGCTTTTTTAAAACTAAATTTTCCAAGTGAAAACAACAACAAACCGTACATTTTTCAAAGTTTGTGAACCCGCGCCGCCCGAGCCAGTTTTTGACAAGTCTTCTTCCTGTTGATTCTATATTAATCAAAATTTACCCAAAACGCACTCAGAGACTGAAATAATTCTGCGACCAAGACTGATGGCCTAGTTTTCCAAATGGCCGTGACCTAATAAATAGTCGCAATGATCCGTTATTCTTCATCCTCGAATACTGCTGATATTTTTCAACCTTCCAATAAACTGTTCTTTGAAAAGTGATCCAGAAATTACTTTACTCAACTTTAATGCATCATAATACAGGAGGTGAAGTGGTTCCAATCGGGCGCAAAATCAGCAATATTATGGAAGAAGTGCCTGTGTTCGAGGCGTGAGTTGAGGTATAAGATGGTGTTTGGTCGGCAACGCGAAACGAAAAGGATGGGAATGTTAAGGCCATAGGGAACAGAGGTGCTGGAAAAGCAATAAGGCACTTATACACATAGTTTGAAACGGGAGGGGAAACCTGCGAAATCGGGGAGGGTGGGGGAACTAACAAATCCTAAGCGAAGGAAAAGTGAATGGAAGAACCCAGACGGGGGGACAAGTGAAATGATGGGGGGAATATGTTTGGTTCGGAAAGAATAAGGTCTAATTAACAATAATAAGTGAGTCGAAATTCAATAAAATACAATTCAATTAAGAAATGATATCGCTGGGGAGGGAAGAGTCGGTCTAGTGCTTGGTGGAATTCTGCTGGGCCCTCTTCTGGAAGATCGGGATGCCGAAGAGCATGAGTCCGGAGATCTGGAACAAATATTGATTGCTCAAGAAACGGTCGAGAGACTTGTAAGCTCACCAAGAGATTGATACCACAGAAAACGAACGAGAGGGTGTAGTTGCCGGTGAGATCGGCGAGGTATCCAGACACTGGTGGTCCGAACACGGTTCCGACTCCCTGCCAGAGGAGGAGAAGTCCGAAGGCGTTGGTGAGTTTGTCAAGTCCCAGAAGGTCGACGAGGATGACGGAGGTCAGGCAGATGTACGAAGCGATAGTGAATCCGAAAGAAGCGGCGTAGACCGTCAATGGGATGTATCCTTCGAACTTGTAGCAGAAAGTGGTGAGCACTCCGCAAATCTGAAAACGAGTCGGTTACCGAAAACGTATAGGTAAGTATTGCTCACGGTCAGCGAGATGTTGTACATCCACAGACGGTTACGGGCGGTGTCATTTCCAAGTCCGAACGGCAGGGGCAGCTTGTGGTCGGCGACGACTCCGAACATAATACGGCCAATAGTGTTGCTGATGCCGAAAAACGAAAGAATTTCGGATCCTTGAAGAGGGGTGAGTTTGAGCTGTTTGGCGTGGAGCGGGAGGAAGTAGAGCGGCGAGTTGAATCCGACAGATGTGAGCAGGTTGGAGATGGCGAACATGAGGAAGGTGGGGTCGGCGAGAAGCGGCAAAGAGAGCATGTTGCTGATGGTCCTGTAAACAAAAAGCAATTTATTCTGAATGAAGTCGAGTAAACTTACTTGAACATGTTCTTGCCCTCCACGTTGTCGGTGTTGTCGGTTCCGTTGGTCTTCTCGCTGACGTCCAAAGCCTTACTGTCCTCCTCGCTTCCCTCGCGCACATCATCCAGTTTGCCGGTCGAGTGAGCTGGAATGCTTCCGACGGTCGGGTGACGTCCGTGCAGAGATCCGGTCGAGCGGTACTTGTCCGGATCCTCACGGAACTCGGCGACGTTGGAGATTGATCCAGTGTAGAAGACGTCCTTGCGGTTGAGGTATCCGCTGTCACGCTCTCCGACGGTTCCGCGGCGGGATCTCGGCTGAGACTCCACATCGACGGCTCCCATTGAGCTGGCCGGACGGATCTTTTCGCCACTGCGCTGAACTCCCGAGCTCTGGGAAAGGGATCTCTCGAGGACTGCCGGTGGACTGAGGAGAGAAGCCTTCTCGTGATGCTCCTCGTTGGCGACAGACTTCTTCTTTCCGTCCTCCTCAAACACTTCGTTGTTCTCCTCCTCATCGTCACGGACGAGAGCGAACTGCAGCGGGGCAAAAGTAACTCCACAGAGAGCACAGAGCACCAGAATAAACATGAATGCCAGGAAAACACTGCGCCATCCGTAGTTGTTGATTAAGAAGGCGTTGATCGGGGCAAACAAGACGGTTCCTACTCCAGCACCAGCGACGGCGATTCCAGTGGCCAGGGAGCGTTTGCTGAAAGAAAACGTGTGTTAATGCTTCTTGTGAGTGTGTAATGATGGAATTTGTTCTTCTGTCGAGTGCTAACTCACTTCTCAAAGTACATGGTGACGATGACAATGGCCGGGCAATACATCAATCCGAACCCGACGCCCATGACGACACCGACGCTGATCACAATGTGCCACATAGCAGTTGCGAAGTACGAGCAGACACATCTGAAAGAGTCAGGGTCTTGATCGATTATGGGATTCCAAGCGTACCCGACAAAGGCAATGCAAGCTCCGATGATTGTAGTGATACGGCAACCGTACTTGTTGCAAACCGCAGAGGCAAGTGGTCCCGATCCGAGAGTGAGTCCAGTGAGCATCGAGATGATGAGAGCGGCCATCGTGTTGTTTGCATCAAACTCCTGAAATAAACCAATGATTCAAAAGCTCCGGTTCACTCGGATCAGATTCACGTGAAACTCGGCTCATCGAGCACGCTTCGTCTGTTCACCAGCCAAAGAGCCTACACATGTGACAGCAGTGTTGTTGACAACGAAGAAAGCCTTTAGTCTGGGCGCATCCGCCTATACTCACCTCCTGGAGAGTATCGACGAGCACTCCGAACGAGTAGACGAATCCGTCGGCGAAGACGTGAATGAAGAACGAGCCGATGACGACGACCCATCCCCAACCGCCGTCTGGAGCCAGTGGAACCAGCTTTCCGCCACCCGATGACACCGGTGCGCCAGTCATTCCGATCTGAAAATGACAAGGGGTTTGGTGAAGTGAGAAATAAGGAAGGAAAAACAAAAAGAAGAAGAGGAAGAAGTAGAAGGAGGTGTACGGCGGCCTCAGTTTCGCTCTCGCTCATTAATCATGTTCACACTCTCAGTTCTTAGTTCTCAGTGATACCATCAAAAAGTCTACTCGCCGATTGCAAGATTCGTTAGATATAAATCTTTCGCACTTTTGTTTGTCCAACTAACATCTACCGTATCGCTGCCCGTATTTGTCCGACAAAACGACAAATTGTAGAAGGTGTAATTAGCTGCTGCTGCTCGCACAACAAAACAGTATCAATGAGTGACTGGCCAGTCAGCCGGGATCGGATAAATTGTGAAGACGAGAGAGTGAGAGAGGGAAAAGAGCGCGAGGGTGGAAGGGCGGGAGGCAAGAGAGCGTGTGGTGCGCGGAGGGTGTGAGAGAAAGGGCACCCGTTGCAGACCGCCGGGCGGAGACGAGCGGAAGCGGCAGAAGACCGACGACTGTAGGGTCGGAATGAAGACTAGCCGGCGAGGATGGAGAGCAGGAGGCGGGCCACAAGAGGGACAGAGAGAGAGAGAGAGAGAGTGGAGGCGCAGACACTGATTGCGAACCGAGGGGCCAATTGCACTTGGCACTAAAAGGGCACCAGGGGACAAAGTCTCATGAAGATGGTTGGCACGAAGACAGTTTTATATAAAGTTTCCCAAAGGGCGGGGCATAAAATCTATCCGTTCAATTATCAAAAGTGACGGTTTCTGACGGTTTTGTTTTAAGTTTTGGTCGGACTATGCTCAAAGAAAAGTGTAACATTTATTTTGAAACAGAGAGAGAGAGAGAGAGAGAAAGCCTTTCTGGTTGAGAAATGAAATGGAAATTCTAGAAAGAAAAGCTTCTATGTTTTCCATAGAGGGCAAACAAGGAGAAGTGAAAATGCAAAATATTTCCGTTTTTGCTCCATATATAAAGGTGCAGAAGCCGTAGAAGAAAACAAACGCCTCCATGGTAACAAACGTGACTAAATCGGATTCCGGTTGGGGAAACTGCGAAACCTAACACCAAGTCCTTGTTTGGCACTTGAAATCCTAACCACTTCAGTTTCTTCTCCAGAATTCTTTCTTTCTTGGCACGTAAACCAATTGTTCTCTGGTCCCGAATTGACTGTTCGATTGGAAATGTTATGTTTCTAATGTTCCACTAACAAAAGGTCACTCAGCTCCAAAAAATGTGCATGTGTGTGTGCACTTTTAGCTCCAATTACTAACTCTATGCCCAGACACACAGGCCAGACAGCCGCATCTGTACTTTTACACTTTTCTTCTTTTCAAACACGGTCACCAGATTTTGAACAATCCCCGCTTGCAGATGTCTGGAAAAAAAACAGAAAAATGTAATAAAAGAAGCGAGAAACAGTCTGGCTCTTTGAAGATGCCGACGTTCTGGCTTGAAGCTAAAGAATGGGAAAAATGACGAATGGTGGTGAAATATGACGGTCTTTCTCAGGACTTTTTCCCTTGAGAAGGACACCACTTGATTTTCAAAAATATTTTGGCGGTGCACCACAACCCGGTCAAAGGAGGAATGTTTTTATGAATCACAAATAATTGGTGGATAATGTTTTGGAAACCTAGACGGAATCTTTGATCATTGTACCTGTTCACATAGCGTAACCTTACCATCTTTTCGCAGCTTTTCAGAAAAAGCAAAGAAATAAGACAACATAAATCACAAGCTGACATTATCGTTGAAAACCCATTTGCTAACTGCTAGACTATTGGCGGAACCGTTTTGGAGACGCTTTCTTATCAGTTTTCGGTCTGTATGTGTGTGTGTGTGTGCATAGCGGGTTTACAACCCACTCATTAGAAGACGAATTGGGAGAGAATGAAATTAGAATCCTTTCGGGACCATAACATTAATTTTCTTTTAGTTTTCTCGAGAAATGACGTCAAACCTTCCTTCGTTGGCAACCCAGTTTAAATTCAGAATTCAAAATTCAACGAAGTGCAACTTTTGGCGGCAAGTCGTAAAAGGGCAATCACCCGCCATAAAGGAGACAAAGTGCACTTTCACTTACTCGGACAGGTCAAACTTTTGTTCTTTTTGTCTCTTTAAATAACGAACGGGAAAAATATTTGAAAGAAAGGGGGTTGGGGTTGAAAGTCGACATACATCTGAAATAATGATGACGAGTTTTTACACGTTTGGACTCGGATGGTTTTGGCGTCATGTAGACGCAGCGCAGGTGGAATTTCTCCTCCCCCAAATGAATCCCGATGATAGATACTCGACAGCGAATGTCTGAGTGTGATGATGATAGCAGAGATGATAACTGGTGTCCTTCAGGCACTGTACACAAAAGGGACGAAAGAAAGAACCCGAGGAAAAAGTGGAGAATAAGGTGTGATAATTCTAAATCAACATTCAAAAGCGGATCATTTCTGGGCATCTTTCGCCTTCTCGCCGCCGTTTTGGGGCCATGCCTAGACCAAGTTCTGCAGAAAAGATAGAGAAAGAGAAGGGGGTTCATGAAAGTGAATTCTTTTTGACTGACTGATTTATGAGGTCCTTATAGAGACTAGATACCAGAACATAGTTGCAATTATTTGCAAAATAATATAATTGCAAAATGAACTGACTTTCCTCGAATTTTTATAGCATTTTCATGGCCACCCGGACCAGATTTTCTTAACTACGCTTGAGGAAAGAAAAAAAGAAGTTGGTTTGGTTAGTTAACGAGGAAAAAGAAAGCCAAAATGCACTTTGGAAAGCACCGAACATGTGACAGACGAGCGTTCGGCCTGGTCCGTCATCAATTGATGCGACTCGAGTGTAAAGTCGGTTGTTCGGGTTTTGTTCGGAACATGTTGAATCAAAACATTCGTGTTCTGTTCAAATTTGAATTCGAATTCGAATTCGAATTTCAATACAACTCAAACCTGTTGTGAATGGAGACTCACAAATAATGCAATAGAACGAAGTATACTAGACCCAATTCGTTCTGCAACAAAACCGTGCCGTCAAAAGCTGATAAGGGGGTGGGGGAGATAAAAACTAAAGGAAAAGTGATAGCAGTTTCAATGACAATTCGTGTCACAAACGGCCGAGATCAATGGCCTGGGGCCACGTGTAAAGGAATGCGACGCCGATTTTTCTCCTTTTTTGTTACAATAACAGAAATTATAACGGCGTTCGGGTGATTGATGAGTTTGGAAATGCGATGGGATTCATATTAGAGGTCGAAAGATGATACGTTTTTTTTTCTTTCATCGATAGGGATTGGTCACGTTGTGTGGAACCTCGCGGTGTCCTCTGCAATCAACTGATCTCAGCGGGGGTGGAAAAAAGGTACTGGTTGATCGCGTCAACTTTAAAATGTGTTGAAATTGAGCAACCAAGTTATTGAAGGTTTTGAGCCATAAAGGATCCAAACTTTATCAGGTCCAGACCGATTGGATTATCTGGCGTGTCCAGGCCTAGACTTTCCAATCTTTGGAAGCTTTTCATACTTAGACCCGACATAGTTGAATCCAAGTATGGAAAGCCTGCAAAGTTCGGGCCCAATAGGATTATTGCAATTGGATCGAAAGTCTACTCCTCGGCAGATCTTCGAAAAGCCTGAGCCGGTCTTTTTCCCAGTCCTGCTTTAGACAAAGTGGTTTAGTCTGACTAAAAAATGGCAAAAATTGGGTCAAAAAGTGTGCGAAAAGCAAGCGCCGAGGTAGGTGGGCGGAGGAGACGGGGCAAATATACATAATTTACACTAAACAGCTGTTCCCGCGAGTCGTTTGGCGACAAGTACTCTCTGAAGTCTCCACACTTGACGTGTTGTCTACCTCAGTGGGTACTCATATCCTCCGTCTATACCTGGCACTTTCTCCCAAAATATACGAAACGAAATGTCTGATAATGACGGGCGGCATTTCGCATTTCGCATTTCAACGGAAAACTCAGCGGGGCAGAAAGAAGAAACTACGCATTTTCAATTTCCAATCTGGTCAGCCTGAGGAGGTCGTGGAGAAACCAGAAATCTATGTAGTGTACATACTTATCATGAAATTTCGTAGAACCGATTTTTCGAGCAAATAAACAAAAATTCGAGCAGGCTTCTCAGTCAATTGTTTATCTTTTTGACTATCGTGATGTCGAGAAGCGAATGGATACAGCACGGAATGGACCAGAAAAAGTCTGCACATCATTATTGTTTACGAGACAAAGTTGAGAGATTTGAGGAACGGGGGTCAATGTACAGGTCATTCGGACACTTTTCAAAAGTATTACGAATCAGGGATCGAGTTACAGAGGAAAGTGAGAGAAAGAGAAAAAGAAAGAGTGAGAGTAAGAATGTGTCGGGTTTCAAACAACAAAAGCATTGTTGATTGGATTAATCCCTTCGGAGGAAGCTATGTATGGATGGATGGAATAATAGGGAAATTGGATTATATGGGTAAAGAATGATGTAGAACCGGATAAAAATTGTTCCAAAATAAAACTCATTAGCTTAGTTTTTATTTTCGGCGTCTCGAGCAAAAGCGCTGATCATTCTACGCTAATCTGATGCAAGAAGTTGAAAAGCAACTAAAGCGAACTCTTTCTTCTTCTTCTTCTTCTTTTTCTCTCAGTTCCGCGTCATTGAAAAAACACTCGACGACTGAAAAAGAATGGTGTTTATTGCCGAACCGTTCCGTATCTTTCAAAAAGAAAGATACACACAAAATGTGAGAGTTCTGGAAAAAAAGTTCGCCGCATTTAGCGAATACGTTCGGAGAATAGATTATTTCTTCAATTCTCGGAGAGACGGCAGAGAGTATGTACTTATTCTTAATGAGTTTTCTATTTATACTAGAAAAAAGAGAAGAGAAAGACAGAGATCATAGCCATAGCCCCGTGGATAAAGATGTGAAACGCAACGGTTAGGTATGTCTGAGAGATGTATGCAAAAGAGTGCGCGGAGTGAGTGGTCAGCAGAGTAGAAAGCATAGAGGGGGAGGGGAGCGGTGGTCTTTGTGTTGCTCATGCTTCTCCAAATGTGATGTAATCTCTCTTTCTCGCCACCAAACAGACGGAGGTCCTTTGAACGACGGAGGAGAGCGCCCGAATTGAAAACGTTTTTGTGAACGATGAATAGCCAGACGAATTTTTAAAGGGTCAGGGAATTCTCCCAGTTTATGCGTCTGTCTGACTTTTCTCCTATTTTCGCATTCAATTTTCAAATAGGCATTTCTTAGAGTTGGAATACGAGTCAGAAAGCACATAAATTCGAAGGGTTCCCTGTCCTTATTAGAATAAAACATCTTTAATATTCAGGTAGGGAATTGTGAATAGCGAATAAGCAGGCAAAATGTCGCGAAGCTGGCCTAAAAAATGGGACGTCGTGCTGCTTATCAGTGCTGATAAGAGTGTGTTATAACTAGAGACAGTTTTATTGGAAAAGTTGCAAAGTTTGGAGAAAGAATAGCGAACAAGTATGCGAAATTGTGATCTGTGAAATGTTCAAGTTCATTCACGAAAGGACATTCTCTCCAAGTTCTCATGTACTCCTCCGAAGAGTCCAGACGGCCGAGAGCACGTAAAGGCTCCAGCATTTGCGTGACGCAGCGGAAGCCCATTGGTAGGTTGTCGGATACGCATATCGGTCCTCGTCAATCATCTGAACTTGTTCTTTGAGCTGAAAAGACGGAAACTTGCCGTGACCTACCGTTTCATTGTTGCAAAAGTTGCTATCACAAATGTGGAAGGGTGCGATGAACGGTGTAAGATGGTATAATCCGGTCTGAAAATGGAGATTACGTGTGGTATTTGAGTAAAGAAGTTATCAGACTGCTTGCAATAAACTTTGATACAGACCTGTCACGGGCCGGACTGGGTGTACTAAAACTTTAAAAAAATTCCGATTTCCGACAAGTCTGAGGGAGAAAGCTACATAAATTCACCTTTAGAACGGCTCCTTCTCGGTTAGATTGGGATATGCATCCAAAATTTCGATCAGCGGAGAAACACAACTGGCCAACACATGTTGAATTCTAAATCAGTCCATTTGTTTCATTCTCGGCAGATTTTGCCCACTTTCAAACGGTCTTGTTCTGCTTCTTTCAGGTAACACTTTATTTTCCCGGCCACGTTTTTAATCGACGTTACCTTATTCTGCAAAAGGTTTGATTACGTTAACACTGAAAACGCAGCTGATCACGGTCTTAAATGCGCAAATTTGGATTGTGTATTCCACTTTGCTGTTTTCGATTGTGTAACACGAATTTAATGGGAGAAACAAGTTTGACATCGTGAATCTGCATCGAAAAAGGACATGTAAGTTTATTTATTTTCTATGTCTGACCCGTATTCATAAGTTCCTAAATCCATTGAATCATCAACACAGGATTTTACAGCTTTTCCATAATCGTTGTATTCATTTAGGCAAAAAGTAGCGGAACAGTTGGAAGGTTCTAACAAACTGCTTTGTTCGGTGCAAGTCAGATATGTCATTTCCGTATAGTCTAGCTCCTCGGTCATTTCGTTACAGTAAGAGGAACTACTGAAAACAATGTTTTGTCAAGAATCAAAAATCAAAAGACAAGAACAAAGTACATACTTGCAAACGCAAAACACGCTTCCAAATTTGTTTCTCACACATCCTGTACTCATTTCTGTCGGCGATGTGAAGCATCCCTGATAATAAGACGAATTTCCCGAATAAGTCTCATGCAAATTGTTGTGTTTCGCGTAAAAACAGTAATTGCCGGTGCAGTTCGAGCACGTTCTATCCACCGAGATGAGTCTTTCGTCGCATTTGACACATTCCAGTTGGCAATCGGAAAAAGTGCATAAAAATGCCCATAAAATCCATAAAGTCGGGAGGAGCATTTGAGTGAAAGCTACTTGACACCCACTTTAGTCACTTTTCGAGTTTTCACCTGTTTCATTTTCATTTCAGTTTTTGTTCTGCAGTTTCTATAGAAACAGCAGATTGTTCGTTGAAAACCGAAAAGATCAGACTTGCAACGAGTCGGGCGAAAACGTGGCATTCTCCTGCCCGGCAGGCTATAACCCCGAACGTCCTCTCCGACACTTCTCGAAAATTGCTCTCCAACGCTGTAACATCCCGTTCTCCTCTTACCACCACCGTCTTGCCATCCTTAACATGTCTTCAATCCGTCACCGCCGCCTCAAATCACAGTTAACTCTCCTCTATCGTCTAATTACCGGTGCCTCATACTTCCCCCATCTAAGTCATTTTATCTCTCTTACCACCTCTCCCCGTAGACCCATGCTCATCCGCGTCCTAAAACCTCGTGTAAAAGACTTCTTCTCACTGACCGTTCCCATATGGAACTCTATACTCTCTAACACCTCCACCTTCCTCTCCCCTCTCCAGTTCGAACTCTCTATCGACTCCTCCATTACCCGCTTCTAACTTCTCTCCTTCTTGCCCTACTTCCCCTCTACCATATAACCCCTCCTTATCTCCCCTAATCCCTAGGTACGTCTCGTGAGGGACTGTCCTTTCCACCATTCGTCCTCCCCTCTCACGTGTTGTATCTTTCTTTCTCTTACATTGATAAATAAACGAATGAAACCAAAACTTAGTCCACAAATATCTAAAAAAATTTCGATAGATCGGAACACGGAACCGCATTTTTAGTCTTGCCAGTCTAGAAAAGATGAAATGAGTGGGACAAGAAGAAGTCAGTTGGTAGGGGATATGAAGACAAAGGGAGAGGAAGGGGGAAGATTCAAAGCTCACATTGTGGCTGGTTGATTGGAAATTGTGGAATCACATGTCTTCTAGCTTTTCCAGTTCGTTCAGATGACCCATCCTTTTCTTTCCAACCCAACAATTTCAATCCTTGACATCGCAAATCCCATTTTTCAAACAACGTGTTGTCTCTTCGAATTTATTTACTATTTTTCGGTCGTTTCATCCACCACCAACCAGCCTTCCGTCCATCGACACCGACGAAAAACGAAAAAAGGAAAAACGATGGCAGTAGAAATGCGAAGGTCATCAAACGCACACGGGAGCGGCTATCCACTCTCATTCCGCCTTCCCTTCTTCTTCTTCTTCGTCTTCTTTAGAAGACTGTCAAAAGTAGAACACGCCACTGTTTTTGTCTGTTTTTTCCATAAAGAAGGTATTTTTTCGGGTAAAAGATGAATATCCCGTGAAACACGCGAGCAGATCAACCGGAGACTGATGTGATGTGTGCTGGCGTGTATTGAAACAATTTTGTTACACTTTACACGATTCAGACCACACCCAACCCACCGTTTCTTTGTTTTTGAAGCCTTCATTTTTGTTAGGTGAAAATCCAAATTTTATTGCTCAATTACTAAAGCCATCGAATTTTGTATTCCCTCGAGAAATTTCCTTAGAGTGGCTGGGCAGGACCGCCTGAAAACGCGTTTGTTCTCGAGGTTATTGAAGATGTACTTTGGGGTTTTGCAGGGGCAAGATTCAAAAAACTTTCATGTTCACCGCATCCCGATTTGTCTTCACGGTCCCCGAGGAACTTTGGGGTCATTGAACTTTTTGTTGCGTTTCTAAGACTTTTCGAAGAAGCGGAAGCACTTTTCTATTCATATTCTGAGTCCATCTTGTCACATTTTTCATTAGCCAAGTCTGTTGTTCTATTTATTTCCTGCGCTAATCAATCAAGTCGTCATCATTCACATGTCGCCATTTCTCATTTCCGGGGGCCGCCCTTTTCAAGAGAGGGCGTCAGAAGAAGCTGACGTCCCGTCCCAATCCGAAATCCCATTCCTGGTTTATTTGGTTTTGAGTAGATGGAATGACGAAGGCAGTTTTCTCTAATGAAAAATGCTCACAGAATGTACAGAAGTATTTATGCACGAGTCTATTTGGGCCGGGCCGTCACAAGTACGTGTACATACAAGCAATATCTATATTTTCAAATCGGGGCGCCTTTACCTGATCATCAACCTGTAACTAACTAACTAACCAGTTGTTGTCGCATCGAATCGGACTGTCCCGCGCGCAATTTCAATGTCTCTCGACGTCTCCATGATTTACCGTACTCTCAATTTCCTCTCCCAACATGTCCATTTCACTTTTCATTCGCTGTTGTTGTTGACACGGCCCGACGACTATCTCTCTCTCTCGGGCGCCGTACCGGAGTCTCATTTCCGTCGATCGATCGATTTTCCCTCCCGTACATAGAACATGAAACTTTTAAAGGTACAACATGCCGAAGCAAGAGTTCAACCCACTCGACTACACCGGTCCCATTGTCGTCGGATTGATTTTTTGCGTTCTGCTCTTCATCATCTCGTTCTTTGTGATCAACTTCTTCTGCATCACCAAGTACGACGATATCACCAAGTTCGAACTGGTCAGCGGCTCCTTCTTGGGTTGTGAATATCATCCATCTAATTTTCAGTTCGGCGGCAGACACGGTCTCCGTCTCGGCCCACACTCGCTCGTGGTTGTCCGTAAGGGAGGATTCGTTTCCCAGGAAGACGATGATGAGGCCCAGCAGTGAACCATACATGTTCCCGAGATTTTCCCGACTAATTCCGTTGCTTCCCGACTTTTGCACCTAAATACATTCGCTTTTTTTTTAAATTTTAACTTTTTTGGACCACTGTTTTATCGGAATAAAGAAATAAATACGAGAGAACGAACGAATCTACAAATTCGTGAAAAAGATAATGGTTTGTGCATAAAAGAGGAAGACTGAAGCTACGAATAGCACTAAAGGCAGGAAGAATTTAGATGTTGCTCTTGACGGCGCGGACGGTCTCGTCGATGGCCTTGGCCACGTAGTCGACGTTCTTCGTGTTCAGTCCGCAGATGTTGATGCGTCCGTCGCTGAGCAGGAACACCTTGTGCGTGGCAATGAGATGGTCGACTTGAGCGGCTGAAAAAAACTCGTATTATTTACTCTGTCGTACTTTTTTTGTTTTTCTGTGCCAACTTACAGGTGAGTCCAGTGTAGCTGAACATTCCAATTTGTTGAGTGATGTGTCCCCAGGTGCCTGGCGTCTGGAGCTCGGTGAGCTTGGCCAGAAGGGCGGCTCTCATCTGCTTGATGCGCGACGACATGGCTTGGATGGCCTGGTTCCACTGCTCGCGACGAGCCGGGGTCGTGAGCACCTTGTGCACAATGCGGGCTCCGTGCGCTGGTGGGTTCGACCAGTTGGCACGGATGACCAGGGACATTTGCGACTGGAATCCGGCGATGACCGCGGTGTTGTTGACGACGACAGTGAGGTTTCCGACGCGCTCATCTGCAAAAAAAGTTAATTGTTTGCCCTCTTTTGCGAGTTCTTACTGTAAAGTCCGAAATTTTTGGCGAACGATTGCGAGACAACCATCTCGAGTCCCTGATCGACAAAGTAGCGGATGGCCCAGGCATCAGCGTCCGGGTTTCCAGAGGCGAATCCCTGGTAGGCAATGTCAAAGAAAGTGAACAGGTTCTTTCTCTTGACGACCTCGGCAATCTGCTTCCACTGCTCCTGGGTTGGGTCCATTCCAGTTGGGTTGTGAGCACATCCGTGCAGGATGATCACAGCCTTCTCCGGGGCGGCTTCGAGGTCGGCGAGCAGTTTCTCGATGTGCACACGCTTGTTGTCGTAGTCCCAGAAGGTGTAGTCGTTGAGCGAGGTGAATCCGGCGTTCTTGAACACGAGCTTGTGGTTTCCCCTGCAAATATTTCTCAAGTTATAATCTATTCACCTCTTTAACTCACCAAGTCGGGTTGCTGACGTAGACGGTCTTCAAGCCGAGAACTCTGGCGAGGAACTCGGCTCCAGCCCTCAGAGCTCCGGTTCCAGAAAGGCATTGAACTCCGAACGATCTTCCCTCCTTGATAGCCGGGGAGTCGGATCCGAGGACGAGCTCGGTGGCGGCCTTGCGGAATCCCTCGTGTCCGAGCACCGGCAGGTACTCGTGGTTGAGCGAGGTGTCGCTGGCGATCTCGACCTCGGTCTCATGGACGACGGGCAGCACCCAGGGTTGTCCCTCCTCAGTACGGTAGGCTCCGATGGTCAGGTTCACCTTGACTGGAGCAGTCTCCTCGAGGTAGAGCTTGTTCTTGTGGAACACCTCAATTGGTGGAGCGACCGGGATTCCGTCGAAGAAGGACATGGTGAATTGGCTGAAAAATCAATACGTTTAGGAAGGGAGACCAGCACACGAGTGCACGAGCGCACGAGAATAGAATAGAATGAGTACGTCAACATGTGGGGCAACAGGGGAGAGCGATTATATCGAAAAAGACTACGTCGACAAAGTGGGTCATCTGTTGGTCACCTCATCGATTCGAGATATACAGGGGCCAGTCGAGAGGGTTTTGACGGTCTATTTCGATGAAAAAAAAAGTGATTATAGCGTGGTGATAAGAAGAAATGACGAGGTTGATAAGAAAACTCAGGAATATTCTTAATCGATTCCATTTTTCAGCTAGCAAAAACTCATTGAGAAACATATTGAACGGCTTGCTCTGACTCTGACGTTGGCGAAAAGACGGACGGCCACTTTCTCTGTCTGCGTACTCCGCCAATGCACATGATATTTCGGTGCCCACAACACATGCCAACGAGGCGAGAACCCAGAGTTGTTTGCTCGAAAGAAGAAAGAGAAAAAGAAAAAGAGTTTTCTCCTCGCCATTCCAACGTGACCGTTTTGAAGTTTATTTTTTGAAGAAGAAAAGTTGATGAGGACGGCCTCACAAACAACGTGGTTTTGGCGAGGCGAGGTGGATGGGCAGAGAGGATGGACAGAAATAGCAACAGATAAGACCGGGTGCATCGGGATCAATTCAAGGTGAATTTTTTAGAGTGTTCTCTGGTAAATTAGCGATTTTAGAGGACAATTAAACTTTTTTGTGAGGGATGTGAGTACCGTTTTCTGCGAGATTTTCAAACAAAACAGTTCAAAGATCACGTGATAACATCATTCGGCCAAGGTGAACCGGGAGGAAATTGAGACGGGGGGATTGGGTTTGTTCTATTGCAAAACATGTTTATGTACATATATTCAAAATTAATCGGTTACCGAATCTCGGTCATCGGCCGAAAAACAAACCATGATTTCATAATCCCTGAGCAAAAATTCGGGATTTTAAAGAAAAAAAGCAGACTTTATACGGGCCGACCCGGCCTTTGGGTTTGTTTGCCAAGTCCCTAAAAAAGAAAGAAGAAAAGACTAAAAGTATTCGTTTTGTCTATTGGGGAACAAGTAAATGAACAAATAAACATGTCGTCTTTCTTGCCGTTTCGACCCTTTCGGTTTGTGAGTTCAATGATTTCTCAATTCTTTCCGGTTGGTGATGTGGCAGCATTTTCCCCCATTTTTCTCTCATAGGAAAGAAACATGACGCTTTTTAACCTCCTCGTCAACTCGGCTCGTCTCCCACGTGAGCAAGTGAGCCGAAGGGGACTCCGAGAGCTCACGGGCTCTTCTCTTCTAGAGAGCTCTCGCGTGTGGGAAACCAAATTGTGCACTTTTTTCGTTGTGCATAACAACGTTTGCCTTTTTTCACTTCTCGGTCGCTCAGCAGTTTTTTCCTTTTCCCTTATGTACAAGTTTCAGCCAAATTTATAAGCGATTGACAAACTTCGAAATTTCAAAGTCACAAGGGTGACAAAGTGGCCGAAATTGAATTTAAAATAGCTATTCAGTATGTAGTTTTCACCGCGGTTCCCATGTTATTCTCTTTCTTAAAACTTGTTATTATACCCTCCTACCTGCGTCAGAAAACCCTCAAACTATATTGATCAACTCTCAGAAACCTTACTTTTTTTCAAATTAAAAACATTTCGAGCTCTCTTTGTTCTTTCAATGTAAAAGTGTGAGCAGCTGCGCTCGGAGCAAGAACATTATCCAAAGTTCAGTCTAGAATCGTACTTTTCCTCGAAAACGAGTAGCACGTGCCGCCATTCCCGACAGACGTGCGCACCAATTTATTTTCCGTTCTGATCCGATTATACTGACAAAAGTCGGCGAGAGATTGGGGGTCTGACACTCTTTTCCCATCACACAGTAGCACCTAGGCGGCTCCACTTTTTATTGCATTTATTATAAAGTTACTGTGTCGTGCTGTCGGCACACAACTTTCCCCCCATTTTGTTTTATGTCGGTCTTTGGATCGGATCGAAAATCAATCGATTTGTCACATAGCTGTTTGTTGTTTGAAAAAAGAGAGCATCGTGTAGATATCTTCAAGATTAGTTAGGCTGCGGCTTTCAGAAATGTCATTTCAATAAGATTTGTGTAGCTAGCTGCTCGAAATTCCTCAATTTTTTTGCGCAGCAAGTGTATGTGAAAAGCCCCCCTCTGATAAATATGCATGAATTAGCTTTGAAAGTGTGAGAATTGTATGCGAGCTCGAAAATTATTGCTCACGCTCACACTCACACTCCATTTCGCATTTAGCCAGAGATTTCCGAAGATCATCCAAATTCTGTCCGATTTCTAAGTCGATCGAAAAATGAGAAAAGTCATCCGTAAGTTTGACATAGTTGTCACGGAATGGGCTGGACGTGATGAACATTTCTACGGCAAATTTCTACTTGAAAAAAATCACAACTATACAGTTTGATGTTTTTGGTGTTCTATACATAGTTCTTGTGCCAACAGCAAAAAAAGGAAACGAAACGGCATTCAACTATTTATATTTACATAGCCAAGGCTCCACAGCTTATGGTTTGCTCAAATACGCGGTTAGGCGGTCGAAACCGAGGAAAAACACTCCGTTTCTCTTTCCCTAAATCCAAAAAAACACTTGCCGTTTTACAGAAATGTTCTCACATCAAGAGCGTGATCGGGAGCGGAAGATGGTTGAGGAGGAGCCGGCCGACGGAGCGGAAATGAAATCGAAGAGTCGCAGTCAACCCAGCGGACTGAACCGGGTCAAAAATCTATCGAGGAAGCTGTCGGCCAAATCGAGGTAAGTCAGCAAAACGTAAATTCGCGGCACCGAGGTAGGGCGATCCAGAAATTCAATAAAAGCGGAGGAGGGCAGAAGGGGAATGAGACGGATCACTAGAGCGGCCATCCGGCTAAACCCCATGCCGAACGACACTCCGCGCACCGCACTGTCTTGACCTACAGACTGCCGCATCTTCTTGGCAGTCCGTCAGTCCATTCTCACTCTTTATCTTTCTTTTCTTCTTGGCGTTGACACTCTTCTTCCTCTTCCGCTCGTTTCTTCACGTTTTGCACGCCGCAAAGCGCCTTAGCAGGGCCCTTACCAGGATTTATCCCATATTCGATTGCTTCCAAACGCAAATTACGCGAGACGCAGACTCCCGAGGCGCGTGCGCCCGCGTGAGTGGCCTCAGGGTCTCTCTTTTTTTTTCTTTTTTTCCCCCTCCGTCGAAAATAACTCCCCATTGCGCGTGTGTGTCTGTGTGGACGTGGACGCGCCAAAGCTTGATGGAGTCACATGTATATCATTTGAAAAAACACACAAATAGACTCGGAATCTTTCTTCTTCTTCGTCTCCGTCTCCGGCACCAAGTAGTTAGTCCCTCTATCCTCAGCGGTCTGGTATATTATCCTTATCAACTCAGTCAGAAGTGTGTCGTGATTACTGTTGTTATCGCCATCAACTAATCGAAGAGTGTGTATCAACTTTCGCCGACAACACACTCTGCCACACATTTCGGTGCCACCACCAACACTCTCTCCGCGCTGGTCTTCCACTCTTTTCCCCTCTGACCTTGTTGTTATTCCCGACCCTACTAACTTTTTTTCTGCTGCTGGAAATGCATTGCTCGTGCTGGTTTGCAAAGAAAAAAGTGCAAAGGCGTCATAACGTATGCGAAGAACCACGAGTCGCGACAAAAAACCCGATGACTGGCAGCCAGACACGGCTGAATTCTGAATTCAATTCAAACTTTCTGACTCATCCACAAAACAGCGGGAGCGTCGGTCATTCTGAATTTCAAATGAAAGGCTAAGAACGTTCCGTTTCCCTAATTGTCGCCGGGACAGCTGTTTTTAGGGGTGTCCTTCAATCCCATGTGACCAGCCTATCATGGCCATTTCATAGGCACCAATCATCAATGCTTCCGGCCTTTTCCGAGAGAGGTTCAGTTGTTTTTACTGTCCCGGGCCGTTTTTGACGATAATCCAGTTTTGAAATGACGTGTATGGGCGGCAATTTTAAATTCGATTAGATGTGCAGCTGCACCATGGCCTTTTAGCAGCTAAAAAAGTAAGTGTGGCTCAGAGTTTGGCGTCGGCAACATTCACCACTTTCACTCAATCCAATTTGATAATCAATTAAGCAATTGATCAAAACGTGTTCACTTATCAATTCAAAATTTGGCCGAGCGAGTGAAGATACGGAATCAATCGATCTTATGATGGTCAAACAACGTCAACCTCTCCCCCCCCAATACCCGCCACTTTTTACACGGGATCTTCACCCCCGTCGCCGCCGCCGCCGCCGCCAGCGCCCATGTTGTGTCCACATTGCACTTGCCTTTACAAAATCGACGCGATTTTCGGTTTTTCATCTTATCTTGATCACTATAAATTCTTGTTTTCACTCGCGCCCTCGCCTTCTGACACGGTCTCTCTGCGCGCCTCACGTCTCGCACAACTGCAAACGGAGAAAAATGTGGAAAAATCGTTTAATTATATTTTGTCGATCTCATCTCCTTTCCCGTTTGAGCTGGATGTGATAGGTTGTGCCATTTTTTGTTGCAATTTCGATTTAAAGGGGGTACGGCACTGAAAAAATGGTCGGGTTAATAGAACCATTCGATGCGGCGTTCAGTTGCGTATATTTTTTATGGCCTAAAAAGTGTGCTAACCCATTTTTAGATCATTTGAGCCCCCAAATGACCTAGTAAACATTTTTGAACAAAATTTGCACATTTGAATCACAGTCATGGTACTATTTTCTCGGCAGCGTTTTTTTCTAGTCCTTTGCCCCTTTTAAACTTTGCCTCCCCTCCGTAAGCGCTTTGCAACCGGGACGATGTTTGCGCCACCACAGCCACCAGGACCGACCGATCGACGGACGGGAGGCGACGGCAGGAGTGACGGGAGGGAGAATGGAAGAAGAAAAGGAACGTGTGCCTCTCGGTCTCTTTTTCTGTGCCTCACTGAGCGCGTGGTCTTATGTTGTGTCGAGCGGTTGGAATGAGACGGAGTGAGAGCGTGAGTGTGTGTGTTGTGTGTGTTTGTGTGTGTGTGTGAGTGTCCGTGAGCGTCAGTGAGTGTGTGAGTGGGAGAGGTCGTCCCTGGTGTGGACCCTTTTCCGCATTGCCCTATCGGCTAAATAGCACGGGACTTACGAGAGAACTCAGAACCTTTGTACTCTAACCCCAGATTTGTTTTGCCGCTGCTCTCTCTCCTTTTTTGCAATTTCAAGTTTTGCACAGAAGGTCCCTTCGACTTTCAAAATTACTAGCTGCAGTCCTAGTCCTAGCACACATAAATCATGAAGTCCCCTCCGCTCACGAGATCCATACCCCAAAAAATGTTCTCTATGCTTTGGGAGGGAGAAGGTTTTATTCATATTCGGCTCCGGCTAGCGCCTTTAAACCTACTGCTCTTTGGCTCCGACCACGCCCTCCCATCCCATTCTCTCTGGTGAATGAGCACTTAAGAGAACTACCATTCCATCATCATCATCATCATTTCATTCTGCGCCTTGTTCTATTTCTATTTCTATCTCCTTCATCTCTGCCGACACAATGCTACGAGGATTTAATTTTAGAAAGGAACGCAAGGATCGCGATAGCACCGACAACAGCTCGAAAATGTCGTCGCCAGGAGGTGAAGTACCAGCGAGAAATGAGCCCAAGGCTCAAATCAAGATAGGACACTACATTCTCAAGGAGACACTTGGTGTTGGCACTTTTGGAAAAGTGAAAGGTAGAGTTTTGTTCTGAAAATTTTAGAAATTTAAAATCAAAAACATATCCATCCTTATTTTTGCAGTTGGCATCCATGAAGCGACCGGATACAAAGTGGCTGTCAAAATTCTGAATCGTCAGAAGATCAAGTCGCTTGACGTCGTCGGCAAGATTCGTCGTGAAATTCAAAACCTCTCGCTCTTCCGTCATCCGCACATCATCCGCCTCTACCAAGTGATCAGCACACCGTCCGACATCTTCATGATAATGGAGCACGTCTCGGGCGGAGAGCTCTTTGATTATATTGTCAAGCACGGACGTCTGAAGACCGCCGAGGCGCGTCGCTTCTTCCAACAAATTATATCCGGCGTGGATTACTGTCACCGTCACATGGTCGTTCACAGAGATCTCAAACCGGAGAACTTGTTGCTCGATCAGCAGAATAATGTGAAAATAGCGGATTTTGGACTGTCGAACATCATGACGGACGGCGATTTTTTGCGTACCAGCTGCGGATCGCCCAATTATGCTGCTCCTGAAGTGATTAGCGGAAAGTGAGTGAAAATTTAATAGAAAACTTGCTTACCCCGCAGATTTTGACTCTTTTAGGCCACTATTTTGGTGAGTTTCAGAGTTAGTTATGAACACATGCGCCTCTAGTCCGCAAACACCATCACGCCAATTTTGCGGAAGGGCGTGAGGTCGTTTGCGTGTTTTGCAGCAAAATTGAACTTCTTTGAAAGATGTTGCAGCAAAAATAAGCAAATTTCAGATTGTACGCGGGACCGGAAGTTGACGTGTGGTCTTGCGGAGTCATTCTGTACGCCCTGCTCTGCGGAACGCTTCCATTTGACGACGAACATGTGCCGAGCCTTTTCCGAAAGATCAAATGTGCGGCTGATATTGTTGTACATACATATTTGCAACTGCTATTTTCAGCTGGCATCTTTCCGACGCCCGAATTCTTGGAGCGCTCAATTGTCGGCCTCCTCCACCATATGCTCTGCGTCGACCCGATGAAAAGAGCCACAATCAAGGATGTGATGTGAGGAGATTGGTTCTTTCGAGCAAAACAATCTATGTTGTTTTAGAGCTCACGAATGGTTCCAGAAGGATCTGCCCAACTACCTCTTCCCGCCAATAAACGAGAGCGAGGCCTCGATCGTTGATATTGAAGCCGTCCGTGAGGTGACCGAGCGTTACCACGTGGCTGAGGAGGAGGTGACTTCTGCTCTGTTGGGAGATGACCCACACCACCACTTGTCCATAGCCTACAATTTGATTGTGGACAACAAACGGATAGCCGATGAAACGGCGAAACTGTCCATTGAGGAGTTTTATCAAGTGACGCCCAACAAGGGACCAGGACCGGTCCACCGCCACCCCGAAAGGATTGCTGGTAAGAATTAGGCAATAAGGTCTGGGTAAAACTGTTCTCATTTTAGCCTCGGTGAGCAGCAAGATCACTCCGACACTCGACAACACCGAGGCGAGCGGATCAAGCCGTAACAAGCGCGCCAAGTGGCATCTCGGAATTCGCTCGCAAAGCCGTCCCGAGGATATCATGTTCGAAGTGTTCCGTGCGATGAAGCAACTCGACATGGAGTGGAAGGTGCTCAACCCGTACCACGTGATTGTCCGTCGCAAGCCAGACGCGCCGGCTTCGGACCCGCCGAAGATGTCTCTCCAATTGTACCAAGTGGATCAGCGCAGCTACCTGTTGGACTTTAAGAGTCTGGCAGACGAGGAATCTGGACGTAAGTTTAAAAAAGAGCTATGCATACTGATCAATCGATAGGTTTAGCGGCCAGCGCATCGTCGTCCAGACACGCTTCGATGTCGATGCCGCAGAAACCGGCTGGAATTCGCGGAACTCGTACCTCGAGCATGCCTCAGGGCATGAGCATGGAGGCGAGTACTGAGAGAATGGATGTGCATGATTTTACGGATGTGTCGGTGAGGATTGTCGTTTTTAAACTGTCTCATTCATATCTTTGCGTTCCATTTTGTCATAACTCTTTTGAAGTGACTTTCTAAAAGAATTGAATTGAATTGTACCGTCAAGACTAACCGTGACATAATTCTTTTTTCAGTGCGACGTGACTCCGCCGCCATCGCCGGGAGGAGCGAAACTCTCGCAAACAATGCAATTCTTTGAGATATGTGCCGCGTTGATTGGGACCTTGGCTCGTTGATTGAGACCGTCTTCACTACCCTCTCTCATTCCTCTTTGTTAGACAACTTTCTCCGCTGCATTTGGCGAGCGCGAGAAGTTGTTCTCGAACTGTTCTGAATTCTTTGTATCTTTTGTGTTCATGTCACTCGTGCCCACCTCAGTTACGCCACGTATTACTTACTGAAAAAACACTTTAGCAGCTTCCTCATTTAAGTAAGCATATACTTTTCTTGTTTTCTTTTGTGACACATATTTTTGTTCCCTTCGAACTATTTATGCACTCTCAACTGCACACCTTTTGTACTGTGAGTAGTTTTTTTTTGTTCATGCGAGTAGTACTTTTTTTTGTAGCTTACCTACTTCTCTTCTAGTTACCCTCTGACTCCACACCCAATGCGAAACGGCGCCTACATTACTGTAAGTACAGGATGAATCAGGTTGACTTCAACTAGTTATCCGAGTTCTCCCCCCAAACAATTTGTATAAAAGGAAATGAAAGTTTTATGTAATTAGAATGTTCCGGAAGCCAATTTTTTGGCCTTTTCCGCCTTCTTTTTCTTGTAGAGCGAATAGTTGTGCTCGGCGCTCATATAGGCCGTCTCCAAGAAGAGGAACACGAATTCACAGCAAGTCAGGAACGAGATACCGCACCAGAGGCCGAGTTGGCCGCCGAAATCGGCGAGCAAGTTGACAAACTGTAAGATTTACACAAACATTTTCCAAAATAAAAGAGAGAAACCAACTCCATAAGCCTCAGACTCAGTAAGCATTTCAAAGTTGAGCTGCTCGTAGAAAACTTCAACCATTGCACCATTTTCTCTGAAAAAAAAAAGATTTCAGGTTTGAAATTTCAATTAAAGTACATACTTGTAATGTTTATTGCACTCGACCGCAGTTCCATTACATGATCCTAACTGAATTTGAAGAGAAAGAGACGGCCACTTGGCTGGAGAATAGGTGACTGAATAGATTGACTGTTGACACGGTTGTTGACATCTGAAACCGTGGTTTTTTAATGAAGATGAAAAAATAAAGTACCTGCAGCGGAATGATCCATGAAGACCTCCCAAGTCATTCATCCGAGCGTCCAGGCACCTTCCTTTAAAAAATGTTACTAGAGAGCTAGAAAAAAAGTACATTTTTCGTACTGGCAACTGGATCGGCAGCATCGCAATGTCTTGCGTTTTCCGGAACTGGGAATCGAGGATCACCACATCTGCACTCCTTTAGAACCAACTGTTGGAAGCACGAACGGTAGCAACCCTAAACTTTTCGAGTATTCATGTAAACCCATTCTTGTATACTTCTACAGAATACTCATAATTGCTGTAAATGTAATCGGACGTCTTTCCATCCGGCACACAATCTCCATATGGCGCCGGTAGACGAGACATCTTTCTCTGAAAAATCACCAACACTTCTCGAGAACAGCAGTGTATCCGTACCAATCTCAAACCAAATGATGAGACATATCCGGTGGGTGCTGAATAGCCGAATGTGTCGGGGAATGGGAAATCCTCTTTGTCATGAATAGTTAAACGGACACCAGTCGCTTCGGTTGTGGGCATGTAATCGGAAGCATTCACGTAGACAAGCATACGGAGACCGTACATGGGACCTGCTCGAATACTTGTCAAATTAACAGTACGGTTGTGGTTGAATGTGAAACAAGATCCGAAGACTGGATCAATATGGGTTAAGAAGTCTCTGAATAAAACGTGGTTCCTTCAAGCGGGGCTTATCAACTTACGCTTCAATATCACACGCTTTTCCGTTAAACGAACACTTGTGCACCAGTTCTCTTTTGGTTGTGCTCAACAGTTCTCTGTCAGCCATTGAAAGAGTTGCCATGGCAAACATAATGTTCTCCTTTGCTTTGGTCACAATTGCAACTTCATCAGTCATTCCCTAAAAGTTCAGATAAACAAAAGAGGCAGGCGCTTCTAAGAATAACCTGGAAACCCATTGCTTCTAAAAAATTGGGATCTTCTGTGGGAGTTCCTCCTTGTAGATAAGTCCAGATTTCGATTGGAGGAGTCTTTCCGTTGTAGGCTACACAAAACTTGGAAGGAGCACAAATGCAAGGTGATCTGTGACCTTTCGCTGTAAATTTTCCCAGTAAGATTGCAGAAATTTGAACGCCTACCGGTTTTGTTGTCTTTTGTGCAGAATGCGTGTTCGTTGCAAGTATCACACTCCGTGGTTTCCCAAGTACCGTTCAAAAAGCAAGGCCATGCATCATGAGTGGATCTGTCAAAAGCGCAAATGCATCTGTCCTCGAATCCAGTTGGTTCATCGAACTTTGTTCTAAATCAGCATTTTCTCCATTCTAGATTGGTACGTTGCAAGTATGCTTTTTTCAGTGTCAAGAAACGCCCAAACCTTTCCGACTGACACTCCTCCATCAAATTCATGCCCGTTGTGGCTTCCACATCATAGTTCTCATAGTGCTCGCTGTCATACTCCTCCATGCCATCCCATTCCTCATCGGCATCTGCGCAGAAAAAGGAAAATGAACAACAAGTCATTGAAAATTTCGTATGCAACGCTTACCATTAATGTTGAATGACTTTCTGGTCGTCGTTTCGCTAAGCTCCTCATCCTTCTCATCCTCCTTCTCCTCCATCTCACTGGAGCCTTGGCTTCCGCACAGACATCTGGCAAATCCGGGCTCGAAAAAAGCGCCAGTCAAATCACGTTTTCCGCGACGTCTTGCTGGTTTGGTGGTTGGCGCGGGGGTGGTCGGGGCCTCGGTGACGACTTCTTTCTCTCCTTCTCCGTCCTTGGATCCTCCGGCTTTTCCCATGGCACCATCGAAAGCTGATAGTGTTCTTTTGACCAAATCGACACTTGTTGCCAAACTGGCTTTGTATGGGTTTAGGTTGCACAGGGTTATGGCTGGGAATGGAGCCGTATCTGGAATTGTGAATTGAGCTGACAATATTCCAATTGAAACCAACTCACCAAACTTTAACTGGATATCTACAATCTTCTCATTGCGATTATACTTGTCCAACACTGACTGTGCGTTCAGGTACAACATAATCATACATCCCAGAAAGAGCATAACCCAAACACATCTGTAATACACGTTCGGTGCCTCTCCGATCATTGGAATCCCGTGAGCAGATGTCTTATAGCAAAATTCTTTGAAGTGCCACGCCAGTCTTTTATCATACGGCAAGAGTTTCGGGTCGAATTCACCGGTTATCAGCTCACACTGAAATAAAATTTCAGAAAGGATATTACCATCAGAGAAAGTGGCTCACCTGAACTTCTGATTCTGACGAGTTGAAGCATTCTCCATAGCCAAAGTCCTCATAATACTCGCGTTCAGTCACAAACTTTGTGCTCTCTTGCAGATAGGCCATTGGATCTCCGTACACTTGTGACATGTACTCGGAAGGATCACGAAGGTGTTGATAGTTTTTGAGATTTTGAAGCCACGCCATTTTGAACGAGAAGAGCTGTGAGAATGAACTGCTAGAAAAGAATTCGGCTTTGACCCACTGTCAGTTCATTTTGTATGTATAGAATACTGTAGTGTGTTGAGCACGCGGATGATTTCTTATAAGAGAAGCTTAAGAACACGAGGTTCATTCCATTGTCCCCCTTCTTTTAATTCTCTGAACTGCATACACGTACAATGTTGGGCACTGTTGTAGAATCGTGGATTATTTGGAAAAATGATTGGACTTCTTGACAACGGATGATAAAAACCGCTCTAAACTAGTCTGAGAAGTGTCTATACTTTTGTCCTATTTACAATATTCCGATCGGACCCAAGCTTTGCAAGCCAGTCTAACTAGGGAATTCCTTTTTTTCACCATTTTGAAAAATTCTGAACAAAAATCAGGGTGGTACTATAAGATATGGAGAACATTTTCCGACTTTGACATTCGGCAAAATAATTTTGGAAACTTCTGGAAAATTCGTAAAATTTTCGCTATTTTGACTTTTGTGAGACGATGACCCTCCCAATGGAACCAGCTAGTGTAATTTTGATCAGTGTCACATTTAGCGAAAATTTTTTCGGTCCACGATTTTTTCTTTGGGTCCACCATTTTTTTAGGGCACGATTTTTCCAAATGGTGTACGATTCTGCAACAGTGCCCAATGTTGAGCTCATTCAGGAGCGTCTGCAAGTGCTTGTGTTGCTTCCGCGTGTAAAATTTCAATAAAAAATGGCGATAGCTGAACCCTTGCTCCCTCAAAGAAAAATGTGACAATTTCAGAGCAATTTCCTTCCTGATTCAAACATGTTCTATTACAGAAATGCTCTAGTTGCTCCTCGCATTGAACACCAATAATGTTGGGTGAAAAAAAAACGTTTTCCAGATGATTGATATCCTCAAAATTCTTCACGGGAACGCACGGATTGATGACATTGTCTATTTTCAAAATACCATTGGCTTCTGCTCTTATTCCTCGCTTAAATGTGCAAGTTCTCATCGGAAATCTAATAAACGCTCACATCTGTCTTTGCGATTCAGTTTTATGCGAAAAAAAACCAACTTCAAAATAATGAGCACCAGTCAGGCAGATACAAAACAATTGAAAAACAGCTTAAAAAACGAGATAAAGCGCAGAGTGTCTCATCGGATTCTTATAAAGACTCAGACGGGCGAAAAGATATCGAGAAAAAAATATATGAAGCACATGTGTTATGACGAGAAGTTTTAGTTATCAGTTAAGTTAACGGTTGCAAATTCTGAAGAGTGTGGCTTAGACGATATCCGAGACGACAGTCACCAGTCTTCCGTTCTTGAAAGTGGTCTTGAATTGCTCCGGAACCGGGAACTCGGACTGAAAATGAAAAAATTAGAAAAAATTAGATCGGGAGAGAAGAAACGTACATATTCGCCGTCATCGGTAGTTTGAACAGAAATGTTCATCTCGCTGGACTTGGACGTGACAATCTCGCATCCCTGAGCGGCCTTCGAGAGGAACACCTGGCATCCGTCGGTCTTCTGGATCGAAAGGGTCGGCAGTTCTCCAAGAGTCTGAACAGGAAAAGTTAGGAAAGGTCAGAGGATTCGGGATCAATCTCACCTGAATCTGCACAGACTGACAGTTGACAGTTTCACATTGGGAGACGAGCGCGTCGAACACAATCGCGGTCTTCTTGCATCCGTCGAGAAGGATCGAGTTACCCTTTCCCTTCACTTTGATGGTGCAGTTTTCGCAACGGAACACGTACACCGCTTGCTTCTTGTCGGTGATATCGATGGTAATATTATGGTCGTTGACAAAATACTCCTGAAATAATGATGAATCGTTCGGTTTTCTCATATTTGCCACGAGCGGGGTCGTAGGAAAATTTCGAATTTCAAATAGCGTTGTTTCAAGTTTTCCGTACGTTTCTGTCTTTTTTTGATAACAATAAAAGTCAATCGAAAATGCACAAAATTTACGGTCATCAAGCAGAATCCGGACTGTCAAATTTTTCCTACGACCCGGCCCGTGAAATCACAAGTATGAGTTATCGAGAAATTTTAAAGTACCCACCACAATCCACTTTTTGTCGTCCAGCGACTTGCTTGGCGGTTTGCGGACTGGAGCAGCAACCTTGGCCGGAGAAGCAGCAGCTCGAGAGCCCGTTGCGGGAACAGCAGCGTTTCCACGGAGGTTCGGGTTCTTGTGAGTCTGCATGTCAGCGGTGACCTTCTTCAGACTAGAAGTGATTCCCTCTCCTTGATTGAGAGCAGCGAACAGAGCGTCCCGGTTGGCTTTGTCGGAATCCACAGCTGGTGGTGGGTCGGCGGCAAAGAGATTGGCCGGAATTGGCGGCGGTGGCGGCGGTGGTGGTCCTCCAGGGCCTCTCGGCGCCGGCTCCGCAGCTGGAGCAGATGCAATCGCATCCGGCACAGCTCCCGGAGCACTATTCCAGACGAGTCCGGTGGTATGGACCTGACGAACAAACTTCTGCATCTCCTCAATGATCGATTTCCAGGCCTTGGTCCACTCAACGTGTCTTGGATCGGTATCCTTGAATTCACGAAGAATCGGGTTGATGTAGAATACGGCCGCATCGATGTACTCCTTGATGTACGGTGCTGGGGTCTTCTTCTAAAATGGAATAGTTGAGTACGCTCGAAATTGATAAAAAGAAACGTACGACAGTGACCCAACCGAGAGCCGGAAGAGCAGCGACAATCGAGTTGAGATGGTTCCAGTGAGGAGTGTTTCTCTTCGTATCCTTGTAGGCGCTGATCTCATTGAGCAAGTTGATGGTTGGATTCAGCAGCTTTTGCGCTTCTTCGGGAGTTGGCTCCGTCTTTCCGGCGGCGGTCCACAGGTAGTTTCGGAGCGTAGCGAAGATGGCGATGACTTTGGGTTTCTGAAAAGAAAAAACTATATTTTTTGTCTGATCACGGCCCGGCCTTTCATATGCGATTAAAGGTTTTTTCAACTTATCTACACAAATCGAACATAGCTTTTTTGATAAAACTTCAATTTCACTGTGTTCGTCAAAATGAGACAGGTTAGAGATAATGTAAGGTTTCTGTGGGAGGTTACAGCTTCACAATTTTCTGTTCCCTATGGTGCTGATCTAAAGCAAATGAAACTTACAATAACAGCGACATCGCCTCCCAGTTGGTCAGTCAGTTTTCCCCAAGTAGCCAGAGCGTCCTCGACGGCGTCATCATAGGCACGGACGTGGGCGGGCACCTCACCAGATCCAGCGGAAGGAGCAGACGCTGAAAAATATTATTATTTTTGCTTGAAAAGCTTCATGATTTTTCATAGAAAATTTAATGTTAGTTCAAAAGCCACGTTTCACACCGTGTTCACCTTTGTCTTGATCGATGAAGACCACTTTTTTGGAAGAGTTTCGATGAAGTGATGGGTTTTTGATGAGAATGCCATGCAGATTATCACCGTACAAATTGCCGTGTCTTCCCGAGTCACGCAAGTATTTGGGAAGTGCACGACGTGCCATCTCCTCAATGTCTAGGTCACTGTCGTTGTCGTTTTCGTAATTTGAGGTGGGCGAAAAAGTGGTCGGCGGGGCGACAAAGTTGTTCGAGTTTTGATAGTGAGAAGTGGGTTTGACGTGTTGAACATTATTTTGAGCGGCCGTTTGAGGGTGATGGTGACCGTGAGCATGCCCAAAATGTGGCTTGCTATAAGGGATCGGGTCGGAGGGCATGTGTACATTGATATTCGGCTCAATGACGGCTACTGGCGGTTGCGAAGAGTCGCGACGATTGCGAGCATCATAATCATCCGTGTGACTATTGTAGGTGTGACGGTTGCTGGTGAAGCCATTAATTACAGTGGGACCCGATCGGTTGTAGACTTTTGATTCGACCGGACTGAAGATTCGGTCGGGGTTGGTGGGTGAAGAGACGGCGGCTGGTTGCGGAGCTACTTCTCGGATTGGCGAGGTGAGTTTGGCAAAGTCGCGGAGTGGGGATTGGATTCTTGCCCGTTGAGATTGGAGATGAGGTTGTGAAGGGTAACGAGGTTCCTCTGGCATTTGATGCTGATGATGGTGATGTTGATACGTCTCCTGCTCCGTCTGATGAGGATGAATTCTCAGTACCCGATCGTTCGTCAACCGTATCGGTTCATTCGAGTACACCGCCGAGTTTCGATTCGACTCCGAGTACTGGCTTCCCGGACGTTCCCTCTCACGATAAGTGACCGCGGCGGCAGCCACCGGCGGAACATTCTGGTAGACATTCGGTGGATGTGGCTGATCGTTTGACCCTTGCGCCATCGGCCGTCGCTCTTGATACCCGCCTCCTCTCGGTGGGTTCTCCTCATGGTTGTAGTTCACTTGATTGATCGGGTTGGGGAACGAGAAGGGATTCGGCTGCTGAGCATAAGAGATGACTGGCGGCGAGCGTACCGGGCTCGGTTCGCGTTGTTGCAAAAAACTCGGGCCGCGCTGATAAGACTGAGGCTGAAGCAGAGGTTGCGGCTGGGGTTCGGGTGACCGCAAGTGGTCATCACGATGATAGCTCCGAAAGTTTGACGGCTGCTCCGTTGCTGCTCGGGTTGGGGGCTCACGGAAATTCGGGTCGAGGCGGAATCGTTCGAAATCCGAGTTGACTGTGGTACTGATTGGGATGTTACGAATGATGTAATCTTCACGGAACGATTTTGGTGGAGGAGGATCCGTCATCCAATTCGGCTCAATCACTCGGTTTCGGAAGAATCCATCCATCCTGTGAGTTGGCGTTTGAGGGAGAGTTTGTGAACCGTTTCCGTTAACGCTCCCGTTCCCGTAGTCCTGATGAGACGTGATAGAGTTATTGAAATAGGTGTTGTTAAGAGTGTCAAACGACAAATCCGATTGAGTCTTCGCCAAACGTCTCGGTTGCTGCTGCTGTTGTTGATGCGGGTAAGCGGGAGGACCACCCCAATCGGGTTGACGAGACGACTGGTCTCCAGCGTACCAGCTCGATGACATATTTTGAGCCTCTGCTTTCTGACGTTGCAGGTTCCGCAGAAATTCAGTCTCACGCTGCGACGTGGGTTGATGGTGAGATTCATAAGCGGACGGTGGCCGGGGCACATTGTCATATCCTCTGGTCGGAACTTCTTGGAAGATGCCGACAGGGCTGTGCACGCTTCTGTGCGAGTACATGTTCAACGGTGTTGATGATGCCGGAGGTGGTGGCGGCGGGTTGTTACAGTACTCACTGGCCACTGACAAAGGAGACAGCTCTCTTGGCGAGAACGCGTTGTCGAATATCGTAGAGCTGCTCTCGGAACGAATCGGACGTCGGGATCTTGGCGGCTCGTCGGCAGTCCAATAATTAGTATTGTGGTCAAACGGCGATACTGGCGAGACGGGCGAGACGCATGAGGACGGAAAGTGCGGCAGGGTTGCTGACCGCTGGTCACTGACAACTTGTTGGGGGAACGACGACCAACTGCTTGACGGTCGAAGTCCGCCTCCGTAGCCGCGATACAAATCCTGAGTGCTATCAGTTACCGGTCTATACCCACGAGGAAACTTGTTGAACGGACGAGGCGCGGAATAATAAAGTGAGTCCATAGCGGATGAGTGGGAGGGAGAAAAGGCTAAGTGAGAAGAGTATACTAGAACATTTGGTGATTATGTGGCGACGAGTGAGGAGAGGGGAGTAAAAGAAGAAATATTGTTAAGATTCGAGGGCAGGCAGGAGAATGACGGCTGGCTCCTGGTGGGTTGACTTGAGCCGCGCCGTGCCTGTGAGATGAGAAGAAGAAGAAGAACGATAGGGGTTAGACGGGGGAAACACGAAGCAACTGTTGAACGGAAAGGGGTCCCCTCGGGCCGATTGGAAAAGAGCATGGAAGAGAGCGGAGGCTTCGAAAGCGATTCGGGCTGAACAGAAAAACTGCTCGCTCGCTGTAAAACACTTTGCGATGAGGATCTCGGCAGGAGCGAGGCGCTAGACGGTTCTGGAGGAGGTTAGGACGAGCCGTCCGCACAAAATGATAAGTTTTTGTTGGTTGGAGTCGGAGGAGGTGTCGGGTACGTACCATCGGGCAGGAGTGCGATTACATTATTACGGGAGGAAATGTGTTGGGTTGGCAGGGCAAGGATATTAAAAGTTTGAGTGGCTAGCCAGAAATCATGTAATGAGAATTTCCGAGGAGCTCGACTGAACTCAAAACAAAAATATTGACTCTGTTCGAAAAACGGCAAGGTTAATTTTTGATTTTCTAGCCGGCTGACATTGAGACACAAGAACTTTCTAGCAAGTTTCGAGACACTTTTCCACTTGCCTAGCCCTTATATGGCAATTTCTGTGTTTGTGTTGCAAACGGAATTCGAAACATTTTGCAATCACAAATACCTCAAAGTAGGAAGTGAGTAGGAAGCAGCGAGCGATGATAAAACTTACATATGATACGAACCGGAATGTCCCTGACTACTCCTTCCCGATGAGCAGAAGGACGGTAATATTCGGTGCTGACTCCCTGATAGGTCACGAGCAGTCTCATGATGTTAGAAATGATGAAAAGTGAACGCATGGCACCGACACCGCACACAAATTAGTCATATAAGCATTTGAGCAAACATGTTTGGTTTCTGATTTACTGTTCTCTCGTTTCCTTAGTTGGGCACACACAAATACACGCCGAAAAGTCAATCTACTCACCGCTGGGGCCTCCGAGATTGGTCGGCTTAGGTGCGAGAGCAGGTTTATGTCCGGAAATCGCTTCGAGACGGACCGTCACGTTCTCCAGACGCCGAAGCAAGTCCTCTTGAGTCGACATTTCTTGGTTCTGTAAAAAAAGTACATATTATTGCGAAATCCGTGTAGAAAACCTTATCATTTGACGAGAAACAGAGAAAATTCATAGCGATTGGAAGAGCGCGGGGGGGGGGACGGGGGAAGGGTGCTAGTACTAGTGTAAATCGACTAATTCCAAAGCAAAAGGTCTCATATTTCAGTTGTTACTAACGGCGATGCATTTTAAATTACCCCAGCTAGCCCTAAGAATAGAGAAAAACGTTCCTGGCATCTAGTTTTCGACGGAATTTCAAAAGAAACATGACAACTGCAAAATTTCGCAATCGTCAGCAGTCGCGGGGGCAAGTCAGACGAAGAAAATTGCGATGAAAGAGAAACAATTGCAAACGATGAGTCATTCGGCTTTTTCGGAAGGCATTTTGTGTTATTCGTCATCGGAAAATGAACAGTTAGAACAACTGTCGCCAGAAGTGCGATAGAGCGCACTTGCTGACCTTCGCGCAGTGTAAACAGGCTGACAATCGAGGTTGGCCAAGCAGATGGAAATTTTGATCGAATTTGAATTTCGAATTCCGATTTCGCGCGCTGTTTTGAGGTTCTCACGGGTAATGTCACAAATATGAATAATTAATGTAAATTAGGCAAAAGTGATGCGAAAATCTCTTGTTGGGTGCTATTTTTAGGCTTTGCCGCTTCAAGCGTGTCATCTAAAAACTATCAGCAGAAAATCCGCAGCCGACCGCCAGAAAGCGAAAAATCTGGCGGATCTCACACTTTTGCCGATTTTGGAGTGAAGATTACACAAGGACAGGGGCGTCCGAGCGACAGTCCAACACACAAGTACTTGAGATGAATGCGAAAGAAAAGGCGATTCGAAAAGAAGAGGAACGGCTGCCGAGCGCGTAAATAATTGCTCCCTCCTTGCGCCCTGTCTTTCTTCCAACAAGGGGGAAATGAAAATGAAAATGAAAATATGGAACGGAAGGAAACTTATTCAGTTTTATACTTACAATCTCTTTTCTCGACCGATGATTCATTCAAAAAGTGGCTAACAAAATAGTGGTGAAGAACTATAACACACCCACTGATAAGAGAACTAAAGTGCGGTCTTAGTTGTCGCATAGTTTCACGTCAAAGGCAAGGAGAGAAAGAAAGTTAGGTAAATATCACATGGCAAGGGAACGGATATGATAAGGGATAAGAAGAAGGAGGAGGAGATTTCGAAATCCGGGAGAGCCGAACGAAAAAATCTGCTCCCCGCCGGGGATTATGTGCTCTGTGTGTGTGTGTGTGTGTGTGTGTTGTGAGGGGGCGAAGGCAAGCCGAATCAATAGCCGATGGTCTCCTCCCTGTGGGAGGACACACGGCCCGACGGACGGAAGGCAGATCCCCTGTCTGCTTCTCCTCGCTGTCCGCACTCTCTCGCGTCTCCTTGGGCGAGCTGGGGGCCATCGATGTCACCCGGCCAGAACATCTGCTTCTGTTTTCCCCTTCCAACTGATGATCACGAGCGAGGGCAACAAGATTTTTGAGTCTTACAATCTTTTTTCGGATTAGATGATCAGAGCCGAAAGCTACTTATTTATTATTTATTGTATATACTCAGAAAGTCAAATTTAAAAAAGAGAAGTAATATAGTGATGAAAAATAGAGAGAAGGTTGATGATGGAGAGTGCAGAGGTACCGGTGCAACTGGAGAAGAAGCAGAGTAGATCAGTTATTGTTTGTGGAACTTCTTCAAGAAGTGCTTGGCCACTTCTATCGGATACGGCAACACGATTGTGTTGTTTCTGAAATAAAACGATTAATTTTCAGCTGTCTTCCCCCAAACACTTACCTTTCAGCTGAAATTTTCACCAAAGTTTGCAAATATCTCAATTGAATTGTCATCTTATTCTGCGCAATGGTATCGGCGGCACTTTGAAGGCATCTTCAAGTGAAAAACGGGTAATAGGACAGGAGCGGGATGGGCAAATGAACTTACGCGCTTGCATCCTTCTCTCCTTGGGCGGCGATGATAGCAGCACGTGCTCTTCTCACGGCTTCAGCCTCCGCCGCCATACTTCTCATGAGTTGATGGGGCAGACGGATGTCCTTGATCTCGACCCTCTCCACTTTGACGCCCCACGGGTCGGTGCCTTCATCCAGCACTTTTTCAGAGATCTAGAACACCGAAGATTTGGAATGGGAGAAAGACAAACTTACACTAGCAATAGCATCGCGTTCACTGAGCATTTCACTGAGAGTCTTGGTACCCAGAACGTTTCTGAGTGTGGTTTGAGCCAAAAGACGGGTACTGAACTGGGCGTCATTGACATTGGTTACAGAGATGACTGGATTGGAGACTCGGAAGTAGATAACCGCTTCCACAGAAACGGTAACTGAATCTCTACTCAGGATTTCTTGAGGAGGAACGTCGAAGGACAACACTCGAAGATCCACTATTTTCATCGTATCAATGCACGGAAGCACAAAAAACAATCCTGGTCCTTTGGTGCCTCCTTTAATGAGCCTACCCAACCGGAAGATGACTGCTCTTTGGTACTCTCTGGAAATTCCATTCCTCCCAATTATTATTCTCTCTTTCGCTTACTTCACAACTTTTACACAAAAGAATAGACACCATGGGAAGGAGAGAAGGATGAGAAGAAAGGAGAAGATGAGCATCATATGCGAGATGAGCGGCGGCGGCTCCTGCAGTATAAAAGTTTTTTTTTCGCTTTTTTAATATGTTGAAAGTAAATGAGAAATCTCATGACTGGTGTGTGTGTGAAAGTGACAGGATGGGGACTTACTCTTTCCTCGTGTAGTAGGTGTCTGGTACGAATTAGCCAACTTTGAGATCGGGCGCGCATCGGGATTTTTTCAATAGCATCCTGAAAATAGGATCTTAGTTTACAAAAGAAAATGTTTTTATCTTCAAACTTACAGGGTCGGAGCATTTTTTGCAAATACTTATTCAAAGACAACTAGACATTTCTAGTCCTGTTTTTCTATTCATTTCTAGCAAATAAAATTTGTCAAGACGTTCGATTTGAAATAAGGAAACACAACAAAATCAGTCGTTTTGTTCGGTTTTCTATGTTGTGTTTTCGTTTCTCAACGCATCAAAAACTACCTTTCTGGTGAATATCATCGCAGTTTTGTGAATTTTCATCTCAAAATCAGATGCGAGCTTGAAAGTGGATGAGCAGAAAAAAGTGGAAAAGAAAAGGGAGGGCAGGGTGTCAAAGAAGGGGAAAAGGGAGGGCAGGAGGAGCAAGGAGACGCACCCTTTTATGCGGTGGCACTTCACCGCGATCCAGTCCCAGCGATCTAATATCTGGCACAAACAACAAGTTTGGATTAATTGAGGCGGATTGCGGTGCCGACGTTTCGTCCTTCACAGAAGCGGTGCTGCTCCGCCGCGAGTCTCCTTCATTACTATATCCGGTGTCTTCGGATTGCAAAGTGTGGATGCGACGCATGATGCGTTGACGGCGTTCGGTGGCGCTCATCTTGTGCATCACTCGCTTCTCGTCGCCCGAATTTCGCTCCATCCTATAGGCATCATTGAACAATGGTGTTTCCGGAGAGAATTGAAATGAAATGAGAACAAACCAGTGTCAAGTTACGGAAAAGTATACATCGGGGGGTGGGAACAGATTTCTGAGGGTGAAATAATAATAATTCCAAATTCCAAATTCTTTTGTTCAAATTAATATCAAAACCACTCGTAGACAAACAACATCATGTTTGTGAAATTTTTGAAGTAAAAGGTGTACGAAAAGTTGGTGCGAATGAAACATGAATTTGCGATAGGATGGATGTGAGAATTCGAGAGTACACGCATGTTCCAAAAAGTCGTCCACCAAAACTTTGAACTGTTCTTTGAGGGCGATGAACCGTGAATCGTGAAACGGAACAGAACAAAGGACCAGAGAGTGTGTTGGCTAAAAATGTTATAAAACTAGAGAACTCTGGTCATTTTTTTGAACACAGGTCAACCGGATCCACGTGCCAAGCCGGGCCGGGTCTCTTTTTTGACAAGTCTGGTTTGAAACATATTTTCGGTGGAAAAGGCAGTTGTCACTTCACCGCATTGGTTGATCGGACACAGGGACAAGACAAGACAAGAAGGATACAATGTGTGTAACATGTTTTAAATTTTTGGACGACAACCGACTCATCAGGCTATTGAGGAAGAAAAGAGTCCGGGCGAATCCAGCTGCTCTCCTGGCCTAACGAGATGAACAAGAAGTTGAAGAGAGAGAGAGAGAGGGACTAAAATAGGAAGCAAGTGGGTGACAACCAAAGTAAAAAGTGCAGTTTAATTATATGGACGTGTGGCGGTCCACCCAGGGAGCACTCGTAATCCTATCTCGAGTAGGCAATATCCGCCCTATCCCTTCGGTATGTTTCACTTTGAATTGAAGTACGTTTACGGCATATACTTTTTATTTCGGTCGGGATAGAAAAATTGTTCTTTCTTCACGGCGCCCACTAGCAAAAAAATTCGGGAGGAAGCGTAGGCAAAAAATGCATATGCATACTTTTCCAAGTCCACCAAAAGCGATGGTAACTCTAACTTCCTAAACAAAAAAAGTGAGAAGAATTGAAGAATGTGTGTTCAATTGTGCGCATCCGCACAAGAAGAGAACATGAATCTAATTAGGAGACGCGCAAAAGTGAAAGAAAATGGTTATGGAGAGGAACGAGGTGAATGCACTTTTTGTTTCTTTGTTCGAATTCTTAAGGATAACTAACTTCTCAGAAAAATACCTAAAAAATAGCGTTTTTTCTATACAATATGAAAAAAAGTAAAACAGTTTTAAAATTCCGGTTTCCGAGTCCCTTAATTTGGGTTTACACCAATCGGGTCCAAAATGGTATCATAGAAAGTCGTGGAAGTCCTATTTTTGGGATCGGGATACCAGAATTAAGCCAAATTTTCAACAAAAAAAAAAACGATTCCTTTCTGTTTTTTGTTCTGAGGTAATTTCCAGTAAGAGTTCGCAAAAACTAATCCAATCCAAAGAAATTCAGAACGAAAAGGGTCATGTCAGTTTTATCAGCGAAGGTGGTGTGAGGTAGGTGAGGCGTGCGCTCTCAGGCAGCTAAAATTACAACAAATGGCGTCCAATGAGACACAAATAAATCAAAGGACACGAGAAGTCGACGAGACCCGTCGTCTCACGAGATGGCTCTCTCTTAATTGCGCCTTCCTATCAATTCATATATCAATGTGTTTTCTCACTCAAACGTTTTCAGTTTTTCTGAGTAAGGTCAAATTGAAGTTTATAACTGAGAATGTGTTCCGTTATTTTAGCCTCAAGGCATTTGTGCCCTTTCCTTGCATGTTTGCAGCCCCCCTACTCACTTCCAGATTGATCCCCGAGCTTGCGTGAGCCATGCCGCGTTTTCGAACACTGCGATGCCTGAAAAACGTAACATTAGAATGATGGGTACGCAATTCCGCTCGAGCATTTGTTTTTGCTCATGTTTTTCCTTATGATTACAACGTGGCATCCTGTTATTACGCATCAAAACAAGACGGGAAATGAGGCAGAAAGTTAGATACCTTCGGAAAGACTTGCGAACAGTTCGGAAGAAAGAAGTTGGTGACGACGTGGTGAGCATGATTAGGAATAGAGTTAGGGATAGTACGACTGGCTGGGCGGTGGTGGTGTTGGTTCATAGGAGTAGGAATCGGACAATAGTGGGCTGTCGAACAATTGTGTTCATTTGATGAGCCGCTTCATGGCTTTTATAGAGGAAGTGCCGATTTGGTAATTGTTTGTCCGTCGAAACTTTCTTCCTCCCTTCTTTTCCGCTCTTCTGTTGACGTCCAGATGAATAATTAGTGTTTTCAGCAGCCGCACCTTCTTGCTTCGCCTTGAATTGTTCAGCCAGTATCGTGAATCAGTTGGCCGAGTGTAGTGGCGGTGCGGATATGGAAATGAGGAATGAGACGCTTGGCAAAAAAGTAGAAGTCTTGGCGTCGGCACTTGATATCGGCAGACGTGGTTGGTTTCGTTAGCACAACTTGAGTGCCAAATTAGTATGCGAGGGCGTTGGGTGAAGGCGCTGAGAGTGGAGGAGATGGAGAAGGAGGCGGGGTGGCTCGATTAACTCGTTGATTGAATAATACGGCCTGTGCGATTCCTTGACGTACGTTTTAGTCAGAACCGAATAATATCGAATAATAATATTAGAATTCGTTTCTTCTCTCTTTCCAACTTGAGCACGAACAGGAACAAGACCAGGAGGCGTCAAGGAATGGAATGAAGAGAAAGAATAACAACACCAGAATACTAGGGTGGGGCGCACGTATTCTTTTCTTGACACTGCCTCGTTTCAGGTGTACGCACGCAGCTACTCACTCTTCTTTCCGTTGTCGTCAGCCAGCTCATCACAGATTTCGATGCATTCAGGCGAGAAGAGAGAATATGGCTTTTCGGGTCCATCAGTTTCTTCACCACGGGCCCGAGGGGCTCTTCGCCCCATACCGATTAAACATGTACATACACAATCCGGTGGAAGACGAAGCGGGAATAAGATGAAGAAGAACAAGAAGAATGTACAGAAATAGTGCGTCTTTTGTTTCGAAGGAAGAAAGTCGAAGTTTAGTTTGGTGGAAGAAAGGGCGAGAAGTGTTGAAGGGTGAAGATACTTATTAGACCTCCGGGAATTGCAGTGAAACGACTATCATGGACTTTTTGTTTGGTTTGGTGAAAAAGTTCATTAAAACTTGAAAGAGCACTGATCAAGCATCAGTTTAAGGTTGAGACGAAACCTGTCATTTTTCAAACATTTTGAATCCGGGTCGGATCGATTTTTGATAAGTTTGGCTGTGACCCTAAAATAATAAACTTCAAAATGCTAAGCCTAAGAAGCGCACTCCCAATAGTTTGTTTTCCGGATTTTGCGAATAATTTTCTCCCGCGGATTATGCTGAATTCTTCATTTGTGTCCAAGTATGTCGGAGATCAACCAAAAAAACTATTTCTGTTAATAGTCTACGAGAATGGACCCAATAAAGTTTCAAATTCTATGAATACTACACATTTTCATACATAGCAAACACGAAAAGAAAAAAGAATACATGTAGTTGATGTTTTTGACTTTCTCGAAAGTTTAGGTAGAAAGAAAGGTGTGAGAAACGTGAGATTGAGTAAGAAATATCAAATTCAAGAGTAAAGATTGTGGGAAAGTCCATTGAAACTAATTCAGTGGGAACTTTACTTTACGGAAGACGGAGCTTTATGAAAAGAAGATTTTTTATGGGTTTTGCTCGGTTTAAGTGTCGTCAAACACAGATTTTAGCTCGCCTACACTTACCTCCGATCTTTCGAGAGCCGTTTCACTTTGAGCATATCCCTCATGATCCACTCTTTACAGATTTTCAGTTGTCGAGGATGAAATAGGAAGTAGTGCGCTTTTTTCTGCGTGGTTTCTCTTTCTCCGTCAATGATCTTGTTGGGGTCGAAAGTGGATCATGTACGCATTCATGTGGCAACACACCAGTTTTTTTTTCAGTGTGTTGCGAGAAAGGTGATATTGCGGGGAGCCGAGCTTGACGGGACACTCTGACGTTTGTGTCTTCGTGTCAATAGACACGCCGTTTATTACAATCATAGGATGGGACGCAACAATGTTCTGTGAAACAGATCCATTGGGTGTCAGAGGTTGACATATGAAGAGAGAAAAAAGATAATGAATGATGATGCGAAATGTTGGTTTCCTAAATCTTTGGGAATGTGGAAAAACTGAGAGAAAGGCCGAGCTGAAGCTGAAGCATTTGGTGCTTTTCATCTATTATGCATTTTTGCTTTCCCTTCCCCCAATATATATTGTTCCGCTCTTCTTGCTCTAATGGACAATTAGACTTACTTGTGGTGAAGGAGCAGCGGTCGGCGGCTCGGTGAGGTTGAAGGTGTATTCGTTTCACGCATCAATGGGCCCGCGGTGTGCATACCTTAAATCAGATTTTCAGGGGGAACAAAGAAGTTCTATAGGGAGGTATTTTGTCAAGTGGAAGAAAAGTTAGAAAAGTAGGACTCTGTGAAGTTTTTGGATCTTGGATCAAGTTTTGAAAGTTTTGAAAGTTTCTAATTCCTAATTCCTAATTCCTCACGGCTCAGAAAATTTCGTCAATTCAATTGACGCAAACATCCTGAGGTCGGCCAAACTAAGCGGTTCTGAACCCATAAAAGGCGCCGGTTTCACTTTTACCACTTAGATTTTATTGCTCTTTTCTTCAACGTCACCAATGGCGTCTGAAGGTCAAAAATTATTGGAGAGCTCGAAGGCATCGACGCCGTTAAGCTCAAATGAGACGAATATCTTTTTACAAGTGAATTCTGCAGTAAGTTTGGTTGGTCGTCTGCCAAATTATCCGGAAACAAATTGGGAGGGCACGGCGAAGAGCGTCTTTTTTCCCTGTGGCTTCTGAATAATTAGTCTGTGTCTACACAGATTCATCTAATCCAATGTAATCCGGAATTGTTTTTCAGGAAGAGACAAGTGCCAAAAAGGCAGAGGAGACTACGGTAACGTTTGAAAGTATTGTGGAGAGCGCGGAGGATGAGCATGTGGAGAGTGAGCATCAATTGCAGCTCATTCTTGATTGTATACTACCGCCCAGGTGGGTAATTTGAAGTTTTAAGAGAACAGAAAAAGAGGAAAACACACATTTATAAAATTTTGAAGAGTTTACGAGCAGAACGGAAAACTATGGAAACAGCAAGCGTCGCTTCACCCGGCCACCAGGCTTGACATGGTAAGTGTTTATATTTGTCGAAAGTGTAGTGTCAATACATGTTTCAAAGCAAAAATATAAACTTTTCAGATAAATCTTGAGGAAAAACTGGAGACCGAGATTAAGGACCGGGGTGCGAAGCCGTTTGGGATATGTCCCATCCGACGAGACCTTTACGGCCAATTTTTTGGTTAGTCACATCTATCACGCCTTCTTAGCCGTGTACTGGGGGCAGTCTAATGATGGCCTTCGTCCATGAGACCAGGTGTGTTTCCAGACGAGCTGATCCGTCAAGTGAGTGTGTCTTGCGCCGAGCGGGGTCTTCTGCTCGTCCGGGTACGTGACGAGATTCGGATGACAATTGCGGCCTACCAGAATGTGTTAGAGTCGGCCATTGCTTATGGTAAGTTAGAAGAAATAGGCTGATTGAAAATATATAAATTTCCGGTGTTCGAAAAGCGTTATTCATTGAAAACGAGCAGACGAGAGCAACGACGGAGTGGAAGGTTCAGAAGGAAAGGAACAAAGAGCTTCTCGTGAAGGTGAGGGGTGAAACGGAAAGAATGGCGAAGAGCAGGAAGCATAGGACGGACGTTGCAGATTGCCCAATTGGAGAAAAAATTGGCGACGGATAAAATTGTAAGCGAGGAGGAATTGGAAATTGTGGAACAACGCATGAAGGACACTAATGAGCGGCTTGTGGAGGCCAATCGAATTTTAAAGGTTTGCCTTTACTCTGAATGCATTTTTGAGACTTGGCACGGGCCGGTGTCTAGCAGGTTATTATTTGATCCAAAAGTTTGAGAAAGATTACAAAAATTTGTTTAAAAATACTGACATCCACTCTTAGCAACTTTGCCGCACGCCATTTCATATTTCTGTCTGGAATTTTCTATTTTTATTTTTCAGAATCAACTTCAATCAATCCTTCAAATGGATGACATGTCGCACGTGAAAGTTGGAGACGCTGTCACACAATAACAATTTATTCGCACAATTGTTTTACAAAAAATGAGCATAATAATAATCGATTTTCGCTTGTATCTCATCAGTGAAAGCTACAGATCCGCAAAGGAAGCTGTGATCCTCATAAGTGGCCATTTTCGATAGTTCCTGCTCGTTCCACAAACTGTTTTTCAGTTGGATTTTGAGATCGTTAAACCAAACACGGTCGTTGTTCGGCAAAAGGAACTGATAAACGCTCTAAATGGAAATTCACTTAAAAAAAAACGCATCAAATGACAATTACCATTTCACTAATGCGATGGGAAATCGGGGCGTTGCTCGTGATACCGAAGTGTATAGCTCTCGCGAAATACTTTCTGGTCTAAATTCAATCGATTTTGGTCACACTTTGTTGACCGCAACTTACAAACTCAGATTTAGAGTAAACTTTTTGCAAAAGCGTGAAGGCAATGCATTCCAAGTTATCGCGGGTGACATTGTAAACGCTAGGCCAGATATTCTGAAATATTATCAGATCTAATGTGTTTCATAGTGAAGTAGTTACATCCTGATCACAACCAAAAGATCGGAAGGCGTAGAATAGTACAGCTAGAAAATCATCGGTAGCCTTTTCCAATGTGTTTTCACCGGTGTCATTAACATTCAAGACCTTATCAATGAAAACTTTTCTTGCAAAATCTGGGACCATTGAGTCAAGAGTGTTCAATTCGGCATCGTCCACATCGGTATTTGCATTCTCGGCTAGTCTATAGGCTTTCTCCATTAGATATCTGGGCACTTCCACTTTTTCGATAAGACGTTGCAGCCAGTACTCATCAACAACTGCAAAATTTTAAAATAATGGCCGTTGTGTATTGCCACTTGGCGATCAGCTTCAAAATCGGACTCAGGGCACAAAGTTACGTGTACTTTAGAATTTTGATGACGAGGAAAACACTATATTTTTTGAGGTATCGTCTTCAAAATACCAAATACCTTTGAGATATCTACGTAACTTTGAGCCCTGAGTCTAGCTCTGAAGTCACCGGATTGGGAATATTTTTGAGCGGCACGTGGCAGTGCACGACCGGGGCGGCCGTATAATTTTGCAACGTAGCCGTTGAACTTGCACATTGGCCAATTGAACACGTAACAATAATGAAATTGCTGCAGTTTCACGGCTACCTTATTTCTCTACTGTTCATCTCTATAACCTACACGTTTCAACACCAGAACCTTCAAAGTTTTGCGCACAAGTCGCTGTTATGAACCATAAAAGAAGCAACTTCATTGAGAGAATAAGTTGGAGTTGAGAGGAGAGTTTTAGTAGAGAAATAGGATGAGAATGACGGAAAATAGTTTACATTATAGGCACTTCTCCTCCCTCTCATCGTTTGATTTCGTTTCCGCGTGGTTCTTTTTGAGAACGCGTTTTGCACTTGAATATAAACTATTTCACCTTAGCAAAGTTTATATGTATTTGAGGGTGCAGACTAGACTTAAAATAATGTGCAGAATCTTAGTGAACACGGCAAAACTGTTTTATTTCCCTCTAAATTTTGTTCCATTTCTTCATCTTTTCATTCTAATGGCCGTTAATCAAATCCAATGTGTTTTTGTCTGTTTTGTTGTCATTTTGTTATTTTTCCCTTAATAAATATTCATGAAATATGCACGGAAAGCAAGAAATCACTTTAATTGTTAAAAAGCTATAAGCATCTAATAAAGAACAAGTAAAAGATCGATAAGCATACATGAATCATCACGTTTAGAAGAAAAGATACTGACAATTACATAGTGTAAGCGTTTTGAATAAGAGATATGTTCAGATTTCCCGGTAGACCCTAATTAGTTAAAAATGAATTGCAAAAGTTGAAAATTGGTGGAGAGGGCTGTTAAAAACGGTCCATTCCTCGAACATTTCAATTGTCGGTTTGGTGGTTATGTTGCTACTGCTGGGTGAATCAATGAAGTTGATAAGAAGAGACAAGTCCTCGTACATGTCTTCCATCCAAACCCGATACTGACGCACCGCTCTCGCCTCTTTGAGATCGCGGGTTGCACAGAAGCGCTGAAAATTAAGTTACTTATAGTACATCCTTCTAACCTTCATTCACCCTCATGGCTTCCAACTCTCGTTGAGCACAAATTCCTTTAGTTCTGTTGAAACGCGCGATTTTTTCGTTTTCTAGCTGCTTGCCAATATCCGCCTGAAAATCTTCATTGCACTTGAACATTTTGCTGATATCCTCGGAGCCTGGTAACAAAAAATTTAGTGTGAGCCCTTAATAACAGAACAAACGGTCTCTGATCGTTCTCTCGTCAATCTCGTCATATTCATTCAACTCTGACAGCACCGGGTCCAGAACTTTTCCCATTTCCATGCGCTCGTCTTCCTCCGACACGTTCTGATTGTCCTGTTTTCTCAACCGTCTCAGACTCTCCTCGAGCAGACTGTTCTTCGCCTGTTCCAGTTTCATGAGCACTTGAGCATCAGCTCCTTGTTGCTCCTTCTGCCTGATGTACTCCGACGCCAACTTCAATTTTCGGATTCTCTCCTCCTCCGCCTGCTTTTTCGCATCGTACTGTCTCCGCTTCGCCGCCTTCTTCTTCTGTCTGTTTAATTGATTGACCAGTTGTTTCTTCTCGGTCGTCGCCTTCTCAATTGCAGCCGATTCCTTTGAAACCATTACTCGAAGTAGTACGGCTTTTTCTCCGGAACATTTTTTGTCCAGCGCCTTTTCCGCAGCCAGTTTCTCTCGTTTCAAACGTTTTATCTCTTCATCAGCGTTCTTTTTCTCTTTGGCTACTCGATCTTCTTCGGCGAGTTTCTGCTTTTCAAGAGTTTCCAGTTCTTTGCGAGCAACTCGACGGGCTTCTTTCTCTCGCTTTTTCTGATTCTTCGCAGCCGTATCCTTCACAGTTTTTGCCATCTTTTTCAGCTCCATGACCTGTCTGCTCTGACTCTGATGCCCACTCTCAGTTCCATTACTACACGACGACGACGGTTGACCTCCTGTGCTCGTGCCAGATTCAAGAACAATGCCTTCATGAGTAGAAGATCCGGAAGTTGGAGACGCCGACGCCCCGCCCGAGAAAGAGCTTCCTCCGGTTCCCTCTTCGCCATCATCATCTGACGAGTCTCGACTGTAAAGCAGGAATGGCGGCAAGCTTCTGCACCGTTCCGCCGCCTCTCGTCGCTTTCTCTCTTCCTCTCTCTCTGTCGCAACGCGTTGCCTAAATTTAGCCGACAAGTCTTCAGAGCATTCTGGAATACGTTTATTGCTAAATTACGAACACACACACAATATTCAAATGCCTTTTTGGGACGGATAGGACGCTTCTCCGTTGTTCGAGGAATATCCATTTGCGGTCCGGTTGGCGCCATTTCCTAAATTTCCGTTTTCCTGGGATTGAGCTGCAACATCTCGACGGTCTAGCGCTTCCAGCTCGGCTGGAGTCGGGTACCAGAAGCCACGTGGCTCCAGGATCAGAGGTCCATTACCTGAACGATAGTTGAAAAGAATGAATGAATCATTTGGAGCTCACCTCGAACATTGTTCTCCGTTTCAATTTGTCTAACCTCTCGAAGTCGCCTGCGGAAATCATCGAAGTTCTCATGTCCTGGTAGGATTCGGTGTCCAGAGTTTCCAATTCTAAAATTATTGATTCATTTAACAGACTCTATCAAAGCTCACCCTGGTCCTCGTCTAGCAACCCCTATCAACGGGATACGGTATGGTGGGAACGGAACGCGTGCCATAAGCTCTCGTGCGGTCGGGATGAGGAAAGTCAGATGCGCGTGCTCATTCATCCATTGCTGGGGATACGGTCCCGTATGGATAGTGGTGTCCTGCGAATGATGACGGCGACGCGGCAAAACTGGAGACGGAGAAGGAGCTCGGCAGGGGTCCTCTGGTTCGGCTCTCGACACGACTTGAGCCCAAGATCTACCATTCTGGATTCCTGTAGAAGAGGAAGAAGAAGAAGAGCCAGCAATATTTCCATTTAGACGCTGAGTGGGAAGTTCTGGAAGTTGGCGTCTGGTGCGCGGACGGAGAGCAACATGATCCTCTGGATTTTGAGCTGACGTCGATGCTCCCTGCTGATCATTCTCACGCTCTTCCACGTACTGCTTCCATTGATTGACGTTCCGAGCGTGCCAATTTCTAGCATCATTAGTGGATCCCAGAGAACTAATTGACCGGCCACGGCTGGAAACACCGTTTTGATGCGTGAAGTTTGAATAGCGGGAGTGATGTGAATCGACTGGTTGGTCAGTAGTCGGTGCTTGCTCGTTGGTGGAACTCGAATGAACTCTCGTTTCGTCGACAAGATTTCTGGTTTCATTAGGTGAGTCCCTTCCATTTGTCCCGTTCAGCCCTGCTTCTGATCCTTCCGCAGGAAACTCAGAACCACCGTCGCTAAATCACTTTTTAAATTAAAATTACGCATTGAAATTTTTCAGCTCACTCTGGAAATTCGGAATACATGACAATGATAGCGTCTTGGCCAGTTTGAAGAAGTCCGAAGATGTGCTCTTTCTCAGATTTCGAGAAATTTATTCCGAAGTTTTCATTTTCGAGTTCGCTCTGCAAATAGTTGATTGAAATCAAATTTGTCGCGGGATGGGATGATGGAGGTCTGCCCACAAGTTGAAAAAATGAATTTTGAGTTTGCAAAATGCGTCTTCTGACGTTTACTAGCTAATATGCCGATGTTCGGTAAGACTGATTGATATTAACAAACTTGCCTGACATACCTTTACTGACTCTACGTTGATCGCTTTCTCAATTACTCCATCCCCCATGTCCTCGCTCTTTTGAACGTTGCTGTCTCTGAAAATAAACAAATTTCGTTTACTGCACTACAATAAAAACCCACTTTTCCAGATGTCTCCTATCATTCGGATTTTCATTCTGATTTCCTTGTTTGAACAATGCCCGGGACACAAGCAGTGGTTTCTCCGGGATAAAGTACTCGATCTCGATGATCTTCTTATTGTCTTGTCCTACCTCCGCACGCTCCTCCATCGGCTCATCGATGAATGCGTATGGTTCAGCAGTAGTGGTGCCGATTTCATATTCCTCGGGGATGACAAAACGATCTCGTGTGTCGGCGTTTCCCCACAGTTCCGGATTGGCAGTGAAAAACGCATTGATCTTCTTCCCTACGCACTTCAATAAATTATCGTACTCGGCGATTTGCGTGGCACTCATGGTTTGTTGCGAGATGAGCGGGAAGTTGAGTCCAGAGAACACATATCCGTCTAAGAATGTTGCGAGTGGAACCTTCGAAACTTCTTCCGCAAGTCTTTGGATCTCGTATTGAGTTTCCTGGGTCAGAGTCGTTGATTCTGACACCTCTTCCTTCGTTTCCACATTCTGTTGCGGAAGTTCATCAGGTTCATCAGTTGAAGCAACCGCAACGATCTCTTCCTCCGGTATCCTTGCAGAAGAATCGGACATTGTGTCCGAGGCGTCAGGCTCCGACGTTCCTTGAACCTCAAGAACATTTCCTCCAGTTCCGACTGTCAGAATAACTGTTTCCTGGACTTGGGCTCCATTGGCAGCAGCTGGGAACGTGCTTTCCTGAACTGGATTCGGAGCGACGACAGGAATATGGTTCTGGTATCCGACTTTGGCTAGTTTTCCATCCTGCGACACTGGAACGTAGAACTCCGAGTAGCCATCACTGTTGTTGAACACTCTTATATTTTCGCCCATTTTCAGAAAATCCGGATTGACGAACAGTGGAGTCTGTTGCTGAACTGGAACTGGAGCGCTCGGTTGGGTGTAGGTGAACTGTTGCTGGGGTGGTGGTGGAGGTGGCGGCATTGGAATGGTTCCGAAACCGGGCATGAGACCAGGGTTTGGATAGTAGACCGCATCTGAAAAGTATTGAAAGCGTTAATAATGTTTTGAGTTGGGTAGGAAGATATTCTATCATCTTTTTTGACAGGTTTTATTGCGTTCTGCACAATCCGCTCTTATGGTCATTACGAGGGGTGGTTCAATTCTCCACAAGAAAAATAAACTGAACAATGTCAGTGAGCGAGCGAATATGTGTGAACAGCAAAGACTTACGCAACAGGACTTCGAAAATAAGAAATTACAAACCATTTCTGAAGAAACGTTGGATATTGTATGACAAAAAGTGCAAAACGCAGTAAGGGTACAATATCTTCGTCTCCGACAGTATCATACAACGCACGAAATCCAAGTGATTGAATCACTCAAAAATGTGTTGAAATTGAAACTAACTTTGTGGCGGATGATTCATTGTTGGAGCTTGCATTACAGCGACTTGAATGGCAGGAGGACGCGGGCGGGATGGTACGTATTGACTTCCTGTTACCGGTTGGTAGGTTCTCTGCGGTGGCGGTTGTTGTTGCCACTGTTGAGTCGCAGGCGGAATGTATCTTTGTTGTAGGATCTTTGGAGGCGGCGGATGCTGATAACCATTCGGATGCGGCAGCTGTTGATGGCCTCCATTGGAAGCAGACGGATACTGACCCCACTGACCGGTAGCATTTTGCCCATTCAGGAAGGTTTGGGCCACACCGAAGGAAGGAACCGCATAGCTCGGAGGGTTTCCGAACAAGCTACCGTTTCGTTGAACGCTGTTCCTCCTCTGATTGCCGTTGGGTGGTTGTGACGGAAGAAAGCCGGGAGGTGGAAGTGAAAGACCTTGTCCAGGTAATCGATGCTCACCGCGAACATGAGAACGATTTCCATTTCCAGAATAGGAACCGGCGTCCGACATTAGCTGATTTGAGGTCATCCGTGGGGGCTCGGCAGGCTTTGGGCGCATAGTTTGGCAGATGTGAACCTAGAAAAGAAAGGTATGTTCAATTCTAAGTAAGGTACTTTCTCACAACCCCACGGGTTTATAGATATGAACTTCAGATGTTCATTCCCATTCGCTTGTCACTCAGAGCTGCGTCAATTTGAAGTTTTATAGGAATAGAAGTCGTTCTGGTCTAGCGACGATTCGAGCTCTCTTGTTACTATAGTGAATGCTCCGAGAATCTTTGTCGCAAACTCACCCCTGCACAAAACGCCAGAAGAACCGAATGCAGAATTAATAGTGCGCGTACGTGTTTCATTAGAAAAGCAGATGAAAGATTGTTTGGAGATCTGTAAGGAACGGACTACCAAAAACGGACGATTGAGGACGGAAACAGAAGGAAATGTAACTTCCAACTAAATGTGATGTACGGATGCCCAAAACGTTCAAGAAGAACAAAAACGAATGAAAAAGGAGAGTGAACTCGTTTGCTTGTGCTAACAGAACAATGAGATTGAAAAAAGAATGGGTAGATCAGGTCCGAGCACAAGGGCGGAGCTTGAGCAACATCTCAAAAGCGGGTGTAGCCTGCCAGTTGTGGTTGTTCGTAGCTACCGTAGTTTAAAAAACTGCTTTTGGGAGGCGGAGTCTGGTCGAGCTAGGGAAAGAGAAAACCTGAATTTAGACTGGAAACTGGAAAAGCTTCGACGAATTGTTGGAATGGTCCCGAAACCCAGAAAAAAACTGGACTACACCCTGAAAGCGTGTTCATTTCTTATACCTGTCCAAAAATTACATTCCAAAACCACATGGTGCTCTGTCCCCGGCCGGTCTAGCAAACATTTCCGTCGCCCCTACTGATTGCCCTCTTATTTCAGTTCTTTAAACTAAATATGTCAAAAATGGAGAATTCCTCGCATTTGCTAACTTTTTCCATGACTTGCTCTGACGTACATACGTCTCCTCACACCGCAAAATAATCTCTTTGCGCGTCGAACATAAAATCGGAAAAATTACGGCGGCTGTCGGGGGCGATAGTGCCTTCTCCTCCTTCTTTCAGAGCACACTCAATTTTGGCGATTAAAAGAGCAAAAGTGGTTTGATTGGGACGCAATAAACTGTCGAGGCTGGATGAAAATGGATAAATGGGCAGGACATAAAAGTGAGCACCCCGAAGGAACATAAATTTTTGGCGCGGAGCAAGTCATAAAGTGCTCTCGTCAAATTTAGCGGGGATGGTCTCTATGGAGTCGGAGAAGGGTCCCTCTGAACCGAAAAAACCTTCGCCGAGTCTTCTGCACTTAATTTCCAAAAAAAAAGAACCCCGAACCTCAACTTTTCCTTAATTAAATCAACTTGGTCTTCTGCAGTCCTAATGGAAAGTTCATCAAAACCGCTATTCCATTCCCTTTTCCTTTTTTCCAGCAATCAAGAACTTGTTCCGTTTCCTTTTCTCGCAAGTGGAACAAAAAATGTCTCAAGAAGGACTTTAATGAAGTGCCGTCCCAAAATAGAGTATCGAAAACCAGAAAACAGAAAAGGAGAAGACAAATGTATTTTGTCAGGACCCGTCGGGTGTGGTCGTCGGTGTCCGCAGGAAACATCTGCTTAACTCAAAGCGGAGAAAAAGGCGAAAATGGGGCGGTGGCTCGTTCATTTCTTGGCGCCTCCGGAAATTGGCTCTGAGCCGCTTTAGGTCCCCCACGTCAGAAAGTGTAAAGCGACCGTGTTTGTATCCGTATAGCAGGGTGGAAGTGTATTTGTGAAGGAAGGGGCTGGAGCGAAGCGAATATATAAACATTTGTACTGAAATGTACAAAAACATCGAGAAATTGGCACCTTGGGAAGGAAGGAAAGAAGGACCCTTCAATTTTCGTTTCCAACGAGACTCACCGCAATTATTTGCGATCTTCTTGTCAATCTTACCAACCGTACCTTTTTTTTCCAGAAGACAACATAATAATGGACTCCAAATTTCTATTGGTAAGTCAAACATTTCCGTGCCAAAAATTGTTTTACAAGGCCATTCCCTGCCGACCATATTTGCTATATTTTTCCGGGCCGACCTTGTGCTAGCTGTTTCCCCTGTTCCCTGGCACTTCCCCGCACAGTTCTCATCGGTTTTTTCCAGTCCTACACAGTCTTTTGAGCTGATAACAACAACAATGCAAATCTTTTGGGTTTGATTTGTTTGTGTAAACGTTATTCACTCTATCCCCCGCTTTGAAAAGTCGGAGGTAAAAAAAAAAAGTCGGAGGTCGGCCGTAAACGTCAAATCCCAAGCCCATCTCGAAAATTAACTTGGAAAGTTCTTCGCCATGCTTTTTCTTTTTCTCCCCCCAATCTCTAGTGTCCGATAGAGAAGAAAAGGTCGGAGTTGGTGCTGATAACAGACAATTTTTCGCCCCTTGTCTCTCCAGGGATTGTCTGTGTCATTAGCTCCCTTTTACTTCTACGTCAATATCACGCTGATTAGAGAGCGAAAGTTTTAGAGCGTTTTCATAACATTTCACTCTAGTTTTGTCTACTAAATTCTTGATCTACACTTATTTACAGAAAGTATGGACGTTTCGCTTCAAAAGTTTGACAAACAAGTTGGGGGAAGAACGACACTGTTCCAGATTCTAGGAGATCACCTTCTGAAGCCGACTTCGGCTTACGAAGTTGAAGCGTACTTGAAAATGAACGAGTCGGTGATGGAAGTCGCTCCACAGGTGTGCTACATCTTCAAAGTGAGTGGACATTACCCTAATGCTATTAATAACTAAACTCCGTTTTCAGAACGGAAAAGTGATTGAGCAGAACAAATGCTTGAATTGTTATTCGCGCTCGCAGATTTCAGCAATTGGCTCACTTGCTGCACAGTTCCACGAGGGGTTAGTTTTTGTTGCGTTTTGCATGCCTGATAAGACGTCAAAAGAACAAAGATAGTTTAAGGCGTTGCAGATATTACCTGATAATGCGAGACGCGACACATGGTCTGACTCGACCCCGCGTGCTCGACATCAAGTTGGGCACCAGGACCTACTCGGACCACATCCCCGAGGAAAAGAAGAAGTCGCGGATCCTTAAGTTGGCAAAGACAACTTCCAAGTCCTTGGGATTACGACTCTCGGGCGCTGGCTACATTCCACAAGGGCATGAGCAAAAAATAACAATCACGAAGCCAACTGGTAAGGTTTTTAAAATTAAAATTGCGATAGTGCCAAAAGGTCCGTATGTTTCTAGGAATGGCCATGAACAAACACGAGTTCACCGATACTATGCGAGAGTTCTTCAATGTTCCATCCGAACACAAACAAGAAGTCATCCGTCAGCTGCAGAAAATCAAAAAAGCCGTGGAAGACTCGCCAAATCTCCGTTTTTTCGGGAGCAGCCTTCTAGTGGTCATCGAAAAAGAGAACAAGATCGTTCAAAAAGCCGTCAAGGTCAAATTGATCGACTTTGCGAATCAGGCAAGATCCGAGCCTGGCCAGATCCAGTACATCGGCCTCGATGACGGCGCGCTCTTCGGTGTGGACAACTTCATCGACATAATTGGTTCAGTTTGAACAGTTCCGAATAATTTCCCTCATAATTTGTATAATCTACAGGTTTTTTGAAGAGCGCATAAATATAATGATTTTTTTAATACTACGATAGATCCCGACACACCCATATCGAGTGCTTTTAATTAGACTTTTTTGGAGGCGAATAATGGGATTTTGGTTTTGCAAGAAAGACGAAATGAAAATGAAAGGAGGTTGGGTGGTGGAACAAAGTTTCGACTGAACTTTTCCGAGATTCTGAAGTATGAATCTTGGCAACTTAACAAAATTTGTCCTACGAGTACTCTTGAAAGTTTTACCACGTGTTGGAACCCGCGACAAGCATCGTCTGAAGTATATCCCCATTCCATATTTCAGGACCTACCGTATCCGTGGTCAGATCTTTTCGCTGCAATTTTGGTTGTCCTCTAGCACACGAACTGCATGATACCACTAGCTGACACTGCAAAATGAGAAGGATTGTCTGATTAAACGAGTACAAATGAAGACGGCTCTGCTCTCAGGAGAGAGAGAGAGCGAAGAAGAAGAAGAGGAAGTCAGAAGTGTGTGGTGGGTATGAATAAGCGAAGGTGCGTGCTCGCTGGAAAGGGCGTCGAGATGGAACAGGGTGGTACACACATGAACTTTTCTTGTTTAAGTTCACACCGTACCACTTCGACAAATTGACGCTTCTGTTCTAAACCAACTCACCTACCGTAATCCAATTTTCAATTTCCGTCCCTCAACGGAACTCTTCGACCCGCCACCCGATTAATCAAGGAGTGCGACGAAAATTCAATCTGGCTCGTCTTGATGAAAAAGTGCTTTGCTTTGCTGTTCTTCGTCTCCTTCTCCTTCTCCACCCTTCCCTTCTTCAGCTCTTATTTCTCATTTCAATTCCTCGCCAGAACGGCCGGCCTGCATCTAATTTTCTCTTCTTCTCCTTCCAAAAAGTGTGAAGACGAAGGAGCTGCCCCAGATTGATGTGCTCCACGTCGCCGCCGGTGCCCCGTGTTTTATCGCCCGCCGATCGTCGACGCGGTGTGCGTGTGTAGAGAGGAACAAAATAGAGAGAGAGGGAGAAAAAACGGGGCGAGGAAATGAGGGGGTGCACTGCTCGCCCAGGACAACCGGACGAGCAAACTGCCTTTTTTGACGAACAGCTAGCTACTAGCGGGAGGAAGGGAGAAGGGAAGAGAAAGGGACACATTGAGGAGTTTAGTAGAATTGCAAATGAGAAATTGGCTGAGGCCGGAAAGAATACTCACGAAACTGAAAAGAGCAAAAAACAAGTGAAAAACGTGTGAGGGGGTTCGGCAGCAGAAACAGTTACTCACGGTCCTATTCTCACTTTTGCAACTCCCGGAATTCGAAATACGAATAAAACTAATCAGTTCTCTCCTCCACAACATACAAAATGTCCCGTCCGTGTGCCGCTATCAGTAGTACCCTCCCCCTCTTTCAGCGCTTGAGACGCTTGTTTGAGAAAAAAGGAAACTTTCTTCAGTAGATATTGAATGATCGATAATAGAAAATTGATGATAAGGTGTTGGTGGAGGAGCACGGTTTTGATTTGATTTGTGAGGCCGATAGGAGAATTGTTCTATCCACGATTTGTTGCTTTAGGAGGGAAAGAAAGAAATGGGAATCGGAGAATAAAAACTAAAATTGTCGAGTTTATGATCGCGGACGGCAAAAATTTGACATTTTCCCACGGACACATAGCAACTTTCGTGATACCTGACGACTAGAACTCCCAGCGTTGCACTTCATATTCGGTCAAATAAAAAACCAAATCGGAAAGAAGAAAAAGATGATCGACACAAATATCGTACAAAAAGAACAATGATGGTGGAGGGAAGAGCTGGCGGGCGGGGTCTGAAATTCGACGGCAGAGGAACGAACGATCTCAAAGGACGGCCGGTGATTCATCTTTTCGTCGTAAGAAAAGAAGCAAAAAGGGAGCAAGATTGGGGGTGTTTGGGAGGGAGATGACGACATTTTATATCACAATTGTTGGGGGAGAACTGTTGTATAGATGAAAAAAATGAAAAATTCGGAAAGAGGAAAAAGTGGTTCGAAAAAATATGCCTAGAGTTGGAAAAAGGGAATACGGAATGTCTTTAAACCTAGTGGGCAAGGCGATGACAACTCCAGGAGCAGTACGCAGACGTGATTTTCAAGATTGGGGGTGGAAGTCAAATGAAAATGGCTAGTTGGAGGATTTAACGATGTCCATGGTAGCTGTTCTGGTTGCTTGACGAGCCGCCGGCTCCGCTCGGTCCGCTGGGTCCAGCACCACTAGCTCCTCCGAGATTGCTTCCAGATCCGGATGCGCTGCTGCTCGCATTCGACTCTTGCTCGAAATTGGCCGTATTATTGAGGAGGATCTCGCGGAGTTCCTGAAAATAACCTCTTCATATGTGCAAAATCTCAGCCCGGCCCAGAATTCAAAACATTTAAAAAAAAACAACAATTCGTAAAGCTTTTTATAGATCAGGCTTGTAAGCCACTTTTCGATTAAAAACGCTGAACTATCGACGTTTTTTTCAAACATTTTTCAAACTGTTTGACTTCCGGTTTGAATCTGAGCGGATACATTTCATTTGAACACGACCGGCCCGGCCCGGTGCAAGTCTCAAAATGTTATTATGGATGTCTTTCTGTACCTTGTCGTTCATATCGCCAGTGTGCTGACGAGTCCAGTGCTTCTTGGGCGGCGCCATGTCGCGCAAATGACTTCCCGGATCGACGACCATGAAGTTTATGACGTCAGAGAGCGAGATGACTCCCTCGATTCCTCCTTGCTCGTTGACGGCGCACAGACGATGAACATTGTGATCCACGAGCACGTTGATCGCTTTCCAGAAGCTTTCGTTGTCACGCACCGAGACGACTCGCTCGTCACTCTGGAAAAAAACGAAAATATAATTCAGTCCCTTTAGTCTCAGTTCAATCATCCCAATCATTTCCATTCCAATTCAACAGCGCAGCGCAAAATGCAAATTTCGGAATTGCAAAACGGTACCAGTGTGGCGCCACGTGACGTCCCACGAACAAAGATCTCTCTGGTTGCGGATCGTATTGTATTGACAAATCTTTTTTGTCTGACTGTCTAGCCAAACAACTTTCCCATCTTCGCGTTCTTTGGATGAGCTGTTCACGTGGCAAAAAGGAAGAGAAAATAAACAGGTTTTTTGATGCGAACCTTCAGGGGTCCGCCCTGAGATTTGAAGGCGAGCGCCTCCTTGACAGTGATGTCCAGACGATTTTCGAGAGCTATTCCGACGGCGTCAAAGCGCGAGTACATGTCGACCACTCTGAAGTTATCAAATTAGATTTACTCGAATCAAATTGGAGTACTCACTTGAATGTCTCCCTCTCAACGACCGGCAACCCGGAGACCCCCTTGTTCAGCAGAATGTCCAGACAATCGACGAGTTGCGTGTCCGGGAAGACGACACGGATTCCGCTCCACGTTCCGATGCCCAGCTCCTTCGGGGTCTTGTGAATGTACTCGAGCGGCGGCAAATGTTTCCCGAAGAGCCACAAGAACTTCAAAATGCGTTTGTGGGTGAGGATGAAGAGTGCGGATCCGTCGAGTGGATCGATGACTGGAAGACGATGCACACGATGTTGGGTCAGGATGCAGGCAGCGTCGAGGAGGCTGGCGCTAGCGTCCACCGAGACCAGTGCTCGCAGATTTCCCTCCCTGGCGAGAATCTCTAAAAAGGAATTGGTTTACGGTCCGAGAGCTGCGTGAGAACTCACCGCGGTACTGACGGATGGTCATGTTTCCAATCTCCTCATTAGCTATCTGAGTCATGTCGAGCTCGGCCGCCGCTTCCGCTTTCCCATCGCTCTTGGCCTTCTCTCTGGAACTGCTTGAGCATGACACTTGAGTTTATTGAACACGACAGTGCAACTAATAATCACGCTCTACTTCCTCTCTCTCTCTCTCTTTTGCGACTTTCGCCGTATGAGTCTCGTCACGCATTGCTTACCTGTAAATCTTGAGCATCACTTTTATGAAATCGGTGACGCTGAGAATTCCGTCGAGTTTTCCGCCCAAATCCGGATCAGATAGCAGCACGTGACGTGTACTTTGCGCCAGCAATCCGTTAAATGCCTTGTGCATCAAAAGTCCCTGGTCGAACACGACCATTTTTGAGCTCGACGGCATTGCTTCGTAGCATTGGTTGAGCCAGAGAAGACGCGCGAACGCTTCTTTGTCGTTGGCCTAAAACAAGTGTATTTTCTGGAGATAAAGTGTTGGAAATTATGTGACTAACCGTTTTCGGGAGGACCTCATCGGATTCTGTCGTCGTCGTTGTTGATTTGGAACCAGTCATGTGGCCGATGCGTGGATGATGGTTGTCTTTGAATGAGGACATCTTTCTCTTTGCACACACACGCCTATAAAAGAAAAAAAACCATGAGAGATTCTCATCCATTCATTGAGAATAATAGTTCGAGATTGAGAAGAAAGGAGAGAGAGAGAGAGAGACAGAGAGAGAGAGAGAGAAAGTGAGCATTTGATAAATCAGAGTGTCCGAGTCTCAGATAGAGTGCAATGGGAGAGCTGAGAATCAAACATCGCAATCAAGACGGAGACAGCATGGAGCACGCGAGGTGAGAAGAAGAAGAAGAAGGGGAGAAGAAGAAAGCAGCAAATCTGGCCGTGGTTGTGCCTCGGTTGTTTTCACTTTTTGCATCTATTGTGATAGGCCATCTTTTCGGAAAGAAGAAAGGAAGGGGAGGGGGGAAAAAAAGAAATTGCGAGAAGTTCTCTGGTGTTAGTTCGCCCGTCGGTTGACACGCATGTACGGGAGAAATGATAGATAAAATACACGAATAGGTATGGACATAAACTATACATTCGTGTATTCCTCCCACTACGTATCAATTGGTAGCATAAAAAGTATTGATCGATGATAAGAATATTTGTGTCTGGTCTGGGAGTGATTGGGCCCGGCCGAGTCGTGGAAACTTCCATAATGGCCCGACCCGTGACAAACATACTTGCAAGGAATTGCAACGACAACAACGTTGTTTTGAGAAAAAATTTCCTTCTAGAATAAGGGACTCACGGAGCACGTGCCCCAGACTAGACAGAAAAGGCAAAGTAAGTGCACTTCTTTTTTTGTCCAATGCCCTCTACAAATTAGATTTTGAGAGCGGAAACTGGCCAGAAAAGACGCACGTAAACGTGTATGAGTGCCTGAAGAGAACACGTGCTAGAAAACTTTCTATAGGGTAAAAAGTTTGAAAAAAGTGGACGACAGGTCTCTGGAGGATTAAAGAGTCAAAAAAGGAATAGATTGATGGGCAAAATGATGAATATCGGCTGGGAGGGCAAAAGAGAAGAGGGTAGCGTTTTTCCCCGCAGTTTTTTTTCCCTTCGTTCCATTTGTTTAGCGTAATCTGCTTATACTTGCCGTTGACTCCGTGAAATAATCATTCCAGCTACCAAAAGAGAGCAATGAGCAGAGAAACTTATCGGATTGAACGGACGGCAATGTGACCCTTGCGCTAGGAAATCTAATACCGGCGGATGCTGTGTACATACATTCAATTCCACACAAAACTTTTGTTGACTGTTTTTGGAAAAAAAATTACTTGTTGGGCTCAAAATGTTACATGGCAGATGAAATTGTGCGGCGTAATGCAGGGGTGGATGTGAGCGGCTCACCAAATAAACAAAATTTGGGTGGAAAGAGATGAAGAGGGAAAACAAACGAAATGAGCCCCCGCCACAACAACTCGCTGATGCTATTTCGTTTAATTCGAGCTATTTTGCCATCTTCATCGCCTTCAATTATCATGGATCGAAAAACGGTCAAATTCCGATACATTCGGAGATCTATTTCGGTAGCCAATTTCTGCCAATCGACAAAGTGACTTTTGGTTTTCAATCGTTAGGAGAAATGAGAAATTTGTCCAGCGGTTTGTCGATCGGTCTAGCGCGGGCGCTTCAAACACGTGTGAATCTGGTTCCACTTTTTCTGTCCAAGGACATGCAACACAATGAAGAAGTTAATTGGAAAGAGAACGCGAGAAAGGTTGACTTTCTGCAAACGCTACGTTATCTAATCTAATCAATCATTCGGACAGAAAATGTTAAGGCCGATTTTCAAAAAAGACCTGAAAAGAGCTGGACTTTACGGATGACTGCTCAAATGCCTTCAACTTTCAAAGCTGAAAAGCGAAGCGTCCGGTCGAATTTCTTGGGCCCTCTTTCCATAATTAGCTGTGCTCATTCTAATGACCTTTCGTTTTCTCAGAATTAAGAGGGCACAGAACGAAAAAAAAACAAAAGTCTTAATAATCTTTTCTGGTTCGGTCTTAAAGGTCTCAAAAAACACTCACCAGAGGCCAATAAAAACAACCGGGCTAGGTGATGATGAGGACGGATGGACGTACGGAGGAGGAGGAGGCAACAAACGGGAAGTCAGCGCAGGAGAAGAGAAAGACGAGACTGAGGAGGAGGGGGTAGGCCGGTCTCGTCTACATGAACAGAGTACACAATGGCCTGCGTCGCGTCCCCCGCTGAGGAGTGTCCTACGACACTCCGGTCGAACGCGGCGCGTTGTTTAGCAAACGTGTAGAATATTCTCGCTCCTAAGTATTTTTAGTCATAATTGCTCTCCGTTCTTACCAATCTCGCCCGTTTTTGCGCAATCTGTTCATCATTTTTTTCTATTTCAGCCTATCACAATGTTCAACGAAAACGGAGACCAATCAATCGAGACTATTTACCCGACTGGCGGCGGCTTGCCGGGAGACGATGAAGAGGAAGAAATCGACATAATGAACCCGGAACCGGATACCCTCATCCCAACGGGCGAGGACGAAGAGGAGCGCTTCCACCATCCGGAGCACATCTTCATGCTCAACGAAGATGAGAATGAATACGAAGAAGAGCAAGATGTGTCTTTTGATTATATTGGAGGAGAAGAGCCGCAGCAATTCGACGGCGTGCTCGACAATCAGGAGCTCTACAACGCGCACTACACTGGCGAAGGGTACCCAGTGGATAAGGATGAATTGCTGTTCGAAACCTTCCAGAAATGTATGAGCCCCCTGATCTGTGTACCAGCCCTATGTATCGTATTCCTTGCAGATGTCGAGCCAATTTCAACCGCGACGCGTCTTGAAATGTATCCAGAGATGAAGCTGCTGCCGATTCTCAAGAGGGCCCGCAAACCACATCTGCCGAACGAGGAGCAAACGGGAAAATGTTGGGACCCTCCAAAGTGTGGGAGGGTGATCAATCCGGCAGATGGTCCAGTGCAGGCATTTCTCGCTTCCACCAGGCTCTATCCGACGACAGATCAACCCAGAGAGGAGAAGCCGATGGTGAGGAAATGCCGGACTGTCCTAACGCCGAGCATTTTCAATTTCCAGGAACCCATCTCCATGTTCCTCCAGCAAGATCGTCTGACCACGAGCAAGAACTCACGAGTCCAAATGCGCCGCTTCTTCCGTCCGAAACCGGCGGCGGCAGTGGATGTCAAGAAGTTCTCCGAGAATACTGTTCCGCCACGTGGACAGATGACCCCGCTGCCAGACCGATTCTTTCAGAAACGGATGAGCATCACTCCGGAACAAGCTGGCTTCCGTTCGGACTGCGTTGAATGTGAGCAGTGCGGTTTCCTATTCAGAAACAGGTCAATGCTCGAGGGGCACATGAAGAAGCACGACAAACTGAAGAAAAAAGAGATTTTCAGGTAATTCTGTCACAATTAGTTTGTAACATTGTGGTGGATTTCAGTATAAGCGCGGGGTTGAGGTGCCCGATTAAAACCTGCGATGCTCGTTCGGACACCTTGGCCACTGTCGTTCGGCACATGAAAATGAAGCATAGCATTGGTGAATTCACATTCGAGCGTATAATTTTCAAGGATTTCAATGAATTTAAGGTATGGAACAAAGAAATCGAAAGAAAAAAGTTTTTAAATCACGTTTAGATGTGGCGCAACGAACTGGAGAGACTGACAATGTCGAGATTCAGTAGAACTTCCGGAAAACAGAACATTTTCAGCAAGTCTACGTGAGTTGTGCTTTTCTTTCAGGGTTCAATTTCTCATTGACACATCTTCAGTTACTACCAATGCCATCACTCCGGAGTCGTGCCTCCACAGCACACCGAACAGGATCCGCGAAAGAGAAGCCGTCAGAGTAAGAAGATCGGAAGAACCTGCACGGCGTTCTTCCACGTTCGCGAGAATGAGGACGGGTACGCATCATTATCGATTTTTCTGCGTTCCGATTTCAATTGTGATGTTTCAGAACTGTCCTTCTCCGCGGATGCACCAAGCACACAGGCCACGGAGTCGACATTCGCCATCTTCCGCTTTCCGAAGAGATCAAAATGGAAATCGCACATTTGCTCATCGAAGGATGCGACGAGAACAGCATTGTTGACAAGATGCGTCAGCATTCTGATCGCAAAAACCGCCGCTATTACCTTCAATCGTACGAGATCCGCAACGTGGCGAACAAGATTGAGAAGTTCAAGGAGGAGTACAAGAGAAGAGTGAGACAAATCGACATTATCATAATTGCATCAGTTTTTTTGCAGATGGCTGCCGGTGAACCACTTCCAGATTTGGGTGAAGCGATCAACGGAAAACGTCACAGCGACAGAACCGTTTACACGTCCACCAGAGCCAAACTCTCATGTCACAGATACCCGGTGGTTGATGAGCAGATCGATGAGGAGTACTTGCGAGATGCAAAGGTACAAACCCTTCTCTTGCAGACTCCCGACTCAACGCGATATTTTCAGTCTCCGAACTACGAGTCGGCGTTCTACGACGAGGAGGAAAGAGGTTCATCCTCGAGTGGCGAAGACGAAGCGGTGTCGCCGTTCAAACCATCACGCACTGCGGCTAGCTCGGAGCCATCTACATCCACTTCGACTGAAAAATCGAAAGAGCTGACAAAAGCGGTCGGGGACGAGGCCACCATTAAGAAGTTGCTCAACATGCCGAACAGAGCCAAGGCGATCCGTCGTCCTCCTGCACCGAAAATTGGTAAACCGGAACCGGTCTTCGTGAAAGAGAACCCGGCCGCCGCTCAAGTGACCACCACAAGAAATTCGAGTTCGAGAAAGGGCGTTCCGAAGGTGAGACTACTAAAACATGAATGAAACGAACTGGAAGCAACATGTGGACCTTAAAATCAGACTTGACGAAAAGAGTAGATGGAAAAATTACCAACTAGCTGGTACACAAGCCGGAAAACGTAATTTCGAAACTCTAAATTACAAAAAGGCACGATTTTGAGAAAAAATGACGGCCAGAGGGTATTTTTCAATTCATCCTTTACGATTGACTGATTTTGCGCGTCAAAGTCAGAAAAGATTAGCATAAAAACACATTTTCCACCTTTTGCACGTGAATTTTAAAAATAACTATCCTTGCAGAAGATACTCATCGAACCGGAGACAAACGAGACGGAGAATACGTTTTCGATGGGAGTCACTGAATCTGCTGAGCCTTCAACATCTTCCACGCCGGCTAGTGCCGTCCGCTACTCTTCCCGTCTGAAGCAGAAAAGGGAAGATCGTGACGCGTCTCGATTCGCTGAAGAGCAAGGGATTCCGATGGAGGAATCGAAGTCGACGTCTCTGGTTGAGGACGAGACCAACCCAGAAGACGAATAAGATATTTCATTAACCTTTATTCTTGTGAATCAATAGTAGCATAACTTGTTCTTTTGAACCTTTCCACTCGATGATTTCGGAAGTTCCTTGACAATCGATACTCCGCCTCTTAACTGTTTGACGGCTGACAATTTCGCTTTAACATATTATTCTCTGATTATTTTGTGTTTTGTAAGTGAAAACCTTTCATTGTGTGCTCCAAATGTTTCAGAAACAGCAGCTCGTCTGCGTCTTTTTCAAGAACAATGTACGCTTTTGGTAGTTGTCCGCACAACTCGTCTTCGATGCCGACAACTGCGACTTCTGCGACTTTCGGGGACGCCAGAATCAGGTTCTCCTAGAAAATGTATGCTTTTCCTGTCTGAAAATTCTGAAAGAGTAGGCTATACGATTTCTGTCGGCGAAACTTGGAAGCCATTGACTTTAATCAAATCCTTCATTCTGTCCACAACGTAGCAGAACCCATCCACTTCTTTCACAATATCACCTGATAAATGTAAGAGTTCAAATTGTTCAAAAGAAGTTTCAAAAAAAAGAATACCAGTGTGCAACCAGCCATCCTCGTCTAAATTCGGAGCCCCGTTCTTGTAGAACTTCATGATCGCATCGGAACGGAGCAAAAGCTCAGTCTCTCCACCTTCATGCTCCAGCAACTAAAAAATTTCAGCTATAAATTAAAAATACATGTCATCATGCTTGCCTTTGCCTCGAATTCCGGTAGAATTTGCCCGCAAGATCCCAAATGTTTAAAGTTGTCGTCGAATGGAGTCACGCAGCTCAAAACGACTAATTCAGTCATTCCGTAGCCTGTTTGAAGCATTTGAATTGCTCGAAAAGTTCAATGTTTCATTTCCAAACCTTGAATGAGATGTTTGACTTGAGGAAATATGGCTAACAACCGTTTGCATCGATCTTTGGTAAGACCAGAAGAACCACAAAGGATAGTTCTGAAAAAAAATCAGTTTTAGTGAGTTCTGTCTTCGGTTAACACCTCAAACTGGGACATCTTCCTTGCAAATGTATCATTTTCAAACAAAGATTTGCGATCGGAGGAACAATATTGATAGTATCAATCTGAAAATGTGCGTGTCAGCCCAACCAAATAAGTATCGTTTCTGTAATTGCCTGATATTTCTCGACCATCTCCATCATAGTAATTGGGTGAAATTCAGACATTATGTACGTTGTGCACCCTTCCAGAAGACACAAAAGTAACGCCCAGAATCCAGAAGCGTGGTGGAATGGCAAAAAAGCCAAGGTTTTCATGGAACTTTGAGCAAGAAGTTTGTCGAAAAGAAATCTGAAACGAGGTCATCACTTAAAAATTAGAAATGGGGAAGCTTGAAACCTTTTCAAAGAGAAGGTAGAAGCCAGAAAGTTGCGATGAGTCAACTGGCAACACTTCGGCGCTCCAGTTGTTCCGCTCGAGAATGGCGCGAGAAGAATGGAGTCAATGTCTTGTTGAGAGATGGATAGATCAACAAATGGTTCCGAGATTGAGTCCACGTATATTTGAAATTTTTCCGGGAGTTTTTCTACGATAACCTGTGGAAAATAGATGAAAACGAGTCAATAAACTAAAGGATCTTACTCCAGACAGAACAAAATCATTCTGATTCAGAAAATTCTCAAATGCAAACACGATTTTTGCATCGCTCTGCTCCAGGGCGTATTTCACTTCGTTTGCAGTTGATTCGCTGCTGATACCAGTCAAAACTGCTCCGATCGTTGCACTTGCCAAGAAGAGAAGTGGATAATAGATGGAATTTGGCAGGCACACCAATACCACATCTCCTGTAACGTTTTCTACCATTTTCAGGGTTGAAAAGTTTCAAGACTACCTGGAGAAACGCCAAGTTCCAACAGTTTTCCCACAATTTTGGTCACAAGCTCAGGAATTTGCTTGAAAGTCACAATTTGCTCATCATGCACCTAAATTTTTGTTTCAATGTGACCCATCATTGTTTTTAACTCACGAGAGCTTCACGTTCACCAAAAGTGGTGGCATTGGCCAGAATAAGTTTATGAAAGAGCACGTTGGGGTAGTAGTCGGACATTTCCAAAAGAAAAGTGACGAAGGAAGATGGTGTATTTGTTGTGAGCATGTATCATCCATCTTGACAATTGAGATTAGCTCACATTTTAGGGTGCGTTTCTCTGCCAGGAATCGGTGCCAATTTAAAATACAGATACAGTATGCTAGGAGCTGGTAAAACGTGGCATGAGTCAATCCAGATGATGCTTTGAACTTTGCTTTCTTCCGCACGCGAATGCTGTCGCGTCGCATTGAGAGTTTACCTTTTCGCACCTATGATTTGTCAATAGGAGGGTAAAGCAGGCGCAATTAATGATACCATCTGAATAAAAATATTTGCGCTTTACTTTAGTTACCATCACGGAGGAAACGAATGAGAAGAGAACAAGTTCTTGTGGGGAAAAGAAAAGTTGGGAGCGATCTGGAACAGTTCTTGGTTTTCACACGTCGATGGGTTAGAGTTCAAAGTGACGGAATTAGCTGGAGAAGTGAATGTATGATTCTGATCATTGAAACGTTCAAATTATTTTTGGCCCTCTGAAACAATGTGTACCTCAGAGGCTCCAACCGAAAATATTTGTGAACCCGAAAAAAGTTAGTTCGCGAACTCTGACCCCACATGCATTCTATTTCCAGACACTTACATGTTCCGTTGCTCCTCGGTGAACTCATTGTGCGTGAGGTGTGTTTATTTGCAGATCATACGTGTAGCTTTCTGCCAACTCAAGAGAAGTGAATAGTGTGTTCCAAAAATGGTTGCCATCTGTGATGTCGAACAAACATTTGGCAAGCGCTCCCGGCGAGGCGCCTCGGTCGTTTCAAGCTCTATGTACACAGTACAAATATATTCCAGTTTTGATTAATTCTCACCTCCCACCCCGAGATACCCTACTTACTTCTCCCCTCCCAAGTTTCGTTACCTCATAAAACTGATATAGGCCCCCCCGACGACCGTCAGTTTTGTGAGGTTTTCGTGATGTTACGCTCTTTACGCCTGTTTGAGTTGTTAATGAAGAAGTAGTTTGCGGAAGACAGCAAAGCCGGCCGCCGGAACTGTTTTAGTTCTTAAGTTCACGTTTTTCTCGGCGCGAAAACTGTTCACAAAAGACTTTTCCAAACATTCACAGTTGTGGTCAGTCTTTGACTTGTCGCCGAGAAACTTCCGGTCACAAAAGAGCAATCACCCCAAGTCATAGATTTACATCATTCAGCTCAGAGTTACATACTTTTATGAACATACCACCATCCGTCTCCTCATTATTTACCTTTTATATCAAGCTAAAGTCCGCTCGCTCTATCGTCCGCACCCGAAATGCAGAAAAAGCAGTGAACAGTTCAGTTTTGTTTCCTCGTTCGTTGTTATCGATCCTTCCGTTTTTTTTATTATCATGGCAAACTAAACTGATAGCTGATCATCAATGACTAACTGACTAACCCCAACCAGCTGAGTTCGCGAGGTAAAAATAGTTGCACGGTAACTAGTTCCGTTCTTATCAGTAGAATTTTCACCTTGCTCTCGTGTCTCACTCGAAGATCGGCCGTGTTCCTCATGGAAAAGATTCACACAAGTTGGCTGCCAGTAGTCGGGCGGCGGGGGGCACAATAACCGGATTTGCGGGGTGCGGTGACACAGGTCGAGCACAAAATACCTACTTGAACCCCACTTACTGCCTGAAAGATGAGCCTTTCTGTTTTTTCTTCTTTTTACTGTTGTATTTCTTGATATATTGTCCTTTTGTGAATTTTTCTATTTTCAGCCATGTTGATGGTTGATGAGCAGTTGAAAATTGGGGCGCCAATGTATGGTTCCGGCCATAATCGTGAGTTTTTTCATTGAATTGAAAACGGCCGAAAAGTAACATTGATGTTCAATCTTATCTTGTTAAAAAATAAAACAAACAGAAAGGACTTATTTTTGCACTTCTTCTCAAATAGCCCCAGTTCCTAGTAACATAGCCTCTTGGAACCGTGTTTAACATTTCACAATGGTGCCTGCAGCCATCGTGATCGCCGATGACATGGAGAAGGGCGGAAGTGACAGCGACAGTCTTCCCTCCTCGCCGACGCACCATCACGAGGTGTTGTACAGAAGGCCGTGGATCCACGAGCCACGAGCAACGTGAGTTTACACCTTTTCCTGTTCATCCTTGCTCTTTTTCTGTTGGAAACTAAAACTTTCAGTAACTTTTTCGTGCGCTTGATAACCAGTCTGTACGCTCTGATACTCACTATCATATCTCTGGTGGTCGAAGTTTCACCGACATGGAGAACAGATATGTGGAAGGCGGAAACGGTACCGAAAACCTAAATTTCAAAAGGCAATACCATTTTTTCAGTTTTTCTACATTGCAATGTATGGCGTTGGTATTCTGTTCTTTGCATACTGCTACGTCTTTATTATTTATCCCGGCCCCTACAACTACCTAATATCTGTGCTCAGAAGATATAAGATCATCAAAAATGCTCAAGTAAGTTGAACTTTTGAAAGTTCACATGGAGACCGTAACTTTTGAGAACTGGTTTATCATGCAAAGCCCGCATAACGGAGAAGGAGCCGGCACATTGTACCTACGACTTGGAGCTCTTTGTAGGGGAAAATATGGAACATCTTTACCTTAAATTAAATATTTTCAGTTTTCGGGAGTGTGGGCATTGTACTGTTCGGTTTGGAACTGTTCCTTTGTATTGAGAACGCTTCGTGTAAGAAGGCAACAATTGCGAAAATGATTGTGGCCATTGTTTTCACTTTTATTCAAATGCATTTCATCTTTTGCAATTCGAAAGTGACAAATAGGGCTCAGAACTTGAAGTTACACAATTTTTTCAGATAACTGTAAACAGTTCTCGAAAAATAGTTGCGTTCGGAATGATGCACCTAATATCAGTTAATATCTGGACCTGGTTCCGATTTGTGCTGGCTAAACAAGTTTGCTTTTTGAAACTTTGCATATCCACGGTCAATTATCATCATCTGTAAACGTTAGAATAATTCCAGGAAGCAAAAGCTCATAAAAAAGCGAAACTGAAGCAGACGTTCCGAAAGTATTACTCTTCCTCCTCCTCCTCGTCTTCCGAAGAAGTCCACGAACTCATCAACGCTGTTCTCAACGCAACAGTAAGTACAAAAACGACAGATCAGAATTCAGAGAACTGCTCAGATCAACAACACTCCGGAAGGGACAACAGCCGAGCCGACGTCGGTCAGCAGATTGTTTGCTCTCGAGCAGTTCGGGGATGTTGCCACGTTTCTGACCACTTGCATTGTCGAGTGAGTCATAAAGCATTTTTGCGGGAATTGATGGAAATACAATATTCAGGTACTCTTTGATTGGCGCCGCGATCATGTTCATTCTTTGGAAGTCGATTGGTCAGAACAGCCATCATCAGAGCAACAGCGGTAAGAGGAAAGTGAAAATGAGGATTGACTGCAGGTACCTATCAATAAAAAGGGAGACTTGATGACAGACTGAATATTTTAAGCTCTTCCTCTACTGGTCTATTCGCTGGCATTATTTTCCTCATCGGTTCACTGGTTTCCATGGGGATGTACACGATTTTCGAGACATTACGAAACAGTTCGGGTGCTCAACTGGTTTTCGGAATCGTAGACCTCTCACTCTTTTCCATTGCTCTCGGCGCTTGTGTCATTGGACTTTGGAGGTTTAACTGACGTACATTGACCAAAAAAAAACGAACATCTTCTAGAATGCGTCTCCTACAATATCGATTGCATGCTCATGGAGAGGTTATCGATGAGATTTTGTTAATTATTGGGCTCATCGGTGAAATTTTGTACTGTGCAGTTGGTATCGACGTTTTTATTACTTGCCGAAGGTCTGCGGACCTGAGCGTCAGTGCTCTTCCAGCATTTGTTTTTGCGATTCGAATGATTCAAGTTGTGGTGCAGGCAGCGTTCATTCTCACCACTTCTAGGTATGTACTACAGCAAGAAGTTCTATCAGGTCAAACGTTTTTGAAGATTACGGTGTCTGTCCAAGTACTCTATCAAACATAAACCGGGCAAAGAGATCATCACGTTTTTACTGGTATCTAATGTCACTCTTTTCGTGTTCCACACATTCGAGGGTATGAAATCGAGTTTTGGATTCTCAAGCAAAGCCGCCACACAGTATAACTACATTATTTATGCAGTTGCGCCTCTTCTCGTCTTCTACAGGTATCTGAGATAGAATTTTCTCTAAATTTACACAAAAACTTTCAGATTCCACAGCTCGGCCTGTCTTGCCGAAATCTGGAAGCACACGTACAGTACGAAATCCGGTGAATACGACCACGATCAAACGATGTCGCTTTCCGATAGCAACCTAACTGCGATGACACCGATTTCTGACGGTAAACACGACGAAGTGCCGCCGTCGCCAACCGAAACTTTAAAACACTAACCAGTCGTGCAATGATTTGTATTTTATTCATTTCCTATGCAAATTTTATTTAGAACCCAATCCAATCGTCACCTCTCATATCACTGTGATCTTTCCTCATACATGTTACTTTATTTCTTTCTCCCTCTCACTTTTTTCTGTCAAACTTTTCATGTTCAAAACGGGCTTCGTCTTATGTAACTAGTTGATTCGTTCGGGCTGATATTACTTGGTTTTTCTGAATGAATTCTCACTCATTTATTAGAGAGAAAAGACAAAAAGCAACAAAACAATCAACAGAAATAGAAACAGAAAACAAATAAACAAAAGACAACACGTTGTTTTTACAACTGCGACTGCTGCGATTCTAGCTGATTCGCGTTGTTCTGGAGACGTCCTTCGCGAAGTGGCCGGTGCGGTCCTCCAGATTCGTTGTCGTACGGGTGTGGACAACGTGGGACTTGGCGCTAATGACTTGGTCCCGACCCATCCGACTACGCCCGATTTCCATCGCCCGGCGCGCAAGCATCCGTGTCGTTGTCCCGGTTATGGTCGTGAACAGTCGCTTGGACCATCGTCTCCCCCTAAATTTTTCATTGTTTTCTTTCAAATCAAACAAAAAAAACTTACATCGTAGCCGTCGGAATCGTAATAGGGCCCACATTAAATTACAGATGGAGCCCGAGATGCTGGCGGTTTTTTCTCAGACATCTGTGTCCGAGAGTTCTTTGAATTATCTGAAAAGTTGATAATGTGATCTGAGAGAAAACGGTTCTAGTTGGTTTTGAAGATTATCCTCTTATTGAAAGCGAATATTGATGCTAACTGTGGCAAGAGTAGTATCAGAAAAGAAACGTTGTTCGCCGCCTATTTCAAAACGAACGCTTGGCGCCAAGAATGCAAATGCGCTCCACCGAACTTATTGTATGCATGTATGTGATAAAGAGATAAAGAGTCGTGAGGTATAATGAAAATCCACTGTATTTATGCCTACAAAAAAAAATAAAATGTAACTGTTTATTTATTGTGAAAAAATGATTAAAAATGTGAAGATAATAAAATAATAATATTATTAGGTACATAATTAGAACATAAATAAATAATTCATAAATAAAAGTTTCAATTTCGTTTTTTCCCGTTTCTCATCGCTTATAACTTGACTCGGAACAAACACAAATACACAGAGAAGAGTGATAGTGTACAATAAGGAAATTTAGGCAAAAACTGGGATCATTTCGTCGGATTGGAAGAGATACTTGTTCAAATCTTCACTTTCCACTCCCGTATCGTTCATAGGACTTTCGTGGTTCATTGAGCCTGTAATCAAAGGGCTATTAGTCATTTTCAAGAGAAGAATGATACAACTTACTGATATCAATGAAATAGAGTTCATCATCAAACGGAGAAGCAGTTGTAGCCTTGATGTCATGGTACTTGGAGTCGGTGTTTTTCTTGCAATTGCCCTTGTCGTCCTTATTATCAAAGTTCATCACGAGTTCATAACCAAGTTGGCAGGTACACGTGACCGTCTTCTCCGAGCAATAACTGTTTTGCACCAGACATCTCTTCTCCTCGATCAGCGTCTCAAGACAGTATCCTCCAATCGTTCCGTTCTTTCGCTCATCCACAGAGTCCATGAAAATGACCGTGGTCGGGTCGTAGCATCTTCCGGCAATGTTGGCAAATCCTTCAGGACAGGAAGCAATGCACTTTCCACCATGAACAAGTGGCTTGGCAGTTGGACAGATACAGTATCCGTTATCGCAAGTGGAGTTGGCCTCGCGGTTGCTGCACTGTTCATTGGAGATGCATCCCTTTTGACCGGCGAATAGAACTGAAATAGAAAATTTGCATAAAACCAGAATTTCTGAATGAAACTTACTCTTCAAACACTTTCCATCCATGTTGAAAAATCCAGGCGGGCACTCAATTTGTCCGGTTGGCGAGGGAGTTGGAGTCGCTTGCTTGTTAACAGGTTTGTTAACAGCCAGCATGATAGAAACGGACGAGCAGCACTGGAATCGGTTGTCTTTTTCGGCGAACACACAGGAGAATCCGTCAGGGCACGGTTGTTGGGAGCATTCGGTGATTTGCTGGTTGAATCCGATGAGTGGGCGGGATCCGAGTGGACATCCGCTTCGGGATCCCATCTCATTGAATTGGTCAGAGCTGACTCCTCCGCCGATTGGATTTCCGTTATTTCCAAAGTTTCCAAAGGTTCCAAAGTTAGTATTGACATTTCCATCCTTGTTGGCAAACTGCTCGCGAATCTTCTTCTCCATCTCAGCTTGCGCCAAAGCTGGTGGCAATACTCTGGTATTATCGACGCCAGGAATTGGATCAGGCATTCCTATCGGTCCCATTCCTGCGGCTGGTGGTCCTCCAGGGAACGTCTGTGTCATGCCAGGAACATTAGACACGGGTTCTTCAGGTGTCTCGAATTGATCAACGTTCTTGGCAGGAGAAGCAAATCCACGATCTGGAGTCACCACGTGAACAGCAGTATCGATTGGAGCACAGCAGTAGGAGTCTTGCTTCTCTGGAGAGTAGATGCAAACGTATGGAGCAGTTGTTGGGCATGGAGAGAGCTGCATGTGGCAGGTTGGTGGGAATCCGTCTCTTGAGATGTACGGAATCTGGCGAGGTGGGCAATACCCTTGGAATCGGTCGCTGAGATCACCGTGAGTGCAGCAGATGAATTGGGAAGACTGATCGGACTCGAAGCATGTGTATCCGGCTGGACAATCGTTTCGCATTGGAGAGCAGAACTGTCTTTGGTTGGTGACAGGACTGACGTAAGCGACTCCACGCAAGCATTGTGGCTGAGAAGCTCCCATTCCAATTCCAGAAGAGCAGCAGAGATGATGTTGAGGGTTTGTGGATGCCATGCACGCGTATCCTTGGGGACACTTGCTACTTCCAGCTGGGCAAGCCAATGGTCTTCCTCCGTACTCGAAGACCGAAGATCCGGCTGGACAACGGATCAGATTCGAGTTTGTGCAGCAGACGGCTTGACCGGTGGACGAAAACTCGCATTGGTATCCCGACGGACAAGTGTTGTGGACGAAGTTGCACTCTTGGAATTTATTGTCGACGCCGCGGAACGGTGTCTCGCCATTGGCACACATTGCTCCCTTGTTATTGTTGTTGTGGTTGTTGTTTGAGGTCGATCCTTGGTTGACTCCTCTGTTTGCTGGTCGGTTGTTCGGGCTCGGCGGTTGATATTTCTGGCAGCAGATTGCGAGCTTCGCCACGCTAGATGTCATGCACTTTGAGTCTTCCGGACATCCGTCAATATCCACTTGACATACTTGCACTTGAGTTTTGTCGAGGAACACCGGCACGTAACCTCTTTGACTGCACTTTGGCGGAGTAGTTCGGCAGCAGGATCCTTGTTTGTAACCAATATCACGGAAGCAGATGTGATTCTTGGGGCAGTCTCCGACCTGGTTGACAGTGCAGCTTTGTCCGCTGCTGAAGAGTTGTGGTGGGCATGGTGATATGTTGGAGAGAAGTTCCGCGAAGCTGTCCGGCTCGAATGGCTTGCGGTTTCTAGGCGCCGGTGGTGGTGGGAGTGGTCTCACGGGTCTTTGAGAAGATGGCTGCGGTTCCGAGCAGCACATGTGGAAGCCGGGGACTGTGGCGGATTCCAAGCACTGGAAGTCTTCGGGGCAGTCGTCACGCTCGATACTGCAGGCAACGACGGAGTTGGTGCCAGGAATGTTGTAGGGAAGACGGTTGTTGGGGCAGGCAGTGACGGCCTTACAGCAGATCGGCTGGTTCGTCGACGACTTGACACAGGAAGCAGCATTTGGGCACGTGGCTCTGACGTTCAGAGTACAGCTCTTCGGGGTGATTTCTCCTTCCTCGGTGAATGGGGTCATTCCTCTTGGACACAATCCGTAGGCGCTGGACTGCACGCATGTCTCGGTACATGCGTTTTTGTTGGTAAAACGGTTAGCGGTTCCTCCACAACCTGCAAGCAAAGAGTTCATTGTAAAAGAATCACAAACAAAATGCAAACCGTTGTAGACAAACTGCGAGCACTTCTTCTTCGATTTGTCGTAGAACCACATGCTTCTTTGAGTGGATCCTTTGCATCCGTTTCCACGGGACATGTTAGCATTGCATGCGTTTTCAGAGCTTGGGCAACAGAACGAGGATTCGTTGCATTCATAGCCAGCCGGGCACGGATCCTCGTCACTGCATCGTTGAAGCTCGGAGTTTGGATTCTTCAATGGGGTGAGGCCATCGCAAGCTGAAAATGTTGAGTTATTTTTGAGTTAGACTGGTGGGATGGGAATTGAGACAGACCGTTATCAGAAGAGTGAAGACAGAAGTTTTGGCATTGATCGATAGTTTCGAAGTTGTTACCGTTTCCACTGCATCCATAGTAGTGGAATGGTTGACATTTTCTGAAAATCATAATCATACAAACCAGTCTCACATGCCGATAACTCACTGTGTTGAAGGATTGAAATAATATCTCTGAATGGTGAGTCCCCTGCCAAAGCACGGAGTTCCCGCGGAAACCATTTCATTGCACGTCAATTCCGGAGTTGGACAGCAAATGGGGCTAGGGCCGAAAAGCGGAAGTTGACAAAAGTGCTGATTTGGGCAAGTGTCTGCCTGGGCGAGCGCGCAATTGGCATTCACAGCGCCGATTCGATGAGCCTGACCATTCGGACATTGTGTGTCAACACAGAACCCCTCGCACTCTTCCAGCGATCCGAAATTGTTGGCATTTCCTCCGCATTGAGTGAATTTGAAAGAACGGCACGTGGCGGTGGCAATGTCGAAATAGTAGCGGTTTGAGGATTTCATGGTGGAAGCACACTGAACTCCTCCGTTTCTGGGCAGAGAGCACACTTTCTCTTTAGCCGGGCAACAGTACTGGATGCCAGCGTTGCTCACACACGAATGACCCTCCGGGCACGGAGCATTCTCACTGCACTTCATGGGCCCGTTGTTCAATGGGGCTCCGGCCGGGCACACGCTCGCGTACGGACAGCATTTTTTATCGTTGCAAGAGAATCCGTTCGGGCACGGCTTGGTTGCAGAGCATTGGATGTTCTCAAGTGGTGTCTCACCTCCGGGGCAGGAGCCTAAATAGGAGGAGGAAAATGAATTGCTTTTGTTGTGATTTCGATTCTTGGCCTGCATTCTCTCCGTCAACAAGACAAGAGAAGGTGCGGCGGGACAAGATCGTATTACTCACCCATTATCTCGCCATCCGGATTCGAGCAACAGATAAATTTGTTCAAGTATTGGCTCTTGCTGCACACATATCCGTTTTTACACGAGCTTCCGTCACTTGGCGAGCACTCAACTGGGTTCGAACCTCTGAGTTGAGGCGCCGAGTTGATGGCACATCCCATATCCTTGGCACAGCATCTTGTGGTGGTCCCGGCGACGAGAGTGCATCCGAAACCAGTCGGGCACGAGTTGTCGTTGGAGAGAACACATGAACGTGGTTTGCCGGTGGCCATCTGCAAACCGAAAAAAGAAATGAGCAAGTAGGCAAATATTTGAGATCTTTTGATTCAAATTCGTTTTCTGCATGCCTTTGGAACAAAGAATCATTTCCTTTTTCCCGGCCAAGTCACTATTTCGAATCCGGTCGCTGACCACCTAGCGAAAGTTTATGATGAAATTGAGCAAACAGTCCGTGAAGCAACGCCGGACAAACACGATAAAGGGCTCACCTCGACGTATGTAACTCTTCCCTCGCCGCAGTTGATCTTATCAGTCGAGCTCTTTGCGGTTGGCGTCGGGTTTTGACAGCAGTAGCTGGAGCCGGTGCGTTCGTAGAACTGACACGTGTATCCTGAAATGATCTCCTAGGAAAACTAGCAAGAAGTATGGAAAGAAAAGGTTTACCATCCGGACAACTGCTGATCGATGGGTTGCAGGTAACTGGGGCAGAGAGAATGGTCAACGGGATGCCTTCTCCGCACAGGTCATCTGTAAATGGTCAGATCAATAATAGTTGAGGTAGATCAATACTGTACCTGGGGCCTGGAAAAATGGTTGCGAAAAAATATCGTCAATCGGATCGTCGGCTTGCATAAGAGAGTCACATTCTCCGGATTCGCCATTGAAAATCTTTCCGCTAGCGCATTTTCGTTTCGAGAAAGATCTAAAGATTGTGATGAGGTTTAGGATAGCAGGCATTAATTTATGTTTAGCTTACCCTTCCAAATTACAGTATAGATATGATTCAGGACTGCTTGGATCGGGTTTCTTGAGATTGGAAGTTGGATCACATTCCAACCCAGCGTCAACTAGAAGGATAACTGTGGATATCTAGAAAATTAGGATTAGAATACTACTTCAAGACTGTAAGACTTACACTAAATAGGTGCCTTAGTGTACACCAGCGCATTTTTCTGAAAACTGACGTAAAATTAAAACGTGAAAGTGATGAAGTGAGAAGAAAAGGTTGAAATCCGTCGGATGTTAAAGAATATATATGAATGGTGCGACGGAGGTGGCCGAACACGGCGCTCAAGTAGGAAGGCACATGCCCTGCCCCACCGGGCAAGAACACAAACCGGCTCCGTGTACCCGCCCCTATCTCGGGGCGCCCGGCGGCTGCGGTCAAGCCACCGGAGCTGCCTGCTCTACAGGCAAACAGCTCAGGCCGCCCGGCTTCGGCGGCGCATGTCTGCCGCGCAAGACATGACCCACAACTGTGCTCTGCCCGAATGCCACACTATTTCTCGCACGCGCACCGCTTGTTTTAATTGGCGCGATGCCTTTGGAGAAGTCAGCATTGTTCGCCACACTCTGTTCTCTCGTTTGTTTTTCGATTTCGGTTCGCACCGTAGGAGGGAGGATTCGAAGAGAAAAAAACCGATGAGGAGCAAAATAAGGAGACCGCCAATAAGGAAGTGGGCTGGTGGTGCGAGAAAGGAAACAGGAACAGGAAATTGGGGTAATTCGATGCTCTGAAACCAATCGGGTCATTTGTGAACGAAGAAGGATGTCAGCACCAAATGGGACCTCGAAACTTTGTCAAAAATATCTGCATCACTGTGTATTCATGACAACTCTGAAAGTTTTAGGTGGAACTTTTGCTGACAACGGACGTCTGAAATTTTGCAGGAAAAATCTGTCTTAAAATGGATGAACAACAAGACATTTCTCAGAACCTCACCAAATGGATTTTCCTTCTCAACTTTTTACAGCAGTCTTACCAAAGTGCCGTTTGTCTATCCTTTTCTTTCATTTCGAAATCCGTGTCCGTGTTCTCCCTATTTACCATCAAGTACCCGCTTCTCATTCGCACTCTATTTTCAAACCTCTAGTGGTCAGTCAGTGATGACCAGCTTTGTGGCGCCAAAATTGAGAAACCACCGAAGATACAACACAACAAACAACATTCTTTTCGTTCTCAATCTCTTTGGATTTCAACAGGATAACACACTCAACTTTTTCAAAGATCAACGACCTGCTCCGAGCCTGTTTTGTCCGCGTTGTCCTTTTGAGCTCTTGTGATGAAATATTGCCGGCAGACAACGTCATTGTCTCAGGAGCTAATGCTCTTCACGTTTTTCGCTCCCAGCCGCCTTGTGTGGTCTTAGAACGTTCGAGAGAGCACTGCACTCCTCGAAAAAGACCTTTTCCTCATGGCCGGCAAACAAATTAATCACCGTTTCTGTCGCGCCGAGGCTGGTTTCCTGTTCTTTTCTGCGCGCGCTTTGATTATTGTGCGATCAGATGTTCAATGGCACACGTCAGACGTACTTGAAGTGTGTCTGAGCATGAGTCATAGGCCACGTCCGGAAAATTCCTGTTTTGTGCATTTTATAGGCTTTTTATTACGTTACGTACGATTCAAGATGAAGATGACTAACAAAGACACGTCACATTGGATTTCCAATGCGCTGCTGATATACATTAAAATATTTGTGTTCAGGAAAATAAGGGCTTTATTTTAAACTCAAGGTGAACCTGATAAGTTTAAACTTAACCAAAATTTACGGTTTCAAAGATTACAACTGGAAAATCAAGTTTTTTGGAGAAATACTTTTTTCGGAACCGGATTTCTTCAACACATTCTGATACAGCGAGTTGTTGCGCGTTTCTGACGTCAGACATACTTGAAGTGTCCGTAAAATTCTTGTTTTGTGCATTTTTCTTTATTTCATACAATTCAAGTTGAAGTAGGTTGACAAAGAGACAATAATTGGTTAGGGTGAAGTTTTCGAAGACCTGTACTACATTTGGTAGATCTAATAAAAAGTCATCATGCGAAGTTATAATTTCAATATCTTTTTCTGGTTTGCCTTGCTTGCTAAGTGTTACAAAGTGACAGAGTATATACTCTTAGTAAGAAAAGCTGGGATGGGAACCCGAAGAAGAGGAGTAATGAAGAAATCATCAGGGTATTGCGGATGTCTGACACTTGGGGGATTATGATGAGGTGGGAGAGAAGAGAAGCGAGTTTACAGCAAGCTTTCAGCTTTTTTGGTTGCGGTAACGGAATGGGGCAGGATTTGAATTTGGCTTCGACTTGAGACATTGTTGTAATGAGTTTGGATGACAACTTATATTCACTAAAATGTCATCCAACCCGAAGCAACTTTGCATCTATCTACATATGGGTTTCCTTGGGAGCTCTACGAATTCCCGGGCTCGTGGTTGACGACATTGTGGAGGACGGTGAAGAGGCTCCACGTCCCGAGTCCCTTCCGTCCAACGAGTACGACGAGGTCGGCTCCGGACTTTTGGCGCGCACCGAAACGATGCAATCATCGAGGTGCGATTGGAGCATTTCGCACACTCGCAACGAGTCGCTGAGCATCGTGTCGTACACCTATAAATGTAAAAAAAACGTTTAGTACATTTTTTATGATCGACAAGTGTCCAGGATTTGCAAGATCAAATCGAGGACCAAGACGTACCTCTTTTTCGAAGAGGCAATTTTTCATCGATGTGTCTTCTTTCTTGACGATTCTTGCGTGTTTTGGAATGCTCCGCGCCACAATTGGCTTCTCATCTCCGATTGCTTCAAGGGCCTCTACGAGAACGGCTGCTTCGTCCTCCAGAAGCACATCCATAGAGAATGACTGAAAAAAAACGATAATGATTAGCTGTTTGGTATAAAACTGTCAAATTCAGAGACCGAACTGTGAGAATTGCTGATCCGGGTCTTGATGGGCTTATTCGGTCATCCTTTTCGCGGTAAAAACACCAAAAAACAGAGTTGGAAAGGCGTAGTGAACGAATTTTGAAAATATCGAATTTTAAATTAATAAGCGCTAAATCCAACTGGTAAGACAAAATCCTCTTGGACATGGGTCTCAAAATAATTTCTAAGGCTAGCAGAGCTGTTTGAATGACCCTAACCCACTATAATTCAGCATCATCAACCCGGTCCGTCCCATGACAGTGTCTGGTTCGGTTCGTGATTACCTTTCCGAAATCCTTTCCTTTTTGTGGCTTCACCTTCTTATTCTTCTTGCCACCGTCCATATCAGCGGGCATCGTATTGCTGTTCACAATACCTTTGTTTTCCTTTCCAGTTTTTTCTTTGTCCTGAAAAAAAGCGGGGGCAGGTTTTTGTCTATAAAAGTGCAAAGTTGTTTACAATGTTTACAAAGAGCGGTGAGAGCTGAGCTCTACTTGACAGATAAACGAGAACTAGACGCCACCAACGGGAGTATGTATGTAAAACAACATAAAACAATGTTGTGTTATGAAAGATGAAAGGAAAAATGGCAACAAGTGGGGTGTAAAGCAGGGGCCCTCCCGGCCGGCGGCGGCGCGGCACTTGTTAAAAACCTCTATGTCTTTCAGGAGGCTGATCCCAAGGGGCATCACGCTCAAGGATATTGGGGGTGGTGTTTGGCGTGACAACACACACACACAAACACTGAGTCACATGTCAATGTGCTTCTTTCCGGCTTTCCAGAATTAAGCTTGGGCCCATAAAACTCACACTTTGTCGGACCGGCGACAGAGATCCCGTTTGGGGCACGTCCTCGGTGACTCGCTTCTTGCGTCGGAATAACGAAAGGAACGGCGACTTTCTCTCACTCATGGACCTTCTGAAAACAAGAATATTAACTGGGTTACGGTAGTTTCAATAAAGAAGATGACGAGTGAATTCAGTTAGGTAATCTAACTAATAGGAACACTAAATGGAAAAAGGTCAACGTCAAACTTTGATTCAAAATTGGAAAAGATGTAGCAGAGATGTGTGAAAACAGCGGAAGTAAATGAAGATGAAGATAGTAACCATAAAGTAGTAGGTGACTTGACTTGCGACTTGCGGAAAAGTGATTGATGACAAAACTGTTCAGTCCCCCTCCCTCCCTCTCTCTCTCTCTCTCTCTTCCTAAACAGGTATTTAAAAGGGCTAACGGTATTGAAAAACGACTGAATTCAATTCGAAAAAAAGCTTTCAGTGAGTGAGTGACAGTTATCCAGAATGACAGTCAAAAGACCGTGTACAAGTGTATAGAGAACGAGAGGGCAATGTTTGTTTGGTGGGAAAAATGTAGGCGTGAGTCAGAATTTCAGAAAATTTTCTTTTACTATTCCAATTTTGGTATGTAGTAGCTTCTCTTTGGGGGTGAGAAAATGAAAAAAAACGCATTTAGTTTGTATAGAAGAACTGAACAGTTGACTCGTGTTTATGGTGGAATTAGAAGGCAAAAAGCTTTGGCAGTTTGCTCAGCAAATACACGGAGAACAATACCGACGAAAAAAAGGAGAAGTTTGACCTTCTTCTATTTCTTGCCGAAAGTGAAACGAGATGCTCGGCGAGCTCATGAAATTGAGAACTTTGCGATCGAATTTAGCATACAGTCTGTGACGCAGGCCGGAAAACTTGTTGAAAACATAAAAGTGTCCCAATACATACAAACAAAATGGAGCAGAGTGTCTGGAAAACTGAAGGAATCCCATGTCACTCATGGTGTTTGTCAAACTGATTTGCGCTTCATCAACCGAATATCAAGACCCCACCACTTTATTTGTTTTTAACATAATTATTAGAAAAAATGTTCTAGTCTGAAAAAAAGAAGAAGAAGAGTCTCGTTTTCGTTTCAAAAACGATAAAAGTAAGGTGGATGGCTCTTAAAGCAACGCAAATCAAACACTGTGACCTTGGCATGACAAATATTAGGGGAAGTTCTTGACAAGAAGTTTCTTGGTGCCGCGAAAAGTTAGTTGAAAATAAATAGGACAAAAATTACGCAAATTATTCTGGTCGAAATGAAATGGTAAGAGAGAGGTGACAGAGTAATTATCGTTTTTGTCCGGACCGAATTAGTACAAGCGTCACTGGATCGCACTATTTCACCGTAGTTTTTAAAGAGAAAGTGAAAATTGAAGAAAATGAACACTTTTTTTGAACCTAGGTAGGTGTGGTGACCCTTCGAAGAGGTGGTTTATCTATCTATCCTCAACCATTTCATTTCATTTCATTCGACATTCGTCGATTCAATGAGCCGTAGGATAATTTTTGGCAGATGTGTCCATCTGATGCAAAAACGAAACAACACAAAGTGAAGAAGACACTACGCAAAAAAAAGTGTGATAAAAATGGCGGTAAGGAGGTTAGTGTAGAGTAGAGACCTTTCCTATCATAAAACGAGCATTAAAGAGACTTCACAGAAGGGGACATCGGGCCGGAAGTGTCTGGCGGGTGGCATCGTTAAAACTTGCCGCTTTTCGGTCCGGAGCCATCTCCGGAATCCCATACATACCAAATGGGGCTCATGAATAACATCTTTTATGGTTTTGGGCTGGTTTAGAGCCATTTCTTCGAGAGGGGTGCTACGGGCTCAATTGAAAACAAGGCAATTCACTTCAGCTCACTTTTTCCACTTGTGCCCGAAACGGAATAAATATGGGCAGCTGGACCACCTGCGGTGAAGGGACGGAACGGCCCATTGGGGGACAGGCGAGGAGAATTAAAATGAAAGCGGACGGTATTGAAGCGCGTTTGAATTGAATCGAATTGGATTGCAAGGCGAACGGGATCGCATTTCAATCTGACAAGTTGGATTAGAACGGCGGGAGCGTGGCGAATCGGTGCCACTTGAGAAAGGGTGTGTTTGAAGGGGGTACGAAGAAAAAACTTTGATCAAACGCTTAGATAATACTCTTTCTGGATGCTGAACTCCCGCCTTATCCCATCTCCTTGTGATGGCTTCTCCTTCTATCTGTCACGCAGAGAAACGACGAAAAAGAGATAGTTTTGGGTGGGTTAGAAGGCAAAGTCGGGTTTTCCCCCCAGACGCAAATTGAGCCCGAAATCCGAATCACGACAATTGAATTGAGGAGTGAAAAGAAGAAAGCACAAGAGATTTTTCAAAGGCAAAAAAACGGAAACGGGTATTATGGCACTGCCTTATGAGGTTCTTCCGTCTAGGGAGGGCTCTATGGGTGAAGCTCTCGGCTGCGGCGGAGAGGAGACAGGTGTGTGAGTTTAAGGAGGTGAGTCAGGTAAGTGGAGGGTACGGTCGTCGGTGTTGGAAGTGTAAAGTGGCAAAGGAAAAGCGACGGTTTTTACTAATGAGCATGGTCTTGAGCGTCTGAAGAACGTTTGCAGCAGAGTTTTACGGAATAGATGTATTCGAAAACCGGAAGACATGATTCATCTTGAGAAAAACTGAAAAATTGGTCAGTTTTCCGAATTTTTCTCAAATATTTTGAAGCGGGGTCGCTTTCCTACAAATAGGACTGTATCAGAGCTGTGCGATATGGGTATTTTGAAAAAGCGAAAAACAGAAGGCAAAATTCCACTCAACTCTGATATGTAGTACCCCTATGTGGCAATAAATTCCAAAATACGCCCATTTCAAACCTACTTCTATCTGGATGTGCCAAAAACAAACATCGCGAGTTGGAAGGCAGCTGCCAGAAATCTGTGGATGAATCTCGACAGCTGCTCATGTTCTTTTTTTGGAAATCGCACGGAGAAAAAGATGAATGAAAAGGGAAAAGACCCTCTGGCTTTCAGCTGCCGGACTCAGACTCTATTAAACTTGGGATGGGGGGATGGATGATGAACCAGACCGAACCGAAAACGAACAAGTTAACGGGTTACCAGACGCTCAAGAGGGGAACATGCATTACTCAGCTACTACTACTACTGCGAAGGTTAAGCAGACAAGAAACATGTGTGACTACGCCGAAAGAAGTGCGGGGGCAGCCGATGTGTCCTTGGACCATGTTGCATGTGTTCTCCCTTTCTCTCTCTCCGTGTTTCACTAAGAAAGTGTCTGGTGCGTATCGAAATTCAAAATCTGGGAACCTTTGAAGCAAAAATGGTTAAAAAGACCCTCCTTTTCCTTGTCCCAAATCGGTTAGGAAGCGCAGAAGTGTAAAAAGAAGAAGAGACACAAAACCGATGTCGGAGAGGTCATCAGTGTTTGAGAAGAATGAAAAATTACATTTGAATACGGCCCCCGGTCTCTTCTTTTCACTCTCTTCCTCTTTTGTGCCTTACCCTTTTGTCGGCATGAAGATTTCAGGGAAACGAAAAGGAAAAGGAAAAGAAAACGAAGAACGTAAGCGAGGATATCATCAATATCATCCGTTCCGGAAGAATGGAACAACATTTGTTGCGTTGCGCGTTTCCCTCTTGACACCCCGCTTGCCGTATTACATTGAGTATGAAGTATGTGATGGTGGCGAAGAGAGGACGACGGATATGTGAGGAATTGAGAAATGATTGTTTTCTGGGGAACTGCTGAGAGATGGATGAATATTTTTGGGATGCGTGTAGGGTTGAAGCATCCAGGATATTGGATTCGAAAAATGAGGGTCCAAATCAAATTCTAGCGGCGGGAACGCGCTTGTATACAAGGGAAACATCAATATGCATATTCGCGCTTGATTATGATTATGTAAACGACAAATGATAATGACAATGATAGCGGCAGCATACGTGAAAGAGACAGAGACAGCTGACCACTTCTAGAGCCATCAAGGAATCGAGAGGCAAGAAGGTCGTAACATTTTTCGGTAGGGATTAAGGATCGTTGCCGACGTCCGATAAAATCAGTTCATAAATTTTGAGGAGGCGCACGATGGGGGGTCCTCCCGGCTGTACCGAGGTCGACTATGAACACATGCGAACTGAGCGGAGGAGGAGGAGTAAGAGAAGAAGGCTCGGCAGACGTGTCATAATTCTTTTGGTCAATATGATGCTTTCGCGTCAAGTGCTTGTATGGTACTCCACACCATAACACCTCATGCTTATGTTATGAAGCAGAGACATTTAGTGTTCAACAAAGAGAACAGATAATATAATTCCTTAGCAAAAACTAGTGGTTCCCGTCAGGTGTGCAGAAAAATGATTCCGCACACCCGTGGTCATCCAAATGAGTGACATGTTTTGTTGTAGACCGAACCTCTGGAGGTGCTAGTGAGGGATCTGCCGTAGGGTGCCATCTCTCGACCGGATAACCACAAAACAATCATAAAAACGGCAGCTGACAGACCGGTGGAAGCCCCGGGTCATTCGCACTCCGGCGGTGCCCTGCGGTTTCTTTGGGCGGGCGACGACAGCCGTCGGGGGGGCCCGGGAAGAGGAAGAAGAACATAAATATTTGCAACAAAAAGGGGAGGAGAAGTGGGGTGGGATTAGAAAAACGAAAAAAGATGGACTGACCCTCACGGCTTTGCGGTTTTTTTGGCGAGTTAGCGACAAACGGATTGTTTTTTTTGGAGTTGAGCACTTGAGAAATGGGATGAAGAAGCATCCGCCTAAGGTAAACAACAAATGAGCAATAATAGGGTTCAAGAATCGAAAAATTATGTTGGGCCTTGTTCTTCTCTCAAAAAGATTTCGGTAAGTTGAGCCACCTTCATGTAATTCCGGAACAGGGTTGTGTTATTTTTCGTAAACTTCCGGAAGATAATTAGACACGAAACAGAAATTGAAGGCGTGAAACTAGGTTATTCATATGCGTATCATTATCGGGAAAGTGGTCGTTGATAAGCCAATGCGTTCAGAATACAACCCACTAGTACGTACTAACTGTTTCAAGAACAGATGGAACGGGGTGTGGTGTGTTGGACCACCTGCCGGACCCGTCGCGCACGGGAGGTGTTGGCTACACCAAAGCAGACGAGTGAATGATATCCAATTAGTCAATTAATGAAGGTGTCAATTTTATTGGATTAGCTAATCGCTGGCTAGGACCGTATTTCAGAGGGTCTGCCCGGGAAGAATCCGATTTCTTCTTTATTTATGAGATCCCTCGTAGTGAACAGAGGTGTTCGGCCATTAAAAAACAAAGAGTGGGAACAGGAACATTTCGGAATTACACACCCAACGGTAGTTAGGTGGAAGAAGAGAATGTCCTTGTGTTTTCATCCTCGGACAACAGGACAGGAGAGGCAGATGCGAGTGTGTAACTTTTAGGATTTGATTTCGAAGAGATTCGATTGGATTGGATTGAAAAAAGCCAAGAGAAAGAAGACAATGAGGAATTTGAGAGGCGGTTGAGACAATAGATGCTCGGGCGGAAAAGAGATAAAACCTTTTAGCATCTGCTGGTCAAATGATTTTTTTTTTGCTTTTTTGCTGTTGAGAAGCTCACAATTATTCATCTTGGGTTGGCAGATGAGAGTATCCGATGGTGACCACATGTGTCGCTAGATGTAAAAGTCGAAATATCTCTAATTTCCTAGATTCTAAACTCCGTTGAAAGTTTGACCTTAAACATTTTTTACGAGAAGTGTACGTAACCTGATACCTTTTTGAAATAGAGAAAGAGAAACAAGAAACTTCTATGTCAACAGAAAGAAAAACAAGAGTAAACAAAACAAAAAGTTGCGTGGTCCCACGCACCCTTCACACCTACTTCAGAAGGCCCAAGGGTGCGCCACTAATTAGCGAAGGCTATAAAATCATGTGAAAAGTGGTCCGCCCGGAAATATTTCTCTTTTCGTTACATTTCTTTCAGTTTCGATCAATGACACAGCTTGGGGAGAAGATTTCTGCTTTCCCCAATCATTTCGATCGAAATCAGAATGATTTGCTTTACACACTGCGAGCCGAGTCCAACACTGATATACATACGATGAGGCAAACGCGGCACCACATAATTCAATTGACACGATTCTTGAGTCGTCGCTGCTTCCCATCGGGGCCATCCGGAATAAAAAATGAGGGCGCTTGGCTTGTTGTCGCCGCACAACAATGGGGGGATTTGAATTGAATTGCAAAAAAAGAGAAACAAAAGACAAGAGGAGAAGAGGAGGGGATCTGATTTCATTTAAGAAGCACGGTGGTCTCGCCGACCGCCGGGCTTTTGAAAAATGTGCGTTTTATGGCATAAATCAGGTAGAATATAATGAGGGCCACGACGACGATAAGTGCGTAGAACCACCATGATTCATGTGAAGCTGAAGAGGCAAGAATTACGGGTCCCGGATGCATGGGTCCTTTTGAATTGACCATTTTCTGAAATCAATTTGGGTGGCGAGAAGGCGTGAAAGCGTAAAAGCGTACCTGTCGAGTCACCTCTTTGTCAAACGCCGTCATGTTGATGTACCAGAAGTTGACGTCTGATTCATGAAATTTCTCTTCCATTTTCGGCCAAATTCCGCGTGCCGTGTCCACTTCCAATGCGTAGTAGTTCATTTTTGCCGGGTTCAACGGTTTCCAGTCTATTTTCAGAAATGTTTATAACTGGCTTTTTGAGGCCTGATTTTTTGACCAGTGGGTCCATATTCTCATAGGACTTTGATTTTGTAAGCTTAAAAATTCTTGAATTCAATTTTCAAACTTATTGGATTATCTGGTTCCAAGATTTGTGAATGAAAGGCTAAAAACCGGGTTTGTTGAGAAAATCTCTCGGTCCACATATCTCTAGAGTAAATTATCCGATTGAGCCTGGATCAAACTCTTGCCCAGACTTACTTGGAGAAGGATTTCCGTATTTTGTAAAGTTAATAATCATCTGGGAGTAAAAAGTGTCCATAATATCCATGTCAGGAGTATGAATGTCTTCTCTGTGCATTCCAATGAAATACTGCATGTCCGAAACGTGGGATGATTTTGGTTGTTGGCTGAAAAACTTGGTTCTAATTGAAGATATTGCTAAAATGTGAGACTTTGACTGAAATAGAAACACTTTTCCTCCTGCATTAACCATTGCTTCCGAATATGTGGCAGAAGATACGAAAATTCCTTCGGTAAAGGCTTGGTAAACTGTTCCTTCTGATATTTCCAGTATTATGTATTATACTCTTTCGCTATTTGAATTAAGGTTGACTATTACCTGGACTATTATCATGATACATGTTGAACATATCGGCTACTTCGTACGGATTCTCCCAGTCCATGAAACTTCCGGACATGGTCGGATTCTCTTTTCTTTGACGTTTTGTACCCACTTCGTTTACCGTGTTTCCAATCATTATTTCTCGCGCCTAAACTAGTTGCAGCCTTTTCCCATTCTACGATATCTTGAATACCACTGCATTCCTCTTGAAATCCGCAATACTCTCATTCAGTCTCATAAACGGTTCCCCTTTCATGAAATTCCAAAAGTACAGATTCTTCTCCTCCTCCATAGATCTTTGCATTTGAATCAACTCATAATAGCCTTTCCCTCGCAAGCACTCGACAACTTCCTTGTTGCTTGTGACGTCTCGAGCATAGCACTATAAAACATGACATTATCAACGCTCCACATTGTCCTCAAACCCCGACTCGCGCGGCAAGGTCGTAACAGTTCTTGATAAGCAACTCAGGGACGTCGTAGCACGGCGGAGCACTGATAACGATGCTTTTCTTGAACAGTTGAATGTTTGGATCGATTGATCTGCCAGGAAAAGGTCAAAGGTCACATTTTGAACTCGAACTGTTAGAGTACCGGCTAAACGCAAAGACCAATGCAATATGAGCACCCGCTGAGTGTCCCATTAGATTGATGTCATTGGGGTTGCCTCCGAAATGAGAGATCTCTTGGTGGATAAATCTCAGAGCCAGCTTGCAATCTGGACAACAAGATTTATAAACGAGCCGGATGGAGATAAGTACCATGAATGGCCAAATTATGAGGAACCAGATTGTCGTCTCCCAAGTAGAAAAGTCCCAATATTCCGAGCCGATACGCGGGAATTACAAACACAATATCTGCGAAGGGGAGCTATCATTTTATTAAACTTGAAACTCACTCTGATCCACATATCGTTCGAAGATGAATGTGTCATTGAACATTATTGCATTGTCCAGGTTCACACCACCTCCATGATAGTAGATGATAGTTGTGCATGTTTTTGAGGTCTGAAAACAGATTTTTATATCAAAACCTGGACTTTTCGATGGTCTGTCTACGCTTGGACTTTTAGACGACTTGCAATATTCTGATACGACCAAAAATTACAGGCTTCTACATAGGACTTGAATAAAAGTATTGAGGGTCCAAGTTTCAGACAGATCGAATCATCTGAACCCAAGATATAGCGATTTACGGTCAAAAAGAGACATGGACACAAGATATTCAAAACGCCTGGGACCAAATTATTTTTTAAAAAAGAGTTACCAAACAGTATTCATTGGTGAACACATTCAAATGCAGACAATCTTCGCTCATCTTAGCGTAATTGGACTCTGAATGAAGAGTCGTGTTACTCGGACAAGCGGGACCGTATTCGCTGGCATTTCTGAGACCATTCCAAGGTTCTGTCCATTCGGCGAGACGGAATCTCAAATCTCCTATCGGGGGTTTAGCGTATGGCACATGCTGTATACTGCTGGAACTAAGCAAACTCGATTTCGAAATCATTTTTACCTTGAAAGTGTGTCGATTTCCATTGAATGTTTTACCTTCTAACTCTCCAAAGCTAGTTGAAACTATTCGTTGACTGGAAACAAAAACGCAGCTAGTGATCGCAAAAAAAAAGAAAATTGCACTGTTTTGCAGCATTTTGAGTGACCACTGCCGCACTAATGCACTAACAGTACACGTTGGTGTGTCAATATGTATGTACAATGATGTTCATTTCGATATCAATAAGTCATAAAAGTGAGTTCACCCAAGAAGCGGTTGACGTTCCGTTCTTGTGGATCTCATGAGAACAATGCATACAAAAATTAGAACAAGGACGAAGAAAATAATGATAACATAAAACCACCATTGTTGGTAGATCACAGAAGAACCTTCTTCAACTGGTGGGGACTCTGTTTGAGGTTGAATCGTCGTGTCGACAGTAGTTGTAGTTGACGATTCCGGAATTTTCGAAGCTTCCGGAACTTCCGGAACTTTTGACGGTTGCACTGGAACTTTACCGTTTTTCTTCTGAAATTTAGAACTTCACTAGGATCTTATAACCCTAGCACTTGTTCTGTTATATTTCTGTCCAATTCCATCATATCGATCATCCAGAAATCTACAAGTTCCTCGTGGAATCCGTCCTCCATCTTGGGCCCTATTCCCTGCTCACTGTCCACTTCGAGAGCAAGGAAATTCATTTTTGCAGGGTTCAATTTTTCCCAATCTGAAATCCACAATTTCCAATCAGAAACAGAGTGACATCTGAAAAAACTCACTAGGAGATGGCTCTCCGAACTTTGTAAAGTTCACCAGCATTTTCGAGTAAAAGCTGTCTAACACATCCATATCACTGGTATGAATTGCTTCTCGATGTATGCCTATGAAATATTGCATGTCGGAAACGTGCATACTGTACGGTTTTTGTCTCGTTTCAAACAGATATACTTCTCCGCCTGCATTCACAATGGCTTCCGAGTACGTGGCAGCTGAGACAAATACTGAAGAACTGTCACTGTTCACCGTTGCAGAGGCTGAAAATTCAGAAATTTCTCCAATATCTCATGTCAATTATGAGGCTTGACCGACTGAGATTCGTGAAATTGTTGCGATACGTCATAACAGTCTCGATTGGATTTTCAAAGTCTAAAAAGCTGCCGGAGACGTAGTAATCATTATATTTGAACTTTTCAAACTCATACTCCGTCACACCACACAACAGTTTTCTTGCCTGTATAAGAAACATAAAGAACTATTTCATGAAAAAATACTCACTGGCGCATTCTGTTTGAAATCAGCAATACGCTCGTTGAACTTCATGATTGGTCCAGCTCGGATGATACTTTTGAAAAACAAATGATCATTTTCCTCCATTTCTTTTTGGGTTTGAAGAATATCTCGGGCATCCAGCTTTTGCATGCAGCTTACTATTCCCTCTCCGGTTGCATTTGAACACTGAAAACGTTTTAGACGATCAGATCATTACTCTTTGTTCAAACCCCTAGCCGTCTGGAAATTTCTATTGAATTGTTGATTTGAATATCCGCAAAACCGAATAGCGAATGTGAGCTGAGAACAATCATTTTCTGGAATAATTTCAGCTGAGGGTCGACAAGACTTGAAAACCCGAGAGCGTCGACCAAAGAGCCTCCCGAAGAGTGTCCCATAAGTGTGATATCGTCTGATTTCCCTCCAAAATTTTCAATTTCTTTGTTTACAAAGTTGAGAGAAGCAAGACAGTCTGAAAATTGATTTCCTTGTTCATTTTTCCCTTTCGTTTTTCTATTTCTCGTTACCTACCATAAATCAAAAGATTCGCTGGAATGATTCCGGTTTCCCCTAGATAAAACTGTCCAAAAACGCCTAATCGAAACGCGGGTATCACAAAAACGACGCCCTCCGCCACGTATCTTTCAAGAATGAATGAATCCGGAAACATGGTGGCAGAGTCCAAATTGAAAGAGCCGCCATGATAATAGACGATCACGGGACACTTTTGTGCCTAGAACCGATAACAAACGTCGCATGGTTTGAGAAGTTTGATTTCTTCATTCTTACCAGACACTTTTCACTTGTGAAGATATTGAGATAAAGACAATCTTCACTGATGTAGGATTGAGGGGTAAATGTGACTGAGGAGTTGCTCAGGCATGCTGGGCTGAAAGATAGGGCTAAAATTCCTTACATAAAACACTTTTACCTGTACTGTGAAGCGTCTAGAACATGTTGCCAGGGATCTGGATTTTCTGGAAGTGCGAATCTCAACTTTCCGATGGGAGGCTTCGCGAATGGAATTGCCTGAATGTACAAGTGATGCGCACAAATCAAATAAAGACAGAAATCTCACTTTGAACATGTACTTGTGATTGTTTCGATCAGAGAAATCAGTGATCCCTCGAACTTTTCCATAGCTAGTCGTCACAACCTGTAGTCCAGAGGTTGTGGCACAAAGAAGCAAAAAAAGTAATAGCATTCTCGTCATCGCTAAAACTGAGTTTTTTTCACAATTCCCTCCACTTAAAGCGCTTACTGATAACGCTATTTTCATGACTTGGTCGTCTCGATTGGGCAGACTGTTCATGTGCTTGTTTGTAGTCGTTTTAATGTCATACATGATCACGTGATGTTGTTATTTCATTACATACATACAATTATTTCATTATTCCCGAAAATAAGTTTTGGAGCTCAGCGGACTTCTGATATCAGCGAAAACTCCCTTCCGTTCAGAGTTTTGTTTGGAAGCACGGGAAATAACGAGAAAGGCGATTAACAACATCGTGGAAGATACGACAATATACATGATAGTGAGGGTCGGAATGTCCTTCTTTTTAGATGCAAATGGAAGTTTTTCATCAGTTTTGCCAATTCGCAGCTGTTGTTTTTTCTGAAAGTTTTTCATTTTGCTTAGTAGAAACTATGAGCTGTCACCTTTTCTGAAACCGATTTGTCAAATTTGACCATGTCTTGCAACCAGAGATCCGTTTCGTTTCTGTGAAATCCATCCATCATCTGCGGTCCGATGTGGAGTGTGGTATCGACTTCCAGAGCGAGAAAATTCATTCTGACCGGATCCAGCGTTTCCCATTCTGAAATTACGTAACATTTTGAATCAAATTCTATTTAGTAAGTACCTGGAGAAGGAACGTCGAACTTGGTAAAGTTGACAAGCAATTTGGAGTAGAATGTGTCAAGAACATCCATGTCGGGTTCGTGAAGTACTTCACGATGCAGGCCTATGAAATATTGCATGTCAGAGACGTGGAAACTGTACGGTTTCTGTCTGGTCTCGAACAAGTACACCTCTCCTCCTGCTTCTGTCAGAGCTTTTGAGTACGTGGCGGCAGACACAAAAACTGCCGCGGAATCGCTATTGGCCCATTCTTTCCCTGAAATTTTACATAATTTTTGGGGTTTTCTTGAGTACACTTTACAATGATCGGCAAACTGTTCAATAAAGTATTCGGAGACTTCAATTGGGTTCTCGTAATCCAGGAAACATCCGGGAATGTAGGGATTTACGAAACTCACTGTTCGGAACTCGTTTTCGGTGACTCCGTAAATCATTTTGCGCTTCTCAAATGACATATTTAGGTGTGGGTTTTGAAGTCCTTTGCAATTACCGGGGTGTTTCGCTTCAAATCTGCAATCTTTCCATTGAACTCCATAAACGGAGCACCACGGATGATTCCTCTGAAGTTCTGCTTGCCTTGCTCTTCCATCAGACGCTGAGTTCGGAGAAGTTCAAAGCCATCAATGCGACGAAGGCAGTTGAGAATCTCGGGAATGTTTGCCTCTTCCTCAGTTGATTGGTAGCACTGAAACATTGTTTTGCGCTTACGCCCTAGAATATTTCAAACTGACGTTTAGTTTTTCGGCAAAAGTGAACGAGTTTTGGACCACGACATCTGGATACGCAAAGAGACCAGGCGCCGAAAGCACTATCGTTTTCTGGAAGAGATTCAGGCCCGGGTCGATGATACTGAAAGATATATTGACTTGGTTTTCTTTTCATGAAATGTTTTCGTGATGTCACCTAGAAAAGCCAAGAGCGTCGACGATCGTGCCACCGGAAGAGTGTCCCATCACTGTGACCCGGTCTGGGTCACCTCCGAAGTTGTGTATCTCGTTGTGAACAAAGTTGAGGGACTTTACGACGTCTACAACAACAATGTTTTCTTTTAACTGCTGTAAATTCTCACCGAACATGAACAAATTCTCTCTCAGAACACTACGCTGACCAAAGTACAATTGTCCGAAGACTCCAAGACGAAACGCCGGTATCGCAAAGACCACACCTTCCGCGACGTATCTGTCAATGATGAATCTGTCCGGGAACATGGTAGCCGAATCCAAATTGAATGCGCCGCCGTGATAGTACACGATGACAGGGCACTGTTTATCCTGAAGACAGACAGACTCATGACGAACTGCATGACACTGTAGTCTCACCAGACATTGTTTACTCGTGAAGATGTTCACGTACAGGCAGTCCTCGCTCACATATTTTTGAGGAGTCGTGGTCTGGGATGAGTTGCTCATGCAGGCAGCACTGCAAGTTCGGGAACGGTGATAACATACATTCAAACTAGTTATCATCGAAACCGCACCTACCTGTACTCGGTGGCTTTCTTGATGTCATCCCATGGTTCCGGGTCTTGAGGAAGAGCGAAACGGTACTTTCCGAGTGGCGGCTTTGCGAATGGAACACTCTGAAAAGGGCAACGCCTGAAAATAAAGCTTGTTTGGTTTTTACTCACCTTGAAAACGTATTTGTCGTTGCCACGTGGATCTTTGATTGCCAATCCTCGAACCTTCCCGAAGCTGGTCGGAATCACAATGAATCCATCGACGACGGAGAAGACGAGAAGAAGAAAAGCGAGTCCTTTTCGGGAGAGCATTGTTCTCGTCGGCGACCAGATGTAGAAATGATAACACGAACTGCCGAGCACTGTTTTTATATTGGATGGAGTCCCCGGAGTTTGGCGCCACGAAACTGATAATCAACACGCGTTACAGATTTATTATTGACTTAAGGTGGTGTGAACGTAGGGAACATGGAGAATACAGAGGCCCAGAGAACTCTGAATCTGTATCAGGAGGAGAGAATGGTTTCACAAAAAAAGTTTCGCTGATAATACTCGGGTCACATGATTTTCACACTAAACAAAAGCTCGTAGCGTTGAGGATCGTAGAACTGTCAGAAGGATCGCGACCCACAGTGCACGCTTCAAATGTGGTTGAGCAACTTTTCGAGCGTTCGATTCTCCACGTTGATGTTTTGACCTTCCATCATAAGACCAACTCGTTTCACCTGTAACACCGCCTGATCCTTCAGACTTTGGGTGGGGGCCAACTGACTTGCCGTTTCTTTGCAAAGTACTCGCAAACCATGTACATGGCACACATCGGGATAAGGGATATAGCACCCAGTGGTCCGAGGAGGAATACCTATAATAAAGAGGAAAGCCGAATAAGTAGTGATGAGTAGAATAAGTTGCCTTGCGATTGTAGTAACTGTAGATCTTTTTAGTTTCCAACTCGTTGCAGTGTTTTCCCGAGTACGGATCGTCACAGTTGCACTCGGTTAGATGCTGGAAGAGAAAACAGTTCTGAGAAGGTCTAAGGGGTGTAAAAACCATGTTAGGGGTTCCGTTATAGCAAATGATTTCCTCACAGAATTCACCCTTGTAGCCTTTCAAACAGTCCGGACACCTAGAAACAGTACTAATGGATTTGTTTCTGACTTCTCACTCACGATCCATTTCGATAGCGTCGATAAGATTCACAATTCTTCTTTTTCTCACAATGCTTTCCCACATAATCCAGTTCACATTCACAGACTCCTTCAATCACTTTCCCGTTCACGCACCTGCAATTTCGAATTCAACATTTTCGAGAGACGTTTTCAGATCGTTTTTCTTACACAGGCTGCCTCCGCCGGTGAACTTTCCCTTTGTGGGTTCTATGATGATGGTGATGGTGAGGTTCTGTGGAAGTTTCCAGCATGTTTCCAGCATCCGGTCTACTTTCATCAATTTCAGATGAAACCAGGGGCAAAATGCAGGAGAGTAGAGTAACGAACATGAGAAAAGTGGTTAACGATCGCATGCTTGATAAATGTCCTGAAAAGGATTGACAATGTTTTCGTCACAAAAAATGAAGAGTAATTGGGGGGGGAGGGGGAGTGTCTACATATTCTCAAGTAACCAATGTTTAACATTGAAATGTCGAACATCAACTTGTTAATTAACGACGACGTCATAGGGAGAAAAGAAACTGTGCCACATGGTGATCATTCACCGGTTAAGTTAAAACTGACGGAAAATAGGTGGGGTGGGGTGGGTCGACTGAAAAGGGAGGATACTTTTGATTCAGAACAATTTTGGGCTGATTGGATGTAGTGTTTGATCTGAATCGATTATCGCATCAGAAGGACTATTCGCCGAAATCAACCTCATTGAAATCAGTGGTCAAGATCCAAATGACGTCATTAAGCGTGTCGGGAATGACTTTCTAAGATGATCGTTTGCGGAAAAGAAAAATGAGAGAATTCTGACTGTTTTTACGTGATGAACAAATAAAACAGATGAAAATAGGCAAATTCCACAATAAAACTTTTAATTTGATGATACAGTTGATTTGTACAAAGAATGATTTATGCGAGAGGCAATGAGAAGGGCAAGACGAATTTTGGCGTGAAACAAACACGTTTGCTGAATAAATGCAAATCACATCACACTGAGAAATGGGCAGGTTCCTTCTTTCTCGTGAGAACTTTCGACTTTTGAAAAAAAAAATGGTTCTAGGCGCCATTCCATTCACATTCACAGTCAGCATCAGCCGATGGGAAAAGGTACAATTAACTTTGTTCAAAGAAAATTTGTAACTTCAGATCTTTGGTAAATCAAAACAAGTTGAGCGAGGAACACTCGAAAAAGTGCCTGATGAACATTGAACCTTCTACCATACCCGGCAAAAAAGAAACTCGACTGACTGCCTGACTCACTGTCAAAAATGAGAAAATTGGCGTGGAGGTCAACACAATTTGGAGATGTTTTTAAGAGTCATCAGACTGCAACAAATTAACCGCAGCACTTTTCACTTGCAAACAAAACTGTCGGGGTTTTTTGTCTACAAGTTGTTAGAATGTGGTTATCACCACGTCACCTTGAAAAAAGTTGAGAAAACTACTGAAATTTTCAGACTAACGAGCAGAGCAGAAAGTGTGAAAACCTCAAGAAAGCAGATGGAGATTGATGCTGATCACAATGGTGAGAAATCGAACAGGCACTTTGATCTCATGGTAGTTTTCGAACTTTGTTTCTTTAATCGAGCGTGAAAGTTGATTGTATCGTGTTGATCTGTGCTGCTATTGTCCTATCCTTATCAAATGAGTCTAAATGATCAACGGAAGTTGAAGATAGGGATCTGGTATTTTGTAGAACTTCACAATATCAATTTTCACAGAATCCCACGGTTAAAAAAAATCCTCTCGAAGATGGGTCCAGAAATGTTCGTAAAGGCCCAAAGAGGCCGTTAATTTGTGCATAGCGTTCAACCACCTCAGAATACTTTCTCTTATCTGTAAAGTTTTCCAGAATTTTCCAGATTGGTCACATCAAACACTTTCTTTGTGGGATTTCAGTATCGAACCCGTCCCGAGACTAATCTGTCTATCCCTTTTAGAGCTTCAAATCAGAAATAGTGGCATGACGATTTGCTCTTTGGATAACACGTGTCAAGTCCGCCTCAATGAATAATGATTGGGAAAACGAAGAACCGGAGATCATCTGAAACGTGCGAGAGCCCATCTTTGAGATCTAGCCCCTCTCGTTTCCTTTCCATCTTTTCACAACTTTCGCACCCAAACAAATGGGAAAAACGTCACGTCTCCGCTGCTTCTGCTTACTTAATTCTGTTGTCAACATCTTCTTCTTCTTCTTTGTTTTTATGCTCACATTTTCCCGTTTTCCTACCCAAAGTTTTGATCGAGCTGAAAGCAATTCCAATTACCAATTCAAATTATGTACACACGTCAAGTTTTTCGGGTCCCGAGCTAAATGCATCAATCATTTCTCATATTTTGTGATGCATTTGTGAACAGCCCGCAAAAGTTGTAAATGAATGTTTGCTGTGCGGCAGGAAATTGAGCGGATAAGTGGCAAAGAATGCATTTCAAAACAAAACGAGCGAACAATTCGATTGTTTTATCCGTTTGAACAGGTGCACCGGCGACTAGTTTCGAAAGAGTTGTTCCTTTCTCTCTTTTTGGCATTCCATTCCATTTTGCACCGGATCCCAATCCTATTCTGTCCTTTTGTTTTGTTTACCACCAAGAAACTTCTAGAGTGAATGTCCTTGAGTGACACTTTGTTCTATTTTTGGTATTTTCTGCTTGGCACTGACGAATATTAATTAGTTTTTTTGCGCATTGACAGGTGAATTCCCCATTTTTTTTGTGCCCAGTTCTTTAGTTTTTCACACAATTTTCACATGTTCCAGGTGAATATATTCGAAAAAGCTAACACCCTGTCAGGAGCGTCAAATGACTACCGAATGAAGGTGAGTCACTCACTCGGCTTCCTGTTTTTCATGCCGAGCTCTTGCTCCTTCTCCCTTCCTCTCTTTCTTTTCCTCACATACATAATAAGCACAATTAGGTTTTGCTGAAAAAAAATCTTTTCTCCAGCGTTGTACTTGATTTACCCGCTTCTTGAAATTGCATACTTATTGGAATGAGGGTAGGAATAAGAACAGAAAGAGAGAGAGAGAGAGAGTGAGCAGAAACACAAGCGAAATAACAATAATATTTACGAGGATTCCTTGAAAAGACTCAGGACTCAAGGTCGATAATCCCCCGTTTCTATTCATCCGACCCCCACCTTTTGGCTGTGTTTTCTTCGTTCTCTTAAACGGTTCATTATAGATTCAGCACTAAAATTTCTGAAAATGCGCATATCTCTCTTCAGTTGGCTCTATTTTTCTTTGAGTTCTGCCTAAAATGCTTGTGGGGGTGGCTCGGCCAGAACGAAAATACGAATGAGGCCAGTGGAGCAGCAAAAAACGCTGGAAACACAATTTCGTTTGCTGTTTTCGTTTGCTTTCTCTTGGTTTCGCCTATTTTCTATCTTTTTTCTTTTGCTTGTCACGCAAACGGTTAGAACGCCAATAAGAGTTGAGCGGAATTCCGTATTCCGCTTTCCGTCAAAATGTTTCATTTCGTCTTCCGGTTTCCGCTTTTCCGAATAATCTATTCCGTTCAACTCTATCTTCCCAAAAAATAAGCTTTTCTGATTTTTACGTCTAAATTCCAAAATTGTTTTTGCTCTACATAGCTTTAGATCGGATTTATTCATGTTTTCGCAATAATCCCTTCCGAAATTGTGCGTAGTTATCTTCGAAACGACGTCAAAATCAGAAGAATCTCTTTCGAAAAATCAAAGAACCAACCTTGTGGTTTCCGCTTCAAATAGCTGGTGGTTTTGACGTGTTTGAGATGGGCGCAAAACCGAGAGAAGACACATAATTAATGACGACGACACATGCTATCGTGCAGTTGATCTATTTGCCATTTCTGGAAAAAAAAGAACCAGTTTCTCTCAAACTCCATCCAATTTTAGTTCATCGATGTTATCAGAATGTACATAACCGTCATCCATTCGCCCCGTTTCCTTACATTTTTACCATTCCAATCGACAAACAAGACCATCAATGACGCTGATTGTTCTTGCTCTCGCTCTTACTCTCATTCTTATCACCATTTCACCGCTTTCCGGCGAGTTTTCCAAAAATCAATGGAAGTAATGAAATAAAATGTAAATCGGCACCTGGTTAATCCGCCGATTATCCACTATGATGTCACTTGTTCCCTTCTCATTTCCCCTTCCTTTTTGCAAGTTTTACCGTCAAGCTGCTCGAACGAATGGGTTTAATTTCACTTCTCTCACAAGACTTCAATTCCCTCAAGTCTGACCCCTTTTCACTTTGAAGACGTCTTGAAGACGGATGGTAAAAAAATAAAAGAAGGGGAAGAAAAAAAGTTCGCATCACCATGAGGGTCCTTTCTCTCTCTCTCTTTTGTGCTCATCTGATCTTTGATGTTGGTCGTTTTCCGGTCGGCACGCGCGAAAATCTGATTCTCAATTCACTTCATACCCCTCCCAACTGAAAAGGCTATCATTTGCAGCTGATTTTGATATGAGAGCTCATGGCACATGCGTATTTCCTGTTTTGCGATGCGGAAGGCTCCGGTTGGGAGACCGAAATAAACCTTTTTCCCCCTCCTCCTTTTTCTTCTTCGTCTTCTTCTTCCTCTTCCCATATTGCGACGAAAGGTCGCTGGATTGTTGTAGTCTTCGTCGTCGCTTCTCTCAAGAGCGGTGCGTAGGCGGCAAGTGGGATTAGGAACTGGCACTTTTTAGATTACACGAGTTTCTTGAGCGGATATGGATGATGATGGCGATGTGAACGTGAGAGTGAACAGCTGACGGGAGGAATTAAGCGGATAAGAGTACGAAGTTCGTTTGCGAGCCAGAGAGCCAGAGCCAGCCAGCCAAATCACCGTTTCACCCCATAATCAGAGCAGTTCTGAGCATTCGCGGGATTTTGGCGCCAGAATTCTCTTGTGCGCTTGGACTTTTGACACATTTGCAATTCTGATAGGACCCAAACCTTACAGACTTCTTAGGCTCAAATTAAAGTATCTTTGGTCCAAGTAATAGCTCTATCGTAACATCTGGTCCCGAGAAATAGTCAATTAGGGCACGGAAGCCCTGGTTTTTGCGAGAAGCGCTGTATCGGCTCTGAATTACTATATCTCCGGTCCCGATAATCCGATCGGTCTGAAACTTAAACCCACAATACTTTAATGCAAGTCTAAGAAGACTGCTGGCTCTCGAAAATCTCGGGCCGGCTAACTGCCCAGCCCTTACTCACACGGACACTTTTCCCACGGTTCCTACTAAGAGTAAAAAGTTGAGAGAGCCCTCGTGCGTCACTATTCACAATGATCGTAATGATTTCCTATTCTCATATCCTTTCCATTTTGAGCCCCCCGACTGACGATATGAGCTCTCGATGGAGTCCTTGACACGAAAAGAGCGCCATCTCGAATGGGTTGAGTCAGAGCTGCAAGAGCTTACGCTCTGCCCTTTCAGTCCCTTTCACATTGAAAAATTCACCCTTTGCTAATGAGGTGGGTGTACTTAGTACCCTCATTTTAGTGTCGTTTTCAAATTGGCTTGCTTTAGTTTCGTTGTGGCAGGAATAGGCTTGTCTGAAAAACACTGGAGAAGCTGATACAATTGACTTATCTTGTTGTTTGTGTCAATTTCCCTTTTCCGCGAACTATTCAAGTTTTCCCTCCCGTTTTCTTTTCCGTATTTCTCAAGGACTCGTTCACATGCAGTTGTTCTTGACAACCGACATTCGCCTCCATATTCCCTTTTAGTGGTGCCCGTTTTATGCTCGCTATAAAAAGGCGGTTGCTACTTCTACTTCCTCGAAGTGCTGCTGCTGTTGCTGAGTCGTTCTGAAAAGCACGAGTGCTTTGCCTAATACGATCATGCGCTTTTCCTGTGCGGATTGGATTATGGGCGCGAGAGAGGGGGGGCCCCGGGGCCTGAAAGACTCTGCCTTCGGGGCACGAGCACACTTTGGTTTTGGATATGGAGCGCTCGCGCGAAGCTCACGTAACGGCGCCGTTTATGATTAACTAGAATAGTTTTCGTTTTTCGTGGAATTTGTGCTCAGCAGACAGACAGACCATGATCAGCTCACTAGTTGTTTTTCAGTTTTCTGGTAGGAAACAGGGTTTGGGGACTGCTCTCGTGTTCTCATGTTGATGGAGACCATAAAATAGAAAATAGAAGGGAGCGGATGAGAGACGGCTCGGCTGTTTCAGTTCAGTATTTTCGATTCTTCAACCCAGCGCAGACATCAGACAGAATTCGATTCCCCTGAGATTGCGGAGTGCGTGAGCATGTACCAGTAACCTGATGAAATCCTTTTTATAGAAAGTTCTTTATGAGCTGTCCAATGATATACCCAGCTTTCGCGATTGGTCGACTCCGCCCATTCTAGCCTTATAACTGATAGGCTCGCCATTCATTTATCTCAATACTCCAACAAACAATCTTTGTAGCTTCTAGCTCCTGCTGCTTGTTGACCAAAGGACATAAATCCGAGGAATGAAGGGCGCCTAATAAACCATAAATTGTTTGTGACCGCTTGTTTTCCATGCCCCTTTTTCGGCTTCCATGATCCTTGGTTTCCTTTTTGGCAACAAGAGGCTGAAATAAAAGTCAAACAAACCCCCCTCGTAGGCCTCCACTTGTCGGAAACAAAGAGCGGATGATGATGACGGCGCTGAGCCTTCTTAGAGCTTTGTCACGAGATCCTTTTTTGGAGAGGGGGCCCTCTCAGCCACAGCTCCGGCTCTTCCTTCTCTCTTTATGTCATGCATATATGTCAGTGAAGAGGGTCCCCTTCTCTTTTTTCTTCTTCTCCTTTCGGGGCCCTCTTCTGGCGGCTCAGATATTGCCTTCAGGCATTTTTCTGTTTTCATCCGCTTCTCTGCTCTTGCTCCGCCGGAACCTAGATAGTGCATGCGTGGCGGAGCCGTCAGAAAACGGCGAGTCGGCGACTGAAGGCGATTCTCTTGCTCTCCCCTCTCAAACACGCACGTCATCCAACGAGAGAGTGCTTGCAGATGCGCTATCGATCCGAAGACGGCGAGAAGACGACGGCGACGGCGACGCGGGCCCGCCTCTTCAACTCGGCGGTGGCCTGCCATCGAGCAGCTCGCACCACTCTTCGGCCCTCATACGGGATGGGCATGTGGCGAGCCGTTGCGCTGCTCGCTTGCCTTACTGCCACCACACATGCCGCCCTCTTCACAGGTGAGTCCTACTGTAGGTTGGTGGGTATCAAATTGTTCTGTCTTTGTTATGATTCTGACTTTGAAAATACAATTTTTCCTAAATATAATCGTCTCAAATCTATCCAGATCATTCCTTTACTTTACTTTACTTCCTTTTTCATAGTGATCAGAAATCGTGACTCACACTTCCCGTTGTTTTCATCCATCTAGGCGCGGGCGTTGGTTGAATTCAATTCTGAGAATGACAGGTGCAATTCAATTTTGTGACATTTTGCCGTCTCCGTTTTCACCTGCTTATTTTAAAAAGAGTCAAGTTGAAATGAAAGACTGACGTCTTCTTGTGATTTTGTGGTTCGCCAGAAAGAGCCGTGTGCATTTCTTCTTCTTTTTCATCGAGAATACATGAGCACATCTCATTAGGACAAGAGGCTCAGCGGAGAAAATTCTCACGAGCAAAGCACATGACTCACATGCCCCGGCGTCGCTGATTGGATGAATACAAAAAGGGGGATTGGAGTGGGACAAAAGAAAGAGGAAGCAGAACAAAAACTGAGGGGGTTTCTTTTTTCCTTTTTCTACTCTAGGCAAAACAGCGTCAATTAGACCGCCAGACCAAATAATAGATATTATTACGAAAGCACATTTCGTTTTTGAATCTGATGCGTCATGAGTCACAAAAAAGAAATTGGATTGTTTTCCCTCAACTTTGAATAGAACAAGAATGCAAGAATGTACAACTCTTTGTTGGGTTCAGAAAAAAGAGAAAGAAAGGGAGAAAGAGAAAAGTTGATGCATCAGAAGAGTAGGGGGTGAATGCATTTACATGTTTTGGGGAGAAAAAAAGGTTCTACTCGATTATTCATCCATCATTTCAGAGGGAGGCGCGGTCTTGAATGGACAAGACAACAAAGCTAACAAAAATGTGGAACTCGCGCACGGCGAGAAGGTCGGCAATCTGGACGACTATGTACGAGAAATTTAAATTGATTGATTTTGCAAGTCATTAACTTTTCAGGACTTTGGAAAGGGCCAGGAGGAGGGTGTGGACAAGTCGAGCGAGCCAAAGATGCTCGAGGACGAGTACCTCGAGTACATGGTCCGCGAGATGAACCAGCTCGAAGAAACGGAGAAGAAGCCTCAACCGAAGAGTTCGAAGCTTACTGAGAGCAATCCAGAGTACGCCGAGTTTCTCAGAATTCTTGATAGTATACCAGCTCCGAAACGTCCGGAACAAAAGGTTCCCCAGCCGCCCTTTGAACATCAACCGAGTTCGGCTGAGTTCGAGAAGAACAAGGTCGCCTCCGAGCCATTCGACCTGGACGATCTTCTTCGAGGTATGTTATTGAGGAGGAACAAGCATTTCTCGTCTTTTCTGTTTTGTTTTTCTGTGTGTGTGGGTGTGTGGTGTCTGCATAGTGAATACAACAAGTTGGCAACTATCTCGTACCCCTGGGTGACTTCAGATTTCCCAGAATGCATTGGATTCAGAGATCAATTCTCTGATTCACACTGTCGCATGAATAACAGAACTCTGATGGTGGCACTTTTCCCGTGAGAGCTTCGGCGCCAGACTCCATAATAACAGGGCTGTTATAGTTGACGTAGGTAGTAGGTAGAGATGATAGCACAGCTTTGAGTCGGGTCGTGTTTTCCTGATCTCCATCTTCCGCTCCCTTGTGACATTTTCGATGACAACTGAAACCAGAGCCCATATTCAGAGGGAACCCGAGTAGCGAGAAAAAGAGAGAGTGTGCTCGCTTCAAACAGATGACGTGGGTGTGAGTGCGTTAAAAAGTTGATGTTGCCTTCGCTTTCTTTCTCGCAGCACAGGAAGTCACACTTCCTGTCGAGTCGGCAAATTGAAGCGAGCGCGAGATGGACGGAGCAGATTCTAAGGAAATGGAACTCATCATCTCGTTTCCGAGAAAGCTCGTTCTTTTTTTGCGGTTTTCGGAAAGAGAGAGAGAACGAAGAAAGCGCGTGACCCTATCGTCCTATCCCTTTTCTTCATTGCGCTAAATAGCTTATAATTGAGTTCATTTAAAGCCCGCTGCTTTTGAAAGCACAGGCCACACACACACACACACAAACACACATACACATTAATGAAAGGAGTGACGTTGAGTTGGTTAGAGGCCTAAGACCAACCAGAATGAGATGAGCATTTTTCAGGGGAACTGCTTCTGGAGCGGAAGCTCGCCCGGGAGGCCGAGTATAAGCACTTTCTGAAGGTGCTGGAGGAGACTCCAAGAGCCGCCAAGGCCAACGTCGAGTCGCTGGAAAGTGCGATGCAGACGGCTACCGGTGAGCCGCAGGTTCCGCAAAAGAAGGGACAGAACGAGTTCGTCTCGTTCGTCGAGCCAGAGCCGCAGCCGGCCAAGCAGACTGTCTCTGCCCAGAGCATTGACAAACGCCGCCTGGCCACCTCTGCCGAGCTCACTGGAAATGCCCCGAAATACAGCTCGTCGAGCCTTCTTCTCCTGGCCGTTGGAACTGTGATGTGCGTCGGACTTCTCGGAACCGCTGTTGGTGGAACCTACTACTACAAGTAAGCTATTACAGTGACACCATTCAAAACATCGTCTTTGTATCTTTCAGAAACAACCGTCGTGACGTGACCCCAGACGATGGAGAGTATGCCCCCTACGCCGGAACTGGCCCCGGATTCCGCAAGAACAAGGTGAGAGTGACTTTTGATCCGTATTAGACTGGCTCAAAATCTAATTTGTCCATAAAAATGAGCAGTGCGCACGAGTGAGCTTCGGCCTAATCCATTAGCGCGGATTACATGGGGAGCACGAGAAAAGTGATGCGATTCGCTTCTCTTCTTTTCCGGTCGTGTCATTAATATTCATCGGAAGGGGGCTCAATTTCACATGACGGAAATGAGTATTTTGCAGGGAAATAAGGGAGACGAGACTCTGGCCTACAAGGCTCAGCTTCACCAATACCAGCAGGCGAAGCAAAAGATTATCTGCGGGGAGGATGCTCCGGGAATCATCGAATCGGACGGAGAAGACGGTGCGGATGAGGAGAACAACTACAGTGTCTACGAGTGCCCGGGTCTTGCGCCAACCGGTGACATCGAAGTTTGCAACCCGAACTTTGCTGCGAAACCCTAAATAATCCGGTGTCCGATGTACATATCGGTCCCCACTTTCCCTCATTAGTTTGTCTATACTCTAGTACAGAGAACTTGGAGATTTTCTGTCGAAATTGCTCTTAAAAAATACAAAAAAAATCGAAAACCGGAAAATTTTGTCAACTTATTCATTGATCACCATCACCAGAAGAAAGTTTCGAAATTTTTTTAAACATTCAACATACATCATCATCATTTTCGTCTGTCAATGTCATCTCTAGAAATTTCATCCATCTCCCGAAACAATACTTAAGATCAATTCATCTCTGTCTCCAAATTCGTTACCTGGAGAAACTGTTTTTTACACTGTGAGCACTTTCTCTAATCTCCAACCTGAACGCGCTTCCATCCAGCTTTCAATTGTACATTTTTTCACCACTGCTTCTTCCTACCCCCAACAATTGCGTAGTTTGTGCATATAAGACCGGTGAAAAAGAGAGAGAGAAAAACACACATTTAATTATAATTCAGCTTATTCCATTTTGTCACACTTACACACAAACACACACACTGTCCCCAAGAGATTCAACATCCATCTCTTTGTTCCTTTTTCTTCCTCCCACGCATCAAAAAACCATTCTGATAACTCCCAGTTTCATCTTCTTCCATCACTGACATCGATGAGTTCGTTCGCGCACACACACCCCCCGAGTTCCCAGCCCACATCTTTTTATCCGAGTGAATTTTTTGGATAATAAAGCATTCATGTTGTTATTAGGCCTCTTCATCTTTTATTTTCCAGGTTGATAGACATTTGCGTCGTTTTCACAGAAAATCACATTTGACCGAATTTAATGGCATCAAAACACGTCGCAGAAACACAGAAGCCCGTACTTTGAACCGATTGAACAAAACGGACGGCGCTGTAAAGCTGTAAACTTGAATGGGACAGCAGTTGCCACTGAATCTGTTGGAAAGTTAGGAAATTCTGTAAAATTTGAAACCAGGTATCTGCAAACTTCTGCTTTTGTTTCAGAGATCATCTTCATTCTATATTACAGCAACGGTCTGAATTGTGTATTGGTTACACTGAAAAATCATGTTGCCGACGTCTTTCAGATTCATTTTAGACCGTCCCAATCGATTCCAGATTCATATTTTTCCATCCCACGCATCACATGAACAATGAAAAAAGTTGTGCATACTGGAAAATAGCTGAAAATAGTACCGAAAACATGCAATGCTGGTATTGAATTGCCGGGCACGTAGCAAGTGCGATTCGGTCGGCTGAAAACAGAAAATAACATGTAGACGAGGAAGTCGACTGGAAAATGTGGAGTTGTCCTGAAATTCGATGTAAGCAGATAAAAAAGATGCAACCTAATTTCACAAATACTTTCTTTCCGGCAATTCAAATTCAGAACAGCTTCAAACCCATGAAAATCGGCTATAAAACGTCAATCACCAGAAGTCAGAAAACATGTTTCCAAGTTTTAGTCCTGAAACCAACATGAACATGTTCCCTAGTTGCAAATTAGCAAACTTTAAAGTTTGTGTTCTCCCAATTATTTCCAATTAACTTTCATTTTCATCATCTTCATTATGTACTTGCTATCCATTGTTTACCAATCCCCAAATTACACAAAATCAGATTAGTTCCTCTCTGAAAATTTTAAAACATCATTGTTCAAACTTCACAACTCGTCGATCGCAAGAATTCGGAAAACTTTTGTCTGGAATGCCAATATTATTTGAAATTTAATGGTCGGATGAAAATAGCAACGTATTTCATCAGATTTTGATCCTCAAGAATCTGGGCATCAAAGCTCAAATGTGCGCCGGAGGATGAAATTGTTGCAAAACTGGGTTTGGACTTTGGCTGAACTTGCTTCCCTCTTCAAAACTTTTGCAGATTGATCAGAATCTGTGATCTTTGTGTTCGCAATTGACCCGCTGACTATAGCCAATCCCATTATCCATTATCATCGGATGAGAAGCGATGGCTAACGGCAACTTCTGTCTCCTACACCACCCATCAATCCCGCCAATCCCATTCGCCTCTAAATATTGGCTTTTCGATGGATGTTCTAGTGTAAAATTACTCTTTCTATCAGATAGAACAATGCGAATAAGAAGCTTGGAAAAATAAATGACAGGTTGTAAAGGAAAGGGTGCCCGATCGATATCACTGGCCAAAATGCTGGTATTGTAAATAGCGTCATCTTAACTTCGAATGACCCAGGTCCCCCGCAGTGCAATGGATGACCGGTTAGCACACGTCATTCTCATTTGCGCTATTGTCCATCGCCACCAAACTGTCTGAGTGTCGTTTTCCTGCGGTGCCCCCCATACGAACATACAGAAAGAAAGAGAGGGAGAGATAATGATCCACAACAAACAATAATATGATAAATATGTTGGAGCGACCTGCGCGGGAGGACTTCTAAACGATAGGCAAATAGGAATGACGTCGTCGCGCTCGGTCCGGTGCGCGAAAAGAACGGTTATCGCCGGCGAAAAAGGATGTTTATCTTCGCTCCACACCTCTTTTGAACCTGATCTTTAGATTATTCCTCACACGGATACGGTATTTATATATTTGCTAAGGAATAAAAAGCTACTATAAATATTTGTTTCAAAGTTTTCGATTCTTATGAAAAATCAAAGTCGGTCCCTCATCACACCTAACTTTACGGTTTCGTGCCACACTTCGTCCCCTCCACATGAAATTGAGTGTAACAATCTGTTTTCAAACACGTGAAGGAACGTGTTTTCAACTTTATAATCATAAAAAATTGACACTGATAAACGGGACAATGATTGACACAATCCGGTCACCAGTGACGCACATTTTATTACTAAAGTGTGAGACGAAAAGCAATCATAATAATGATGCAAAACGTTTGAGGATCAAGATGAGCTGGAAAATGACACGATTTTTCTAACATTCAGGTATTAGTATAGAATTTGCTCGTGAAAATGGCTCAGGACTACAAAAAATTGTGAGAATTCAAAAATCATGCACAGACGGAAGAGAAACATGTACTCGTCTCCAGGCCATATCGACTTTTGCAATTTTTTCAATAAAACATGGCTTGCGACGGAAAAACTCGAGAAATAACTCATAACACAGCATTTCTCGACGTGAAGCAGTAGACAATAACATTTTTATCTAAAAAAGCAAAAAACTTCATGTTTGATTTGAAAATTGCAAAAATCGACGGAAAAATGCCCGTAACTCAACATGACCTGGGGATTTGTGCGTGTTTCTCTTCCATCCGTGCATGACTTTTGACTTCATTCAAATGATTGGTCCCTCCAACCGTATTGCTTTCTCTGATCTGTCTCACGTCTATTCCGGTTCTCTGAACCCGTTGTACTTTTGAAAAGAAGCACCAGAATGGTAAATGAATCGTAACTCAAAGATGCCAAGTTTTCTCTGTCTCATTTTTCTTAGTGTCCCCTCCCAGACGCCTATCAAACATGTGCATACTCCATGATTCACGTCAAACGCACGTCTTCACTTCTAAAGTCCCTCTTGGAAAGCGACTCTTTCTGAAAGCACAAAAGATTAGAGGACGTTTAAAAAGTTGTCGTCCGGCCGGTCACTGATCGAAAATGCCCGAAATGCACGTAGCGGATTTGCATAAGTCGATAATTTCGCGATTTTTGATCGTCCTCGTGGCCGGGGGGAAAGCCATCGAAACGGAAGTTTGGAATGGAGGTGAAATTCTCTGAAAATAGCCGCCCGTGTCATCACTCCTCTCTCTCTCTCTCTCTCTTCTTTTGCAAACACTGAATGCGGAATGGGGCATGTTTGAATTCTGAATGTATTCAAAGTATGGAAGGCGACCGACCAGAAGACATCAATTGTGCACGTCTTTGCAGGATGTATGTATGAGCAATCCGAGCTGCGAAAAACGGAAATCCAGGGAATTGTGGTGAAAGCGGAACAAGGAAGTTGAAACGAGCAAATTCTCTGGAAAACAACAATGATCAGCAGATGTTAACCTTCAAAGTAAAGGGACATGATATCTAAAAAATCTGAAACTATGAGGACATAACACTTTTCTAGAAAAGTATTATGGGGTCATTTCTTGGGGAACGCATTTTGTTCATAATCTGGCCGAGATTTGTTAAAGTCAATTCCTAAAAGCACCGTGATTTTTTTCAGAATCCCTCTCTTGATCCAAGTTCTTCTTCAAGTTTCCAATTGTTCAAGCGTTTTCTGTACTTTTCAGATCAGGTCCCTCCGAATATCCGACTAGAAAAGATGGCCGCCGCCAATTTGTACATCGTTCACCCCCCCTTTTCCGACCCCCGTGGCCATTAAAATGGGTTTCCCACCATCGGGACCGGTCGTTTATCCAATGTAGCAACTTGAAATGATGCATAAACTGTCCGTGTCTCTTGTCGGAATAAGGGTTTTTCTCAAAAATACATATACATCGGTGTATTTCTTTTAATCGACCCCACCCAAGTGAGATGAAACGAATTACGATTAGAAATTACGACCGGCCGACCGAGAGGCGACTGGTGTTTTCGATTTTCGATTTTCGATTTAGTTCAGTTCGTTCACTGTTGTTTTCTTCGATTCGAAAGCACCGAGAGGTTGTGTTCCAGTTTTTGTTTCCACAAAGAATGCAAATAAACAATAATAATACAGATGCAAACAGACACGCAGAATCTCGTTTTTCACGCCATTAATTTTGGTTGGCATGCCATGATCAAGATGGCGGAATGATTTGAGTGTGGGGAGAAAAAGTCCCTTTGATGTCTGGGAATTGGGCCGACACTGTTCACATCTGCTTGGGACTTGACTGATTTATTTATTTATTCCTGATGGTTGAGCACCCCCTTCTTTCTTCTGATCAGTGAAACAACCGTTGGGGCTCAGGTGACCAAACTAAAGACGCAAATCACTAGCGCATAATTGATATGATGACTGCAAAAGCACGGTACGTCCATGGGCAAAGAACATTTTGCCCCGTGTTTGTGCAGGTGCTCACGAGAAACGGAGAATGGAGGAGTTGCTCAACA